ATATAGCGAAACGGCTGTATTATAATATTAAATACGGCCTGTGACGGGGTCATGAATTTGTTTAGTTGGTTAGCTTTATAACTCACTTTGTCGAGTAGGTCAGAACATACGGGATCGATTGAGTACAGTAACCAAATTGAATTCAGGTCAAGACCGCGCCCACGGACGGGTGCCGGAGCCCTGGCACGTCAGTTACAGAAGTACGGGACATGGGATTTCTCTGAGAGGAAGGGGTACCTGACCCAGGATTCGAGACACGCCTCCAGAAGTGGAGAACTTTTCAACCGCGATTGAACTCTTCGAGACATTCCGAAGAATATCCAAACGGGATTTACCACAGAGATTGAGTGTTTAGAAGCAATCGGCTGCAAAGAAGCCCAGGCCCTTTCGGCGAGAGCTCACGCTGAATGTTTTTTTTGGATGTCCTCTTTTCATCCGCATTGCAATGTTAACTTTTGTGTAAATGTTTATACTAGTCAATTGTTCGAAAGTCTGGTAGTCGCGACGCCCTGTACGTATGTATGTATGTATACTAAGGATGTAAGTTCGTACTTACATTGTACCTGCAGAAGCTTAAAACCGGTAAGCGGTTCCTGGTGCACGGGATTACCAATTGCAAGTTTCTGGGAAGAGAAAAACCAATTGCAATTTTGATTTGAGCTTTATGCTTAATTGGCTTAATTACATGCACGGCGTGCATATTCTGTCTGCATCCTACGAACGGTTTAGGAAATACTCTAAAGACAACGAATTATAAATTTGAATCTCTTGTACTAAAGGGGGAATGACTGGAGAGAACCGCCGTTAGATATCGCGATATAAGAAGATTAAAATTTAAAATTTAAAAAACCAGTGTATTCTACATGTGCGCAGTATCATAGTATGGAACGCTCGAGCGAGCGAGCGATCGAACGAGCTCACGATGTGGAGTAATAAATAGCAACAAGGCTAATGTAGGTCTCATCGGCTCTCTCATTAAAAAAAACAACAATTCTTGAGATGGATTTCATCCAACATGCATACAGAGATGAACGCATGGCGATGGGAGATTATCGATATCCAACTGCGCCGAACATTGCATATTGTTGGCATCCCATCCTTCGCATCCCTCGCCTGTCCTGCTGGCCTTTTCGTCCGCTGAAGCTGCCTAATGAACATGAAACAGGGTGCCATGTCGTCAACAAGTGCTGAGCCTCTTTGCTCCTCCCTGACGCCGTTCACCAGAGATCCATGCAACACCTGATTCGCACGGTCAGGGACAGTCAGGTACCGTTTCCTCTTCTGGAATCTCAGGACCCACAGGCCTACCTGCTTGACTTCATCGCAGACCCACCTGCCTTCATGCTGCTTCCGAATCCGCAAGCTCAGAGGAGTTATGGCTAAATTATACGGGCAAACTCACAGCAGTCGAGGCTCGGGATCAGATTACTCACGGTTCGTGGACATACATTCGATCCTAATTGCTCAATTAATTGACCGACAAGGAAATGTAATAGGCTTTATTACTCACTGGACTCCTCCAAACTCGAAGATTTCCAAGATTACTTCGGGTATGAAGTTCGGAAGCTGTGGCGCAGAGTTATCAAAAAATTGCTATCTGTCGAATTGGCGGCAATTGTGCACGTCTGCACGGAGCGCATTGGAACTCTACCACCATCCACCCCCCAATGCATCCATTGCATTGTAATTACACTTATGTATGTCTTGCCACGGCGGCCATCATAAAAACCAGCCCATATCTAAGTATATATTCCTTTGTCTTCAATTCTAGCTAATCATACGATCAATGGTCAAGTTAACTCCACCCATTTGCCTTGCAATTGAAGATAGCGAGGAAGAAAAATCCGAGCTCTCCGTGATATCCGAACTCCTCCATATGGTATCCCGTTTGAAGAAGCCATCAACCGCAGTTTCTGCCCCTTCGCCACCTTTCTCAAACACTTCAACAATCATCCTAGCCTATAGCTAGGCCGTCAATTGCAATGCAAAGATTGATGCTTATTATCTTCGCAGGAGTGCGAACAGTTCTGATTGAACGTTGTACAGGACGGAATACTTTTAGGATCATCATTCGACAGCCGAGTATTCATTTCGACCGGCTTCTTGAAACCGGCACCACAACCCCAAAGATTCAGTGGAATATCTTCCAACAGCACACGTGTACCCCCAATTGGGACTTATGGATTTAGACATCTTAACGGCAAATTCGGTTACACTGCTTCAAAACCCGCGCCGTTAGCTTGGGTTTCCCAAAGGTTCAAAGTCAACCTGTACAGTTTATTAGCGTTCCGTGTCTCCTCAACAACCCCTGGAGACTTTCAAACATCAACCTCTTTCTCCCTTGTGATAGTGACAAGTCCTTCCCATAAAAGTCCACAAACTCGAACTTTTTGTTTAGACCCCGAGCCGTCTTTTCTCTCAAAAGGCAGCAAAGTGACATGACTAAGTCCTGACAATTGCCGCTTGCACTGCCCACTGCAATGTGTATGCGCTTCAAGGAGATCTTGGTGAATTTTTTAGAATTTAAAGGGGAGGAGTTTTACAAAGCAAAACGTCCGGAAGAAACTGTCGCCAAAACACGGCAGATTTTTTTTTCTTCTCTTTTCCTACCATGGGTGGCACTACGCTTGAACGAACGGTTGAAAAAAAAATTAAAGCGAACAACGATTCGTTAATCGAATTTATTTGTTTAAAAAGTCACCCCTTGAGTCTGCATGACCGGACCTTCTTAGGTGCCATTCGCGCGCATGTGTAAATTAATTTACACGATCTCTTTGCCGTCGCAAGGACAAGGAGTCACGTTCTTTTTTTCCTTCTATGCAGCCTTTCGAAGAAAAGTGGAGCCAGCTTACCCTTAGTTACGGGGAGCAGGCTCTGTGTATCACCCCTGGGGCTCGATCACAAAGAACCCCGCCCGTGCTCGATTTACTAGCTTCCTTGGGCTTGGGTATGGAACCGGAGGAAACTGACCGTATGGATTGAACACCGACGATAAATTGGAAGTGGAAGCGCATGCAGCTTCGTCACAATAACATGGGGCAAAAGATCGAATAACGAACCAAGGAATTTCAAAGGCACCATAAGAGTGATCCGACAGGTCGCCGGTTTCTGACCAATCGGGTCATATGCTCGGAGCTATCGACGAGAGATGTAAGCTCCCTAGAACAGAAGCTTGGGCTTCTCCCTGAACAACGATCAATTGAATCACCGTGCACACAGATGGCGGGTCTACGTCGATGTAGCCAGCATCTCCCCCCAAATATTCGGGGAATTTCGTTTACTAAAAGTTCAGCTTCTTTGCATTTGATCACATGAAATGATGAGTCTATTCCTAAAAAAATAAAAAATAAAAATTTTGACGCTCAGGTGACCGCCTAATCCCTGGTTGATAATCGTAATCAGGTTTCTTGGATTTTCCTGCGCCTTATCGATATAGTAGTGGTTGGTGGAGCACAGCTCGTGTTTTCACACATTAATGTCTTAAAACAGGACCGTTTTTGTCTCGTACAGTGTGGTCACGAGGTTCATGAACATGTTTGATGTTGAATTAGAATAAGGATCGATGACCATAAAGCCGGATCCGGTAACCTACAGCGCACGGCTGCGGGTCGGTAGACGCTTTTAATTCGTTCGAGAGGCTTTTTAGTTCGACTCGGCTAATGGTTTTCCCACAGGAATGGGTAGACGATGGATGCTACCGCGCTGTTGCAGCTTGCAGAGACGGCCCCGGACTGTGCATACACGTACATGAATTACCAAGCAGAAATCTTAATCTGATTGTCACGAAGGCTGTTCTGCTGACCCTGAGCTGAGGAAGGAGAAAGGGCGCGAGGGAGCCCGTTTTTGGCGATACTCTTTCATTGATTGATCCGAAAGGATTAACTGTGCATGCTTATGCGATTTAATAAAGATCTTGAGGATACATCGATCTGATATGTAATCATGCTCAAGTTTGCAAGGCTTCCAGGTGGTTTAATCTGTATGTATGCAAGTCATAGCATCTGCATTCGGATTTGATCCCGCCACCACCACCATGCACTTCGAATTCCATCATGGCCATTGAATCCTAGCACATCCTGTTAGTACTCGGTATTCTAGGTGGTAGTTAGTCTTTGAACTATGACATATGCAGAATGCTGCAGCTTCGCTTTGCTGTTAATTCCAAGTCTTTCCTCCACCCGTCAAAGCTCATAGGCTTAAAGTCGTGTGGGGGGGAATAACCCGGACAGCACCTCTGCACAGTGTTCAGGAAGCATTTATTCCCTCATGATCATTGTTTCCACACACTAGTTTTATGGCCTGGTTAGAGTTGTAGTTACGTAGGTATTCAGAACGATACTGACAACTAGCAACCTTGCAAGCGTATGAAGGGGCCTTCCCATTGCATAGCCTCCAGAGTTCATGGTCGTGACATATCCTATGAATCAATGTGCAAATTAGATATACGATGGAAGCTCAATATATACGCATACAAACTTACCCACGTGCTGTACCTGCCGACTCCACGATAATATCTCCGGGACCTGGCATCCGGCTTGTCACCTTCCTTTCCATGAGCTAGTCGAACTGTCAAGCCATAATTGCGGGGCAAAAGATGGCGGTGTCGATAAGATGGGGTTCCGATAAGCCTAAAGAGGCTGGCTGGTTGGCTGGTTGCGCGTGTGGCTGGAGAGTGCCGCCCTCCTCAACACGTAATCTGGAATGCGGTGCAGCTCCAACAACAAACTCAAACCTCGTCAGCCAAACCTGCGTAGAGTACCTGATCCTAGCTTCAGCACATCAATCGAACAACCTCACGCATTCACCCCCCCTGCATACGAAGCATCTCATCGCGGACTTGTCCTTTGCTGCATCAAACCCGCTTTTACCGATTCTGATCCTATCCTATCTTCTCTTTCTTCTCTTCAACCTCACTCTACCTTGCCGACCTGCAGGCCTGGGGTTTTTGAGCCCTGTTTTGACCAACTTATTACGTCCTCGCTATCCATCCACGGTACGATATGGCCGTTATAGTTCCTCCCGATCTCGTGGCGCAAGCCGTAGAGTTCGGGATTCCCTCAGCAGATGCCGAGGAGTGCCTCAGGGTATGTTATACTGGTTCATCAAGCTCCGTTTGTTATATCAGGATGGTAGGCTAACACAATTGCTTGCGGGGTTGCCCCACGCTGCCGTCACTGATATAGAGAACCAACAATAACGTTGAAGAAGCGATAAACTATTATTACAACGGTAACCTCGAAAGGGTACGCACCGTGGCCTTCATCATCCTCACGTAATTGTTCGTGTTGCTCAGATGCAGCTTGATGTTTAGGACCGAAATGAAAACAAATGGGACGAAAAAGCCTGGGGTGCAGACCGCTATGGACCAGAGCCAAACCCCGAAGGAAACGTAAACGGTAGGGCCCTATGACACCATGATACCATTCTATCTCATTGATAGACATGATACAACTTCATCTGGCAATCATTGGTTGAACCTTGAGCTCTGATATGCGAATATGTTAGCCCTGGACTACCTGGCCGTGGCTGCTGATCAGGCCTTCAGAGATCCGATCGGTGCGAAGTCGCGACCTCCGTCTCCATCGAACACTTTTCAAATCCATCATCCCACCGACGGCGAGGGTGTGTGTGCTAGGACCAACTTTCTTTTGTTTAGATGTCCAATGTGGGGTATCGTTACGGAGAGGCTAATGTATGGATATGTGGTTAGATGCCGACCTTCAGCAAGCTATCAAGGCCTCTATGGAAGATTCCCAACGTTCGGGACAAAATTACCCTACATATACCGGACCTCAAACAACTGGAACGGTTGCATACACACCTGCTTCAAATTTCAAGCGTGCAGATAATGACACTCAGTACGACTCAGGCGCATGGGCCCTTGCGGTCAGAGGGCAAGGGGAAACGAGTGCCATTGAGATATTCCTCGACCCTCCACCCAGCGAGAGAAAGAGGGTACCTGAACAACCTGCCTTCTTAAGGCCTTCGACGGGTTCGGGGAGCCTTGGCCCCTTGCTAACCATCCTACATTCTATTCCGACTGCCAGAGATGTACTACTACAAAAGGACCACATCTTAGAAGATTACGGCCAACAGAAAAATTGGTGGGCTGGACACATCATCCAAATACCAAGAGTAGTGGATGAGGACGACCTGGATCCTATCCCACCGGAGAACCTCGAGGTAGTGCGTGAGTCGCAGCGTTTGATGGCGTTCCTTTCGGGAACTGAACGAGCATACGGAACTGCGGAGAGCTTGGGGTCGATACATAATATATTCGATGCCAATCCTGGATGTAAGTGCAACATTTACATGATACTCCCATGACTGGGCACTCAAATGAATCAATCTAACTTGCTCTTATCCAACAGTGATCGTATCCAATTATTTTTGTTCCTTAAGGGATGCTATCAAGCTCCTCCACGGTGATCCTGATATGCGAACCCCTTTACTATCTAGAGCAGTTAAGGTCTCACCCAATGGAGAGGAGGGCTCGCAAATTTTCGAGGTTTTTGACCTTACGATCAAAAGTCATGTAGTTGAACAGGGTGGTAATCTATATGATGCCCTCGACACCATCTTCTGGGATGAGCCGGACGAGTCAGAAGTCTATGCTGAGTATTTCGGTGATGTTTGCACCATCCAGGCCACAACTGAGGACCCTAACAAACGACCCTGCGGTATCGATATACCTGCTGAAATGTACTTTGACCGATACACGAAGGAGTTTAAGGATCACGTCGCAGATATGAAAAAGGCCAAGGTGGAGATCCAAGGGAAGATCGACGAGTTAAGTGCCAAAGAAAGGAAAATTAGACTTTACTCGCCAATGTTCCAACCCAACAGCAGTCTCGATATGGTGAAGGTTATGGCAAGGACAAGGAGATATTTTGAGCTGTCATCGGACCCCGACTCAGTGCTTCCAACTGGCGGAGTTGTACCGGAAGAGCATGCAAGGAAGTGCAGTGAGACTGCGAGGCAACTGGCTGAGATCGAGGAAAGAATACAGAAGAAACTCTCTGGTAAGATCTAATCCTAAAATACCGGCTTCTCAGCACCAGTTTTAACATAATCACGACAGACCTTAAGAAGCAACGTGATGAGCTTCGAGATAGGCTTGAAAAATTGAAATCGATCTTTACAACTGCCGAAAATACAGTTGAGGGTGCCCCACCTCTTCAAAAGTACCTTCTCCGTGGAGTTTCCACGGACCGCGGAGTCACATACATTAGAAGGGAAAAGCTCGTCCCACATATCAATCTCGAGGAAGACGGAGCTCCAACCGAAATCAAGAAGCAACTAGAATGGTGGTCTATCAAATATCACACCATGCAACTTGCTTATAGCGAAGAGAGTTATAGCAGCTATGATATAAAGGTCGTTTCAGAAGAGGAAGTTTTGAGGGCTGCAAGGTTTGAGGGTACTGGGTTGGTTTTACTGGCATATGCGAAGGAAGAACCCGCCGACGTTAAACAGACGATCGGACTGGAGGACCTTCCGGAGGCACTACAGGTAAAGCCGAACTTTTCTAATCGTTGCTAGAAATTCTATACTGACAGCTGTACAGAAATTTGTTCACCAGGACAATGAGAACTTTGCGAGAGAAATTGCTGAAGCGGCTACGAGACCCCAGTCGTATAGTAAAAAGCGTCCTCATGACCAAGAATGGAATACTGATAAGCCGTATGCAAACCGGGAATACACAAGACAATGGGAAAGTCATTATCAAGGAGGCACGGCTAACAGCAGTCGCAATGCTACCCCCGGATCTAGCAGACGAAATTCATTCGACATGGCTGATGATAACGATCTTAACGATGACGTTCTCAAGACCATACCAAGGCCGCCTAGTCCCCCCGCCGCTCCAAATGTTAGCTTCGCGCCCTCAGGGCCTACTGTACACTTTGCAGATCAAGCGAAAGGGTTTCAAGGGGCTTATGGGAGCCGACATGAGGTTATGGCAATCGAGGAGGAAGGGAAAGCGAGGCAGAAGCCGGTTCAGGCTGACGATGAAATGACTCATGGAAGCCAGCATATTGAATTTGCAGAAGATGGAACGCTAAGGGAGGCTGTGATGCCGATTCCACCTCCACCTCCACCTCCATCTCATAGGGGGATAAGATTCAATCTGGATGAATAAGTGACGATTTTAGGAAACGACCTGGCCTATTTTTGTTTTCTTCACTACATTCACACTCTTACTACCTTTTTTTCCTCTTTGGGGCAACGAGACTAGCATTTGGAAATCCTAAATATGGATCGATCTGGACCTGTACCCAGCTTTTTTGCGGTTGGATATTTCCATTAGCCTTTTTTTGTTGTGGTTTCCACCCCCCCATCTTTTGAAAGAAAAATGCTATTGGGATTCTTTTGGCTTATTCCTTGCCTTTGTAGTTTTACCCATTGTCTGGTTATTTTGACCTTTGACTTTGTTTTCTTTGTTTTTCTTTCCCTCTCCTCTTGGTTCCATTTTCATGGCAGTCCTTTTGAAGCATATATCTCTTCTCTCTGCCTTTTTTTTTTGTTAATTTTATTGGTTTCCTTTCTTTGGTTGGGCGATATATGGTGGTGGGTTTTGAACATTTTTTCCCTTTGCGAGCATTACATACCTGGCATAGATTTAAAAAACGATTACTTACAGAGGCGAAGGGCGAGGTGACAAAAACAATTAAAAGTACTTGCATTGGTATTGATTCTAGTGGTGCCTAGAAAGGTTGGAATAGTAGTTGTATGACTTCTGGTCTTGAAACTAGACTGGCTTTGGCCTCGTAAATTGGCTTTAAATCTAAGTTTATAAATTTACAAACTACAATATCGATCTAGATTTCAACGTCATATGGATATCGATCATGATATCAGGGATGCAATGCTAGTAATATTAATAATATGTTAAGGATCGATGAGATGGTATATATATGCAAATACTACTCCGTATCAGAACAAACCTGATTGTATGTATATAATGTACATCTAGACGTGGGGAGGTACTCGATCGACCGGTCCAGAACATATATATATAACCTACCGACCATGAGTCCAACTATCTTAGCTAGCAGCATCATAATGGTTTTCAAGCATGGCTAATATATAACAACATTGACCACGATGGATTAAATTACCAAAGAACGACAACTAGATTACCAAGAACATATGTTTTAATTGACGTTTATAACCGGACGAAACCAAAATACAACATATCAAAAAGCCAATCATGGTAGAAACCTATAAAGAAACGTGCTCGATCGCTGATAGCTATGACTAGCGCATGGAGAATGCTTTCGCAAGACCACCATATGCATGCATACTGATTTCCCTTATTCCCTATTTCGTATGACAATAGCCTACTATAGTATAAAAAGCTTCAAAAGCCATTTAGCGTCTAGGTAGACCATCATACTCAAATATCAACCTCAGCGATCATCAGCCCTTCCTCCGCTATCCCCATCGCCTGATAATTCTCCAAATTGCCACATCTAGGCGCATCAACCGACTTCTTCTTAATACTCATAATAACACTGCTCCCCATAAACAACGTCCCATTCTCCCTTCCAGTTCTATTACAAGTCACAAACACAAGCTTCTCTTGCTCCTTGGTATAAACCCTCCCCCACTTGTCATCCCCAAGGTACTCCCATTCCCAATCCGTCCCATCAACCGTCTTCTTATCCGTACGGACCCACCCTTCGCTTTCCGGATTTGCAGTCCCAAACAAAGGTTCCAACCTTATAGACCAGTAGTTAACTGTACTATGATGCATAACCTTTGCATTCCTCTGTAGTCTCGAGTCATCATAAGGGTCCTTCGTCTCCCAGGCCATCGGAACGATTGCCAACTGGGCACCCGAGGATATGATATGATTTGCGAACTCATAGGCTTCGAAGGGGGCTTCAAATTTGTAAGGGTTCAAGTCCATACAGATTCCTAAAGCGACGGTGATCTCCTTTTTTGGAGAAGTTGGAGACGTAGGATTGGTAGGGAAGGTGAAAGTTGTCGTACCGAAACAGGAGCCTTCGGATGCCCAGCACTGTTTTCGGGACCGTGCAGGAAATTTTGTTAGTAAAAGCTCGATGTCATCGCTATTGGGAAATTAGGGGGAGAGCTCGGTAGCCTCGTAAGCTAGATTACAGAGGTAGGAAGGTGAAATTGAGAATGTGTGGGGAAAAAGGATGTCGCACGTCGCCCTCCAACCTAAAGGGCGAGGAAGAAGAGCGCACGCAGACTGCAGACGTCAGAATTCCGACGGGATGCGTCCATTATTTGCCAGCCTTCAATATCTAGGGCTCCAATCCTTTCGGGATCAATAACACCCGGCTGGACTCCTAGCTGGCGGCTATCTTCGATCTTTCTGCATACTGTCGAGGGGGGGCAAAGGAAGGAGGTGTGGTAGAAGAGATAACACGATAGCCACAAAATCCTTACCTCGTCTGTAACATATAAAAATGTCTTACGATAATTCATCAACACCTCTCCATCAGGCGATGTAACTACGCATGCATTATAGCAGTAGTTCTGAATAGTGTCATCATCGTTGTCTTCATCGGTGGCGTCGATGGAAGTCTCAGAAAACGGGTCAGAAACCCTCGGATATCGGCTAGGTGGCCTGTATTCATTCGCCAGCTCAGGATACCCAACGACGGTGTAGCATCGAAGTCTCCGAGAAGTCTGCTGGGCCCATTGGGTGCTAATCCCTGATGTCGTGCGCTCTAGGTATGGTCTGATAGATGCTTTCGAGTCGAAGACATACCCTGGCAATGTATATGGAAGGTAAAAAAAGTGGTTAATTCCGGTGTATCCTTGTCAACTGCGAGGATTTGGTAATATGAAGGAGGAAGAGGAGGAGGAAGAAGAGACATGTATGTATTTGGGGAGAAGAAATTCAAATGCATGGGAAGAAGAGATAAATGCACGGTTTCAAGAACGGCTTCTGTGAGACAGTAGAAGTTGCCAGCGTATGCAGCTAACTTCCCTGCCTGCAGTAGAAAACACGGATTCAACGTCAAAACAAGGTTACACAACATCGTTTGTGTAAATGCACACGGCAGGAGTTCTCTAGAAAATGCAAGAAGAACGGTTGGCATACCTGTGAAGGCCAACTCAGGCTAGTTGGATAAAGAAAGAAAAGAAAAATTGCGAAGCAAAAAATTAGTCAACGAGGTCTCATGTCGCAGTCGTAGAGTCAAGCCATTAAGCCACGAGAGTGCGAACGCATCTCATGAGGAATTGGATCTTAGGATGGTGTGCATCGATCCATGCCGCATTCCTAGGATGGTTCAAAGAATTGGAGCAGGTCGGTTGAACTTACTAGGACCAGGACGTCGACTTTTTCTTGGATGTCTTCGGTCCCCAGAACATTCCCAAGTATCTCATCCGCCTTATGGATATTGTCTTGAACCTTCCCTATCTGAGGGTCGAACTGCAGACACGCAATCTTCATTCTGTAAGAGATGCCTGTGCGGGCCTTAGCCTCCAAGAACAACAAACTGGGGTGTGTGTGTGGGTTTTGTTCGTGAAGAAATAGGACACCGTTACAGAGGTACCAGGTACTTGTTCCTTACCCTGAGCGCGGAAGGATGTACAACTAGGACGAATGGCTCGTGGGCGATTGGGTTATTGCAGCGACAATTTCGCAAAATACAGCGCACCGAACGGTCCAGAACAACTCGAAATGCTGTGTATGCGAGTCGCTCGTTCGAGAAAGCTCGCTGGGGGAATTTACCTAGGTAGCTACCTGTTCGTTTCGGCCCGGACGCCCCAGTATGCAGGCCAAGAACAGTCCCCACTGACTGAGCGTTTTCTGTTGGTGAATGGTCCGGGTAGTCCGTTGGAAAAGCTGGTGGAGTTCTCCAGAATTTAACGGTGATATAGAGTAATGCAAACGTCAAGACCTTGCTGTCGACGTAGCTCAAGAGGTTTGAGTTGCTAGGTTGCCTGTGTTGGAGATATCCCCACAGTGAATCATATGAGTAAGTAGACCGGTAAGTAATACGAGCTGCCTTTGATCCAGCGGAGAAGCTCGGATGAAGAGGCCCACGTCTCCGTAAATAGATAGAAGATGTGCCTGTCTCCGACAGGTTAAGGGTGAACCGGTTTGCTTTGTTGGACGTGTGTGGCTTGAGGGATATCTCGAGAAGCCCTCAGTTGGAAGCGCTGGCTGATATGCATGCAAGAGGGTCCAAGTAAGTAAGTTTGCAAGTGCTAAGTTAAGTACTTACGTATAAACGTTTGTTGGAATACTTCGCGGTGACAACAGCCAACAAAGTCCCATGTCCCATCGATTAACTGCAGATTGGAATAGTCTCAGCCGACTCCGCGATAATCAGACGATCCTCTTTATCTGGGCGGAGATATGCTATTTCCCGTAAGTCGAGATATAAACGAGTTGCAATTGGATAATTGCAGCGCCTCGAGCTGCCGGGTTGCGATCCAACAATCCATTCCAAGCATGTTGGGGTCGTTTATCGGGGATCAGGTCCAATGCAACCACAGCAAGGGTGAAATCGAAGAGTTGCTGCTCACGAGTGGTATCCGGGAAGAGATGCCTGCTTGGTGTTAATATGAGACAAATTCAACCGGCACGGTTGATAGTGCAGCTCCCGCAGCTGGGAGTTTCCCGCCGATAACGAATAGCGAGTGCACTGGGGTAAGTGGCCAAGCCATGCTAATGCTAGCTATCAAATAGCGGGACGGACCGTGGCTAGGATTGAGCAGTGGCCAGCAAATACATGCTTCATTCTGCCACACATGCTCGGCTTCCTATTGGTGGCCCGTATATCCTTTGCAGTTCAAACTGGGTTTCAACGAGGGAGTTTCGAATGCTCAAGTATCGAGAGATCAATAACGTCATGATTTATTGGTACAAAGGAGCTACTCGCCCACGAGACAGGGAGCAAGAAAAGAACGCTTGGACGCATATGATACAGCATGTAGACACTTCGGCTTCGTTTACTGCAAGCCGAACTGAACTCCTGCAGTAAATTGGCCTTGGGTGTATAAATAATTGAAGAAAGAAAAAACGCAAAGCCACGCTTTGTTAGCAAACAGACAAAATCGTCGATCCGACGCATCTTTCATGCATAGACACACAAAAAAATTCGCATTCGAAGCCCGAAATTGGTATCAAAGTGGGGATTAGGCAAATCTAGCCTTGCCCCTATGCTTGGCCTTTCCGTCCCCGATTTGCTTTGGTCGTTTGCCTAAAGGATCATTCATGCGGGATGTTCCATTTCGGTGCCTCCCGAGCAAGGCCCGCCCTGCCTGGGTGCGAAGTGGGAGCGTGGCAAGAGTTTCAATTGCTTTGATCGGAACACTTATAATTTTGATCATTAAGACGAAGGGGATCGAGATAGACCACGCAATCCAAGCCGTAAGAATGTGGCCAAGAGAATTATTTCGATTGTCTTGTGCGGATGATGCTGCTGCGGCAGCAAGGGTGAATGCATCATTGAGGCGACGATCGAGATAGGCGAGCCGCTCTTCCGTTTGTGCAGATTGCAAGGCTTCTTTGCGCTCGTATCGTCTGACAGCACCTAATTCGCGCATTTGGTGTTAGCAATCACAGCAGGCGCTTCGCGGCTCCGGTCGGGCAAACTTACGGTTCAAGGCATCCAAGTCTGGCTGAATACCCTTCTTTACGTTTCCCAGCATCTCATCCTCGGTATTAACAGCGGCCATGAGTGTTTGGACCTGTAATGAGAGCTCCTCAACCTTCAACGACATCTCCGTTAGTTTTGAAGGAGGAGGCTGGTATTTGGCACTCTGTAGTTCCTTAGTCCGGCTTCGGATCATCTTGATGACATGGGCTGAGGGCCGTATCTCTGCCCCCAAGACAAATACAGTAATGTTGAATGTCGATAGGAGGGACTCCCCGGGTCGCGAAAGCTGGGATCGTATGGCGTGAAGCAGCCATGCTCCAAGTAATGGGCCTAGAAAGCAACATAACAATGCAACTCTGCGGTTTCTCTCTAGCTCCAGAGTCGCATCGTAGGAAACGTTGTTGACTTTGTTCTTATGACCGACTCTCAAAGTAGCGTCGGAGTCGTCGCTCTTCTCTCCCTTTTCGTCTTCCTCCGAGAAGACGGCATGAGACTGAACAAGATCCAAAGCAATGTTTTGCGATTCATGATACCAGTCCCTATAATAGATGCCTGTAAGCACTACCACTACCCGAATCATGTTTTCCCTCTTGTGTAATTACATACCATGGAAACTTGATTAACCAATGCAGAAAAGTTGCTGCAAGAAATAATAGTATAACATCCGCCACGAAGTGCGTGCCATTTGTGAAGAATAAGCCGGATACCGCCGGTAGAATGGCCATAGCCAACGGTATATTGTTCCAGTTAACATTCTCCTTCGCAGCCGGTGCTAGGATCTCGCTCTGAACGTCCTGAATTGTTTCATACACCGAGCTCCTCCTCCGAATTCCTGTAGCAATAGGTATCGAATCTGGGTCTGGAGATAGCCGCGCCGGTAATCCTGTCGACATTGAGATTGCCGGTTTTCCCTTCCGTGCTGCCATAGGGTCCATTATTGTGTATGTTTCAGCCAACCGGTATATCCGTTTAGAAAGCTTGATACCAAGGCAATTGCAAACTACGGGCCTGCTATCAATCTAGATGACAGAGGACCAAAAGATTCTGCAGTTCAGGAGCATCTATTAGTAATTTAAACGTCCGATGGATCTCGTGGTCTTATGCATGAGCAAAGTGTAACACGGACTCACCTACGTTACATGGTTCAGAACGACAGGAAGAATGGTTTCTCAGTTCCAACAAACGGATTCAGAGAAGACTGTGCAGGAACGCGACCAAGAATTTGAAAATGCGATTCAAAGAGAAGAGGTAGTGCGTCGACTTGCGATCGATTCAAATTTCCCGAGTGGCTACCGGCCGCCATCAATGACGTTTTGCTTGCCGAGGACATGGGATGGTGGCAACAAAATCCGGGGTCAGCCTAGAAGTCTGGGCAACACATTCAACCATCGTTCTACCGCTTGCAAACATTTAGGTGCAGGGCAGGAATTCTCAAAAATCGAGATGTAAATGCGTTCAGACATCGTGGTGGATGGATTCAAAGAGGCTCTTGGAAGCGGTATGTGTCTGATTCTTAACTACTTCGATCAAGCTATTCCCGTTCATATGCTTTTGGTGGCTAATTAGCGGTGTGGCGTTTAGGGCGGTGCAGCCGAATCTGGTTATTACCTGTGGCGAGTACCAACTTGATGGTGTGTATGCATATGGTCATAGCATGACTTACAATATTGTCTCCGACATTCGACGAGAGAGGTATCGGACTTCACCACTTTTGCATGTCTTCGGATCGGGCGTCTCCTGTGGAACTTAGACCCACTATAACTGCCGATACCCCGACCCTTCTGTCGATCGGAATGCAAAAGAAAAGAAAAAAAAACCTTGGATGTACTCGTCAGCCCTTCACCAGGGTCTCTAAGTTTTGATACACTGGCACGGCATCAAGCTTGATCATGTACAGGTACTTCCTTTCCTCCAGATCATCAAGTATCGCATCGTATCTTATTGCAGCACGCTAACTATCTTAAGGTCGCGTATGACTTGAATCTATGTAGGAGATGTAGTGAGGAAAGCCCCGGAAAATCTATCTTAGTGCCCCTCACCGGCTCAAGCATTGACAATCGAATTTAGTGAAGATCGGGTACGCCAGCTCTTCCGCCCTGGACTTTGAGGAACAGACCTCGTTAGTCCAGAGGCTAACTCAGTCAGGTCAACAAATATCTCAGCAGCCTAGTCCAAGGGAGGTATTCTCGGGCGAGAATCTGAGAGGGCGGACGGGGAAACATTAGATGTTCATTCTGTGCATTTGGACCAACCTCTCCAAATCTAATGATATGATGCAAATGTCAGGTTGCCCTACGCCAAAGTTTGGTTCGATCCTAAAGCCCGATGGGGTTCCAAGCCTGCATGTGGATCCAAGCTTGATACATTCCTTTGCAACGATCGCCGAGGTATTGATATCGAATCTCTTGAAAGGATCTTACTCTGTGTAACTTGGCTAGTGCTATCGAAGTTAGGGGACTAATTAACCCTTGTTTCATGAACAACACTGTAGCAAGCTAGCTAAAGCTTACTCTGAGATATATCACGATATATCGATATCATGCTATCGCCCCAACTATCGAGACCCGAATGCGAATGTTCCCAGAAACACAAAATGCACAATGTCGCTTGTTCTCGGTTACAGCTGGCTAAAAGGCACTGTTCTACCATTTTCAAGCAAATTTAATGCAAGGTAGACCCATCTTCGCATTTATTTGCATGATGCATCGTCAGACATCACATACGAGAGCCCCAAACAATGTATGCCAATTTTGAAGAGGGTGTGGTCATGCTCCTAGGATAGGCCATGCCGAGGGAATGAGGGATTACTGTGGTCGATTCGTCGTTTGCCAGAGCTCGCTGCAGGCAAGCCACCAGGCATTCTTGAAAGAACCGGAAACGAATTGACGTCCCCACAAGCCCTCGCACTCGCCGTAATAACGTTTTCTCGAAGCTAGAGAACCACCAAAGGGGGTACACCTGATGATCAACAAGCACAATTACCATGGCTAAAAACCCCCTCATCTTGGGGTGAGCGTAAGTAATTGCAAGCGATACAAATGTCGTCCTCTAATTAATCCCTGGCGAGACGCCAAACTGTGCGCAGGAGTTCAATCTTGAACAGGAGGGGTTTACCGCCAAAAACGCCCCGTGTATTCTTGGCATTGATTGGCGAAACTTCACGGATCAGAGAGCTGTGCCGTTTGGTCGTACAAAGGCCTATCGAAGAATGGAAACGAAAAACGCCATTTGTGTTTGGGGTTGGTTGCATTCAACGGATGGATGGGGCTATTAGTCCCAATTTCCACACCACTTCTGCCTTAGTTCGAATATTAAAGAGTGTGTGAGATATACTTACAGAATATCTCCATATTACCGACAAGGGTGCTAGATATATTTCTACGCAGGGAGTTTCTCGGGCTTTTTCATGCCACTCCATTCTTAACATTCGAGCACGCTTTCCTCATGCCCGACCGGTCGAGAACTCTTCGTTTTTGGCAATTCGACCGGCTATCACACACTCCGAGCTGAGATTACCACGCGAAACTTCGATTCGTTTTGAAGATGCAAGTTGGGTGTCCTTATGTGTGAACGCACTGACTTCCTTAAACCAAAGCCACCAACATGCAAAATACGAGAACCAAACAACCATTTCCTCGGAACCACCCGCCAACAATAACTACTAGCCCCAGGCTAAACTACTCGTCATAGCTTTCTACGCTTGATAGGTCTAGCTCCTAAAACAAACCAATACCGAGACGACACGGGATGAAAATAGCTACAGAATTAAGCTCCAACAAGCCCATCCGCGGAACAGCTCTTAAGCACTTGAGAGCGAAGAGAAGCTTCGCCTATTTGCTCCTCTCTCCCCAGTCCCGTTAGCCGCCAAGCCCCCTCATAGTCCCCACTGGCGAAGCTTAGCCAAGATAAAATAAGAATCTGGGGAAGAGTTAACTCGTTTGGTGAGGTGACAGACAGACAGAAGGGGATAGGTTAGCGATCTAATCTTTTCTTTTTCCCTCTTCTCTGGAATATTTGCTGTTTCACATGCGATTTCTTTTCGCAGCTTTCCCGCTAGTATTTTGATCATAGATGGCCACGACTGATTGGCTTGATCGAGCTCTCGAAAAGAGACAACAGTGTAAGTTTGTCGAAAATACATTTACATCACTCATGATATGCGTGTGCAGAAAGAAAGAAAGAAAGAAAAATTACTTGAAACTATCAGAAATCTTGAAGGGGAAACATCGTTGCATACGTAAATGCAATAAAGAAGGTTGGATAGGTACTTGACTTTTGCGGATGCGGGTATCTTTCAAACTTCACACCAAGAAAGAAACAATAAAAGAAGAAAAAAAAGGCAAGAAACGAGGACGTCAATGGACTTCAGGGATCAATTGAATTACATTCTTCTGCTTTATCCCTCAAATCCACCACATTGTTTAGTACTAATAGATAGTCCCCTTTTGACATTACACACCCCTCAAAAAAAATCCAAAGGCGGGTTGCAAACGATTAACGAAACCTTTACGGGAGGGTGTGAAAAAAAGCTGGGGTACATGTACGTTTGTCAGGCCGTGCACGCATGCATCGTATGTATGCACTCAACGAAGTACTTACCTATGTATGTACCATCGCAGTACCAGATCAACCAATTGAGAAGCCTTGTAGGATAGCTGGCGAGGAGGCACATTTAGATAAGCTAGTAAGGTAGTAAGGTGGTTGTGCAGGATCAAGAAGACGTCAATCAGCCTTTTTGTTTCCTCTTTGTCGTAGGGAAGGCAAGGCAGGCTCATCAGGACCCTTCGATGATTTTCAGTCTTTTTTTCTTCTTCTTTGATTCGAGCTGCAGGTTTTACTCTTTTCTCAGGCTCGTCTTTTGGAATGGTCACACAAAAAGTTTATACTGGCTAGCATCAGGGATCTTGTAGAATCTATCGAAAATCAAAACTGGAATTTGAATTAGCTTTTAGGTTATTTGCTGTTTCAATATCAACATCAGTGAAAACATTGAAAGCGAAAAAGTCAACAAAATCAGCGAGTTAGTAATCAAAGTAGCGGTTCAAAAAAATAAAAAGGAAAGAGTAAAGAGGAAAAAGAAACGAAAAGAGGGACAAGAAATCAAAAAGAATAGCAAGAGGAAGAAGAAGAAGAAGAAAATCTGCCGCCAAAGGATAGCTAGCCCCAGTCTTTTTTTTGTCTTCCACAAGCAAGCCTTCATGAGCAAAATAGTCTTCCTCGTGTGAAGTTAACCATATAATTTACAAATTGTATAGGAATACTTAAGTAATTTAATCACTACCCCCGTTTCCAAAGTCCAGCCCTGAACACCCCAAAAATCGCTAGAAAAGACCCCGTGAACCAAAGAAACAGGGCAAGGAAAAAAGACAGACAGGAGCTTGAGCTGTATATGCCAGTACTCAGGCGGTACTAGGTAAAAAAAGCTAAACATGGGCGATTTTGCAAACAGAAAGTCATTATAGTGAAGAACGTCAGCTAGCAGTGCAGATACCGTGCAAGCTTCGAAGTGTGGATTGAAACCAGAAACCCAATTAAAGCAGTGCTCAAAACATAGGATTATTTTCGAACTCAAAGCAATCAGCCAGTGTGGCGTCGTTAAGGATAAGTCGTAAAATGATAGATGAAGGGGGTGGAAATTTAAAGAAACTTGAAAGGAAATAATTGGAAAGCTCAAAATCGTCAAGGCTAAAAGTGCGGAATAAAATATAGGGAATTATTAAGCATGGCGATAGTAAAAAAAAAACCCGCAGGGTAACCTCTCCATAATGATACATATGAAGTATGTCATAAGCCATGTGAAAGAAAAAAGATTAGACGCCGTATGTGTTGGTACCTTCCGCCATAGCGATATCTCGCATTCCGTGGTCGGGGTAGAATTGAGATGGAGGGCCAGGAGGATAACTCTGAATTGACTGAGTATCATCTAATGCGAACCCAGAGTAGGCATCCCCGCTAAAAGTGGGTTGGAAAATATTAGTAGGAACAACCGGGCTGGGGTAATATTCCTCCATTGTGATGTCACCCGGGGAAGGAATTGGGTAAGGAAGTTGATCAAAACCGCTGTTATATTGGTATAATCCAGGGGTAGGATCGGCGTGCGTCGTAGCCAAAAGGTTGACAGCATGTCTAGGGGATTGATTGGTCCCATAAGGGGATAGGGAAGTTGGGCTGGGGGTGAAATCAAAGACGTGAGTTGCAACATCTGTAATACTGGGGCTTGAATGGACGCTCGGGTTGATGAATTGTGCCCCGGGTGTGCCGACGGTACCCAGACGATCTCTACCAAAACGACCGGAAGTATGCTGCGGGTACGGGACACTATTAGATCGGTGTTGAGAGCCAATATTAGGGATGTCACTCGGGTTAGCCGCACCAATGACCCCGGTAGATTGCCGTCGTATATACGATTCCTGGGAGCCATGGACCTGGGAAACACCGTGTCCAGGGAACACCGAGTTATCTGGTGCCAAGTCTGATCTTTGGACCAGTACCCCATCCGCAGTTTCCTGGTCTTCTTCCTTCTTGAAGAAACTGACAAGGCTGGACTCGGGTTCCATTATGGAGCTAAACACCGGATCCCCGATTTCTGTCTTCGTCAGGTCTCGTTTCTGTTTATCCTTAGGAGGAAGGGGGTTTTTCGGCAGCGTATTTTTCGGTACTCTCTTCTTTCTTCTCTTATTGCCTTTGATGAAGGGTTTAACGAAGCGGATATGGTCGCGATCTTTGATTTGAGACGGTTAGCACCAGGTACTCGATAAAATTGAAGTGTAACAAACCTAAATTCCCATCCTTCAGCCTGAGTTCCAAATCCACCACATCATACATCTCAGCAAGAATTTCCTTTTTGGTGGCTCGTAGTGGGGCATCATCAGTTGAAGCCCTTAGTTGACAAATCGGGGCGATCCCATTTCTAACAATGTTAAGCAAAACATCGAGTCGGTCTGCCGGAGGGAATCAACGTTAGACGGTGTCGCAATCGAAGCTTTTGTTTACGGGTAGGGAATACACACCTTCTTTGAGAAGATGATCTGGTTCTTTATGTGGAGCACCTTCCGGCCACCACCATGGCTTAGTAGAATCGCCCCCATTATACGGGCTATGCGCCTGCTTTTTAGGTTCTATAACCTTGATCCAGCATTTCGCAATGGTCTTACAATCCAGTTGCTGGATTTGTAAGAATTTGTTATATATGTATTTATTAACAGCCTCCTCGTCTCCTATGCGTAACGGCTCAAGTTGCAACTCTTCCTCCTCGCTCTCCTCGTCGTCATCGTCGTTGTCGTTAAGGTCCCCCTCCCCGTCCTGCATCATGTCAATTGTTGTCCAATCGGACTCCACTTGGATACCTTCGGGAGTATCGGCTTCTTTTTTGATCTTCGTCGAATTAGGAGCCGATTTGATACCGGCCGTACTGTTCTTTCTCTGCCGCGGCTTTCTTGGAGTAAATGTTGTGGTATCTATAGAGGTCTCCTGCGAAGGTGCCGATGCTCTTCGCTTTTTCCTCGGTCTTATGGTTGATAAAGGAGATGGCGAATCCTCTTCATCGGCTAGTATCGCTATGGTGGGCAGCTCATCTTCCTCTGACGGTGCTGGGGGAGAAATTATTTGGCTAGCCGCGCTTGAAGCTGCAGCTGCAGCTGCAGCATTTGCGGCGGCCTTTTTCGCGCTGATCTTACTAGAAACCGGTAGTGATATTGAGATATGTGACCGCTTTCTGGCAGGCAAAGTTTCTACTGCAGCACGGGCATCCTTGTGGACATCCTCGTCGTACCATTTGTCGGCGTACGGTTTGAGGATATCCGACGCGTGGATGCTTATCTTCCCGTCGGGCGTGACAGCAAGGATAGAAAATGACGTCCCCGCAGGGAAGTTATTCCGCAGGGTCGAAAGAACCTAATTAGAAGTAAACCGTCAATTACTTAGCTCCCGTTAAAGCGTCATGATATTGCGCACGCCCTCAAGCGAGCTGATAAAGAATAAATGGGCCAGGTTACGTCATCCTTTCGATGTGATAAGATATGGGATTCATTGAAAAGAAGGATAAAAGGTTGTGTGTGTATACCTGTGGAGTATTGTCTCGAGTGACCATTGTGTCGGAAACAGATTTAAAAACAAGGTATTCGGTATACGGAGGAAAATAGTTTGAGCGGAAAGCTTGTAAAGATCGGGGTCTAGTGATATGGTCGACTATAAGAGATGGGGCGACCGGCCGTTGAGCAATCAAAGATGCATGAAGAGATGTGATCCGAGAACTATATTTATCCTACAGGATCATTTCGTGATGCTGATTCGTGGATATACGCGGGGTGCCTCTACGAGGGTCTTGAGGTGGTAAGAACGAAAAGAAAAGAACAAAAAGAACGAACGACTTTTGCAGATAGCAAGCTCGAGCTGGGTGATTGCCTTGAAGCCGGAAGGAACACTCTATTTGCTTTTCCGAGTTTGCCGTATTATTCAACCATGCTCGTGAACGGACTACTGCATTTATTGCTTGCCTTGATGTTTCGTCAGTAGCTATCCGCCTGAGGACAAACTGAGGTCTTCGAGTCGGTGACTGAATCTCAGAACAAGAACGATGATGCAAAGATGTATGAATGGGGAAACCAAAAGAATGGATGTGGGTTTATTTGCAAACTCAACCAGGCGAGCAAGCGGGCAATAGATAAATGATCAAAGGCACTCCACTTTTTCGTCTGGGTGGCCGTTCTGTTCTTATTGCCTGTGTGTCTCCATCTTGAAGCAAGCATGCAAGGGTGGCCACCGATTGAAGGGGCTGCATGCCCGGCTCAACTGGTGGAGTGGTACTTGTACTTGTACTCGATACTTGTACTATGTAAGTACGGTTCAAATTCGGCGTGGGTCTTCGATCTCATGCACCGTCAGCCCGTAAGTTCCCTTGCCCATATTTGCTTTTCAAATTTATTTTATTTTTTTTTGAAAAAGAAAAGCGTCTGCCCGAACAACAACGAAGAAGAAGACTCCACAAAGCACAGGATAGCTGCATCACTGAAGAAAGGCGATATTAGTTCGAGGAGAATCTTAGGCTAAGGACTGTACTCCTATTGCAAAATTCCTTTAGATTTCTCAGTCGAAGGATTCGAGGCTATCAGCTCGCCAGACTGATTCTTCTCGTTTGCGCGTTGAAGGCTGCGCTGCCTTTCGTCTTCGGAAACTAGTTAGCCACCGAAACAGCTAGCTTGCGGGAGGGAAATTCGGGCTCGGGTCGCCGCCTATCAACCAACTGGATCCCTGTGTTGGGACGAGATGTCAACTCGTAGCTCCATTCAGTACCCGTCTTGGCTGTACGTACACTTAAACGTCTGTAGCGGCTTGAAATTAAGAGGGTTTACGACTATCGTTGTGTTATTTGGGGACCTTCATCGCCTGCCTTGCGACTCAGTGAGTTCTCGCAGGCGTTTCTGATCTCTGCGTATATTTCGTCGTGAATTGCTATACGCAAATTTCACTTATGTGGATATTGGGAGGGAAATGAACAGTTGGCCCAACCTAGCTTCCAGCCGGGGCTCGGCCCACCCCGGTTAGTTTGTTGGTTGGATGGATGGAATCAGGGGAGGCCATGCAGACCCCCTTGGCCAGCATCTGGGGCCATTGCGCTATCAAGTCGTCTATTCCTAACTAGAAGCTCAGTCTAAACAAAGCATCGTGCAATAACGTTAGGTTTCAAACCGAGGGCCACTAGCTTTCACAACGAAGCTTTTGTTTCCGGCGGAGGGCTACAGTAGTTGGTGCTTGTATTGTCGACTAGATGCCTCGCCTGTACCTGTTGATGCACTTGCTAGATTTTTCTTCGAGTGTTAGTGTTTAGCTTGACAAATGCGTCATCTCTTGCGGTGTGCGGAGCAACGATTGAATTGTGCCGTGAACCAAAGCAATAGCCTCACTCCTTTATGGTTACACAGACGAGTCGCTTGGCTAATGCATGGCCATATGGGAAGTGATAGGCTTGCTCACCAGCATGCTGCATGGTGCTTTCACGATGCATCGAAATCTTCCTCACACGCTCTCCAGCCTCTAGCTGAAACTTCTTCCGTTATTTCGGTCTCCTATGATTTTCAAGGGGCAGGCGGACAGATATTGAACTATCGGTCGCCTCGCGTCTTAGACAGCCTCCCGACGGCTGAGACCTAGTTGATGAGCTAGCCGATAGCGTAGCAGGAAAGACTCTCAAGCGAAACCTTCGTCGACGGTAGCGAAGTGAAACGCTACCCAGAAACGGATATCTCGCCTTCTAGCTCTACATAGGAGGGCTGAGAGGGATTTTCTTCAAGCTCTGGCTTCATCTTGGGCCGTGCTGGAACATGGAGGCACAGAGTTTTGCATAAAGCACAAGAGTTCACACGTCGTCGACAGGCAACTTGAATCCTGGACCGATGCCTGAGCTTGAGACATCCAGTGAGCATTTTAAACCGATATTAGGCCAGGGCGATGGATATATGTGCCTTTCCAGTACCGATAGTGTCTGGATCTCTGAATGGGGTAGCGATGAGCAAGGGCAGCAATTGCAAACCAGGATTACGGAAAGCATGGCTCGCATAGCTGACATATTGGTGTTTCCCTCCATCCACCATCTCCGGAGCATTGAGAGACTTGTGCCGACTCATCTGCAAGCCATTGCGCCATGAAGGCTTTTTCTTCATCGAGAAAGACGGCAAGCCTAACCCCTCAAAACCCACAAACTGCGAGTTCAGCCTGCCTGGTAATATTCCCATAAGAGCGAGAGGCACAGACTCCAGACAAACCGGCTTACCGGGCTTGTCAGGAAAAAACAAATTGCTCCGCCAGCGATCGATTTGTATTGCAGTGCCATTTTACCCCGGATTTTGGGCTTGGGCTTGGTGCCGTCAAGTGACTGAGGATAAGTCTGGAGCAATAAAAGCCGGTACTATAATCGATTAGTATTGTAAAGACCAGACAGTTATGCCGCGGGCCAGGATTTCACGCATAACTAAATGTAGATGTTGTGGACCACCCCCTGGCCCGGAGCTAGAGGAACTATACCTTGGAGCTTGCACGCGAGGAAATTTTTCAGGAGGGTTGAGTCGACAATTACTCGATGTTGTTTCCAAAGCAGAGGCAGCGGGAATATGTGCGCAACGTCACCAACTGTGGTCTCATATCTCGTACTCAACACTTTCCGTGGAATTGACTTTTCTATAACAATCGATGCACTCAGAATCCCACTTAATTACTACTCTGTACGGCCTGCACAGTCACTCCATGCAAGGTGACCGTTATTAATAGCCTCCGGAAAACTTTTCGGCCCCCCTTCAAGACGGCAAGATCCATGAGCACTGACCTCCCAACTTGTCAGTTCATGTAGCCATTGCGTCTAATGCGAAGAGCGTGTACGAATCAGCATTTGCTACGTAACTTACTAAGTATGTAGTACCACCTCAAGCCTCCTCGAGCCCTACAACATGCAACAGAATTGACAGCAAATATCTGGAACGTAGACTTGATGTATCAAGATACAGTTTCCAAATCGGAGCTTTCCTAGGCCTCCGGAGGACTCACTCATACAGCTGCAAGGAACAACCGAATCGCTATGTTCGAACATGTGTGTACCTACTTGGAAGGCTCCGCTGCACATGTGGTATGCGGCCAATGTACTACCAATGTAACACCTTTTCAGACCACCCTCCTTTTTCAAGCTCGGGGTTTGTATTATATATCACGATGCACCTCATGACACCGCATGCTTAGGCTAGAAGGCTGACGACGTCTGTCAAGAACCGGTTACACACGGATCTGTGCAATACGAAGAGAATATCGGCAATTCTACGGGCTCAGAATCCTTGAAGAATTGAAACTAGCAAGAAGTACCATGATACTAGGACCCAAGAATCGGGAGATGTAATAAACTAAGAGTTGAAGCTAAAGAAAAGTCTTTAGAAAGAAGTTAAGGGGGACCAAGCTCATGCATCGTGCTGATATTGATAGTATAGTGAGTATGCAAGTAAGAGGTATGTACTTACATCGTTCCGCGATTGCGATATATTCATCGATACCTTGCATACTAAAAAAAAAAAACATTTTAGTCACCAAAGGCCCTACACTTTGTTCTAGAAAGCAGCCAATAAGGTCTAAGAGGTCGTGTTTCATGTTGTATTTGGACACTTGATCCATGCCCTCGGTGTCTATCGTGGCACCTGATATCGCAAACCAGTTCCCCACTTAGGTATTCCCCCATTTACCATTGCATTTCGCCATTTTCTCCCTGTAAATGCCTTTCCAGTTTTCAACATGTGAAACTCATGTGTCTGCATGTACTAACGCTAAAGTGTTACCTACCAGCTTGCTTCACGGATGAAGTATCGACAACTATTTTAACCTTTACATGTACATGTGTATGTACTTACACGTGGGTTTGAGGCTCCATCGAAAGTCTTCAGATATGATAACTCTATTACAATTTGTTAGTCTAGGAACAAGATGATAAGTAGCATTTGAGTAACATGTTGCAGCGGTGGATGACAGGACCTGACCACCCTATCGATCCCTTTGCAAGAAAGCAGACATACGGCAACATTCGACTCGGGAAACCTGAGGGGAAGTGTCAAACAAAAGCACCAAGTTGCAAACTGTTTCGGCCGAGTACATCGGTTTCAAAATCAGGGTGTAAGTTACATACCATCTGCGCCTCAAAAGATACATAATATTTTATCCCGCTTGGTAGCCGCACTCGATTGTGCTGTGGGCCTCGCATCATACCCTCATTATCATTCAAGCCAATCTGTGTATGTGACCCAAACTGAAGCGATGCACATGCATTTTGCAATCTTACATTTGCCTTCCCTTTTGATGCTTATTGCTTTCGTTTTATCAACTGAAGTCGCAGTCGGGGTCTTCGGAGTGAATCATGATGGTGGTGGGCTAATATGATACCCTTTATCATCCGAAAATTTTCGACAATGCGGTGCGCACAATTAATGGTGGTAAGTGAATGCAGCCTATAATATCAGCTATTATACGTTGGGAGGGACCTGGCACAGGTATTTGTAGTATCTGCGAGCTGGGCCAATTCTCTGCTTCTTCTTTCAATAGTTGCGCCACCTAGGCAAGAAATTAACTGTATTTCGCTAACCAAACTGACTTCCATATCAAGTACCAGTCAATATACCTTATAGTTTATCACAGAAATTTTGAAGGGGGGAAAAAAGAAAAAGGAGGCGAAACAGGTAAAGCCCGATCTTCGATCATGCTTCCATGAGAAATGAAATGTTTAACATATTACCATATGTATAGCATGCTGTTGTATGTTCGCGTTGAAAATCACTGTATTACATAGCAAGTGGATGATGGTGCCCTAGTATCGCTACCAACGGGATCCTTGCTTGTCTCGTTTTAACCGTGTCCCACAGTCCGTTATCGCTTGGAGCTGCTTTGCTGATTGATAGCTGACAGTATTGCACGTCCTAACTAAGTATATAACAACCTCACATAATAAAGGAAACCACGATGCCGAGAAAGCCGTATGGGCTACATGGCTGACTCTATGCGAGGAAATCGCCGTATTGGCTTCGGCAGATAGTCGGCACCTTTGACCCTTCTTCAGTTCATTTGATAGTTTGCGAGCCGTCATGCCCTTGCTTACCAGCGCTTACACAACCCATGCAAGTCAACTAGCCGGCGCGGTAGTTCTTCCTTTGCCGTAGGTACTTTCTCGTTTGCTCTCTTGCCTAAATATCTTGATGACCGATGAATAGATCGGAATTTTAACGAAATTTCGCAGACATTGAAAGAAACCATTTTCTGGCCCGCTCCCTGGACGGAGGAAGTCCGTAAATCCTTATGCTTGAACCCGTCTCCGGAAACCCTCCTGAGGCCATGGTCACGGCGCTGCATATGCGTGGCGTTTCAAAAAGCTCCCATGCAGTGTCGATCACCCGCTAGTGCTATCAATGACCCTGAAGTTCGTGATGGGGAAGCTATTGTCGACGGCATGTCCGGCCGGCAAATCCCTGGCCTTAGGTTTGATTGGCAATGTACCTATGCTGTCCATACGTGCATGGACACCTTCAACTCGGCCTTCGAGGATACTCTATCTCCGCCTTTGATGCTAACTCCTCTACAATGTGATTGCAAAGCTTACGGCTAGAAGAACAAAAATTGGTCTGTCCACAAAACCCACGGCCGGAAAATAGATATTGTCTATGGACGGAACCGTCCCGTCCCAATGAAAACCATGGATGACGTTGCCAAGGTGGCGTGCCAAGCTTACGTGGTCGGGTTTTGCAGATGGACTCGATGGAACATCTTCAATAAAAGCCTCATGCGGGTCTCCGAGCCAAGTCGTTAATTGTATTCGCGATAAAGTCGAAAGCACCTCCACTTGGACTTCAATTAGCCCGGAAATATCAGGATCATTCTGAACTGATGAGTTTTTTCTCATCCCTTTGCCCCTTGCTCCGATGTTGTTTCTCGTCTACTGATCCCCTTGCCTCTGGTGGTCCCCATCCATTTAGGTTACCGGGTGTCGACGCCACTTGGTCCCGCCCTGAGTAAAGGTGCTTCCCGCTTCACCGACAATAAAGTGTCGAACCTTACCTATTACTGTTAGTCTTCACTCGGGGAAGCTGGGTAGAATTACTAGCTTCTTGCTAGACTTTCCTTGTGGACCTTGATCGTCTGATATCCATTCGACTCCCACATTGGCTGGTCTTCAGCCTTAGCTTTAACCCACTGGGCAACGTCTACACCTTCGCTGTCCAATCTCCAAAAATGCAAAGTAATCCAACGCCATTTGAATTGGGCGTAATGACATACTCTGGTACCTCCACAACCAGCATGCTGCGAGCACGACATGCCGGATTTCCTTTATAATGAAGTGTTTTATGAAGGCTCTTCTCGGTTAACAGCTCAAGTCAGGGTCCCATGCATTATTTCGTATGAGGGGTCCAATTGAAGAATACTAATCGTCTGATTCAGCTGCAGCGACTCCTTTGACCCCAAACAAACACTGGCTCGTATTTCTCTCTCAGGTTTGTGGGCACCATTCTAGCCAAACTTAGAGCCTCACTCTCGGCCTGATATATCGATGCATTATCTAACCTCATCATTGCTGATGCAGCCCCCCAAGGCGGCTATCCAGCCTAACCTCTGTGTACCCAATGCCAGAGCGTTGACTGCTGCAAAACGCCACGGGCTGGGATAAGCTAACTTACATGCATCGTGATACGAGAGCAAGCGTCGTTATCTGGCTGACAAAGCCATAAATTGAATAATAATTGTAATAATAAAACAGGCTGGTTTTCATAATCATTCTGGAATCGTCGCATCGTATTCGTCCAGTGACCTTGAATCCCCCAAGCCCATCAAACAGAAACGGCTAGGCCTAATCAATGGCGCACGGCATAGACTGCAAACTGGACGTCAGAATTGCGGCACAGCAATTGCAACCTGCCGCGCTCTGTTTTAACACGAATTGGCATTTCTTGAATCCCACAAGAACATAGCAATATGATTCGATTCGCAATTTTGGATTTCTCGATCAAGCTAGCCAGCTAGCCAGTTCTAGGCTTCTATGACTTGAAAACGGGTAATCGCCGCGCCCCTCAGCCACCACAAACCACGACTATTAATTCTCATAAGCACTACTGCGAGAGATCAAAAGCGTCGAGCTCGAGCGCTCTCACTTCTAGTCATGCTATCCGTGTTCTTCTCAAACTTTCCCAAGTGTTTCCGGAGTTATATACGTATTACACTCAAGGAAACCCTTGAATAATCCGGGGTATTCTAAACTCCAAGGCCCGAATAGACTTGATGATCCAATCATGTAATTCCAGAACATCATGATCCTAACGAGCATCTCCAGCTCGCAATCTTCAAATGCAACGTTTATCCGGTCGTGCATCTATACAACATCGAAGACCCCCCTACCCCTTCACCAAATGCCCAGAAAGTATCTGGTACTTTCATCCTTAACATCAAGATACATATCTCCTCTTCCCGTCCCGTCTATAGCTCTACTAAGCATCAACCACACGTATCCACACATTGCATATATAGCACATACCACACTTCCAATCCCCCCTAGCCAGCTTATCTAACATCCATCCCAAGAAAAAATCAAAAGGAAAAATCCAAGAAGAAAAGAAAATCACAAAGGAAAAATCCGAAACAAAATCTTGCAAAATCCCACAAGCATAAGACGAAACCCGCCTCGAATCGTACTCGCTTCGTGTCCTATTGCATATTCCCTGACTTTTCCCTTCCCACCCAAGGAGAAGAAAAACGTCCGCGAGCTCTCCCATACATACATTAACGTCGTACTATAGGTATGGTTTCCCAGCATGCAATAACACGTACGCCTACATCACAGACGCACGTAAAAGAAAAGAAAAATGTGATTCTGGGCTATCCTACGTCCCATGCCCAAAAGCCTGGCCCTCACCTCGTGTTGTTCCTGCCGTTGCTGACATGCAATAGTAATATCGAGTTGCAGCTTATATTCTGGGGCAATTAATCTAAACCTAGCTAGAACCTGGCACAAAACTATACCTAAGGAACCCACCCAGGCTAGAAAGGAAGGCTGGAGATTCCGATGCGCTGGTCCTATGTATGTACATACATATATGTACATATGTATTGTGTATGTATGGATCCTATCCTAACTATAGTACTATAGCCTATCTTAACAAGAAAAACCTGGAAGCATATGCCTATCACATCGAGCTACAGGAACAAGGATAAAACAGCCTTGTCGGTGAATTCAACTTCGACCCTCCATTACCGAAATATTCGAGGGCCACTGCAGGGTCCCCACCTTATCGACTGATAGAAATCAATTCTATGTCCTGCGCATGTTATGCAATCTGGTTATTCAATGCCTAAGAATAAATACACCAAGGCGTTTTTTACGAGAACAATGGTATCGAATTCGGTGTTCATACGAATGCTGGACACTACATACGTCAAAAAGATCCAAGGGTTTACATGAGTTTCCCGTTTCCCGTTTCCCGTCTCTCCATGCCTTGTAAACTCAGACTTGCCAGCTTATAAGGTGCTGGTATATGGGAATAATATATGCCGACGAAAATGCCGCAGAGCTCTTTTTACAATTAATTCCATCGTAGCCACCATACCTGCTTTACTTATTGCCACAATTCTAATATAGCTATATCAAAGGTTCTTGATCAATGAGGAAAATACAAATCTTTTGATTTCTGATACCTAATGCAATAAAATCCATATGTCTTTCTTTTAAATACCAAATTATCATCCAATGACTATATTAGTACATATCCCTCTTCATAATAAACGTACACACCATGTCACAAATGCACACACATATGCAATATCTTAGCAAATATCACACCATCATCATCACCTCGAATTCCTTCCCCTATACCTCCTTGTTTGTTAGAATGACCTTTCCTATCTTTTCCACTGCCCCATAACTCTCCGAAATATAGAAACACCCCAGGAGCTCGGCTAGAAGAGCCAAGAATGCCCCCCAGATCTCGCTGCACTACCCCCTGCGCATGGCTCCCCCTCCTAGCATCTTCAATCTTTCGAGGCAGCGGTCGTCGGCTTGCCATCTACACCTGCCGTCGTTGCAGTTGTTCCGGTGGCAGCAGCAGTTGCGTTCGCAGCTGCAATATTTTCTTCCAACAATCCAGCTTCCTTTACGAGTCCGTGGAAAAGGCTATCAGTTCCCTTTGCTAAAAGTGCTGCTGGTGTATCAAATTCTGCTACACGACCGGCGTCGAGAACGATGATGCGGTCGCTATCTAGGATAGTATCTGTAATTTCATACCAGATGACCATTAGCACTCCGCGTAACTAGTGATTACCAATACCATATAAATTTGCTAGGCAGCAAGGGTGCGATGATTATGTATGGCTCATGGCACACGTCATGAGGAGTTCACACTCCACAAAAGCTTAACAAGGGATGCAAACGGTAAAACTTACTTATCCGATGCGCAATTGTAATCATTGTCTTATCACGGAACTCCTCTCGAATGGTTTTTTGAAGGACCTATAAAATAGTAAAGAGGGAGTCGAAACGTCAGCGCGAAGGAAACTTTTCACATGCGACAAATGCCGAGAGATGAAGCGGCAGGGAGCATCAGGCAGTGAAACAGCTGTCAAGATTTCATGGGGAATGTCAACTTACTGCATCAGTCTCCACATCAACGGCAGCGGTGGCTAATATCGGGAAATTAAAATGAGGACGTTAGCAAATCTCGATGCTGACAATTCAGAGCGACCTCCACCCTTGTAAGTTGCAACTTAAAGCTCTCAACACCATATCCTTGACAGCTTCCAGAAGTGGGGACAACCATGGTCGAGCGCGAAACCACAATCCTGGTTTCGAACTTTAACGTATGTCGGACTTGTTCGGAGCAACATATCCAATTCAGGATTTTTTGACTCTTTTACGCTGTCTATCATACGACATCGGTCCGAATACCGACCCACACTCGCACAAAGAGAATGTAGACAAACAAGGAATATCCTCACCTTCATCCAACACCAATATATTTGACGGTGTCAACAGTGCCCGAGCAAGACACATCAACTGTCTCTGACCCGCACTCAAATTCGTTCCTCCCTCGTTGATCTTTGCATCTAACTTGCCTTCCATCTTGCTAACGTGCTCCTTCAAGTGCGACAGTTCCAACACCCCCCAGAGCTCTGTATCGTCCCTCGCCCCAGCTGGATCCAAGTTTTCACGCACACTCATATCGAACAAGGCTGCATCTTGCGGAATAATTGCTAACCGTTTCCTCAAATCAAGAAGCCCGATGAGAGAGGTATCTACATCGTCAATTTCAATGTGTCCTTGAACCGCTTCGATAATCCTGAACAATGCGAGCGTAAGCGATGACTTGCCCGCACCTGTTCGTCCAACAACTCCAATCTTCTCCTTGGGTTTAATATCGAGATTGATATCTTTAAGCACTAATTCCAGTCCCTCCCTGTATCTTGTTGAGAAGTTCTTGAATTGCACACCACCTCTCGGAGGCCAATTTACGGAGGGTCGGTTTCGCTTGACCACCTCTTCAGCTTCAGGTTTAAGTCTCGCATACTCGAGGATTCTCTCAACGCTGACGATGTTTGTCTCCACCTCCACCGTTTGTCTAACAACCCAGTTCAAGCTCTGCGTAATTTGAAGAGCATAACTCATGGACAAACCGACCATACCGGCGCTCAATTCGGACCCGCTGGCGACGGCGGCGACTGCAAGGATCGCAGCCCCGAGAATGATAACAGACCCAATAAATTCCAGTCTAACGGCTAGCCAACGGTTGGCGCTAATAGATGGGAAATAGGCTCTTAGATTCCCATCGACGAGCATCTCGTTCTCATGCCAGAATCTATCCTGTTGTTGATAGGCTCTAATCGTTGCAAGGCCTCCAAGGGACTCTTGAAAGTGTGCGAAAATAGGGCTTCTGGATGTAGAATCCAATCTCTTCAATTCTCGCGAGGTGCTTAGATAATATCGTTGAATGTAGAAATAGAGCATCAAAAGCGGGACAATCAGTGCAATGAAGGCTGGAGTGCCCCAGGAGATGAGGAGAAAAGTAAATGCGCAGCGTGCGGCGTTCGAGAATAGCTGGTTGAAGGTACGAGCTAGTAGTTCATCGACCTTGTAAACATCACCAGAGAAGCGGTTAAGGATCCGTCCTGTCGGCGTAGTTTCGAAGAAGGACATTGGACTACGGAAAATGGCTGTTGCCATACGCTGATGCAGTTTCCGTGCCGCCTATACGGGACACATAATTAGTATCGTCAATTTTAAACCGTAGTTTGGCGAGCGTGTAGAACCAACCTCGATAGAGCAGAATATCCACAATATCAACGTTTGAATAGCTACTAAAGCGGAGGCCCCAAAGCCGATTGCAAAGTAAAACCCAACCCACATCCCAACGTTTTCATTTGTTTGGTGCTTGTCATTGTATTCTGACCACTTCTTCAACCAGACACTGCTTCCCAACTGCCCTACCAATGCTCCGATCAATGCAATCACATAGATCGAGAAAGCAAGCCAATTGGATGCTCGCGCATATTCTTTGTAGACATCCCAGCTAACTTTACCCTTTTCTTGATGTTCCTTGTTCTTGTTGTCTTCGCCATCATCATCGTTGATAATGCGACGTTTCCTATGGCTAGCAACACTAGCGCGGCGTAGAGTTCCAGAACTAAACGTGCGACTCTTCTTTTTCTGAACGTTACTAGGTCCAGTAGCGGGTAATCCGCCGACCTTGTCGAGTTGTTCTTCGTCGTCAGAAGCGTTTGCAGAAGTGTCAGTATTCACCGGCGTGAGAGTTTCGTCGCTATTAGAGTTTTCGTCTGTATTTTCCCGAATTGTCTTGAGAAGGTTGTAAATATCCCTTTTGGCGGTCATAACACCTTGGTACGTGCCGTGTTCATCGACTTCACCATCTTTTAACATGGTAATGTAATCAGCGACCATGAGGATCGGGATTTGGTTCGTTGCCATAACACGGGTCTTGGTACAAAGTAGGCCGTTGGGTCCGAGCACTTCATTGATGAGATGACGTCCGACATGTTGATCGACTGCTGATAGGCAGTCATCGAGGAGGTAGACGTCTGCTCGTGCATAAACTGCTCGTGCAAGTGTCAACCGCGCCTTTTGGCCACCAGATAGAGAAATACCCTTTTCGCCAACCTCTGTTCTGTCACCAGCGGGCAGGACGGCAAGGTCATCGACAAGAGCGCAAGCCTTGATAACTTGAAGATAGAAATCCTCATCCCATTTGTGGCCAAACAAAATGTTGTCTTTGATTGTACCATTCATAACCCAAGACTGCTGCGCTACATAAGCCACACCGCCCCTGACCATAACAGTTCCATTCTTCTTCCAAAGGTCGCCGAGAATTGCTGAGAGAAGCGAAGACTTTCCCTGCCCAACTCGCCCAACGATGCAAGAGAGCTCCCCTTTCTTCGCCACAAAATCAATATTCTTGAGGGCATCTTTATCGTCTGTCCAGTCTCTGTTCCATGTAAACCGCCCGTTTACAATTTTGACAGTGACATCTCCCTGGTGGGTTGCCGGTGGCTCTCTTGTCACTGCGTCCGGTTGCACTTCCTCAGCCGTGAGGAAGGAGGACAAGCGATCGACCGCCACCGTAGCTTCGACGATCATGGAAATGACCATTGGCAACATTGCCAAAGGGAATGTTAACAAGTTGAAAAGGGTCAAGGCCGGGAACACAATCTCGGTGGTCAATGGCTTATTGCTAGTTAATGCAAACGTTGTGAAAGTCACGCATGAAACTAAGAATGGCGAAGTATTCCACGTAAAATTAGCAAAGGCTTGAGTGACACCCATCTTTCGAAGAGTCCCAAGCTCCTTGTTTCGAATATCCGTGAGCCGCGCCATGAAAGCTGCCCCCCAGGCATAAAGCTTGATACTCTTCATATTGTTGACGATTTCTGCAACAAGGCGAGTTCTTGAGTCCTTGTTCTTCATTTGTGCGACTTGGAATTTCTTCATAAGTCGGGCAATTAGCCAATTCACGGGTACCATAATGACCATTACTGCAATACCGGCAAACATGCTATACCCGACGAGATCATAGAGGGAGATCATACAGACTATGATCTGGAAGGGAGATGACCAGATGTTCTGTCCATATTGTGCCAAAAACTCTAGACGGGACGTATCCACCGCCATAAGATTGACAATCTCGCCAGTGGTACGTGCTGCTCGACCCTCATTTGAGAGGCGTAGGGATTTTTGGTAAATTTGGGACGAAAGACCAGCACGTACTCGCATACCGATTTCGAAGGTACGCTGGAAGTATTGATGCAATGCTGTAGTTTGCATTACGGAAGCTAGGAACATGGCGAACCCGATTAATAGGCCACGAGTCACACGCTGTGGATCCTTGGTCTCGTAGGATTGTATGAAGCTTATGAGAAGCCGGAGGAGTTGGGGCTGCACGAAAGCAAGGATATCATGGACGATTTTGAAAAGACCGGCGAAGCCAAAGGGAAACCCATATCCCCGAGCCATTGCTAACCAGAGAGAAGGCTTCTTTTTCAAGAGTTCTTTCTCCCACGAGTCCACAAGGATGTATCCGTTTGTTTTAGCAGAATCCTCCTTTCGCATGTCCCAGAGGTCTTTAGCCTCCAGGTAATTTTTGTAACCCTTTTGCATCAGAGGCGTCATCCACCCAAAGGTCAGGATTGTGAAGATATTTGATTCCGCGATCGGGCAGTTGAGTTCATCGTCCATGATCGCCTCGTATGGTGACTTGGGCTTCGGTCCTAGCCACTCAAGGAGGAATACTATCGCGATAAGACCAAAGGAAACCCCAAAGACAATGAAAAGAGGGAGGTGTGTTTCATATTCGCGGGTTTCGATGTAGTTTTGCATCCGTACGCCATAAAGAAGGATGTAAAATAGCCAAAAGAAGAGTAGGACGCCGCTTGAAACTGGTTTTCTGAAATGTTCGAAGTGGTGGATCGCGAAAGCGATGGCGATTGCAGCAAGACTGAGGAGGGAAGTATAGAAACTGATATCTACAGCCCAACCCTCAACATATTCAATTGTAAGGGCGGCCTGGGCAATCGTCGAGAGAAAAAGAAGACCAACAAGAATCTAAAATCCTAGTTAGTACCATCTACTACTAAGACTTCAGCGGAAAAAACAAAGTGACATCATACCAGCTTAAACCAATAATTCCAGTTCCTCCTCACAGGCAACGAGCTTGTCTTCGACATGGAATATAACTCATAAAGCCCGAGAATGATCATTCCAAAATTAACCCCATCTATCACCGATTCGATGAAGCAAGTTGTGAGATAACTTCCGAAAGGGCCCAGAGGGCCCCAGCCGTCGGGATCCGAACACCAGAATCCTCCATCCTTCCCCATCGTCGCCGAAGGCAGACGCGATTCCGCCGGTGTTGATTATGAATGTATCTGCAAGGCTGAGGTATAATCGTGACTTCTATTTGTGTTTACAGCTGTATGCACGAAAGATGGAATCTTCAAAAGGTCTAAGATGCGTCTAGGGCCGTCGCTTGAAATCTTGGAAAGCAAGCGAGGCAAGAACGGTTCTCACGAATAAAAGCGAAGGTAAGAAATGGACGAAAAAAAGACGTAGCGTTGTCAGCGAGAATTTATGGAGCTCGAGACTGGGCTTGGTGTTTGGGGTCGAAGTGCCGGATGCCTGCAGGGTGGAATCTTGATTAATAAGGCGGCTTGTGCTGGATCGGAGCAATTTGGGTACCGATGCCCCTGCTTTTGACCAATTGTAGGTGCCATCACACTGCTTCCGGTAACCAGGAGCATTGGGCTGGTATGTATGAGTCGTACATGCAGCACAATCAGGGCAATCTCGGCCTTGGTGGTGAAGTTTACGATAGAAGCCGGTAGACGGAGGGCCACGAGACTAGATTTATGAAATAAGTAAGTATCTAGCTCCGAAGTGTCATAGTCTCGGGATAATTTTGAATTTGGAGATAGCAATAGAACTTCTTCCGTTGTAGCTTATCAACGCAAAGGCTGGTTGGTTGCCCAGAGGATCCACGCAGACATTGCGTTGATGCACGCCAAGCCGGATCCTGGTCGTAGCCAATCTGTCTCAGGAATTCTCAGGACCGAACAGCGACCTCTCCAGACTTCGACACCATCGACTTCTCCATTTCGCGGGACGGACGTGTTTTTTCCATCGAATAAGCCTCTTAATAGTAAACAAAACAGTATTTTATTGTTTCTTAATATCGGAATCTATCTATCTATCGAATTAGCTACCATGTCCTCCGCGAATCCCGATTACAAGTGGCGGCCAGTCCCAACCAACCATTTTCGTTACTTGAGGGCCTGCATGGTCTGCGCCGTTGTTCTCACTCTCGATGTACGGCCTAAGATTCTATTTGTTCCCCATGAAGTATGCTGTTTGGAGTCTAATAGATCTTATGACACTACATAGGAGTTCACAAGAAAGGGGTGTCCTAACTGCCACCCTGTTCTCGACTACACTACTGGTTCCGACCTCGCTCAAATGTGCACGTCTCCGATATATGAAGGCTGCATTAGTATCGACAAGCCAACTGAGAGCTGGATTGCAAAGTGGCTGAGACTGGATAAATACGTCCCGGGCGTCTACGCGACAAAAGTTGTCGGTGATGTATGATATGTTCCCTTTTAATGAAGAATATCTCCATCAAAAACGTGACAAAGCTAATCTGGCATATAGCTCCCTGAGGACGCCATGGATTATCTCAATGCCGAGAACATCGAATACATCCCCCGCGATGGTAGCGAAAATAATCTGGAGTAAGAGCCTAGTCTGAAACGCGGTGCTGTCCCAAAGAAACGGTCAAATAACGGCTTTGAACCCCAACCACCTGGTACAAATAAGCCTCCAAAACGGGAAACTAGGTCTTCCAAATGGCGAAAGAGGACGTGAAGAGAATGGTGGATAACAACATAACTACTTCTGCCAGAGCAGTGTCAAGCATTGGGGAACTAGCCCCTCCCGAAAAGGAATGCTAGATCAACCAAAAGATAAAGATTTACCCAATATCCTCACGATGTAATCAAGGGAGGCTCTTGAATTGCTGTAACATTCTACACCTTGATACTTATATCGATACGTATCGGGAAGGATAAACTAGGGAAGCAGATTTGGCCGTTAGGAACGGGAACCATCTATTTACCCAGCTCCCCAACGGCCATTTCTTCATAATAATGCATAACGAGGCTGGCAGCTTAATTGCATAGAATTTACAAGGAAGGCGTTCAGTGTATTTTTTGGTTGCAATTCTTAGCGTTCCTATCTATTCATCTTTCATCTTTTGTAGAATATATTTATTCAGACTAATACAGTATTCACACGCCCCTCTGACGTCTGGGAACCAAAAGAGACCAAGATTCACCGACTATACATTATTTTTCTCTTCTTGAAGATGAAGGGTCGAGAATATCCCGCAAGCTAGGCTGATTGACTCAGCAGCTTAAAACTGCTCTTCTTACAGTAGAGCCTTTTAGCTAATGTAGTGCCTCCAGACCAGCTCACGGTATGAGGTCAGGGAAAGTGCTTTCTCACTTTCTATTCATGTTGGTGTTTGCGCTACCACCGTTTCAGATTGTGCTTCGGAAATGGGATTTCGTGCCACATATTGCTATTCAAGCCACACTTGGCATTCGCCGAGACAGCAGAGATGTGGCTTGAATAGTGGTAAATTACCACACCACAACACATTTCGAGAACCTTAGCTGTGGCTTGAATAGATTGAACAACACCACACCAACTATCGCGACCCTCGCTCTTCCCCTCCAACCACACCACATTTACCAGTCATCGAATGACATTATTTAAAGCCCATTAGGTTCCATGGATCCTGGCAGCCCCCGAAAGCGCTCTTAGGACGTCTTCGCGGCTGTGTATTATGGTTTGGATAATTTGACATGCCCCGGCTCCTTGTTTTCACTCTTCCTCGTCTACTCGATACCATCTGCGAATTGTTAGAGTCTCACTTATTCCACATATCAATCATCACCTTTACAATCGTCATAGAAATTCTCATCGCCCTTCGAGACTCACATAAAGCCAAAACATCACCTTCTCCAATACCAAATCAATTCTCAGAGCAACTATCCTTTGTCATCACGAACTTTGACAAATATCTCATCATCAACTTAGACGAAAAGATGTCCGCCGAATACGGTTTCTTCGTTTTTTGTTCCATCACAGCCATCATAGGTCTCGTGGTTCCTTTCATCTGGCAGATTCGTCGTGAAAATGTCGCTGCTGCTCTCCTCTGCTTCTGGCTTCAAACCGACCTTTTATTTTGTCTTACGGATGCCATCATCTGGCCGACATGGAAATCCGTCATAACCGGCTGGCAAGGTCGCGGATATTGCGACTTTGTAATCAAATGGAAACTCGCCGCCGAGTTCGGTGCAATTAACGCCGCCGTTATGTGCATCATGCTCACAATATGCAGACTATTCTGGGGTCTGTCGATGTATCGCGAAACGAAAAAGATGAAACGGCAAAGAATGATGTACGAGTGGGGTCTTGTTGGGCTATTCCCCATCCTTCTCGCTGGGCTGCATTATGTAGTCCAACCAAGTCGGTACTATCTCACACCTGTGTTTGGGTGTCATCCACCGATCGATAATTCATGGCTTTCTTTGATCATCCTCGGGTGGCCCCTTCTACTCTCGACCGCCGCTCTTGGATTCACAAGTTCGTAGATCCGTTTTCATTTTTGATCGAAGCACTCAGGATATGTTCTAACCCTCAAAAATTGGATCTAGTCGTCGCATTCTACAAAATCAACAAACATTTGGCGGAACGCACAGTAATCGACATATTCCGATCCGATTCTTCCCTTGACACCTCCTTCCAGCGTCTCTACCTCATAGGTGCCTTATTCACCCTGATCTACTACCCTACAAACATCTACGGCTTCGTTCAATTCTGCCTCTCCCCAATGCTACCTTACGATTGGGACGCCGTTCACGCAGACTGGTGGGACACAATCTACAAATTTCCGGACAACCCACATTTCCAGTACCAACGGTGGATCAAAGTAGTGGCAAGCTGGATTCTTGGAATAGTCTTCGGCTTTGGCCCTGAAGCGGAGAAGATTTACTGGGACATTTGCTGTTTATTCCACATACAGCGGGAAGTACAACAGTGTGTTTGGGCGTACAAGCGTTTCAAACAGAAAGTCAAATTCATCTGGATCCCGAAGATCACACCAAAATGGCTTGCAGACTGGCAGGAGAAACGAAGAAAGAGCCGCGAAAGCCGACAGCTTCAAGGAGGTCAACTTGCATTAGGTGGACACGTTAGTAGACCCGTGAAGCGTGGCCTTATTGCCACATGGCTTAGATGGTGTCGTGATAAAATGTTCGGCGGAAAAAAACGAGGGTCTATTCGGCTCGAGAATGAAAGTGATCCTAGTTCCCAAGATAAATCTACAAAATTTGGCGATATCAGCACCGGGGAAATTACGGACGGAATCAGCGAAAAAGCCCTTGCTCAACAATATCAGCATCCATTTAGAGTCCGTATACGGAACCTAGCGAACTGCGTTGGATACCCAAAGATTTCCATTAGCTGGATGCGTAGCCCGTAAGTTCTATATTCTTTCCGAATCATCTCTAGAAGCCTAATTAAATTTGTCTTAGTATCGCTCGCTATAACAGATCCCCTGGCCCGTCTATGTACCGTATCCCGACCTTACAACCTTGCGGCAACTTTTTTGAAACGTTCGACGCCACTAGCCTTGAAGGAATAGCACAACAGGCCGCCCTCCAAGCTGCCGTTGATGGCCGCCTCCATAGATACAGCACATCAGAAAGTTCAACCATTCTTGCCCCAGGTGCTGCATGCTGTGGTTGTTGTGGTAGTAAACACAGAGTAGGAAGCACAGATGGAGGTAGCAGTAAAGATGTTCCTATGGAGAGAACACAATTAAAACCTTACGTTATTGTACCGCCCGATCGACCACTGGGGGATGTTATCAAATATGCAAAGGACAAGAAAAAAGCGGCGGAGGACGAAATACTAAGAAAGCTAAGGGAAGACCCCCTCGGAGAAAAGGCAGAGGAGGAAGAAAGGTTAAGGAAATTGAGAGAGGATCCATTAGGGGAGAAAGCAGAAGAAGAAGAAAGGCTACAGAAGGAGAGGGAAGATCCGCCGAAGGAGGACTACAAACCCCCAGAGATTCCCAAGAAAAAGAAATGGTGGGAGTGGTGAACTTATTCCTAGAGTAAAATGAGTCGGAAACTGGGGGCTGGGAGGGCGGGAGGGCTTTATTTCTGATAGGTTCTTTGTTCACTACTGCTTACCCTTTGATTTTCAAGATTTAGGCGTACTTGTTACTACTACTGAGATGAAGTACCCTATACAGTTCCTGTTAATAGTATGAAAGAACTTATGCTTGGGAACTATGCATGGCCGTAGCCCATGCTGGTTTTTGGGAGCACTTTGTATTTGATGTTGTAGTGATAGTTTTATTTCGTCCTGAATACCAGAATCTCCACTTTTTCTATCATCTAGGGACCATTACGATAGCAATATTGTAATTGATTGCCTCTTCTTTTCGAGATCATTACTCTGATTTGTACTAAATATGCTTCAGATTTAAATTCATGAAACCGACATCTACGCGCGTAGCTAAATTCGCGTATTCAATCAATTGCAATATATTCGTAGTTTCATACATATGTACATATGATCATATGAGAGCTTAATTAGCACACGAAATTACATATTAAGATTTAATAATAACCATATAAGCATGTGCACTGGTACTATCGCTTGAAAATATGTAACTTCATGAATTAAACTTCCCTTTCTCATTAATCAAATGTTAAATACATCCAATAGAAAGTCGTTCAAATAGGTACACATTGATTTACTAAGAATTTATAAAGCCCCAGAAGATGAGCCCTTGAAAATAAAAAAGACAATCTCTAAACCCTTGAAAGCAAATTCCGGGTAATGTAACTAAAAAGCAACCCATTGATATATACGCCGAGTGCGAAAGATTGTTTCAAAATTTCCTACTTGCTGACGTCTTTCAAAGGCTGAATTGCTAACTGAATCAATACACATACATATACATCCGTTATCAAAAGGTGTAAAAGAGGGCACATAACTATATGGTCGTCAGGAAGTCATTCTGGATAATGTTATTCAGTTACCCAAAAATATTTTCAAATCTTGCCCAGCGCAGGGTACTAGTTTATCTCAACTATCGAATAGGAACTCGGATCTGACGAGGCAATATGCACGCCAGAAGCCCAGTTTAAGGTGGCAATAACATGGATATAATTTATCGATGTATATACGGGATAGAGAATCACAGCAGTTACGAGGCTGAATTTGCGGTAGTGTCCATGGAAATAACTTCTCCACTTCGATATACGTATTCATGAGACGGGACGGGTCCTCCCCGGTGCCTGGCGCCCTCTAAAATTCTGAAAATTTCCATATTTTGATTCGATACCATCCATTCATCCAACCCTGGTAGTAACTTTGTGGGGCAACTGCGGGGGGTATCTGAATGTATTCTCAACGTTTTCTGTGTCTCTTTGCATTTGGTGGCGTGAATTTTAAACAAGATGCACCCGTTTTATGCAGAGCGGCATGAATGTAGCCCGCTTCTTGTTTGAGCGGCATCAAATTTTTATGTTTGCTTGTAGCTATCTTAGTCTCGAGGCCAGCCGCTTGCCTGCCGAGTGAAACTCTTTGCATGAGATCTCGAAACCGGGAAACTTGGTACTTGGTCAATCTTCCATAAGTTTCCATGGGGGCCGATAGTCTTTACCCATATGCCCCACAGAATGTCTTTCATTTACGTCGCCCTTGGAAAATTTTCCTGTCCCTTCATACTTGTAAATTTTCCCGGTAGCCGGTAGAAGTTTATTGTAAAAAAGGAAATCGTATAGTACAAGATTTACAATTGGCTTTGGATATCCGCCAAAGCAAGTTATGGTATTCCAGAGCGACCCGACTATATATTCAGGGTTCTATAGATGATGGTACCATACAACTGAACCGAAGACCCCTAGGAATCTTTGCATTGGTTGTCGAAGGATTTCTTTCTACAAAAGTTTTTCGGTCTCATTAAAGCCAGTTGCATATGCACATGTAATAGTAAGTGAAAATATACGCACCTGAACGGTAATTTCCTTACTCGGTCACACAGAGCAAATTATTCTCCAATAAGAGCCCCAGTCTGGTCACTACCTGCATACAGAGTATAAAAAACATTGATAATCACAAATCAGGAAATATAACTTCTCATGGGGTTTATCCGGTGGTTGGGGTTCGAAAGATGGTTATCTCGAGCGAGATTCCTGTTCTGAGACGATCGGCTTCGAATTTCTCATTAAGTCACTCCAGCGGCAGGCCTTATCCCGAATTCGTGTTTGGATAATACTATTCGTGCGCAGTTCGGGCGCGGAGTCGCAATCGATATAGGGCCATAACTGTTGCAGGGCTGCAAATCACCAATACAAGACCCTTTTTGGAATAAGCGAGTGTAGTGTTGCATTTTTTGGTGGGAAAGTTGCAAGGCGCTTTATCAAACGGCTTTTCACCGTGGATATAGTTGTTTTTCCATGAGACTAGCTAGCTATGCCGTGCATAAGCCGTTAGACTATCCGGTGCCGGACCGTAGCTTAGCTAGCGTTACGTAGAAAATAAAACTTCATTTAGTTCATTAGTGTCAAGTTCGGGCGGGCCTACCCGAGTTACGTTATTATAACTTTAAAAAGACTTCCGGAATTCCGTCCCGTAGAGGTAGCAAATCTAAGCCTTCGAGCCTACATATCGCAGTCGGACCTAAAATCGAGTTAGTGGCTATTCTGATAGTTAGCTTGGCACGAGAAACTGCAGTTCAGACAAATATTCACGCTTAAAGATTTTTGCTTTTCGTTTCGCAGGATTAGGTATTTAGATATCTGCAAGATTTAGTCAGTGGACCCGAATAGATTGTAAACTGCCTAGTCTGAAGGCTTGTCCAGGACTGAAAATCGTAAGACGTATACGCACACAGTAAACGCGATGGGTAATTCCCAGCCTAATCAGCGGTTGGGTCGATGCTACTTTGATAGTGAATGAAAGCTCACGCAGATCCTAATGCAAGGCTGATCTATGATTGTGCTGAACATTAATAATACGAAAAGTTGAGATTAAAGTGCAGTGTCGGGTACGGCGATTTACATGCACCGGAAGGAAACCCCATACATCCCATTGGCAGGTTGTGTGTATACCAAGGAGGCAGGAGGGCAGTATTTTTATTTCACCACTATTTCAATATCGGACCCGGAATCCCATTTATTGATAATTCAGAGAGACAAAAGCTGGTAGATCAGCTAGGTCGAGAGACTCATATGGCCATTGACAGATAAAGCCTCCTCGACTAGCCACTCCAATATTGCAATCTGACTACTATATGCGTAACTAGCCTGCCAGGCCGAATAGACTTTGCACACAAGCGCAAGTTAGGGTTGAATTGATGAAATCTGATTTGTGTAGTCTTGCTCCAGACATCTAGACGCCTCGAAATTAAAATGAAAAGGGAGACATGATACACCCTGATTGCCCAAAATTTTCGGCCGGAGGCAAAATTTTCGTCTGGCCGTCCTCTCAATCACGTTAGCAACCATACCCCGAGGAATATACCGGCTACAGAAATAATTTTTGTCAAGACGCAAGATGCAAGACGGCATTTTTTCTATAGCTACGGCTGAAGAGTCGCTCGATCGATCAAGAGCTCATCACATCATCATCGGTCGATGGCCATGGCTTCGAGTTATGCAGATACCCCTCAACAATATCACCTCTCTAACTATAGCCTTCGATATCGTTGCATGAACTATTTCGGTTTTCCGGTTCGTGTCTTGTCCCGAAACCAGTCGTGCATTCTGTGGGCGGTTGCTCTATGCAATCCGACCCCGTATCTTCAGCCCCCTCATTCGATTGATATTATTCAAATTTTCTGGTGTTTTCGAAACGGCGGCTAAAAACTAAATACGTTAAAAGTCTAGAGACAATTACGAGCAAATAAAATCGTTTATCTGGATCTATCATTGGCCAATTGGCCTACCAGCCTGGTCATTGAATCTAGCTGTCCTGTCGACCCTCCTCAAGTCTACGGCGACTTGACTACGGGTCCCACTGTAGCTGAGAGTTCATTGATGCAAAAGGATAGTTGATGCATGGGCTTCCTACTTTTAAGTGATCCCCCATGTTTAAATCTTATCCCACTGTGGCATGGTACATTTACGTCGATCAATATTATCAGGACGGGTCGTATTCGGGCCTGCTGCAAACCCCCATTCGGCACAATCAGTCCTCTTCGATGCTTCATTTCCCGAGCTGAAGAAATCGAGGGGCTAGTTTTTCCATCTGAGTATCAAGGAGTTACCCTATTGATGTTGCTAACTCGGCGTAGTGAATTATAAACGGTAGTCAAATTGCAAACCGATATCGTTCGACTGGGGGCCGTTCAAAAAGTATAAATGGATGGAATTTCCCCCCAAAGACCGAGATAAAATAACCATCGCTCAGACTCATCTACAGCAACCATCTCATTATCCAAAGACAAAGCAGCTTAACTTTTATCTTCACCACGCTTTCTTATCACTTCACTTCCTCGGTTTTTATAGATCCATCTATATAACTCCAAAGTAAAATCGCCAGTATGAGTAAATATCAGCTCCGAATCATCAATAAATCTGGCGTCCCTCGCCGTTTCTTCTTCTTTACTGCCCCACCAGTTTTCTCTGGAAGCATTGCGGCGTCGGATATTTACACCAATACTTGGGTATCCGTTTATGTGGCCAACAAGTCTGCCGCTACTGTTACTACCCAATTAGACTTTTATGCTTGTATGTGAATGTGAATCCAGTTTGTTAGAAGATCTAACTTCCCTTTGGTTCCTGCTAACCCAATTTTGGGAGACAGTTTGCGGTCCCAAGACTGAGGTCAGCGGCAAAACTATTATCGAGACTGGCTCTTCTCGCGATACTCCGGCTAAACTCGGTTTAACTGGTGTTAAAGGAAGTAAGTGATCTTAAATCCAGCAAAAAAAGATTGTGTATCTATGTTGTTTTTCCCCGTTGACTAATAACATCCCTAAAATAGGTTCTTATTTGACTTATTGGGATCAGGAGAATCAGAATTTTCGCTGGGCTGATCAAGATCAAGCGAATGACGCTGCCCCCGGCTGTTATTCTATTACCACTGATCATGGATTTACTCTTAATGATAATGTGACAATTGGTTTGGCCATGATGAAACAAGGAGATGAATTCGCGACTCCCGTTACAGTTGTATGTTTTTCGGCACCCTCGGCACCCCCCCTTTTAAAGTCTCTAAAGTTATCAAAACGGATCTGACCTGACGGTTTAACAGGTTAAAGCTCAACCGGGTATGAAATATGACATTGCTCCGGTAGTTAAATTTTATGTCGCTACAGGCGATAAAAAGTTTGGCGAGCTGTTCGACTTCGTTTCTCAAAGTACCGAAAGTGGAGAGTACGATTTCTCGTCCAGTGGTGGCGGTAGTGGATATAATTCTGGCGATATTACTTACGACAACCATGGCCAATGGACCCAAACCACGTACAAAACCCAGAGCCTTATGTCCCTTTCAGGCTTTGGGGGCGACCCGTCCAAGGCTAATAGCGTGAACTGGTTGAAGGCATTTGTTAAGTTTACCAGGCCAATTCTGGAATCGCATGCCCAGAATGTCCTTTATGATGCCGCCAGACATGCTCTTTCGGAAATTCAATACAACCCCGGACCCTTGTATTTTTCGGAGGATGGAAAAACCTTAACTGTCAAATATGAATTTCCTCTCCCAGACGGAGATGATGATGATAATTACCCCCTTGTCTCCAAGCCACTCCCATGGTACCGTAAGTCAATAGGAAAGCTAATAACCCCTTTGATTCCAACCCCGCTAACATATTTTGAATATAGCGACCAAGCCTGACTCTGAAGTGTTTATTTCAATCGATGCGAGGAATGAAATCCTTCAAGTTAAATTTACGCCTTCCTGGCAAAAGATCCAGGAGCTTACGGGCGATCTTGGGAACACTTCTCTAGGTGCCCCAGCAGTCCCAAAGGCTTTGGCTAGTGCCCTCGATGACAAGATCAATGCCGTTTCGGGAGAGCTTCCAAACGGTGAAACCTGGATCATTACCGCTTAAACTCTTTCCGACAAATGATAACATACCCAAGTACTACCACATCATGGTAAACTTGGCTCACACGGTGCGATGCAGCAGCTAGGTGTTATATTTGATTTATCGTTCTCCAAATTGCAGTATTGATATTCAGGCTCCACACATTCTCTACTACTCCAGCACCCAGCAAACTAGACCAGGGTATAGCCATATGAGTCGTTCGTTAGCAATGATTTAAGTTGGCATTTGTCAGGCGAGGGTGTTGGTCCTGTCATTGGCGTTTTATCTTTCATCTTTATCGAACTTCATCAGCAAAATTTAAAGCACACTCGTACGCTTTTTGCCTTTGAATGTTTCGATTCGTTTATTCTTTCCATGTATTCAACCATTATGTAAATCGATGAAGCTAGGTAGTTAGTTAAATTGAAAACCCCTCACGCTCGTTAACACAAAAACTCTCCAGTTCCCAGACCGTGAAGTTCCCAGCTCAGTCTCGTCACCAGGCCGAAGTTTCCCATTAAAAATCCAACAAACTATGCAACGTCGGTGTGTTGTGCTGTTTGCAAATATAAATTCACCAAACTGCTTCCAAGTTCTAGACCAATATTATAATATTTCCTGATACAAGTTGCAACGTTACAATATCAAGGCATCCCGGCTTTTGGTACCCAACCTTTAAGCCTCAAGAATCATGATTACGAGTCACGACGTCGCCGAAGACCCAACTGCCTACAACTACGCGGGATAGCGGTTGCGATTCCAATCGGTTGCATACGTCGCCCAGCCTCTTTGTTACAGGGCCCACCCCTCAAGTCTCGGTTCTCCAGCGAATCACAGACGTCAAGTCCCGTCTCTTCGATGCGTTGTTTGTCGTTACACACTGCCAAAAGGGCTCAGCCGCACGGGCTTGCAAGGACCGGTTTCCCCTCATGATACAGATCTTGCAGGAAGGGATTTTGGATGCTTGATCCCGCGGTTTTGGGTGTAGCAGAAAGAAGGCTGGAAGATTTTATTTCTAGTTATGTAAGGCTCTTTTCGCACAAATAGGAAGTAGTGTTTCTTAAACTATCTTTCAATCTTCTTTGCCTTGACGTATCATCATCGAATGGCTCATTTATTGCCTCGGATTGACTGCACAGCTGAGTGTCCATACTTTCAAAATACCAAAAGATTAAGATTTCAGATGAAATCATAAGGGCAAGCCCTTCGTTGTATATTACTGCATAGTCTTGTGCCATTGGTACATACGTATACAACCAGGATGGCGCCTACGCCGGAGTCCACAGATTTCCGACACATTCTCGTACCTCGCGATTATGGAACAAGCTATTTATACTGGCTGAAATATATAATTATAGCATGCATCACAATTTTCTTCCTTGTCTTTTTCATTCGTGTCCTATATTGGTACTACATATACGACCGAGAGCAACGGCAATGGAACAGTTGGTATCATTGGAATAACAGCCAACGTGCCCAGGACGAGCGGATGCGACAATGGTCCCTCGCTCAGCAGCGGCAGCAGCAACAACATGCACGGGCTCAACAACATCAAAGAACTGCACGGCGGTCGGCACAGGCACGACAGCCGAATAGAAATACTCGACCGAATATGAGAACAGTGCCGGTTGCACACCCTCAACCCGCTATATTGCGGATGCATATTGTGACCCCGCCGCCACAGCCGCCTCCACCTCCGCCGGTGAATATGATGTTCTTGGTGGTTAATGTACCGGATACGGAGAGTAATGGGGCTCCGAGAGGAGAAACTCGTTCTCCGACGCATGCGAGTCAGTACCGTCGAGAGGGTATTACAAGGGCAAATGAAGGAAGTGAACGGGGACATCAGCGGACACCTTCAAGAGCCTCGTCAAGGAGTCAAACACGGACGGATACAAGAAGTGATCGAGAACACCAGAGGACCCCGTCGAGGACCCAGTCAAGAAACCAGTCAAGAACAGAATCAGGCATGCAGGCGATTGACGAAGCACCACCGGCTTATCGACCCTAAAAAACAGCCTCATGCAGTGCAAGATTGTTTTTCTTTATACCTTTGTCTCTTACGATTGTTTATGATACCACCTGATTTTACGTCACATATATATATTATACAGTTTTATTTTCTTTCAGAACGGACGATATTGCATTGGCTGAGTTCATTTCATACATTAAAGACATCAACAACTACTTTCGTCTAAATACTTACAAGTATGTTTTCAATTTTATTCTAAGAAATAAATAAAAATGACAAAAACAGAATCCCAGAATTAATTGGATTTCGACATCCAGAACCCAGAAGGGTGTTAAAACGCCAAAATGCTATGCACCCAACAACTTATCCCCAACCTAATCTTCTTTCCTACCTCGTCTCAGCTGCTCGTCTCAACTAGCTTAAGCGGTGGGCTTGGGTGCTACTGCCGCCAAAGTAGATATTGGCAACTCTTGCACATGGCGATTGTAGGCAACACTGAATTCCGCCGGATAGTTCAAATAATCAAAGTCTCCATTCGGATTCCCGCTCGGGTTATCATATCTCCTCACATCACGTCCCGCCCAAACGCTCCCAGCATCCACAGTATTGTTATTATTATAGATGTGCGCGATAGAAAGCCAATACCCCGGGAATGGTGGTTTATATTGGAATCCAAAGGCAACACTTGAGTCGTTACAGTATGTTGGGAACTCAGCTGTGACGATGGTGGGTAGAATTGAAAGGATCGCGCGGCAACTTGCTGCGAGGTTCTTAGAGCGATCTACTAGCTCGAAGGCGACGGTGGCGGAGATTGAATGAGGACTACCGGAGTTCCGGAACTGGGTGATTTCGAAACAACCATCGGCAGAGCGTGATTGCAAAGTTGCCTTCTCTGGTGAAGCGATTGGGGTCGCAGTTAGAGTAGAGGCAAGAGTAAGGAATGGAAGTAGGTAGGATTTCAATTGCATCTTGGGCAAATACTCGAAGAGATTAAAAGAAAATAAGACTTTGATTTGGTTATGGTTATGTAGTTTGATATGTGTCAAATTTCAAGTCGGAATTGAACTTACTTTCAAAATAACCATATGGAGGCTCAAGTTCAGGATGCATGACCCATTTTATATCTAAGTCCCCCCATATACAATCTAAACTTTACATAGATCTCGATTCACTTCCCCATGCCTAGCTTCGGCAAGACAATATAATGAACCCACCAACTATTGGGTCATAGACTTAACTACAGGGGTCTTCCTTACATTCAAGTTGCGCACGAGACCCTTCCCACTACATCCGACTGGACACAACCGACGTAAAACCCTAGAAGATCTCTCATCTGTATCACCGAACTCCGAAGATCCATCACTTCTAAGCCCTATTGCAACCTCAAAAGCTTTCCAGCGGATATAGGAGTTGACTTTTCAGTGTTAAGTGGGAAGCAGAAAAGGGGGGGAAGCTTAGTGTAGTTTGTGTAACTATATATAGAATTAACGCAACGGCGGCATGGGGAAAGAGCGTGGACTAAATCTAGTTGGTTGAAAATATGAAGATCTATTGCTCAGATGCATCCAGATGAAGATGTGATGTGCAGTGCCTTGTGGTATTTTCGGTTGCTAACGTTATTTTGCGTTGTCATACTGACGGTGCTGACGTAGCTGCGTAGGACAGGGTTTGGCATTTTAATTTACAAGTGGTCTTAAGGTTCAATGGAAGTACATGCCTCTGGCTATCATGTAGTTAGAAGTGGTCTTTTCATACAGCATCCTCCTTTGCAATCCTAGAAATGATTCGACGGGTGTGAATGATGTAAAGTTCTTGATTCTAGGGGGATTTGAAACGGAGGATTTCATAGTACTAGTTGCGCGGTAGTCTACATTCACGATGGAGTACCGGAGAGCAACCATGGCCATGGCAAAGCTTAAGAGGAATCCACGGAAGACCAAATTGGATGTGGAAGGTACTAAACCAGATTGGGTGGACATATTTTATTCAGAATACCTGGGGCTAGGTATGTATATACAACTACCCCATAAACAGCGGAATTATCCTCCCAGAGGTACAATTCCCCATAATTAAAAAAACAAAAAAAAACAATATACAGTCCCTAGCGCACCGGAATACATACAGTTCTATCAAAACATGGCCCAGAAGCGAGAGGTGTGAGAAATTAAATGGGACTGGTATTATAAAAGGTGAGAGAACCAATCATAAAAAAGAATCTTGGGGCGAGAATGTTGCTTATTAGGGTGCTGATGTCAAGGATTTTTGTCGCCATTACACGGTGGGTTGCATTATATGGCGATCGTGTCCCCCGAGGTCGCAATGCTGAAGCTTCTGGGGGCAGTAGAAATACGGGTTTTAGGACCGGTAGTAAACGCGTTGGTAGTGGAAATGATACCCAGACTAAATTCACGCGCTTTGCGCACCTTCACCTTCACCGGCTCCCTGTGGTCTACTTAATATGTTGACCGAGCCTGTAAAATCTCATACGAATCGTATTAGCCATCATTCTTCAGACCACAACTTTGATATAGGATTTAACATACGCTGCTTGACGGTGACGTGGGTGTGCTTCTTGCCATCATCAGCCTCGTATGTATTCAATTGGAGGTCGCCGTCCAGGAAGATTCTGGCTCCCTTCGTAAGTTTTTCGGGTGTTGGATATCCAAACGCGATGACCTTATGCCATTGGGTAGACTGCTTGTCGCCATAACCTATCGTGCTAGCGACCGCGTACTTGGTAACTGAGCTACCATTCGAAGCTTGTGAAATTTCTGGTTCGGTACCGATGCGACCGATGATCTGGACACGGGAGAAGTCGAGACGAGACGGTGTGGTGGAGAATTGACGAAGGGCAGAGGCGGGGTGGCGGGGTAAACGGTTGAGAGTTCGGAGAAGAGACATCTTGGGTAGGTTTGTTCGATAGGTAGAACTTATGCGACAGAGATTGAAGCAGTAGCAGCAGCGATGAGGAGGAAGGGAGCAGCCGTGGCGTTGAAAGGTTGAGATGATGTTGAGGGTTGTAGATAGAGTACCTTACGTAGCTTACAGATGAAGAGAAAAGTTTTGGCTTTTGGTTGGCCCGTCAAGGCGTGGAAAACGCCTAAAGCGGAAATTGCCATTCCCAACGCACAAATTCCAACACTCTTCGTTTAAATTATAATTGCGAGTTGGGAAGTTCGCATGCTCTCACAGGGGTAAGGAATCCATTAGATATTATGCGATTCCGAGTTTAATCATAGAATCAGAATCAGATATGCTCATTACTAAAAAGGTATAATGCTAATACATGTGGACATATATATTAATGTACATTCTTGAATCAAAACCCGCCTCTCCTCCTCCTCCTCCTCCTCCTCCTCTTTCCCAACCTAAAAGTTAAGGTGTAACTTATAGTAGGATGAAAGCTCCTCCAATGATTGTTCCAGCGACAGCAGCAATCATGCTTCGGCCGCTGATAGATCTGCTGGCCGATGATGGTTGGTCTACTGGAGCCATGTTGGTTTCGACGGCAGGCGATGTCCTAGTCGCACGGGAGACTGTCGAGGAACTTCCAATTGTGGCCTCAGTGGTTTCGGTGGCACGAGAGGTCACGGATCCTGTTTCGCTCGAAGCAGCGCTGGTTGTGGCCTCAGATTCAGTTGATTCAGCAGTGCTAGAAGCCTCGGACTCGGTTGTAGCCGAGCTGGTCTCAGGTTCGGTTGTCGAAGCGGAGCTAGCGGACTCGGTTCCAGTGCTAGTGGCAGCGGTGGAGGTCTGGGCGCTAGAGCTGACGGCAGCGGACGATACAACATTCTCGTTCTCGAAATTGAAACGATCAGAGTAATTATAGTCTGTAGGAATATTGTTGTATGTTATCCGAATGGCGTATTTGTCAGATGCGGGAATATTCTCCGGAACATTCCATGTGTAAGTACCAGTATTGGGGGTATTGCGAATGATTTCTTGTACTGGTAAAACCTGGCCTGCGGGCCCATCGACCAATGTGAGGGTGACCGAGGTTCCTTCCCGGTTCGTCCATTCGATTGTATAAGGTTCGCCGGCAGTAATCACGTCTCCTGCAATAGGGGCAGTGATAGCGTTCTTTCCTAGATCAGCGGCCAAAGTAAGTGGCAGGGCCGAAAGGAGAAGGGTAAAAAAGTATTTGAGCTGCATCTTGATCAATTGAATGAGAGTAGGTTGCTGATAACCGAATGAGTGAGGTATCAAACAGTAGCGAGCGAAAAAAAAGGGAGAGAGTTACGAAAGGGATGTTTGGAAACAAAAAAAGCGTGGATGCCCCTTAGATCTTATATAAGTCATAGAGAGCCCGCGTGACTGTTCAGCTGCTTGGATTCCTTGCAACTGTGACAGGAACATGTCAACCACGACGGCTGATCAGAGAAAATCCCAGGCGAACCCCAGGTAATCTTGTGATTGCTGGGTGTTTGGTTGCACAGCCTGGGGCTCGATCCCCGTTTGGGTTGCATGAATGTCTGGAGCATTTGCGCACTCAAGGATTGCGGCAGGGAAGTTGGCATTCTCACCCAATGAGCGTTCCCAGGGGGGAAGGTTTAATTAGTGTCAAAATGCAACACAACCAAATTTAGGAAGGAAGAATTGCGGCAAAAAAAAAATTCAAGTGACGCGTTCTATGAAACTTGTGAATAGGAGTAATGGAGCTAAGAAAGAATGGTTTGCGGATCAAAGGGAATATCGGTGTTTGCCGTCGTGGAGACCCATGGAGATGCCCGTGCAGCGATCGATCTAGACTTGGGATTCCCCAGGGGAACTGGTCTTCTGCGACCTGTTTGGATCTTGATCAGTCGGCTTGTCGCCCCAAAGCGATATGACGCTCAGTGCCCTGGAAGAATTGCTTGGAGGCCTTTGTAAATTTGGCTCTGATTCTGTGGCTTCTTTTCTCCGTTCCCTCAAGAGAATTCGAAGGCCGATGAAGACCAAAGTTGCCGAGACCAGGAGAAGAACGCCACCAACAACTGCAGGTATTAGAATCCCGTATTTTGAGGTAACAATGCCGGGCACTGATGAAGTTGTATGAGTTGTCTCGGATGTCGAAGCCGTGGTTGGACTCGCCTGGCGAGCCGTCAAATCTGAAGCCATGGTCGGCAGGTGTCAAAAGTAAAAAAATGCGCTAAACCTTCACGTCCTTGAGTAACTCGAAACGTCGACGTTAGAGGTTCCTTCTCGTCTATAGTGGCAATATTTCACCGTTTTGAAGGAGTGATGTGTTATAAATAGTATTTGGCAGTTGGTCGTAAATCGATCGAAGCAAGGAGTAACGAAGAGAATTGTACCCGAATGATCACCATATCGCATATTCAAGAAAACATTGCCAGAGATTCAAACTGGTCCTCATACATACTTAACTACCCCTCGAGGGTTATGATTGAAATGCACAAACCGTCCTGTAATTCTCCCGAGTTCGATCGACCCCACAGGTGAGCAATCGGCCAGCAAACGTGTACAGCTGCTGAACTTACATACCCCACTTAATACCATCTTTGATTAATTAGCTCCATTCGAGACGAAAATATGGTTTTGAATCTCTGCAGCTCTGTGGGTTCCGGTTCTCAGCCTTATGGGAAATAAATAGCCAAGTCCCCGTCCGCCAATGCTAAGCTTTTTAGGCCTTACTAGCTGCGGCTGAGGCATTCCTCTAGAACTCTTGCTCAGGTCCTGTGGAAATAAACCCCGTCCGATTGCGTGAATTGGAACATTGTCGGGTTGGCCAAGACGAAAAAGTCGAGTTCGGGGCTTCATTAGTGCATGCATAGAACTTCATATAGCCGACGCACATTAGCAGTAACCACAGTAAGCTTCTCTCTCTGTTTTTTAGGCCATATCGACTCCGAAAGCACCATTCGATCAAGGAACCCCAAGTTCCATACGTGTGTCGATATTTCGAAAGGTACAATAGAGGCAGGTAAGGTAGGAACACACCTCGCGCCTGGATACAAGACTACTTCCACAGACTCACAACACAACCATGTTAATTCCAACATGCAACATGATCATATGAGAGAGCTCAGGGTGGCATTAAGATACCATTATATAAACTATTCGGCTCCGTCTCGTGTAGCCACTGAGATTATAGAACTTGTGTGGTAGCTAGATTAAACCAGGATATATTAATAGTGTACGATACTTCTAGCTCGTTATATATAAAAACATAAGGATATCTTGGACCGGCTAAATGTCATGGCGCCCGGTTACAGCGCTTTAAAATACAAAGATACCTAGATAGGTATCCCATGCAATAGAAGGGTTTATTAGAATCCCAACTCCTTTACTAAATCATGTAAACCCAAAAACTCCACCGCATTTCCCCATAAGATAGCTTCCCTCTTATCTTCTGACAAGAAATCCTTTACTTGTTCATCCGTAGATACCAATTTACCTGGTAGCGGCACTTCTCCTAGCGGGAACGGGTAGTCACTGCCCATGATCACCCGTTCCGGCCCAATCTTTTTGCAAATGTACTCCAATAAATCCGGGTCATGTACCAAGCTGTCTATCCATATGTTCTTCTGCGTGGACTGAATTTGCTGTGTCGGCGATATACCCTCTGATTTATGAGCTACGAGATCTGGTCGACAATCGTACCCATGTTGAATACGTCCAAGCAAAGGGAGGTATGCGCCGCCAGCGTGTGCGAAGCAGAAACGTAACTTGGGGTGACGAACTAATAGGGCTGACGAGATGATTGCATGGAGAGCAAGGGCTGTTTCACTTGGCCTACATAAGCGTACTCATGTTAGTCCCATGGCAAATGAGCAATCCAGCGGAGAATCTTCTTGTAGGCTGCTGGCAGCCCAGTTTGCTCCGCAACTTAAGACATATTTATATCATACAACTGAAAGTTATATGTGAAGCAAGTCGAACTTACATTCCAATTAACCATGCAGACCAATACTTCTCCCACCTCTTATTCTCTTTTGCCAATTCGTATCCCAATGGATGCACAAAAACAGGCATATCAAGTTCCTCACATGCTTTCCAGAACGGTTCCAGCTCCGAGTCATCCAGCTCGCAGCCATTAATCTCTGTACCAATCTCGACTCCTCGTAGGCCTAAGCTCTTCGCGCGTTTCAATTCATCCACCGAAGCTGAAACGTCTTGTAACGGTACCGTGGCTAATCCCACGAATCGACTGGGATATCGTTGACATAATGATGCAATATGGTCGTTTAATAACCGCGCCAGTAATGTCGCGGGTTTACTCGGCTTATCATAGGAGAATAAGACTGGGATGGTGCTGAGTACTTGCATGGAAACTCCACTAGCATCCATTTCCTTTATACGGGTTTCAGGATCGAAGCAATTTGTTTCTACTGTTCGAAAAAACCGATCTCCGACATACATATCTACTTTCTTAGAACCCTGGGGCCGTAGATTGATCCATTCACTAGAATCTGACGAATCGTCGAACTTTGACATATCAGGCAATGAGGATGGCATAATATGCGTATGCATGTCGATTCGGAACGGCTTTGGCAGTGGATTAAGGCTTTTGGCTATGGAAGTTTTCTCGGACGGCCTGCTGGCATACACGGACATACAGTCGCATGTGTTGAATGTTGGTATCGCTGTTGGCCGTTCGTGAAAACACATGCTGGGCATGGGAAGACAGGGATTTGAAATAGGACGAGTCGCTGTTAAACTCATTTTGCCTGCGGTGAATTTAAAGATTCAAAGTTTCAATGGTTTCAATAGAAAATGAAAAGCGCAAGCCGATTTCATTGAAGTTCTTACGGGCTATTTAAATCCTTTTCTTTGTTAATAATTCTCCACGGGCCACCAGGCCCTTACGCACCAACATATCTTATAGCCTGGCTTTACCAACAACCAACCTATCTAACCCAAGTACCAAGCATTCAACGTTAACGCGCCAACGTTGAACATTGCATTGCATCAAAACCCGGGCACTTGAGTTCCGAGCTTGGATGTGCAGCTGCACAGCTTTACACTTTCCATATCTATACGAGATCTGCGTGGTACCACACTCTTGGGCCGACCTTACGTCGGTTTCACTAATTTGCTGTGCATTCCTCAACCGGTGTTAACCGCTTACATATTCCAGTCCTGGTTCTAATTGGTTAGTGTTTGCGGCTGGGCTGCATCATCAGGCCTTAACATGTTGGATCAATAGGAGAATTCCGATTAGTTCTTATGACAAGGTCCCAAGGTAATACTTGTCAACGAATTATCGAGAAAAGTTGATGCCCATCTCGATCGAGTATCTCACTATTACGTAAATGAAGTCTTCCCGGTTTCCTTCCAGAGCCCAGAATAACCCGAATGTATGCGGATTGTCTTCTTTGAATGCTCTTCACACATAGTCTATAACTTATAATTACCTATATAATTATATCACAAAGCTTAAAAGGCTCATGTTGGAACATGTGCGACTAACAGTAACACCAAATCTACGCAATCGAATCACAAAAATCCCCATGCAGATGGCGTTTACGAAAGAACTACGGAGCATCTGACCTCTTCGTTCCAAAGTCGTGCATGAACTCGAAACGGGCATCGTTGGGTAGTTGAGGTCCTAGCTCGAACGGCTGTGGAGTCGTGTACGGTACACGTGCGGGACCATCATTAATTAACCTAAAGCCCTCTCGTAATGAACACCCGCATTCTGCTAACACCATTTCATTAACTTGCGAATGCCAAGCATCTCGGTAGGAAAAAGTCTATATAAGCTCAGTAGATCATATTCTGTAATAGTCCTTATTTTGTGGACCGAGACCCATACTTGGTCTGAACCCCATGCATTGGGCGTCGATATTCGTAAGCCACTGGCTGGGTGAGCTAGTTAAAGGTACTTAGCTAGCTTATTCATTCAATCGCCAGCTAGCTCAGTACACGATGGCATCAACGTGAAAAGTAGCACCGAGACCTATATACGTACCTAGGTATACAACACTCTTTGCAAATTTGATAAATCGTCAGTATGCAGGTACCTAGTTAGTCCTACAGTTTTTGACGTCGAGGATAAAAGCGCTGGATCCATGGATTCGAATTTTTGTGTTGGTGTACTATACTAGTGGCGGTAGTCTAGTGTTAGTCTCGTACCCGGTCGACCCTCCTACAGAGCTGCGGAGAGTTGATTGACTGTGGAGCTCGATAGTGTACGAATTGCCTCAGTGATAAAATAAAGATTAGGTTCAATGCATCCACCTGGAAGCGAAGCCTCGAGGACTGTTGTCCGTCAAGCATCGCTAACTAAGTGGATACGTATATCCATTAGTGAATTGAGTATTACCTTGATGTATTGAAGAAATGTTAACGTCTTATCTCGGAAGTGTTCCTTCACTAGCGCTACAGCTAGTAACGTAGCTCTGGAGCTCCTAACGTCGAGCATATATAATTAGCCGGCCGCGATCGAGGGCCGGGGCGAACCGGTAAGAATAACTGCATAAAGTTAAAATAAAATATTGTAAATTGTTGGTCTACACCCAACCTAGCTTCCACGTCTATGGAACTAGTCGTCGCATTCGCTTGAAATCAGGTAATTGCTATATTCCGAGTGGGGACTTCGAAATGGCTGTCGATAAAGCTGTAGCTAGTATTTGCTGCAGTCCAATCAGTTCTGGGTTGGCCTGAGACAAATACTACGCCCCAAGCATTTAAGTTTCTAGATTCTATCCGAGCTTATCAGAGCTCTCGGAGAGAGCTGGAGAGGATTAGGTCGTAGGAATCGAGGCCACGCATGCACATGCGTTTATGATTGTCATGGATTTGTTCAGGCTGGCTAAATAATGTCGAGAAGTATTGCATCATGATGTCATGATGTTGGTTATGGCATTTGCTCCATTTCTCATTTTCGGTATTCGGTTCGCGGAATAGGACCCATTCAAGTCTAGCCTTAATAGCATTGCCGCCTAGTCTAATAAAAGCAATAGGTAAATATTCGGCTGATTAGCTCCTGGGGGAGGGGGGGGGGGGGGGGTATTAAATAGCGCAATGTGTACTTAAGTATGTATGCATATCAACGAGGCCATATGCATTTATACATGCACACCAAACAGCCCATCCTCAGACTAATCCTCGGCCTTGCCATCCCGGGACTCAAACAGATTAGCTTAGAGTGAAGCGACTCCATAGATTCCCAACGGCTCACGACGCCCACAGCGTACAGATTTATCATCGGTAAACATAATATTCAACTGGGTGGCGCTGCACTGATTTGAACTCCACGGCACCCCGGGGTTGAGATTCGCTGTTCTTAGCATGTAGTTCTTTCTTCATTTCATATGTATATATATACATCAGTTCCAAATATATTAATACTTAAATCCAACACACGGTATTGATGGCTAGCGAGATTATAAAGGATATTACTCCGCCTGTGATAGTCAAATCGAGCCCGGATAGCTCTAGGCCGCTCGTAGAACGCTGTAGAGCCGAGTACTTCTATGCGAGGGCAATCATACGTAGTGAAAGATCGATATAAATCGTCTGGATTGGTGGCTGAAATTGCGACTTGGGCTAGGGTCTCATCTATTAAAGTTCAATGAAGATGATCTCATCCAAGGGTCGACAATGGAGTAACCTACTTTACCTTTAGGAATTGGAAAACAACCTATTTAGACTGTGAACACTATATTTGTTAAGAATATTTCTGTTTTTTGGTCAATTGGGATAATGATAGACTTCGAATTAGTCTCGTATTGCAGACGCGGTGAATACACACGGACAAATATGATATCAGCGCTAAGGAAAGAAAGGACTTGAATCTGACTGAATTGGTTCCAGAAGTAAGGCCTTTCTTTGGTTTAGGATGAAGTAGAATTCGAATTTGGAACTTTCATAGTGTGTGTACACATATGTGCTCCCATCAGAATACATATATACTAGTACAGATAGACATAGGCTTGCATGCTGGTGCGTGGTGAGCTCGATATCTCAATATTTAATGAATTCCTACTCCATTGTGAGTTAAAATTCGGAACCAATAAAGATGATACCACTGCCAGGTAGCCGGAAAGCATACTTCAATCTCAGACTAAACTTCAATTAGTCTGATGGAGCTCCCTGAACTTCCCCCAGACTACTGAACTTCAATTAGCCTGGAAGTCGCTTCCTGGCGCTCGCTGGAGCTCAAGGCAGAGGTGAGCGTCCCCTAGACTAACAGAGATTTAACAAAATTGTTAACAGAATTGGTTAGCCTTTGAAACGTTGTACACGGTCCCAAACGTGGGCACCCGTTGTTAAGCCTGTGTAACGTTACCCAAATTACCACAAAATACAACACAACACTCCCTGGGTTTGGGATGGGTTCTGGCTATGTGGTGGATCTCCGGCATGGGGTTTGAGCAACAGCAATTCCTTCATATCTAAAAAAAGCGCTAAGTTTAAGAATCAGGAAGTATCATGCGAGTTTAAGAGAATGTGAATTGTTCGAAACTAAAGTGATATGGACTTGAAGCTTGAAATACAAAGTAAGAAAGGGCAATACGCAGTGAACCATGAAGGAAGCAAGGATATATCTATAGTGCATAACAAAAGGAGCGATTAACAGAAAACCCGCTAGCCTCAGAATTTAGTAGCTGAAAAGTAGAAAAAAGAAGGGAAAGCTGAAGAGAAAAAAACACAAGGCACACAACAAATATGCACTCGCTTCCTTGAAGCCCGCTCCCGTCAAATATGGCAAAATGGCGACGGCCTTGTGTTTTAGCTTTTCGCGCAGACATGCTTGCCCACTCCCCTATTTGTTTAACTTCTTCTTATATACGAACCACCCAATAATTCCAACGATGATGATGACAGGCACAAAAGGTAAAACTATATAGCCGTAAATGGGGAAACTGCGAGCTACTAGCGGACCTCTTGGTGAGAGCACGGGAGCTGTAGCTGCTTGGGACGCGGGTGACAAGCCATGACTCAAAGTTTGAGGTGTTTGAACTATGTTCGACAAAGATCTAGTGCTTGGAACTAGGGTCGTTTGGATGACGTTGTTCAGGGTGTGCGTCTGAGGGAGCTCGTGGTGGTTCTCTCTTTTAATATTGGTAAACGACGATGCGTTTCGACGACGGTATCGCGCCGCTCTGGCGGTGTAAGGGAGTACAGTGGGCGGGGTATCTTTGGAGCTAGAGGATGGGGCACCGGTGGCCGTTGCCATGATTGTAAGGAGGCCCTGGGAATCAGTTGGAACCCTGCTCATAGCGATGGTGGTATAACTGGACCTAGTTTTATCCGACTCGAGCTGTTTTGGGGGCTCTCAGTGCCGGCGGTACTTTCGTAAACTAGAGTTTGTGCAATGGCTGATCGATGTGGGATTGGCACTTTGCGAGGGTCGATTGTTGGAATGCTGTAAGGAGGTCGGAGGCCCTGAAGATCGACTATGAGCTAGGTTTGAAAATACTGATATAATCAAGGAGACGAATATATAGCAAGGTAAGATTTCTCTGCATATATATTGGGGCTTGAGGTTCGGAGAGCCTTTGATCACTGTATCTTTATAAACTGATGAGGACTCGAATCTTGAGCGATGGCGAGGATAAAGTATAGAGGACTCCATGGATCCACAGCCCTTATATATACTTCAATTGGGGCCAACTTTGTATCAGGTTGACTGAAAAAAGAGAGCGAGTTTCCATTCTTGAGGCCCAAACCCAAGAACAAACAGAAAATCTAATTCTGGATAAGATGTTTGTTTTTTCCGCCTGCTTTAGTGATCAGGTAACTTCAGTGTTTACGGCGCGGTGTGCAAACAATCGCGAGTCCCGTATCGAGGCTGGGAAATATCTTGAGCCAAGGCAACTGTGCCAATACGGATAACCACAGAATTTACACCTATTCCCGGCCTCAGAGTGATTCAAGACTGGGCCTTACTTAAACATCACATTATGCCTCAGTAAATGTCGGAGCGGAAGGCACCACAGTTTTGCAAACACCCACACTCTAATCTTAGAGGTCCTGAAAAGCATGAAACCATACATTCGATTGCTTCTCTCCGATGAGCTAATTGATGTGCTCACAGCCTTAATTACGCAATTGAAATTTATGAAATATAACTGTTTGTTTTTTATCTGTGTAATTGAAGCTAGCTGCTTGGTTAGGCCATTAACTGATCGGACATAGAATGTCATGATCATATCAGATTGAGAAATCTAGTTTCATAAAGCTTCGAAGAAAAACATGCTTGATATACGTTTCTATGGTTATGCAGGTGGTCGAAGGGGCGCCTTGCCGATACTCTAATATACAAACTATAGTATAAGATCCAAAGACAAATAAAAAAAAGCCTTGCGCCGCAATTTCGAACCCCCCGAAGCCGGGGGCACTGTAGACATGTATTATAAAAACGAACCACGTGATCATTGTATGCAGTCTGGTAGGGGGTTATCCCATTCTACTGCATAGACCCGGCCGGCGCTGACATGTTGATCACGCCATAGATGTAGTCAGGTTCGCCAGCGAACGCATACCTAAATCCATAGCCCTCACCGCCTCAAGTCCAAACGTCCTCCCCGGGCCCGCGCACTATTCTCGCTAACAAATTCTGGATCCAGTGATGGCCCTTCTCCAATAGTTACGGATTCTGATTGCTGATTCGTTTTTCTGATTCTAGTTCTTTGTTTAATAAGGAGTACCAGAAAGATCCCGATAATAATAAGAAAAAGAACTCCTATGGCTGTAGCGACAATAATGGATACGAATCCACTTGAAGGTTTGTCATGATGTATGGGTTCCCAGTATTGTAAGGTTTGAAACTGATCGATGGAAGTTTCTTTTGTGCGAGTTATGCTTGTGGGTGAGGCTGCCAGACCGCTATTTGCATTCGAGCTTGAAGGGACCATAGTGACAATGATCGAGGATTGAGGTATAACTGATGATTCATTTGTAACCGTAGTCTTACTATATATACTAGTAGACGGTGTAACAGTTACGATAGTAACTAAATGATTTCTTCGTCTACTCCGCGTTTAATATTTGTCCTAAGTTAGCGCTTGAACTCATGTATTCTTACTGAGACTTTAAGAACGAACATCTTTATAGAGCCTATACGCGCTCCGGTACCCTTAACCTTAGCAACTTGACGCTTTTGAAACAGGCTCCTCTTTGGGTTATGCATCTTCCTGCAATAAAATACAAAACCGTGAATTTGAAGAGGCCGAATATAATAGATTCGTAGGTCTAGAAGCTCTATCGAACACGCCTGTGTGTGATGGCGGATACAGCTCATAGAATGGCCTTAGCCTAGATGATAATTATAAGCCGTTTTTACTTAAGTAAATTCGAGGGGTCAAGGTATATTTAAGTCTCGAGGCTATCTATTTGTAAAATTTCTGCCCCTTCTTGACGAATTCCACCTAGCCTCGACCTTCTCCTAATATAATAGCATTTTCTTCTTACTAGATTTCGTAGCTAGAGGGATAATGGTCCTCATTTACTAAGGGAAATTCCGCACCTAACTCCTATTGGGTGCATCTACAAACCGTGTTCGAGCGTTCGAGCTCGACCTCTCCATCATGATTGCTCGTTGTTTAGAGACGCTCATCATTCCTTGTAATGATTTTCCAATAAAATCCTAGAAAATTACCCGACACATCTCCAAAAACTTAGTTAGCCTGACTCGATATACTTTTACGTGCAGCTTGTGCCGTTTTACATTCCTGGTCCCCCATTCTCCCACATGGTTTTGTCCTAAAATGGGTATCACAAACACTCTTATGCAGGGGCTCTGTTCCTTCAGCAACACTTCATTGGACCGACATCGATCGCATTAATCTTGGTTGTGTAACATATGTTAACATAATTTACCCCAGCAAACAAAAACAGATGCCGCGAAAGAAAGAAGCCTTTATAATCTCAGAATCCAGAGTTCGAATCATTTGGAGGCGAAAGAGAGCAGCCTCGGATCGACCTACAACCGCGGAGAAAAAGCAATGGCGTGTTGCGTATTAGCATATATCTTTGAGCTTACGATTCGATTCTATTCGTTGAGATACTGGTATTGGTATACGATATAGGTCTAGAGTTGTAAACCTACAACCCCGTTTGGATATACACGGGGATCTAAGGCTTGTCGTGGACACATGTGATGAAAAATATGAGGTAATCTTAGGATACAATATTCTGGCGGTCGGAGGCACTTTTAAATTTTTACTACAGAGCGCGCCGGATGGATATTATGTTAGAGAGAAAAAGTAGTTCTGCTTAAGCTTGAGGAGATATCGATTTTTCTGCCTTGGGGCCTAAGCTTTAGACTTGAAAGAAGTATTCCCATATATGCCATAGCCTAGAAATTCAAATTAAAAGATCTTGTATAGCTTAAACTCGCCGTGTGGTCGCTTAGAACCTTTTATGTCCATTATAGAAGAACGAGCTACATTATTTCAACAGTCTATTGGGGACGGCGACGTAGCTAATTTAAACGTTTGTCGTTGTAGGAGGGTACGGGGTGTACCCCCAGGCTAGGTTTTACCAATAGAATACAGGAGAGTAAAAATTCCCATAACGTTATATACCAGCGCATGCAGACGGAACATTCATGGCCATGGCCGCCGATGAATATATTTCTATGAGACCGGTATGATTCGATTTGGGCGAGTGTGCGAAACCATCTATTAACTACTAGGCGCCAGGGTATTTGGTTCGGTCCCATAGTCTAACTTCCCCTTGGCCTGGTGCTCGAGCTCCATAATAGATGTAGTATCGTCCATAACCTCGACCCTCCTCGCCCCATATGAGTTCTGTTCCGGGTCTATAGCCACGCCATTATCGTCAAGCTTCTCGCCCGGCCCGTTCGGCCCAAGGCCACCCTCCAAACCTTGCCTCTCACGGTCCCTTCTCTCTCGTCTTTTACGTATCCATTCTCTAAACTCCACGCCTTTCCTGATAGCAAAGTTGTCAAATCTCTGTTGGATACCGGTGACATTGAGAAATAGTTGAAAGATGATGTATACGACTAGGAGCCTGGCGAGCTCTCCGAACAGTATTTCCGACTTGGGCGGGCTGTCGACATCGGTGCCTGACAGGTACGACCGGGTGATCTTAGTGAATGATTGAGACCAATACGTATCAAACAAGAAGGTGTATAGTTACCAGTATCGCTCTTAGAACTATATCCTGGGTCTTTATCCAGTCCGCTCATTTTTTCTTTCTTTCTATATTTATTGTCGAAGCGCAAGCGCAAGCAAGGCTAGAAGTTCTTGCGGTAGGAACGAAAACCCCCGCCGACCGACCGATGTTCGTCTTTTTATAAAACTGAGAGGATTTCAGCCTATATTAGCGTCTCTATGTCCTTTCATGGTGCATATCAAGTTGGATCCACTGCATTTTTCTGCCGCTTTGCGCAGCATACCATGGAGTAGATTTGGTGTGTGTGTGCACGTGTGTACGTCGACACTTTTAGGCATCGAAAGTTAAATAGAGCCACTGTGGCGCCATACTTTGAGCTCTGGGCATACCGCGCCACATTATTGCGCTGCTGAATATGAGAGAGCTGATAATTATATAAACATTTGCATCCAGATACTCAAATCCGCCCTATGGGCTATATTGAATAAATATAAATTCCATACAGTTCCTCTGTCACCCCGACAGCCGATCCTCTAGTGGGCGGCATTGCATTGGCCATTGTACTAGTAGACAGGCCGCCAGCTGTTAGATGGGTACATTTGCAAGCTATTTAGTTTAAGTTAAGCGACGATTTTGTTCCAGCCTAAGCATGGGACCTATGTAGACTGCCCGCCCATTTCCTCCTTGGAAATGCTGATGCTGGGCTATAGTAATTATGTGTGTACCTCGTGTGAAATTATTGTAGGAGGTATTAACACTCCGCCGCTTTGGGCTGCTCCATAGAACATTCGTTTCTGAAAACTTCAAAACGGATAGAGGGAGGGGCATGATATAAGGCTGCAAGCCAAGCTAGGCGGGGCTGAGCTGTAGCATGTAGCTTGTGTGTAGAGTAAGCGGGGCTCAGGATCCGATTCAGTTATTGATCTCATTCCTTATCTTTCGCAACAATCGGCTGCAAATACCCAAATCACGATCGAAAGAATAATAGATATTAACTAGAAGTATGGAAACAGTAAGGAAAGATATCGAGGCTACTCAAAATCAAGCTGTTGGAGAGCTAGAAAATGACGAAAAAATCGATTCGAACCCTTCTTTTGACCCGCACCAGTATTCCAAAGGTCCTTTGAAAGAGGAATTCCCTTGAAAAATCAGAATGTTGGAGGGAAGGACGCAAGCGCTTTACAAATCGGCTCACTGATGGCAAGGAGCCCGACAAAGCCTTGATTGTAGAAATGAACAGGTTTTTCGATAAAACCCGCACGCTGCAGAAAACTATCGACCGCTGTGAAGAAATACAAGCGAATGCCGAAAAACGTTCTGATTCTGTAGGAAACTTGGTTGACGTTTTAAGCTCCTTTAAAACCATTGGCGATAATGTATTATCAAACGCACCAGACACTATTGGTGCCGTTTGGTTCGCAATCGGATTCGTTATAAAGGTAGGATAGGACTCTAGAATTACATTATTTTACTAAATGAATAGAAGCAGATCTAGTACTTACACTCCGCCTCACGACAGATTGTTGCAGATCATGGCGAGACTTGTCGGATTGTTGCCGATGTTTATAACCAAGTCTCTAAGATTGCGATAGCATCTCTTCTATATGAGGAGAGGTGTTCTCGCCTGGAATCGAGGGGTACTGGAGATGGCAACCTTGCCGCTCTGGAGAAAATAATTGTAGACAACATTGCAGCTCTCATCTGTGAAATCCTCGAGTTCTTCTGGAATACACAGCGATGGGCGGTCAAACTTCAATCTACTTCCACTGAACGTAGGTGTCTAAGAATTCAAAATCCAAATTTCCTTCAACAATACGAAGGTTGCTTATCGGAGTTCTTACTGTAGCCGGAAAGGACGATGAGCCACTCGAGCCAAAGTTGACTCGCGCCCCCACAATGCGCGTGGAGTCGGAGACGAAAGCTAAAACTAAAGGTTTGGGACACGCTATTGGGCAAAGTGTGAAAACTGCTGGTAAAAAGGCGGGCGGGGTTCTAAAAGATTCAGTTAGGACTGGAATAGACGCTGTCAAGAGCGGGAGAGACAAGATTATAGAAGCCCTGACGGGCGAGTTAAAGGAGAAGGCACAGAATATCCTCCTGCTATACGACGCCCTCCACGCTGACGGTTCAGTACACTTTGAGCAAACGGTTTGGGATAGCATGCAAAGTAAGTCGCATGAACCAATAATTTTTAATGCTCCCATCCCTAACATAATCATATATAGATATGGGTGAGGATGGTAAGAATCCGGGTGTATCTGCTCTCACCTTGTATCCCATGAACCTGATCACCGAGTTGAAACTAATACTTGTTCATTCTATGCTAGTACGAAATCATTTGAAAGATTTCAAAACAGGATTAAATAATAGTCTCCAATCTCTCGAAGGTTCGTCAACCGCTAGGCTAATGCAACCATAACCCCCGGTCTTGAGTTCTAATGCGCAGTTGAACTTCGTTTCAACTCACCTACAGATTCCATGAAAAGATTTGAAGAGAAGCAAGATATTGGCCTTGAGAACGACGTGAATATTCTGAAGGGAGTTCAGGATGTCCAGGAAGGCATCAAGATCTTACAAGATGCAAAAAAACCACAGATTTTTGAACGGTATATCAGCTGTTTTCGAAGATCCGAAGCTCATGAAAATTTGATCCAGACACTACGTACGAAAAAGGACCAGGATGGGGCAGCGAATGATCGCTCTTGGCTTCTTAAGCAAGAGGTATACAAAAATTGGAAGTCATGTTCTCCCAAATCGAGCAAGATAATATGCCTGAAAGCTGAGAGGGGACACGGAAAGACGATGACTTTACTTTCTGTGACAAGCGACCTAGAAACTTACAGCGACCTTAAACCAGACTCAACATTTGTGCTACGCTTCTTCTTTAAGTTAGGAGATAACGAGCTTCAGTCCATACTTCGAGCGTTTGAGAGCCTCTTGAGGCAGCTCCTGAGAAAATTTTCAGATGGTGAAGCCTCACAGACGCAATATGATGAAAAATTGGAACGAATATGTAAGGTTTTAGAGGAGAATGGCATCGAAAAGATCTACCAGGAAACTCAAAACATTACAATCAAAAATGACGCAGCAGTCTCCGAAGAGAACAAGAATCTGATGTTGATTGGTAAAATGATTTCACAGATATCTACAGAACTAAACCTTCGATTATACATTGTTCTAGATGCGCTAGATGAATGTCATGATTTGAAAGTCTCTAACATAGCTCGTTGTCTCAAAGATCTGGCCTACTCGGAAGCATCGAATATCTGGGTTATCGTCTCTACGAGGACCAGTTCTCAAAGCAAGACAGGTATCGAAGAAGAACTTCAGCAAAATGGTGTCGCCCTCGATCGATCTATTTTTCAACAAAACAGCCCTTCCGCGGACATTGTGACACTTTCAAACAAAGAAAACACCGAGGAACTTCAGAGATTTTTGGAACTTAAGCTCCGAGATTTAGTCAGTCGTCGAGTTAGAAACTCGACAAACGTTCCAAACATTGCTGAACCAGGGGCTGGTAATTTTACTAGCTCGGGGACAGTTAATGAAGTTATGGATAACATGGTTGCAAGTCTAGCCAAAGACATCAATAAAATCGTTCATGGCGACTTTTCATACGCAAATATGCTCATTGCAAATCTTCAGGAGCCATCTAAAAGAACCCTCAAGGCTAGAATCAAGGAACTTGAGGGTAGAGGCTTAGAGGATATGTACAAGAGAAACCTCGATGTTCTTAGTCCTGGGAAGCGTAGTCTGATTCTATTTGCTCTAAAATGGGTGGTGTGGAGTGTATCTGATATCACCGCCATCGAAATAGCAGAACATTACAAGGAAGTATATCACGAGACAGAGGAGCCGGATGGTAACTTTATACAACCTGATTACGATCCTAGCGATGACCCTGAAATCAGAGAGATAATTTCTCATCTTCGAACTGCCGGCCATGATTTCTTCAGCTTTAGCGGCGATAACGACCCCGTGACGGCGCATGCATCAGTTGGGGAATGGATACAGAAAGGTTCCAGTCGGCCCGTCAATCTGGTAGGCTCAGAAGCTTGTATTGTCAAGTCTGTAGGGGGGCGTCTAGTTTTCGAGATTGCGGTACCATGTAAGCTAGCTCCCACCAACTAACTAGTAATATCAGGCGGTTTTTTGATAATTCATGAATTCATACTTACCAATTCAGCGGAGAGTATTCCGAAGGACCATAATGAACTCTCGGAATTGATGAGTGAAGAGGCATCACACCTATCAATAGCCTCTGACATTTGTAAGAACCCAGCACCCCCCCCGGGTTTCTTTTCCTTCTCCTTATTTGAATGTCGTAATTACTAGGGGATGACAGACTCGGTTGACCGTTTTTTGTGAAAATAGTACGCGCTCTAACCAGCAAGAGTTTCCATGCTCGACACATGCCTTGGAACCCACCAAAAGAATCTGCAGAGAGATATTGGAATAAAATGTTTCCAGAATTGCAAGAGATTAAAGATTCTATAAAAGATGATAACCAGCCTAAGGGGAACCAAGGGGGCCATGGAGGCGAAAGTTCCAAGCGGCGAAGGTATGAAATACGCCATTGGCATGACCATATAAAGGCTTTGCAACAACACCAACGCGGCGATATCTTCGAGGAAGTCAAGAACTCGAAATGGGGTTCTCTAAGATCTTTACTCGAAAAGTTCATGAAACCGGATAGTTGGTGCCGTTGGTGCGTTCAGAGAAACCTATTTGACGGGCTTGGGAAGATGTCATATCTACCAAATTTCTATCAGGGGCCGATTCACGTAGCTTCCCAGTTCGGTCTTCGATTCCTTATTGCATGTATTGTTCATATTTATACTTCAAAAAAAGCAGAAGACCATCGAAACAACCCATACGAAAAAGTGGGCCCCGGACAATCTACTACGGAATCGGTTGGCGAGGGTAATGGGATTCTTGATCAGTGTGATGGTTTCGGGCTTACACCCTTGGTCCTGGCGATAAAGGACCCAAAGACCGTGGAATGTCTATTGAACGCTGGGGCAAAAGCTGACAAAATATATCACGTTATTACCGTACATACAAGCCCGGACGGTACCGATATGGCCCCGGTGGGTATCGATACGGCCCCGGCGGGCCCGGGATCCACTCCCCTAGAAACTGCGCTAGGGCTCGCTAGGCGCGCGGAGGCCACGGGCCACGTGCACATGGAGTCACTCGAAACAGTGCAGCTTCTGCTCAAATATGGGGCTAAAGATCGAATATCAGCTGTCCTGGAAGATAGTATTCCTTGGGCTATGGCGGAGGGTGAGGACTCAACGAAAGAAATAGTTACAGAACTTCAAAAGAAATATTCCGAAATTACTGCGACCGTTCTCAAAATCCACGACAATGAAAATGAGCCACTGGATATAGATGTGAAGACTCTATATTTATTTGCAATGATGGCGATAGCTGGGTTTCCTACTCAAGCGCAAGCGATCTGGGATCGTGCAGAATACCTCCTTAATCTGGGAGAAAACGTTGCCGGAATTCAGGACGCAAATGCTCTAACTCCGCTTCATATTCTTGTGCGAGCTGTCTATGACCATCCAGACTATGCAGAAACTTTCATCCCTTTGATCGAGCAGTTGGTGAAAAGAGGTGCCGATCCACTTGTGTCTTTTACTGGTTCAAAACGGGATATTCATTTTGGAAATCCCGTCCTTCTAGCGGTGCAGGCACGGAACTCGAAACTCATCGACATATTTCTCCGACAAGGAGAGGGTGCCTTCCTAAAGAAAAGTTTATCAGGGGCTTGCGTAATGCATTATTTCTTTAGGGGAGAACACAAAGCTATGTCCGAGGAGGATAGGGAGATATTCCAACTCCTTGCCAACATATCCCCAAGGTCAGAAGCACTAACCACGAATGAAGCCTATATTGACTCAAGCCCGAGACCTGTGGAAAGCTATCCGAATCGTAATGATACGACAAAAGTGCCGTATTTCATCAATGCTGAAGACAATGATAGCCGCGAACCTCTTTCTTGGGCTGTTCAATATTGCGATAAGGATGGCGTCAATCTTCTCCTCCAGAACGGGGCGGACGTAAATGACGGCGATGAACAGGGACGTACAGCGCTATACTACCTTGCCCAAAGTCCAGCAAATTTTACAGATAGTATTGCCATCCTTCAGGACCTTCATAAATTTGGAGCGGATATGAGAATTTCAACCATAAGACAAGTAACAGTGTTCGCCGAAGCAGTCTACAGGCAACCTCCGCCAGTACTTCGTGAGTTCATCAGGATACTGCCCCGGATTGGCCACGGCCAAAAGGTAGAATCAGGTTACCCACATTGTGCGCAGGAGCCTGGGGGGGTCGATAAAGATTATTTATTACAAGCTGACGATGAAGGAAGAAACTTCTTGCATTGTGCAGCAGATCGGAAGGATAGGGACAAAGTGGATATATCAGATATCTTGGAAGAGCTGATTCAGTCTCTCGCAGAAGATGTTCAAAAGAAGCTACTCTCCCAAGAAACCTCCAGCCGAGATACTCCACTCACCCTGGCCGCACACCAATTGAATTTTCCTCTTATCAATATGCTCCTGAAGTACTCGTCAGCAGAGGAACAGACACTGATAGAGCCACAGGGCTCCGGGAAAAAATCACCTTTACAAGCTATCGCAGAGAATCTTAGAAAATTAGACTACAAGATTTCCCGAGCGAACAATGATGAGGAAACTAAGGGTAAAGAAGAAAGCCTCGAGCCGAGCTCCACGAATCCTCAAAACAAAAATGAAGCCGAAAAACCCTCAGGAAAATGCTTGAACCGAATCGATTACGAAAGTACAATGATCGCTCTATTGTCAATGAGCAACAGTAACACAGAAGACAACTCAACTCTCATCCGTCTAAGGGGATTCGCCATTCAAATGTCATGGTTTCAATTCCTTCAAGAGCTTGAGGCGCGAACTGGAATCACTTTGGAAACTTTGGATGAGCATGGGTGGAACGCTTTTCATATTGCAAGATATCACGGGATAGATTCATCATTGATTGGAGGTGCTCCAGGAGCAGAACCAGGGAACTCACCGCCAGGTCCCATGAAGCTACAAACCAATTCCCTGGGTGTTGCGGATATAAGCCAAGATGGCCTTGAAATTACATCGTTATCAGGTAGACATCAATTGCTCCTATCATATTTTACTTGCAGTATATGATCTTATGGTTTATTGTCTAATGCGTGTTGATATCTGGTAGAAGAGGCATTGGTTGTGGAGGCAGATCACCCGATAAATCTTTTTTCTGGGAGATATTACTTTGAAGTACAAGTGAAAACTATTACCCAGTCGACGGGTGACCGTGACAGCTTGTATGTTTTCTCAGATTCCAGCCGAAACTGACTGGCATCGCCCAAAATATTAAACGAATATTGAAAAATTGCTAATGTTGGTCTCATAGGTTCGGGTTTCGATATCCATGGTCAATTGGAATTATATCACTGTATGAGGTATTTGGCTTACGGAACAGCAAGGGTACAATTGGAAGACACTTTCGGCAGGAGTGGCTTGGAGATGTTGGACTTGTCTATTATAAAGAAGATCCCTCGAATTCAGCGTCAGCAGTAGCAGGATTGCCTAGATGGGGCCAAGACCATATCAAAAATATGGACACTGTGGGCTTCGGAATTGATCGTGAAACAGACTCTGTCTTCTTCACAAAGAACGGGGAACCTGTGGGAATCTTGAACGCTCATCTTGAAGGCCGGTGTATTCCTGCTTTTTCGGTGCCTCGAAAATGTTCGGCCAGAATTAATTTTGGGGGAGAGAGTTTTCGATATGTGGGGTGGGAAGGTAACATTGAAGATATTGAGGCGTCGGTAAAAAAAACAGGTTATATGACGGTAAGAAATTCAGGTTATATGACGGAATATTAGGAAAGGTACGACAGCTATAGCCCTATGTCGTGATCGTCTCCAGACATTACAAAGGGAAGCATGTATATATAGCCCACTACACACTATTCTCCCTGAAGCCTATGTTCTTTACGCGAGGTATTTTTTAAATCTTTAAATTTTCTCAACCCTTATATAATTATGACTTGTCCGTCACTACGTATGGTTTCATGTAGATTTTTCACAATACTATATATACCCTTCAAGTATTGCGACTCCTCTTTTTTTTGGGTAGGGCTAGGTATATATATACAAGACAAACAAAATCGGTAATTTGATTTTCTATTGCAATAATTGAAGGCTAGGACGAGGGTATACTAGCTAAATATTCGAGTTATTTGTAGTTATTCTCGAGATAACCGGCCCGAGAGCTCAATTATTAATTCCCCCATCAGTTGTGTCCTTAATTAAATTCAATACACTACATGATATTATTTTTAAACGTAAATAGTTCAAATGGCTCAAAATACACAGGTCGGCTCCTGCGGACCACGTAGCTGTATGCACCCAACCTTATCAACTCCGAACGAATACCTGTTTTCCCACCAAACCCCCAAGGATCGTCTCACAGGCGAAACCGTCAACCTCAGAAAAGGGGAAACAATAAAGTCGTCGGGACTAGTTACCGAGGAGGATGAAGTCGGGCAAGATCATTCGCCTGTACGCAGCGATAGTACATGTAAATTGGGTACTATACGGTGCTTAATCAATTCTAAAATTTGTTTTTCGAGTAGACCCCTGAGCTAGAAACTGACATGCGCATGCTGAAAAAGTTCAATATCTAGCAGGCGACCTACTTCCTGCATTGGAGGCCCTTGACATTATTAGATACCTGAAAATATTCGTACAGATCGCCTTGGTGAGTTTGCAAGCAAGAACAGGCTCACGGGGCTGGGAATAAATTACAATTTAGACTTAATATGAAGAACATGACCCAAGGTCGGCGTCCGGAAGCGAGAATAACTCAAAGTCTACTGTTTCGATAAACCACAACTGTCTTAAATTTAGTTCACTGTTGCTGGGCTACATACCTCTATTTACCAGTAAATCATTTATAAATTTACTTCCCCATTTGATTTAAATAGTCAGGACCTTTGACCTAATTAGCTGAACTTAAGCAAAAAGGTTTTATATAAGGCACAGCTGGTTTGAAGGGGCAGCCAATCTTCAAGAAATAGACCATGAAAGAACAAGGAAACTCTGTAGGACGTCGACGTGAGGTTAGAACGACAAGTTGCGAATTTCGACTTTCAACTCATGGTGTTGTAGCGTTGGATATTTTCGATCGGCGACGGTACAGGCAATCAATAAAAAAGGTGGGCTAGTTACGTTACAAGACTTACCTACAAAATTTCAAACTGGTTGCGAGACTGTCAAAACTCAGTTCAGTCTCGTAATAAAGCTCCAGTGGCCATATATATATCAGAGGGCTTACGAGTTCCAGTTTAAAAGTTTAATAGATCTCGAAGTTCTATATTATAAACTGTTAGCTACTATATTATATAGCGCTATTGTCGACTCCAGCCAAGCTCGTCAATCGTCTGACGTTCTCACTATAGCTATACCACAACACACAATATCTAACAGTCACCTTATTAAAACTACTGAAGTACTTACATATCAATCCTATTCATGCAGTTGTTGCTAACTTTCAAAGGGTGATTTAGATCCACAAGCGCGGGTATGTTTGCAATTTCTTTGCCTCATGTTCCTCATTCCGTCGTGTAATTTGTGTATATACATGTATCAGCTTTGAAAGAGATTTCAGCAGGTTGCAATTGCCCCACATTACATGGCGAAAGTTAAGCCTCTCTCTTAAGATCTTGCGGGAAGGTTTATCAAGACCTCCTAGATCCTCCAAATTAATTGGCTTTATGTCCAAGCTTCCCTTCTTCAGCCTCGAGGGCATTAGTACCAGCTCCAGCATCAGCAGGCTGAGCAGCACGTTTGCTTGATGAATGTCCAAGTCTCTTTTCTTCAGCCTCGAGGGCATGAGTACCAGCTCCAGCGTCAGCAGGCTGAGCAGCACGTTTCCTCATTTTCTCTTCCTTTTCAATAGCCCGTGTACCAGCCATAGAGACAGCACGTCTCATAGCTCGTGTTTCAACCGCAGACACCGCACGTCTCTTGTTTTTATAATAACTGTTTTCCTTGTAGTTACTTTGTCCAACATCGTATCCGGGGTTGCCCTTGGGGGGTTCTGGTTCCACCTTTGGCTCAACCTTGACTGGAACAGGTGCGGGCTTAGGGGCCTCTTGTGGGTACATGACTTGGAATGGCACGCAAGCTCCGAACGGTCCATTGGGCTACATAGTTATAAAATTATACGTTAGTGATGAAGTAATAAGAAGAGCCTCAACCAAAAGCGGCAAGGCTTTATATGTAGACGTACAGCGTAGTTCTCGCAGCGCAGCATGCACACATTCTGGAACCCTTTGGAATATTGACCGGCACACTTGATGCCCGCTGGGAGGTTGACTCTGATGATTGATTGTTGGTTGTTCCACCATGGACCAATGCTGGCTTTTCCATGCTCTCCAGGGGGCTGTCTGACAGGATAAACCCAGTCGGTAAAGTGCTGCCCAGTACCGGTCTCATCGATTCGGCATCTAAGGGAAATATTAGGATTGAGTATATGTCAAGACTAGGATGTACCAAAGAATAGCTTACCTGAAAGGACCTGCACCGTCATCGTTCACTTGATAAGTTGCGATCTCGACCCATCCTCCCGGAGTGGCCAATGCCATTCTACCTAAATCGCCAAAGTTAGAAACATTGCTTTGGTATCAACACCACGGAAGCGTAATCACGATATCAAGTCGGATAGACCAAAGAGGAGGGAAAAACTTACCCTCAGTTATCTCCTTTAGTACCGCCTGTTTTGTTTGAATATAAGCATTCCCATGAACGGGTGCCATAAAAACATGATAGTTTCGATGTTTCCAGAGCTCTCCCCATTTATCCCCGGGAAGGAGAGATGGTGGTGCAGCCAACCCAGGATTGACTGAATAGGCGTAATCATAAACCGTTTGCAGACTTGCGCCACAGCCTTGACTCATCCACTGGCGAGGTTTCCCTGCGTGGGGGCTTGGCCACCAGGCTGGGACAACTGGAGTACTGAAAGCGATGACGTCCCATTGACCAGGCCATTGGTTAGGTCCGTGATTCTTTGCTGCGTAATAGTAAAGGTGACCGAGGGCACCACCGCCTACTTTGTGGTTGTAGCTACCCCACGACTGCAAGAAACGAACGTGGGCGGATACCTGCGAAACGCTGGCCAAGATAGCGACAGCGCTCGCAGCAGAGATCTGGAAATTAACCATGGTAGAAGAGAAATAAATAAATCAATGAAAGTGAGGTTTGGTGCCGTCGGGGCTGTAAATAGTTGGATTAACAAACAAATGCCTGAGGAAGCGACGACCGTGACCGATGATGATAGAGGAAAAAAAAGAGAGGTGAAATAAGATGGTTTATCATGGCCGTTTAAATAGTTTGGGGGGGTTGAAATTGGAGGTACTCCATGATCATCCAGACAGTGAAAAAGTCTATAGACCAAGCTAGTATATTCGACGGACCATTGATGATGATGCCTAGGCGTATACGCAAAAGCAATCTACAAAGCCATATGTCTTTTTCTTAGCGAAGATATCATGGGAATCTCCAAATTAGGATTGACCAGCCGTTGAACTCCAAAAACTACCACAGATGGGAGATTCTACACGGACTCAATGGAAAGCTAAAATTTAAAAGGATTCAACTTTTGCATCTGCTGCATGTTAGGCTGTCAAAAGCAGCTGCGCAGTGTGATTTTGTGATACGTTGAAGTCGATACCTAGCGTACCTTAGTATGCCTTCTTGATAAGATCGATCGCCTCTCTATACTTTATACATTTATGCTTAGTACTATTCGATCTATTTCCAAGACCAGGGTCGGTTAGCCTCGCATCCATGGGGCGTTGGGGACACCTATTTACCCTTACATTTATATGGACATGTAATGTCCAAGCGCGGTCCGTGAGCCGGTCGCATCACCGCTTTATTTCCTTTCTTCTTCCTCTCCTTTTTGGATGCTATTTTCGAGGCTCCCAGTAGTGCCATTGTCGCGCATATGCATTGCATTATCGTTGTTAGGTATGCAAACCTCAAATGGCCACCAGGCTGTTGGTGCTCGAGACGATCGCTAGGAAATAAGGTAACCGAAGCAGGGCTCGACTCGACAAATTCGTAGGCTTCACATATACGCGGTCTCGTGGGTATATAATGATATGGCGAAAGAATAACCTTATTGTTTTTTTTGTTTTTTTTTAAGCTTTTTAAGCTTGTTCCAACCGGGAGGCTATCTTTGCCCTGAAAACGGGATCGCATCCGCTAGCGTTTATTTTGATTCGTAACCCAAACGAAGGATTATCGATATCAAGATTACAACTGTCTAAATGCCCAGTGTTCGGATGGATATACTAAATAACGTTAACCGGGCGAGGAGACGAGAAGGCTTTAAGGAGCCTTGAAGCTTAATAATAACAATAGTGCAATACGAGACTAACAATAGTGATAGGATAGCAATGATACAATATCGATAGAGCGGGGTCGAGGAATATTAATAGCTCGATCGGCTGGGGGGAGAAATATAATAAGCGATGGTGATATCTTACGCTTGTAAGGACAGCACCCGTCGCGTCGATGATACCAGCGACTTAATCAATTAAGAAAGTACTTGCCAAATAGGTAATTAAGACAGTGACATGAACAATATATGCAATAGCAAATGGTTAGAAAGAATTTTAATAAATTCAAATACACAAATATAATATCAATAGAGCCAGCCCGGAAGCTTAATCTCTGAAATTAATGCCCGGTATTGATTCCAATTCTCTGGTTGAATATTCGAATTCATTGATTCGATTCTCACTTGCCTGGTCGGATCAAATATACATTATACGCCGCTAGCACTGCACTGAAAGTTAACTGCACACTCGCATGGTCGGATCTAGAAGTTTACCGAATATACATATACATACATACTTAATTACATACCTCGATAAAGATATCGATAACGATGTATTAGCGTCTTTTATCAAATTGCATAGTTAAAGTTAATTATAACAGCCGGGTTCCTTACTATAATATCTAATACAAGCTAGGCTAGAACGATTTAAGCAATGTCGCTGGCCTATATATAATCCTCCAGCAGAGCTACTATATCCTACGGCTAGGCCTGCCCCCAATCAATAAGCTCATAAGTAAGTATATTTATAATATCTATGAGGTCTCCAAAAAATTTATATCGAATCTATAGCTAGCTGCAATGCCCTGAATTCGAACTGTGCACGTGCTCAGAACTATTCATTTAAGTACTTTAATTAAGGACGACACACATATATATACTCGACTACTGAAGCTTATAAGCATTCTGGCAAATATGGGAGCACGGGAGAGGAGAGAAGCCACCCCACTCTCAAGATCAGACTTTCTGTCGTCGGGCCTTAGAAAGGTGTCCGTAAGGCTCATGTTTGAATGCCGGCCTCCCATTCGCCAATATATACCTAGGTATGTACTGCCATCCTGGTCTTTCTGACTTCGCCATACATATGTACACTTTCCGTCAGTCGAAATATTATTTCGTCTTGTCTTTTCGATGTAGGTGAATTAAATATAACGCAAAGAGAGGGGAAAATCTAGCTAAGGAAAATAGCTCCCCCACAGTGCGCTGCAGTATAGGTCTACATGTATAAGTATGTATACAGTGTCTCTGTCTTGCGGCGCCGAAGTGGGCTCAAAGGCATACGACACCCTGCTGGCTCGTGACACTCAAATCGACTATTCAAGACCGGAAATTTGACATCCCGCTGGCCATCTTCAGAAAGAAAATGAATACTAGAAAAGGATGATTCCCATTCTCACCGTTTTTTAAGACAGATTCAGCCTCTTTTCTTTGCTGCCGGTGCAGTTAATGCCATTTTGTATTCAAACTGATTAAAAAGGCCCGCCAAAAAGCTAGCCGACGCGGCATCTCCTAACAAAACGCCATCCTGCACACCACAGAAACAGAAACCCCGTCCGACAAACATCGGAGGAAGACCCTTTCAACCTCTTCCTCTCTCCTTCCCCCCCCTTCGCTCGACTAACCATCGGTCCGGACCGTACCCGTCGCCACTGACGACGAACACGACCACAGGAACAGTCGACGGCCGGTGTCATGGATAGCTTCGTAGGCTTCCCGCCTGAATCCGGTGCCGGTGCCGATTCCTTGCTCGCTTTTGCCGACGATGACCCGGATGGCGGAACACACCCTCCAAGATGGTCCTCATTCATCGGTATCATCATTTCAATCGTCGGAAACATTGTCATCTCATTCGCCCTCAATATCCAGAAATATGCGCATATTAGGCTTGCAAGGGCAAAGTCATTACGATTACAAGAGAGAAAGAAATACAAACGTCGAAGAAGAAGAAGGAGAAAGCTCCTAGCTGCGAACAAGGGTGTTGCCAATGGCAGGAATGGAGCTAGCACCGAGACTGATGGATTGCTACACCCCCCTGAAAGCAATGGCTCACCGAATGGACTCGAAAACGGTGATGAAGAAGATTTAGAAGGCAGTTGGATATCTACTGATACCTACGATAGTCCCGAAGGTGAAGATGGAAGAGGGAGAGCTCTGATGGAGGACGAAGAAGACCGATATCTTCTCGAATCACCGGAACGGTCTCCATCAAAAAATGGTGGGGTGGGGGGTGCACCACCTTATCTGAGATCGAAATGGTGGTGGACTGGGATTATCCTAATGACCATTGGAGAGTGTGGTAACTTTCTGGCCTATGGTTTTGCGCCAGCTTCGATTGTGTCTCCACTCGGGGTCGTGGCTTTGATCTCCAATTGCTTGATCGCACCTCTGATGCTTAAGGAACCTTTCAGAAGGAGAGACTTGCTAGGAGTCGTCATTGCCATCTTCGGTGTCGCAGTTGTGGTTTCCAGCTCGCAGCCAAAGGAAGAGAAACTCACCCCGGGCCAGATATGGTGGGAGATTAGCCAGACCCCATTCGAGGTCTATTTTACCATCACTTGCACATTAATAGTGGTTTTACTCTATCTCAGTGGCAAACACGGCTCCAGGTTCATTCTTATCGATTTGGGCCTGGTCGGATTGTTCGGTAAGGCAACTTTGGTATCACACATCATGGAAAATGCATACCTGCTAACAAATTCAATCAAGGTGGCTACACGGCATTGGCGACGAAGGGTGTCTCGTCTCTTCTTTCGAGCTCTCTCTATAAGATTGTTACTTACCCGGTTTTCTATCTCCTCGTCATCATACTCGTCTCCACCGCCGTTTTACAAATCAAATATTTGAGCAGGTCCCTCCAGCGGTTCGACTCCACTCAAGTTATACCTACTCAATTGTGTGTACACCTCAATAACATCATTTTTATACATATGAGCTAACTAGTCCTTTTTTAGCGTCCTTTTCAACATCTTCACTGTTACCGGATCAGCAATCCTCTACCGTGACTTTGAGAAAGCCGACGCCGCAAGGTTCATTAGGTTCCTAATTGGATGCTTCCTGAACTTCGCCGGTGTTTACCTGATATCAAGCAAACGTGAGCGTAACTACGAATCCGACTACGATTCTACAATCTCCGAGACCGAAGACGAACACCACTTCGACCCTGACAACCCGATCATGCGGGTCTCTTCTATCGACAATACCCCATACTCAGACCATCCACGTACGTCCCTTCAACCCGGGGCGCCGTCCACCCGACGGGACTCATCAATCCGCTCCACAAACTCTTTCCGTCGCACTCAAATCCCAGCCCAGCTTCACTCCCCCCCAAATGAAGCATCCCCTCTTTTACCACCTGCCAAAAATCCCCTTGATGACCTCCATACCCCTCTAACCCCAACCGTATCGCGTAGCCCTTCCCGCCGCCGCCCCGCACCGATCTCCACAACACCGGTCGCCACGCCACCATCGGCGAGCACCAACCCTAACCGCTCTTCCCTCTCGCTTCTAACCCCCGGCCCGCTATTTGTGGGTTACCAACTCCAAGCCGTCGTCGCAGATACTCTGAAGCGCGGTGTCGATCACATACTCGAAGAAGATCTTATCTCACCCCACCAAATTGCCACAGCCACAAACCAATCCGGATCCCTCCGTGATAAGAAAGTTAGAAAGGTCAAAAGCGTAGGAGCAAGTCTTGGCGGTTGGCTACGTGGTGAATCACAGACCATCTTGCCTACTTCCTCGACGTCCAAGAACCGGAGAAAACGAGCAGGGACTATGGATTCCACTTCTGATCTTAATACGAGACAGTCGATACGGAGCCGACTTAGTCGCTCTGGAAGTGGGGCTTCGGCGAGCGTGAGCGGGCCGAGTAGTAGTTCGAATAACGGTGTGAATCGATACAGTCAATATTCAGATGACTCTGTGATGGCGGATCCGGCGAGGAGGAGGACGATCGCCTTTGGAGAAGGGGCAGCAGATGAAGAAAGAAGGAGCGGTATAAGGAGACCCAGTCCTGGTGTTGTGGAGACGGTACTGGAGGGTGGGGATGCACCGTTGCCAGATCCAAGAACCACATCAAGGGGAGATGAGAGGTGACATTGATAGCTGGATACCGGAGTGCATAATTCATGTTTTCGTCGCTTCCTTCATCTAACGACTGAGTAACTTTCTGTTTATTTGTTGGGTACTAGGTTTGGGTTCATTTTCCTGCCGTTCGAGGTTTAGCATGTTTTTTTTTACCATTTCCTTGCATCTCCGTTTTATTTTTTTTATTTTTTATTTTCATTTATTTTTCGCTCTGGCATATTTTAGAGACAGGTACGCGAATTCTTTTGTAATATTATATTGCTAATAGCTTTGATCTATTTTTCAACTGACATCATTGTTTTGTTTTTCTTGTCTCGCCGGGTTTTCATACTATGCATGCTACCCACAATTCATTACGTTATCATCGCGATTACCATGCCCGTTCTATGTCAGAGTCGCGAGACCATGCGGTTCCTTCAAAAATTCAGAATCATTGCAGCTCAGCACGAGGAAAAAAACTTAATCTCATATTAATATTGCAGACTCCAGTTTTGTTGGTCTAAAAGCTTTATTGCAAGGTCTTCCATGCCACCAATGTGTTACTAGCATCTCATGGGAAATGACCACTGACGATAATTTAAATCTATTGCAATATATTGGCTTATACATTGCTCATTGAAACTAGCCTTCTCACTCATGGACCTCAATAGCTAGCTGGAAAGGCATTGGAAGAGTGCGGTATAGAATGGATGTGAGGGTAGGTTGGTATATATATATTCATCATCGATTAACCGTTCGATCGTAGGCCTTCGTCCAGTACCGAATATAATCTAATAGCTGTTCACCATCAGCCATGCATGAGCGCTCAAATATTTGGCCATATTTAAAAATTTTAGAACAGTATATACTCAGAATAGAATCCAGTTGTCTTTTAAAATAGCGTGGGTTCTCATCGATTACCAGCTTCCCGGACGGGTGGAATCAATAGATACGCGCGTGAACGACTGACTAGATTTGATAGTAAATGTTTTTTTTTTTTTTAGTTTTTTTTTGACTAAGGGAAAGGAATTGTCACGAAATATAATTATCTTAATTCAAGAATTTTATGTTCACAATGCATGCATAACTGGGAACGAGATCTAGACCACTCATAACTATCTTAATTCAAGATTCTTATACCGGCCCTACAAGCCTCATAGTATACCCAGCCACACCCAAAGAAAATCTTTGGGTGGCAATAAATTGACACTTACATGTCACAATAAAATAAAATAAAAACACAATGTAATACCAGAAAAAATTATTAAAAAATACTATATATCGTCCTTCTGACTGGTTTTGTACGCTATACTCCGGGGGTTTTGATATATCGATTTGGGAAATTAGTACATGGGTTGAGATGAGCTGATAGGTGGGATTGAGTGTGTGGGTGGGCGCTAGAGTGTTTTGAGTGGGAGTTGAGTGGGAAAAAAGGCCAGAAATGGAAAGATCAGGTATACTCTTTTGACGGATTTTGTACGGAATAATAAGACTTGAAGTAATGTATATGTAAATTTATTTAATTTTTGCAGACATATGTGTGTTTGCACATATATGTCATGTAAAATACAATTTGTGGCGATGGCTGACAACCTGAGGTTCATAAAGTACAAACTCAACATAGGAAGGATGATATCAATGGGTGCAACTTGAAATCGTAATTATCTCTCGTTTTTATATAAATTTATATATTCTTTTCGATTCATGAAGACTTGTGCGCTTGATGAGTGAGAGGTATACCGGTATCGGCTTTCATCAGGAACATTACTGAAAAATTCTAATATATCCGGTTCTATAACGGGTCCTCCAGCCTCAGTATACCCTCACAAAAATGTGAAAATAGCTACAGGTCTTATATATTCTTTTGCATATGATGTCATTATGGTCGTTCATTTCATATAGCGAATTACTGTTCTCTTTCAGGAGCTCAAGATACTAGATAGACTGGGTACGAGGCCATACAAGGCCAATAGTTTTAATATGCGTTGAGTGTGGTATTTTGTTGACCTGAAGACAGCCTGGCCCGGTCCCTATATATCATATTGCCTCCGCAGTGCTTAGGACTGTCATTGTAGGAAAATCAGTATACTAGTGAGCATTATAAGCACGTGAAGGCATGGCTGTAGCTAAATGTATGATTACTTTGGTACTTCGGTTTCAGTTTGTTATTAGTCTAGAGAATTTGCGATATCGATATATCACCGCTATACATAGCTTTGCAAATCTGCTTTAGCTTGTCTCCTCGTTCCCCAATCTAGATATTTATGTCTGTATACATAGATCCATAGAGCTAGAGTACTATGAGGATATGAGACAATTGAAATTGAGGGGGGGGAAAGGATGAATGTACGGAGTTCCAAGTAATCTAGATCAAGTCAACCTGTTAGCCGCCAGTCAACTTCATTCTTAAATTTTTGTATAAAATTATATAATTATATCGTGAGATATATCCCAATAGTAAATGAAACTATCATAACTAGTCAAAGGAGTCCAGCTCCTGCAATACCAATATCAATCTCGTTCTTATTAAAATGAAAACATCGACACAGCCACAAAGGATGGGCGGGTGTAATCACGGACGTATATAAATATTCAGGGGTAGACGTCGAATTCGGTATCGACTTTGTGTAACACCGAACCCAATCGACACCTAATACTTGTAGTATAAAATCCGTTTACCGGGCCGTCGAGTACATAGTTCTACTACAGAGTACTTTACTTCGCGGTATTGTGTAATTCAAAACAACAGAGACACAAGTGCATTTCTAACTTCCTCGAGGAAATAAATCACTACCTATCTACCTCCTACCTTCGAGAGTTACCTTTCGCCAAGGTTAATCCTCGTTCTCAAAAAACTCCGTTATATATAAACCATAAACATTTATTCTATAGATACGCAATCGCCATGGCCTAGAATTCGACTCACCCTCGCCACGTGAAAAAAAATAAAAAATAAACGTTGATAAAATATGTCGTGCATAAATCAGGTACGAACCGGCATTGACCATGTTATCTGAATCCAATTATTCTTTCTCAAAAAAATGTAAACAAAGGAAGATGTTAAGAGGCGTATCCACAGGAATAAGGTGCTGACGGGCGTCCGGGAAATGAAACAGAAGCGAGCATGGGGACGACGTTTCGTTCCTGCGTCATGTCGAAGCTCCTGAAGCTTCAACCTGCATAACATTTTACATTCAATCGGTGGTAAAGATGGTATCCTGTGGAGACTCTGAGCTCATCGATGCATTATCAAAAGTGTAAGCAGTGCATACTCCTGATATAATATAATATTTACGATATGTGCATATATCATTGTCAATGCCGTTCTTGAACTTGACTGTTGCAAGCGGACTTCAACACATTTCTAGACACGAACAGTCGTCGCATCTTCCCGTTTTATCAAGAAATTTCCAGATTAGGAAATCTACAACGTAAACAACAACGCGCTGCGGGATCCCTGTCCGAGAAAGGGAAAAAACGCGTACCGATTTTTTAATCCCTGCAAGTTTGATGGTGGTGTGGAGACTCATCTATAATGGAAACGGTAAACCCTTAACATGGACGAACAATCTTTTTTGGCATGTGGCAATCTTATCGTTTCTTTTTGAGAGAGGGGAAAAAAAGTGGGAGAGAGGTTTGGAGTTGAGAGATTGCAGATTGATGGTCTCGATCTTGAGAGCAAAAGTGGATATGTCATTGTTAGGTCAGCTTGCTGTTAGGCTTTACGAGATCGACGAATTTCCACAATCTCTTGATGACATGGACGCGAAAGAAAAAAAAAAAGTGGGAAAAGCGAAGGGATTCTGCAAAGTCCCTGAGTGAGGGGAAAAGGAAGGGTGTGGGAAATGAAATATTATGTCATGAGGGCATGCGCAGGAAGGCAATCGCAGTGCGGCCTCTGTTTTTCCCATCTGCGCAGTCGACGCGTCTTTTTTTGGCTTCTGTGGCCGATGGAGGGCCTGGTGACCCATATTTTAGGGTTTCTGAGGCTTTTGGGAGACGGGACACAATTCCGTCTTTTCGGTCTGGAATACCTCTCGCCGACCCGCATTTACGGTCAGGATGGGAAGAAAAAGTATACTCTGTATTGACAGATATACCAGAATTATCACAGTTGGTATATAGTTGGTTAGCTGTGCATTGCTTAGTTGGACTGTTGGCAGTTTGGAAACGAAAGTTTCAGAAAGATCATTGGAGTATTTTCGCGAATCGAAGCCTTCTCGAGAAATTTCTTCGATTGGTTCGGTCTGTTGCGCCTTTCCTGCATGCACCATCGCAGACGGGGGGTAGAGCATTATCATCAACGGTGCATATACATACCTCATCGGGACCAGAAGGCTTCGGGGTGGAGCAGTAATCTCGAGCTGAGGTTGTGCTGCAAGTCATACGTCGAGGAGCTCGGGAAAAAACTGTCTTTCCGATGCATCCTTCACAAATATAGCAGAGACATTGAGAGGAATATGCAGGATTTCGTGACTGATATCAAGCTAATCGTGCCTGTTCCAAGGAAGAAAAATATCGTACCTCGAGTCGAATGTCGCATTGCATTTGATGCAAGGTTTTTTTTTTTGACTTCATGGTAGTGCATCGTATGATATCGACAATACCCTGGCAAGGACCCTTTCCGAAGAGGTTCTCGAAGTTAGGGATCAAGACTTCACCGCAGCAGCTAGGGAAGGCTCGATTTTTGACAATCCCGTTTCCGCATTTTGTGCCTTCTAGCTTCCCCTCCCGCTAGATGTTGGCTTTATTCCGTAAATATCTGTGTATGTAGTAATAAGTGATGTCGTTATAGACGTGGGCCGGGGAGAAGAGGCTATGTCGCTATGGACAAAATCTCCCCTCAACCGCAGCGCCGTAACCAAACGTAGTGGCCAATTGACAGGTGCAGGCACCAGGGTAAAAACTTCCAAGGGTTCTGGAGTTTTTCTCTCTCTCTTTCTCTCTTGATTTCTCCTCATCTTGCACCCTTGGTCATGGGGTACCAGGAAGGGAAGAGTTCAAATTTGCGCACAGGACGAGAATAGAGAACGCCCTTGCCCAAGATGGCCACCCTTGGAAGGGAAAACAGGCCAGGTTGGTGGGGAATTGGAGCGATTCGTTCGTGAAGCGCATGCCGCCGACAGGAAAAGAAAAGAAAAGGAAAGAAAGGGCGAAATTTCCTTTTTCCCAGCAGGCGGGCGATACACAGTCGAAGGAAGTTGAGTACAGAGTAACGGTACGTAGGCTTCCCGCACTCATTAACAGGCTATCCCCCTCATCTCTTCTCTAAACATTCCCTTTAGTCCTGATCAAACCAGACCAGACCGACCAGACTAGATATCTCCGACTTCCCTCTCTGCGATAGCGAATTTGGATAATTAATTAGTGGAGGCCGCTTGGACCTGCTGCTTTGGCTGTGATTTGGCGGGAAAAGAAGACAATACGTGTTAGAAGACCGTGATTGGAAAGGCTTGTTGACATTTTGTGGGGACTTCCAACGCACACTTAACAGAACACACTTAACTTACCGCTTCCTGTCAACTCCATCAACCTCAACCTCATCATCACCAACCATCTCCATCTCCATCTCCATCAACCACCTCAGCTTCAAACTTCAAACTTGTTAATAGCCTCTTCCGACTCCCGGCTGTGATATTAATACTAAGAAGGTCTACCCAAAGAAGGTCTATAAGTGCCGTTGCTCTTCTCTCCTGCAGCCATCTCAACAGCGCCACTCCGTCTTCCGCCTGGATTCGCGTACTTCTCTCTTTCGATTAGACCGCGCCAAAGAAAAAGTACACTCACAAACGACCGCCGTTTTGTCGCCAATACAGAACACAATGTTGCTCCCGTCTGTTCTCCCTTGCGAGAACTCCTTTCGTGTCAGTCGTTCTCGGGCGGCTGCTCGATCGCAGACTCAGCGACATGCGACTTCGTTAATACCGTGCCACGCCAACATCGGACTAGGACTCTCTATCACCAATGGCGGCCCGAGATCTCTTACTCCACGCAGCGAAAGAGTCGCAAATACTACTGCTGCGCTAAATCATCTTCTATCTCTTGATAAAACACCAACTTACTCCACGAGTGCGATCACAAAATCGCGATATGGGAAATCTGCCCTTGCGACACCGACGCCCTCCCGAACACCAAGTCCTCAAACACCCTCAAAACAAATCATACATACGCGATGGACGACTCCTGCCGACGATAGCGAGGTAGAAGTTCCGACTCCCCGCGCCGCGACAGCCGGAAACACTTACACATATACAATTGTCACGCGCAATAACAAGCGAAAACGAAATTCCTCGGCTGTTGAATGCTCCACTCCCCGTCAAGGCCATCCGTTCGTGACTCCTATTCAACTTGGTACACCGACGGTCTGTCCACCAGCGCCAAAGATTGAATCTTCACTTTTCCATGGCGATTCTGATGATGAGTTGTTGGACGACCCGTTCGTTACACCAAAAAGGACCCGTATTCGCGGCCCCGTTTCCAAGCGTATCTCGACCACCCGGCGAAACTTAGGTCCCTGGAGCGAAGAAGAAGACAAGCAACTTGTCGGAATGGTCCTGGCAAAGATGCGACTATCTGAACGAGATTGGGTCGAGTGCGCCAACACGATCGGGCGAGACGGTTTAAGTGTCGACCAAAGATGGAAGGATCTCGTTGAAGCCGGTAGTGTCGGCCTGATCAACGAAAAGCGAAAGGAGGAGAAGATTAAGCGCGCTAGAATGCAGGGCAACGGAAGAGGCCGACTCGAGCCGTTGACGCTACGGCGCAGTGGCAGAGTTACCAGGGGTATCCAACGACGGTAAACGACGAAACCCACGTGTACCGACGGCAGCAAATTAACTATTTGTTGGATTTGGATATTTCTTGCACCTATATGGCTTTTTTTCCTTGTTTATGCATGCATATCTTTCCGCTTTCATCTATTTAACGGAGTTCAAGGGCGGAGTACGTGGGGGAGTTCTCACTTCGGGTTCATCTACATTGCATCGTCATATTGTTTACATTTTCCTTTTCCTTTTTCATTGAGTATTTTACCACCTACCAATCGTCATCACCCCATCCACCTCTCAACCGGCGTGAGGTTTTGAAAGCCCGCCACAATCGCCGCATCTTGTCGCGCTTTTGTTTTCTGCTTTCGATCGGTTCGCTCAATTTCCTTACCTACTCTGTAACAATATCGCTTCTCCTTTCTGCATCATTGCTTTTCGCTTTCATTGCTCTGGGGCACTTGTAAATTTATTGATACCCATATTCTTTTCTCGCGCTATTGTTTGTCTCTTCTGCTGTACCACTTAGTCGCTCACAACATCTGGAGTAGACTGATCCTTTATACCGATGTGCTGATGTTTTCTTTCTTTCTTTTGGTTCGGCCCGACTGGTTTCCTTTCGGTTGAGGATGGTTTACCATTCTTTTGATGCTGATTCGTTCTGTCTGTCTTCATCTTCTTTCGTCGCTGCTGCCGATTGCCTTGCGCCTGGATTCCGTATGTAATCTGGAGATTACATATCGGCACTCCACACTCTCTCTACAAAATTTCCTTACTTCTTTGTTATCATGGAGAGGACCCTACAAATTTGGCCTCTACTCCACGTTCACTATATTTCCTTTGTTCAAGTTTTTGCTTTACTATATCCGCGCAAAAAAGGCAATCACGGCAGTATGGCATTCGAACAAGATCATTCAGACATTTACGTCATTCTACATCATCTCCACACTCATCCAGATTCGGACACCCCGAATGGCTATCCAAAGAAAATAAGATCATTAAGCACAACTAACTGTTTGTTCTTTTCTTTAACTTCTTATCATCTTGTTAACGCGCGTATTACTCCTGCTTTCCTCATTTTTTCTCTCTGTTCTTCTTTCCTTTTCGTTATTAATATTTCGTTCTTACTTTTTTTTATATACCGTATCCGAAATTTTTTTAACCTGGCGTTTACCGTGTTATCTTCGGTTTAGAAAGAGTGAACGTTTTTCTCTATAGCTCCTTTTTCTTCCTCCCCTTTTTTCACTCCTCCCCCACTTTTTAAATACACTACTATTTGTATTTTTCTAGAATTCCCGATGCGATGAAGGGGAATCTAGGGTTGATGCTTTTTTTCTTTTCTTCTCTTTTTTTTTAAAAAAGGATTTGTTATACCTTCGATTTGAGGGAGAAGGAGCTAGAGATGTTTATGGAGGATGTGGATGGATCATGCAGGAATACCTTGTGAATAGAACAGAACAGATAAAGTGAAATAAATTAAAGAATAAATAAATAAAATTACTGCTTAGTTTCAAACTAGTTACTATTCTACGTTCTAAGTTAGCATCTTTACTAGGTATATAGGCATTCTTCTAAATGCAAATTCATAGATATACATACTAGTATACTTAGATACTACTACTACGAAGAGGGTCAAACCCACGTCTATAACGAAGTAATTAACTACGCAGTGATATTTCGAGGTTTATGACCGGTGACATGAAGCCGAGACCTCCTCTCGCCTTCTATAACCGGTCTGGATATGGACATTGTCAGCCCAGTGTCAAGACAGGTGCGGGACACAGATCATGTAATAGAGTGAAATACCATAAAGACACCTTTTAGATACACGGATTCGCAAGCAAGAGGGGACATAAAGAAACACCATGAAGAGTCAACTACATGTACGAAGAGGGATGGGGGAGGCAGCACAGGGTTTTAAAGGTTCAATTCGGATTCGTGAGTTCTGTATTCATGTGTGTGTGATTGAGTATATGTGAGAGTAGAGGGGGTTAAAGTAGAATATAGAGGTGCCGTGTTTTCGGAGAGAAGGGGGGAGGAGGAGGAGGAGGAGACTGAGGTCATATAAAGGTAGGAGAGCACAAGTTAACAGGCAAAAGAAACAACCTCAAAAGGAAACCCCATTGATAGAAGAAAGGATATAGAAAAGAAAAAACACTAAGAAATTCCTTCTTTCTCTCATTAATTTGTTTGACCGGATCGAATACAATATATCATTTCACGAGGCGTGTAACAAGACAAAGGAGAAAGCGAAAGGATTTTCCATCATATGAAGCGCTAGAAACGAAGGCATAGGAGGTGCGAAGACAAAAAAACAATATGCTGGAAATCTTTAAGGTTCCGGGTCTTGTGGGTTCTCGAACAGGAAGTTTGCAGCCATTTCCTCGTTCTTATCACATGCGAAGTAAGCCTGGATGACAACGTCACGCTCGAAACCGAGTTGACAAAGCTATAAAATGTTAGAAATCATAAATTATCCAAGTCTCATTGGGGAATATCGACGTACTCTTTCAATTGCGTCTCGCTCCTCTTCGGTAACGTGGATGGCCAAACCGCCCCCGGGAGCTGCACCAGCAAGCTCTTCCTCATCGATTCCCTCGCCCAGAAGTCTCAAGAAACCCTCGGGATTGGTCGAGATCAACTGGGCAAGCTGTGGGTTAGCTTGACCGACCTGTTGGAGAATTGGCTCGAGCATCTGTGGGTGTTCCTGAATGACTTGTCTTAGCTGTTGGAATTGTGGGTTGTTGCGAAGGAAGTCGAGATTGGCACCGCCGCCACCTGCAAGAGCTGCCAATGGATTAACTGCAGCACCTCCACGGCCACCAGCTGGGGTGCCACGACTCCCTGATCTTTGGGCAGCAGCGGCTTCGAAGAGATTGACAGGCTCGTCGACATCGGCAGCAGCGGCGGCAGCAGCAGCAGGTTGAGATTCGGTCGTAGCAGCTGGAGCAGCTGTTGCGCCTGTGGTTGGCTGCGTAGGTGGTGCTCGCGAAGATTGAGCAGGAGGTGCCTCTCTCTGGAGGTGCTCTGGGATACCCTTTATAGATGTGGAATTAGCAACGATCACCAAAAATCAGCAGAAACTATTTGCACTAACAGTCATAAGGTATTCAACAGCTCTATCCGGATTGTTGAAAGCGGCACGCATCGCGGCTTCGACATCCGGTCTCGGGAAACCCATCTCAGTCATCTGTAGAATGGCGCTCTCGCGGGCAGAGCCCATGGCCAGGGAAGATGGGTCATTAAAGGCGGCTGTTGTTGGCTGTGATGTGGCAGCAACTTGTGGAGCAGGTGTTGGTGTTTCTGGAACGGCAGCTGGGACAGTAGATGATGAAGCAGCATTCGCAATCGGGGCGGAAGGTGTTTGAACTGGTGTGGAAGATTTGACCGGCGTGGATGGAGCAGCAGCGCTACTCGATGATGAAGCCTTTGGGGCAGTCTTTGCCTGTATTGTCGATATAGGTAGTTAGTTGCTATTTGATATAACCTCAAAACTGCCTCATCAAAGAGCCAAACCCGTGCCACGTAAGCCGATATGAAAGCCAGGGAGAGTTGTCTTACCTTAGAAACCATACAAACAATGAAGCCCTTTTCGTCAATGTTGTATGATCCCACGGTCTGTGCGTCTTGCAGGATTTTACCTTTATAAGACAACATCAGAGTCAGCTAGCCTGAGATTGGTAGAGATAGACATATTAGAGGTGAAGGCTTACCAGAGTAGATGAGCTTCACGGTAGATGGCTCCCATCCTTTCTCGGTCTGGATCCTTGCTTTGACTGTTGAGATCTATCATCGAAGAATACATATTAGACGTGAACTTGTTTAGTTGGAAGATAGATGCCGGATAGATCCTAGATGGCGTATGTCGGCAACGTGTCGGAGGTGACTTACGGTATCAGCAGTACCAGCTTCGATGGTAAACCGCTCATTCTTGAGGTCCTAGATTTGTAGCGAAATGTCAGCAACAGCTTCGAAGGTCTAGGGGAGTCGACGCGGTTGAAAAGGGTGGAGTTGGGAGGGAGCTGGAGGGGTTTTCAAGCGGGACAGCGGGGCAAAGCTAGACGGCTAGTTACCTTGAACGTAAGCTTCACTATGTCCGACATGCTGGGCAAGCTCCTTTGGTCTCTGTGAATCTGATAATAATGATGATGGTTTGATGGCGATGGTGGTGGGTAGGTGGGTGAAGATGTGGTTGAGTGGTCGAGATGGTGTTGAGGGGAGGTTGGTTGTAGACAGAAGAAAGAGAAGGAGGGTGACGAGACGAGAGGCGAGCGAGGTTTGGATGGAAGCCTCGCTGCTTGTGCTGTTTACTGCTGCACAAACCAACGAATTCGAACCAACGAACCAAACTGCTTCAAAACACCGCCACCAGAACAGAGCATCGACAAGTGGCCTCGAAAATGTATAGGAACGTTCGGCTTCCTTCGAAACTCAAGTATGAGAAAAATGAAAGACAAAAGTGTCTACGGTGGTTCAAAGTTGTCGAGGATCCTAATATCTGATGGGAATGGGAGATACAAAGACTCCATCGAATCCTTCAGCTTGGTCCTGGCCTTTTCTCCAACCTGGAATGGAAATCGAAGCCCACAGAAAGCACACTCGCTTCCTCACAGGCTCACAGGCTCTAGCGCTTCCTACCTATGTAGGCTTGGTTGCGGTTTTGCCATCTCCCCGGTCATCCACAAATCAGAGGTGTTCAGAGGCTGTTCTGGCTTGTGGACGAATAGCAGGTATGACTACCTTCCCTCGCCTGCGAACGGCCTAGTCAGCAGCATGCATGTGCCTGTGGGACATGTATCTCTACCACATTCCTCTGGACGAAAAGACATACATTGGGTTAAGTAGATGTATGTCTGTGCCTGTTGGCTACGTTGCTGCAAGGCGGATGGATGCAGTGTGTTCGGTTCAGGCTTAGGACCACCCGAGTCATTGCGGAGTCCAAAGGATCGGATGGTGCTTAGAAAGCCACAGTCGGACATTCGCCCCACCACACCATTATCGGCTTTTATCGACACAGCTTGGAGCCGACAATTGCCTATGTAACGCAGTATGGAGAACAGGGCCAAATCACGCTACTGCAAGTGTTCGACAAACGCCAGTGTGAGTTGCATCTGATCTATACCGCCATCTACGATAACGTTTGTTCTGGCAGCTGCCTCAACTGCATGTCAGGGACGGTATGCATTGGGAACTAGCTGCAGGTGTTCTTCAGTCTATTTCACATCCGGTCCTCCAGCTTTCCAGGATAAAATGTTTGTATTCCGTCGAACGAGATTTATACGTTTACCGCTTCAATCCCATGCAATGAAAGCCATCTGATATATGAGCTGAGAGACTCTTCCATGGCTATGAACATCCCCTTTCACCACGCATATCGTGAGGGTGCCAGCATCCAACTTCGAGCGAATTGGCTGTCTCTCCGAGATTATGCGTGCACAGCCAGGTATGCAGATGTCAATGATTGTATGCACTGGTCATTGCAGATAGCACACCACACCAGACGGGCTCCGAGTAGTACCGTACTATTTTTCGATGTTGTTATATTACACGAACGCGAACGTAGGGTGTAGTAGGCCTGGCCAGTACTTAACGGTTACTTTTTGTGCCTACGATCCGCAGCCGAACCTGCAGCGGGTGAGGCCGGGCGTTTATAGTATCTTCTTGGTACTGCCACCTGCCGAACCAGCAGGGGTGAGGAAATTGCATGGGCCACGAAGTTCCTCGCCCCTGTACAAGCGCATACTATAAAATTGCAGTTTGCAACGTCAGAAGTATCGATTTAAGTAGTTTAGCTGACTGAATTAGTTATGCGGACAGTATTGCCAGCGATGCAAGAGGCTAAGTGTCGAAAATTAACGGAAATTACTACTTTAGAGGCGTTATCGATAGACTAAACTAACAACATGATTGGGCGATGCCGATGGTCGAACGCGAAAACTTCGCCAGGTACCAGGACCAGGGGCATTAATCCGTCGAGGGACAACAACCAGCTCGATTGGACGGAGTGCGTGTCTATTTTTGCAGCTCGGAAAATAAGACATGACCTCTTCTCCAGATTTCTCTTGCAGTCTGTCCTTCTTCAACTTCGTCAGATCTCGTGAGCAACTTGGCTACGGTCATACTCCGTACAACCGTTCAATCGACAACTTTATTGGATTCTTTTCGAGGTAGACTACCCAAAGGCCTGCCGGGGAGTCCAGTCGGTTCGACATCCAACCCTCCAACGGTTTCACAATTCGGTCAGCCGTAGGGTGCTTCGGACCCAGCATTACTCGATTTCTTGGCTGAATTAACTCGACACAAACCTCACATCCCTCAGGAACGAGGAGGCACCTGAAGAAGGAGAAGAGAAAGAAAGGTCCACGAAACGGTCACCTTCGACGGCCTGCACCCTTACATGTGCACTGACCAGATCCAAAGACCTATCAATCTACTATCCTTTGAGCAACCGTGGTAAGGGTTGGGATCCGACTCGCCAATTGGCTCCCGTCCTCGGTCAGATAGAAACAAGCATTGCCACACCGACTAGGAATCACGAACGGGCTGATGGCAGCGGTCAGGCGGAAGAATCTTTAACATTCATTCTACACTCCTTTTCTACTATTTCCAACTAGTTGTCACTCTTTATTCCCCTTCTTGTTCGTTTTCCACCAGGAATCTTCCGTTGAGACCGGGAAGACTTCGAAACCTTCGAAACCTCGAATTTGAAACATCACAAGTCCTTAGTTGCCCAATACGATCATTATATACCGTTACAGCTAGTGTGAATACTTCCAACTTCGCCCCAAGACTACCACCTTCGCACTTGATCACGCCCCACGGAATTTTTTTCTAGATTTATTCTATCAGATTGTTTTCACTTTCGCCGTTATACCTTACCTGTCAAGGATAGTAGAATCAAGAGAGGAAATTGGCAATTGTCTAGCATATATCTTCTTGTCTCGGGCTCCTGCATACGAATCATTTCTTGGATCTAATCCCGACTGTAACTCCAGGTAAGCACATAGCTTTCTATACTCCTTCCATGAATTGCGAGCCCCTCCCGGACAAGAAATCCCATTACCTTTTTTAATTCTAGGTAGCGTACTTATCAAAAATTTGTCATAGGTGTAGTCTTACAAGAGCGATAATTAATACCACAACCAAGGCGTTTACCAACAATCCACACTATCCTACCACCCCTTTCCTCCTCTTCTACCTTCTCGCCTCGGTCGGTACACAGCCTTTCTTGATCTAGAGGGAGATCTAAATTAGTTTGGTTTCTCTTATAATTTTTTTTTTTTTCCAATCATACACAAGAAGTTGGGGGGTGGGTTACCTTGTTCGTGATGCCATCTCGAGTAGCACGAAACAGAAGTCCTTTTCAATCCGTGCACACTGATCTAAAATTTGGCTTGAAGGAATAATCTCGAATATCCGCTGTATATTCCGAAGGAAGGGAATTTGAAATTGGATTTATTCTCCGACCCGGTACACACCCATCACGCCGCCCAGTCCAACCCCTCCCTTCACCTTTCCATCTCTCTCACCTATACACTCGTTTTAAGGAAAGCAAAGGAACAATCTTTTTTGGAGTGAGTGGGGGAACGTTTGAAGGCTGAAAGCTATTACTATCCTTTAAAACGTGGCAAGGAGATTAAGCCTATAATTTCTAGTTATTTTTTATTTATTTTTGTTTTCGGACTTTCCATCGACGGTTCTGGACCTTCCAATATACTAGGTGGCGGCGTTGGCCAGGTTTTAACGACTACTCGAGATCCAAATGGTGATCCTCCGCGATGCACCGTTTGCAGTTCGATATATTCGAGTCTTCTCGGCGATTGCTCTGCTATTATCGGTAGCAAGCACTGTGCTGCTGTCTATGATAGCAGTATATGCATGGCTGGGTAGTTCTCAACTACGGATACCATTTGTGATCGCAGGGGTTTTCAATATCATATCGACGACATTGATATTAGTTTTCTCGTTATGGCAGTTCTCGGTATTAGTGACGGTGTTATCAGGAGGGTTTCCATGCTTTGTTATTGCGGTGGCCACTGGAGGTCTATGGAGTGTTAGCGTTCTACAGTTTAAGTGGCTACCGGACACGGTCGTGGTTCGAGATACTAGATGGATTTTAACGGCAGCAATTGCAGTCTGGGTTCTGAAACTGGCGCTGGAGGTTATCTTTTGGACGCTGTTAATTGCTTTGCGGTACCGACGTTCTACGCTGCAGAAAGAGGATGATATCTTGGACAGGCATATCGATAACCTTGAGATAATGGAGACAAATGACGACCGTCCAGCATCCTCGCGCTCGATAACAAAGCCTGGGGAACCCCGAGTACCTCGACAAACGGTCCTCATAGCTCATGCACAGAAGAATTGGTCAAGGCCATTCACTAGGTCTGCAAGGATATCCACATTCTCTCGAAATAGTCCGATCCCCCCAGAACGGCCTCCTCGCTCACCTCCCCGTTCATATCCACACAACTTGGAACCATCTCCATTCGCACACTCCTCGACAAGTCTCCCAGGAAATACTTCTCCGTTCCTTAACCTCATCAACCGACCGAAGTCGAGGGCACCGGCATCTCCAGCACCGATAGCTTCCCCACTCTCAATCGCAGAACGGGAAGCTTCGAAAATGGCAGGTTTTGACGAGTGGGATACTTCTGAACTTCCAATGCAAGATAGGATAGCATACTCCATCGCGGCAGCAGAGGCAACAAGCCCGGATCCAGGTGCACCGCCCCATGCGCGTGGCTCTCCAACTGGGATTACGACCCGTAGTCATAGAAGCTCTTCTATGCCTACACCACCTCGTACGCCTCCCCAACCACGTCCTCGAACAAACAGCATGGGAAGCAACAGCGGCGCTCCAGGAACAGCCCAGCGCCAAAGTCAGACTATCCTTGCACCAACCCCAACATTAGCGCCTCTTACTTCGACCCCGACAGTTAGTCTGAGACCGTTCCCGATCTCGATACCGTCCCAAATCAAGGGTATGGGCATCAATATTCCTCTCTGTGACTCTCCAGACCGCGAACACCATAGCGTCCGCCTAGCCGCTAGTCCGTTACAGAAAGCACACTCCCTCCGCGAAGTCGAATCCCATAACCGCGACAACAGCTCAAGCACCCACAGCTCCAGTAGCGATTCTCGTAAAAGCAGCATGGATAACAACCCTCCCAGCGAGGAATCTGAGGAAAGAACAACAGCTTGGCAGGCACGCTGGGCAGCAACACTGGAACGCAAAGTTACACCTCCGATGCCTGGGTTCGAGATTAGCCCCGTTGAAAGCATGAGACGGATGCGCGTAGAACGGGAGACGCAAAGGAGTAGGCAACAGCAGCACGCCCAGACTACAAACCGTACTCAGCCAGCTCCGAACTCCAATTTACTGGGCGCTACAAGTTGGATCGCAGAAGCAAGTAGCACCAATAGCAGCGAAGCTGGTACGGAATCTGGGATGCGTTCGCGGAAGTCATATGTGGCACCGACGACTCCTAATACTGGGGAGTTCCCGAGGAATGTTATCGCCGAGATGATTGATGAGATTCAGGACGGGTTAATTAATAGGCGGTCATGATGAAGGAAACTCTAGGGTGGAAGTCGGATGACGTCTTTCTTTTTCTTTTTTCCTTGGTTATATCTAATTATATATGGATGAATGCTGGCGACTTCTATTTAACGACGCTTGATACGGGATACAAGTATCTACGACCACAAACGCAATAAACGCCGGGAACGTCTTATTTCAGGACCCTTCTTGACGATTTCCTTTCCCTCTCTCTCTATCTATCTATATCTCATATATTACAACAGATTTTCTTTACCTTTCCTTACCATTTCCTTATATTTTCTTTTTCATAAAACCTCGGAGTCACTTTTTTCCCTTACCATCTATCTCGTCTTCCTTTTGTACGATAATATTAGGGTTCTTTTTTTCTTTTTTTTTTTCTATACGGAGCAAAAACCCGGGGCGATATTACTTATTTTTTGGGGAATATCCAGTTAATGTCTCTTCTTTTATTATCATCATTACTAACATACTAACCCAAGTAGCAACCATTTTCCTTTTCTGCAATATTTGATATCTTATATTTCCTTTACTTCCTTATTTCCTCTACCTCTCTTTACAAATCCACGGCATATATTCCTTTGTTCCGCTGGGTACTTGTCCAGGCTATAACCAACCCCCCTTCCTCAGATTATTTTTTCACTTCTCTGTATTATATATTATTTTTTATTTCCGTTTTTTATTTTTATTTTATTTTAGGATGGGGGTTTATCCTGGGGCAATTATGCAGTTGACGGGTTTCTTTTCCTTTCTTTTTTTAAAGTGGTTGTCGGGTTCGGGACAGGTATATGTATGGCATGCCTGCTTATACTACCCAAGTAGTAAAACTCGGAGAGAATTATGAAATTTGAAAAACAAAAAAAAGTATGAGATATCTTATATCAAATATATCTACACCAGTATTTTACATCCTACGTAAGCGAAGCTTAAGTGCTAGATAAATATACTTAGAACAAGGGGTCGATGTATGTATGTATGGTGATCATGAATATGACGTCGACCGAATCGAATCGAATCGAATCATATCATGCTTCCCAAGCAAGATCAAGACAACCCGTTTACAACCCCCCGGACTCTTAATTATCTATGAGTATCTAGATCATGATTAGTTACTAATATCTACTGCTCGTAACAAAACTAACTATTAAATAAGAAAAATAACAACGACGAAGTTGACCATGCGCCCAATATCCCGATGACGAAAATACATAAGTATATGCAGATGTCTTCGATATTACCTCATGAACTCATAAGACTGCTAGCAATATATTATATTATATTCCTCCTAACAAAGCGACCATTTTTAAATCCCCTGAAATCTGCATATGTAATAGCCAGCCGGTTTGTATTATTTTTATTAAGATATATATATTATCCTTGGGGAAAAGGCTTGGGAGGGGGGCATGGGGAGGGGGCTTTTTTTTTCTCTCTCTTCGTGCTGACGATTATTTTTTGTTTCTTTGTTTCTTTCTTTTTTTGCTTGCTTCCAGGGAAATACTGTATCGGCGTAGTAAATTTTTTTTTTTTTTTGTTTCTTCCTTTTTTTTTTTTTTTTTCAGTTTCCCGACCAGAGATCGTTATCCTATTGGTTGGAAGAGGAGTTTTGACCAGGCAGCGATTGCCCATGGTTGGTTCAATTTCCAAATTGAAAAAAAAAAAACCGAACTGACCGAGAGAAAAAATCAGAAAAAAAAGAATGTTAAAACAGAAAAAAAAACGAACTCAAATGAAAAAAAAAAAAAAAGAATTTAAAAGAAAAGAAAGGAAAAGAAAGGAAAAGAGGGAAAAGAGGGAAAAGAACGGAAAATTACAGAAAAGTATTACCATTTTATTTATCATTTTAATTTCTATTTTTTCCCTTTTCTCGTTTTCTTTCCTTTCCCACCCCACGGAAGGAAAGGGAACGGAAGGAAAGGAAAAAAAAAAAAAAAAAAAAAAAAAACCGTGAACATACTAGTACCGAATGATAATAATAATATAAGCTCCTCAGATGCCCCCTCCATTTCCTGGAACTCGAGTTCGAGTTCTACTACCCTTCCTTTCTTTCCCTGTCCCGTACTTATCTTTGCAGACTTTTACATATCATTTCTATTTGAATCTTTCGAAAGGGTTGGGATTCTGATCGTGTGTATGTACCTATTATACTTAGTAAGTAAGTACGTATACTGCATATTCCACACTTCCAGCTTTTGAACGAACGAGTTCTTCTTCCTCATGACCTAGATCGATTCCCTGCATCTTTCGACTTTTTTCTTTCTTTTTCTAGAATTCTTTCTATTCTTATCTTTCTTCCAAAACCCTTTCCTCTCTACTTTATATATTTTTTCAAAAAAAAAAAACTTCAGCTACAATAACTATTCCGGACCAACCAGCAACTACTCGAACTCGACAAAGACGACATCTTCACACTGGCTCTTCTCGCCCCAACACCGGAGTCCACACCCCGGCTCCTTGTGTCACCAAAAAAAAGCCACACGATCAACACAATACAACCTCACCTCAACACAAAAGTTTCACAACCACCCAGATTAACACGAGATTAATAGCACAATGGAGATCCAGCACCCCCCTCCACCTCTCCCTTCAATCTCAACCCTCCCTTCCCTCTCTTCTCCCCGCTTTACACCCATAGCAATAGCTCCAAAACCTTCCTCCTCATCATCATCATCATCATCATCATCATCAACATTATCAACATCAACATCATCAAAATTATTAACAATCCCACAAACAACAATGACAACAACAACAACCACAACCACAACCACAATCCCCAAAACCCCACCCCGAGAACTCTGGACCGAACCAGAAAAATACGATCTACTATGGTCTATAATCCTCTCCACAGGTCTAACAGCGACTACAATACCATGGCGCAAAATAAGTCTTCCAAGAAATCATACACAACCTTCCGCGCAGGTTGTTGTTCAGGATATTGCGTTAGGAAAACATCATATTACCCATCCGACTTTTACACCGTCGAATAAAGCGGGCGTTGTTATGGTTGCTAGTAGGGATTTACAACATACTCATCATTATCATTATCATCATCATAACAACAATAATAATAATGGTGTTAACAATAAAAGGCTGGAGGCTGGAGTAAGGGGGAGTAGTAAAAAAAGAAAGTTGGATGATGATAACGGTAGTAGCAACGAAGAGAAGAAAGTGGATTATGACGAGAAGAAGGAAGTTAAAAGGGAAGAAGAACAAGAAAGAGTACCAATCTCAAGGGACTTCGAAGATACCCACCACCAACATTCCTCATCGTTATCATCATCTTCACTATCCCCCCCAAACTCCTCCATATCATCCCCCAGTTCTCCAATCTCAAATCCAGACCATCACCATCACCACCAACCCTCCACCATAACAACTACAGTCCCAACAACAACAACCACAAAACCAAAACCTCGAAGACGTAGATCCACCTCCCCTCCCATAAACCTCGACCTCTCAAACCCTCAAATAACATCCTACCTAAAATCCTCCGGCTACATGAACGAAGACGGTACTCCCGTCAAAAAACGTCGCGGAAGACCCACGAAGGATCCCTTCGGACTCAGCGTCACCCTCAAAAAACAATTAATGAGAATGGATCCCAACGCCCCTCCCATGAAGAAAAGGGGGAGACCGCGTAAAAGGTTTTTGGATATCGATAGTGGTAATAATAGTATTATCAAAAAGAGTTATAGCGGTGGCGGTGGTGGTGATGGTATGGGAAGAGATGACGGGAGTATTTCTCCGGGACTTAGGGAAGCTATTGAAAAGATTGGAGAGGAGATGGTTGAGGAGTTGTTGGTTCAAGGGAGGAGTATGAGAGATACTGATGATGATGAAGATGAAGATGAAGAGGAAGATGTGGAAAGTGAAGGTTACGATGGAGAGGTTTCGGGGGTATGGGAGGGTGATGAAACGGGAGATGAGGAAGAGAGGGATGTAAGACAGGAAAAAGTAGAAGATACAGCAACAGACGGTGGTGATAAGCCAGAACGCATGGCTATTGATAAAAGGGATGAAGCTGGCTCGTCACTCGTAAAGGCGGAGGAAAGCCTTCTAAACAAGGGAGGGAGTGTACCCACCCGAAAAGTCGAGAAGATGGCAGTCGACAATCTAGTCGAATAACCATAGACTCATACTAATCGGTTCAAGTCGTAAAAATATCTTATCATGTAACCTTTGGTCTAGGTTATATATTTCTTTTTTTGTTTTGTTTTTTACATCTGGCATTTCCAGGATACCTCACAGCTCTAGATAGGCATTTACAAAGGAGTTCGTTTTTTTCACGGAGTTTTTTTTGGATGTATCTACAATGAATACTTTATATTTCAACTTGATATTATATTATATTATATTATATTACAACTAGGAAAGAGACTTCCAAGTACTCCTGTGAAGCTTTATCTCAAATAACTAAACCGTACGCCACCTCCTACATATACACACAGATATAAATCTACCATAAAACGCCAACCCCACATATATATAATATATAACCCCTCCTTCAACCCCACCCCACCTCAACCTCAAAACCTACACCGAATATCAAAATCTAAATAATAAGAAGTATATAATATACTAAATATCCGCTAATAATTCAATTAAACATTTTACTTTTATGCTATATCGCAACCACTTTTTGTATCACAAAAAAGAAACAAAAAAGCAGCAAGCAAATTACTAAGAAAGCGATATACCGCATGAACTCGAGATCGGAAAAACAAAAACGCTTTTCAAAAGCATGCAAGAAAATATATCACGATAAAAAAAGGGGGGGAGGGAAGACCGGCTGTTTAAGAAAATGGGCTTTTTTTTATATATCCAAGAAGAGAATGTGGGTGTACGGTCAATCTGTGTCTCTCCGTCTTTCTGCTTGGTCTGTCTGTGTCTGTCTATTACCCAACCATTCTTTCGACACGCTCTGCTTGCTTCTTTTTCATCTTTCGATATATATGTATATGTATATATCCTCAACTTCAGCTAAGAAAATGCATCGCATAATATAAAAGCGGAGGGGTAAAAGTAGAAGGTATAAATAGAAATAAATACGAATAAAATAATAAGTAAGAATATAAAAAAATAAAATAAAGATAAAATCTTATAAAGAAAATAAGTTAAAATAAAATAAACTTCTCCTCCCACCAAACTCTTCAAAATATTCAATAAGAAAGCCACCACCACCACTCCACCTATCGGTGAATAAGAAGAAGAAAGAATAATAGATAATAAGATAAAGAAGAGGAAATAATTAGAAATACACCCTCCTGATTTGGTATGGATCTGATCTGTACATATGATGATAATGATGCTGATAAAAAAAGTATGTGCTTGAAAATATGGGATGAAGACAGAGAGAGAGAAAAAACGGAATCTATATATGCAAACGATATCGCGCCTTTGGAAGAAGAAGAAGAAAGAACAAATTTGGAACGGAAAAAAAGAGACACCCTACTTGTGCGAAGCAAAAAAACTCATATACCATACCACCTGGGGAAAAAACGGAAAAGAAAGAAGCACAAAAGATTTGGAACATACAAATAGATAGATATTGACAAGAAAGGTATAAAGGGGTTTCATGAGAAGGAAGGAAGAATAGAAATTAAGAGAAAAAAACAGGGTTTCATAAAGAATATATATACCCGAGAAATATATAAGATGAGCGGTGAGGTGTTTGGAGATAGTAGTTGTAAGTAGGTTGACAGTTTGAGTTGAGAGAGAGGTTTTTTTGAGTAGAGATAATAACAAAGTGTACTTCGATCTCTCGAAGGTACAAATTGTAAAAAGGGGGAGGGAGAGAGAGAAAAGTCCATGATTTCTCAGGCATATCCTCATGTAGATGCGGAGGCGGAATTGGGAAGTTTCCTTCTTTCTTTCTTGTCGCTATCGTGTATGTTTTTTTTCGTTATTGTCATTTTTGTGCTCCGTTTTTTTTTGTTTTTCCCCGGTAAGGAATTGAGAGGAGATAGTTGAGCTAATATTCGCAGTAAGAGAACTACTGCAATTGTTGCAAGTAGTTAAGATAAGAGTAGAGTAGGTGTTTTTCTTCTTCGTTCTCGTCAATTTTGAAGTCTTCCCTTCTCAGGGTCTTCTTTATCGTTGTATTATTGTTCTTTTTGTTTGAAGGTTTCTTCGGGATATGCCTCTTTCGGCAGCGAATATCGTTCGACTCGAGTAGAGTAGGTATATAGATAGAATCGATGACGATGGTGGTGAATGAGTAGAGAAGTCTCGACCGTGTGAAAAAAAATAAAGATAGCCCCCGTTGAATAATTCGTATGCGTGCCATTTGTTGCATTTTTTTTCCATCGGGTTTTCGTATAATATATCGTCGAACACCTCTCCAAAAATGATTCCAAGCAAATTCAATATAAAAAAAATATAAAAAAAACGCCAGCGCAAAGTTCATCACCCTCTCCAAAAGAAATCCCATAGTATAACACTCAGACACACAAAAAAAGCAGTTTCCCATCCCATCCAATCTATTAAAGTATGCAAAGACCACACCCTCCCAGCCAGTTACACGCAAAACCAGAAAAGCAAATCAAATGACACGCACGCATAAAAATGATGTTCCAAAACGGGGGGGTTTTCACAAGAAGTCAGAGGAAAAAAGCGGTCGTCTTCCCTTTTTTTTTTGTCACTCTCATCGATTGGCCACTCATTCATCACCCAATATCACTCAGGTTCTTCATGTTCGGTCTCAAAAGAATCATCAAGCACATGTCAGCAGCAGCGGCGGCAACAGTATGCCAGATCACCCACACACACGGAGAGATGAGTAGAGAGTAGCAGGAAACAATCAGCAAAGTCAAGTCGGGTCAAAGTCAAGCCAAATCACACATGCACAAGCACCAAATCAATCAATCAGCAAGTTGTCAATCTCAGTCAAAGGTCATCAAAAAAACGCCATGTCCCAGAAAGAAGAATCAATCAATAAGAAAAAAAAAGTCAAGAGTTTCAAGTTTTCCCAAAGAGTCACCCGAAAAGAAGTCAGGAGAGGCACGGAGAATTGGCAAAGAGAAATCGTGGCCTCGGTCCCTGAATTGTTTTCGGGGATCTTTAGTAAGTCTTGTCTCTTATACATTTCGTTTGGTTCTGGTTATTCCTTATTTATACATGATGTTTCCTGGGAGTGAAACCCCTCCGAACCGGAGAGGAAAGCAAAGAGAGCCACCAAAGAGTGACTCATTTCAAACCCAAGGATACAGAAGAGAAGTGTAATGTAATAAAAAGAAATATAAAAAAGTTCTTAAAAGAAGTTTGCCGGCCAAAGGAAAAAAAAGAACAGAAAGAAGCTGCTAGAAAAAGCATCTATTTTTTTCCGCCCGAAGAATAGGAAAAGGTAGGAAATAAGTTTTGGTGTTGAAAAGTAAGATAAAGGAAATGTGGGGAATTGAAACAACAAGGGACTGTGGATGACAAGAGTAAGGAAATAGTAAATTTGAGTAAAGAGTGTGAGCTTAACCCTTGGTTATTCGAAGACAAGAAAGACTCCCGTTGGAAGTGTATAGAAAAGAAGGACGCGATAAGATTCATTTGTTTCCAAGTGAACCTCACAGCGGTAAAGCGCGAGATAAGGAAATACTCGCTGTTGTTTCTTCTTTTTTTTTCTGTACAACTGCCAGTGATCATCGGTAAGTGTTTCTTTCTTCGGATCAACCAAATAAGTTTGAATCCAAAAAAGTTGTTAGCTTTTTCAAGTTTTTTTTTTGTACATATACCCAATCGACTTGACTTTCAACTACTCTTATTCAGAGAGTGAAAGGAGGCGAGGGATATCTGCCACCGACCTGGTATTCAGCCATTGGATCGGGAGCAATTTGTGGATTTCAGTGTTAACAAGAAACAGCGCAAAAGAAAAAAGATGACCCCCAAAAGAAGAAAGAGAATCCGTTAACACCGAACCACCCAGAGAGAGAGGAAAACATAATACAAAAAGGAAAAGAGGAGCGTGGTGGAGTTTGTTGTTAATATATATCGCTAAAAATTGACCCGTGATAAAAGAAAAGTGAAAAGTGGTAGAGAGAAAAAGTGTGGTGAGTTAAAAGTTGTAGATAGTAGTTGGTACGTTCGCTGCTGTGAGGGTATCCGCTGAAGTAGTAGGCCGAAGAGTATAGAGAAACAAGAGTAGTGTGTATAGTCGTAAATAAGCAGAAAGAGGGGGGTATGTATAACTCGATAGAAGCTCGTTCTCGTCAGTCCGAAGAAAGCGTCGAAATCCAATTGTCCAAGGGTATCTCCAAACCGGTTTGTTTTTCAAGGATGGGAAGAACTTCCATGCCCCCTATCTGAAACACTAGATAGTTGTTTCTGTGAAGCAGTTATATGTGGAAGTCATCCCAACCTCCGGTAACCCACTCGGAATCATCGTCGACCTCTTGCTCAACCTCGATACCGAAGACGTCATCATCGATAAACTTGTCCTTGATGACGCTTTTGGTAGTGGTGACCTTCTTGTCGGCACTCCAGGTACGGGCATTGTTTTCCTTGACACGTTGCATGGCAAGTTGTTCTTCCTCCTCATCCTCGTCGAAGATATCACTCCAGCTCATAGAGACACCGGAATCGGCCTTGCTGGTATAGGTGACGGGCTTCTTGGAGACATTGATGGGAACACTTGGGATGGTAGCATTGGAAACAAAGGTAGGAGTGACAGGGGACAAAGTAGGTTGAGCCTTAACGCTGGTGTTGACACTAGCAAGCTTGAAGGGCTTTGGAGGGATGATTTCGATGCGGGAGTTGGAGAAGTAAGAGACAGCCTTGAATGGGCTGGACTTCTTGGGCAAGGAAGAAGGAATAGACATGCCAAGGCCAGAGTCATAAGACTCTGGTAGGTTGATTTGCTTCTCGGCTGAGGGGACAGCAACGTACGGTTCATCGTAAATCGTGGAGAGCTGTCGTTGGTGGGTGTTGTTGAGAGCTTGAGCCCATGGGAAACCACCACCAGCAACTGGTTGAGGAGCCGTGAGAGATGGAGTTCGGAGTGGCTCACGGGTGCTGGCAGTAACCTGAGCGTCACGATCTTCGATGCAGTAATCATCGTACATCTCGTCGTCAGTTGACCAAGCAGTAACATTCATAATCGCAAGGCGAACCATCTCCAGAGAGCGCTTGGATGGATCGAGTTGAAGGCAGTGGTTGAGGACCTCGTAGGTCTGCTCAGACATTGTCGGGAAGATATCGAACAAAGTTTCGCGGTCATAGGAGAAGTCACGGAACAATGGATCCTCACGGGTTGGGATGGTAAATGGGTTGCGAGCGAAGAGAACGTTCAACAAGCAGATACCGATAGACCAGATGTCAGCCTTTGCGGGTTCGTAAGGGCCGGTGGAGGGATCATATTGTTCTGGAGCCATATATCTGTCGCTTCCGACGCAGACGTCGTCGGAGAGCTTGTCCGTAGTGGCCAAACCAAAGTCACCAAGCTTGATGTCACCCTCATGAGTAAGGAAGATGTTCTCTGGCTTGATGTCTCGGTGGTAGACACCCTTGGAGTGCATGTGTTCAACGGCTGAGAGGAGTTGCAACATGAAGTCGCGAACGTGCTCAGTCTCCAAGGGTCCTCTGTCAAGGCGGATGGCCTCGTACAAGTCACCCATTGAGCAATACTCGAGGACGATGAAGAGGTGCGAGCTTGTCTCAAAGGAGTGGCGGACATTGACAATATGGGGGTGAGTCCCGAGCAACGAATGGTAGTAAAGCTCTTGGGCATCGTCGTCGAACTCGACGTTGCCTTCGTTAGCTTGCTTGACGAGACACTTGATAGCTACCAAATCGTTCTCCTGGACGTCACGGGCAAGAGAGACCATACCAAAGGAGCCATGGTTGAGTGGTGAGATCACTTCATAACGGCTATAAAAGTCGTTAGTCAGGTTCGTAGACAATTGAGGGAGAGCTTTAGGAACATACTTGTCAAGGAAGGATCCAACTCTAAGTTGATCTTTGATAGACTCCATTGGTAATGATGAAAAATGATAATGACCTTTGTTCGTTTCTTGTAAATGTTTTTTTAGAGATTAAAAATAAATGTCGACAATGTCGGTGTCTGTCTAAATGAGTGCTCGGGATCGATCGTGATCAAACGCTTCAGATCAAGAGACACACAAAAAGTTTCAACCAATGAATGACCTTTCAAAGGACTTTCCTTAAACCGGATCCAAGCCGAAGCGACTTCGCTGGGAGGTTTTGTGACTAGGAAGCCTTGATAGTAGATATATTTGCTGATATGCGATTGTTAAAGAAGGGAGAGAATGTTAAAGGCTCGGGAGTGTAGATGTTTGACGAGGAACTACCCAAGGTGGTTAAAGTCGTGATAAACCAGCTCCTGCCTGGGAGAAGAGAAAAGTCGTTAAGGTGGTATGGTGGCGGAAGGACGCTAAAGCAAAAACCGAGAAACTCCTAACTGCTGTTATCGTGTGCATATGATGTTGTTTGTGTGGGTCGAAGGTATAGACCGTCGGTTATAAAGATGTTGAGGCTGATTATTGAGACATGAAGAGATTGGTTTGGGGGGGTATTTGATAATATGGTTGATATGGTAATCCGAACTGCAAAAAAGACGCCTGGCTGCACAAAAAGCTAAGAAAAAGACTAAACTCCTATTGAATATCCAAAAAAGCTGAGAGAGAGGTGTAAAGAAACGGTCGTTAAAGAAGGATCTTGACTTGGGAGATGGTTGTCTTGGGTCAGGATCCGATGTCGGCGAGCAAAGGCCGAGACGAGAGAGTGATGGAGGGGAGGGAAAGAAGCTGAGAGGCTCTGATTGAAGCTATGATTGATAGATGGATTGATTCTAATAGCTCATATATATCGATGTAGAGGATTGAGATGATTGACTCCTGAAAGGAGAGTCACGAGAACTGTTCAGCTTCTCTTATCATCCAATAACCGATATAGCCTCAGCAACTCCGGACCTGTTGAAACCACGACACCCCACGTTTGTTTCTCTCTAACGATATTTCTCTCTCAAGAGTGAATGGACTTTGTTGGTAGGTAAGTGGGAGGTTGAAGGCGGCCGAGGTTGGTTTTTGAATGTCGACGTTGTGGGGTTTACGGTGTCTCAGGTGAGTTTATTGGATCAGGCTGGAAAGAATGTGAACGGATTTCTTGGGCGAAAAACAAAAGACAAAAAAAAAAAGGCAATTACTGAATAAGTCGAGTTCTGTTTTTTTTTTTTGTCTTTTTTATGTTTTAATTGTTTTAATGGATAGGCAGTTGAAGAATGGAGTTAAGCTGAGATGCTATGGAGCTGAGTGCCAGGCAAAGGAATGTTGACGATGCTTGCCGATGGACTAATGTGTTGTTTGGTCCGAACTTCCTGTTCTTTTTTGTTCGGCTGCTACTCTTTGGACAGAGAAGACTTTTGGATGGTTAGATTGGCCGAAAGGATAAGTTTCGAGATGATACTTGATGGTTGTTGATATCGATGATGATGATAGTGGTAGTAGTAGTTGATGTCGAAGTTGATGTTGAGAGCAAGGAAAGGCTGTGGTCGAAGCAAGAGAATGTAAGTGAGCAAGGAGGTCGGTCGGAGTATTTGTGTGGAGAGTGTGACGGAGAGAGATGAGGTGGAAGAGTGTGTTGTGGGAACAGGTGGGAAGATTAGAGCGATAAAACTGGGACGAAAAAACACAGCAAGAGCAGAGCAGCAGAGCAGAGCAGGAACAGCAGGAGAGAAAAGGGAAGAGAACAAGGAAAAAGAGGTCAGAACGAGTGGGAAAAAGGGTCAAGTGCGTGTATTTGTTTGGTTTCTGGCCCGCAGGGTTAAGGATGGGACGTGCAGGGGGCCGGCGTAGTTTTGGGTCCGACTGATGATGATGTGGAAGGCTGCCAGGCTGTGGACCCCCCTCTGCTCCAATAAATTGGGCTAATCTCAGGTCCCCACCCTGTCCGTTCTGCACCTTCAAGGTCTGTACATACGCTGTCCAGTGTGTCTGGAAGTACCTCGAGCTACTGTGTACTTACTGCATGTACTTTTTTTCTGGTTTCTGTTTTTTGTTTTTTGTTTTTTTCCACAGAGGTATTGGATGCATGTACAGGAGGGTAAAAAAGAAGCTGGTATGGAGGGGGGGAGACAAGTAGTAGATATGTACCTTGTACCCTGGTCAAGATACTCCTTTGGCTGAGGGGAATAAGAGAGGGTGACTTCAAAGGTACTCACCAGTTACAAGCTCTGTCGGTCACTTCCCTCGTCGAGAAGCGGTTGTGCCGCCCTTTAATTGCTTCTTCGAAGGGGGTTGCCGTTGGATCAGAAGGAGGGAAAACCGTCGTTGTCGATGCTGCACTCACTGCACTATCTCCAATCTAGGTTTTAGGGAGGTGATGTATTGTATGTATGTATGTAGGAGGGAAACTAAAAAAACAAAAAAATGTCTAGACTTGACTTTGCGTCAAAAGTCTGGGGAAAGTATGTGAAGTATGTTTCGATGTCGTGTGAGTGTGAGTGCAAGTGTGAGTGGGAGTGTGTGTATAAGATATAATATCATATACGATTGAAGAGATGGCGATGTTGATATAGCACGATCGAGGTAGTTTACACAGTTTCAACATCTCCCTCTCTTCCACTTCCTCTCTTCACTCCCCGGAGTAGGACTGACTCCGGGTTCCACGTCCAGCCAGCCAGTCAGTCGGTCAGTCAGTCAGTCAGGTAAACTTAGTCAGTCAGCTGCCACCGCCCTCACGTACGTCAGTTGTCCTCGAGGAACTTTTCTACCCCCAACAAAATCAAACATTCGATACCTTTCCATCGCGCTGCTTATTCGCTATGGATTGGGCCAAGAACGGTAACCTGCTCTTATTGGTACCCTTATTGGTAGGTATTAGACCGAACCATAGCACGGAGAGTTACTATTAATTACTACTTCCCGACACAGGTTCATTTTAACATAATGTTAATTGTCTGAAAACTCCCTCGTTGATACCAACCGGGGGCCAGTCGAGACGAAGGGGTACCGAGAATCCGATCTTGCGCTGGTTATTACGTTGATTTGTGGCCATAGCTTTTCATTTCATTTCTGACACCGGCTGTGGGTGTCGTAGTGTCCAACAGTACAGAGTATACCATACTTCTCAGTACTCCGGTGGATGTACTGTACCGCTGGTCGATTTCGATATTTGATATCACTCTCGCCATTCAATAATACGTTTGAGCAGGCTGTTATTTCACCATCCTTCATCAATTACCAACCCTACCTCTCTACCTCTTTCCCTTTCAGACCCTCCCGTCGAACAAAAAGGAAAACGGAAACTTAAAAAACAAAAAAGAAACGGGTGGAGAACAAGCTGCAATGCATCGTTTTTGCCATCATTTCCACCCTCCAAAAACATACCTCCATGTATGTATGTATGTACAATGTACCTGCTGGAGGGGAAGAAAAAGCAAACCCTCCATCCGTTCGACACCACCGACCTATTTTTGCCTGGAACCGGGGCCTGGTTGGCTGGAACGGGGTTTCTTTCTGGGTGAGGGGTGGTGGTTGGCTGTGGCCGAATGATGCACCATTTTGTGTCTGATGGAGGGCGGCACCGCGTCATCATTGGTCCGCAAAACGATGGCGCTGGACCTTTTCTTGTGTCGTCCTGCAGAATCCGCTAAAGAAGGATGGTCATGTCGTGCTGCCCTTTCTTTCTTCTTTCTTTCGTTTTTCCATGCTTGCTTGCTTGAGCTGGCTCTGGCTCTTTCGATGAGGTTCTGTTAATTCACCACTGTTCGACCGGTCCTCTTCCCTGCGCCATCCTTCACCCCCCCGGCCTGCCACCACCTGCATGTCGACGTTGGAATTTGATTCGAAAGAAACTGGGTTATTGGGATTCAGCGACATGCACAAAATCCAACAACAATTGCTCTCGCGACTGGCCGTCCTATCTACGTGCTTAGGATTTTTAGCTTTTGATGTTTGACATCCATGTGACATCGTCGCCGGAAGCAGGGCAAAAGGCAGGGCGGTGCAGCGTGTAATTCATTTTTCAACAGACGGAAGGTTTCAAAGTCTATACACAACATGAGATTCACCGTTCACACGGGAGCGGTATAATGAAATTGAAGGGTAGGATTATGCGATTAATCTTTTTTTAATAATAAGTTCATGCTACACAGAGCGTTTACCAAAAACCCGTTTTATTTTATTTTTACTTGCTTGTTCAAGGGAAGGGAAGGGAAGGGAAAAGGGTCTCGGCCAGTCTCCAGGTACTTGTGGCCCCGCTGCCGAACTAGTACTATGGTCAACTTCGCTGCTGGCCGTACGTAGTACCTTCTATGTCGGTCAGGCACCCATCTAACTATGAACGAAAAAACTGCTGCATCCGGAGAATGATCGATACAGAAAAGTAACAGAACGGGTCCCATGATCAGACCATGAACTGGACCCTTTTTTGCTTTCCATTGCGACAGGCCTGGCTTTGAAGAAATCCCAACAAACAAAAAAAGGACAGTAACTCAGTTCGGTCGGGTCAGTCGTGATCCGCGTTCTCGGAGGACCGAAATATGCCGCGGACCAAGGAAACAAATGATCACCAGATTCATGAAAAAATTAAAAATCAAAATCAAAAAAAGTCAATTGACTCAAAAATGAAATCCGATTGAGCAATGAGCTCAAGCAAAAAAGAAGCTGGGAATTATTGGAAGCTCCCCGAGTTTAGCTCGAGCTCTTCCCCAATCAACAAGGAATTTCTGAAGTCGCAGTCATACCACAATCAACATTCCCATAACATAACTTCCTACCCAAAAAGCATCACCGTTCCCCCCTATTTGCTACGTCTATCGTCATAGCACACCACCGTCGCATCCTTTTACTGTACAGTACGGTCATAAGTACTCTTAAGCACGTAAGTACATAGTACATGTACCCATAAAAAATGCACATGCATAACAGATTTTATCCACAAATCCCTACCCTACCCAGTTGTGAAATCCCTTATCCGATAATCTTAATATCCCTTCGGCAGGGTAATTCTTCCCTCCCAAAGATAAGAGAGAGAAATATCGCCCACGCACACACATACAATCCACTAAGATCTTGCCACAATCCCGTCATATCACATCCTGATTCCACGATAACGGGGTGAAATGGGGTGAATGATATCAAAGCGGCGGCGGCCGGGTTGATGAAAAGTTACTATGTAAACATCCCTGAATGAAATGCTTTGACATGAACCACACCCCATCATATCTCAAAACATTTGCTGTTAGATATTCCGCTTGAAGGTATTCGATCCTTTCGTTTTTGGAAATCTTCTGCGGCATCCCTTATAATACAGAAATGGGGGGAATAGCAGATCTTGAGATGGAAAGAGGTCATTATCAGATCATCATCATCATCTAGTTTGAACTTCGATAACACTTTCTGATTCAAAGATGCTTCGGATTTGCATTTTGAATATTAATTATTTACCCCTCGAGCTCTATGTAATCGATTGAAGGTTCACGGTACCCTAAAAAACATCTCAGCGATTCAAAGTACCCCACTTCTGAAATACGAAATAGATTAAAATAGTGAAATGAAATTTGACCTTCCTTCCTTCCTTATCTCAGAAGTATACCCACTTATCATAGCCGATACCGACGAAAACGGCGTGTTTTATCAAGCCATCAAGAAACCAAAACTAAATGAACCGTCTACGAGTGTTGGATATATTAAATCTAACCCAGGCCGGGTAGGGATAAGGGCGCCATTCCAGACGATGTGCCGTCCCTTTTGGGTTCAAAAGGTTAGATAAGCACGCCATTCAAGCCGTCTCGTCTATCACTACTCCGTATGTACCTATCTGATTATCAAATACCTTTATGCTTCATGCACTAGTCCTTCGGGCAGTTATAGTTCATTAACAGCCGGTTAGGTTTTTGTATATCCTTATATAACAACATATCATGTGTCTAAACAGAATAACTCAAAAAACTCCTGTTCATCGGATGGTTGTTCGTTCGATATATGTTCCTGATTCAGGAGAAGCGAGGAAGGTTCCCCGCATTCGGTCGTTTTGGGAGTTTAATGATATTCTAGGCCATGGCGGCTGCAGACAGACTTCCCCAGTAACTTTTTTTTCGTATATCATTCGCTAGCTTTTGTCAAAAGACTATTCTTAGCGAAGAGAGAAAGAAAGGCACCTGACGTGACATTTTTGTTTCTAAAGAAATTCTGTTGGGCGAATTAATTAATCAAGACGTCGACGTAGCGGATATACGTACTCCGGTGTCGCATTACGAGTATTGACTGAGGCGCTGGAATTGCTCGGATGCCGTATGACCACGATCCCCCCCTAAAATCGGAGAATAAAATGAACTAAAGCGCGAATAACCCTTACCACGTAAAAAAAAGTACCAGGGTTTAAAATTTGATGATGAATTGACCACTTCGATGATTCTGGAAGCTAAGTTAGAAATAACTAAATTGTGGCGATTGGTCATACTCGGATCACGATATCAATTGGAACCGAACGGAAGACGGAGGCCGGTTTTCGGCCGGTTTGCACTTGGATGCCACGATGACTCAACCGACAGATCTGACAGATGTTTATGATCGTTAATTGTCGTCTGAAGCAAACTGGAACCGGGGCTGGCTGCAGGAACCAAACATGGTCAATCGAATCGAATCGAACGAACATTCCAGCCAGCTCATTGCTGTTATGCAATGTCGGTATGTGACAGCTTCTTAGCTAGCTTCCTAGCTCAATTCCTATGCTGTGCCTTGCATTCTCCGCATTTCAATACCGAGTCGGCCGGCAGGATAACTATCATCATCATTATTATCATTATGACCGGCGGTGGCCTTCTCGTGTGATAATTTGGATATCGCATCGCATCTCTTCATTCCGACCTTGATATCCAAACAATGTAATAAGGTATCAATCGATCACAATTCGAAGCTATTAATCTGTTAATTAGTTAATTGACCCGAGTAATGCAGCAGTGAACAACTCAGCTCAGCTCCACTAACACGGCTAAATGATAGCTGTCCCTGAAGAATTCGAATTGAGAACATATGTACTAAGTATACGTACCGGATCATTTACCGGACTGTGCTCTGTACTATGTAGTGGTGGTGGTCTTAGCTTGGGTGGAAATGCCATCATCGCCATCGACATGCCCCAAACAAAAAGGTTTCAACACTTTTCTCCCCCACTAAACCACTAAATTAAACGACGCTGTTCCATTCCAATCCATCAACTTCCGACACGTATGACGCTTGACGTCCCCCTTTGACCGGCATCTTGAAACTACTCGTCCATCTAGGCCTTAGAAGTTAACCGTTTTGCTCGTGTGAGCTAGGGCCCTTCCTTAGCTTAAGTTAACCCCAAGCTGTAACGGCCAGCACATAACCTCCACCGCCTCAATTCAACCCCGAGTTCCGGCTCCAAAAGGTGGCTTCTCGAAGCTCTGAACGGAAGATGTCAGCGGTCAAAGCCGTGCTATTGGACATTGGTATGTTTCACAGAATGCTTTCCTTCTGCATATACATTACGAGTAATATGCACTGCAAGAAATTCTCGTCCTTTCGTCTGTGCGATTCCATTGGGTCTTCTCAAAAAAAAAAATTTTTATTTGCTTTGTGCTGGTGCCGCTAGAAAATTCTGCGACCTGTGTGAGGCTGCTGCGGCCGGCTTGTCGGTCCGACTCGGCTGGAACATGTCCGCCCAGTTCAGGGTCGTACAGTCCAGTGCGGTCCAGTCCTCTGTAACTACAGGGGGGCCTAAAATGCAACACGTCGCTGGGTTTAGGATCGTGTAGGTCAGATTGAGCTTACGGATTCAATTATCGATGTTTATGCTATATGCTATACTACTTCGCGTACCCCACCAAAAAATACGTGGCACGACGTTGCGCGCTGGAATAATTGAAGCTTACTCTGCTTCTACCATACTATCATATCCGTGTCTCGGCTTCAGCATACCTACAATACTTCCGATTGGAACCTCTATCATTACCACGTTTTTTACTATTCTCAATCTCTCTGGTATTTCCATGTGAATTTTTGCGAAAGTGGAATTGGAATTTGCTAACTTTTACTTCTCTGATTCGTTGGTAATCACGCGTAGAGGGGACCGTATCATCGATATCATTTGTTAGGGATGTACTGGTAAGTGAGCGTGTATACGTGGAGCTTTAACTTCAACTTCCATTCCGTTCAAGTTCTTCCGGTTTTGCTGTTATATTAGTATATGGTGATTTTTGCTCTGCAGGTTCAATTGCTGTCCTTCCTGTTCGACGGTATCGTGGCGAGCGTGCATTGCATCCGACTCTGAAAGCTCCACTATCTATTCCTTCGCAAATTCCTATTCGCGATCCCCGCGATGTTGGAATCCTGGAGCTTCAATTTCAGCTTCAGCTTCTCTGCTAGTTGCATACCAGTCGCATAAACGACGGTGGCTGGCAAAGCTCATCGGTCGAGGCCTTTTTGATCCCAACAGCCCTCACCTGCCTTTCCGCTGTCCATGCACCGCTTAGCGGTTTCTTTTTTGAAAGACCATCATGAGATCCTTCTTGCGATCTTAAGGATCTTGAAAACATAGATCCCTGTTACGGTATTTTTCAAGATCCACTTTTTTTTACTTTGAAAAAATTTTTCATCCCATCTTTTTGATTATTTTTTTACAACCTGCCTTCCACCTACCTCCCTGTTACGAAGTCCCTCTCCCTCTTTTTTTTTAAAAAAAAAAAAGTTTTGTCCGATAAAAGGCTATATGCAACGTTGGTGAGGTGGCTGCTTACCCACATTATCATCAATGCAATGCGTTGGTGGGTTGTCCATGTCTCCCATCCACCTACCCCGTTTGCTCGCCTTGACATCATCAATGCAGGCTTGGACTTTCCAGAATTGGACCACATTTCCTGTTTGGAAGGTTGAAGAAACGCCGGGATTCGCAGCTCGTGTTGGTGTTTTATCCGGCCCGAGGCCTTTATTCCTACTAGTTATCGTCGATTTCGATTCAATGATACGATTCGATATCTGATGGATGGCCTGCCGGAAAGGAAAGAAAAGGTCCAACAAAGTAGATTATCCCATCTGCACGTTAACTGACGAGTTTCAAACGTGGACAAACGAGGTGTTTCGACGAAATATGCACCGTCGCATCATGATCCCATGACATCTTTCCCAAATACTTCTTCGCAAAGAAAAAATTCCATTTCAGGCGGAAGATATCATCCGGAGCCATACAGATGCGCTCAGAGCTCGCAGCTCTTCCAATCAGAGAATTTGACGAGCGCAGTGTCGAATGTCTCTGATAGGCGAATTAATTAACCTATTTTATTTTTTTTTTGCCTCAGATTTGAGCTTTGACAATTCATAGAAAGAACTCGTGCTTTTGCTTTGTTTGTTCGGGTTATCTCGTTGTCTCTCGTCTGGGCATAATCCATGATGCTTGATGATGTGGAGACGAAAGACAACATTCTGCCGGGGTGGAATGGCCTATCAGTGGAGTTTAGGCTTACTCGTACCATCGAGCTGTTGCGACTTTCCAGTTCGATGTTTACGTATCTTTATGCATGTTTACATTGTATCTCAATGTACTATCGCGAACTGTTTACTGCAGAGCACACACATCCACACGCACACATACGCACCCAGTCGATCCAATAGACCAGCGTCTACGTAACTGCCGGTTACAATGACCAAGTCGACAAAAGAAAATGAGAAAATTAGAGCGAAATAAAGGTTAACAGAACCCTTGTTCGACAAAATAGTTCCCGTACACCCTCCACGCGCTGCCGCAGGTCCTAGATGAAAAATGGGATACTCCTGAATTTGCGCCGTACCGCAACGAGTTTCCTACGGAGTTTAGAGATGAGCGAGAGAAGTTCGAGGCACATGTGAGGGATTTGACGGCCAGAGACGTGAAGATTGCGTATCTGAAAGGGTTGCAAGGTGAGTTTTTTTTTTTTTTTTTTGGTTCTATTCATTCTATGGAATCGTCGATGTCACTTTTGAGCGCCTTAGGTGGGATGATTATGCCTTATCGTCCAATAAACCATACGCCCCAATCGTGATTTTATAGCTTATCTAGCATACAGCTACGAGTAACTAATTTTGGGGGGTTACAACAGGATACCTTTGGCTCACTGCCTACCGCTCAGGCAATATCAAAGCACCGCTCTATGCAGATGTAATCCGCGCGCTCCCGCTGTGGACTTCAAGGGGACTTAAAGTATACATCTACTCCTCTGGAAGCGTACTTGCCCAGAAGTTGTTCTTTGAGTATACGGATAACGAGGCGCAGCCGGATCAACGGGGTTACTTGAGCGGGTACTTCGATACCGTGAATGCGGGGGTTAAGTGGGAGAAGACAAGTTATGAAAAGATTTGTGAAGAGACGGGCATACTGCCTCATGAATGGGTGTTTTTGACGGATAATGTTAAAGGTATGTGCTTTTTTCTTTGTACTCTCTTTTGATTTTACAGTTTGATATCATATGCGAACTTCTTTTGAAATTTTGAGGTCGTTTTTTTTTGGTTGTTTCTTTGAGTTGCGATTTTGGGGTTCGGGTATTTCGGTTCCGACGCTTGGTACCTTTCGGTTGGTAGACGGCGGGTACCGTTGCACTGGGGTTACCTTTTTAATTTCAGGTGGTCTATTTTTGAATAACCGAAGGAGAACTACATATGTACCGACGGTGCAGACCGACTTATTCTGTTGGGAATAACCAAATTTGCGAGACCAAAGACGGTATCCACATTCACAGATCTCATTTTAGAAGGTCAGGAAACTGCGCCGTCGATGGTCGCAAATTCAAGTTCTCGTCCTCCCCCCCAAAACCAAAAAAACGCTAGCCTAGCGGAAAGGCAGCCTTTCGAATTGAAATCTGGGGTTGGACGACACATTTTCGGACTCTTAGCGTTATCGGCTAAGTACTAGCAAGGATGGAATGCAGTCGCGAGAAGTCAAAAAGCAAAAGGGAATAAGCCGAAGGAAAAACACCACAGCTGCTGTTGGTGCTAAAGAAAGGATGAACGAACGAATTTGTGTTAGCGATGGATGTGGATGGGGCACTATTTCCTGCATGCTGCAGGGTTTGTTTGTTCTCATTCTTTCGTCGATGGCGGCGGACGTGGTGCCACCAACATTTTCGTTCGCGTGATCCACCTCTTCCTTCCTGTTTTATTCCGTTTTCCTTTTTATTTTTTGGACGATTTTCTTCCTTGGTTTAGGTTTTTGGGGAACCGAAGGGCGCTATCTATTTTGACGTTTCCTTTTTTTTGTCTTTGAATTTTGGGGGTGGATGGGTGTCTTTAATTCTCGAAGATACAAACATATGACAGCTGATATATTTCCGGGGTTTGCGCAATACGATGGGCTATGGTTGGTCAAGACGGTTACTAGGCAAGGCGCTTGGGAAACCAGTGTGAAGAAGGCGTCCGTGATCGGAATACCCACCCACACACACCGTCTACAGCCCTTTCAACCAGGTCTACCTAGACGGATTCCGGCCTGAGTGGCAAAGGCTCTTGGGGCTGGGCGCCTGGAAGAAGGGGGAATGCTCCTTCTCCACAGGCTGGCAAACTACTTTGGGAAGTGATGTCCCAAGTTCTAGTTCTCGCCGTTACCAAGACTGTGCGGAGAAAAAAGCATATGATGCTAGGCTTGATGGGATAACTCCGGACTATTAGCGAGGGAGCTAATCCGAAAGGCCTTTTGGGAGGAGATCGCCGACGGTGTATGAGCTCGATGGTTCTGTTTGGTGTTGGAACTCGTTTCGAGTTTCGTGATCTTTGGAAGTCGGAGTTCTCCTTCCTAAGCTTCCCCCCTTTGGTTCTATCGCTGGGCTTTACGTTTTATGGTTTTGCGTAGCTTCGCTTTGTTCTTCTATTTTTGTGGACATCTGACAGGTGACTTGGTGGATATATCCGAATGTTATTTGCATTGGGATGTTTGGCATGGGGGGGCTTAAGCTTAAGCTCTGAGCTTGGAGCTCTGGAGCTCTAGCTGTTTGTTCAGCCTTGTGGACGAAGTTTAAGATCTAATTAAGCTTAAATTTGGTATCATGATGGAGAACTAACAATTGTTCTTGTTGGTACTGTTGGCTTCATGCTCCTCCGGTGTCTTCTCAATGCTCAACTGTTGGAGGTTATACTTTCCCTCTATGCCACTGCTTCGAGTTCTACTGACCACCTCAGTATCTTGCATACCTACATACATCCCCACCAACACTGCATTCCCCCCCCAAAAAAAAACACACTATTTTCACGATTTTAGCAAAATATTGCAAAATCGACGAATTGGAGTATTTTTTCTTTCTTTCCGCAATTGTTATGACATGTGTTTCTTTTTTTGTTTCTTGTTTGTGATAACACAATGCATTATGCGGTGTGATTAAATTGTGCTGATGTGGTTGTGGTTGTGGTGGTGGGTGAAATATGTGAAATTGATCACAAGGGAGATTCATGCGCAGATGTTGTTTAATGTCGATTGGATGTTTCTATGTTTCAGAGTTTTTGATTTGGTTTTGTGAATTGGGGGGAAGGAGGGGGTGTTCGGTCATGGGGGGGTGGTGGAGACGACCGTCGGGGTTAGGTAGTGGAGGAGGAGGAGGAGGCCTGGTGCAGCCTGAAGGGTCTTTGAAGATTTCCTTCCTGCTGGGGATTCTTTCCTCGTCCCCTTCCTCGTCTTCTTCCCCTTGTCCCTTTGAAGCTTCTTGATCTTTTTCATTCATCGTCATTGTTTTGAGATTCCTCCCCCTTCCCCAGGGAGTTTCTATCCTTTCGTTCTTTTCTACGAACTTAATTTCTACTACCCCTTTCTTGACTTGCTACAATCACTTTACTCCCCTCTTCTACATCCCCATTTTATACCTTCCCCCCAAACCTCCAAAGCATCCACATAACCCCAAGCTTGCACCTATAACCCACCCCGAAAAAAAACTAACATAAACCCCCTCTAATTTATAGAAGTCGAAGCCGCCACCGCCGCAGGACTCCACGCCAGAATCGTGTCACGGCCAGGGAACACACCTGTTTCCGATGATGATATTCAAAAGTTTGGAGAATTGGTGACGGATTTTGTTGAGGATGGTGGGTTGAAGGAGGTTTTAGGGGTTTAAAAGGTTGAAGGTGTATGGGTAGTGACATGGGGTTCTTGAGGAGGCTTCAACAGCTTCTTGGTTTTTGTAGATGGTAGTGGTGTTTTAACATTAGGATTGGTGGATGGGGGTTATGGTTTCGAGGATATGGATCTATCGATCTGATGACTATGGGATAGACGTAACTATATTAAAAAAAAACCCTAGTTAGGATCAAAATAAACTGTTAAAAGTGGAGTAGATCCTCAGGGTTCAGATATATACAAAGATATATCTTTAAGCATCACCACGAAGTAGTTCAGTTGCCTCCACAGCTATAACTGCCCAGCAGCAAGACATCTGATCTAAATCAAACTCTTATAAAAGTACTTCTACATGCAAGTTAGTATAGTCATGGTATCAGGTAACTCCGTGGTGCCCGACGGATTTATATTATCCCGAGCCAGCTCGTGATTGAAGATCTAAGCTAGGAGAATATCGTGGAAGGTATATACCTAAAGGAATATCTAGTCTGGGGGTTGGTACTAGACGGGGATATATTACATACCTTATCGATATCATGATTTGAATCTTATAATTATAGTAAAACGTTACGGTCTCGTATGAAGGCCTTATAGCTATGCCATCGATATGAAACTGCAATCAAGTTGTCATACACTCGTGTATAGGATATCCGGATTGGAGTCGACAAGCACGCCGCTTGTTGCATTTTTTTAGATACTGTAATTGTTATATAATATACATATATACCTATAACGGATCTGGAGATCTGGAGACAGAGGAGGGTCAGGTAGTAATCGTGTACGTATCAATAGCAGGTGCTCGATTAAAAATAAAATTTAAATTGTAAACCTAGGATGGATATCTAAGGTCTCAAGGGTAACAATATACTAACAAAGGTTTCTTAGTTCTCGATTATTAACTTATTATTATATATTATAAGCTCAGAAAACACAAGTAACTCGATCATGGTAATATAGGATAGTATCGATCGGCTGTATGCAGCTCGAATCACGATATCAATCATACTAGTTGATTAAGTAGCTATTTATGGTTGTTGTATTTACATCTGAAGATATCATCTCGAAGCTTAGATTTGAAACTCGCAGAATTTTTTATAATTATTATGATATTAGTAGAAGTTCGATTAACAAAGTAAGTACCCCTAGCTATGCGTGGGTTAACTGTTCGAGGGGATTTTTGATCTACTTGCATACTTAAGTATATATGTCTGAAAGCTTTTAGAGGTATGGAAGTGGATGTTTCTTATAAGATCTTAAGAGACTGGCTCCTATAACAATTGACCACTCAGTTGGACAGTCCTCGAACTCGGGTACTTACCCTAATTATAAGCTAGGTAATATTTTATAAATGGAAGAAAGCAGTACTTTAAGATGTTTATAGCAGGATACCACGTGCAGAGATACAAAGTTCCTTGTGAGTATAGAAACTATATATAACGAAATTTACAGGTTGATAATACAGTTGTACAAGACTTCACTTCACTTTATTTATGTATAAAACCCTAACTACATACAGTGAAATTCTTGTCTATTACGATATATAGGAAGTTCTCCGACGTTATGATCTAGTTGTTCATTGCACAAGGAGTTAAGTATAACTGGGGATCGTATCTTCGTATCTACAAGTTCAAGGCTTGTTCTATGGGGTGGATAGACAAGTCGTTGAAGCCGTCTGAGTGATTTTTCTAGAAAACTACTTGAGGCCGGTGGTACCATGGTGAAGCTGATGTGAGTTTAGAAGCTAGACCGAGCAGTACCGGATGTTTCGTTGATTTTGAGTTCTGAACGGACTATAAGTGCTGATACAGGGGGTTGGTTTCTGTTTTCCCCCATGAGGTCGAATATTTTAAGCACTTGTAAATTAAGGGAAATGGACGGTGTTCAAAATTGACCGAAAGGAAAAAAGACCCAGGAGGCGCAGTTCATTCGTCTAAAGTATTAAGCGTCGCCAGGGACCATAAAAGATCTATCATACATCCTCCTCTTGTCCTGTAACCACTCTCTAAAGTAAAAAATCGTCACTATATCACACATCGCATATATGTGACCTCCCCACTCCGAGCAGCAATGGCATGCTGCATATCTCCCTCCCCCAAAGATGGCTTCTTTTTTTTTCTTCGGCAAATTTTCCATTATTTTATTTAGGCCGTGAACGAGACCACTTCAACTGTTTAGTAGAAGCTCTCAACCAAGCTGTCCTTCAGCGTGGATTGGACGTTCGACGGGGCCTGTCCTTCACCGAGTCTGAATACCGATTCGATAACCGATAGTTCTGTGGCAGTTGTGTCAAGACCTATATACCACTGTTAGCAACAAAATACAATATCTTCTCAATTTACTTGGAGTATATACTAACCAGTAACAGCCATCCAATCATTAACCACCATACCAGCACCAACAACCGCACTACCACGATTGACGCTGCCAGCAACCAAAGGAACCTGCAACAAACTACTCAACTCATCCTGATCCTTTATACTTGTTTGAGGATGGACTATTCCACCCTGGTTACTCAGAGCACAGTAACTCCCTGTCAGAACATTTTCTGCAATAGTCTGACGGAAGACTTCTACGCCCAGGACATCGGCGACAAGTTCTTCGGTTTCACGCTCGATGTCAGGGTGGACGAGGGCGACGTGGTCGTTGCAACAGATTACGTTTCCGAGGGCGGAGAGACGTTCTTCGATTCGTTGGATTTTTACCGAGTCAGGAAGGGAGTTACGAAGATGTTGGAGTTCTTGGTCGGTGGTGGAGGTGGGGAGGAGGAGACCTTTGCGGTTTCTGGCAGGAGTTTTTGTTAGTGGTTTGAGGGTTTATGGAGAGGCTTGGGAGGGGCTGGCTTACCCTGCCGTTAGACGGCCGATGATTCTTGTGCCAGCGATGGTAGTGTGGACAACTGGAATAACATCTGCAAGTTCGGCTTCAAAGACACTATTGGTGGAAAGTTAGGGTTAGTTTTTCTGATGTTGTAGCGTTTTCGTATGGGACGGCGGGGTCCGGAGGTGGAGGTTACCGCCGTTTCTCTTTAAATCTGTGCTTACCTGTAGAAGTTCTCCGAACCACCGATAGCTACGAGAGCATATGAATTTGTCAACGTGGCGAAGACACCGACTCTGTGGGTTAGAACAATGTTGTTAGTTGTCTATTCGAGACTGTAATGGCGGGGTGAGGAGGGGGCGGGGTGGTGGGGCCGTACTCGTTGGAGTTTTCGAACTATGATGAGAGACTGATGTTAGTAGGGCGATATGAGAACTTGGTGGAGACAAGGCGATCGAACTTACTTGAGCGCGAACAGCCATTGTGAAGTGTGTGTTTGTGATAGACGAGGCTAGTGTGGTAGTGGTGATGATGATGATGAGATGAGGTTGGCGGGGTACAGAAGGGTTTGAAGCTTGTGGACGATTACTAAATGCTTGCGCTGAGTGTTGAAAGCGGCGGAGTTCAACGGCTTTATATCCAACAAAGATATACAAAAAAAAGGACGAATTGAAGATTCAAAGATATAGATAGTCTCGAAAGACCTGGCACTGCACAGAATCTTATATAATTCGCTACTTGATCTTTTTTTGCGAGGGGGTCAGATTAAGGTTGCCTGCTTAGCAAGAGAAGAAATTTCTTTTTCGGGTTCCACTGGTCTGGTTGGCTGCTTCGGCTTAGCGCAGAAAAAAAAAATAACCACGAAGAGCGGCCACCCACACCATCGAACGGATTGAGTCACCGCCCAGAATGGGACTGTCGCACAGCAGCGCTTTCCTGGCTGCGAACCAAACCCCTCTTGCATGCTGTGTCATGGATGAATGACTCGAATCGGCGGGTGGGTTTGGGGAGATGCGTAACCCGTCCTAAATTTTTGCGTGCATCTGCACATTTTGCAGTGTCAAGGCGGGTTGGAACGGGAGAGATACTGGGGGTGAAATCGGGTATAGACGCTCGCTTGAAGGAGGTGTCTAGGAACTCCCCAGTTGGGAAACTGGTATGCTGTTTTGAGGGTGGTGCGTCGTTCCGGCCCGTCGGTCTGACCAAGTTCCGAACTATGAGATGAATAATAATGAGTTCATCGAGGATGCTAAAAGTCGAATTTGCAACTCAGAATTCGTGGATGCGTGTAATTAGTTGGTAGTAGTTTTAGCTAAGAGCATCATTTGCAGGGTTGATTGAGAATGATTGAACTGGTAAGTGCACGTCCGTACTTGAAGAATATATCATATCGTATTTAACTGTGGATGTCTGCATTTTTGAACACGGTTGTGACCAAGAGCTCCACATTCCTCGATTAGTCTTGAGTTCGTTGACTTCAAATCTCAGCCTTCCGCCGACGTGCTTCGGTAACGAGGCCCCAAGGTTTCGCGTAACCGCAGTATTCTGCAGGATCAGAGTGCTCACAACCCCTCGGCAAATATCGTGCATATTGGAAGCATGCTGAGTTTCGAGTCAGAAGAAAAACGAGAGAGCGAAGCTGTAAGGCTTCAACGGCTTTCCCCAGAAATGACATGGAAACAAGGGTTTTCGGTCTCCAAACCCACCCACACAGCCGAAGCGGCATTCTAACCTTCGATAGATCCATGGTAGTGCCTTAGACACACTGCCTTCTACCTGTATTTGATTCAAATACAGTTCGTAGGGGTTTCAATGGTTGACCATATATGGTAAAACCCTGTCACACGACATGCCAAGAGAAGGTCCTGTTCTTTTTCGTAGACGAGTATCTTGCACGTCTTCCCGACAATGGGCGATAGCGCCAACAGCAGCGTGAAGAAAACCAGCGTAAAGGTATATTTAGTGTATTTTCAATTTGGAGTATTCGATCTTACATCCTAAGACATTCGCGTTTAGCATGTTCTATCACAGTATAACTATTAGTATTGGTTTCGATATAGGGAAGGGAACATACTATTACAAATAGGCGGCAGAACCTTCCACCAGGAGCTGAGGACTTTCCATAGCTATAGCTGGTTATCTGATCGCGACTCACAACCGAGGCTCTTGTATTCCAATTTTTATAAATAATATTTCCGATAGGAAACTTGCCGTACAAATCCGAGATCAGACTATACCTGCCCTTCAGATCAACGAAGGAGTCGGTAAACGGTGTGCATATCCATTACATCATGCGGTTGTAAAAGTCGCAGGCCGGAGTCGGGAATTAGGACGACCTGGCCTGATATGCGCTGAGGGCCTTGGATCGGAGCCTTCCACCAGAGAACCCGGAGTGCCCCACTGGGAAAGGAAAGCTGAAGCACCCGAGATATCCGAAAATACGCTAGCCGGCAATCCTGATCTTATTTTTTCTTGGGAGTTCGGAACCAAGTCGACTTTGCAGACTTGGGGTTAACTTTGCAACGTTCGGATCCAATTGGAGTGCTGACGTATATATTGTCGCTTGAGGTCAAGAATGTCTTATCGAGGTAGAACACGATATAATATCATTCTCTCATCCTGGGTCTCTTTGTCATCTTGCAAGAGATTGAGGTATTCGGCCCTGACAAGTTGAGTCTGGCGAGGGAGAGTCTTTTGAGGTTTTATATCGTGGGTTGGATATATAATAACCTCAGGCAAGAGGACCTAGGGGAGCCGAAATAGGTAGGACTCTCGTGAGCTCCACCATCGGGAGATATTTCCGTAGATAGCGACGTATATCTGAAGAGAGGTATCTTCATATCGAGAAAAAACCCGTCTATAGCGAGAGGCCTGGTGGTTCTGGATCAGTTCGAATAGGCGTTTCAAATTCCTTTCAAGTGGTTGAAATTTGCGACGCTGCCAAAGCGGGCCCTGGAATTGGTCTTCCTGTTCTTGTTCCTGTTCTTGTTCTTGTTCTTGTTCTTATTGATGTTCCACCACACATCTTTTCTTCTTCCTTTCCTCTTTCCACCACCACTCAAACCTAACTAGCTAGCTAACTGCTTCTATTCTCTCACGAACAAAACCACCACCATCACCAGCTTTCCCACTATCACGACGTCCACTGTTTATTTTACAGACGGCCTCCAATTATCGAGGTCTTTGAGTTTGGTATGTGATAGTTCTTCCTGCAAGTTCCCAGCTATATTTTTTTCCTAGTTGTTCTGGTGGTGCTGGCTTCAACCAGGTTTTTTTTGGTGTTGCCATCTACCCAATTATTGCTGTAACCGTTTTCTTGACCTCAAAATATTCACAACCTCCTTCCCATCAACCTCAACCTCAACCTCATCTCTCTATCTCTCATCACCTCCCTTCTCACCTCCCTTCACCTTTCTTCACTGCCATTCACACCGTTCTTAGAACGGTATACACTCTGCAATTCACCATTGCATTTGCTTTGGCTTGCTCTAGGCCAATAATAACTTGGTAGTACTCCCTTATATCCTCTGTCTACGGCGGTTAGCCTTCTTTCTCTCTTCTGCTTCCATTCCACCAACCTTTTTTTTCTGCATCGGTACGTGATATCATTGAATTGCCCTTGGATTCGTCTTTCTGCTGCGAAAGCACTGATCTCTGGGGCTTTCCTGGTATTCTACTTCTTGCATTTGCTCTTCTTATTCTCTGTTGTCTATTCTTGCTCTGTTTCCGTTTTGAAATTCGCCCTTGTCATCAATCTCATCACCAACCACTCATCTCCCTTCCAACCATCATCACCAACTTGACACACTCCCATCTACCACTGCTTTTTTCCCTTCATCCGTGAGTGAGAAGTATTTTTGTTCTTCTTCTCGATTTTTCCTTTGCTTCGTACAGGTCTTCTGTGAGTAATCACGTTGCTGTCTATCTACGATGGCTTTTCCTGAATTCTCGTTGCAAAGATTCTCACCACAGACATATTCTCCCTGATCACTTTCATCACCCTTCACCTTCACCTTCACCTTCACCTTTGTCTTCTCACCTACTGCTTAATACATCCTCTCTCATCTATTCCATCGGATTACACCGCCTGTATCTTTTTTTTTCCTATTGTCGCTCTTATTCCTCTTTGGATTACACTGTTCCTTCTGCAAGAGTTTATTCTCGCTCGGGTATCTCTATGCTAACCACTGCATTCTCCTATTAGACAAAGCTTTCTTTTTTTGTTATTTTTTTTCGAGAAAAAAAGTAACGACCAGAAGTAAGTGCCATTTTTGTTCATTATTACCGTGTTTTTTCTCTTTCAATCATCATATTTGGTCTTCTCCTCAATCGTCGACGTCGACGATATTCCACCGGCTGGCCGTTTGGCTTTCGCCAGCATCTGACAACGCCAGCCAATAGGATGCATGGCTTTCCGGCTGGGTTGATCAGCCGTGGTTTGCACGAAAAGTCTCTTCTTTCCGTTTTCACGCCTTCCCCTGCAAATTTGCCCAGCTGGCCCTTCCTTTTCTGGCTCGTCCCGTTAGGAACTGGCATTTTATGCGCCACAAAGGAAACCATGCAAGGTTCAAAACAACGAAGCATCAAATTTCACTTCTACCCCCAAATATCTCTACTGTCGAATAATCGACGAGTTTTTTTATCACGTCTACGCGCTTTCACTTCTGGCTCCGTTTTCTCCGCCGTCGCCCTCTCAAGGTGATCGTACCGACGAAGTAATTTCTTGAAAATTTCTTCTGGTAGAAATACGAGATCGGGCCATCAGTGGCGGTAGTACCCTTTTTAATCACGATCCATTCATATCAAATGGAATGCAAATATGTTGGGCCTTTTCAGTCGTCCTGCCCTGGTAATATTTTATTTTCCCTTTTATTCACCTTTTCTTTTCGGGGACCTCGAAGATCTCATAGTTTCGACATGAGATTAAGGGATATCTATTATATATTATCACCTCTCCTTTACTGCTTTCTGGCTTTCTTTCGCATGCTTTTCTTCCCTCCGTTCTTAACCTGGAAGAATATTTTATCTCTTTATCAACATAATACTTTAAAGCCAAATGCTAACGTGGATCATAAAATTTAGGCAATGGCGCGTACCAAGAAGGATACGGCCACCCAGGGTGCTCCAATCCCAGGAGACCCTGAGCCCACAGAGGCTCATGCTGGCGAGCACAGAAGAGCCAGCACCCGGGCACCGACGGTGCCATTTCAAATGGTGACCCGGAGGGGGGCCCAAAAGCGGACGAGCGGCGGCTCCGAGGAACACGCCGTCACATCCAATGATCTGGCTTCGGCCGGGGAGGATGTTTATCCTGAGTTCGCCGCACTGCCAACGCCGGTTGGCCAAGGGGAGGATGGCTCCGAGCTGCAAGCCGGGGTTGCCCCTTCTGCGGACGACGCAGGAGATGCGCCTCGGCGCTCTTCTCGCGTCGTTCCAAAGAAGGTGGCACCGGCGCAGAGGAGTCTCCTCCTCGTCCTCCGGCTGAGCCCAGCCAAGCTGGAGTCGGTGACACCACTGGCCGAAAGGCTAGTGGTGGAAGCCTTCTCCACCAAATCGAGTCCCCCCCCTCTGTCCCCAGTTAGCCCCGTAGTGGGAGGGTCGGCCCTCCCACCGGTTGAGGGACCGGCCCCGCCCCCCCGCAACAAGAGGCCAAGAACCAAGAAGGCTGTGTCGCCGGGCGCCGAGGAGCCCAATGCCGAGGAGGAGCGCCCTAAGAAGAGGCGCAAGAACAAGAAGTCTGCTGAGGCAGCGGCCGGGGAGGAGCCTATCCTCCCAGAAAATGCTGAACCAGAAGTTCAGCAACCGGAGCCTCTCCCCAGCTTGGCTCCCCCTCCCCCTCCCCCCCTTCCACCGCCAATGAGTCCGGAGCCTGCTGCTCCCGTACTTGAAGTGGAGGCTCTGAAGGCAGAGCCTCCACTCGACCCAATGGATGTTTCGCAGCCGGAGGAGCCGCTGCAGAAGAGGCGGGGGCGGCCGCCAAAGTCGGAGCTCCTCAAGAGACAGCGCCAACCACGACAACCCGTTGCCGCTCCAGTCGCCCCAGTCGGGCACCCCGTTGGGTCGTTGGCCCACCAGTTCCGAGAGCAGATGCCGGAGGGCATGAACATGCTCGACATCGTTGCGCTCGCTCAGTATATGCGAGCCAAGGACCTCCAGGCCAAGAAGAGGCCGATGAAGCGGAGCATCAAGAAGGGGTATAGGGTCGAGCATAGGGTCACCCGCGAGTGGTGTACCCAACGCGGCCAAAAGTTGATTGGCCAACAGCGGAGGATCGGGCGCCATGTCCAGCGTGCCAATGTGGCACTGGCCGACCAAGCGATCAGGTTGGCCCAGAACGATCCTACGTACTTATCCGAAAACGGGCTTGGTGCACCCTTTTACTTTGCAGGCTTGCAACAGGCAGCCGAGCAGCGCGATAAGCTCCGAGACATTGGCGATTTGAGGAGGGACCTCGAGCTACAGGCGGTAGACAACCGAATCCAGCACACGAGGATAAGACGGAGACGACAGATCCGGAACGAAATTGTCGATGGTTTGGAGAAGCTTGCCGTTGAGAGAAATCATTTCTCTAACGCCATCCGAACATTTGCTGCTAAACATCCTGACAAGTTGGATGAGATTATCGAGGAATGTGAGAAGACTGGCGAGGACATAAACATAGCTATCCTCAGTGCTGCTTACGAGACACATCCGAATGACATCGAGGATGATGAAGTTGTCGAAAAAATCTGGGGATCCCGCGGCCATGGGCTTGGTAAATGGTTTAAATTTGTGGATGATAACCGCATGGATTTAGATGAGGAGGAAGAACAGGAAGAGCAAGGGGGAGAGAAAGAACAACAAGCAGTTCTAGAACGCGACGAGCCTCAGACGCCAAACAAAGTTGTCGTATCACATGAGAAACAGCAGCCACCCACGTCGTTCGAAAGAGGGGGGTCTCCGGAATCCGTTGAGAGGGAAGGATCTCCAGTATTTGACGAAAGAGAACAACCGCCAATGTCGAATGAAAGAGGCGAGTCACCGGCTCCCGAGGAAGGTGAGGAGTTGGCTTTGCCAGTAGACGCAGAAGAATTCCAGTTATCCGATGAAAGAAACCAGCCTCATGTCGACCTTTCAGAATTGTTGGAGGTTGCGACCCAAGAGCTCCGGGCCAGCAGCAGACCTGTCCCCAAGAGCCCGACGACGCCTGGACCCGATGTCGAATTGTTGAACGTTCTTGCCTCAGCTGCCGCTCAGAGAGAGCATATTATAGGCAACCCCGAACTACTACTCCCCCTTTCTCCTGGGCCATCTTTACCCAAGGAACCATCTCCAGCATTCCAGGAGAGACCCTCACCAGCATTTTCAGAAGACGAAGGTCTAGTCGCCACCTCCGCATCACCACCCCCATCATTTGGAGGAGAAGGCAGTATTGATGAAAGAGCTAGCAATTTCAGCGGCAGAATTGTAGAGTCATCGGCTGAACCTGGGTTTGCACTTAGTGGACCCGCACCGCCACCCGAAGTTTTGAAACCATCAGCCCTATACCAAGAGGTGGACCACGGCAGTAGATTTACTGGAGAAACCAGACGTTGGAGTGATAATAGAATTTTCCCAATGGATCGGGGCTCCAATTTCTCACCTATCGGAACCCACCACCATTTCCTCCCGGGGCCAAGCCCCCCTCCTCATCAAAGTCGTGGATCGAGCGTTCATTCCCTGCCACCACCACCGACGGCTTTGTCTAGTCCAGGTCGTTTGCTCCCTTCGCCTGTCCCATCGACACGTTTCCCTGCCGCTTATCAAGCACTTCCGCAGCGCAGTCCGAGTCCAGGTTTTTTCAATCCACTTCCTCATGATCCTCGTTACCGTGGGGATCAAAGTAGATAAGCAACGTCAAGCGTTTGACGGCACGCGCACTGTGTATGGTGTAACGATGAGCATGCTTTGGTTGATAGTTCGCTCTCTTCTTTTACGGATTCCAGGATGCCTTTTCTTGCGCCTAGACGAAGGATAGCTTGAAAGCCTATAAACACAGAAACGGCTGAGCCTTATGTCGTTGGAACCCCATCACCACTTTTCTGGGACCCGAACACGACGAGACGCACAGTACGAAACCTTTCGCCTCCGAAGAACAAGCCTTCCTTTGTCCTCATTACTTGATCTCTCCTGCCCTAAGCATTCCGCTTCGCCATTCTACATTTAGAACTACCATCATTGCATACCTACTACAGTGTCCGAACCCGCCTAACCGACGTTTTTTCTTCTCACCTACCCGTCTCGCATTTTACGAAGTCACAGACAAAGCCTGCATATGTTTTTTACGGCGTTATTCGGCGCATAGATGCCCTGTTTTTCTGGCAGATATTTATTTACAAAAACTAGGAAGCATGGTTTTTGTTTTCTATTGCACTAGCTCGAATTATCCACCGTTTTTATATCTCCGGTGTACTTTTATTACATGGCCAGCTACTCTATTTCTTTCGTGTTTGCCTGGGGTTTTCTGGTAATTATTATTTTTAATACGCTTTTTCTGACATGATGAACCTGTCACGGAGAGCCTTTTTCTTCTGCTGTTATTATTTTATTGTTCCTTCAAGTGTATCATACTATGGACTTTTTTTTTATATTCCGGGAGCTGCATGTTGTGGCAGGAAAGGCGGTCGTTTGTGGGAGGTGGCCCTTGTTCTCCTTTTTAATCCGATCAGGGCAACAAGGGGTTATTACAATAGAACAAGCTGTTTTATATTATGGACGATGAATGGTTCCACTTATTGAGCACCCATTTAGATATATCGATTTCCTTTGAAACAATTCCTTAGTGATGTAAAAGCCATAAAACTCAAGTGTATTCGCCCGTAGTGATTGCAGTCGCAAGGTTAGGTCTCAAGGGTCTTCCTCGTGGCTGATGACCGCGTCGACCGCGACAGAACAAACATCGGTTGTCGATGGCCCCTGACCTTGACTAAGTAAATAAGCTAAATGCAATGTCATGTTCCCGCTGCTTTGAACCCATCAAGATCTCGGATCGCACGTGCATGACCGCCTTGCAACAAACAGATCTTTAAGGTCTGATCAAGGGGCAAGTAAAAGAAAATTCGTCACAGGCGTCAGCCTGGTGATGCAAGGCTGCACCTTTGGCACCCACAAAAAATGTCAAAAGAATTTAGGAATTCGCGGCGGCAAGGCGCCTAAAAGGCTGATAGGATCTCACGTACAGCACCTCCGTCACCAAAATGTGCTCTGGTTTGAGTCACCGAGGTGTTCGTTCGGATGTAGGTTCCATGTTGAACAAAGCGGATTAAGCTTAAAATGGCCATTTCAAGCAAGCTTGGCTGATAATAGCATACCCCGCTAAGGACAAACAAAAGGAACCAACAACAGCCAGCAAGGTCATGGCACGGTCGTGAGCAATACCTCGGGCAGCCTTGTCACTCTTTGTCCCTTCAAAGCCAGAAAATTGGATCTGATTGCGAATCGGATTAGGGACCTTTTGCATCCAGCCCGTTAACGTGTGTGGATGTAAGTATGTGTGGACTGCAGCAAATGCATGCCCGAATCCGAATCCGAACCCAACATTACTCTGCGTCTTTGGACGGGACTGGCCAGGGCCGAATCCTTGGAATCAGTTATTAACGAACGGAGAAAGCACCATGTAGCATGTAGGCTTTTAGGCGGTGAGCTATGACTGCGTAAGTGGACATCATAACGAATATCCAGATATGGACTTTTTGTATGCGTGGAAGGCGGTGGAACCGTTCCCCGCCATGCTGCGGGAACAAAGAAGCGGAATTCATTGATTTTGCGAGCGGTCGTGACAGCTCTGCCACATTGGCCTGGGATGTTTGTTAGTCAATGGACGGAAATAATTGTTTCATCCGGATTGTAGTCAGAGTACAGACTAATATTACTCTGCGGTAGTTGGTACTAGTTAATGGTTAGTAGTTAGTAGTCGTGGTGTTTGTGTAGGACTGAAGGTGGACTGGGGTTTGGTGTGTGGCCGTACGTACTATTTTAAGTAGGAAGGATCCCACCTTAAATCAGCTTCTCCTCTTCCTTACTCACTCACTCCACCTTCTTCATCAAACATCAACCTTGCCAGCCGACATCACCAACATCATCATCACCACCGTCATCATCACGCTCAGCTTCATTTCCGCCTGTAGTAACCCTTCACGCGTAATATAAAGCTCTCCGTCTGCCAGTCAGCTTCTCGACCTTTCAAACTCTCAAACTTCCTTCTTCCTTCCATCACAAGCTACCCACACATCCACAAACATGTCGCAGATTATCTTACTCTCTTCCGACAATGTCGAGATGAAAGTTGGTAAGTTTCGAATCTATCTTAAACATCCTGATTCTCCCGTCTTCCGGAGTCCTGCCAGCTTCTCGTCTCCCCCGAGGAGAAGCTATCGAAGCTATCTAGCTACGTAGAGCAGCTTCATAGCGGGGTTTTCGTGGCACCTCCGAATACACGCCACTTTATCACATCGAATCTTGATTCCTAACTAATTATCTTTTCTTCACAGACAAGGAGGTCGCTGAGCGATCGATCTTGATCAAGAACATGCTAGAGGATGTCGGCGAAACCCCAGACCAGGCTATTCCCATCCCGAACGTGAGTCCCAAATGCCTTCCATCGTCCCCTCCTCTAATTCTCCGCATCATCTACCTACCCTTGTGTTTATGACTCCTTTTTGTTTGGAACCTGCAATTTTTTTGTAAACTGGCCTTTGGAGTCTGGTCTGGTTGCAGATCTTTGGCTCGTGTTCTGAATCTCACTCCGATCTCCCTCCAAATTCCCCTCCAAATTCCCTTAAAACAACTCTCACCCAACATACATATCTACGTTTTGTTATTTTTGGGTTTCCTTTTTCAGGCCGATTAACTAATCCTATCCTCTCATCAGGTTAACGAAGGCGTCCTTCGCAAGGTTATCGAGTGGTGCGAGCATCACCGAAACGATCCCCCACCACCAGCCGATGAGGACAGCGATTCTCGCAAGAAGTCGACAGATATCGAGGAGTGGGACCAAAAGTTCATGCAAGTCGATCAGGAAATGTTGTTCGAGATCATCTTGGTAGGTCATCCCTCCATATATAGTCACATTTATAAATTTTAAGTAATCGGTCACGTTGCTAACTGGTCACGTGAAACACTGTTGCAGGCTGCCAACTATCTCGACATCAAGCCACTTCTCGACGTCGGTTGCAAGACCGTTGCCAACATGATCAAGGGCAAGTCCCCTGAGGAAATCAGAAAGACGTTCAATATCCAGAACGACTTCACTCCCGAGGAGGAAGACCAGATCAGACGTGAGAACGAGTGGGCCGAGGAGTAAGTTCGCGAATCTACTTGAACCTTAGCTGAGAATCTCTAAAGCTGACCCTGCAACTTTTAGTCGTTAAACATAACGAATCGACCTTTTTTTGCCAACCCGCTTTTTTTCTCCTCCCTTACTCACACTATTCTGTTTTCCTTCCCAATGTCTACATATGTCTCTCTATTATTCCTTTTTCTCGGTGAAGCGGGATTCGGGATTTTCTCATGATGGCTACACGGTGTTTGTTTTCCTTTTTATCCTCTTTCCTTTTCTTTTCATTTCCTTTCTGTTCCTTGGGATTCTGTGACTTTTAGAGGATTCACATAACGCGCACCACTCTTCTGGATCAAAAAAAAATCGTTTCACCCGCTGGTGTTAAACTCTTTCTTCCATCGTTCCCCTCTTTTTCTCCGCCCTGTTGCTTTCCTACCCTAGACTTTTAAGAACTCTGGTGGAAGTCGGGAAGTACATTACCTTATCCTTTCGGTGGGGGTGTAATATGCTGCTTTTGTAAGAAAAGAAGAAGAATAACTTAAGTAGTACTTAGGGAAAAATTGAATACTGCGCTGTGATGAACTTCTTGCCTTCCTAACTTTAAACAACATATTGACTAGTCTCGTAACCAAAAGTGATATCGATGTATACTGGGGAAATTCCACAAAAGCCATTGAACATTAATATTATGGAGATGTAATGCATCTAAGCCTCCTATAATACATTATCACTAGTGTAGAAGCTTCTAGCCTGTAGGTCTTTCAGATTTAAGGATGTGAAGGGCTGTTAAGGAGGTGTTTGAGGGGTAATGTTTGAGAGAATGGGGGAATCGCGGGAGCGATGTAGCCACCAGCATGTGTGGTGGGAACGCAGTCGGACATGCATGTGCATGTATTGAGGTTAATTAATGTTAATGTGTAGGGTGTACCCACGCCACGCACGCACGCATACAAGTCTCGGTTATATACATGCTGTGTACTCCTGATTCTGATGTTGCCGTAATATTCATAGCTCAAAAGGTCTGGTGGATCTTCTATACTATCGTGGCTTGTCACCCCGGTGATTTATTGCTTCTTGGATATTTCAAAAAGTCTTCCAGAAAACCTCCAACTTGGTACCGTATCTTGAACCTGCGATTCCGAAGAGGTTCTAGTTGAATCGGGTGACGTTGGGGCCAAGGAAGGAGTAGAATCGCTCCATGTCCGTGCACGCCGTAAGAAGGGATCTTTAGGAAGTATTCCTATCCAAATTAAGGGCAAATTGTCAGAGTCTCATTCTTCTAAATTCTGTTATATATATATCGCTGAATGGGAGCCTCAAGAATGTAGTTACCATTTGGCATATCCACTAGCATTTGACAGGGAAATCCGCTAATAGGAAATTCCGAGCTATCATCGAGACATAGAGATATCTCTACAGAGGCATCCCAATTGGAGACAATAAATTCGATTTCCGGTAGTTCAAATTTGCAGATTTCTTTGTCTATCATTTGCTGAATTGTCGATTGAGAGAGGTAGATAGGATCTACTAAGAGGTTTCCAGGACCTTTCGAGGTTTCTCGAACGGTGAAGGAAGGTTGCCACGATGAACCTAGGCCTCTCGTGCTGTTTAGGCTCTGTAACAGCTTACCCAACTTACAAATATTGGCGTTACGAGGACCCCAGCGGCACATGATGCTACCTTCATTTCGAGATTAAGTAATAAGCATGTATCTTCTCTGAAACGCCGGGGCCTATGTGATGTACCTTTAACGAGAATGCCATCAAAGGTCTCAAATTTGCCGTAGTGCTCCTTTGCATCATGGAGCTCAAAATAGAACGTTGAACATATCAAATGATCAGCGAGGACCTTGATGGGGCCATTCAAGCTCTGAACCTGTTTGCGCGTTTCGGATTCGATTCTTTGCAGGGAATCCAAGTCGTCTAGATGTGGTGGGTCATCACTCTTGTCGAATTTTGCATTCCACCGAACGTATCGGTTTCCAGTGTGCTGAATTGAAGTCGGTCCTGCCGCTGGATTTACATAGAAATCATTGGACTTGAGCCAAATATTCCAAGTTTCTTCGGAAACGATGCCACTTTCAACATGGTCAGTCGCAGTCCAATGTAATTTTTCCGTCGCTCGGGCTACAACGCTTCGGGATCGAAATTTCTTCTCTTTCCTAGGTTTAGCAGAGTTTGGACTGTATCCAGATCCGAGCGATAGGACAATGTCAGGCGGCAAATGGTTAACCTCTGGCCATATCAGTTTGCGTTCTGAATCGGCAACAAGGATTGGATTGTTGTGGTAGATCCCGCCATCCAAATAAACCTCCTTAGACGCAGCGTGGGAGAATTCTTTGAGGTATCCAGGCGTTGCGCATGTAGCTCGGGCACTGTGAATCGTTGTATTAAATCGCCTATTTCAATTATAAAGGTAAGAGGAATTCTGCTTACGCTTCCCAAGTTCTGAATTCATTTTCTGGTATCTCTGATCGTGAAAATTCGTAGAATGCTAGAGTTAATTTGATTTTAGCTGTCAATTCAAGAGCTGTGGGGGAGTATTGAACTTAATTGTGCACGATGGTGGGAACGTACCCGGTCTGGTATCAACATGGTTATAATTTCCCAAAACAATAACTTTACCAGTTGATGACGCCGTAGTTACTGCAACTTTAGGGGCCGGTCTGGAAGATGACTCGGTTATGGTCCGCTTGGTGCCACCGAACAAATAGTCACTTGTGGAAAACGCCTTTATAAGAACATTTTCCAAGGGTTCTCTTTTGTATTTGTACTTCGCACCAACAAGATCTTGTATTCCTAGCAGGTTACCTAGCTTTCTCTTGGAGAAAGATTTTCGACAGAATTTTTTGAATTGCGCTATACAATCCGTCATAGACCAGTTTTCTGTGACGAGGCCTAAAGCAATGTGCCCGCCGGTGCTATAGGTCGATTGTCATTAGTACGAAGGGTCCGTGATAGAGCTTAAAAGGCAAGTACGGAAGATAAATATTACCTTGTACCGACGATGAGGTCAAAAAAGCTGGTCAGCTGGAAATCGAAGCCAAGCGTGCTCTCCAGGCCCTGGAGGAAAATCAATTGGCTGAGTCCACGGACTCCTCCGCTGCATATTAAATGAATATTAGAGCAGGTACCCCAATAATAGAATGATAATGGTGGCTATAATAGAAAAAGAGAGAATTATATCAGGTAACTGTGGCGGCTTACCCATCGAGCGATAGTACTCTGACCCCGGCAGATGGAGGTTTCACCGTGAATAATTGAGATGACTGGTTAGTTTTGTCGTCAGGATGCATAGGGCAATTCTGTATTGCGATGCATCCGGCTTTTATGGTGCCATATGTTTGAAGGCAGGGGGTACAAATAATATGACCGCAATTCAAGTGATGTTCCGGACTGTGAAAAAGACAGACGAGGCAGGCCGTGTGGCTAATGAAATTAGCTGTGCCCCCAAAACTCCTGTAAAGTGGTACCATGTGATCATTTTTATGAAGACTTGCTACTAATGTAACTTCCTCTTCTTTGGTCTCAAGTTCGCCGCTACCTTGTCTGGCCCTCGATTTGGTTACCATATAGTCGAGAGATTTCAATATCAACTTTCCGAAGGTGCTGATGTAGTCTGGGTCTAGCGAGGCAGTATAATCCCCAGTAGCGATAATTTTTCCGCTAGAGTCTTGGTGGCCCTTGCTTTTATGCCCAGCCCTATAATTGACGCAGCGGACTTTAGGATCACGGGGAGATCTATAAGCGCATTCTAAATGCTGCTCGTAAAAGTCTTTGAATGCATTGTCACATGAATGCTTATATTCAGGAAATATATGTGAAGCCGTGCCTATGTTTTCAAAGTTATTCGAATCCAGAAGTCAAGCGAAACAGTTTAAGAACACCTACCGGGAATCTGCTGGCGAGTAGCATCAAGAAGAATACAGGAGGCGATCATGGGGGCTACACTTTCGAATATCTTCTCCACTGTACCAGACACAGGCTTACCTTCTTCAATCATTTTGGTGGTATTCTTCCTGACGTTGAGAATAAGTTTTAATATACTTCCGCCGAAGTTTGGAGGGATTGGACTGTGGGCAAAGGTCGATTTGACAAAGTCGAAAGATGTGCTGAGACTGTTGGCGAAGTGATCGTAGGCTGATTGTAGGTGGAATTGCAGAGCCTTGGAGTTCATAAGCATTCGTCTTTCTCGTTTCATTCGGTGAGAACGTTGAACACTAGTTTTTATCTCACGATAAAGTTGGGAAACCTGCTGCTTTATCAAGTTACTCCGGCCTTTTCTGGGAATCCCTACCACTCTCACATCATCATAGTAGAGCTTCAATAGGTCTTCTATGGTTTCAACATTCTTATCGCGCCCTTTCCAGTGCTTTATGAATGGGATGAACTTTGGGTTTTTGGAGAACTCAATATTGGCTTCTTGCAATACATGCTTCGTTGCAGTATCGGCCGCCCAAAAAATATCCGGCACTTCACTTGGAAGGGGGTTTAAAGCAATGATTGCGCGCGGAAGGACCGGTTGGTTCGAGGATTTTTCCAGGGCGGCTACCGCCCATATTAATAATCTTTCGATGGCATTTTCTAGTTTGCTTGACGAAAAAACAAGAAGATATCATAAGACAGTCGTTCAGCTTCACGCCAGTTATGTAGATAAGATACTTACTTTTTTTCTTGTAACACGAAAACCACTACATCTGAGAATGTGAAAAGAATCCGAGGGTAAAGCTCCGAGACAATATATTCGCGTCTTTTTGTCGCATCATTTATCGCCCATTTGAGCTCTCGTTTCGAGTTCTGCTGCATTGCATTATCCCGCCGCTTGCGGGCGAAAAATGACTTGGTGTCTTGCTTCGCTCCAGAAATACGTTCAGATACCGCTTTTCGAATTTTCTCGCGTTTATGAGTTCTCGAGCCTAGTGGTGTCCGCTCGCCACCTTCTAAGCCCTCGCAATCAGCGTAAAGTATTGGATGTCGATTTTCTGTTTTGTAGGTATGGGGGTCACAGAATAGGTGGACATCTCCAGACGTTGGCACTGTGCTAAAACATGCTGCAGATTGGACTACAGGTGTTTCGTGTGGCACTTCGCCAGGGTAGTCGAGTTCCATCAACATTCTAATTAGTGTACTTTTTCCAGATCCTAGACGGGAAACGGTTGCAGCCATCATATAATTAGCCTGGTCCTATGAATATTTCTGGTGACGACGATTGCAGACACTCGCAGCTAAATACTTACCGGTAGATCCGACGAAAGATACAAGAGCTGGATAGGTTTCCTCGTTTAGGCCTGAAACGATCTCCCCATAGCGCCCGAGGTCCTGGAAAACGAGTTTATCCTTATTGTCTTTAATGACGGCAAACCAAGCTGTTTCTTCGTCTTGGCGGTGCAAGGCCTCTTGATCTTCTTCTCCAACTTGAGGCTCGAGTATTTTTTCAAGCTTCCTTTCTATATCTGGATCTATTGGTTCGTGTACTTGCTTTCGGATTCCCTTTAAACCTTTCTTTCCCACTTTGTGTGCTGCAATCTTTGGCCAACAAGGCTCGCAATACGCCACCTGACAAAGATTGCAGACCATACACTTCAAATCCGGCCCAGATTTTTCACACTCTCCGCATTCGAGGGGTTCGTCGGGGTTGTCTAGTACTGGGAGTTCTACAGGCAAACCTTGCCCATCTCCCAATTCTGGTAGACTTTCATTTAGAGGAAGGGGTGGAGGCGGTGGCACTGGCAGCGGTACCGGCTTTCTCGCGATCGTGAACTCGTTGATGTTAACCAAGGGGGTTGTATCCGTTCCGAAAGGCGAACTATAGATAATTCTTAGTTTGGAATTGATTATGATCTTCGATCGAGCGGGCGCTCGACTCTGCCCAGGGTTGCAACCAATGCTCACGCGATCACATACCTGAGGTATTTGACTGGATTTGGGAGGGTATCTACCGCATCACCATCGGGGTCTCCGTAGTCATAGCTATAGTTAGCCACATTGCCGCCAGTTTGAAGGCTGATGACCGACATCTGAGCCATAGCTTAATTGGCTAGAAATAACAGAATGGATAGAACAATTTTTTTAGCTAAAAATCGAGAAAGATTGCAATCAATGTGGGGCAGACTGCACGATCGGAGCATTTCCCTTCAGGTTGTTACTTGGAGGTATTCAGGTAAAGTGCAATACCCAAGAAAGTTAAGTATGAAAAAAAATATCCGAGCTGTGCTTGTGATGAGATAGGACTTCTTTTAGAGTTATGTCTGCCCATCTTAAAATCCCTGAGAATTAATTATAACCCCGCTTCTAAACTCGAGGGGGTATCATCTCTGGGATAGATACCAAGCCACTGTGTGTCAAAATTGTCACGCATATTGTTTTTATTGGTCGAAAACTACCTTATGTGCAACTTTACAAAAATCCAATAACCAGTAGCAATTGACCTAGGCTGAAATCTCGAGGCTAAAGTTGGCCCAGCTGAGCATCGATTGCTGCACTGTACTGCAAGGAAAACTCAACACGCATACAGCGCGCATACCTGCCTTTGGTATAAAGCCAATTGGGCCGACGAGAACGCAACTATCTGCTGAATGATGCTTAGAGGCTCAAATTTAACTGCATGTTAAACAGGAATATACAACCCCAGTGGGTTAATTCCACCACTCTCCCCGTATGTATCTAGATCTGAGGTCCTAGCCAATTAGCCCGGCCTGTTGTGTGATCCGTAGAGTTGCTAAAAAGGCGTTGTAAATGTTGCATTTTAGCAACCGGCTCGATCCTACATCCGCGTCCACGTCCATGGCCATATGCCATGCATGTGCATGAAACATTGAAATGCAGGACCTTCGGATCCATGTCCTTCCTTGTATACCTAAATACTTACCCAAGATCTGAAGATATCTAAACCAGTTTGGATTCGAATACAATCCCGCCTTCAGATTAGAATCCCATTTGTTAGATGTAACTTCGGGTACGTATCCATTCATCTAGATATCCGCAATTCTATATCTAATTTTGAAGTAACATCATACCAAACCGCAAGGCATCTCAAACTTGAGTCTGATACATATATACGAAAAAATTGCCTGCGGACGGATACGTAAGTACCCGTGCTTTGCCGGGACCTGTGTTCGTGATAGGCTGATACCGGAACGAATGGACAAACCAGGCAGTTGATGCAATGCTTGCCAAAACAGTGGAAAGGGGTGGTTGCGGTACACCAGAATTAATTGCCCACCATAGTGAATGTTTACTAGGATGCCACGAGTATAAAGGATGTTGATTTTTCCCTCGATAGTACTAGTTTCTTTTGTGGAGAATTTCTATCGTAGATTAATTAAATCTATACACCCTTGACACCGAACTAGCCTTACCTAAAAGTCAAATACATACGTCACCCAAGCTTTCCTAAATATCAAACTAAAGGACCCTGTTCTTTGAGCTATTCTACGTTGGTGTTGACAGCTCTTCGGTGATACATCCATCATGCCCTCTCGATTCGTCCAGACTTGCAAGTGCAGCCGTGAACTAGTTCAGACCTCCGATAAAGATTCAGCTGGGCGCCCGAAATCAGTTCCTATTACTCTGAATCTTGTGTGTCTGACGACCATTACCATCCAGCCAAGCGATCGTTTACCCTCCTCGTCTCTGGGACGAAACCGAGCTACTGGATACTAAGGCTCTTGACGCGATGTTTCTACTAAGGCGTATCGTGATATACAGGGGGGCTTAAACTCGACCTGTGCCGTGCAGTAGCGAGAGAAGTGGAGTTGGGATTATCAATTTCGATGGGTTTGAAAGGGTTGGCGAACTGGCGTGTGCATTTTAGCCTGTTTTAGAATCTGGATTTTTTAATATTTTTAGCATTAAAGGGGGGATTTTTATATATAGACATGTATATCCATAGACAAGAGCTTGGGTATTTTTGTTACCAGTGCTGTGGGGACACCGTGGTGTAAGAACTAAGTTTGAAGTATATATACGGTATCAAACGAAAATGTAATGCATGATAACTAGTTACTCCAAGTTGAAGAAAGATCGTCATACATAAGTAGACAAAGGTCAAGAAATCGTTCTCGGTATCAAGGCTCCCAGGCTTGGCTACGTACATACTTATCCGTAATATAGCACTAAAGGGCTATTAGCCCCGGCCCGTGGCTTCAAAAAGGTCCAGACCCTTTCAGGACGCCGAAATGGTATAGATAAAATTACAAGAATTTATACCCGAGTCAGGAAGTGAATGGAGATTTGAACAGATCATAAGAGTTCTTGACTATCGCATTTAGTCATCGATCCTATAAATGTGATAAGATATAGCTATTACCTTTGACCGGGGTATACGCCATGCCTCCGTCTTCGGACGGGGAAGGATTGTCAAAATACAACATTTTCCGGGATTCGGCTTTTTTTGGGCTTTTTTTTTTGTTTCTTGCGATCGATTGATCAATTGACTGATTGAAAATTTTAAGGGATTTTTTTTTTTTGATCGCCGGTACTCCAGATGCATATGTTTCAATTAGATTCAAGCTTGCAAGGTGCATGCATATGTAACTTAGTAGGTACATACATACATACATACTACACATGTACTGTATGGGGGTATGCGGGTAACATGGGGTCCATGGATTTGGGATGGCTACACAGTGCACATGTATGTACTATGTGCATGGGTGAATTAATTGGGCGATAAGTCCGAGAGAGGAAAACTCTTTAAAATAGTTTTCCGAGGTTATACAGCGTCTAATGCTCCTGCACGTCGCTTTGACTGATTCTCTATCGATATCTGAACTCAAATTTCTTAGTGTGCCCATTTTGGTATAGTCTATTTAATTTAGGAAATTTTTACATGACAAGCTGAAATTTCTAATTACAGCCTAGGCCTGAGATGTATCATGGCAGCGTAAGTATGTACTAGAGCAGCTGTGGATTCTAAGTTTAAATGTCCAAAATATCTAACTACTGCATGTACGTACTATGTATATGTCTAGCTATAAATTCAAATCCTATAACACTATAATTAATATAATGATGAAACAAGTTGAATGGCAATTTAAAAAAAATAGACTTAGTGTAGACGACCGATTGCCGGATACCCTTGAAAATAGAAAATGGCGCCCGCATTGCATAGACGCACATGCAGGCCTTTTGACGAGAAAGTCATCATATGGACCTCTATGATGATTTCCCAGCACACCCTCACGATGTGAAGAAATAAGCTTCTGGCCGGCTACTATTTCCACCCGCACAGTCTGCATTTCTCAGGAGACATTCCCCATACGAAGAAACCTAGTTATCGATAGCTGGGGGGGGGGTGACATGGGCATATGGGGAAATTTAATATTCGAAATGTCAAAATGTGGCTGAGCCAATAGGAGCCTGTTGTGGCTTATGCGCGCTGCCAAACTTGGAAATCGGCCGTGTTTGGCTGGCCGCGTGCACTTGCCATTTCTGGACGGCGGCTCCGCGTGCCAAAGGAGCAGTCCCACTCATTCTCAACCTCTCAACCTCCACATACTAACATCCTCTCATCCATGCATCTTGCTTTTTCGGCCCTTATTGCCCTTGCCCCTTTCGTTCGCTCAGGCCCTGTTTGTTGCTGCATGCTCACCAACATTGGAGGTACATTGTATACATATGTAAAGTACTTACATATGTATACACTTGCTTACCCTAAATGCACGATATGAACGCCCGTATGTGAGTAAGTAAGCAAGTACAGTTGGTGGCAGGCAGGCAGGCGACGGCTGTGACCCGATGTACCTCGCTCAATCGGGAACCCTCCAATTCTTGCCTTGCAGCGTTATATGAAGGGGGGGTATATATTAGGGTGCGTATTTCCAGGCAACCTCCCGGACGTGTTTAATCGATAACTACTTCTTTGCTGACGTAGTTCCGTACGATAGGACCGTTAGACGGAGGACACACAATACAGACTTAAGCAGTTAGCTGGGAGAAGGCTAGCGACTTCATGGGTAAGTGACTGAATGACTGACTCTTGACACCTCACAACCTCCGTACTTTGGGGTATTCTCGGTGGCTGAAAGAGACCTTGGCTAACTGGTGTTTTTGTTTACTTGGCTGCCCGCTATTAGTTAAACCCCTTCCTTCGCTCGGTTGTTCCGATCCCGTTCATTCATTTACCTAACATACGTTTGCACAACATCTCGTTTGCATCACCGGCTTCGAATCGTCCATAGAAGCTTTCATACAATGCCCTACATAGCCTCAACCCCGGAAGCCCTCGAAGCCCGTCTTGGGCGAACCGACAGCCTAGACCCGGCGACCACCTGTCGTGGCATCAGCATTAGTAGTGGGAAGCCATGTCGACGGAATATCACCGCCAAGGCGCCCTCGGGCAAGAAATCTACGGCTAGCAGCAGCAGCAATGGGGGTCAACCTAACCCGGCAGAAGCATTCTTCTGCTGGCAGCACAAGGACCAAGCAGCCGACACTGTGGTTTTACATAGAAGTGATAGCCAGAAGAAGAGGCGGCTGCAAGGAAGAACCAGTTTTGATTCGCTCGTTGAGGTTATATTGGGACCTGAGGCTGCCAATAGCGAGGTTGGGCCTGGACAGACTCAGCTTCTTATCAGGAGAGAGACGCGATTGAATGCAAATGAAGTCATGGTCGTCAGCAAGAATACGGTTGTCAAGAAGGATTCAAAGATGGTGAAAACTGCCAAAAAGCCTGGTGAGAGCCAGGGTGCTATCTGGGATGCCCTCCACAATCAGGAGAATGGAGCTGCACAGGTTGGTGGTCAAGCACCTTACGGGTCTGATGCGAATGGCCAGCCTCAGTATCCTCACATGAATGGACAATACCATGATCCTCAGGTAAACGGCCAGTACCAACAGCAGCAGCCGCAGCAGCAGCAATACCAACATCCAGGGACGCACGGGGTATCGCAAGTACACCAACAATATCCACCACACCGTCCTTCGGCGCCTGCAATGGGACGGATAGACGAGGCTCCAGGAGACACGTACCCTCCTAACAACGAGTTTAAACCGCCCCCACCCCGGCCTCACAGCTATAGGCCAAAACGGCCATCCTTGTTGGCGCAGCTGTTCTGTTGTCTCTCAGTTGAAGACAATGACACGCCACCTCCAAGGCCATATGTCCAAGCTCAACAGCACCAACAAGCACAGCAGCACCAACAAGCACAGCAGCACCAACAAGCGCAACATTATCAACAAGCACAACATCATCAACAAGCGCCACCACCTCAGATGCAGTCTGTTAGACCTACCCACCAAATTCCTCCTCCAATCAATACAACCCCTTATCAAGGCAATTACCAGGCGGTACCACCACAGCAGGTTCAACAAGTTCCCTCAGGGCCTTCCAATCACCACCCCCCACATCTGAAGTTCGAGTCCCCAATCCGACCTGAATACCCACCCAACATCCATGTCCACAATGGTTGGGACAAAACTCCATATCCACCCAACATGAATGATGACGATGATGCCGAATTCTCATCCTCCTCTGCAGACGAAGACTCCGACGGCGACGATGCCGAAAGCATCGCTCTCCCCGATGAAGCCGTCAGTTCTCTATCACCCTCTCTCCCTCTCCATCTTTCCGCAAAAACTCGCACCAAAATCACCACTGAAATGCGAAAGCCCATTTCCCAAAAGGATATGCCAGGTTACATCTACATCTTCTGGTTGAAAGACGATACTAGTGCGCCATTACCAGTCCCCGCATCTGCGCCACCAACCGTGAGCAGTTTCAATATCCCTCCTTTACCAAGCAGCAACGGGTACCTCAAACCTCGCAAAAACAGCTACATCAAGGATCCCGGCTCAGCGGCCCTCTTCCGTGTAGTCGAAGACCCATACGACGATGACGATGACGACGAAAGTGGCGCTATAAACCCCACTTCTAACCGACGTAGCCGAGGAGCTAGCATCAGTGCCGCACCATCATCACCAGGTGGTAGCAAACCTGGTGAAAAGAGAGTCCTACTAAAAATTGGTCGAGCGCAGAATGTTCAACGTAGATTACACCAGTGGAGTCAACAATGCGGTTATAACCTTCAATTACTCCGTTACTACCCATACGTCTCCCTCCAGGATGCACCATCCAGTGCATCGCTCAAAGGAAGTAGTCCACCACCTACACATACACCTGGAACCCCCGGTCTAAGCGTTAGCGGGGCCCGCACTCCATTGAGTGGGAAGCCAACTAGTCCTCCTGCAAGCCTTGGAGCCAAGAAGGTTCCGTTTTCACATAGGGTCGAGCGGTTAATTCATCTTGAGTTGAGAGATGGTTATTACAATAAGCCACACGTATGTGAAACTTGTCAAACAGTTCATAAGGAGTGGTTCGCTGTACCCGGGACGAGGGATGGGGTTAAGCGTGTGGATGAGGTCATCAAACGATGGTGTAAATGGGCGGAGAGTCTTGAGGGTGCAGTGAATAGTAGGGAGCAAGGAGGGGTTAGCGATGGATTAGGACATCGGAGGGGCGATAGTGGTGGTGCTGCAGTGGGATCTCAGACTTCAAAGTTGAAGGAGGAGAGAATGGTAACTGGTGGTGTCAGAGGGGTGGAGAGAATGCAATGGGCTGAAGGGTATGAAGGCCCCGAGTCTCAGGGCGCGGACGATGCGGACGAGCAGGCAAAGAGACAGGCTAGAGTAGATCGTATGGGGACGTTTGGGTTTTTGTAAGGGGTAGTTTTTGGCGATTTCTTTGTTAGGGTGGTTCACCTATTTCTTTCTTTTTCATCGGTTACTTTGGAGGATCATTTGGCTATATCACATCATATGCATATATTAGGCGGGGACGATAGCGAGATACTAACCCTTTTTCGGCATAGGATTGGAGACTTTTGAATTGTCAACGTTACGAATGGACGATTAACTTTGGTAACGAGACTTGTATACTACATTTTATCTGGAATACTTATTTTGGTCAAAATTGATAATATATCTACTTAAGCATATAACAAATATCTACATTACAAAGAATCTAAGCGGCAAATGCAAAACCAAGCTTCTCTATATAATACAGAAAAGAAAGTCCAGCAAGCAAGGATCTAAAAATTCTATTCGGAATCAACAACAGCAGTAGCAGTGATCGCCCAGTCACGATATCTCGCCCCTTCTGTAGTAGTCGTCGCAGTGAACGGAAGAAATTGTGAGAAGGTAGTACAGGAACCCGCTTGCTTACCTATAATTGCTTCCAGACCAACCGATGAATATACGTAAACGTAGTCCGGCGGTGTGTCCGTACACAACCAAAACGTATCCCTCTGGTCATTAGGATTCTGACCAGCCTTGAGCAATGAAGATTTATCGATAGCGACCCCGCCACCAGATGTCCACATTACTGGGATCGGAATCATCCTATTGTCATCTTTCGTAACTAACAGATACGTCTGGTAGTCATTAAGGACATTAGGATGATCGCCTAGGTATTCGGAGCTGTAAATTCCGACTATGACATCTATGATGCTTCCGCCGTCCCCCATTGGAGCCCTTTGGACTAGCCTGAGGTAGCCTTCACTGGCACCGGAATCGGTGTCCACGTTAAAAACTTGGAAGTCATCTCCCGCGTCATAATCGACAAAATGATACCCTTGATTATTTCCGAATAAATCCCAAAAAAGATGACCGGTATAGCCGGGAATATCGGCAGCATATGTACCAGAAGCATCGATCGTGCTAGAAAGAGTTGAGCTGACTTCTGAAACTGATGTTTCCGTGAAGGAGCTGGTGGCAGACGGTGATGTGACGGCAGAGGAACATCCGGTGGATATATCGGCGGCAGCGTATGGAGAAAGTTGTTCAGGCGTTGACAGTGCTGGTGCGCGTATTTCCAGAACGATAACTCGCGTGGCTCCGATATCTTCTTCGGTAACTGTGTAGACTGAGGTCGCCTCTACGGCGCTATATGTCGTCGTAAGCCATGAAGTTGTCGTTGTGGTCGTTGTGGTACTGCCATGGTAATCGAAAAGCTGGGAGCAAAAGGGTTGGAGATTATAGGATGTGATTATATCATATGCTGGTGGCAAAGATGATGAGGATGAGGAAGAGGATGACGAATTAGAAGATGACGAAGAAGAATTAGAGGAAGATGATGACGAATCAGAAGATGACGAAGAAGAATCAGAGGAAGATGATGATGATGACGACGACGACGACGACGAATCGGAAGATGATGACGATGATGACGATGATGAAGACGATGATGAAGAAGAAGATGATAATGAATCAGAAGAAGAAGATGATGATGATGAGTCAGAAGATGATGGGGATGATGACGGGGATGACGATGATGAAGAAGAGGAGGGGGAGGAGGAGGACGGAAAGGACGACGAGGAATATGGAGAGATAGATGAATTTAATGACGAAATATCCAAAGATGAAGGGCGAGAGGAGGAAGTACGAGAGGAGAAGCCCAAACTCGATTGATTCGATAGATTCGATGCGGAAGAGGGGAGGGGAGTTATCATGTTAGTACCGGAAGAATCACTGACTCTAGAAGAGCCTGTCCTTGTAATTTGGCTCGAAACTAGAGTACGAGATGGCTGCAGTCCTGTTGTAGACGATATACTCTGGGAAGGTTGTATCGGCCCAACGAGGGCTGGTAGCCAACCATCCGGAGTAGACCCAGGGTAAGCGGCCATTCTCAAGTAGTATCCCCCCTGAGCTCTTCTTAGACGATATAATCTATATATTTTCCCGTTATATTCCAAGCACATCCCTACCTCGTTGAAGAAGATGCGCGATAATATATCGGTACTCAAAATCTCGCCAGACTCGAGAATGTCATGGAGTAGTTCTCCAATGTCGTCCAGCGAAATTGCGTCTTGACGTTTCTGAATAGTTCCTCTTCTAAGGAATATGGCCTCGACCGGTTCCTCTACCGTTAAAAGTCGACCCCCTTGGAGCATGAATCTCGGTGCGGAGGTTTCTGCAATCTTAACCAAGCCAAGACGTCCATCTGAGAAGAGTTGAAAATAAGAGTCTGGTGAATCACCGTCCAACGATTGCAGAACGAAGGAGCTCGGGGTGCTCGTCGGAGTTGAGATCGAACTCCACGACGGAACGGTAACATTCTCAGTATAGCTACTAGCTATAGTACTAATTGAACCTGTTTTTCGAGATGTCGTGAAAGTGCTGAAACTTCCAGGCGGTATCGAATTAGAAGGCAACCAGGAGCTAGGACCTACAGTCCCATTTCCCACAGAGGAAACTAATGGATTCCAGATGACATCCTCACATAGTTGCAATTGTGAAGAGCAGGTTTGCGTTTCTGTCCACCGTGTCGTTACAAAGATTGTAGTTATTGTGGTCGACTTCTGTGCAAATGTGCCACAAAAGAGTATAGCCAATGAAATTTGGCGAGCAGCGACCCTCATCCTGCGTCGTGCCGACTTGGAAGGATCATATGTTCGGTGTAGAGACGATGACGGTGTTTTCGAAATTTCACGCGGATGTCAGGTCAAACAAATTTTCCTAGAGGCGCAGTTAAGTCGATGTCGGCCTCTAGTTAGGACGAGCGTGGTCACATACGCCGACCCCTCTCCGAAATAGAAGTGCTGGCGTAGCTTATCTTGGGACATGATAGACATGGCGTTAGTCTTCTTTACCTTCCACGTTATGCAATGATGGTCATCCGCTGATGGCCTATTGTTCTTATCAAAAGAGCAAATTGAAAGGAGAGGCGCCTGCACATGCGCACAATCGTTGGCAGATCTCTGAAAATCGAATTTCATATGCATCAGCGCTATTAGATATACCATATATCGCTAAATCGGGATTCCCACGTGCGCTGACATGCAATTATCGATCGACTAAGCCTTGGTTCTCTCTATTGTATTGATAGAACACTAAGCTTAAGAAAACAAGAGAGAAATAGATTGAAAATTTGAAGGTTGAAGATGGTGAATTATGATCAAAGCTAAGCCATGTACTTCAATGCAATGATAGGCAAGATCGACCCACCGGCGAGCTCGAGTTACACGTAAAAAAAATACAACAAACATCAACACACTTTTTGACTTTCTAGTCTCGTGCTTGATATGGAAAAATCAACGGTAGGTTTCGCAGTAGAGTTGGTCATATCATATCATGTATCCGACGCAAAAACATGTTGAATTCTGTGATCAATAGTGAATCTTCATGGCAGTTATGTGGTTCGGTGGGTTTAAGTCTCTGCTCGCTTCGAGTCAAGCATTCTACTATTCTATGACTGGGATCAATATCTATAGCCTTTGAGTTTGGATCGCTTTGGCCGCGCAGGCAGCAGCAACGCCCATACTATACACGCCGTCGGTTCTCAATTTTGGTACTAAAAACCGAATGAAAGCGAATGGCGTTACTAATTTGCTCTAGAATTACGGAAAATCGTTTTGACAAAGTCCAATTTCTTCCACCAAGGATATGCCGCGGGACAGCTAAGCCTCACACCTCACTTTCGAAATTGTGGAGACGAGAACTGGGATAGACACTATCGAAGTATGCTTAAATCTTGGAAATCTTGGACTTCAGAAATGTCGATCAAGGCGGGGGGACATTAAGGTAAGCCTTCTCCAACGAGACCAGCCTTCTCCGATTTCTATCTGCTTAACCTCTTTCCAGCACGCTTGGAGAAGTTGTGTTGGGATTTTAGCCGGATTTTAGCCTAACTCGCTTCCCTGGTACCCAGCAAGCCGTATCCGTGGTATAGATTCTGGCTAAATTGCTTAAGTCTGGAGAACGGAGAAATCGAGAGGAAAGATATCTGCAGTTAGAGTTCGGTTCTCAGACCATTGGTAAGGATCTTGGTGTTTGTTAAGCATTGCAGCTATTTTGTTCGCCTAGGCTAGCGGTCTCCTGCGTTAATCTTGCGTTAATGATGTCAAGTTGCGGGGCATAAGTCTTGCTAATATAAGGAAAGAAATACTCGGAATGCAACTTGGGCCGCGGAATATTTAGATCGACAGCATTTATGCTGCATCGAGATATCTAGGTAGATTTTCTGTCTGAACGTATAAAGTTCTTGGCTTGTGTATGGACGAAAGATGCGAGTTCTTCCGTCTTGGAATCTGAAGACCTAGGTCCAAACGCTGAAACTCGGGCATTCGAATTGGAGAAAGTTGGTATGAGGATATCGAGATCCTAGAGTCGACGATTATAAAAGGTATCTCAACGAGTGTAGATTAATGGTTTCTAGCTTTATGCAATAAAACTTTCCCGGAAAGAAGGGCTTCCAATCTAGAAACCGAAGCTTTGATACCCAAAAGACACAATCTGTTACAAGAGACCATGTTGTATCTCAAGCTCACCACGCTCCTCGCAATCCTCCCTCTCTTCGCGTCTGGTGTTCCGACCACTGGACCGCATATGAAGCGAGCGGAGTGTGCAAGTTGTGAAGATGTCGCCCACGGCTTCGCATCCCTAAACGGCGGTACTTACGGTGGTAAAGGTGGTAAAGTAGTAACAGTTACCACGCATGCCGACCTGAAAAAGTATGCTGGTGCAACCGAACCACTTATCATCCGTATTGACGGAACTATCATCGCAGAGCCCAAAGGCTATGAAGTTCCTGTTAAGAGTTTTAAGACCATCATAGGTGTTGGCGAAAAGGGACATCTAGTCGGTGGCGGGTTTAATATCAATAACCAGAAGAATGTTATCATTCGAAACCTGGAAATCAGTGATAGCTATGAGCCAACCGACTATAATGGTAAAGGCGGAGATTGGGATGGTATCCAGGTCGACACCAGCGTCAACATCTGGATCGATCATGTTAAAGTGAGTAAAAGCCTGCGAAAATAAAAAAAATAGGGAAAATATACTAATACTATGATAGCTTGCCCGGATGAGAGATGGTCTCATTGATCTTCGAAAAGACACCAACTACGTTACTGTCTCGAATTGTCTTCTTTCAGAGCACAATAAAGCGTTTGGTATCGGATGGACAGAGAATGTTGTCGCCCAAATGACGGTGAGTCATACCCATATTCAAAGGCCTGAGAAAGAACCAGAATCCTAACATCCCCCACCAACCAGATCAATGATAACTTCTTCAACTCCACTAACCAACGTGGTCCCTCCGCCGACAATCTCAAATATTGCCACATGTATAACAACTATTTCCTAAATGTCACCTCGTATGGCAACTACGCCCGTGGCAAAACTGCCCTGCTTGTCGAAAACTCGTATTTCGAAAGAGTCAATGATCCCGTCGTCGCTGGTCCTAACGCCTCGATAAAGAGCAATTGGTTGAAATTCAAGGATTGCACTGGAGATATCCACCTGAATGTGAATGCGCACAAGGTGTTCAAAGCTTCAAAATTTTATGAGTACTCGTTGAAAGATCCTTATGATCTGCCAACCACAATCCCACCGTTTGTTGGACCGAGGCCGGAAATCGGTGTCTGAGTGAAGAAAGTCTTTGGAATTCGGAAGTAGAGTGAGGGTTTCCGGATATTCCACTATCCGGGTTTGGGGCTCTAGTATCCATGTAATAGTAGCAGAGCAATATAGTCCCGCTGCAATAGGTTTATCGTGCATCCGCATCGCAGATCAGAAACCAGGAATAGTATCAATAATGTGGCCTGATGTGATCTCGTATTCGCCACAGAAAGTATCAAAGTGGAATTTCCTACTATACGCACCAGCATATCTATAACTACTGTTCTCTGTTGTCTGGTTTCCGAGACCAAGTTAAGTTGTCCTAAAATTTAGAACTAGTTTTCCCGTTTCCTGGGCTAAATGTGTTGTTGTTGTTGCAAATTTAGCCGGCTTGCAAATTACAGTCTCGACACTAAACCAGCTTAGCTCATGCAAATTAATGCATTGTTCATGAATTCATTACATTGTCGATTTCAAATGCTCGAAGAGTTCTAACTTGAGAGTTGATAGTATTTCTTAATTGGACTTTTCTGAGTACTCTTTGAATACTTGACGGCGTATCTATTGTCTCCTTCGAAATGTTTTTTTTCGTGGTCTTGTTAAGATCACGGGCTTCTCCGGTAAATTAAACGTGTACACACGTACAAGGGAGGATGAGGCTTTGAATTCGAATCCAACATCGACCAGGACATATAATTTAGCCGCGATGTGTTTGCATTAAATCCTGACAAGGTAGCACAAAACAAAAATTTGACTTGAAAAATGGCAGCCTAAGCCGATACCAGCTGTATGTCCGTTCCCCAGGCTCTATTTTACACGATATACCCTTGGCTCAATGGATTCCTACAGCCACGCCTCGTGCGCGTGCATAACTACACGTAGTTTGGTGAGGCCATATCGAGATGTACGAGTATCCACTAGCTTGTGGATAGATATGCTGAAACAATCGTTGATCTGGCGGTTTCAACAATAATATTGTCCTTTATTGGCTCCTTTTGCAGTTTTGTCTCGTAACCAGACCTGGCTCCTTGACTATCAGGTTATTTCATAAGTGCCCATTGCCGTATAATCATCTGACTATATTTGGGATCCACCAAGGTTAACTCCAAGGTAGATTTTCCAGGACAGCAGTACCAATGTGTGAACCGTGCTTAGAACCCCCCCAATTAGAACGAATACAAAACAATCTTCAAACTGGGCTACATTTTTATCATAAGCCATTGTCCTATTGGACGGAATCAAGCCGTATGATGTTAATTCCCCAATGCAATTTCAATTGCGCAACTAAATACACGTATACAGATAGAAGCGTCTTCAACTTACAACATAGTTCCTAATTCACCCCGCGATCGGAATTTACTCTTCTTTATTCATAAAATCAATTCCAATTTAAGTCCCGTATTCATCGGCAGTTAAACAACCTGCAGAGAATTTCTACAAGGAATTTCGGAAAGTAGTCCGTGCTTGAGAAGGGGCGTTCCCTTCCCGCTTAAGCTTAATCGAGCCCCACTCGAGGAACAATCCCTGGTATATCTCGTATAAAACCTTAAATCCTCGTCGATACATACCGGGGGTACCATATTCTCGAGTACTAGAGGTCTGGGGTAACATTAGCCCCATTCACTGAACTGACTGGTCTCAACTATTGATTTTACTCATAGTTTATGTTTGCCCCCTCTAGTTTATAGTGGAGGGAGTTCCTGAGAGGACGGGTATTTCTTCGATACGAGAGATATGCATTCTCGAATGTATAATTGGTACCGGGTCCGGTAGGTAGAGCCGCGGAGGAGATGGGTCCGCTGCCGGTTTTAGAGACGATGATACCCTATTACATATTAATACAGCTAATTCGGAACATGTACTAAGCGGGCGGAGACGGAATGGATAGCTTGCATCGGCTAATACTACTCACGTACATCAAATATGCAGGACATCGGAGTTCTAGAGAGGTTCCTGGCATAAATTTCGAAGGGCGGCTCTTGAAGACTGAAACCTCTTAATCCACCGCCGCAGAACTCCGATACTTCCCCACTTCTGCTGTACTTAGGAATATTCAATAGATTAAATCTCGCAGAATTGCATGCATGTGAGTTATAGACCGGGTGTGTATATAAAACTGTTTTCCAAATTGAGAATTAGATACCCATTTCAGGAAATATATTAATATATTGCTGTAAGAGCCGCTCGAGCTAGTTTCATGAGATAATGTCTTATTCAGCTAGCTCACCCCAGTCTTCTCATATCATCGACACCTGATACGATATTGACAAGCCTCCGATGTTTGAACTTCGAGCATCGGTGGTCCCAGTTCCGAAATCGATCATGATCATACCTTTGTCTTATCGACCACCAACAATGTTCCGATATTTCCCCAGAATCAAGGTCCGGGGTTACTAGTTCTGATTTGTCTTTCCGGATACCATAGCTCCAGCGAATATTGAAACTCGTACTCAGAGGCGACAAGAATCGACCCAAGAACAATGCACTGGTATCGACACATCCTAGCTTCTTTCTGACGTAGATATCGTATCTCCAAGCCCCTCGCTCGTATTCTTGAGCGGCTATCACCAACGGGATGACGGGTTCCCTTTCCGTGAAAATCTTGAGGCTTATGATGCATGATATCGATCATCGTGGACGGCCCAGGTAGGTGAAAGATAGGCTACTCTTGCATCTCGTGCTTCAAGGCGAAACGATAGGCTACTTTTGAATCTTGGGCTTCGAGGCGAAACGATAGGCTACTTGCGTCCAATTAAGCTCCATGCGTGTAGCGTGGCCACCAGGTGATAGGAGTTTCGGAAGATGGCCAGGGTGCTTATACTTTTTTTTTTTTCGCCGTGCGGGACGACTGAATGATGGTACCGAAGATTACTATACCATTGTCTCCTTGCATTCTATGCAGACTTTCCCTCGTCAACCATTGTCTCCGTGGCCGGGGCCTCGAGTTAATTGCTTGTACATGCCATGCATTTCTACCGATGATGGTATCTCAAATTCGACTATAAGTACCAGCACGCCATCCCCTCTTCGAATCTTTTTTTTCATCATCATCAGCATTCAATTCCAGTATCCAGCCTCAACTTTCCAAACAATCTAAATTATAAAATACATTCTTAAGCTCCTTAGCTTTCCCAGTAAGCTTCCAGAAACCAACCAACCGATACTGATACTCAAAGAATTGAGTATCAATCAAAACGGTGAACAATTGAACAAGTTGACAGTGCTAACAGTACTCGCAATTATATTAAAGACCCAAACAGACAAAATGAAGTTCACTCTCGTCGCCTTCGTCTCCGTCATCGGCCTCGTCGCCGCCAGCCCAGCTGCTTTCCCAAACCCAATGCCATTCTACGAGTCTGAGCCAGAGGCTTTCTCCAAGCTCGCCAAGCGTGACTGCACCTCATGCATCAACAAGATCCGCTGCTGCGCTTTCCCACCAAAGTATGCTTGATTCCAACAGTTCACTCGATTACTTAGTACGAATAAATACTAACAAATTATTTTTCTCTCTCTTGCAGCGTCAACTACTGCCACAAGTGCTAAATGCATCCTTTCGAAGGATGAGCCTCATGGCCAATGAGAAGTGGGGTACTCTTATAGCATGATTGATGGACGGATGGTTTATGATGGCTGAATGAATACAAGAGAAACAACGGGATTCAGCTTTGCTTTTGTTATGTAAATACTATTCTTTTGGCAAGCTTGATAATGGCTGGGTAACTGGTCTGTTCGGGTGTGCAATATATAAATACATACACTTTTTTATACCTCATGCCAGCTTTTCCAATCCCGCGGTTCCTAAGCTTGAATTAATTGTACAGCGGTAGTTCGTACCTTAATATCCAGTTCGATAGCTAGCGGTACTGAAGTATGATCCTGCACGATACCTTTGTTTGTTTCAAGAGCAGAAATTAGTCACACTAGTAAGAATTCACTATTGAATAGATAATTATATAAGAAGGATGTAATGAAGTTTTGCACCTCTTGCGTATACTTATAATTACGCATTTAAACTGCAATGTTATGTAACCATACGCAATGTAATTGTTCTATCCATATTCTTGAAAGCCCAGCTTAATTTCGGCTTGTACAATAAACTTACTACAAGCATGCTATCATGATCATATCTCCTAGTTACCGAATTATCTCTCAATTGCAAGTTAACTAGTTATTTTGTGAATCACAAGTTAACTAGTGCATAATATTAATACTAAATTCGGAGAATTTCCAGATAATATAAATACTCTTGAACCAATTCTTTTTGTGGCTAGTAAAAAGTTTTCCCGCAATATGACAGATCGATTACATGCTCTAAAATCAAAAGATTTTAGAATCAAATCGAGACATCAACTGAGAATATAAAGTTAAGCCGTGGATTTTGTTGCAGCGCTGTTGTAATTACTTAGGTCTCGGTCATAATTTGCCGTTGGATGAAATGGCGCTTAATACCGAACTACCGATTCGGAAAGCATCCCGAAATCAAGCCACCCCGCGAATTTCCTACATAGTACCCATGAACCCACTAGCCACTCTCACCAATTCCGTAACGGAAATTACCAAGTCAAGGTGCAGTTTTTCCTTCTAATTGTGTTCCGAGGGGCAAGAAATTTTATTTAAAATCTAATGCAATGCTGATTCTCATTGTTCCGTGTGTGCCACTATAGATTCGTAATACTACGTTGTCAGTGAAGCTAGTGATTACTCAAATACCTGTATACATGATCGATCTAGATCCTGTTATTCCATGGGACGTATACGACAAGCCCAGGACGAAGATACCCTGAACGCACATGTACCAGCTGCCAACGAATAGGTTCTTAGGCATGACGCTCGCGGCGAAGCCACGGATTAATTCGATTGTCAATGTTCCCTCGCCAAATCTATTTTTGTAATCTTGCCGTGGACCGGAATGGCTAGGCGGTTTGCAGGCCCAAGGGCCGGCTCGCCACAAACAAAACTTCACTCCGCCGCCAAATCTTCGAACCTCCCGAATCGAGTAAGTCATGGAACACTTTGAAATGATTCTTTGACATATGCAAGGAATGGTTGGGATCCCAAGCAAGACCTCCATCTAGCTTCGACACCATCTTCAAACGAACTCCATTTACCACCTGCAGAAAAACGAAGGCCTTCTGACCCGGCCAAGGCGTTTTGTCAGATGCCCAAGGTCATGAAGACCGAACATCCCAGCCCGCCTACTCTCTTGGGTATGCACTTATTTCGGCACTGACCTGCCGGCGCGCCACAGTTCTGATCAAATATCACGGTTTGATTGGACAGGTGAGCCACCGACAAGCCTTGGCTCAGCCCGACTATACTCGTTTCACACTCTTGGCTTCAAGGGGTCCCAGCAGTTTGAGGAACAGCCTTTGCAGACTCACACAGCCGGGGTTAGATTACGTATACTACGCTGGACGGTGGGAAGTGGAATCTGGCGGATTTTCCACTCTCAGAACGATAATCAAATAGGTAGTGACCTGATCCGAGAGCGACTTTTGTTTGAACTAACCAAGGGACCTTACACAGTAGTGTGTGGAAGAAAATTTCGCCGCCATAGACAGAGGAAAGAAAGGGAAGCCGCGGTTACTTTAGTACATGCTGTATATGATAACGTCGATGCGGACGGCGCAGTACCCCCCTTTACTAGTCTCTCACCGTTGTCGGTAACGCTAATCGAATCTCGTATATGCATAATCGAACATTCTGATCATCTGATATGTATGAAAGAAAAAATATGCCGTCCATTCGGGACCGTCCAAGTCGCATTCTGTATGAGACCCTTACCATAGTACCACAGGTAACTTTTAAGGAGACCCACAGGCGCAGGCATCCCCTCATGGGCCCCTGTTCAGGCTGGCACAACATGCATGTTTTAATGTTAACTTAGTAACTTAAGAATGCGCTACACTCGAAATTCTATAAAACCGGGCTGACGCTCTCTCTCACTCCATCTTATTCTTCCGAAGTGCTTTCTTTCCCTCTCGCCTTTTTGAATCTTCGATAATAAGATCGTGTTAAGCATTGTTTTCTTTCTTTGTTGGTGGTTGTAAGTACTCCAAATACGGCGATTCCCGGGATATATTTTTAGACTTCTGGCCGAAAGCATTGCATTGCATCCAGACATCGCGAGAAAGAAACTAACGCTTTGGTTTGCGTTGCAGCGAAATACAACTATTCTTTTAAACTTCAGCCCGGCGTATCCAGATCCATCTTATCTACCACCTTCTCCGCCATCACCGGCCATCAGAATCATCATCTCCTTTCACATTTACCTGAAAGCCTAGGCTTCAATAGCATCCAAGATGTCGTCGCAAGATTACTATAACCAACAACAGCAACAACCTTCGTACCCCCAACAGTCCTTTCAACAGCCACCGCAATACCAACAGGGATATGGCGAACAGCCGCAACAGGGTTATTATCCTCCTGTACGTCACTTCGTCTTGCTGTCCTTTTAACTTGAATTGCATGAGATATCAATACTAACGGATCTTTTTTTTGGAAATGAATAGGAACAACAGGGTATGAACTACCAACAACAGCCACAAGGACAATATCAAGATGACCGGGGTCGTCAAGACGGTGGTGGTGGTGGTGCTGCCGGTGGATGTCTTGCTGGACTGTAAGTTTCATTCTTATAGCAACCGATTCTGCACAGACGGTATTCTCTACCGTTTAGAATGGAATGGAATGTTTTTTTGCTAACGGAATTGATATAGTTGCTGCGGTCTCTGCGCATGTTGTGCCTGCGAAGCATTCTGCGAATTATTAGAATGCTGTTTTTTCTGCTGTTAAAAAGCATCTCCCGATCAATCAACTTCATGATAGCGAATCTCCCAGCCAATCGAAGCGACGAAACCAGAATACTTATAATTAACCGATACATAATTCACAAGTAGTGACTACAATGATGTGGACTGCTTTTCTCTTTCAATTCACTCCTTTCGATCCCTTGAAGGCCGGCCAACATATTCATCTTACTACGATTACCCTTCGACGTACAACTATATCGAATACTACTCTACTAAAACCGCCCACAAATCCATCGCTTTGGCTTCTTCTTCTTCCTCCTATTCTCTGTCATGCTTTTCATCACCTTATTTTGTTAATAATTTATCTGGGAGTTTCCTATTAGAATCCTTTTTGCTTCCTTTAGTAATGACAGCTCGCTGTGGCAGGAGAGTCGCCTTGCGCTCTTCTTTTTCCCTTTTCACCTTTTTTTTTTTCTTGGAAAGCAAAGTTATATTGAATACCCGGACTTTACGGAATCTACTCTGTTGCAAGGAATTTCTTATGAAAATGAAATCCGTAGGTATGATGATAAAAGAAAGGTCTTAAGATGTAGTGAACGAAATGCCCCTCAATGACGTACTAGGCAATGATCCAATCATACCACCAAACCTTAGCTTAGTATGGGAACCAGTGATACCCCGCATACATAAGTCCTTGGTAGCGCCGCTAGTACTCTTGTATCATTATTATAGTGCCAGTATGGGCTGGATCGCAAAATTCGAGAAGGCTGAATTGGGATCTGTGTAACTTGGGCAAGGATCCATCCATTCCAAAAATGCCCCTGTGATATGAATTAGCAAATTAGTATAGCCTTATACAAAACTTTCGTCTGAGCTAGTGCGCCTAGAATGGTATCTAGATACATCACTGTATCCAAAGGCTAATCTTAAGAAGCTGAATCTATAGATATCAAGTATCATCTACAAGATTCAAGGCATAGTGTGGGAAGAATAGCAAATTCCACAAGGCTCTCTGCTTCAATACTTTTAGACTTATAGAGCAGTTAGCCCCCGTTACCATGCAAACGCTCGTGTTGGAAGCCTCTTCTAGAACGTCACTAAAATGCAATTTGGTGGCACTGCCCCCAGCTTCATCAGAATCACCAACCTCGAAGGTATCGGTCTTTACTAGATACCCAACCACTTAGCCATCTGTTTTTTATTGATCGTTCTGAAATCTTCAAACAGTTTTAAAATCATGGATCTCACGAACTGCCGTTGGCACCCATCGAAGTACTACCATCACCTGATAACGAGCTATCTCTCCAAAGCCAAAGAGAAATACAGACCGTTAACACCAATAACGATATGTACACCCTTCCTCCTCGAAGATCTAGCCAGTTCTACTAGAACCGTGGAAACGGATATTATGCTTTGCGAGAAAGATTTTCGAAAGCATCAGTTGGTTATCATACCTGCCAAGACACAGAGCAAGCCTCAAGGCGAAGTAAATGATAAAACTTCATCATCACCATCATCACCATCATCACCAAAAGGCGAAACGCCGAAAGGAAGATGGACTTTATATATCGTCGTTCGAGGAGAAACAATGTTATCTCGTTTTCCCGGCGAAAAGGATAAAGGAAACCTGGTTATCATAATAATTGGGGATCGAGATACCACCCACGAGAACGTGATTCTCCAGATGTTATATCAGAAATCGAGGTATCGTTTACGAAATGACTGTCCTGTATATGGATATCGTCTGGCGAATACCGACGAAACCAGGCAGAGATATCTTCAGTCAAGCTGCACTAAGTATGTGGACTGGGTGAAAGGGAAAGATGACAAGGAAGAATGGATGGATGCTTGGGGCCTTACTGGTATAGCTGAGGCTGTTCTGAAAGATACCACAAAGACTATTGTGGAGCTATTGAAGGGAGAAGGCGAGGTTGTGAAGTTTGAGATTCCCTCAGAGACAGCTTGATAACCTCTTTCTGATATACTTTTTTTGTGTTGGTATGTTGGGAATCTCTATCAGATGTAGTTCCCAAAAGTGTCGACATTTCTAGCTAACTCTTTACGGTTCCGCGCAGCTTGTGATCAAGAATAGTCTGGGGGTCGCTTCCTGGCGTTCACAGATCAAGAAGATTGTCGGAGAAAGGATTTACCTGCGAAAGTTTGCGGCCTGGTTTGAATATCATATCTCGTCGCTGCTGTGTTACCAAACATCAGCTAGGACAGGAACATTGGCGATAATATTGCATGCATCCTTCCATTCACATATCCAGTCAACGCCGTCGATTACGAGATTAAAACTCACAGGAGGGAGGATCCCAGCAAATAAAACGGGCAGGTGATAAGGTTTGTCTGGACACCACGCAACCTTTTCCCGTCGGCCTTTTCGACCGCTTCGCGGAAGATACTTAACATATGTACCTACATCGACTCGGTGATTACCATTCGAAATTGGGGCTGTGCTAATCCCCACCCCTCTTAGAGAAAAACCGAAAGTCGGCTTCTGGAGGGAGTATTCCACATATCGATGGATGGATGGTTGAGCAGAGCATGTAAGTCGCTGCGGCTTTCCTGGAGGTTGCTTGCTCATTGCTGAAGGACCCACATTTCCATGTCTTGTCTTGCAGTGTTGCATAGCTTGGATGGAACTTTAAAATGCTTGTTTGGTTGGAAATGACGAATGGGCCTGCGAGCCAACCCGCTTTGGAGCTGGGGAAGAGAAAAAGGCTGATAGCTTGGGCCGTTTATATAGGCGAGAAACCCCTCCGACTGCGAACATAGACATCTTGGCTTCATTGATCCTACTTCATCATAATCTTTAAATTTTTGCGTCAAGAATTTTATTTTGCGACGACTGGAATAGAACTTACAATTTCTTTGTTTCTTTTCTTTTCTTTTCTCCCACCAAACTTCGTAAACACCTAACTTAGCTACTATAACGACAGCTACGACAACGATAGTGGCTATCTCGCCGCCTCAACTGCACACGTGCCACCCCGATTTTCAACTTACTCTACGAACGACCGACACAGCTTGTTCCAAGCTGGAATCAACGAAGCTGGCGAACTTCTTCGAAATCACTGTGCTAGACGATGGCACGCCGCGACTAATAGAAGCACCTTAACCACAATCACCCCCGACAAAGCATTACGATTACCATCTTCTTTTTTGCCCCTTCCCAAGTTTGTTACTAGTGGAGCTTAACAGGTATCAACCTACCTACCTACCTATCTATCTACCTTTTTTATAGCGATGGAATACAAATGCTAACGAAATATGCGTCTTATGCAGAGTCCTGCTGGATACAAAGCAATATTTGTAGCGAGATAAATATCCGTCGCTGGATTAATTCAATCTTAGATATCTTCTACGATACATCTTCCAACCGGAGATGAAGGGAGCCTACGGACTATTGCGCCCAGCTGCTGGATTATCTCCGTAGACGAGACCACTATCGTCGCAAGCCCACTTCCTTGACACTACTATCTAAAAATCATCCAAAAGATACCTTTTCGCGACAGCCTACCACCTTCTACCCTTTCCTTGAAATATCTATCAAAACACGTCTGAATACTTGGATACTTCTTCTAATACGCCGAGTATCTGTCAAAATGCCAATCGATCAAATTACTATGCTGGTTAAGACCAGTACTGGCGGGGCGGAATGTACGGATAGGGTGCTCGAGATGTTGGCATCAAAGGAAGGTGTCACCTTAGCTATGATTATTGCTTTGGTGATGATCTGGACGCTTAGGATGATTTGGCGGGCTTTTTAAGGGAATTTATTATTTGATGAAGGTTTATGGGATTCTGGTGAATGGTATGTTATTGCTCTGCTTACTCTCGTACTGTATGTGTTTTTGGAAGAGTCTAGCTAATGGTTTGATAGGATGATACAAGGAGGAGGAGGAGGAAGCAAGATCTGACCGATGGATAACGAATCTCCTTATACGCCTTTGTTGGTGGACTTCAGATAAGTGGTTTATACGGGTTTTTGGAACTATGTCCCTTCTGATTCTCCCTTCTCCCTTTCCTTCTCCCTTTCCTTCTCCCTTTCCTTTTCTCTTTACTCTTTGGAGTATTTCTAAAAGAAGCTTCGATTACAACTTGTATTGCCGGTAGAATCTTGTAATGAGCTGTGACGACCACGCATTTCTTTTAGTAATATTAGAGCAAACCCTTGAATCTATCATACATCCTAGTCTCGTATTGCCCATATCCCTTCGTATAATTGCAGCCTCTAAATTTTTACGTAGTTTCGGAGTTAATCTGGTGCCCAACTGCGAAGGAGGGGTCCTATCAAATTTAGCTAGTAAATCTGTAAAAACCAATTTAATTCAAAAATATGTTATATTTTGTTAAAACTTTGTCTCGTACACCTGGAAGGTTAAAACTAGTATCATCAAAATCCTTTGGAACATTAGGCATGCAATACCCCAAAAGAGACTAAAAAAATATAAAAATATATAAAAAATCGCAGCCTTGTGTTCGCGAGGCTTGTTTGATCTTGTATTGGAGGCTGAGTTAATAGCTGATGCTGGATATTTGATATCGATAAGGTACCTCTACCTCTGGTTTCCCCGCATTTGAATATTTCTGAACAGTCGCCTTTAATCCTCTATCCTCTTGATCTTTTGCTTTGATCACTATTTACGACGCAAGCCAAAATTCTAAATCTTACCAACGTTCGTGCAACGCGACGACCAAAACTCGGTTGCGACTTAGCTAGTTATCCAATGTAAGCATCATTGCAGGAAGCGACCCCCAGACTACCTCCAGGCTAGCAGCAGCTAAGAGTATTATTTAATCCGAACTAAGTTTGGTTTAATTAAATATTATAAATAACTTCTTATGAATATTATAATGAATTCTAACGTGGTATGAAAGTCGCTTCGCGACGAGAGATCTTTCCAGAATGTCGAAAAAGAAATTAGCTTTTGAAGATTATACCGTCGGATGGATCTGTCCCCTCCTCGTGGAAAGGGTTGCCGCGATGGCGATGTTTGATGAGGAACACGAACCCCCCGGACCACAACCGTCAGCCGATCACAACGTCTACTACCTGGGTAATATCCAGTCCCATAATGTAGTAATCGCAGGCTTGCACAAGGCAGGAAACAGTTCCGCGGCTACTGCCGTCGCCCAGATGATGATCACATTTCCAAACCTTAAGTTCGGTCTACTAGTCGGAATTGGAGGTGGTGTACCAGTAAAAACGGATAATGGGAGGATTAGACTCGGTGATGTCGTCGTCAGCAAGCCGACTGGTGAGCACTCAGGTGCGGTGCAGTATGACCATGGTAAAGCGGAGACGGGACGCTTTCGACGCACTGGTATCCTTGCTCCGCCGCCGCGGGTGCTTCTGAATGCGGCTATTGATTTAGAAGCTCGGCGTTCGATGATGCGGGTAGACCCAATCTGGGAGAATATCAAACGAATTGACACAAGTATTCGCACTCTCCGAAAGTATAAGTATCCTGGTCCCGAGCAAGATCACCTCTACAAGCCGAGTTGTATCCATCCGGATCCGAAGCTTTCTTGCAGCGAATGCGGATGTGATCCGGCGCAACGAGTACAGGATTCTTCCTTTGACCTGGATGAAGACGAGAGGAAGTCAAGTGTGGTCGTTCACATGGGAACAATTGCGTCGGGTGAACTGGTTATCAAAAACGGAGAGATAAGAGATCAACTGGCTGAAGAATATGGAGTCTTGTGTTTTGAAATGGAAGCGGCAGGGGCGTTAACTGATTTTCCTTGTATTGTCATCCGTGGGATCTCAGACTATAGCGACTCGCATAAGAACGACGTCTGGCATGGATACGCTGCCGCTGCAGCGGCGGCGTACGCGAGGCAGCTATTCTTCCATATGCCAATCGATGAAGTCAAGCGGTATGCATATATATGAGTGACCCTAGAATATAACGCGATAGAACATTTTCCACTAAGAAACTATGTAGCTATATCTCTTCAACCGCGGAGCAAGTCCTTCGCCAAATCGAACAACGTAAAGATAGTAAAGAACGCTGGGAGATCCTTAATTGGCTCGAAACCTTTAACCACAGTCTTCAGCAAAACGACAACCTAAAGAAGCGGCGGTCAGGGACAGGATTATGGTTACTGAACTCGAACCAATTTCAAACCTGGCTAGAATCTAGTCAGCAGACATTATTCTGTCCAGGTTTCCCCGGACAAGGAAAAACCATCATGACTTCGATCATTATCGAAAATCTCCAAATGAGATTCCGAGGCGACAAGACTATCGGCATCGCCTATCTTTATTTTAATTTCAAGAGAACTAATGAGAAGAACTTACTTGCAAGCTTACTAAATCAACTAAGCCAAACTCAGCCTTCAATACCAGACGGGGTGAAAAGCCTCTACCGCGAATTCGGGCACCAAAGACCACCAGAAGACAAAATTTACGAGGTGTTACAGACCGTGCTATCTAAGCTTTCGAGAGTTTTCATTATTCTGGACGCTCTGGATGAATGCAACCCTGTTGATCGATCGGAACTTTTGACGGAACTTTTTCGTCTTCAGACTGAGTGCGGAGTCAACATTTTGGCAACATCGAGATTCATTCCAAATGTTGAGGAGAGATTCGAGGGAACTATGGTTTTAGAAATCCAAGGCAACCCCGAAGATATATATAATTACATAGGCGGGCGTATGTCAGAGCTGCGGCTATGTGTTAGGCGTGATCCAGGACTCCAAGAGGAAATTAAGAAGGGAATAACAGAGGCCGTTGATGGAATGTTTCTCTTAGCCCAACTATACCTAGAATCTCTCCAAGATGGGATAAGCAAGGGAGATATCCGAAGAGCATTGGAGAAGTTCCGGAAACAAACCCAAGGATCTGGAGGGAAAGAAAAACTGAAAGTATTGGCCGACGCATACACAGAAGTGATGAAAAGAATCGGCCAGCAAGGCGACAAAGCTCAGAAGTCTGCAAAGAGGACCCTGTCATGGATAGTCTGCGCGAACAGACCACTGAATACTTTTGAACTTCGTCATGCCCTTGCTGTAACGGCTGACAAGACGGACCTAAATGAAGACGACTGCCCAGAGATCGACGATGTCATTTCGACCTGTGTCGGGTTGGTGGTTGTTGATATGGAAAGCAATATCATCCGATTGGTACATTATACAGCTCAAGAATACCTCAAAGCTCATGCCTTTTGGATAGACCCCGGGCCCCAGGAGAATGTCATCCAAAATAACGATATTTCAATGATCCATATCCACAGACACATCACAGAAACTTGCATAACCTACCTATCTTTTGACGCTTTTCAGACCGGCTATTGCAGTTCTAACAGCGAATTCACTACACGCCTAAAGCTATACCCTTTATACAGATATGCGGCCCAAAACTGGGGAAACCACGCTCGTGCTGCAATATCAGAAGTGGAACAGTTAGTTTTGAAGTTTCTTACGCGGGAATCCAACCTAAGTAGTTGTAGTCAAGCCTTAATGGCCCCTGAGTCCAGATCCTTCATATTTTCAGAGAAAACACTGAAAAGCCAAGATGCGCCTAGAGATGTCACAGCGCTACACCTTGCAGCATATTTTGGACTGGCGGAGACTATCGTGGCTTTACTGAAGATGGGAAATGATATCGATCTGGATGCCCGAGACACCGCCGGCCGAACACCACTCTCAGTCGCCATAGGAGCCGAGCAAGAAGCAGTGGTAAAACTATTACTTGACAACGGTGCCAAGAATAATTTCCAATACGAAATAGAACTGAATACAGGTTTAAGGAGATGGCTTTATAAGATGGCGAACCTGGTACGCCCCGCCTGTAGAGTAAATGACGAAGTAGCCTCGATCCCGGAAAGCCAAGACTATAAATGGACGCCATTATTGCATGCTATAGAGCTTGGGAATGGACCTATAGTAAGGCTATTACTTGAGCATGGCGCTGACAAGAATATTAAAGACTATATGGATCGGACGACACTGTTCCTAGCAATAGAAAAAGAACATGAAGAAATAGCGCGGATACTCCTTGAAAATAGAGTCGACTTAGAGACCAAAGACGTAAAGGGTAGAACGCCACTGCTGCAGGCTGTAATAGCACAGCATCAACCGATAGTGGAGTTACTGCTTAAACACAAGGCTGATACTGAGTGCGAGTTCGGAGGTAGCACGGCAATACTCCGGGCAATGAAACTTGGAAACGAAACTCTAGTAAACCTTTTAATCGAGAATGATGCTGATCTGGGAGCCAGCGAGAGAAAAATTGGCTATACGCCATTGATATATGCTACATGTTTTGGAAACGTTGGAATGGTGAGATTATTACTCAACCAAGATGCTGCAATTGAAGCTAAGGACGACACTGGAAACACGTCTTTGTTGCATGCTGCATACTCAGGGCGCGTGGAAATGGTGGAGCTGTTACTCTCCCGGGGTGCTGAGACAAACTTTACAAACCAAATGGGGTACTCCCCACTGATGGCGGCAGCATCTCGGGGGCGTGGAGCTGTGGTAAAGTTATTTCTAGCGCAAGATGGCGTCGATGCGGACTTCGAAGGGCCAGACTATATGATGACGCCTCTCCTAGCAGCCGCCTCCCAAGGGCATAAGCAAGTGGTAGAAATGTTACTTGCGACCGGTGCCGTTAACGTGAACCACAAAGATTTTTCTGGTATGACGCCACTGATGGTTGCCGCAATGGGAGGGCACGAGGAGATAGTGGAGTTATTGCTCGCAAAGAGCGCAGTCAACCCCAACAGAGAGTCTGATACCGGCCAGACAGCACTATCGCTAGCAGCGCAAAAGGGCCACGAGGCGGTTGTGAAACTTCTACTCGCGAAGGGTTACGTTGACTTGAATTCGAGAGATCGGGAATATCAAACGCCGCTATTTTGGGCCGTGAAAATGGGACATATGGTGGTAACAGAGCTGCTACTATCGAACGATGATGTCCATCCGGACCTCAAGGATAAAAATGGCCGGACTCCGTTGTCGTTGGCTGTGAGCAAAGATGGAAGTGGCACGTACGATGAAGAAGAGGAAGAGAAATGGGATGAAGACATGGGTGGCAAATACACGGACGACGAAGATATGGACGATTACGATAATGATAACTCTTATCATAGAGAATATAATAGTGAGGAGGATGAGGAGGATGAGGAGGAGGAAGACAGGTACAGTGAAGAAAATGCCGAGCAGAGAAGGAAGAAGATAAGTGAGGTATTGGTCTGGAGGCAAGACGGGTACGAGTTCAGTGAGGCACTAAACATAGTGAAACTACTTCTTGGGAATGGCAACGTTGACCCGAACTCCAAAGACAATTGCGGTCGAACTCCACTATGCTGGGCTTCTAAGACCGGGTACCGGGGAGCTGTGGAGCTGTTACTTGCCAAAGAAAATATAGAGCTGGACATCGCAGATAACACCAGCAGAACGCCATTGGCATGGGCCAGGGAAAACGATCATGGGGAAATAGTAAAGCTCTTGCAAGAGCGTTTTATATCGAGCCGATGAGATGTGAATATTTAACATAAGTACTAAGTAAATATAAACCCATACTCATCCATCAATATATATACATATAAGTACTTACATATATATATATATATATATATATATATAAATTGCTGATATTTAGTGAAATATATATAGGTTTTTCATTTAGTTGTAAAGATTTTAATTATGTCTGGAGGCATTCGCATTCATGATTATATCGGACCTGGCCTGGGATATATATCACGAGACTATCTGGATGATATTCCAATCCCAATCCAAACATAAGGGAAAAACAGCCGAGCTCGTCGTCCGTCGTCCTCGTAGTCGTTGTCACGCCAGACGAGTCCCGCCCCGCATTGTTGGATTTTTGGTAGTCTCACGTGACGTAGGGCTAAACCGCAATTTCTTGGCGTTTTCCCCACAGCGGAACCAACGTCCCTTTTGCCTGGCTATTACCTCACCTGCTCTTGCTCTCTTCCTCCCATCACTCACAACCTCTCATCAACCAACCAACCTCATCAAGTCATCACTGTATGTTCCTACCTATCCATCCATTAATAGCTTCCGACGGTTGAAGTAGTTAATACTAATCTTCTCTTCTTCTTCGGATCATTAGCAACCGACAAGATGAGAGCAAAGTGGAGAAAGAAGCGCGTTCGCAGATTAAAGCGTAAGAGAAGAAAGACCAGAGCTCGCTCGTAAGTTATAAATCTCCTACTAGCTAGCCAGCTAGTTACTCTAGCTACCTCTTACGAACCCAATCTAACTCGGATGAATAATTTCTTAGCAAATAAACGTCTCGCTCTCTCGGTTATGCCTCTTTGCCTTTAATTGCCGATATCGAATGATCCAAGATTCCTACCCCTCGGGTTCCCCATCTACCTGACAATACCAACAACTCAAACCCTACTCAACTACTTGAAGTCGTCTGGAATACCAAGCTTCCAACTTTGATGAGAGGGGAGGACGACAACACATATCTATCATTCGACTATCGACGATTCACAATGGAATTCTACGACTGGAAACAACCTAGACGTCCAAACGAACCAATGGCTTAAGGGTGTTTTTTTTAGTGGTGGATATCTATGACAACCCCTGTACAAGGGCGACTAGACATACTAGGAGAACGTTGATGTTTCTTTTTTTCTGGCAAATACCAATACAAAAAACTTTTCCTCTTCTAAAACTTTTCAAACCAAAAACTCTCGGAACTTTTTTCCTTATATATTTTTTTTCCTTTAATGATATGAAAGACTTTACGAGGTTGTCAAATACGATTCTGGTGGCTGAAGAAAGAAAGAATGGTTTTTTTTTTTACCAGGGAAGAGAGATGGACGTTTATTAACTTATGATCGATGGCTGTATTCATAATGAACACAACGAAGACGAAGAAAGAAAATTCCTTTCAAAAAAAAAAAACTTGCTTCTTGCCTTTGCCTTGCCTGCCTGCTTTGATTCGCTTGGCTTATTATTTATTTCATTTGTGAGAACTGTGCGTCTATGCTTTGAGGTTAGTGGGGCATGTCTTGAAGCTGTCACTGCTTTGCCTGCATGCTATCGATCGTTTTTCTGATTCGGCGTGGAATTGCTTTTTGCTTTCTACCATAACAGGGGACGACAGAATGCTAGTGAGGTAATAAGTTCCGAGTGATACATTTTATTTTTTGAATGTCGATTTTAAACGTGACATGTATTATTTCACGGTGAAAGTCGGAAGTATGCTGGATCATGATAGTTTTTCTTGGAGTAGCTGGCATGTGCTCTTGATGTTTGTGATCGGGTGACCGCATACCACATACTGCAGGTATCCCCACCACTCGGTTCGATTCTTATTACAGGAATCGATGCTATAGGTAAGTAAGTTCTTACTTAATTACTTACTTTATTCTTTGGATATCGTTTGAACGGTGTTCAAGACTCGTGATCCAATGACAGTGGCATCAGCAGAAGCAAGAGCGCAAGTGGGGACCTCCGTGGCACGGTTGGTTGGTTGAGGGGTGTTTTTCATTATCTTATCGAGATGCCAAACAAACAACCACCATCCATCCACTACCACCACCACCACCTGCACCGCCATGCACGACCCAACCATACCGGCCGGACTAAGGCTAAGACTGAATTGATGACACTTGACATCGTTGATATCACCGTGCGTTCTTTGGGGTTTTAATTCCACCCCAGCAGATTTTATTTTTTCCCCCTTCTCTTTCCACATGTATTGCTCCGATGAGCCATGGGGGAGGGGTGTTCTACTAATGCAATAGGGGGGAAGGGTTTACTAATATCAATTCTATTGTATACTACTATATAATCTATTTTTTATTTTTATTTTATTTTATATTTTATTTTTTTATTAGAATTCTGACCACGGTTTTCTTTAAATCCTTTTTTTTGTCCGGTGCTCTTCCCTGTGATTTCCTTTTTCATGAATCCATATCGTCGTCGGTTCCTTCGAATTTCTATTTCTTGACTGATCTGTTCGGCGTATCGAAAACGTGGTAACGACCACCTGTACACAAAAATAACGGTTCCTGGCGCTGACTTCTCGGTCGACACACTGACATCAGTCAGAAACAGCTTTACATTACACACACGCGCGCACGGGAAAAGTTAAAAGCTACATATAAACAAGAAAGAAAGCAAGAAAGAAAACCTTGGTCACGACTCATTCCATTCCACTTCACTCCCTACAACTTCTTACGGCTTACGGGGTTCGATTATTTCTTGCCGTTCAACTCCGACTTCTTATCTCCTTTTATTCTAAGCTTGCGAGCTTACGTTTATCCGTCGCGGGGCGGTGTCGCCTTTTTTTTTTTCTTTCCCTGGTTCTTTCTTTGTTTCATCCACCATACATATACAAGCATTTTAGCGAGAGGTTGATTTCCGAAAAGGCCAAGCTCGGATTACGGTAAGAGCGACAGAACGACTGAGAGCTTAGGAAGCAGGATCCTAAGATCGTATTTAATACGAGAGAGAGCTGGAATAGTTGGAAGAGACCACGGATAGATAGAAAGAGAGAGAAGGCGGTGAATTGAAAGACCTTCAATATTATATTAACAATATAATACCTTCTTCGAAGTCTACTTCATTTATCACCAGAAACTCCGACTATAACATCCCTACAACAGCCACGAGAAAGAAAAAAAAAGGCACACAAAACGACCTCAAAACACACACACATTCTCCCATGAAAACATGGCGTGGAAACGACGATTATACCTTTCCCTAGCGCTCGCCCGGCTATACTTCGCGCTCACACCATCCTACATCCACCCGGACGAACACTTCCAAGGACCCGAAGTAGTAGCAGGCGAACATTTCGGGTGGAAAGTCACAAGGACATGGGAGTTTACCACGGAAAAGCCAATTCGGAGTTATGTGCCGTTATTGGCGGTATATGCGATGCCGATGACGTTGCTACAGTGGATTGCGAATGGCGATCCGAGTCCTACGATGTTGTTCTATGCGGTTAGGTTGTTGTTTTATTTCTTTTCGATGGTTTATGGTATGTTCCTTTTATCTCTATTTGGAGGCTTATTATGTCTGTGGTTTTTTTTATATTGACAATTTTATAGAGGACTGGGCGCTGTTAGAACTTGGGTCTGCGACGATGCCGAATGGAGGATTGTTGCTTACGGCTAGCTCGTGGGTGACTTGGAGTATTCAGACACGATCGTTTTCGAATTCAGTTGAGACGGTTATTTTACTTTGGAGCTTGGTGTTTTTGAAGAGGATTGTGGAAGCTAAGGTATATATCTCCCATTCATATACAGTACATGTCACAGACAATTGGTAGCTAATGGTACGAATGATGGAATAGGCACCATCGATAAGGAACTGCGTCGTCCTAGGTCTCTTCACCGTCTTTGGAACGTTCAATAGAATTACATTCCCTGCGTTTTTGATACTACCCGGTTTATCATTACTCAAGCATTTCTTCACTTAGTAAGTTTATTCACCGATTCCATCTTTCTGGATAAAGGTTAAAGTCAGATCTAACGATATTCTTTATATGTAGTCCATCCTCACTTTTCGCCTTCACTCTCCCCGCCCTCCTCCTTAGCGCCGCCTTTATTATGCTCGACACGCATATCTACACCCAACTTCCCATAAACTCAATCGGCCTATCGAATTTAATAATCACACCACTAAACAACATTGCATATAATTCACAAACCGAGAATCTAGCACAACATGGATTGCATCCGTTTTATACGCATCTACTTGTCAACCTGCCACAACTCTTAGGACCCGCTATTATCCCGCTATTATCGTTGATGTTAAATCTCGGTGGTAACGACGGGAACGAAGACGAATTAAGAGCAGAAGGAGGAAGAGGAAGAGGAGAAGTCAAAAAGAATTCTCTGTGGGAGTATATCCCTCTACAATCTGCGGTTTCCGGAATATTGATATTATCAACGATCAAACATCAAGAAGCCAGGTTTTTGATACCCACGGTTCCGTTGTTACTTTCTTCGATATCATTACCTAAAGAAAAAGTGTGGAGAAGACGGTGGATGGGTGCTTGGGCTGTTTTTAATATTATTTTTGGAACATTGATGGGGGTATACCACCAAGGCGGCGTCGTCCCGGCGCAGTTATGGATTGCAGGACAGCAAAACGTTGAGAAAGTGGTTTGGTGGAAGATGTATAAGCCACCTACTTGGTTGCTGGGTAGTAATGGGAAGGATATCGAGACGGTAGATTTAATGGGTGGACCTATAACAGGCGTTCTTGGAGAAATAGATGCAATGGGGAAACAAGCGGGGTGTGATAAAAGAAGTCTTTTAGTAGTACCGGGGAGTGCGAGAGGGGTCGAAGAATTGGTGGAACAGAAAAGGATAGCGAAGGTTTGGGGGTATAGGAAGCATTTGAATCTTGATGATATGGACTTTGGGGATGATGGGGTTGTGGATACTTTACAAAGAGTTATTGGGAAGAGAGGGATTGTGGTTTACGAGGTTGTGAAGCCTGGATGTGGGTTAGTGGTTAGTGAGGTATCGAAAGGAGAGGAAGTGGATTCGAAGAGAGGGTCTGGTAATGATAGAGAGCTGTGAGGGTATACGAGGATTTGGGGATCGGCATAGATAGCTCTGGCCCCCCACATCTTGCCATTGTAATTTTTTTTTTCCATCTTTTTCAATCCCGCCTGGATATAGGTTCCAGATGACGGGAGTTTAATGTCGTATGATAACGCATCAGAAGATCATAATTATGGAATTCATCATCATCAATATCATCGTCGTTCGTCGTCTTGTTTTTCACCCAGAAGCTCGAAGAGGAGCTTTAAGGAATGCGGGTATAGGCTTATAGCAGCTACCTACCTAAGTAAGTTCCAGTATCAACCTGGAGCTATAGCTTCCCCTTACATGCACATCTGTACATATATTTCCCCTTTCAACTTCCATCATGATAGAAACCCCCTTAACTAAACCGATTTTCAATTAACAAACCCTTTTTTTTCTGGGGACTCATTATCTTTTCTTCTTCTAAATTCTTTAAGGGTTTTGTACACGTGTGACCGTCTGATCGTATCCTTTTTTCCGTCTTAAGCTTTCTAGTTTTTTGCATTAAGTGATTATGATTATGATGATGTGGTTGATAAAGATACTTTGGCACCCCTTGCTTTCTGTATTTTAAATTCCTTGGTTGATGTGATACCCCTTGCTTAACCGCTCATCCATTTTGCGCCATTGATATCACATCACATTAACACGCCTTTTCTCCCTGCTTGTGATATGAAGAGTACTTACTTATGTATATACGTTTGTTACTTACTTGTGCATATGAAAAGAGAGGGATCAGGGGTTTTTAGGCAGAACAGTTTTTTTTTTCTTCAGACGATATTGATCGATCGCGATCTCTAGCCCTCTTTGATGTTGTTTGTTGTATGTATGTAGATGCATACTATCACGAAGTGCTAGTGCTAGTGTATACATGTACATTTCATAAGCATTTTTTTTCTTTAAAACCCTTGTTAGCTAAGTTCTATTTGGGAAAGGTTTACCGGTCTGGGTGTCTTTTGGCGGATTTTACTGAGGTTTTTTTTGTTATATGACTAGGTAGTTGAGATATTAGATTTTTTTGCAGCAAGGAGATCGATTGATTATAAGCTCGTACATACATTACATACATACATGATATAAGATTAACTCATGGATATGGAATATTTACTTAGAAGGTATACCCGAGAGAGACAGGTCTAACAGATCTGAGAGATACATTTATATCGAAATGCATAAGAAACAAAAAAAACAGAGAGGTCATGATTCATGAAGTTAGTAAGCCGGTCTAGCCACATCTCATAGATCAAGTTTTCGTACGAAACAGTTTTTTTATTTTTCATATTTCCGTATGCTCAAAAATTGCAAACTGGCGGTTTGTAGTCAATTACTCGTGCGCTGGCCATGTATGTAAGTTTGTATGTAAATTCTAGATCGGTCGTTTCGAACTGATATGTCACATATCTGGGTAGTTCACACTTTGGTTAATTAAGCGCAAGATCAAGCGGATAACGGGATGTGATAGTCTGATACGTATCACGGATTTTCAACGTATGAGAATTTGAAAAAATAAAATAAAATAAAAAAAACTAGTAGTAGCGATCGATGGCTATAACGTTATTGAGCTTTGACAGTTACCCAGCCACCTAGAACCATCCTGAAGGGAAGACAAAGAGCGAACCGCGGGTTAGATTGTGAATCTGTCTTGGAATATCTAACATGGGGAAGATAAAATTTGTTGATTACAGCTTGCTTTTTAGTAATATACACAGTAGTATTAGTAGCAGTAGTAGCAGTGCCTATAATTACTCAGGGAAGTTAGAGAGGGATTCCTGCAGTCTTATTGGGTCCTTTGGGTCGAGTTTTGATTTTTTTTTTTTTTGTCTGTTTAATACCAGCCTCCTTTGATGCGATCTTACGCCCAAGAAGTTTCTTACATAAAAATTTATTTTATTTTATATGCATGTCCCTTCTTGAAAATATGCATCCAAGTGGCTAATGCCTTCAAATAGGATATGATCAGAGGCCAGTTGTGAATATCCCAGTTGTGAGCCCGAGATGCCTCAGAGTATACCCAGGGAACTAAAAGTGAAAAAAAAAAAACACCGGGAAGTAAGTTCAAGTTCAATACCGGAGCTGCATACGGGGGAAGGATGGATGGAAAAGCTCGTGCATTTACATACATGTAAAAAAAAAAAAACTTGAAACCTGAAACTTGGGACCCGAATTTTTTTTTTGTCTCGTGAGAAACTCGTCATTTTGATACTTTTACAGACTGTTTTGGTGTATCTACCTAATAGGTTTCAAACTTCAGCCTCCGTCAAATAGCGAATATTCTGCCCTTGCAAGCCGGGGCATCCTGACTTCAATAGAAATGTATTGCTAGTAGTCAGTATCTGTTAGCTTAGAAGAAAATAACAGGCGATAGACGTTTTCCTGTTTTATTCCTAAACCGTTGGGGGAGTCGGTATTTCCCTAGCTCTATCCGGCATAAAAATGCCATTTCGATATTAAATATATTACGTTCTGTTGTTGTAATTTGTGGTATATTCCGGTGGCACGGAAAGGAAAAAAATATGGAGCATGAATTGTCACAATATAATTTGCTTTCTGACGGATTCTAAACCTCGGATCTGTACATGTAGCATAGCCCGGAAAAAAAAATTAAAAAAAATTGAAAGAGACTATTTTGCTTCAAGTTCTGTAGGAGCTTGATTACCCTGCTTCTAACATTACCGACCGGGTGCGTTATGTACGCGGGCAGGCATAAGTTAGTGGCCCCGACATGAAGAATGCTCTTTTGGAGGTAATTATCAGTCCAGAATCATATCACATCACGTTTTCCCAAATGATGTGAGTGGCAGACGTCATGCAGGCGCGCTCCCTCCCGTGAGAGGGCACATCACATCTCGTTTAGATCTTCGATCCTTGGAATTTTCTCTTGCAAGGCTGACGTTCTTTTTTCTTTCTCTATTTGTTTTTCAGCTGTTCGAGATATCTATGTAAGTCGTTGTCAATTGGTCTTTGATGGACATTCATTCCCCAGGAAATGGTGATTCTTGATTTGGAGTTTGTGGTTTGATTTGTCTAAGATTAAATTCGACCACTCACTCCTACAATTGGTCTAGGGTTCTTTTGTTGGGCGAGAAGCGAAATCGAGATCGGGATGGCCGGGGACGTGAGAAGAACTTGGTGGGAAATGGGTGGAGTGGGGAAGAAGCTGGGATCTTTGTTCTCGAGATTTCTTTTAATTGATTGATTGACGGATTGATTGCAGTGATTCTTGTTCGCTGACTGCACGTTGGAGGTTGGTTTGGTTGGTTCGTCTGTTGTGTCTGTTGGTTGGATGTGCTTTGTTCACCCGATTTTTGGTTTTGCTCTTTGCTCTTTACTCTTCCTGGGCTGGACGATCGGGTCAGCGGGCTTTGTTACACAAAGACATTTATTCACGAAATTGAAACACGGGTTGACTTTTTTAGCCTCCACTTCATGCATCACCATTTGCATTGACCATTGGTCCAGTTTTCCGTCCGCTGGGGTTGAGCAAGACAGGCATCGCACAAGGGGAGTTGACAGCTGTTAACTAGATCAAAAGGTGGAAAGCCTAAAAAAGACTATGTTCAACAGAATTCGGCGTGAAGTGATGTAAGATGCCTTTTGATAATAACAGGTAGATCTTACGGGCGTTCTGGATGCATCGCGCATCTCGATCGTTGAGCGCCCGCTGCAAGCCTCATGGGGGAAAAGCTGGGGCAAAAGGCACCAAAATTGGCATTGGCAGCTGCATCAGCTCGCACGGCCTGAAATTTTAATATCTGACAATGAGGCGTTCATTGGCGTTTCTGGCCTTCAGTCAGTCTCAGATGCCCGGTTACAAAGATAGCAAAAGCAAACGGTCGGCCGTGGTCATGGGAGGGGGATGGTCCACCCCACTCATGGAAAGAGGATATGTCGGACCATTTGCTTAGTGTCGACAGGAAAAAACCCTTTTTCCGTCTTGCTCTATGGACTTATGGTCGCTGACAGGCTTCGGATTTTTTCAAATTTCAAATGAAGAAGGCGAGCCAAAACCCCCATTCAAGTGAAAAACCCCTGAAGGGGTTCGTGGGGAGGTTTCTTTTGTCTCAGCAAATAAAGTGAGCTCCAGGCGAAGGAGAAAAACCACGTTTTCCGTGGGACTGGTTCGTTTCGATTGCAGGTTCTTCTGATCTAATTTCGCTTAATCGACAGGGCGAAGGACATCCATGTCCACTTGTATCGCCAGCCGATGGTGCCAATCGAAGGTGAAAGCTAGGATTTGCTCGATTGATTGGATTGTATGGATGACAGCTTGGGCGGGAACTGAAGAGAGGGGTAGACGGTTGGAATTAGTACTCCGTATACTTGGGACTTTGTGCGATTGTGTGACTTGTGTGATATTGGATGGATGTCCTATGGGCAGTCCGTTTGGGGGGATTCGTTTCTCGTAGACATTCCCTTCTGTACGCAATCGATCTAGAGAAACAATGATGACAAGAGATAGAGGACTATATGTCCCTGCGTGTTATGGGATTCGGCAATAGGGCCCCGGCCTGAGATCAGCGCTCGCTGAAGCCAGAACTGGGATGGTATTTCGATATGGAGTTCCGGTTGCGAACGGAAATTTTGTATGGCGCTGCACTCCTCAGGGTCAAATCTCGACTACAATCAAGTGACATGACCTGAGCCGGATGTTGGTATTTCGGAATTACTGTGTATGCCGGGCAACTGACATCTAGCTGGAGATATGAAGAGAAACAGGAGAATAGTAAACTTTTTTTTTTGGTTTACATATGACGCCGCTACCCTTTGATATTTATTTTGCATATCATGCGCATGATGGCGAAGTTTTGGGCTCTGGAACCATGGACTAAGGCTCTGACTGAGGTAGCAGCCGTCCTTCCCATGTTCTTCTGACAGCAATCGGGAAGCGTCTACCGATGCCCCTAGGACGAAAAGGTAAGAACTACTGTTCCTTGCAGCTGGAGGTGCCGCAGATTAGCCCCGTCCAAGCTTGCCTGACCGGCCGTTAGTGTGGGTGGACCATGTCCCAAGCTCGCACGGTGTCTGCAGAAACCGCGGCCCCGACCAATGATGCATCATAGATGGGGTTTTGGTTTGCAGTCTAGCCGTGATAGGTCTCGTTATAGGCCTGTCGAGTTATTACACAAGACGAGACCGCAAGAGAGAGACATTTGGGCCTTGCATGGGGACATCCCACTATCGAACGGGTGGTTTCTGCTTAGACCACGATGATGCCGATGCACCTCCCCGGACAAAGGACCTGTGTAGAAGTCTTGAGAGGCGCGCTCCTCGAATTGATTCCAATGACGCGGGAGCAATTTTACTTACCTGCAGCGACAAGGCAAGTTCCTTCGTCGTCGCAGAGTGTGCTATTTCTGCACCACCATCCACAACCACTCTTTCCCTCTTTTCCCTTGCTTGCATTCCTGCCGGCATCTCTTAACCCTCTTAATATTCCTATTCTCTCTTTTTTTTCTGCAGAGCCTGTGCGGATTTCCCGTGCAATGCTAGCAGTCTGTCCTTTCGTTTAATTCTTCGTTCTCCAACTTCCCGTCATTCCTTAGTTAATACCGATATCTCGATCATTTGAAGTTGAAGTTGAAGTTGAAGTTGCGGTTGCATTTGCGGTTGAGAATAGCATAGCGCAGTACGCATTTGGACCACTCACCATAGAGACCACACGGACAACACAATATTCTCGCTGGATATATCCTTCCTCGGCTTCACGGACTATTATCATCACCATCTCTCCATCAGCATCCTTAATGCATTAACTGACCAAATTCCATAGCAATTAATCTTTTGCCTGTGAGTTCCGAGTTCCGGTTTCCTCGCTGGTACCATTTCAGTGTTCTATTTTGCGCCATATGCCAATTTTATTTTGGGATAGACTAGACCTTACTAACTCTGTGTGCATACGCATCAGCTTTCCTCCCTTTCGCGCCGTTTATTTCATTTCCTTTCTGTAATGACCACTACGCCTTGAATATATTATACTACTGGTACTTATACGCACAATTTCACTGGAAGCCAACTATACCGTTCCTGTCGAGGTTTTTTTTCAATCCACTATCGTTCGTTCTTTTTCCATTACGGCTCGGACCAAGGAATCACCCAAGTGTCATTAGGATATTTATTCTTTTATAAGTTTTTGAATATCCTTTTGATACGGATCACAGACAAGCAGTGCATTCGACTTTTATATACACATTAACTCACAATGAGGGCCACAAGTTGGCTACGAGTTGGTCTCGCGGTATGCTCGCTGCTACCGGTTATCTCGGGTTATGCTATTCGAGATAACAAGGCCGTTGTCGTCAAACGGGGATTCATTGTTACATATATCGCCGACAAGGAGGCATTTGAATCGAAACTAATCAAACGACAAGACGAAGAAGGACAACAGAATACAAGTGAGCCGGCCAGGACATCAGCTGCGAGATCTACACCTGTACCATCTTCGAGAAGCGACCCAGCAACACGAAGCGAAGAGGAAAACAAGTCAGAACCAACGAGCCAGGCATCAAAGACAGAGGATTCGACAAAAACAGATGTTGCTCCTACAGTTACCGGTGATAACCAAGCTGTCGAGACAAGTGATGTTCCTGATGGGAATGGACTGCCATATACACCACCTCTCACCCCGGCTTTTGCCTTTGCTGGATTCCTGCTCCTTGTTTGTGGATTACCTTATACTTTGGCTGGAGTTAGACATAAGCAGTGAGTTGATATTCCATGAATTAGTTTGATATGGCGGGGGAAATCGTTTGGTGCTGACTTTGGGTAGAATTCATATCTTCCTTAGTACTTGTCTATTGGCAAGCTTGGGCGTTACAGTACTGATAATATATGTAATGAACCCGCCCGTTTCCAACGCATTACAAGGAGGATATATTGCCGCTATTGCTATAACTGGCATGCTATTTGGTGGCCTAGCTGTTATCTTCCCAGAAGTCACTGAGGTTTTGGCATGCTTATTGGGTGGTTTCTGCTTGGCTCAATGGTGTATGTTACCCTTTTCACGTGAATGGCGGACTCTACTAATCTAATATTCACGATAGTCCTTGTTTTGAAGGCCGGTGGCCTTGTCCAAGGCGGATATCAAAAGATAATTTTTATTCTATGTTTCAGCATCGGTTTGTTCTGTCTCGCACTTCACCACAAAACCAGACCATACGGTATGATATTCTCGATCGCATTTTCTGGCGCTACTACTACGGTGCTCGGAATCGACTTTTTCTCGAGGGCAGGGTTGAAGGAGTTTTGGTTATATGTTTGGGGTATGAGAATCTTCCGTTGTATAATCGGAGATATATTTTACTAACAATACACAGGGCTGAATGATAATATCTTCCCTCTCGAAACTAATACCTTCCCGTTGACCCGAGGAATTCGAGTCGAAATCGCCGCTATCGTTGTCATCACTTGTTTCGGAATAATATCCCAGATGAAACTTTGTACGTCTCACAAAATTTCATCGAGGTTTTGAGTTGGTATACTAACATCTATATAGGGCAAGTCATCAAGCAGAAGCGTGAAGAGCGTGAGGAACTTCGCAAGCAACGTCAGGTTGATGTTGAGGCTATGGAATCCGAAAATGGTCGTCGGGTTGAGGAGGCCGCTCAGCGCGATCGGGAAGTATGGGAGAAGCAGTATGGCGATAAATCACACACTACGACTACACTTGTTCCTGAAGACCAGACAGTGAGCCCGAGTGCTAGCCAGAAGCATTTGAGCAGAGATTCCGGATTACCACAGAGTACAAAGACTTCGACTGATGGTGGAAGCTCTAAGGCTGTTGCCGCTGATACTATTGAAATGGTTGGAATACAGAAGGTCCCGTCGGGGCAAGATGCTACCACTGCAACTCCTGGAGCCGAAGGTCAGGTACCGGTGCCACCCCACGCTCGGGAGGGAGAAACACAAGCTACTGTACCAGGCCAAACTGAAACCGTCCCCGTCCCAGTCGAAACTCCTGCTCCTACCGGCCCACCAGAACCAAAATTCTTTGCTCCCGCGGTCGTGATCCGGGAGAAAGGTGATGTCGAAGAACCAACTGCTCCAGGGTCATCTGCCAACAATGGTGTCTCGGGGCTCACTACCGTTCACACTGTTATCATTGATCCAAATGAGCAAGAAGATAACGATGATGCTTCCTCGCTTGCCACATTCGCAGATTCTGTTCATGATGACAAGAGAAAGTCTATGCCTCTCAGCATTGCTTCAATTCAACCAATGAACGAGATCCAAGAATTCCCACATGATGATGCGGCGTCCTCCGTTGCTGGTGTTCTCGATGATGAGGAAGACGAGAGATCGGATGATGAACTACCCCTTGTCGGTGAAGATACTGGTAGAAGACGATCCATCGTTTCTCTTAAGGGGAGACGTAACTCGTTGTCTTCTAACAAGAGAATGTCGATTGTTTCCTTAGTCAGGAAGGCCTCGCAGCGATCCAATAAGTCTAATAGGCCATTGTCAGCGCAGTCGCAGGTCCCATTGTCACCACAATCGCCTATTGAAGGGCCGAAGGAGGAGAAAGAACAAGAAAATGCCGTGGAAGAGAAGAAGAAGGAATCGACACCGAATTCGCCTATTGAACCTCCAAAGGTTATCTCTAGACGGCAGTCTTTGGCACCACCATCGGAAGGAGCAGCCCCAGAAGCTGCAGGTGAGAAAGCGGCTTCAGAAAAGGCTGGTGAGGCGAAAACAGAATCTCGAAGAGGCTCTGTTGTTGGCTCAGTCAAGCAAGAGGAAGCTACTGCCCCGGGATCGCCAGCTAAAGAAACAGCCAGCCAGCCAAAGTCTCGAAAAGAAGCCAAGGCGGCTCCAGCTGTCGGACCACCAGCTCCTCTCAGACATGGAAGCCTTCAAAACATCCGCCCGCCATCAAAAATTGTTAAGACATATCGAGTCAGTGAGTGGGCTAAGCATCTTGACCCTGCGGATGAACCACAGTACGATGACATCGAACCACTCGAAATTACTGAGACTGTTCAAGAAAAGGCTGCTCCTGTTCACGTCATGGAATTGCAAGAGGGCGCATCTTCTGCAAAGGTCCCACCTCCAATCCAGGGTTTGAGCAGAAGTGATACCTATCAATCTATGCAAGCTGGAAACGTGGTTAGTAGGACTAATACTCTAACCACGATCCGAGAAGCACCAGTCTTCGTCCCGAATATGCAAGGACAAACAATGATTATGCAAGTTCCTACACATGTGTACCAAGCCCAGGCTCCGACCTCGCCCATGGTCCCTTCATCCCCACAGATTCCCACTGTCGTCGTCGCATCCCCACCCCCATCGCGCGGTGGCCCACCACCACCACCACCCGCACAAATGCCAATCACTAACCAACCAATTGTCGAGTCTCCAACTGAGGATGTTGAAATGAGCATGCAACAGCGAGCTGTTTCACCTACACCATCCCAACTTCCTCCCATGTGCGAGACCCTCCTTACCAAGCGTGAAAGCATGCTTAAAGCCACGCCGAACTTCTCTACTGTCGCCGATAACACCTCTCTCTACGGCCAATCGATCACTCAGCCACAACCTTCTTTCCAGAACCCAAGTTTACCCAATGCTTCTGCCTCGACCCTAAGCTTAAACCGTCGATCAGCATCCGGTGCTTCTATGATTCAGCAACAGCGTAGCAGCAGTGGTACAACATACGCTGCTAGCATGATTGGCAGTGCTGCTCCAAGCAGCCGTATTCCATCCATGGAAATGCAACCTGGTATGATCGGAGGCTATAGTCCATATATGGCTCCAATCTCGCCTGTCATTCCATCATCACCCATGATGCCTAGTATTCCAGTTCCCCATGGTGCTGTCGAAACGGCACCTCCACAACCCCCACAACCGTCGCCAGGTGACCGCCGCGAACATATGTTGAAAGCGTGGAGGGAATCGTTGATGCAAGACCAAGTTATCAGTGCAAGGACACATAACTCAATCCAGGGTCGACGGAATGAGATGATTCAGGAATCTGCAATGCAAAATATGTACGGAAAGCAGAAGGAGATGGAGAGAGCAATGAGGGACAACGTGGTAGAGGACAGATATAGGAACAGGGATATGCTCTCAATTCACCGAGAAGCTATGAAGAGGATGCAAGACAAAGCTAAGGGGATATAATAAAAACCAACCCTAATTTTTACTACAGGGTTATGATGTGATATTGATATCACAGAGATGGGATGAGGTACTCTTTGTCACGGTATGGTACGGATCGGAGGCAGTTCGCTTTCTTTTTACGTTTTCCCTTTTTTTTTTTTTACGAATCTTATGCTCTTTAATTCTAATATCCCTCTTCTTGTTTCTGAACCACCCGTCGCTCAAAAGAAGTATTCTACTTACAACCCACTCCTTGAATTTCTGTTTTGATGTTTTGTTTTACAGGGCTAGTCCGCATGTTACATAGGCGTTTTGTGTCTCTTTTGTTATTTTCTTTACGTTTTTCCCCCGGTCGATTGAGCTCCAGCTCTCGATGCAAAAAAGGGATTTATACCCTCTGTCATTCGTTTATACCTAGATAAAAGAAAGATTGGTTTTTCTTTTCTATTACTACTCCTACTATCATTACTTGTCTATCCTTTTTCTCTCTCCTACTCTACCTCACGTTTTATAGTCATAACCTTTCTTACTTAATTCGGATGCTTCTGCGGAAAAAGTAGTCCTCTTCGAATTTTCATTTTTTCTAAAATTTAATACGTTAATGGCTTTGCACAAAGTTTCGCTTCTCTCCTTGCTACTCTAGTCTAGTGATTGATAATAGCAGAATGGTATTTCCTTAGTTTTCTGCGGGTATGTTGTCTCGTACCCAGCTGATATGCAGAATCCTAGGACTTAACAATGGATTTTTATTACACCAATATAAATATTATTAGTATTCCCTATTCGGTATACTAATTATAATGAAATTCGCGTGCATATACAAAATAATTAGAAAGTTTATATATACACGCATCCATATGATGGAAGCTCGGTCCCGGGGAACCATTCAGTGCCTCGGGGAGCCCTATTCCGTTTTACAGGTAAGTGGCTTTTGGAGTCGTTAGGCTCTTCTTCCTCAATGTCCACCAGTAATTTCGCTTGCCGCTGGGCTTTTCCGCCGCTGACGGCGGGGATGCATAGAATGCGTAATGCAAGTCATAAAGTAATATTGATGTCCTACCTTGGGTTCTTTCGCCTATTCGAATTCCTCCGTGTTCCGGGTTTTCGAGGATATTATATTTATTAGACGGAATGTAAGGCCGCTTGGGGTTCTGGAAGGAAGGGATAAGATATGTATCCAGATATCTCCGTTTATATGCGGTCTCATAGGGGAACATGTAAATATGTAGATGTTGGAGGAAGGTAGAGGAAGGTAGGTTGTACAGTCAAGATATTGTATTAGTATGTACAGAGTAATATATAAAAAAAATGCCGTGGAGGCAATAAAAACCTTCAAGCTATATCATCGCTGTTTCTTTTTGCTGCAGTGTACAAGGGTGTTTTCTAGATATCCTCCAGGCAGATGGTTCTTTAAAGAGCTATTGCCCACTCCCCCATTTAAGGTCCCCTACTAGCTTCTGACATCTTTATTTCGGGAGGAGCGTTGTTCGTAGATATAGAGATTTGGAACCAAGTCCCATTCGTAAAAAAGACTTTCCCCCATCATTGCTGACTTATCATGTCGGGAAACAACTCTTTGTATCTTGAATGCGAGACCACATCAATCGTCCACCTCAATGATGCCCCTCCCCATGCCCGCTATCATGCCCGTGTCCATGGCTCTTCGCCGGGAAGAACATGTACTCAGCGGCACAGTATACGGTGAAAGCAACAGTTGCGATACCGAGGCCTGGGAAGAACCCTCGGAAACGGTTTATACGAGTGAATGGGCCGCTGTAGCGCCAAGCTTCACTATATGATTTTGAACAGCGTTAGAGTTATATATTCCTTGAGAAACTTGTTAAGATTGGGAGGAATAGTGGTGGTGGGTGGGTGGGTGTACCGTCTAGCCCATGGGTCTGGGAGGTTCCGGCCAGCGCGGAGGAGGGACTGTGGATTGAATTTTTCGACCATGATGGCTACGATAGATGTCTAGTTAGTAGCTGAAGATACTATTGGAGCATAGAAGGAGACTTACGATGTTGATACAGGCCGATTGAAGTGACGCTGTGGAGGTGGAAATGGGAGAACGGTGATTGGATGTTTGGACAACAGGCGGTCGTTTGTTTGGGATGTTGGAAGGCCTGGCTGGGTGTGGCTGGTGACCTACTTGGCTGTGGCTTAGTCAGCGGCTGGAGGCGTCTGAACATTCGAAACGAACCACACAATTGCAACCTCTCAAACCCACGCTCTCACGACTACTCTTCCACGACTTCTATCAGCTACATATCACTGACTTCACGATTTCTCTCATCAAGTAGCATCAACTGCAGAAGGCTGGAGCTTCTCTCGTCGATATAATACACGAATTGGGACGTTTCTGTGTGGTGTGGGATAGGACGGGACCTTAACCTGGACACGACTTGATATTAACAGGCTTCCTATGATGGCTGCCCTCCTTTGCTAGATCCGGCCTTCCTATCGTCGAACCACCCGATGGACATATCGGATATCTTCACTTCGACGCCCCAAATTGATCTCTATCGATACTTCTTTCCTTGCAGATAACAGACAACTACCGTTCACCTCACTCTCTTCGCCTAGTTCTACTACCCGCCACCATGCCTCCTGCTCGAGGCAATGCCTTCGGGCCGCCTATGCACTCCTCCTCGCCCTTTGGGAACCAACATCTCCTACATGGTAACCCACATCATGGCTCTCATCATCTCGCACACCATCAGATGCAACCTCAGCATCAGCAGCATCTCCAACATCAGTCTCATCATCAGCAACACGCCCAACAATCCCAACATCAGCAAGCGTTACAGCAACAGGTAGCACACGCTCAACATGCCCAACAACAGCAGCAGCAGCACACTCAACAGTCACTCCATTCTCAAGCTGCGACGCAACAGCAGCAGTCGTTACAACAGCAGGCGGCAGCAGCAGCAGCAGCAGCGATAAAAGAAGTTTGGAAACAGAATTTGGAGTCTGAGATTGCCGTGCTGAGGGATCTGGTTGAGGATTATCCGTACATTGCAATGGATACTGAGTTTCCCGGGATAGTAGCCCGTCCGATTGGTGGTTTCCGTAGCAAGGCAGACTACCATTATCAGACGCTTCGTTGTAACGTGGATATGCTCAAGATAATACAATTGGGCATCACCTTCTACGACGAAAATGGCAAAACACCAGAACCAGTATCTACATGGCAATTCAATTTCCAGTTTTCACTCGCGGACGACATGTATGCTCAGGATTCTATCGACCTACTGACGAAATCAGGAATTGACTTCAAACGTCACGAGGACTACGGGATCGACGTCGCACAGTTTGGAGAACTCCTTATTTCGTCTGGATTGGTACTCCTTGATAATGTCAAATGGGTATCCTTCCACAGTGGGTACGACTTTGGGTACCTGGTAAAGATCATGCTGTGTCAAGCGCTTCCGGCAGAGGAAAATGAATTTCGGAAATACCTACATACGTTTTTCCCGGCTTTGTATGACATTAAGTATTTGATGAAGTCGGTGAAGACGCTGAAGGGTGGCTTGCAGGATATTGCAGAGGATATGGGAATCCAAAGGGTTGGGCCTCAACATCAGGCTGGTAGCGATAGTCTTTTGACGGGGCATATATTCTTTGCGATGAAGGGGAAGTATTTTGAGGGGAAAATTGATGAAGAGAAGTACTGGTGCGACTCCGTTGTCTTTTTCACCTTTCGTGGATATGAGGGGCTAACTCCTGGTTGTAAAAATATAGTGGTCAAGTATGGGGTCTGAATGGGGTCGGCAATTCTGGTCCTACTCTTAACACAGCCGGGGCCGTTCAGTACACTAATGGTCAATCCGGAGGACAACCCAATGGCGGGCATATTCCTTCCACCCCGACGAATGCTGGTCCCGTGCCTAGCACCGGGATGACGCCGGGCCCCATGACACCGCAGCAGCAGATCAACCCGTACGCCCAACCGCCGCCACAGAATAGTCAACAAGGTGTCAATCCTATGGGCAGCGGTGGGTTCCAATTCGGGAAGATTGGAGGGATGTGAAGTGTGACGATTGCGCAAGAGGCAAAAGGAAACCGCAGCTTGTGTGACTCCAACAGATGCTTTCTCATAGATCGAGTGGTAGTATAAAGGGAGAAGGTGAAGAAAGAGATGTATTGATGTACTTCGGTTTATTCTTAGATCCTGCTATGTTTATGGCTCTTTCTATCTTTTCTGCATCTGGGCGTCTTTGTGGCATTTCCCTCTTTCCGTGTTCCCCTTTCGTGGCGACGACATTCCACAGTTCTGTCTTCCTTGCTGCTGGGCCGCCCTCCTGCCCTCTTTCTGCTTTTCCTTTTTTTTTATATATTTCCTTCTTGTCCACCTGAAAAAAGTTCGGGCACTTGATATACTTGGAAGTATGTGAGGGGGGTTATCAGTTTCTTCTTTCTCTTTCGTCGTTGATTGATTCCTGTCTGCGAAAACCCGGTCTTCAAGCGGTTTCTTGCCCCCCTCCCCCCCTCCATTCTCCCTCCTTTACCCTTCACAACCTCGTGTCCTTTTTCTTAAACTGTTAGTTCCTCGTTCGCCTTGGAGTCATTGGTGTACAATGTGGCTTTGCCTCTTCCCCCCCTTCCCCTTTCCCTTCAGTTCTCTTCGTATGGATGGCTTCTTTCTTTCTTAGTTTCTTTTTTTTCCTTCCAGTCGCCCGTTTGATATGCTTACAATTCAAATTCTCCTTTGATATCCTTCTAAAACGATTCCTGACCGATGTGTCTCTTTCTTTTCATGACTGTAAATATATCTTCTTCTCTTTAGCTTCTTTTTATAAATCCGATAATCATTCAAATCACTGGCCTATTATAATTGCTCAGTAACGTAGATATCGACTAGTATCCGTGTTGAACCCGAAGCTAAAAGGCGAAGTGCGACAATGCGGCTTAAAACTTTCGCAGGGAAAAAAAAAAAAAGTCGCGAACGACGCCAAGCAAAAACCTTTAAACCCGCCAAATTTTTGAGTCTCCTTCGCCTAGGCGCTTCCTCCATCTCTTGTTTTTCTTGCGACAGAACCCTCAACTTAGCTCACCAGTAACCCTCCACCTCGTCCTCTCGTATTTCCATTACCAATATCTTAAGCAATGGCATCGCCCGAACGGGAACGAAAGCGCAAAAGGGATGCGCAGGGACAACCTCGTCCTGTCGTTCCTTCTTCATCTTCGCAGTCGCAGGTTCTAAAGATCAATCGGAAGGATGTGGGAAGTCATCCGCCTATTATTGGTAAGCTTTCTAATTTTCTCTCTTTCTTGTACATATATATGTATATTCGATAGCTAATGTTATTCTGGTGTTACGTGTAGCATCAATCCATGGCGTCGAACTACCAACCGACCTAACCTTCTCTGCATTTTCAAAAAAGTCAAAGGTGTCAAAACATACGTCCGGTGGGACAAAAGGTGAAGCTAGAGAGACAGAGTACTGTTTGCAAGCTCAGACTAGCAGGATTGAATACGATGGGAGGGTTGAAGGGGAGGATGGGCTTTCGTGAGTTTTCTCTTTCTACCTTGAAACCTTTAAAGGGATATTTGTAGAGATGGAGGATGATGATGGTAGCTAATACATTGATGGGTATCTGCTTAGGTATTATGTTGGAGTCTATGATCCTGAAAAGGGGAGTGTGGATGTTTATCCTTCGCCGTTGTTACACGTTCGAAGACAGGTTAGACGGTTGAAGGAGAAGGAAATTCCAGAGAAGGCTTCGACTGGTACTGTATGTCTTCCTCATCCATACTCACATTTGAATTATTCAAGATACAGAAGAAGAGAGAAAAGAGAAAAGAGAGAAACTAATATATATGCACAAACAGCTCATGGACTCCCGCCAAGCTCTCTCCGCCGCCTTTGGCAACCGTACTTCTCGAAAGGCATTAAAAGACGAACAACTCAATGCCATTACATCCGCCACCCTCGGCAGTACTGGAGCTACCTCTGTTGTTTCTGCGATTTCTTCGGCAGTAGATTCGGCTACAGCTTTACTGCCTACTAGCGAGAGTCTTAGAACTGGTTCGGGGAATAGCAAGTACTTGCCTCCTATACATGCTGATGAGGAAGGGGTTACGGTGGATACGGTTTATCGAGTCGAGGAGATGGTGGAGAAGAAGGTGCTGGATGGATGTGCTGAGGGTGTTAGGGAGTGGGAGAAGAATGTTAGAGCTGGTGGGGAGGTTGAGTCTACGTATGTCGTCTTCCTATATCTACTTAAATTGGGGAAAGGAGGGGAAGTTACTAACAATCAGGGGGGGTGTTATAGGATATCACCGCATTATGTCACAAGTCGTATCCGTGGTGTAATCGACTCGGGAGCGAATGTTACAAAACGACTAAAGATCCTACGATACATCGAACACATGATCCAATTCCACCGACTCTTCATCAATTCCTTCTCAAACACTGTTTACCGTCCAAAGCTTTACGATACCTTTGTCTCAGATGATAAAGCAATAACGTCCCATCTTATCGATACGTTTACCGATGCCAAAAACCAAAATAAGAACGAAAGGCAGCTGTCGAAGACAAAATTGACGAAATTGTACTGTTGGTTGATGATATTGTGTTTGAAAGTCGAGGAGGATGGAAGGATGGATTTGTTCGATTTGGTACAGGATTTACAGATCGAAAGGAGAGAGGTTGAAATGGCGGCTAGGGAGATCGGGGCTAGAGTCGAGGCGTTTAAAGAAGGATACTTGAAGTTGATGGGATACGGAAAGGAAGAGGCTAGGGAACATAAACTTGTGGCATTGAGACTGCCATTAGTGTTCCCGAAGAATAAGATGCTGCAGGTTAGGAAGAGGTAGGATGTTCCTTTCTCTGTGATGTCCGGGTGCGGGATCAAGTAGGGTTGGTTCTGAGCTGGTTTTGAGAGGATCCCTGCTATCCCTACTTCATTTTATATTGAAGCAGTGGTGGCGCTGGTTTGTATTATATATACGATAAGATTTAGATCTGATTTACAGGGTAGTTTTTATGGGAATCTTGAACACTTTTTTTTGAGAATAGGTAGTGACGGATACACTGTTTCCTCTATTAAATACAAAAGGAGAATGAGAGAAAGACTCAAATTCATGATCAGGGGGATGAAGACGCCAATAAACGCCTGGATGCACACAAGAACATTATGTAGAGAACAGTACAAGCTGATATCCAAAAGCAGGGGGACTAGAAATTATGTACAATGAAGAAGGGAAACCAATCCCCCAGCTGGTAAACAATATCCTTCAGATGTAAATAGAAAAAGGAGAGCAATGAGAATGAGAGGAAGAGAAGGCCGTTGAACGGAGATCATAATCAAGCAGCACCAGCAATCTTCTCCTTCTCTTCAAGAGCCTTATGTACATCCCTCAACAAAGCCCTCAAATCTCCATCAGTCTTACCCTGATTCTCAGCTTCCCATTCACAGCCCATCTCCAAAACCTCTCTGGAATCCTCCAACTTCCCCATCTCCTTCAAACACAAAGCTCGCCTATACCACGCCTTAACATTATCCTTAGGTTTCAACCCACAGCTCATCTCAGCATCACACATTCCCTCAGCCCAATTCCTCATCGCAATATTCGCTTGGGCTCTATTAGAATAGATCATAGCACTCTCCTCCCTAACCAAGGCGGATTGTTCCCAATGAGGTCTCCCCAGACACATTTCCAGAGCTAGGGAATAGAGTTTTACGGCTTCGCCGAATGCTTGTTTTCGGAATGCGGCGTTACCCGATTCGCGCAGTTTGTTGATTTGGGCGGACCGTTTGGGGTTGATGAGACCTGGGGGTGGGGGGATGGCATTTTCGAATTGGAGCATGGAGCGGTGGAGGGTGTTTAGGTCTGAGATGGCATCGGGGAGGGCGGGGAGAGAAGGGGTTGAGGAAGGAGCTAGGACGGCGTTTGTGACTTTATCGATCGTGAGGGGGAGGAGGGTGAAGGACTCCATCTCTTATTTAATTTGAAGACGTCTGTTGGAGATGAGGGGGTTTAGAGACGTAGGTGTGGATGTTGGTGAAGCTGTTGCGTGGGATGTAGATATCAGACGGAGATAGCTCTATTTGGATTGATACTTGATATAGCCAGCGGGATGCTATTGTATCGTTTCTTGATGATGCCCTCTTTGGGTAAAAATTCCTTATTGTCTGAGGAGGTAGTATCTTAATGATAAGGATGATGGAAGTGATGAGGATGGCGATGATGGTGTTTAAGAAGGAGAGCGTGATAGTAGCTCTGAAGAAAGTGCGAAGTTGAAACGGTGTCGGGATTTCAATTGGGAAACTGGCCACTTTGGACTTCAAACAAAGAACCGCTCGACTTGCGACCAGCCAATCAGAGGCCGGTATTCAATATACAACACGAACAACACTTTCTTATATATCAAACGATGTCGACACGACTTGATCCCCGCCAGACATCACAACTACTCAATATACGGTTTCAACCAGCGACAATACTATGGTTGAAACACCTCAGTCACTAAATATCCTGGAAAACTATCCGAAAAATACTCAATGGGCGGGAGAAACCAGAGTTTCTAACTTTGGTAACCTCTCCTCGCCACCCCCACACTCTTAATCCCTTCGTGGGATTTAGCTCTAGCTCTATGGAGAGTGCTTTGTTCGGGGCCATGGGTCCACGAGGGCGCCCTTTTCCATAGTCTCGGTTGGCCTCCTCCACTTTTAACGCCACCGAGGCCGTCATAATCTCAAGGGGTGCCCTTCCAAGACGACCCTAAATCGAAAGATTCCGGCGCCCGAAATCGCTATCGTTTCGATCTCATGACAAATGCCCGTGGCCGGAATCAAATCTCGTTAACCACTACATGTATCGGAGGTATTAATTGACGGCGAGGCCCCAGAGGCTATACGTCTTGAAGAATCTACCTGTACATCCTGTGAAGTGAAGGTTGGGAAGTCAATCTTATGACTACCAACCCTTCACTTCTAGAAGCCTATTTCTCAACTTGAGTTGGACCTATCTTAAAGCAGCGACCAAAGAATCGAACTGCTACGCCACCGCCATATGCATATGCGGAAGAGAATAAGTTTTTCGAAAGCTAGCTCCCGAACGCCCAGTGTATTAGAAGAGTTGAGATATTAGAGCCTGGGTCTTGGTGGAGTCGTAGACTAGAAATAAAACCAGGCATGTTTTTGGCTGAATACGCATAATCAATGCATATTCTAGTCGCTATCCAACGAGTCCAAATCAATATATCACTGTACATATCTAAGTACCTTATTGCAGTTACCGTGATGTATTTCCAGCTTTTGTTGTTTCTGTTGCAATTCTTTATTTTCCCAAACAGGAAATTATAAGCAGCTGTGATATCATTTGTGGACTAGCTTCATCGCCTATTTTGGAAGATTCTTGGCAGATACGTAAAATACCACGTACGCAACACTATACTCTATTAATCAAACAAAGCCGGTCCTCATCCAGTCTTCAATTTCCAATAATTATGCAACTAAATACATAAATGGCAATCTTGCAAAACCTAAAAGATACTAGAGTCAGGTTGGTATAAGAATGCAATATTGAAAATGCATCCGTACGGGCTATAGACCCTAGCCGGACGAGAAGCCTACGGCCTGGAAATTTGCCCCAGGGTAGCCCCGGGTTTAGTATTGAATGTTGAAACTTTTGGGAATTAACAACAGTTTAGGGAATTAACAGTCTCGGGGCGGGTCCTAGATTCAGAGTCAAAATTGGAGGTTCAAATAGTGCGCGGCAAAATGGAGAAACTTTCTGGGTTGAGTTTGTAGGATAGATTTATAGATAGATCTATAGTCTAGAATTCCAGACCAGTCTATAATGCGACTACGGGTTGGGTAATCTCCTAATGGGGACCGAATCATGACCTTATATTAACTCACTACTTAAGATATTCTAGTTCACGTTGTTGCTATTCATACAATTAGATCGAACCGTGTTTAGTTCGATGGTTATATATCTTACAAGAAATCAAAACATTCTAGTGCTGAATTAATATCATATTTATATATGCATATATGTATAGAATAAATTACATACACCTAAAGTCTTCGAGGAAGACTGTTAAGACGAGCGTTCGATATACGTGAACGTCCAGTCCCGTTCCCAATCTTTCTTAAAAAATGATTCAAGCAAAGGATAACCACCCTTCTCAAAGGCTTCGATCTTGAAAGCCTCCCAACCGAAAAATTCATATAACTTTTTCTTCTCCTCTGCTGCATCAAGTGCGCCATATCCGATGAGCATGTTGAAAATACCTAAGGCCCCACCGTCATCAATTCCTAAAATCTTGCGTTCGCATGGGCGTTTATCATCTGAATCATAAAGGACCCCATGGTAAAATTCGCTACCTGGACAGTTGCAAAGTTCCATCAGCATGCCTCCCGATCCCTGAAGTGCTACGCATTTCGATACGCTGGCGAATCCGCCGCTTCTCACATTTGGGTTTGCGCCAGCTCGCAGCAGTAATTCAGTAGCAAGGGCACGGAATTTCTTTTGAGGACACCGTACTGCCGCATGTAATGCACTACCATAGGGCCCGCCTAAAGCATTGACATCCACACCATGTTCTACTAATTTCTTCAAGACTTCGAAGGAGAAATCACTAGTATTGTAGTCAGGGAACTCAATAACCCTAGCAATTACAGCTTGCAGGACGGTCCCGTAATGGTTTACTGGAGCATTGACATCAGCACCGTGACTTAGTAGGATGTCGACAATTTCTGTAGGCGCGGCTTCTGTCATCTCCCGGGGGGCTCCAGAAGTGTAAGGTGATTTGACCGAGTCATCCAAGGTCGAATTCCTTCCCTCGATGATGGCCTCTGCGCGATAAATGGCAGCTAACAGTGGATTACCGCAGTTGCCACCAACATGATTGGCATCCGCACCGGCGTTCAACAGCATTTTAACAATTTGGACGGGTAGGTATTCAGGGTCGCGCCTACTGGCGATAAAACTGAAGTTCTCAAGCGTGGCTTGCAGGGCGTTCCCAAATTCTCCACCTTGTGCGTTGGCATCTGCCCCGGCATCTAGCAGTATTGTGACAATTTGCTCTCTTTCTTTGTAAAGATTGTACTCCGTATATGCGCAAGCTGCTTGTAATGCATTCGCATAACGTCCACCCCTAGCGTTAACATCGGCACCTGCATCTAGCAGTTTGCGGATAACGAGAACTGTAGTATCATAATCGAAATGCTTCCCAGTTGTTGAAGGAGAAATAGCGGTATGTAGCACACTCCCATAGGGTCCAATAACATTTACGTCAGCGCCAGCATCCAATAGCATCTGCACAATATCCGCCCTTGTGTCCTGCCAAACAGGAATTGACAAAGCAGCTTGTAGTGCATTGCCAAAATGGCCACATTTAGCATTAACATCGCTCCAGTTCTCAGATAAGAGAGTTTTGACAAGCTCCCGGTATCCAAGGAAAGAGAAAACATAGAGTAAAGTCGAGTCTCTGCCGTATTTCGTGTGATCGTCTGTCCCCCAAAGATCGTGGAGATCTTTCAGTAGCTGGAAAACTTTAGGTTGTTTGAAGAGCCGACGGAGGAGCCGTTGCTGAATTTTAGTTTCAGTACAGGCTAAATTAGCGTGATGAGGCATATAATGTACGACATAGTATACGAATGGATAATCTTGAACACGCCCACTAGTTTTGGTATATGCGGGCTCACTCGTACGTGACGTAGGTATTTGTAAACCAATTAGGTCCTCCATCTCAAGATACGCTATACAACATTCAGCAAGCCTACCGTGGCTGCTGCTGGCGAGTTGTGGAGCGAGGGTTGGGTCCAATGACTGAAGTCTTTTGTTCCGTATTAAAAAATCGTTAACAGTTTCATGGATAAATTGGACAGTTTGTGATGACTGGCATATTTCGATCAGACCTCTTGAGCAACTTGTTATAAATCGTGCAATACTCTCATCCGTTATTTCTAGACTGTTGTGTCGTTTCAAAAGACCGGGCTCGGTGCCAGCAATGACGCCATAATATAATTCCTTAGCATGGAGTGTCCCGTGAGCGAACAGAACCCATTGAAGCATGAGCAGCGTTTCATTCATATAATGATTGTTCTTTTCTAGGATGATTCGGAAAACTTCGTCGAGGTCGGTTGGAACATCGCGGAGCCGTTTCCACACCGCCGTAATCCTGCCTTCATCGAAGGCTTGATTGAGCATTTCCGTAACTAACACCACCCACATAAAGATACCTCCTGCTTTCCGAAGGAGCTCGTTCTCGATTTTATTGGCATCTTTTGTATACTTAACTGTGAGTTTATCTCGCACATAGGTGGAAATATCTTGATCGTGCTCGGCCTGACTCTCCACGACAAGCTCGAGCATTTTATGCATCCTAATAGTTGGATAATGCCGGCTTGATAGAAGCACACTGAGTGAAACCCCAGCAGAAATAGCAAAATAACTCAGTTTTTCGAAGAATGATACCGCCTCGCGGACTTCGGACTCTTCGCACTCATCCAAGGCGTCTGCAAACAGTATTATAGGATTCGGGTTTAAATGCTGTATCGTTTGGAACATAAAAACCTTAAGCTCGTCTATGTGCCACTGCCAAGTCATCCCATGCATTTGTTCCTTTCGGATGTATTTAGAGATGAACATGCTGCAAACTCTTGCGTCCTGTTCGATTAACTGACATACTAGAGATCTAAGCATCCCAAGGCATGTCTTTTCGAGATTCGTACCACGTGCATTAAAAAAGTATGCAATAATAGAGTGGCCCTTAGATTTACTCGCAGTCCGACAGTACTCCAGGGCGTGCTTCATCAATGTTGACTTCCCAGCCCCTGGCTTGCCTTTGATCCACAGAAATCCGTTAAAAGTTTCGATATTGGTGCGGTCTTCCCACCGTCGGAACTGCGGCGTTTTAAAGAGCCAATTGCAGGTGTTTTGATGGGCTGTGGCTATGTTATAAAACCGAGCGTCGATGTTTTGGAAACTGAGAGACCTTAAACATCTTATGCGCATCTGCTCAGCGTCTCGATGTTTCCCTACTAAGTAGACGAGATGAACTCAATTAGATTGGAGGAAATGTATGCAACTTGGGTATACTTTATCTCACCTTTTCCAATTTTTGGTACTATATCAAGCAGCGCTTTCGCGTACGCTGCGGCCGTTGCAGCAGCATATCCTTGCCATTGTTTATTTTTGTGAGAATCCGAATAATCACAGATTCCTCTTATAACAAGGCACCCGAACCCGTCCATAAGACCAGCCGCTTCCATTTCGAAGCAATAGATATCAAGCTCCTTAGCCAATCGGTCTCTAATCCTCCCATCTTTCATAACTTGGTTTCCGGATGCGATCAGGCCATAATGGATGGTAGGATCATTTGTAGGTCTAACTTCTCGCTTTACCAGACATTCCCTACTACAAGAATGACATGTGCCTCCTCTTTCGTGATCGTACTCAGCTTCGAATAGAAGATCTTGGTGCTGACCGGGATACGTAAAGGTTTTCTGGATCTGAGGGTATCGTTTTATAGCGTCTGAAAGCGAATCCAAAATATGGTTCCCTTCCACGATCTGTTGTGCCTGTAACTTAGAGGCTGCGGTAAGAAGTTCCAAAGGTGGTTTATCTAAGGCGCCGATTCTCTCAAAGCGACCTCCAGCAACAGCCTTCCCGAAATCATATTGCAAAACCCCAGAATATCTACCCGTCGGCCTGCTGACAACAATATCTCCTAGTCTAATATCGACAGCCTCGCTCGGAACCCCTCCTCCAATTCCAACCATCAAATAAAACCGTACGGATGGGAAACTACTTCGCATCTGACTCGCCACAAGGGCGGCTGATGTAGTACCATATGTCCCAAAAGGTAAACAGGCGATGACAACATAATGTCCACTAAGTTCTCCAAAGGTATATGCATTGCGGTCGTCCTCTTGATTCGGTAGCTCGACATGAATATTATCCAGCATGGCCCTAGCGGCGGCCATCTCTAAGGGTATTGCGCAGATCCATCCAACGGTGTAATCATCCCGCGAGAAGGGACCCATAAACGTTGCCCCACGAACATTCCTCCCGCGAGCTTCGTAGTAGCCGCTACCGACATCATCATCGCCATCACGATATCGATATCGCTGGGACATCTAGAATTCGCGAGTTCAGACTTATATGGAACAGCCTTGTCGCATGTCGCATTTATATTTATGGACTATGGGAGAGTGTGAGTTTTCTGGCCTTGAGGAAAGGAGAAGAATATTGCTTGGGGAGTAAATGATGTACATGCTTATGCTTAATTTCTCTGTTAGGACCTAAGTCAGAAGTTCAATGCTCAGCCTCGCGTGAGGGGAAGAGGTCTTCAGGCGCGAACGCTGCATGAAGCCATCTGTGTATCACGTGATCATTATCGATGATACACAACTTGATGGCTGATGGCCACCCCGCATTTTGGACAGTAGCGTTGACTGGTTTGTTAAAAATGCAACCGCTCTTTTTCGAGACCGGCGGCTTTGAAGGTTTCTCGGTATTAAGCCTTTGCCAATGATGTATTAATACATCAATCTAGCGGTTTAAATTTGGGAAAGCTAGTAGACCTTGACCAGCCCAATCAGATTACAAACCATCAGATAAAGTGAGGTATTGGTGCATTTTTAAACAACCGGAATAACCCCGGCCCCAACGGCCTGCGCCTCGAGTAAGCTTGTCAGACGTCAAGGCGCAAGGCTGTACACGTTATGCTATGACCAATCCGGATCCTGCAACAAACGGAGGTTCACAAACTTAACCCAAGTATTGCGCATCTGACGATATAAGATCCTAGACTCTCCCCGCATACTATTCTCTTGGAATCTTCGTCGAAAAGGTCTTAATTACACAATTTCGCTACCGCCGTCATCGTAAAAGGAGGCGCACCAAAATCCACCCAAAACATTTGAAGCAAAGCCGATTAAGGTTATCGTATAGCTAGGTACCTCGAGAGGTTTAAGAGCTAGTGGGGAAAAAAAGAAACCATGGACAAGACATCCATGTTAACCATCCCCCCGGAACTCCATATCTCCATCTTCGCTTTCCTTGGGATCGGAGACCTATCGCGCCTCGTTCAAACCTCCAAATACTTTCATCGAACAGCGGGTCACTACCTCCGCCGAACAATCGATTTTCAGACATCCGATGCCATATGGAAGTTCCAAAATGGAATGCCACCAGATACGGTGCCGATTGAACGGGCGCCGTTTATTCAAGACGACTTCTTCGATTTTAGATATGCATTTGGACTAGATTATACAACGGTGGATTTAGATGTGGATAAAAATCGTGATGGCGATGGGCCTAAGAAGATCTCAGTTCATAAGATGGATGATTTTCTTACTTCTGTGAAGGAAGTGATTACTGCTAAGGGGTTGGGGATTAGAGACGGTGATCTTTATATGAGTAAACCCGGTAGGTTTTTAGTAGACACCCAAATACCTTTCCAGGCGCACACATATACCCCGAATCCAATAAATCTAGAGCTACGAGGTCTCTAGTTGAATATGATGCTGACATTTAATTAAATGTAGTAATAAAAAACGAACAATTCCGTTCAATATTCCGCGCCCTCAAAGACCTTTCATCCAGTCGTCCCGCCTCCGAATTCTCAATAACCTCCATAACCGGCCAATTCAACCCAACTCTACTCACCCAAATATTCGACACCAAAAAATTGACAAGGCTCTCTATATCCTTCAAACAAATCCAATGGAACTCCGACCCTAACACACCCGAACCATCTTGGCGAACAAAAGAGGATATAATCGCCTTGAAAGATTTATTCAATAAATCGCCAAACCTAGAGGTCTTAGTGCTAAACCCCGTCATGGAAATAGTCGATTTTCGACCTTTGCCGGAGGACGTCCCCGCCCTTCAGGAACTGACACGGGCGTTTTTGACACTGAAAAGGTTACATACCCTTGATATGCGGGTTTATTTATTCCATCCTTCGTATTTCATACCAGTACCGGAGGCGGTGAAGACACTATCCCTTTACCATGTAAACCTCTACTCTAAAGCCTGGTGGATAGAATTCTCAAAATTCCCATTCAAGAATGTGGAAAACCTAGAAGTTTTCCCGAGTGAAGAAGAATTCGGGTACATTTTCGCCAGAGACGATTATCAACTCGGAAACGATAGGGATGGAACCCTGAGGACACCTGAGGAAATCGAGATTAAGGGATACAAGCTGGGAAATGTTGAGATTAGAAGTTTGAAGAGGTTTAAATTTGAGGATACGGAAAAGTTGTTCCTACCTAGGGATTTAACATTGTGTGTCTTGAAGAGGAATGACAGGCTGGATGAACAGGTTAAACTGGATCTGATGCGACAGTCCGGAGTAACATTGGACGAGACAAGAGATAGAGGGGGCAGGAGGCGCAGTTTGTAGGAAAGGAAAGGAAACGGTTGCCTCGAAAAAATCTGCACCCAAATTCAGCGACGGGAAAAGGTTACTAGGTTATTTGGAAACCGTAATAGATGTGTTTACACCGAGGCGATCGATAGTTAACACAGGCGTTAAATGGAAGGGTCGGCAGTTGATTGCGTTATTGGAGTGTGCACATGTGTGGTTATCAAATGTAGTGATAGTTGGGCATGATTTCGATCCACGTAGACTCAGAGCCAAAAAACTTAGGCTTCCGGATAGAAAATCTAGAGAGCATATAGGCGTTACTTGGATATTCCTTGATCGCATGATGGTAGACAGCGACTTGTTCCTGATTTCCATGTCTGTCTTCAACAATCGCTGGTTCGCATAAAGCCCTTGAAAAGGCTTTAAAGATATCCGAAACCAAGATAGACTCGCATGTATCACTAACATCGAAATTCGCTATACAAGTGTGAATTATATGAGGTTCCGCATTATGGTTTTCCGTACAAGTTGTCCAGCAAACGAGACGGAGCTTAAGAAGCGGCGGAGAACTCGCATTTTCATCGACGGACTTAGAGAACCAAGGACCGATCCTAGTGCGTCCAAAATCTTTCTTTTCTTCTGGGGTAGCCCGGTGGTAGTATATCAAATCGTCGAGAGGGAAGTCTTTGAAAATTGGGTGCATAACTATATTTCTGTCGAAGTCGTTCATTTGGTCTATGTGTTCTTCCCAAGTACTAGGAGGTTTTTCCCGAAATAATAGGGAATCGAGACGGGGCGTTCGTTTACGGGTCAGGAGAAGCTCAAAGATATTGGTGGAAAACATAACGGCCTTTATGGAGACGTAATCGAGATGTTCGCAGATGTAAAGCCAAAGATCTGGTGTAAGACCATAAAGACTACAACATAGAGCCGCGGGTAGTCTTGTAGACGTGTTATTGTAAAAGGTGCTACTGACTCGTCTGATTCCGAACATTTGGTATGGTTCCAGGTAATCAAAGACTTCAAACCAGAGTTCCAGCGGCATTCTTTCTATAGGTGACGACATTTTGAGCTGCAAAATGTAATTGAAACCGCCTCTTATCTAATTTCGAGTCGGCTTGTAGACTGTAGATTGTATGACCTCGCCAGTCGATAGTCGCGGATTTCATAGAGAGCTGTGGTTGAGGACAATATATGCCGGTTGTTTAAGGATAAGTGTCGAAGTGTGAGAACTAGTGTCGATGAAGAGATCTAGAGATTAGATACTTGTACACAACTACGGTACTTATATATTTTATGGTACCCAGCGCTACGGCATGCTGGGGCCGATCCTCCCCAAATTATAAAGTAAACAAATGCTGGGCCTTATTGTCTCGTCAACAACCTGAATAATATCTGCTTACCTACTATCCTTCAATAACAGATCACCACAGCTCAGCCCAACGGTGTAACCCGACTTCAACTCTCGACAAAACATCCGGACGAGAAAGTTTTCCCATACATATACTGGTTTTAATGCTGGATCACAGTGCCACCAAGTAAAGACAACTAGCAAGCTGTAAGACAAGCACCACCAATATCCGCACAGGCATTGATAACTTGCTAATACTCAAAAGTTCTCCGACATCATGATATCACCAACTTGACAAAGAACAGTTACAGACGGATATTTCCTGACTTGTCTCGAGTGTAACTATTTCCTTCACTTTCTTCAACATATTTTCTTCAACCAGCTAATATTTACACCATCAAAGCAAGCTATCGCTCCACCCTGAGTTATCGGCTCGGAGACATAGAGAATAAGATAACAAAAAGAAATAAAATCTTCGACTTATTGATTCTCTTTAATACTGCCTGGCTGAAGTTATGCCAAAGCAGGAGTGTGGGGGACTCAAGCCGTTATCCTTCTCTTCATCATCTAATCGCCTCCGCGGCGGGTGGTCTCAGAGAACTCTGTTCCTGCGAAACTTGAGCCCTCGGGGTGACATTGATCCCGGGTCTTAGGTCTCACTGTTAGGGGGTCTTCGCTCTAAACTACCGACATTGAAGCCACGGAACAGAATATCCCTCGACAACAATCCATGTCTGCGAATAGCTCATTGGTAACTAGAGCCTTGCACTCTACACACAATAGAAACGGAAAGAGCTTGAGATCGATACGGATTTAATGGGACTGGTAATACTACCTCCTATTACAATCTAGTCGATCAATTGATACAGTCCTCCCCCTAGACTATGACTGGCTTCGTGTCGGTATAGCTGATAAATAGCCATCTTTCAAGGCTAGCTGGGGCTAAGGAAATTATTGCCCGCACTAGTTCGTGCGAGGTACTGGTCTGTTACCGGCTCTTTGCTAAGGTTTTAAGGCTGAGCCCATGTAGAATATCTACAAGGGTAGCAAGGGTACCCCAGCTCCTATTAGTTAGGAGCGTGAGGGTAGCTCCCAATACCTTCTCGCTATCGTGTAACCTAAACATCTGTTTGCGTTCACGTATCGAACTAGGAATTCCCAGGAAACGGGTACCCCTGCATGTACATGCACGACCTGCCCACTACGTGCGCATAGTCCAGTCTTGGGAAGAGTAGCTATGCTCTAGTACTAGTACATACCTAAGTACTATATAGAAGAAAGATTTCTAGCTTAACAAAGAATACCTAGAACTGGAGTTCCATGGGTCGATATCAAATTTACCGGAACTGGCAACGAAGTCTCAGGCGAAAGAATTCGACTACAAGCATGAAGTTTACGGTTTGGATCCCTTTCACTATCGATATCTTCTGGGTTGGGTTAATTAGATGACAAAAATACTTAAGTATGCAGGAGCAGTTTGATTAAAAAGGGATATACACATTAGTATTAGTAATTGTTTTTCGACGTAATAGACTTTGCTTTTAAGGAGTCATGTCGCTCCCTTACCGCTCCATCTCATTGGCTAGACTCTGGTGTCAGATAATATGAAGGAACTACGAATACCAATGTTTCAAACGGCCGTTTGAAGTATTTTTTTTCGAACATTATATCGATATTAACGAGCGTTTTCAATGTATATATAACCACGTCAAATATAAACTCTAAAGTAAGATAGAGGATTTACGGGATAAACTTGCTGTAGAATACGTGTGGAGTGCCTTCTTAATTTGTTATATCTACGGAATTAAATATTTGTTCTATGAAGATGATCATGACGAGAAGGTATAATTATTGCGGGTCTGTATGAAGTAGTCCCCGGTACCAGTCAATCATCACGATTATACGATCGAGAGACTAGATTCATCATTGGAGCATAGCTAGAAGCAAGCCATCCTTATATATACCTCGTCTAGTATCCTACATGTTATCCCGCTTGAAAACCCGAATCATCCACTAGCTAGAGTCTCGGAGCCAGAGCTACCCCATAAGCCACTTGAAATGGCACCCAAGGAAAACTTTTTAGCAGAAAATTTAGGTTAGGGAATAACGTATCTCCCTTCACTGTGTGCGTCCTCGGCAACGGCAAATCCGTAGCGGTGATACGTCTACGCATTGCAACGTGGGGAAAAAAAAATCTGTGTATAAAAGCATGACCGCTCCCTTCCTTTCCCAAATTTTTTTCTTTCCTTCTTCATCAACAAACATTCTTCTCTCCACCATCATTATCTCCATCATCGCAACCTCTTTCTCACCTCTCTAATCTTCCCCCTTGATGCATTGTCAGGCCTCAACTTCATCGACAAATCAGGTTTGGAGATACCAGAAGAAGAAGATAAGTCCAGGGAAAACATACTCCAAGCCTCGACGCGTCCTATCGATGGCTCTTTCAAAACCTTGATCAGGGCCTCGAGGACCTGACCTCCGCGGTCTATTATGGGTCGGTGGGAAATCCCACCTCCCCCAGAGTATACACTCCCACTTCGGCCTGCTAAGACACATCCTAAAACCGGTTCGATTGGAGTCGTTACTATTTTAATATCCTGGACAGTAGTCCGGACAGAGTGTGGGTGGTTCTCCTTACGTGTAGGTACTAAATCTCCACTAATTGAAGCTCATTGCAAATGATATCAATGTCAATACTAACTTTCCTACTAGATCTAGATCCCCATGCATGTTTAATATCCGGATATCTAGAGAAAACCGAACCCGAGATGGCAATAGACTTGCAAGTCGACAAAAATGGGAGCGTTACTTTCATGACTTTGATTTATATATCGGCTTTGTGGACTCCTTGGAGTTTATATGGTTTGATATCAACATATTCGTAGCCATGCAGCTGCACAAAAACTACAAGGATGGTAAGCTCGCAACATGACATCCTTTCCTTTTTCATAATTACTGTCATACTACACCAATCAAGTAAAGAATGCATATAAGCCCTATGAAACTATCTTACAACCTAAATATCACTAACATCGCTTTCAGGCTTGTAATCTCCTCGAGCTCGAGAGATACGAACAGGATATATTGAAGGCATCGAGCACGAAATTACCACAGTGGCAACACATTTGGTCGGGGCTATCTGCTTGTTGAAGGAACCCGATACCACCCCCCTCTAAAGCTTATTCCGCACGGATATGCTTACCTTACTCTTCGCAATCGAAGAAGAGTATACCAGAATATCTCGACTTGAAGTATTCAAAGATTCTTCGGCAGAAGAAAGGCCTCCGGGCCTCGACGACCGGCCCCCGCTAATTGTGCGAGGACCAAAGACTTGAATTCAAAACCCCTCGAAAACCCTTGATATCCTGATAAGAAAACAAAGGCCACTGACGCACCCGCTTGGGTGCGGGTGGCCGCCCAGATCTTTTCAACCTGACTGAAGATTAAAATTCAAAGTGATAAGATCTCCATGGAATGAGATCTCGACAAACTTTCGCCGATACGCCATCCCGAGAGCATAACACCATATATATACCATAGTCCCCCTCTACCTCCACAATCCCTCGATAAAGCTTCAATAGGGTTACAATATGCGATATGGCTGGCACTGGAAGTTAGTATGTGCGACGATTTGGCATAAGGTAATTTTTCAAACCATCTAAAGCAATATAGGATTAACTAACTTGCCAATTGACAGCACCACGAATTAATTGGCTGGCTCATGTCCGAGTGGCCCCTGGGCCATGTTTCCATGTTGTTCTGGCCTCTAGGTCCAAGTTTCATGTTGTTTTGGCCTCCAGGCCCTATCTACTGTCCTGGCCTCCGGGCCTCTATCTTCATGTTTCTCCGGCCTCCGAGCCCTGCTTCTGAGAGCTAGAACATGATGTATTCAACGGCCAAACGCCTCAAGCCTGTACCAATTCAAAAACAGCTACGGAGGGAACATTATAACACCCCCACGCACAGCTACTGGCAGGTTCTCAATGACACCAGAGCACAAGTTCTGATGTTTCGACAAGTTTGTCTGCGAGCTTCTCAATCGTTCTGGGTGTCTGGACTAGTCTAGACCAGCCTGGAAAACCCCTATTCCAAAAGACGACAACTCTAGAATGCGTATGCATTCAAGACTCCCTGCCTGAAGCCCCCCCCAAGTACCATATCATAAGGGACGGCCTATATAACGGCCGCTCCCACTATACTATATACATCATAAGGGACGGTCGATATAGTGACCGCTCCCACAATATTCCAGCATGCATGGGGACACAAGACTACTATGTAAGAGGGTGGTCCATATAACGCCCACCCTCCACAAATTTTTGTATCATAGTAAGGGACGGTCGATATAGTGACCGCTCCCGTAATATTCTATATGTTACTGAAGGACGGGCTATACAACAACCCGCTCCCACTCGTGACACGAAAACGGACTGTCTATGACAGTTTCCTCGTGACACGAGAAGGGATTGTCTATGATAGTCAAGCTACTTACCTATTTAACACGCCACTCACTACATGTATGTACAAGTTCTTACTAGCTACCAAGGTATCTCCAGAGATGCTAGAATATTATATAAGAAAGGAGGAGCTAAGAAGAACAAGAAAGACATCCGCGACGAGAACCGAGAGCTACAGGAAAAGGCTTCGACAGCTCGAATCACGAAACATCCCCTCGTCTTCTGCTCCATCGTCTTCTACCACACGCTCGTCCTTTTATATCTCAGAATAAAAGACTCGTTCTCGTTGTGATACCCTGAGGGGAACTTGGTTCCAGATAATATTAGTTCTAGTTCACGAGATAATATAACTCCAGAACTAGCTAGCAACTTAAAACAGTACTTTTTCATAATCATCTATGTACTGTATTTTACTTGATTTTTCATTACTTCAGCCATACTCGCTCGGTATTTTATCAAGATATTAATTAATTATATTCTCATCTACCCTATAGTAAACCTCACCCCCCAAACACCACCACCACATTCACCCATGAATAATCTTCAAAACCCCTGGCCGGTAGACCTTCAATTCATTTGTTCAAAGGGATAAAGATCTAAAAGATAGACCTATATATCTCCTACAACATAACCCTCCAAACCACAACCTCAAACCCCCAACCCACAGGGGGAACTATAAATAAATAAAAAAAAGAATTGGAAACGAAAGCGCCAGCTCTTTATACCACCCTTTGAAAAAAAAAAAAAAAACTCCTTTTTTGTACACAAAAATAAATACCGTTAAAGAAAAAAAGCAAAGGCAAACGATCATCTCTTTGTTCTCCCTTTCCTCTCCTTTCTTGCAGAAATGTAGAAATACTGATACACACTACCAAACTGGGCATACACGGGGGGAAATATCAAATGAAGTATGCATGACATGTCGACAGTTAATTATGCATGGTGACGACGACGACGGGCATTAAATATATGAGAGAGGGGGAAGAAAAAAAAGTGTAATGTCACTGCCCTCCAGGCAGCAAGAATGAAAGAGACGAACAATGATAAGTTTCAAACCCAGGGAGAGAGAAAAAAGAACGATAATAAAAGTGCACAACCGTCGATGCGTCGATAATGGGGTATAAGAAGTATGAAAAGCTTAAATAAAAAAAATGGAGGGGAAACCGAGAGAGCAAGTGTACAGAATCCAGTTATGTGCAGCGGGCGTCAAATCATTAGAACCTCCAAACGGATAAGCATCTTACAAAAGTCGGTAAGGATTGACGGGGGGGGCGGATAAACGGAGGTTGGAGGGAGAGAGAGGGGGTATCAGCTGGGGATTCCATCTCTCGGGCTAGTAGGCGCGCCAGTATCCCGTGGCGTCGGCTGAGCAGAGTACTCTCCCACCTCGTCTTCGTCGAACTCCGAGTCGGGAGTGAAGGGGTTTGGTATTTGGATATCCAGCTGCATTATCACATAGATTAGCATCACATACTCTCCCCAGATGCCACTATCACATTCCAATCTCGGCTGAGAATTTAAAAAGTAATCAATAGCACAAGGTAGAAGAGGGAAGAAAAAAAAACTCACGTTCATATAACCTGTCCTCCGTAGCGGAATTAACTTTGCCAATCCGCTGATCGGTACAGGTCCTCCTTCTTCTCCTGCCCGGCTGCCAACTCGTCCTTCCTCTCCCTCCACGATTTCGCCCCTTCGAAGTTTCTCCAAAATTTCCTCCATCTCTTTGTTCTGCTGCTCTAAGAAAGTCTCGATCTTTCTTAACCGTCTTTTCGTCTCCGTGCCAAATATATCCTCGGCAAACCACAATGTCAGGACGCCGACCCCAGCATCCACCCAATTCCGCCAGTTCCACGGATTAAAAGCCTCATACAACTCGGCATTTATCGTTTTCACTATCCGTCTGAAGCGTTCCTCACCAAGGTAGGGTTCCAAGATTTTCGGGTATGTGTTCGAAAAGGCCGGACTGACATCGCCATGGATCATGAAGTCGCGGGGTATCCGGATGATCTTTGTGGATTCCGCCAGCGGCGAATTTGGTGGAACGTGAGGATTTACGTGCGGGTAACATGGGTGAGTCGGATCCCAAGGAGTTGAAGATTCGGTGTGAATCGAAGAAGAGCCGTCGCGAGAGTGTCCATGATTAATCGGTGAAACGGGAGGTAGTTCTTGAGCGCGACGTTGACGGAGGTCGTCGAGTTTTAAGCCTCGTTCCAGTTCGAGATCTACGGATTCGGAGCGAGAATGCTGGAGCGGGCCGGGCGGGTGAAAAGGGGAAGCCGGGTCTTTCGAGGAAGAAATGGACTTTCGGTTACCGGTAGGTGTGTCGGCGATGGATGAAGCAGCGGTGGTAGTAGTATTCGTTGCCATCTCGTTGGACGGACGGTTAGAAGATAGGCGGTGAATGCTGGATTTATTATCTTTGGTGCTAAAGCCGGATATGCCAGAGTCGTTTTCGGAGAGGGTAAAGGCCATAGCAGCAAGAGATTATTAATGCAGAGCAGAGCGGCGGCGGCGGCAGCAGCAGCAGCAGCAAACTCGGCCGGAGCAACAAAAGAACCCGTAATAGTAGTAATAGTAACGTAACGATAATAGTATATATCTCAAACGTTTGGAGGAACGAAAGAAGGAAGGAATGGAGGGAGAAAGGAAGGTCCAAGCTGAGAATCCAGGAATCCCCTGTGTCAAAACAATGCTGTCGGAAATGGGGGTGTGTGAAAGTAGCGCGCCTGCTAGTCGTCTATGAGCGGGTACCTGACCAGTGGACCCCGGGGCTCATATGCTCATCGATTGTCGGGGAGGGAGGTCCTGGCCAAGGAAGTCAGGCTGTACTTGTGCGTATAGCAGGTATGTAAGTCCCCAGCAGCAGACCCAGTAAATGGCAAATGGATTTAATTGGTTCAAAAGCCTTCTATTTGCCTGTCTAAACTCTGAATGAAATTGAATGAGGAATCGTAAACTGAGATGACGGCTGATGGTGATTGTTATTGTGGTGATGATGGCAATGGCGATGGCGATGATGATGATGGTGGAGATGGTGGTGGTTTGTGGAGGATTGGCTGTGGGAAGGCGGGCGAATTAAAGTAAGGGGCTTCGAAGGTCAACCAGCTTTGACCACCAGCGCCAAAACGGGCGAATCGAAGTCGCAATTAATTACCACCAGTACCATTACCACCACCACCCACGCCAGGCACAGGAAGACATTCACGGACACAGATAGATTGTACGGTGCTGTACTGTACTTTGACAGCTGAGTTCAAGACAGAGAAGGGCACGAACGGAATGATGGATCTAACAACGTGCTTTCTGGAATGTTACAAACAAAGTTCACCATTCTTTTCTGATCATATCGGATCTATACTATACAAATGCAATGAAACAGAAAGAATCGAAGGAAAAAAAACAGTTCGAGTTAAATTCAAGAAGAAGAAGAAGCGTGTGAGTTAAAATTTTTAAAAAAGGATGGGTCCGCGGGTTTCAGGGGGGTGCCTTTGACCTGCATGCGTCTACCAAGGGATATCACTCCTTCAGGCGCAGGAACACCGACTCCTCGGATTACTCTGCTTTATCATCGTCGCTGCATGTGCGCTAACTGGCTATTCTGTGGAATGCAGGTTCAAGAATATTGCCTATTGTGGCTGGCTAACATACATGGTAATATCAAGCCACCTTTATGGCCAACATGAGCAATCCCTCGAAACAAAGAAGTTTTCCGCACAAATCTCTGTTTAAATACCGACATTTCGAGACTTCAAAGCTGTTTTTAAAGACGCAGTCCTACATGATGCACTTATACATTACACGCAAGTTTTCTGTGTGACTCGTCCATCAGAGAATACTTAATATTAATTACGCTGTCATGGCACGTATGTAAGTATCCTTCCACAAACATCATGCAGCTACCCGTTCCATTATGAGATCACCGGACCACAAGAAACCAGACTAAGGAGGGGGCACCTCTCGAATCGGTTGCCCAATTGGTCTCTAGTGGTATGCGTTTACGGATTATTGCCTATCCTGTTGGCTCGTGCGACGCTGTATACGACTCATGATATCTTATTCCGAAAACGTCTTATCTGACGCTTAGCTGCTTTGCCATTGTGCTGTTCTAGGATACATCAACTGCACCATGCTGACCGACTTTATGGTATATGATGCAAAGTATTATCAGCTATGGTATTTTTAGTTAGAGAGAGACATATAACATATTTATATCTGTATATACTTATATATTGTGCCAGAAGGGGACTTATTCATACGGTATATTGAATCGACTTCTCGGTCTTAAATCCACACGCCACCGAACACTATCATTACGCCGTCCAACACGGATTAGAGCCATTTTAAAGGTGAGGTTTCACCATTAATTAGTAATTAATCCAGATTGGATAATATAACATTATTAGAAGTCTCTCTTCTATCAAAATGCATTCCCAGAGTTCAATATTATACTATCAAACCGAGAGACAAAGGGGGATACAGCGTCCGGATATTAAATTTATGTTTAATCGAGACTACTAATACTCAATTTAAGATATTTAAATGTGAATGCTTCTAGATATAGATCTATAAAAGGTATTCCTTACCAAGTAAGTATAATTGTCAGGCCCCAAGCATGCAGTTGATATTGAATGTAACTATCCAATTGATATCCACGAGACTATCCGTCCACGAGACTACATATAAAAATACTCTCGAGACTATCTTATAGATAGATCTATTCATCCCACTGCTCAAAGTGCATCTCGCCCTCCTCGAACTCGCTCCCGTACCCATCATCACCATCTTCATCATCATCTTTACTATCTTCTTCATTCTCATCCAGATTCCCCAGATTCCCCCCCATTATCCCCTCCTCGACCCCCCAATTCCCAACATCAACATCCACACTTTCCTTATCAATCGCCTCCTTCAAAGACCATAACGAATCCAACTGATCCAACCCCTGCGGATGCTTCCTCTTCCCGTTCTCCACTCTCCAATAAAAATTCCCATTCCCATTCCCATTAATATTCCCATCTTTCGTAATCTTAAAATCCAAAAACTCCTCTCCAACTTCAAACTTCCACTGTAAAAACCTCACCTTCTCCGGTGGATCAATCCCCATCTTCATCCATTGTTTAACCCACCAAGCAACCGAATCCTTCAAATGTTCCTTCTCAACTTCACATGTCCTACTACTATCCCCTTCTCTAACCCACGACGGCCAAGGTAAAGTCACCCTTTTCAACTTCTTCAATCCCAAGGTATCCTTCCAAACAACCTTATTCCTAAAATACTTCGCAACCATCGCACCACTACCATCTCCAAGTCTTTCCAACAAGATTAAAACACTCAATTCCTCCAACCCAGGAAACCTCATCACTATCTCCGCCAGATTCTTTTTCTCAAACTTCATAACATTGATCTTTAACCTCGTCACCGTAGGAAACCTCACCATCCCCCTCATCATATCACCATCGTTCCCCCCTAGTAAAGTCTCATTGTTTATATCATCATCATCATCATCATCATCATCACCACCAGCCTTCAAATACCTCCCCCTCAACCCCCTCCAATTCCTATTCGTCATAATCCCAAAAGCTATTATCTCCACCCTCTTCAACTTCACCATCCCACTACACGCCCCCAAATCCGCTACAATCCCCTCCCCAAAAGTTCCATAAAACGCCGCTCCCATATCCTTCCTAAACCTCCACCCCTCCATAACCTGATTCGCCACATAAACCTCCTCCAACCCTTTCGGCCACCCCCAACTCCCCTTCTTCCCACTATACAAAAAATCCAGATCCTGGGGTGTAAACCCATTATCAGAGGACATATGATCCATCCACAGGATCACCAACTTCCTCAACCCATCGTACCATGAATAACCAGCCAGGACTTTAAACACCGCATTCAAAATCCTACGGTTTTCTTTAAGACCGGTGAATAACTCTATCCGAAGAGTCTTAAGTCCCGAAAACTTTGATAGAAGAGAAGCGACGGTGCGGAATAGACTTATGTATTCGCTGGGAAGAGTCGGTTGCGGGTACGCGATACGAACCGATCTATACATTATACATCAAATATAAAAAAAACAAATTATTAGCAATCTTTCTTAGGTATATATATATAAAACGTATCAATAGACTAAGTAAGTCAGAATAATATCGTTAATAGGTACTCACCGAACCCCCTCAATAACCCCCTCCAACCCTCCCCCGCTCTCAAAATAACAAACAGATCCAGGACACAACTTCACCCCGCTAAACAGCACCACACTGGTAAACCTCCTAACTTCCTTCGAACATACTGATAAACTCTTCAAATCTTCCAAGGAAAGGTGTGAGAGGATTTGTAACGAAAGTTCCCACGGGAGTGGGAATATTATCGATCTCATTTGATCTCTTTGATTATTCGATAATAATATAACCCCAATGGATAGCGATTGATAGATATACAAGGAAGAGAGAGCACCAGCTTCGCGAATTAATTTAGTCGTTCTGGCCAGATCTGGTTGCAATTGGCGATTGGACATAAACGCATTAATAGTGAGTGTCCATATGACTCAGGCTCCAAGTATGTTATATAGATTTACGGCAGCTTAGGCAAACATTACAATTATCACAAGACAGAAAACGTGTATATGCATGTGGTGATATTGAAAGTGTTTTCAATTTCAATTCCAAAGGCTAGGCTAGACTAGATCTACTAAACTACTAGTCCATAAAGAAGAAAAAAAAGCTATCTAAACTGATTTTGTTTTGGTCCCCGTAAATCAAAAAACTCCGCTAGACAAACTCCAAAAACCAGATATAAAAAAATAAAATAAAATATAAAATAAATAAAAGTTTCCTCATGTGAGAAGAAAAAGAATAATCAATCATCCATCCAATCCTGTGCTACACCCACTACCATATCCATCTTCCTCCCTCCTCCCCTTCCTGTGGTATGATCCATAGATCATTTGGTTGTTTGTTTGTTCGGGCAATATGAAATCCTCAAAGCCATTCCAAGTTCAAGTTCAAAAACGCTGCTTAAGCACCACCTCATCTAAGAGGGCACTCAAGTGGTATACTCCTCACCCCTAAAAAGGGAATGATAATATGAAGGTGAACTCTTCAAAGACCAAGGACATCTAGTCATATACTTTCCCTCATCCCACCGCCGTAATCTCAACTGTGAAAAACAGAACGAACACACACTCAATCTTTGTTTTATCTTATGAATCATTCCTCAAATCCTTGGGGTTCCATGGTTCTCTCCTTTTGCGTTTTCTTTCACCCCCACTGATGAATACCTCCCATCCTCCATCAAATTCCAAGGCCACAGATGATACCGTCTTGTCTAATCAGCTTCGCCAACACCAGGCCAAAGCCCCAACTCCCCATTCCACCCTCTCAAAGCCGATCCTACTACAGCTAATCAAACATACCCCCCACTTATCAAAGCCTTGGTCCCACCACTTAACTCTCCCCTTCGAGAAAAGATACCCAAGAGAAACTCCCAAAGCCTTCACCGACGCCCTTCCCACACACATTAAAGCCGTATTCTCAAAGATTTTACACTTTCAAAAACCGTCGCTGCATATACCGAAGGGCTTTTTAAGCCGATGGATCGCGCGCACAAATGAATTTGAAGTGGAATAAACTGAGACAGCTGTGTGATAAGGAGTATATTGGTAGTCAGAGTGAAAGATGGATCCTCAAACCGGAGGTATCTGATCTGGATGATGAAAGGGTGAAGAGAAGAGAAGTGTGGTATAGCAACCCACACACCAAAATAGTGCGTAGTAGTAGCTCCGAAGACTTCAACAATATGAAGAATAATCTGAAAAGCGAGTCGAGATAGCCGAGAAGAGCAAAACAAAGAGCAAGAACTCCGAATCCAGCACCGGAAAAGACCAGAACAGAACAAAAGAACAGAAACCCATCCATAACCGAGAAAAGTGAAAAGAGTATTAGGGAAATAAACCAACCTAGTGGAGATGTTTTTCTTAAATCGGGTCAAGAAAACTGATGAAGAGTGGGAACTTCCAACTGAGAAACAAAACGAAAAAAGAAAAAGGGAAAGAAAGAGAAAAAAAAAAAAAAACTTCAAAGTGTTGTCTGTTCACAATTCCGAAACTTCGCCGGCAAGGCTGGCGAAGAGGTCGAGATCGATTGTCGGCTTCTTGGTGGAGTCTTCTCCGAAGAGTTCGTACCCGATAGAGTGGTACGAATCCAACCCGGAGGATTCCGGGAGGACATCGGAGTCACAAAGTGTGGTGACGTTGGACATTGTTTCCTCAAGGGTTCCGGCGATGTCAAGAAAGTCGGGACTTATGGTCAAGTTTTCGTCAAAGAGCGTCCAATCCGCCCAATCGCTGACAAGGGTCGGAGAAGTGACGAGGTCGCTGTCGCTACCGTGTTGCTCAGCAGACACTGCAGGTCTTTGATACACAACATCGTAGCATGATGTTGTGTCTGGATGAGAACAGGTTTAGATAGAACGACTGGAGTCAAATCTTCGGTCTTGACAGTAGGCGATTGGATGAGGGATTGAGGAGACAGGGCTTGGACGTCAGACATGGAGATGCTGCCGGAGGAAATTGATCTGTCTTCTGGGATGGAAACGGGGTTGAAGCCGGAGTCAGAGGGAAGATGCGACTTGGCAAGGAGATAGTTGTGCTCCAGTTGCCTGTACTTCTTCTGGAGATCTGCGAATTCTTGTTCGAACTGAGAAAGACGGTTCTTCATGTTCTCATTTTCGGCTTCGATCTCCTTCTTTCTTTTCTCAAGGGCCTCTTGTTCGGCTCTCTTACGTTCACGAGAAGAGTGCGCGGCGGCACGGTTCCGGAGGACACGCTCGATTCTGCGCTGTTCCTTCTCGGCGTCGGTCTTTGCGCGTTTTCTTTACGTATAAAGTTAGAATATGGTTTGGACAAAGATTATGCATCTTTATATGATGCACATATTGATGTATACATACCTTGGAGGAAGGTTGGTAGTGGGTGTCGGGAGTTCCTGGCCCCATGACTTTCTCTTCTTTGTAGGCTTCTTCTCATCGTTCTTCTCCTTGTCTTCGACGGGAGGGCTTGATGGAGTATCTGAAGCTGGGGACATGGCCTCACATTCACTATCGGAGGTATGTGGGGGTGAAGGAGGGTGTGTCATGGTTTTCATGAGCATATCGTAGTTGTCGGCATCCCACAGGGAAGAGTCGACAGATGACGGTGTAGACATTGTTGGATGATACGATATATTCTGATCAACGGAAGAATTATATGATTTTGTGTAAATGATAGTAGTAATTTTTATTTCCGCTGTGATCAGAAGATATTTGAAAGGTTGGAAGGAGTAGGAAAAATAAAGATAGAAAGGGTATATGAAGGAAGGTTTGCCCCTTTTAACGGGATCGTCTGTGAAGCGAGGGAGTTTAAAGAGTCATCCAAGACTGGATGAGGAAATAAATGGATAGGCTAGGGGGAGGCACGGTACACAAGCACCACGAATGATAGGAAGGTTTGTCCCAGAGTGGTATGTGGGTGTGGGTGTGGGTGTGTGTATGTATATAGTATCAGATCAGACCAGGCACGAACAAAAGGTTACGACTGCCTCGTTTCTTGTCAGATACCAACCAAACTAGTCACCGGTAGGCTGTACTTGTCTGGAGGAATTAGACTTAGACAAACAAAGGAAAGGATGGCTGTCTGTGAGTATATGCTAGAGTCGAGTCGAGTCGAGTCAAGCCGACAGAGTCGATGGGGGTTGGCTGATTGATTAATTGATTTGATGGATGGATGTGGGTGATGATGATGGTGGTCTGGGGAAAGGATGGAGGAGCAAAAGGGACAGCGTGTCACCTTTATAAGCTGGGTTGAGTTGGGAACGGAGGTCTGCTTGCGTTGACCCCGGGTGCCGATCGAGTTGGGCCCCCTGTTGCTTTCAACCTTTTGCCGTCGGAAGCCAAGACCGTGATCTCACCCCCTTAAGCCTTAACAGAAGCAAATATGCATCCACCACACCTCTGCCATACAACATTCCAATCGATCGAAGAGACATTGAACGAATGAACGAACGAACGAACGAACGAACGAACGAACGAACGAACGAACGAACGTCAACAGGGGTCTGGGTACTTACTTACTGACTTACATAGTAAAGTTCTGTGCTGTGTGGAAGTATGTGTGTATGTACTGTGACTGCTGTGCAGTTCATTCACAAGAGCTACTATCGTATCAACGTTGCCTCTTTTTGTCAAAAAAAGTCTGGGATTCGATACGAAATGCATGAGTTCGAATCGTATGTACATACGAGGCATGTACGAGGCATGTAAGTACTTTTCTTATGTATGTACGAAAGGATGGGCCCCCAGATCGTTTATGAGCTGGCACTTGTCACTTCAAGCAAGTAGTTAAGTATCTCCAACATACTACTACTCCAGTATATACTACATCTACTTACCTACTTACTTGCTTGCTTGCTTCCTGCGAAACGATCAGGCTTCTTTTAATTCTAGCTTCTCCACCTTCCACCCATCCATCTATCCATCGACATTATGTATGAATGTATGTACGAGCTACATACTATGTAGGTACAATACATACACACGTACATACATGGTACGTTTCACATGACCGGTTGCATTGGTTAGAAAGGAGAGAAACCCTTCTCAGCCGTTGGCCAGGCTTCTTAGCTTCGGTGATGGTTGTGTTACATATTCTTCCGGTTCTTCCGTTCTCCACAAAATTTTTCTCATGGGCCTTTTATCCACAGGGGTTCCTTTTTACATACAACCTCTCGCTAGTTAGTTAGCTACTAGCTACGCCGGCTTCTCGAAGGAAAACTCCTGTCTCGTCTATAGTATCTCCGCTTCTATAGCTCTTCCCTCCCTTCATGGCCATTGTTCCGCGTAATTCGTGATATTGATCCGTTGTGGGAATATATCTCGCCTCCAGTTCCTTCCTTATCATAAAAAACCGATTAAGATTATAATTATCTTCACAATCAAGTCCTAATTTTATGCCCTCAATCCACTCATCTGCCTATAATTGTTCATGGATCTCATTCCCGAACGCATAGACGCACCAGCCTAAAGGCTTTCTCGTCTACATGCACCTCCCATCAAACTTCCTGGTTGGGAAGCGTTTCGAGAAGCAACTAGTACCATACCATATGCCCCAAGGTTTTCTTCCCCCCATGTCAGGCTAACAAGGGTTGTATCCCTAAGCCTGGTCAACAGGCAAGGTGACCTTTTCGTTGGCAAACAATGCATGCCCTTCTTTTTTTTTGTTTCTTGCCCTATTACATATATTCTGTCTGTCCGTTTATTGTATGTAGGAGGCTTGGGGCCCCATGGGAGGCAAAAACCGCAAGTGAATCTCGCAAAGCTGTTACTATTCTTATAAAAAAAATACGACGGTGAACATGATGCAACGATTCCAGACCTATGGACCTAATACCTTGTATAGATACTGCTGCGTTGTATGTTAACGACGTTGCAAACATAATTCAAACATGTATCAGATGAATTTTTTGTTTCTTTATTGAGTTCGCTTCCTTGGCTTGTGAATTTCATTTTTTGTTTGATAGGTAATCTTACGATCGATTACTCTGCGGCTTGAGTCCAAAGACAAGGTACATATACAATCCACAGCGCGAATGTATACATACGGTCTGACCATCAGTTAATAGGTAGTCGTTTTAATGGCACAGCGATGGGCTATGGCGATGGGCTATGTCGTCAAAGCACCCCCATCAAGCGCAAGGAAAACCCAACTAACGTATAACGAGTAACCGTTAGTAAGTTATGACAAGAAAATTTAGAAAGTTTGACTTTCATGGTCATGTCAGATCTGACGGAGCAAACAAACAGTGACGTCTCAGCAGCCACAATTGTACAAATCTCGACCGTGTATCTGTTTTGAGATTTTGATCAAACCCTCCATTCAACTAACGTTCACGTCAAGTATGTGTATGGGGTACAGCCGCCAGCAATTACTCAAGTTGAGCTAGCTTCTCCATGTCAAAAAAGGTCTACATACATAGTAAGGGAAAAGCTTTTTGGGAACATCAAGCATAGACCCGGAAAACAATCCTGTCTTGTCAACTCCAATGTCTCTAAAAATTTCCATATATATCCTCCGAAAAAGGTGTCAAACTCTCAATCTGGAAAATATATGCGATGGGAAGCTGCCAGATTCGTCCAAAGAATGCCTCGGTAAATTTTGACAGAGTTAGCTTTCTTCTTCTCTTATCGACAAGCACCCGTGAAAAAACAAGTAGTGGAACCACCACGATCAGATATGTGGAGAGATAGAGAGAGCTAGGGGATAGCTGTCGAAAGTCGCGTCGAATCGTCGACGTCGACGTAGCTTCCCTTGACCAGGGAGCTAGCTGAGTACGTAAGTAAATAGCTATAGCTCCTTAGCTCCAGCTTGAGCTCCAGCAGCTTGAGCTCTTGCAGCCTAAGCTCCTTCCGTTCCTCCCTCCTCCCCCCAAGGTAGCTATCGGAGCTATCAGGTGTAACTTCACGGTGCATGCTCCTAAAAGGCGACAGACAGCTAAGTAGCTACCCACATGGCTACCATCTTCTACTCACGTCCTTCCTGCAGGCCGCGAAAAGAACAGAAACGCTGTCAACTGCGATATGATGGGATGGGGAAATCGGGATGAATCGAGGTATGTGCAGTGCAGTGTATGTAAGATGGATTTGGTATCTCGAACCCAACGAACCATGTCGCTGCCCTGGCAAAAATTCAATCAGTTATACAGTTATAGCAGCCAATCGATGGATTGACAACTCATTCCGAATGCCACATTATGCAGATGATTCGGAGGTTCAGTGGTAGCGAATGGCGGACGGTAAAGATAAGTGATAGTGCCTGGGAATGCCGTTGTCGCATGATATATGCTTTCTTCGCAAGGCTAGAGCTTCCGCATTAGTTTTTTTCCCTTCCCTTTCTTCTCTCCTTTGAAATAATGTTTTTCTATTTTGTGAAAGCGGTAATATTTTATTTTCAGACGCCGATATCACATAAAGAATTCTTCTGATGCATAATCGGATCAGATCGGTGTCCTTTCACGATAATCCGTTTTTTCTCATCGTCGATTAATCGATTCTTAATCGAGTCGTGCATTCGACACTGCAATTCAATTGATCAGCTTACAATTCCAACAAAGGCATCCTGATAGCTTGAGAAGCTGCCATTGGAAGAATCTTGACCTAAGCGACCTCCGCGACAGGACCGGCCTCCAATCGAAAGCTAAGATATGAAGGTGCCATTGGCTGATCTGACAGCGCTCGCGCTCAGATATGAAAATCCTGCAGATTTTTTCCCCTTCACTTTCTTCACATGTGTCAGCAAGTGCTTAGGTACATACAGGCTATTATCAAAGAACAAGGCTATAATACCATACGGAGTACACACGCGTAGAACTGAACAGGAAGGTTCTCGGTCACGCCACGAAATCCCCATTTCACCTCATATTGTGCCATATGATCACGCACTGTCCATGTAATGCCCAGCCTTAGCTTTGCACGCGGTGGATTTCGAGGCTGCACTCTTTTAGCCCCAGTATGTACTATGTAGTTAGTAGCATCATCAGCGATGTGTCGATGGTGAAATGATCATAACGGAGGTATACGTATGTACGTGCACAGGAGGCGACAAAGTATAGAAAAAAAAAAAAAAGAATATATCGACAGTTGCCCTTACGTTGTATGTACACATGTTCCCATTCTCGTAAGTTTACTGTCATGCACCCGTGGTTTCGAGGCAAGAATGCGCAGATAATATCTCCGAATGTCTAGCCTTCATTTTTCCTTATCCAATTACAATTGATCAAAGCAAATAGTGTAGTACGTATGTAGTCTCGATTCCAGATTTAGAGGGCTCGAGGGGTTCACCAATGTTACAGCCAAGATACACAAGAGGGACCGGGCCGGGTAGTCGGGAAGCCGAGTTCCCGCTCGGAAGGGATTGTCAGCATGCTTCGGGTTCTTCTTTCGCTCCGTACGTCCTCGCATATACTGCATACTTCATGATAGCTGACGTACCTAATATTTTAGCAGCTCATATACATACTATGCATATGGCAATCGATGCTGTAATATTATAATCCGAGGCTTCGTCGGACTAATAGCGAAGTTTAGTAGACGACGCGACATGAAAATCTCGAGATATTTCCTCAGAAAAGATCCACATTCATCCATGAAAGCTAAGAATCCTAAGAAAATCTCGAATGTTTCATATGGTTGGCCATAACTTTGTATTTCCAAAGCCAACTTTGAAGCTGCTCGTGTGCTACCATTACCACACAAAAAGAGAACCACCACCCCGATTCTCGACGGGAATGGCTGAATGTCCGTTTCCTGAGCTTCCCCATAACCTGCAAGATTCGATCAAGAAGGTGGGGGCTCTAGCAAAGCCAAGCCTGCAAAGCCTTGGTAGAAATGTCGGACCCTAGCCCAACACGGCCAACGTTGGCGCGATCGATGAACCTCCAACATTTCATCGGATGCTCTGCGAAAATTAAAGGGGATATTCCTCGAGCTGGGAATCATCATCAATTGAGGGAGAATACCCCCTCGAGGTCTTTGCTGATAGAAAGAATCTAGTTTCAAATCGATACTACCGATTACTCCAAGCTTCGCCCGGTAATTCCTCTATGTCAGAGGGATGTTCCCCATCGATATAAGGCTTTCCCCGCGGGTTTGCGGTCGTAACGTTCACATCAAGACCACCCAATATCCCGAACCCATCCGTCTAGGAGTTCTCCGTCTCCGTCTCTCAAAATATAACGCTCTTTTTACGCGTAGGCAGGTCTTTCTATATATCAGCCGTAGACCTAAACGAGCAAAAGAAAACCGGCTGAAATAACTGGTTCGAGAAAAAAAGCGATTGCCAAATGCATAACATACCAGAACCATGCAGCTTTTGATTGTGGCTATGCTGCATCGACATCCCACCTTGACTTATGAGCAAAAAGCTTGCTGCTCCTTTTACATTGGCATTTCCAATAACCCCGCCAAATATCCCGCTTTTCAAGGCATCAGGGAGGAAAAAAAGAGGATCCCCTTGCCTAGAATTCAGCTGGTTGATGTATCTTGAATCCTGAAATCGAAACCTTTTTAAGTTTTAAACTCCGATACTCAACGTTCGAATGGTTATGGCGGGTCGGTTAGAATATCTTAGTGTCGTCTCTTCTCGCGTGTCGCGGACGTTCTCCGTATAAAAATTACAAAATAGAAAAGAAAGAAAGAAAGAAAGAAAGAAAGACAGAAAAAACTCAATATCCATTACAAGTCTATATGGACCCCCTACCCGTCAATCCTCGCAACCCCACTTTTTAAAAAAAAGACATTTCGTTCCCGTCGAATGGAATTAACATGAAACATTTCTGCAGCAGGATATTCCTTAAATTCGTAATTAGTCAGGTCGTACCGCGTACGTACATAATATCTTGTACAAGCTTTGAGCTGATACCAGGAACATGGCCGACGGGAACCCCTCTCTCTCTTAGTTGCATACTTACCTCCATCCTCTCTCCAACGAAGAACTCCGTCTTTTCCCAGCTAGTACGTATACTACAGAGTCTAGACATTCTTTTTTGATATGGCGTGCCTAGTTACGCCTTTTACATGCGCTAATTGCCAATGGATCGATGGGGCACCTACACTCAACCCCCCTCTTAGCCCCGCATGAAGTGGGTGGGTGGGTGCATGCAATATGTCTATGTCGGTAGTAGGGCTATGAGAGCTTATTAGCTGAGAGAAAACGATACCATACCCTTTTCCACGCCAGCTCATCAATGCAATGCCATGGTATGCACGCATTCCCACGGGGGCTATTTTTTGGGAGGGTCTTCTTTAGCTTTTTTTTTTTTACCCCGCACCTCACGTCACCAGTACCTGATATTGCTCGAAGATATTGGGATGTTGGGATGCTCTTAGGGTGGCAGTGGGGTTCTTTTGGTGGGATATAAAAGAGGGAGGTTGTCGTCCTGTCTGGAAATTTATATTTCCTTTGAATACTGCACGCAATACCTTATTCCCCCTTAATTGATATCCTAACCTGAGCTCAGCCTTAACTTTCCATTCTTTATTTTATCTTATTTATTTATTTTATTTTTGAATATATCCAGACAAAATGTCCGTTGAAGTAACTCAGCTCCACAGTGAGATCGAGGCCATCGTCGAGAAGTTCGACGTTGTTGCCAGAATCAAGGATATCCAGGAGGGCGGTGACGTCCGTTCTTCCGGTCAGTAGCATACATATCTCTCTCTTTATAAGAATATCTTATCATACATACCAATATATATACTAACCCAACCATCCAGTTCCCGTCACAATCGCCGTCACCACTGACGCCACCATCTCCCTCCTCAAAGAAAAATCCACCATCGGCGAATCCACCGAAGCCCCAGAAAGCCTCGGCAAGGGCGACAAGGCCACCTTCAAGGTCACCCAAGGCGACGAACTCAAATACTCCGTCACCGCCGGCGACTTCACCGGTGACTTCAAGATCGTTTTCGAGATTGACAAGTCCTCACCAAAGCTAAAGCTCAGCGACGAACTCGAGGCCGACGACGTCCCAGTTGGATTCGAAACCACAAAGACCGAGACTAAGACCGAGATTGAAATCGAACGTGAAGTCGAGGTTGAGAAGGAATGGACCAAGGGAAAGAGACCGGAGAGGGAGACTAGCAAGAAGACCAAACAGGAGGCTAAGGCTGGTCCTAACTCCTTCCAACACCAGGTCGAGACTAAGTTCGAGCAGGAGACTGATAAGAGCGAGTCGAAGGTTGAGACTGAGACCGAGATTAGCAGCAAGAAGATCGAGGTTGAGTATGTTATCTACTAAATTATTGGGGTCATTTTCATACCTTGCTTTTTTTATGTAGTTTAAGTACCTTACGTACGTACGCATATCTATGCTAGGATAGCTATAGCTCTCTCTCAGATTGCAATGAATGAATGATTCATGTCATTTGCTGATTCAAATCTATCGCCTTAACCCCATTGGGGGTCTGTAATAATAATCGTCATCCATAGATCGGATGAAGTTAAACCATCAAAACCTTAATAATGGCATTGACCCTTAGGGTTGTCTCGTCGCCAGACCCCTCAACTGGGAGGCCCTAATGTTTCAGAACACACGTGGACCTATCTCGCTACCATTCTAGTCCCTCGTGACCATACCATCCTTGTATATATACACCCCGCAGAATTTCTAGAATCCGGAGGAAGCACTTGACGTCTCCGTATTCTTTTAATTTTTTTTGATGGCACTATACGGAGTTAATTTTCTTTTGTGGATCTGCAAGTCTGGGGAAATCAGGGGCATTGCCTTTTTTCTTCTTTTTTTTCTTGGGGTAATTAGCCGTCGATTCCTCGCAATCCCGCCATGGTGAATTTATCCGGGGAGAGGGTGATGGCGAAAAATTTATATTCTTCCGGGCTCGGACCCTTTTTACAAATTGGCGATACTTACTATTAGACTTGTTTTTTCTGGGGTATCGGGATCTATCGTATTCGTTTCCGAAATATTATGTAGGGAGGCAAAATAATCCGTGACTGGGTACATACATACCTCGAATACCAAAATTTATAAATCAACTGCAAACCGGCAACACGGCATAAGGCATATAGATCTTTTCGTTCTACTATTATCTTGGATATTCTCTCGGCATCTAGGGTTCATTCTATCCTACCAATTCGTGCATAAAAAACCAACCAATTGAGGAGTTATGTATATATCGGTCCCTTTGGCTCAATTCTTCTTTTTTTTTCCTCTGCAGAAACCACGGACAACCTAGGCTGTATTTCTGGCATGGACTTTATTTTGGAAACCATACTAAGACCCTCAATACGAGACTACTAAGACCCTATGGCAACCGTATATAGCTTAGTCAGGATACCCTCATAAGAACATAAACATCATGGTGCATCTCAACAGCCCAGAAACCCTAGCAAATCGATGCTCACCTTATATTTTCAAAGAAAATACTTTAATAGTTCCAAAAGATCTAGCCCCCATAGAACCATAGACCTACCATATACCTAGTTTATACAAGTCCCAGAATTAGAAGAGGGAAAAGAAAACTAAGAACCTCATTATAGCAATTCGAATAAACTCACTCGTCAATACCATACCATCCACTGTTACACAAAACACAGATGTGTTGATTTTGTTGGAAATGTCCCCCCCTCTCCGAGCTTCTGTTTCTGGATTCGATACCCCATTAAGCAACTTATATAAGCTTGAGCTTAATTATAAGCTTATTCTGATATCACAGATATTCATGGAAACTACTATTACTGATATACTATGCAGTTCAAGATTACTGCTGCTACTACTTTTAAGTACATAATAAGTACCAATCAATACTATTTATGTATAAGCTAGTTAACAGCTATAATGTTCAAATAGAATATTCTATGTCAGTTAATGCAATCGATCGCGGCCTTTAATCCTTTAAATGAATGAGGAATATTAGCCATCAACTAATATTATCCACTCTTAGCAAAATACTCGATTCGTGTCTATATCTAATATACGAGGAAAAAAACCTCAACTATCATAATTATGGATAAGATCTTCGTAGTTTAACTCATCAATCTAGAAAGCCATCATATAAGAAAATCACTAGGGGGTATTCATACACTTTTTTAAAAAGGTGTACAAAAGGTGTAATTATGGTTAAATATCAAAAGTGTTCAAAAAGTGTATAATTTGAATTATGAAATTTTTTTTTTTTTTTTTTCGACAGCGGCTGACCCGCGCGAGTCTATTATATTAGTACGATATCAATACAACAGTCTTATAAATAGTGAAATATACATACATAAGATAACTTTTGTCAAATCGATCAAATCTGAAACTATTAATTTTGTATTGTTGATATTGAAATCAGTATAGTTGTTTTGATAACAGTTACACAAATCGACGTTGATTGACTGTGTATCAATCTCAATTTATATATTTTATAATTTCGTCTGAAAAGTGTATTCGCTTTTTATTAAATCTGAAAAAGTGTAGAAAAGGGTATTCACACCTTTTGAGTGCATTTACACTTTTTTTAAGTGTAATCCACACTTTACGTACCCCCCAGTGAAAATCTGTACAATAAAAAATAACGTTAAATCATGTCGAAGAAGATAACTTCTCACTATCCTTCTTGCTATCCCAAGATAGTCTCGTACCCAGACATCCCAGGACGTAAATTATTTTTCAGAATTCAATATGCAGCGGTACGCATCAAAATTTTAACTATGAATTCCTGTATACGAAGTGCTTAATTTGGATACACACACTACAACCCTGGCATTAACACCCTTCACACGCCAAAATTCTCAGGGGGAAGGGGAGAGAAAGAAGAAGAAAGACTTTCAACAATAACAGCTTACTCAAGCGCCATACCTACCTCCCGGACATACCCAACCCTCTTGAACTCACCCTTCCAGGTCTGGGTACGAGACAAGAATTAATTCACCAGAGAACATGAAAATTCAGATTATATAATATATCAACCCCCCTCAACCCCTCACGTGCATGACAAAACCACCACGAGACAACCAACTCCTCTTTACACAATATCAATCAGAATATGACCAACCCCACCCTATAATACAAATCTCCTCACACATATAGACTAAAAAGACATAACCCTCCTAAAAGGAGGAGGCGTAGCAATTATATAGGTAAGTTAGTGGTTATTGTTGATAGTATTACTATAATACCGATTCAATGCAATGACTTTTAGCTTCAACATAACAAAGTGGCCGGTGTATAAATATATATCAATACCTTCGAACAACCAACGTTAACCTCAAACTCCTCAAAACCGCCCCAGGGAAAAGGTCATTATAGAATCATTCCATTTAATACAAGTATTCAGTAAGTAAGTTAGTTATAGGTATAGTATAGTCTCCACTAGTTAATCGGTAGTAGTAGTAGTAGTAGTAGTAGTTAAGTACTTAGGTAGTATAAAAAAAGTATATATATAAAATAAAAAACCACAACTAACAAAAAAGAAAGAAAAAAAAAGGTCGTTTCATCCCGCCAGAGTTTCACGCAAAAAAAACGACGACGTCCAAAAAGAGAAGAAAAAAAGAAGAAGAAAGGTGTGTGATATAATCATTGAAGAATGAGGTTTTTTCGAGAAGAAAAAAAAAAAATGGGGGCGTAAGAAAAAAAAACGACATTGGAAGTAAGAGGTATGAATGACTCCGTGTGGCAATAAGGAAACATCAAAGATAAAATAACAAGAAAAAACTAATAACCAGAGTGATACCATTCAGCGGGTGATTGTTTCTGCCAAAAAGAAAAAAGGGGGACAGGAATTTCTAGAGCATCGAAGAAAAAAAAGGGGGAGGAAGAAGACATGTAGTAATAGTAATAACATAAAATATCCTTTGTCGCATAGTAGTATGTAAGTGTAGTTGTAAATATAAAAAGTCCTGGCGAAAAAAAAGAAACACATGGTCACAAAAATACAAGCTGCAAAAAGAGAAAACGACAACCCGAGGACGAACGAAAGGGGGAAACCCCGAGAAGAAAAAGAGAGATGGTTCAAAGCCCCCAAAGAGAAAGAGAAAGTAGCACCACAGTAATAACCCTAAGTCGAGGTCCGTCGAAAAGGCCATAATCGTTTCCGAGGTTTCTCCGGCTCCGGCTCCGGCTTCACTTCTTTCTTTAGGTCTAAAAACAAAGCCGGTCGTTCCTTTTTTCTGGTCTTCACATCTTCAGAAGGCTGAGTTGTCGTGCTAGGTCCAGGCTTAGAACTGAATGAACGCCTGTCCGCAATGCTCATAGTCGTCTTGGGTATCCTAACAAGCTCTGAACTCGGGGGTGTTGAGACTGAGCGAGGCTCATACTTCACCATCTCCTTCCCCGTATTTTTCGCCGCCTCTCCCGTCGATTCCTCTACAGCATCCGTTGTCATACTTCCCATCATCCCTCTCGCCACTGCGTACGCCTCATCCGGATCCTCCACTATCAGATATAATGGAATTTTGTTTCCCACTGCCTTCCGTATCCTCGGTTCCCTTTCCATCAGCATCTCACGAACCGCCATAATCGCCACCTCTTCCTCATCCCTCTCCACAACACCTGTACTTGCATTTTCAAAGCCATTTCGGAGTGCCTAACCCTTACTCTTAAACGCAAGCAATGCCGACAAACTATGCAACGGACATCCCTTCTGTAAGAAATCGTGTTGTAGCAATTCTTCTGCCGTCGCTCGACTCTTAACGTCAACACACAGACAGAATGCCAAGAAGGATTTGAGTTCCTTGGAAAGCTTATCCGGTTTCTTCAATGCTGGTGTACCGTTCGTAGCGATCAAGTATAACGCCTTCAATGGTTCCTCGTTTAGATATGGCGGTTCGCTTTCAATCATTTCGATTGCCATGATACCTAGCGACCAAATGTCGACTTTGGGTCCGTATTCCTTTTGTTTTACGACTTCCGGTGCCATCCAGTATGGTGTACCGACCATTGTCGCGCGCTTGGCCTTCTGATCTGTCAGCTTGGCGCAGAAACCAAAGTCGGCTGTACTTTTATGTTAGCATCTGCACTTTAAATCGCCTTATATTGAGCGGAACATACTAATTTTGACATGGCCTGCAGCGTCAAGGAGGACGTTGTCGGACTTGATATCACGATGAATAATCTTCTGAGAGTGCAAATGTTGTAACCCTTTGCATGTCTGTACCACAATATGTTAGCAGAATACTTTAAAAAAGCAACTACCGTGAGAATAAGAAAGGCAAGAGAACCTACCTCAAAGCAGATGGTCGAAATATGATCCTCCTCCAAAGGATTATTATCAATAACGTCCGTCAAAGCACCTCCCTCCATATACTCCATAATAACCCAAAGCTCACTTGTCCCCTTCAAAAACGCATCCAAAAAGTTCACAATATTCGGATGTTGACTCTCCTTCATCACCAAGATTTCATTAACAATCAGCTCCTTCCTGGGCTGGTGTGCCAAATCCATCTGCTTGATAGCAACACGTTTCCCATTAGGTTGGTCGTGCGCATATTGTCGAGCAGCTTCGGATGCGGCATTGGTATTAATCTTCGCAACGTAAACGGATCCAGAGGCACCTTGGCCGACCTTTTTGATCTTAGTATAGGACTGGTTCGGGTCACCGGGCGATACGACGGAGCGTAATTTATCCATAACCTGCTGCTCACTCATCTGGGATATGCGAGTCTTGGGTTGCTCCTTCTTAGCCGAGATAGCACCGAGAGTGGCGGCATCCGGTTCTTTCTTGGACTTGACATTGAGAGGAGTGATTCCATTACCAGCCGGTTGAGCTGTACCCTGTGTTCTTTGGTGTTGTTGGGCTGGGGACGCCGGTGCCCGTGGTTGAGCAGGGGGAGATTGGCCAGGAGCACGAGTACCATTTGTACCATTTGGAGCAGGGGGGGCGGCTCGTAGAGCGGTAGGTTGCTGGCGCAAGTTGGCGGGGGGCCGAGCTGACGAACCTCCCGGTGCAGACGGTGCAACTCTCTTGGGTGTGTAGCCTGGAGAAGAACTACCGCCGCCGCCGCCTTGTAGCAGAAGCTCTTGCTGCTCGGCCTTCTTCCTAGCCTCACGTTCCCTTGCCGCCTTTTCTGCTCGCTGGCGTTCTTTCTCGCGTTCTTCCTGCTCACGTCGGCGTTCCTGTTCCTCGATTTCCTGCTCCTGCTGTGCCATCTCCCGGCGTTCGCGTTCACGCTCACGTTCTTGCCTATCGCGTCTTTCTCTTTCCTCTTTCTCTCTCCGTACCTTCTCCTCCATCTGTCTCTTGTACTCCCTCTCTCGCTCTTCGTACCTCCTATTCTCCTCTTCCTCGCGCCGTAACCGTTCATCCTGAAAAGCCTGGTTATTCCCGTATCCGCTGAGAGAAGGAGTAGACGACCCAGGTAAACTAGAACTACTATTATTTGGCTCAGCTCCATAATTCATACCCAGATCCTTCTCATTGACTCCATTCCCTGGCATCATGCCATAAACCTGATTGGCATCTTCCTTCTGTCTGTCAGTATAAAATCCCAAAACCTCTATGACAGCCTCCGGGTTCTTCTGATAGTCCTCCTTTGTGATTGCTGAAGCGTTCAACAATTTCTCCCACTCCGGCGGTAGACCTGTAAACCCGCCAGAAATGGGATCAAATCCAACATGCACTTTATGCGCAAAGTTTGTGGGATTGGAAACCCCGCCCATGGACGGACACCGCGAGTAGATATCATCGATCCATCCGTATAGGTCTGTATCGTTCTTAACGGCGATAAACATGGTCTTCCGCGGCGCATCTGGGTTTGTAGATGATGTTTGGTTCGAGCTTGCAAAGCGTATCATTTCAAAACTAAACGGCTTGATCTCTACACGGTTTACCGAGGTGATATCCTTCAGTGGGATCGATAGCGCCGCGTTGGATCCCTTGATATCGTTCTTGTGGAAATCTAATGCGGTTTCTCGGAGTACTAAGTACCGCTTTTGCCACATGGTTAGGAACCCGTCATCTTTGACCGATGCCCAGCCTTCCCGCTGAATACCACCGACGGTAGCGGTAGTACTCCGCTGGATCGACAAAGTATTCATCTGGTGGTGAATCGGTGTGGCGGGAAAATTCGGCCGGGACGACGGGGGTTTGGGTGCCGGTCCCGGGTTCATAAAGGAATTTGGAGAATAGTAATAATTCCCCGACGTCGCCATGGTGAAAGAAGATGTCGAGGAAACAGTAAAGGTCGTGGTCGTGAAGTTCGTGTTGTTGAGAAAGGAGACAGCGAGTAAACCACGCACACCCCTACGGAGGTGGTATATCTACCAGGGGGGTATGGAAGGCTGAACGGCAAGTAACAAACGTAAAAGAGAAAAAGGAAGGGTACAGCGAAACCTCGTAAAATATGTAAGAGCGAGCGCGGAAAAAGCACCCCCTATTAGAGAATATTCTAGTACCGTTGAAACGGCGCCCCTGAATCCGTTTGCCTTAGACGCCGTTTATGTATGTATAGCTGGTTTTATCTTTTTAAGAAATCACAACTGATCAAGAGCGAAGCAGTTGTGACGAGGACCTCGTTAGCCGTGACATTTCTCAGAAAAAAAGGAGGTTCGATAGGAATTGTGAGTTGCAAACAAGAAACGCAATCCCCCAGCTAAGAAGTAGCGGGGTAGCTGGGCTGGATGGTTTCCAATCTCGGGTAATCTGCAAAAAAAACCAAGAGCGAGCACCCAGAAAACCCTCAAAAAGGTCATCCGCCCAAAGGAATAATAGCAAGAAAGAGAAAAAGGGCGTGAAGTTTTTTGGGGAAGGCGGCCTTACTGTACGTATCAGGTATTTCGTCCAGCTTCCCTTCGTATAAAATAAAAAATAAAAAAGACAAGACCCCTTGACTGATCGAAACCGTTTCGTTCCAAACAAAACAGCTCCCGGGCGTTCTTATCCGTGAAGCAAAGAGGGAGGGGTGCGACGAGATAGCTTTAAAGTCTCAAAAAAAGGAACAATAGCGATGACTGAACCTCCCAAGCCAAAAGCTCTCCGTTAAAGACGGTTTTCTGCCCCTTTTGCAGGAGAAGAAACCCAGCCGGAAAAAAAAAAGAAAAAGAAAAAGGGAAGAAGCGTGTGTAAGAAGCGTGGGAAATCCGTGGACGTTCCGTATTTCTATTCTAGAATAGCAAAGAGCTGCAGCTAAAGCAAAACACCCCGTTTCGATCAGCAATTGCACTTTATCGAAAGGTAAAAAGGTAAAACGAAGGCAGAGACAAGAAAGGAAGAGTTGATGGAATTAAAAATCCACCCCCAGTCCCTTTTTGGTCACAAGCGATTGCCGAAGGAAGTTCGAAGACAATGTAGAAGGTTTGCCAGATGCCCTTTCCCTCTCCTTTTCTTCCCAGTCAAACCAGAGAACGTCGAATGGACAAGCTTGGGGCCCTTTTTCTTTTCTCTTCCAATCACAGCGAGGATTCGGGAATGCAGGTAAGGTAAGGCAAGGCAAGGCAAGGCAAGCAACAAGCAGCAAGCAAGTGAACGGGGGAACGCGAACAAGGGTTTTCTCTCTCTCTTCGGTTTGATTCTCGAAGCAGCGAAATGCATAAATACCCTCTTCTACGGAACCTTTCAGCCCTTTGAGGTTATTTTTTTTTGTTCTTCCTTTGCAAGGGAAAAAAAGCGAGGGTTGCTTTCGGGAAGATATCCGTGAGAAACGGGCAAGCTCTATCGAAAAGGCTTTGTTGGTTGGCTGGTGAAAAGGCAGGTTGATGCCCTGCAGTATTAAGTAAAGTGAAAGTCAAATCAAGGTGATATGAACAGATAAGGGTACCTCAAGACGAGAGGGAAGAAGCAAGCAGCAGAAGTAGAAATGTCTGAAGTAGATGAGATGAAGCAACCTTATTACGGGGCAGCTATGGAACTAAAAAAAAAAAAAGATCAAGGCAGAAGAACCGACGCATTGAATGCTATTGTCGATGGGAATGATAATGTAATGTTGGTAGGTACAAGGGAGGTACAATACAAGTTACTTACCATGTAAGAAGTACACAAGCTATTATGCTTCAGCACGAACACCGTCAAAATACAGTAGCTGGCTTAGTAGGTCCGTTCCCTTCTCGTAAAGGTTCCCCGTCACCAGCAGCTCCGAACAGCCATCTGAACTGTAGGTTTTCGTCAATGGTAAAAAGGAACTCCAAGGTTGTAGTCTCGGGCGGGAGAACAGAAAGGCCGAGAGATGAAGAGAAAGAAAGAGAGAGAGGAGCTGCAGCTGAAGGGTAAAGGAAGAAGAAACCGGAGAAGATGTTGGAGGTAAGAGGTAAGTACCAAGAGCAAAAGAAGAAGAAGACCAAGACCAGGTAATACGGTATGGGATGGTATGGGATGGTCTGGTATGGTATGGTATGGGATGGGAAGTGGAGGCCAGGAAAGCGGCTAGCTTTAGCTGATGGAGGTTGGTTCGGTCTGGTTTGGATTGGTCGATGTTGGTTTGGATGGGAACGAACAGCTGGTGGGCGGTTGGGTTGTCCATGTGTTGGACCGGGTTGCAACCTCTGGACACCTCTGGACACCTCCACGGACTCGACTTCGACTGCAACTTCAACCAAACATGAAACCAATTTCAGTTATTTAATCAAATACTTGTTACTATACTTCTTATTCTAGCTTAATGAGATTTAAAAGGGATATCTTATGACGGAATAATGACAAGTCCCTTAATGAAAGAAAGGAGGAAGGAGAGGAGGAAGAGGAAGAAGAAAAACAGATTATATCATAGCATACCACATAATACCATATCATATTATATCAGATCATAACATATCCGCATATCCACAGCCATCTCACATACAACTGACAGTCAAGTTAAATAACTTCATGCAACAACCCTGACCCTACTTCCCCAAGATCTATCCATCCATCCATCCATCAATCAATCAATCCATCTATCTGCTGTACATATTTATGTCAGTACAAGCATATATAATCACCTCGTATTGAATAAGTAAGTACTTACAGTACTTGATTAAGGGGTCTCTCCTACCTCTACAGTCCTGACAAATACTTACTTACTGACTGACTGACTGATTGACATACATAGTAATATTAACATCCACATTACATCAAAGGTCCCAAATCACCTCCAAGAAATGATGATGAACTTAAATTTAAGTCAACTCGTCGACGGGCGGTCCGTACGTTTCGAATTCGCAATGAATATCAATAAAAGAGACAAACCTAGCCGCAAAGACCCTTGGACTTACTCCATACGGACAGAAAAAGTATCCAGTGGGCGTTCGTCGCTACAGGAGCATCAACAGCCAGCCCAGCCATCCAGCGAGCTAGCTGGTTAGCTAGTTAGCCCCCAAGCTATCATAATGGGTACTGGCCTAAGGCATTAACTAGTCTGACGGGTACGTTAAACTAGCTGACAAAGACACCTTGTGATAACAGATTATTAAGCCATTCAAAAATCAAGAAGGAGAAAGAAAAAAAGGGATATGTTTTCTTTGTCTTATACTACGAGTACCCACAAGCTACTGGGTAAATGTAAGAGCTAAGCTAAGAGGTAAGTAAGGAATCGTCTAACACATGGCAAGCAAGCAAGTCAATGCATCAAATTGTGGAGATCCATACAATCAACCTTTCGCCGGACCCACCGAACACCTGTTTCGTTCCTTTATCCCCGGTTTTCCCATTCTTCTTTCTCTTCTCCTGCCCCCCTTGTCTAAAAGGTCAAAAAGAAGAAAGATATTTTTTTTTTAAAAAAAAAGATAAAAAGGAAGAAAGAAGAAAGAATAACAGCCTAATCAGATCAAAAATAAAATAAAATCAGAAAGAAAGAGAAGCTCAAACATTTCTTGCCGCATTCTTTACATTCTTTTAGCTGCTCCCCCCAAGGTAAGCTTTTCTCCACATCAAACAGGAAATGGAATGGGGGAGAAGAGATTCTTAGATGTCGGCTACTTCCATAGCTTGGCTACTTAGCTAGCTAGCTACTCCAGCATAAATGACGACCGTCTTTCACAAGCCATCCATACATGTTCCCATAAAATACGTTTCGCAGGTGGCTAGTATGTAGGTAAGTTACATTGCTCAATATGCATACGATAGTAAGTAAATACAGAAAAAGAACCACAAATCCCCGGAAAACATCAATTATGCATGTCAAGAGGATTACTTGATTAAGCAATACTTAGCTATGTTGTTCACGCCCACGTTTCTTCCACTTCCATTACGAAAACTAGTATACTAAGGAGGTCTTCGGGATTGATATTAATACAAACTGCAATAATTCAGCTATTAACGCATGTCGACGTCCTGAAAAACTTATTAACATTATATATAATATTTCAATTTTTTTCCCTTGCCCGGAGCTTATTTCAAGACTTAAGTTACATAGATTAATAGGAAATAAATAAAATAAAATGAAATAAATAAAATAAAATAAAAAAAACGAAAATAAAAATGAAAAAAAACCAAGAAAGAAAGAGAAGAAAAAAAAAGTCCCTATTCTCCTCCCTACATGCATAACAAACAAGGAAAATAAAAATAATAATCTCACCTAGATAAGGAATGCCGAACCATATATCGCGGTTTCGGAAGGGGAAGAGGGGTAAAAAACCAGAACAGTCAGGAAAAGCAAAGAAATAGCAAGAAGGAAAAGGCACCGTTTCGCAATGGAGGTGACGTTTTTGTTGCAGCAAGTACAAGTCGAAAGCAAAACACCGCTAAGAGAGCTCGAGGGCCAGTACGGATAACTGAGAGGGGGAGACATGCCAAAAAGCAATCGATGAAACGAAACAAACGTGGAATTACAAGCAGTAACGAATAAAAATTAAACCCGAGTTCTCCACCACGATGCATGCAACGAAAGGCCAAACACAAAAAGAGAAGAAGGGTGGGGAACGAAAGATGGCCGGCTATGTGATTAGAAAGGAGTTATTCGTTCAGGTCCCTGAAGTGGGTAGAAGGGGTGGTATGAAAGAAGGGCGGGGTGGATGAAAGGTATGCCGGAAGCAAAAATAAAATAAAGTAAAGTCAAGTCAAGTCAAGTCAACTAAGCAATAGACTCCACGGATGCAGGAGGTAAACGGCGTGGTATGAAAGATGGCAGGCTATAGTTGTCGCTTATTCGTAATGAAAGCCGTTGGCATTCATGTGCCCAATCAATCGTTCCATGTATGAGATGTAGTCGTATCCCTCTAGTTCCTGGTCTTCCTCTTGAAGGGGGCCCTTGTGGATGGGCATCTCCTTGATCAATTGGTCGACCATGTGATCGGGAATCAAGGAGTGTCGTAGATCAACCTCAGTAACATATTGCTGTAGGTATCAAAAGATTCGTTAGTTTCAATATCGAGGGGCAGTGAGATATGGAAGGGAGGGGTTTGTATAAGAGAAGATAACGTACCTTTCCATCGGCAACTTCCTTAAAGCTCTGGAACACCTGCTCTGCACTCTGTTGATCCTCCGTAACACTAACCATGAATCGAATAAACTGCTCAAAGCTCACACTACGGCTTCCTGTGCTCACTTCTAAGAATGTATCGTGCATCGTATCCTCATCGTAGACTAATCCCAAACTAGCGAGAGCAGCCGAGAACTCGATTTCCTGTAAACTGTTGCTGCCGTCCCGATCGAAATGACGAAACACGCTCTCGAACTCCTCGAGCTGTATTGGCGTCAAGTTTGTCATATTTCGGGCGACAATTTGGTTTTCAAGGAAGGCAAGCTTCTTGGAAGTGGAAGAGGTTGCGAGACCGTATTCGTATTCAAGTTCGTCGTAGGAGTATACAGTGTAGTCGTTTTCTTCAATGTGAGCTTGCTCGCACTGTTTGGCGATGGATTTCAAAACATCAAGCTCCTTACGGATCTTACGTAAGTTATCGTTAAGATTACGGACGCGGCGGAGTTGGTTCTACAATTCGTTAGAATATAGTTATATTCACAGATCAAGGAATGACCATACCTGAGGATCACCTTCCAGCTCACTCAGCTCTAATTGTGTGGTGTTTAGCACCAGGGCAAATTCGTTAGCCTTATTAGCGAAAGATCGGCGAAGGTTCTCCTTGATTCTAGAGGTTTGTTAGCATGCTGGAAGTCGCGTTTCTATGTGTGGTCCTTGCACTTACATCCGTATCTGCTCATTGATCTGTACGCTGCGCTGTTTCTCGCCCACGAGGAGAGTGTTCCACTCCTGGTCGAGGACACCGAGTGTCAGATGCGGTGGTGGGTTGTAGTCCTTCAATTTGTAGGTTGCCAGCTTGGTTTTGATATTGCCCAGCAATGAGACCAACTCGGCTTTCTCACTGACCCAAGCCCTCTTCGAAGACCTCTTGAAGCTGTTCAGTTGGGCAAGAGCCTCCTTTGCATCGGCATATGTTCCCTTAAACTTAGACGATTCCCAGATGTCTTGCATGTTTCGAATTTCGGCAAGGATCTTCTCCATGCGCTGTTCGAAGGCGTGCTGCATATCCCAGGCGCCTTGCATATGAGCAACGAATTTTTCAACGCGACGTCCGGCATTTTCGATTTTGTCGAGGTGGCTGAATGCGTGGAACCAATAGGCGATGTAAGTCATGATGGAACGTTCGTCAGGTCGGTTGATGTCGCAGATATCTTCGACGTCAATAAGAGCTGGGATACCAATTTCTTCAGTCGCAATCTTGAAGGCTAAGGCCATGTTGCCCTTATGATCGTCCTTGTCGAGAGTATCATAGTCGATAAGGTCAGGTCGGTGAATATCGAGTAAGGCACAACTGTTGGTATTGTTGGTAGGCAGTTAGAAGAATGTTGTGAAGTGATGTCATGTGAACCTTCAAAATTTGGAGAGAGAAGTCGCGAACGTACAAGGCCAAACCGTCATTCCAGCTGCTTGAGAAGTCGCGAATGTCGACTTCATCGTAGCAAGCAGTCTTTCTCTGGCACCATAACAGTAAACCCTCCTTTGCAGTTAAACCTTCTTGACTAAAAACACCAGCATCTCGTTATCAGTAACCAACCTTGTCATCACTTAGGCTCGGCATAGCATCATGCGACGGATTCGCTCTTACCTAATATCGCTGATGGTAAATTTCGTAATCAAAGTCCAAAGCAAACCCAAGATAAGTTTGAGGTTCCCGTCAACGATATCTTCTGCACCAATGTTGAATAACTGAATTCCTCTCAGCTTAATATAGTCTAGCGCTTTGAGAACGTTTTCGGCCTTCTGAACTCGCATAATCGGCTTTAAGGCATATCGTCCGAGAGATTCGTTCGCAAGGATTTCAAGAAGATGAATAAGGAGGACCTATTCGACCAAAAAAAATAAAGAACGAAAGAAACTCGTCAGAACATATCAGAAGAAGAGGGTCCTGAAACCCGGTACGAGGGTTCAAAAGAAGACTTACACCATCGGAAAGATCGGTTTTTAACGATTCAGCTGGTCTAAGCTCCCGTGTCACGAGCTTTGTGTTTAGCCTAGATATGAAGACAACAACGGATTAGAAGATTGGCTTCGGATCAACTCCCCGGGGAAAGAATTCCTAGAAATACCATTTCCTGAAGGTTTTCTCTTGGACCTAATGATGATGTCACGAATGGTTAGTCGCCGTCAGAACGCGGGAATCGATAAAGAAGAGCAAAAGGGTTGTAGCGAAGCAGTTCGGAACAGGATGAGTAAAGTCAAGCACGGACACAACGCGGGGAGGGGGATAAAACATACAGTGACCCAACCGGAGTCTAACAGCGACATATTGGGGGTATGTAAGGAGTATTACGAAGTCGGAATAGGTCGGATTTAGAGGATAAAAGAAGCGAAGATGTCGGTGATGTCGATGTCGATATTGGCGGGAGAGGGAAAGACCGAGATAAGAGTTTGGTAATGGGAAGTAGCGAGCGAGCGAGCGGTATGGTTATGGTTATGGTCTGGTCTGGTCTGCTGGTACAGGTAAGGTAAGGTCGGGTCAGGTATGTAGGAGGTGGAGAAGGAATGGAACAGGTTGAGCCGGTCAACAATCAACAATCAACAGTCAACATCAACATCAACAATCAATCAATCAATCAAGTCGGTCAATGAGAGGCAATGCAACAGGGGCACAGGAAATATATTAAATTACGACGACAGATAGAAAGAGGGACAGGCAGACAGACAGACAAAAGGTAAACAATTAATTAGCTTAATTCTCCGGGGGGTGGCAGGCTAACTCTATAATATACTACTTGACTAGCTTCCCATGCATTCGACATTCGACTGCCTCGAAGAAAAAAACAAATCAAGGCGAAAGAGTCTACAGCGATGGATGGCTTTGACTCCAGAAAGGGGGCGGCAGTGATATTACTTTTGATACTCTGCTATAACCACATACACAGACAGACACACTCAATACATACCAAGTAATATGTACAGAGCTTTTGGTCTGAGAGAAAAGGGAAATAGAACATGCGAGAAGGGAAGAAAGAGGAAAAAAACAGCTTTCCAGGAGAATGAAGCTAAGCTACTTGGTCTGGCTAGTTCTCAAGCGGTTAGATTGGCCTGTTCTTCAAATGAAATGGCGAATGAATGACCGGCATTGGCTGGGCTGGCAGGTGTCAAAGTTACCCCTGAAAGAACAAATTAATTCGAAACGGCTGGGACACCTGCTTGCGAACGGTTTCAATCGGATTGAAAAAACTCGAAACTTCGATTAATCGTCTTTCTGTGGATGGACGGTTAACCTGACTCGATATGAGTATGTGTATCTGCATACATGTGGCAGGGCTGAGTCTCTCGCCTCAAGGTGGCTTTGCTTAGCTTTGCTGGAAAGACTCCATGGCGCTACGGGACCATTGATATCGGCACCATATCATATCCATCAAGGTTAGTTAGTCCTCCGCAGGTGAAGTCTTTTCTTTCCAGAGACCGGTGTACATGTATTCGAATACCGTGTACAAGCAATTTAGTGATGGTAATTTAATTAATTTAATTTACCTAATTATAGTTCAACGGGTGAAGCCGGGCAACACATCTTGGAGATATCCGTCTGCACCCGAACTTACCGTTGAAGCTGATGATGCATAATGGATCATGATCATGGCTTGGAGCTCGATAGAGTAGAGGGAACTACAGAGAACCAGGTCGAGGCAGAGTCTAGAATATCTAGACTCCCAATAATTAACTTCTATGCTGAATAATATCTATAGTTTCTAACGAGCTCCGACTCTGCATATCCATAATTAATCCAGTTGAGTCTTTCCGGAAAATCTCCCATCCAATCCATTACATGGATCCATATGGATTCAATAGCTTGAATTCATATCATATTCGTCGCCGTCCTGAATTGCCCATGCTAGCACGAGTCATGATTGATATTGATAATACCCCCTTCAAACCTCTTCACCATCGCAGAGCCGCCCGTCTCAAACCCTTTGGGTCTCTAAAAGGGTATAGATCATGCATAGAATCCCCAGGAACATTGTCAATTGAAGCTTTTCCACCGGATTTCTGAACCTATTCCAGCCTAGTTCCACCGATTTTTAAATATCGCTTGTCAATCGCCTTTCCTTCCGGCTCCTTATCGCGACTTCAAACTTCCTTATCGATGGATCCACGGCTAGCATACTTAACAAACTTGCCGACCCTACGTTTCCCACGCGTGCGTCGTGAACGAACAGTGGGGGAGCAGGGTCTAAGCTTGTCTGGGCTACGGCTAGACCTAAACCCAACTCGGGGAGGAACAAGGGCGCACATAGACGAACTATAGCTACCTTTATGCTACATGCAATGCATACTAAGATATACCCGCCTTGAACTGTCGGTCGACTGTACTGGTAGAGTACCGGTGAAACGGACATCTCCTTCGAAAACCTAAAGGGCTTTTCTTGTACTTGTCCAACGGAAAATGCTACGAAAATGATACCGATCAGACGACTCATTCTGTGCATGCACCCGCGCCCGCGGAGTCGGACTTGCCTCCTTTGGTCTTCGTCTACCAATCGATGCAGGCCGATTACTTGATATCCGTCCGGAACTTTTGTTTAGCTGTGTTCAATCCCAAATGGCGGGGTTTTGCGATGTTATCTATGCGACTCGGTCCCTGGCCAGCGGGGTTATAAAGTGACCACATCCTGTCGTCTCTGTTCGACTTCTCATTCACAGTCCCCTCATCTGATCAATAAAACTGCCCGTATGATTATATTATCAATATACGGAATTTTTACAGAATCATAACATTCTTTTCCATAATTCTTTTATACTATTCACTTAGTATAATCTTACAAACATGTCTCTCCTCGCCCAAATCAAACAAAAAGTCGGTGCCGAAGGTGTACCAAAGCTTTCTGGTCACCACCCACTCGATCCTCTAACTTCCCAAGAAATTGCGAAGGTAGTATGGATTGTTCGTGGGGATAAAGGCCAATTGGGATATAATGCTGTTACCCTTCACGAGCCAAAGAAGACTGAATTGACAGCATGGCTACTCAATACAGCGGATACTCCAAAACCTGCTCGGCAGGCTGAAGTCATCGCCATTGCCAAAGACGGTGGTGTTTGGGACGGCATTGTCGACATAGATGCTGGAAAAATTATAAAATGGGAAAAGCTGGACGGTGTTCAGCCATTGGTAAGCTTCTTTGTATCTCGACATTATAATTATACTAAATTTAAGTGGCTGGGTGCTAATTACCTGCACTTGGGGATAGATAACAATGGAGGACCTCATCGAGACCGACAAGTTCGTTAGACATGATCCAAAAGTCATCGAACAATGCGGAATCCTCGGCATCCCCCCAAGTGATATGCACAAAGTCTATGCTGACCGTGAGTTAATTTCCCATGTCTCACCATATTGTCTGGGAACGAGACTAGTATGAAAGATACTAACTGATATTTTAAAGCATGGACAATCGGCTATGACGAACGCTTCGGAAACAAGCAGCGTCTTCAACAGGCCCTCATGTACTACCGCCCAAACCCAGACGACTGCCAATACGCCTTCCCACTTGACTTTTGTCCAATCGTTAACACCGAGACAAAAGAAGTAATCCACATTGACATTCCCGATGTCCGGCGTCCTCTAAACAAAATTCCAAGCAATTATAATCCCAAGGACATCGAAGCAGACGGCGGATTTCGCAAAGATATCAAGCCGTTGCATGTGGTACAACCCCAAGGCGTATCGTTTTCTCTCGAAGGAAGAGAGCTTTCATGGCAAAACTTCAAATTCCATATTGGATTTAATTATAAGGAGGGAATCGTGCTCAACAATATCACATATAATGATAAAGGAAATGAAAGGCCTATCTTTTGGAGGCTATCATTAGTGGAGATGGTGGTGCCGTATGGAAATCCTGATATGTGGCATTTCAGGAAACATGCTTTTGATCTGGGCGAATACGGCGGAGGCTACATGACCAATTCGTTAGCTTTGGGTATGTATCCGATCTGTCCTGCATGATATGGAGTACTATAACTAATAATCTGGTAGGCTGTGACTGTTTGGGTGAAATCCACTATCTTGACGCCAACTTTGTTAACAGGGCCGGTGATCCTGTCACGATCAAGAATGCGATATGTATTCACGAAGAAGACGCCGGTGTAAGCATCTCTCTCCCTTCCTAGAGCTCTTTGCGAGATAAAAAATCAAAATATTACCAGAAACTGACCGATGACAAATGAATAACTTCTAGATCCTATTCAAACATACGGACTTTAGAGATAACTCTGTAATCGTCACTAGAGGGCGTAAATTAATCGTCTCCCACATCTTCACCGCCGCAAACTACGAGTATTGCGTCTACTGGATCTTCCACCAAGACGGTACCATCCAACTTGAGATAAAACTCACTGGTATTCTGAATACCTACGCCATGGCGCCCGGTGAGGATACCAAAGGATGGGGCACTCAAGTCCACCCTGGCGGTACGTCATTTCTTCCTTTATAGATCTGTTATTCAGATATTTGTATAGCCCTCTGTATTTCAAAACATATAACTAACATAATTCCCCCTCTTTCCCACGCCGCAGTCAACGCCCACAACCATGAACATCTCTTTTGCCTACGCATAGATCCCCAAATTGATGGTCACAACAATACAATCTTCCAAGTCGATGCCGCTCTCGGTGACGGCGAGGTGGGCTCCGCCCAAAACCGTTATGGTAACGCCTTCTATGCCAACAAGACGAAATACTCCACAGTAGCAGAAGGCGTAGCAGATTACAACGGCGATACCTCTAGAACGTGGGATATCGCCAATACTAACAAATTACACCCTGTCAGTGGCAAGCCTGTCTCGTATAAGCTTGTGAGCAGGGAGGTACCGAAGCTTTTGATCAAGCCGGGCGGGTTAGTTCATAAACGAGCTGGGTTTGCGAGACATGCTGTTCATGTTACGAAATGTATGTGCCTCTATAACTATCTCTTTCTATCCTTTCCTCTCTACGCCTCCCCCTCGCTATCATCATCCATCCATCCATCTTTTTAGCTCTTACCGTAAATCTACATGACTAACAATTCCCTTAGACCAAGACGACCAAATCTTTCCCGCCGGGCGTCACGTCCCTCAATCCTCCGGCGACCCTTCACTCGGTCTTCCAGAATGGATAGAATCCACCGCCACAGAAAGCATAGATAACCAAGATATCGTCCTCTGGCATACATTCGGTCTCGTCCACTTCCCAGCACCAGAAGACTTTCCGGTTATGCCAGCCGAACCAATGAGTTTGCTACTCCGACCCCGTCATTTCTTTCTTAGAAATCCAGTGTTGGATGTACCGCCTAGCTCATCGATCGTTCCGACTGCCGTTGGGAGTGCTAATGGCGACGGGGTGGTGAAGGCGGCGGATGGGATGAGTAAGTTGGCGTTTGGGGAGGAGAGTATAAATGGAAGTGGATGTTGTAAGGCTTAGATTTCTGGGTCCTGGGAGGGCAATGGTTTGTTGGAGAAGGGGTTAGGGTAATACATGAATGATTGATTATTTGGGTTCAACATGTTAAATGATATCTGGGATCCTTTTTTTTTCTGGGAATGAAAAAAAAATAAAAATAAAATAAAGGGCAAAATGTTATACGTTGTATCAATGCAACTTGAACGGGACAGATAGGAATTTCGAATTGGAAACATGAATGTTGGGATATGTCTGTCTGTCAGAGTCTCGAATTGGAAAGCCTTGTTTTGTTATATACGCATTCTAACTAGCTTAAGTGTATTTTTATTTCCTTTCCTAAGAACACATATTGCCAAAAAAGGCACAGTTAAAACTTTTATAACCAGGTACCTGAAAATCTATTGGATAGCTACCTACTATAACTTTTTATCCAACAAGACCGATATGATTTAAATGCATGCATTGCATTGCGTAGTTTGAATCGATTCTAGCTAATCGTTCTCGACCCCCTCGACGTTCCTGGAGCTGGGAGAAATACAACATATCCAACACAACAGTTATCCTATAGAGATTCTTGAAACCATTTAGAAACGTGCTCTAATGGCAGTGCCGTTATAACATAAAAAGAATAGAAATACAGTTTGAAGAGAAAGACAACATGAGTATAGCCATGGGAGACTAGCAGAACCTTCTATTGATCTCGTATTTTAGACCTTATGAGAGGAGGGACTATAGGAACCCTCAAAAAAAAAAAGCCTCTGCCAAGGTACACGAAATGTAATAACTAACAAATTAAGGTCTTTGGCTGTTTTGATCCTGTAGTAGGGTATCACGGAGCGCGGTCACAGGCACCACCATTTTAGAGAGGATTGATAGCTTAGCCATCAAACGTGTGTCTTTGCTACTGCTTTGCATGAGGAACAAACTTGTTACAGAAAAGTAAGCGTTTGTGGCGAAGATATCTTCTGCTTTTCTGGAAGGAATTGGAAGAGATCTCTGGAGGACGGGTGGGTATAGTGGAATATATACTAGCGGCCCTGGCAGAAGCTGGGGAAAGAACCTGCTTTTCCTCATTTTCCCCTCTCCCTTCCTCCTTCCCTCCTCCCTCCCTTTTTCTTCAACCGCTTTTTCTTCCATCGATCTGTTTTCTTTTATTGTGTGATACATAGGACATACCTTTTTGCTACACGCTGTGGTTATAGTTTACAGCTTGGGTGTACCCTTCCCTTTTTTCTCTCTTCTTTCGTGAGACTCGAGCTCGATATCGGTGGTATAGGAGCCTCTGAAGCCCTGTATATGGTGGAGGTATGAGGTCTTCTTCTCTAGGCTTTGTAGTGCTGTGGGCACTGGCGGGGAGTACCTTCGCCTTAGTATGTATTCTTCAAACCCGATCTTAAACAATAATAACTAACGTCACACATCTGCAGAATGAAGTAGATACCCACGGCATAGGAAACAACCTCGTCGCCCGCGATATCGATATCGATACCGAAGGCATACCACCAGCCGCAGACCCAAGTTCCATAATAGATATAGGCGAAGAAGCAGGACTAGACGAAGAATGGGACGAAAACCTCTCCCTTCGCAGTCTAGCGCCCGAAATCTTCGAAGGACAAGAGACGCCACCAGTCAGCAAACTCAACCGCCGTGGCCTCCTGCCTGCATTATCCTTCAACGTGCACCCCAAAGTCGTCAACGACGATCCACGAGAACAACGTAAAAACCCCGCTCGTGAGCATTGGGAATACCTATGTAACTGGCGTTCCCCGCGCGAGGATTTTAATATGAGGTTCGCGTATGGGTTATTTACGGACCACCTTGAGACTTATTCCAACGCTGCGGATTGGTGCTCCGGTCCTAATAACTTCTGCACCAAAGTCTGGTGTCATTCTCGTTATTTCGTCGAGGTTTGTAACTATGGTGAGACACCATGGCAGGTACTTTGCAGTAATATCATTACTTTGGCACGGGATATTATAATCGCCAAGGCAAACCAAGATCCTGCGATTTGGGAATACGGGTTCCCGGAAGTAGTACGCTCAAAGCAGCAGGAAACAAACGACAGAAAGAAGATCTGTATCAACCATAGTTCTGTCTACCAACCCGAAGCTCTAGGTATTAGTTTCTTTAACACAATGCCCCGTTGGTTCGTCCGTGTATCTTACGGTTACTCCGAATCACGGGTTAAATGTGAAAGAGAAGGTATCCAGCCCGATATTAAAAGGTCTGCTGCCTCTCAAGAGCAGTATATGAAGCATTGGTATGATAAGCTTCAAATCTCTGAAATAGATGGAACCGACGATGACAAGAAGGGTGGAGCTAAGCCTTCGGGACCAACCCCCGATGACGATGAGGACGATAATACCAAGGGACGGGTTTTCCCACCCAAGGGATCCAAGAATGATACCGATAGCTTCGGCCTCCCTTTCTATAAAGATAAAACCGGAACATACCCTGCACTCCCAAACATAACCACACAAGAAAATGGTTATTTCGGCCCACCAATGAGTAACTACGACCCTAATGATTTCATAATCCCCGGTCTTGAAGATTACTACAAATCCCAGAATGCGCCAAAGAATAACGTCACATCCGCCAAATTCGGCAAGGAAGGCATGAAACCTGGCACAAATAAAGAACTAAGCCTTGGTGATGATGGTGATAAGAAAGACAAAGGCGGCAAAAACTCTGACTTGAAAATTGAGGCATCGAAGACCATCGAATCAGTCTGGTTCAAACCAGGTCATACTCCTGGGTTAGCCATCATTCCGAAACATAGGAATAAGGTCCAGAGTGTCCACTGGTCAATAGATACTACGGGTGCTTGGTTAACTCGTACTCGCTCTAAGGGTGGTCCTACACCCTTACCTGCGAAGGGTGCAAAGGATGCAAAGGTTACTCTTCTTCCAAGTGTTGAAAAACTGGGGGGAGGCGTTGCAGATGTCGCTGCCGCTACTGTTACCAACGCTGCTAAGACTTCGGCTGTCGATAACGACAAAGCGGCTTCTACTACTACTGCTGCCCCAGCTACTATGGCTGCTCCAGCTACTACGGCTGCTCCAGCTACTACTGCTCCTGCAGCTACTGAGCCCGCTAGTAGTGCAGAAGTAAAGACTGATGTCAAAGGTGACGCCCCTGCTGCTTCTCCAACTGCCAAGCCCTCTCTGAGTGGTGAAGCCACCAGTGCGAAGGCTGAACCTAAACCTGGTAAAGATGAGCCTACCTCTGTGAAATCTGAGCCCACTGCGGCAGCAAAGGAAGAACCCGCCCCTCCAAAGTCCGAGTCCGCTCCTCCAAAAGCCGAACCTACTCCTGAGAAGGACGAGGCCAAACCTACCTCTGGAAAGGAAGAAGCTAAACCTACTTCTGCAAAAGACGAGGCTAAGCCTACTCCTGCAAAAGATGAAACAAAGCCTACTCCCGAGAAAGATGAAGTTAAGCCCGAGAAAGATGAACCTAAACCCACCACAGCCCCTACACAAAGCGCATAGTAGGCCGACAATCTTACTAAACGTGGTAAGTTAGAGTAGAGCTTGGTTGTGTGGTTTTATCCCGATAGAGCAGGTTTCTCTCGTGTCTGCCTTCTTATCATGTTGCTTTAATTCTGTGTGTACATGCAATGTTCTAGTCGTTTATTTTATTATGATTTTTTTCATGTTTTGATCTTTCGATTCTTGACATTTTTTTAGATAGGCTGCGACATGTAATCCGTGTTATAATTCGATATTTTTTCTTCTATAAGAGTTGGAAACGGAAATATAGTTATAAGCCAATATGGATCGGTTTCGATTATAATATTCTCTCGTATCCTCGCTATCATGTTTCCCCGTATCTTAAACCCCACTCTTTACTTTTTCTTTTTTTCTTGTTGATAAAAAATTGGAATTTTAAAATAATACATATGCAAATTGTAGCTAGAATTATCATTAACCCTGCTTCTTGATAGCACTTCCACCCCAAATTCGTCTTAAATACCCAAATGGCTATAAGTATCACTTCCAATCCACAATGCGTAAGAATATACACACCACCCATAAACTTCCCCCCCTACGAAAACTCCTCCCCGACAAACTCCTCACTCAATTTCCACAACCTTTCCCAATTCTCTTTCCCAGTAGCCCAAGCTGCCTCATCACCCACAATAGGTTTGATCTGACAATCCGTCAAAAACCCACCGTTTTGTGGTTCAATCGCTGGATCAAATGCAGCTACTACATGTGTTGCTGTGCCTTGGGCGAATGATCTCCATTGGAGGTTGACATTGACTATTTTATGTTTTAAATTAGTCTTTTGTGGACGGGGATAGAGGAAGGGAGGGTTATATATACATACATCTATTTGCGAAGTCGTCCATGTCCATTTTCTTGGCCATGGCGGTGTTGATTACTAGTAGTCATGTAAATGTATTAGTAGGGGTATCGTGAAGGGGGGGTTTGTGAAGAGCTTACACCCTGGATGTAGGGAATATGAATAGACTCCTCGACTGCCAAATTTCTCGGCTAGAGCCGTTGAGAATAATATATTAGACGTTTTGGACTGTGAGTATGCTTCCCACCCATCTCCGAACGGCGTATTCTATTACTACAGTCAGCCTCAGCCCTAGATTAAAGAAAGAAGAAAGAAGAAGAGAAAAAGAACTCACCAAAAAGTTGGGATCCTCCCAAACGACCCCTCCCCTCCTAAAACTATTACTAGTAACATTCACAACCCTTCCTCCACTCCTCATCGCCCCCTTCAACAACAAATTCGTAAACAAAAAATGTCCAAGATGATTCGTCGCAAAACTCATTTCAATTCCATCCTCACTCCTGCTAAGGCTATGAGCGTGGATTGCTGCATTGTTTACTAATACGTCAATCTTGTCGACTGAATTGTTTATCTCTGCGGCGGCTGACCGGACGGATTTTTGGGAACTTAGATCGACGACTAAGGGTTTGAGAGATAGTGATGGGAAGAGGGATGAGAGGTGGGATTGAGAGGCGGAGATTTTGGAGGGATTGCGGGCGGCGAGGATTAGAAGGGAAGGGGAATGGGAGGCTATCGCGCGGCAGAAGTCGAGACCGAGGCCGTCTGGGGAGATGCCGGTTACGAGGACTATGAAGATTAGTTTAGTATTTAGATTCTACAATATAGATACTTAGATACGCATCAGTAAGAAAGAGTTTAGGAGAAATGAAGTTATCTATTACTTGTTTTGCCGGTAATATGGGAACTTAACGTTTCAGCGACTTCATCGCTGGTGGTTGTGTGGTTCCACGATGTGTTGGACATTGTTGTATTTTTGTCAAGAATAACAGTCAGGTCCCGCTCAGAGCGCTGAGTTTGTATTATAATTCGGCGAGAGATTTCGATATGCTACGGTCCGGAAGAATGACTTTTGGATTGGACGTTGAGCAATGTAGTTTCTGTTGCTCTTATAACTTAACTTTTTTGACTCCTTATATTTTTTGTTGTATGTGCTGGGAGAGGTTCTCACCCGCATTTGAAGCTTTAATATGGCCAAGCTAGTCCTCTCGGAGTTATTTCGGATTTAACAATAGCCTGGCAGATGAAGTTTTCTTGAGCAGTTTCGATAAGCACTGATGAACGTATTAAGTTTCGAGTATAGTCAAGATCTACGAACATTATAATCACAAAGCAAATCATAGTATCCTAAGAATTATCTGAATTCACGACTCCCACGATTTGTAATCTGTTGAAGGTGAACGGCAGTTCGAGTTATTGGCGTCAGTCGGATTTAATCGGAGTTACGATTGTGAGATATTTTTAGTCTTCACGATTTTTTTGAAGATCATGATGACCTCTGCGACACTGCAACGACAATCATCCAAAAATGATGCGGACAGCCTTTTTATGCGAGAACTGGGTGCTGTCTACTCGTGAGTACCGATGCTGAGACTCTCATGATGTTATCATAATCGTATACGAAGTCAGCAGAAAATATTGTGCGTGAGTCATGGTGTTTCTGGTAGTATATCTACTGCATGTCATCAAGACCTCTCATAACAAAAGACAAGCATCGTGGCGCAGTGGAAGCGCGCCGGGCTCATAACCCGGAGGCCAACAGATCGAAACTGTTCGATGCTATCCTTCTCTTTTTCCTTTTTTTTGCGACTTTTTTTGGTTCTACTTTAGGAATCCACTGTGACGTTCTATTTTTTTTTTTGTTGCTGGGATTTCCAAATGATTGCCTTTCAGGTGTGTGCGGATGCGACAAAATTTTTTTTTCAACCTCCTGGACAGACTAGTCTCAAACAAGATGGACAAGGAATGCACCGACGGCGTCATTTAAGGACTGTAAAGGGTCGCTTCAAGATCCTGGAGATGAGGAGGATTAGATGGAGGACTTGTAGATGAAAGATGCGATTCCTTCGAGAGTAAATGCCCTTCCATCCGAACTTCTTCGTGTGCTGGATCCAGTTATGTTTTCTGAAACAGAACATCGCTGACGTTCCGCTGTCGGCGAGTTGCCTCAATCTTAAAAATGTGTTGTTGTGTCGTTACACACGGCCAGGGTTTCGAAACAGACCATTCCTAATCGGGATGTATACAAAATACCACAGCCGTAGCCACACCCGTTGTTCGCGGTTGGGCCTAAGGATTTGACCTAATCCGTCGTAGTGTTAGTCCCTGATATTAACTTGCAGTTATAGTCGCATTGTTCGGAATTCTGAGAAAGTGGAGTTCGAACTCGCATCGGGATCTGGGAGGTCCGGCATTTTTCCATTAATGAGATCCCCCAGACTAAATGAGATCAGCAGTTTTTGGACCCGAGGCGGGTTAATTGATCGGTAATGTGTCCCAAGACATGTCTTAACTTATAAGGCTGCTGGGCTGGCTGTTACAATGCGGCTGTTAGGATTGGTAAAAATGATATTGCGGCTATTGATTAGGAAGGGGGGCTGCAGGAAACAATGTCAGCTCTTCCACGTTTCTGGTAGAAATTTTGTTAACCTTACAAGAATATAATGGAGGGCTGGGACAACCTATCTTTTGCGGGATACTCGCTACGTACATGCAAATGCACATGTCCAGTCGTGGAGCTTGCTCCAAACCTTCTGCAGCGGACTAGCTTAAACGTGCAGAATGACTCTACCAACCTTCGAGAAACTTTTCTGGGCATCACAAATAATTGTGAGGCTGAGGGGCCTTTCTGCAAGCCATAGGCTACTGGAACACCCTGTAGTTACTAGGTAGTGTACTTTTGCCGCTACCGTGTTCTGCATTTGGTTGTGACGTGGAGTATACTAGTACTTCTCCCTGGCCCTGCCTTGTCTTGCCCTGAAAATAAGGAATAGTTATCTTGCCGATCCTAACAAGAAGCTTTAGCTTGGCCAGAAGCTTGTCCAGTTATATTCGTGAATAATGAGAGACATTTGTAGCAGGAATATATCGTATTCATGAGAAACCATATTAATACCGTATAAAAAGCGAAACTCGGACGGCGATCAGGCTGACAACAAGAAAGGCTCCGACAAAATCGGCGCCCAAAGTGTGCTTTTGTGATTTCCTCGTCTAATCTGATATGATTCTGGCATACACGGGTCTCCGGATTCCCCGCTCACGACTGTTGAGGCTGATTTGCTTGGACCCACGTTGTACAACGGGTTGGCAGATTTCGCGAATCACACACGGCAAAGGCTTGTCCCACCCGAGCTGTTTTTCTGCAGGGTGCTCGCTTCCCTGATGCCGGGTTATTCCGCGAATCTTTTGTTGTTTTTGTGATTGTCAGATCCTGCTATCAATCCTGCATCACATTGGCTGAACAATCAATTTATGCCGCTTTGGCATGCGTTGCCAAGGGTTTATATCCTAATTGTTCCCGCTTCTACCCTTTCTCAGCTAGTGTAGGGGCGTTCTGCAGGACGAAGAATTTGCGGGGATCTTATGGTCGAGGAATATCCGACTTTGGGTTTTGAGGATGGGTGCTGGAACACGTAACTAAGTTGTTCGGGCTGTGAAGAGAGTGTGTTATAGTTGTTACTAGTTACTATTACATTGGAAATTATGCACTATCATCTACCAATCACTACTCGCCTATAGGTAGCTTTCAGGATCTGATCTGGGTCTGAAAGGAATTGTTCATGCAAAGACGTGCAGCTGTGCAGCCGTTTCTGCGCTCAGTGGTTCTTGTTTCTTGAGTTTTCGAGTATAAAACGAAGAACGTATATCGCCTTAAACATACATATATAGGTTACGAGAATTAACTAATATCCTAGTCAGTGGTACACCGTATAGATATATTACAAAGTCTACTACTAGTCCATTAATATATTGCTTGTACCCATATACTCTTTTGTGGCCGCATCTTTGCTCACATAATCTCTCGAGGCCTCTAGCTCTTATTATAACTTTTAATCTAATAGTAATCCAGATACCTATTAATTACATAACCATGAAGTCCGTGGTCAAAATTTCTGGCGCAATTGTGCTGGCCGCCTCAGTGGTTTCGGCCCAGATTGACCAATTCCCAACCTGCGCTGTAGGTCCTAATTTTCATTTATTCAAAAATGTTTTGAAGAGTGATCACTGACGTTTTTGACCTGGTATCGATATAGTATGAGTGCCTTAGTCAACTGAACGTGATCGCCGGCTGTGGGAATACCGATTACCCATGTTTCTGCGCCTCAAATGCCTTCATCGAGGGATTCAACCCGTGTATCTCATTCGCCTGTCAACCATCGGACTACCAGGCCGTCAGTGATGCCGCAGAAGGGTTATGCTTAGGAGCCGGTGTCCCAGTAACTGTAACCGTCGAAGCCCCGGCCGCTACTCGAACTCCTCCTCGGGAATTGGCCAACTTCCCAGGCTGTGCTGTAAGTAATTCTAAATATGTTATATTGGAAAATCATCCCCATACCTAACCAACTCAAACCTTGACCACAGCGCGATTGTGTCAGCCAACTGAATGCTATTGCCGGCTGCCGAGAGACAGACTTCAGATGTTTCTGTGCATCAAATGCATTCCTTGCCGGTTTCAACCCTTGTATATCCCTACTCTGCGATCCACAGGATTTTGGCGCTACTAGCGACGCTGCTGAGGAGCTTTGTGCGAATAATGGCGTTACTGTTACCGTTACTGCTACGTTTACTCCTCCTCCACAGCCAACTTCTCCACCATCTTCTTCTGCTCCAGCGGAGACAACCGAGCCTTCTGAGACCGAGCCTGCGGAAACTACAGGAGCGGAAGAAACCGAGCCTGCGGAAACCACTGGGCCTTCCGAGACCGAGCCGGCGGAAACTACAGGAGCGGAAGAAACTGAGCCTGCGGAAACCACTGGAGCCGAAGAGACATCGGAGCCAGCCGAGACCTCGGGTCCTGAGGAAACTAGCGCCCCCGCCGAGACTACAGCGCCCGAGGAAACTAGTCCTGCTGAGACAACTATGGCGACCGTACCTGCTACTACTGCTCCACCAACAACTGGAAACCGCACTACTACCGGCGCTGGGTCTACACCAACGACCAATGGTGGTGCTACTCACACTGCATTTGCTGGTGTTCTCGGGGCTGCTCTTTTCATTGGCGCCATCCTCTTGTAGGGGCCCTGACGACAATGTTTGTTTAGGTATATGTCCATGTAGTAGTCAAAGATTGTTATGTATGAAACATTGTGGAATTATCAGTTGGAATTTGTTTTTTTGGGTGCGCTAAACCGGTTGGCAAAAAAATGGGAAAGGGAAAGGGAAAGGGATTAATAAGAATTGGTTCGGATATACGTGTCCAAGTCTCTAGATTAATATAATGTTGATAGTTTATTTACATAATGCCTGGGTTATTTGACATGCGCCGTGTAATCCTTATAATGCGAAGATGTTAATATAGTACTCATAAATATCTAGTGTAAATCCGGCCGATAGATCCAGATAACCGTGCTAATGTAGATGGAGAATCCGAGGATACAATATCCGATATATAACAAAGCAATCTGCATGTAACCAATGTATTAGCTCTCACATCAATGTATTAATTTCTTTCCTCAGGAAGGGGGAAAAAACAATAGATTTTTCCATAATAGGGATCCCAATGCACCGTACAAACCTTAGAATCATCCCCCCAAGGCCCCTCCCAAAGCTTACTAATAATCGTAATAGACAGACCCAAGACATACGATATGATGCTATAGCTTAATAACTGAGTTGGCGTCTGTAGAATCCAAAGACTGATGTATCGTCCGAGTTTGGTGTCGCCGGCTATAGCAGATCGGTACGACCAATCTGGAGCGCGGAGTGGAATTGAAGATAGGTATATCCCCAAGTGGAAGCTAGTCGTCACTGAGAGCAAACTTAGCAGCAATGCACCGTACCAAAAGCCGAGGACGGACCAATGGGTGCTGTATGTTTGGTTCCATTGGATAGACGCCGTTATAGCGGCTCCCACTACTGTTGCCTACAAGTTGGATGCGCTCATTAGAATTATGCTTGGGCATGCTAAATGCCACAATAGATTCGTAAATTCTGGGCTTTTGAGGACACTCACACAAATACCAGCCTCTGCTAATTCCTTCTTCTTTGCTTTGACCCAAGTATCTACTTTATATGGATCTTCGGTCGTATTTTCCCATATCCCATTCGCGAAGCTAACGTGTAAGCAGCGCCAAGGATGTGTCAAGACCCAAACACCTAGTTTTACCCATTTCGACACCATTTTTATTTCGAAAGTATACTTAAGTAGATACTGTTGGGCCCTTCCTTTGCTCCGACTGCCCTGTTTTTTCAGATGTATATGTACACTTTTGTCGCTCAGCCTCGTGCGCGCGCATGCGAAGCAACAAGTTTGGTTTAGGTGTTCAGGTGTGGTAATTTGAGAACAGTGCGTGGGGCTGAATCGACTCGATCGAATGATAAGATAAGACGACGATTCCGAATTTGCGAAGGTAACAATAAATACTGAGAATTTAAAACAATTATATATTTACAGAATATGAGCTGTGAAATTAGAATTTTAGACCCGAATTTGGGAGATCCCCGGGCCTAAGTAACCAGTCGCGAATTTATAGGTTAATGTTTGATCCCGCGATTTCAAAGCCCGAATTGGAGGCTTACGAGTTCTAAATGTGTTATGACGCAGACGGAGTGAGCCTTGCTGCAGGTTCGAATTTGTGTTTCTGTTTAGTTATAGCACGGACTTGAGCCTTAAGCCTTGCTTACCGCATCCTACTGCCATGATATAGCTCGAAATACAGGGTTTTATCTTCGAATTTTTATTTTGATGCCGAGATATATTTTTGTTGTGGATTTAGGCAAACTTTCTTGGGGTCTCAAGAAGTTGATCGGACCGAAGTATAATATAGAGCAAGGATTGATTCAACGGTCAATTTTGATCAATACAATTACTAATTGTGGAAAGAGTAGCTCTACGTTTTATGCGGTTGCGTCCTGCTGCACGAGAGCGTTAATCCTGGTAGCTTTGGCGACTAATATTAATATTTTTATACTACAGAAAAGCCTCAGGAGTGGCTTGACTTTAGTATCGATTTTCTATTGTTTTTTTGTGAAGTCTTGTTTGAGACGAAGTATACGGCAGATATAACGTAATATCCAATATAATATTAATTGGAAGTTACTCGTTCGCAAGATATATATATATTCATTGATTTAATGAAAATAAAGCTTTGAAGGCAATTAGTTCAAAATAAAGCTGAAAGAGCCAACAAAATGAAACCTCCAAACCTCCAAATCAACTATGTAGTAGTGTGATAGGTCAGCTACCTTAATCTACGCGGCCCAAAGTTGTAAGCGGAAAACTCATCACCCGGGTTATTTTCTGTATCATCATCTCGGGACTCCCAGAGTGAATTGCTGCCCCATTCCGGGCCGTTGTTTCCAACCTGAAGATTATTTTGTTCTTCCTCCTCCTCGACTTCCTCCTCCATTGTATTTCCTTTGTTGAGAGCATTGTTGCTACTAGATGGAGCGATCTCTTGGCTTGGGGCTACCCTTGAATAATCGTCGTTAAGAATCATATTCACTGCTGTTAGGACCCGGCTGCTTGGGCCACCGTCAAGCTGGGTATTCGGCGGGCCTCCTGTATTGGAATGTGGCAGATCATATGGCCGTGCGAAGCCCATACGAGCGTAGTCTTGGTAAAAAGGCGGCTCATTCATACCAGTGTTCACATTATTAGATGTGAAGTAGTCAACCCCTGGCCCAGGTCCTTGGCTGCCATACTCCCACCTCCTAGGGGGCCTTGGGTTCTGGTTCGCGTTTCCACCAGCATTGGGTTGAGGTTGTGCGTTATTCATATTTGTATTTCCTCCGGGGTTTTGCGGGTTTGGATTAATGTTTCCTCCCATATTCTGCGGGCGAGGGTTACTCTGGCCCATGTTTCCACTAGGGTTTTGCTGGGATTGTAGATTGTTTTGGTTAATGTTGCTACTAGGATTTAACTGCCGCTGGTTATTTTGTCCCAGATTTGCGTTAGTATTCAGTGGGCGGGGGTTATTCTGAACGACATTACTACCAGGCTGTGGTAGGAAGGGTGAACTATTCGGATTAAGATTTCTGCCAGCATTAGAAGGGTTTTGGTAGTTCTGGCCCATGTTTCCACCATTATTTGGCAGATAAGGGTTGTAATTGTATTGACGTGTATTACTACCAGGATTTGGCAAAAATGGCGAACTATTTCGATTCACACCTTCAGTAGGATTGAACGGAGGCCGGTTTCCCTGGCCCATGTTCCCGCCGAAGTTGGGTGGATTGTTTGAAGTATAGCTACCACCATAGTTCGGTGGACGAGGATTGTATTGACCTGTATTGCTACCGGAATTTGGCAAAAGTGGCGAGCCGTTTCGATTCACATCTCCAGTAGGATTGAACGGAGGCCGGTTACCCTGGCCCATGTTCTCGCCGAAGTTGGGTGGATTGTTCGAAGTATAGCTACCACCATAGTTCGGTGGACGAGAATTGTATTGACTTGTATTGCTACCAGGATTTGGCAAAAATGGCGAACTATTTCGATTCACACTTTCAGTAGGATTGAACGGAGGCCGGTTACCCTGGCCCATGTTCCCGCCGGAGTTGGGCGGATTGTTTGAAGTATAGCTGCCACCAGAGCTCAGTGAACGAGCGTTATTCTGGTTCATATTCCCAGCGATGTTTGATTGAGGGGGTGGAATATCTGAACTGTAGATGCCAGCATACAAATAGCCCGGTGGGCGAGGGTTATTCGAGCCTGCATTCCGCTGGGGCTCCGGACTATCTTCCTCTTCACTAGATTCATAGCGTGCACGTTCTTGAGCCAAAGTGCTTATAAATTCCACAACCGACTTTTCGTTGGCGACTTCTTCTTCTTTCAGTCGCTTTTCTCGCTCTTCTTGTCGCTTTTGCTTTTCAGCTTCGCGTCTTGATGCTTCTTTCTTCAGTCGCTCTCTCTCCCGTTCCAATTCTTGTTGCGATCGATGTGTTTGGTTTTGTTCGTTCGGCATTGTGTTTCTCGCTCGATTAGCAGTTGTGTCAAGCTGCCGGTATAGTCTATATCTTTCTTCTGGTGATAGCTGCTGCCATTTGGAGGTATCTTCTATAAGATTACGGACCATCTGGATGTCTTTTTGTTTCTTCTCGGACTGAAATTCATTGTATCTCTGGCGCCTCTCTTCGCCTGTAAGCTCTGTCCAATTAGGGTATTTTTCTAACAATGTGGAAAGCATTTCTTTAGTCTCGAGGCGTGATTTAATTTTCTTGTAGTCAGAAATTTGTGGTTCCGTGTATTGCTCAGATTCAGCCTGTGCAGCTCCTGCATTGTGTGGGTCGAGAGGCTCGGTCTCCATAGTCCCTGTGTTTTGTAGCGAAGAGGGGGGCTGTGTGGACCCGGGACCGCTGGGGCCTCGATTTTGGCTATCAAATGATCGATACGCTGCCTGTTGGAGTGCAAGCTCCTCTTCTAATTCGGGCCTTTTACTTGTGCCTGCTATGGTTCGCGGCTCCTCTTCTTCTTCAGCTCTCTGGTCCTCCGAGGGCCTATCTTCGTCCTCATCACCCTCGGCACCACCCCACATTAGAGTTAGATATTTGGTGGGGGGTCTCAGAAGTTGCCCGCGCCCTTCGTTCGTAGGTACTAATCCTAGGAACTCCTGCACTGTACGATCTGACTCCTCGTTTGCTGATATATTGGCTCCATCGTGGATTTGGATATATCGAGTCGTAACGTCCGGCGTCCATGCTGTGGGATCGGAATCGGGCTTGGAAGGATCAACTTTCTTCGATACAGTGCCGCTCAGATCCCATCGACGGTCACTAGGGTCAACTAGTGACCTGTCGTTATTCGGGCCAACATTTAATACTCGAACAGCATTCTTGAAAATGACGAATTCGTCTTCATATTCGGGTTTACCAGCTCTTTGACTCGGACTCTTGCGGACTGCAACAGCTCCCTCAGGGATTTGTCTATTACCATGAAACCAAATGTTTCCGAAAGGAATATCACCGTACCGAGCAAATGAAATATCTCCTTCATCAATGTCTTCAGAGAAATTCAATAGCTTGGGGAAGTATATAGCTTGTCTCGTGTATGGGACGTTGTAGAAATGTACTATGACGGTTGGTAAGCCCTGGCATTGTCCATTTTTCCAAAAGCCCATCCATCCAAGTCTGTCTCGCCACTTTTTTGGCGCAGCTTCCTTCTCTCTAAATCCGTCGTCTAGAGGTCCAAAGTTTGTAATTGAGAATCCTGATACAGGGAAACCATCTGCCGATGCAGCTGCTGAGCATCTTTTCACACCACCGTGTGCCTTCAGGTTGTACCACTCTCTGTTGAGCATATCATTCTCATCCTCTAAATTCCGTTCAAGTCGCATTGCCCAACCGTTAACGAACGTAGCTTGAATCAAGGCCAAAGCAGCGGCCAAACAGTGGATTGGTAAACGCATGCTTTTTTCGGTTAAAACTAGACACGAATTTGACACCAAAGTAGTCGATTTAATCAATTGAATGCTCTGAGTGTTAGTACATGCCGGTTCTAGACTACATGCTGGTCTATGTAACATCGAATTTCCTTAAAAATACTAGGGCGAGCCACGTTCCACATAAGGTTCCATGCATTCCCTCATGGTTCAAGAGCAAAATAACGTGCTCTCTATGGCGTATACTCTTAGGAGCCCTTTTGCGAAGGTATTGTAATCCCGAAGAGTTCTAACTTTCATTCAATTCAACTAAATACAATATCTGCGTTGTGTGGTATTGTACAATTGCCCCTCTGGGCGAGACCGAGCTGCTATTTTTGGTGGAACCCCTGACAACGTCTCAGCAACACCAACCCGGCCTCCAAACGTCGAAAGTCTGCCTTATACGAGTACGCTCCCGTCATTCCATTCCCGGCCCACCAGCATCCTCGGGCTTCCGACCTTTCTTCGTCACAATGAGTAGGAGTGTTAGCTGTTGCGCCCTCCTCTCCTCCTTCGAAGCCATCGCCTCCTTAAGTTGCAGCTCAATCCCAGGTTTTCTAGCAAGTCGGTTCGCTGGTTGAGCTTGACTCTCAGAAATAAGCCGTCCATTCGCTGCCGAATACCTTCTCAGGTTAGCCCGCATTCTCGGCTCCAACCTGCCGACTGGGGCGCATATCAAAAAAGCCATCTCCACCCTGCGGGAGCTTGCAGGTACACCAAGGACCATGGCATTCAAGATATCTTGCCCTCGGTTGACACCTCTTCAGTCGCGTGTCGCCGTCTCTTCATTTGCAACAGTGCTCATGATTACACTGCTTGTCTTGTGGACACTACCGCCGTCAGCATATTCACAATCGATACCTGATCTTGGCAGTGGCCATCGAGTACACCATCACCACCCCTCTTCCGAAACTTCAGCGAATGACCGATCACCAGTTCTTGAGGGATTCAGTACATTTTTCAATCCGCTCATACAATCGACTGAAGAGTCGCAATCATGGGCGGATACAATATCCCCTGAAGGCGCCGAACTTCACGATCTACTACCAGGGGTTTTACAGGAACGTCAAGGAGGACCTTTCTTAAATTCGCTTGTTAAAGACCAATATCGCAATTTCAATATCAAACCCGGCGAAGTACAACTATGGGGGTTGGATACTGAACAATTGTTTGCCGACGCTGGTCGGAGTGGTTCTTCCAATGTTTTCGTTGACATTGAGAGGAACAGCCGTATTAGAACTGTTTATTTTGGGTTTAATACGTGCTGGGGCCCTACCGCCCCGAACAATACAAGAGCTATCCCGCCGAATCTAACTTTATACGCATCCAACGCGACTGCTAATAAGTCTCCTGGCCCCTCTGCAAACCCTCGACAGCAGATCGTCATCCCAGTGATCGAAGGTTTCGCCAATGTCACTTTCAATGCCAGTTCAACGGTTTATCTTTCAGTTGTTGCTCCTAATATTACAGCCGAAATGGGAAACTTCACTGGCTTTTACAATTACGAAATTATTGCCTCAACAAAACGAGCTTACTATGGATGGTATAGGTTCCAAAACTTGTACCTTATCGACAGCGATTCGTCGAACGCTCTTTTGATCTCAGGAAATGAGACTGCATACGACAAAGCCACTAATGTGTCGGCTATCAGGCCGCCGTATACATTCTTCGCCCACCCAGCTAATGATACGGCTGTGAATGGTCTAAAGCGAAGTTGGTGCGGGCTCAAGGCTCGCGCGAGTCTTAGTGCGTCCAGCGGCGACATCTCAATGACAAGGCGTGGTTTGGGAAACAAAGTCAAGGAGCAGATATACCTGAAAGGGTTGAAGCCAAATACGACATATAACATATGGTTGGCAAAGCAGAATAATGAGACGGAAGGCGGCTTTATATATTCTGCGGTCAACCTTACAACGAAGTCGGGTAAGTCTCTTATCTCAGAGCCCTACGCCATGTATACTCCTTTTTCTAACAGCATGCGTACAGATGGTAATTGCCGAGTCATTTACGACCTTCAATTTTGCTCTGAGGTCGCCTATGCCGTCCCCACAAATGACACAATATTCCAGAATATGCCCCATCTGGCCAGGTTCTACGATACGTACGCATCATCCTGGTACGCCAATTTCTCGTACTCGCTACAGCAGGTCCAATGCAACACGACATCTGATCGGGAGTACTCCCACCTCAGAAGTTGCGACGATTGCGATAAAGCTTACAAAACATGGTTATGCGCAACTACGATCCCTCGTTGTGCGGATTACAGTAGTGATGCATCATTCCTTGCGGAACGAAGCCGTGGCGATGGAGAAGATAACGGTCCTACGAAGATCTTTTTAGATGATGGACGTATTGTGGATATCGAATTGGGGAACGTAACCAACGATGACGGGTCGACGCCTCCGGCGTTTAAAGCTGCGAGTAGAAATATTCTTATCGATGAGGTTGTTAGCCCTGGACCGTATAAGGAAATTAAACCGTGTATGGATTTGTGCTGGAGTCTGATACAGAGTTGTCCGGCGAGTTTGGGGTTTAGTTGTCCTAGTGGTAGTCGTGGGGAGAATAGTTATGGATGGAGGAGTGATGATGGGGATATCACGTGCAGTTACTTAGGTGCAGCATATTTTTTGAGCAAGGCTACGAGAGGTATGGGGCTTGTAGGAGGAGGAGGTGGAGGGTGGGCTTTGGTGGTTGGGTTGGTGGTGGTGGTTATGGGGCTTTTGTGAATAGTATAGTGTGTCTTGCGGGGAAGCGATGAAGTGAAGTTGCATTCGTTATATTTTTGATACCTTATGATCGGTTAGCGTTCATTACTCTTGTATGATAATTGTTATAGAATAGATTCGATCGGTGGTGCTCCTCTGTGAGTTTCTGCTAGGTTTCACGATCCTTCTTTCGAGTACTTGTAAACCTTATAGCGCTGGCGTTTGTGGGCAGTTTTACCTTTCAACCTATACTCGTATGTACCCAGAATAGTACAAATTTGACACATATGCACAAGGAGAAATGAGCACTAGTAGTTTGTCTCGTAAACCAGACCCGGGAACCCACTAGTAGTATTAATACGGAAATAATGAATGTAAATATTTCTATCTTCGCGCTATAATACATCTTAAAAGAGTCTTGACAAGAATTTAGAAAGAAAAGAAAATTAGTTTGAACCTTTAGCTAGCGCAGCAGCTTTTAAGGCTTGGAATGGGCTATCCGGAGTAGTAGCTTCGGTCATAATTGTCATTTCCTCACAGCCTCCGGAAGTCTAGATACGCCAATTTATTAGTATATCATTCTCTTGTTTAGTTTTTTGTAAGGGAGGTACTTTCGACACTTACGTTCGGGACATCTTTCCGTTCAAACATAGCTGTAGTACAGCAAGCCGGAACACCAAAGCAGACATCAAGGAATTTGAATTTTTTAACTATTTTTCATATAAGAACCATCTTGTTAGTCTACGATAAATTCTAATCAAAGAAGCTGCTACTATAAACAAGAGCTAGCAGCGCTATATAATGACTCACGTTCTGGCTCCGTTAGCGGGTAACAGGCATTTTCGATAATTTTCTCAAAGGCACCGTCTACACAGCACGATGCGGAAAGTCCGAAGTCGCAGCGGTTGTGGATGTCGCCGACGGTGAGGGTGTCTGGGATATCTGGGTTTTTACCCCAGGTACCAGGGGGGGCACTGCCGGCGCTGCAGGTGGCGATGAGGGTGAGGAATGTAATGATTGGGAAGTACATTTTCTCGTATTAGAATATTGTGAGATGGTTCTGTTAGAAGAATTTTCGTATCGATAATATATATATATAGGATTATTAATGAGAGTAGGGGTATATACTGTATTAGAGAGTAAGAGATAGTGATGGTGAAGCTGGAAATTTTTTGAGGTTTTGTTTAGCTTTATATATGTGACTACTTATTTACTGTACTTAATATTTCCCTCCTATCTTGGAGATTTGTATGCAGGGAATGATATCAAGGAATGAAGGCAACAAAGGGTGCGATCCAAAGATTAAAATGGGGAGGTGTATTATAAAATGAGTGTTTAGTGTCCCTTGCTTTAGATGTGTGTAGTAGCGAACATACCAGGGGAGCTTCAAAACCCGGATTCTGATACAATGATACTTCTGTTGGATAATCAGGGACAATTCTGTGCTCGGCGGTGTGCAGGCCATATTGATGTTAACCCCAATTAATTGTATAGAAAGTGGTAGACCTAGTTTTTGCACTTTGTCCTTGAAATAGAGCTAACGCTTTTTTCATGAACAATCAAAAAAGGCGTTTTAGTTCAAATGGAAGAACATACAGTGTATATATGAAGGAGGTCCTCAGTGATTTCAGAGAGGTGGCGACGGCCAGAAAGCCCCTGTGCTCTGAGGTGATTCCATTACACGTAAGATGGTGGTTCGAATCCATCACTCAGCCATCTATCTTTTTTTTTTTTTTCCCCCTCCGTGCATCATGATTTTTTTTTGATTATTCCTAGGAATTAATTTTGGTTTGTTATCTTTTTCTCTGATAGATAGTCGATTGCTAGTATGGTTAATAAGCTATAAACAGTTTGTCTTACATATAATCCTAGTAACTCTTCTACCTAGTAATAATTAGCTTGGCTTTGGATTTATATACATAGCTTAACGTTAATATTCAAGACCTTCCGCGGATTTAGTAGGCCTGAGAGCTACTGTGCTCGCTGAGCTATGTTGGTTGATTTATACTCAAATTAATTGAATGCTAGTAGTAAATTTATAAGGGTTTGAGAAGTTGATTCTATGAAGTGATGATATAGTTTGTTTCTCTCCCACAGAGTATAAAGGACTATACTCGCGTGACTACAATATTAATATCTATCTTCGTCGCTAATGCCCCGCAATTTCTTCTAAGAGGAACACAACTGATAGAGGGGTCGTAGTTCAATCCCAACCCCACACCACAAATTTACAAGTCGTGCGACATGTCTTAAGCCCTGACAGCTGTTGATACAAGGAATCTGGTTTCAGTGGCATGATCCTAGCATTCTACCGCGGCTCCCGGTTATCGACCCTTTTTCTTTGATTGTCTCGGATGGCGGGAAAGAGAGGTCTATGCTTTGAGTTATCTTTCGGATAATATAGTATTTACGTAGAGAGGAATTCTGCAGTGATCGCGTGGTGATATTATGTTATGTGATATAATCGATAATATAGTTCACGCACGTGTCGGCGGCGGGGTAGTATGGGGGAGGTGGCCTGATGCAAGGGTCATTTGAAAAAAAAAAAAAAAGGATTTGGATTATGGTGGGGAAATTGATAACTGCACCGCTTCAGTATTATTATAATGGGATTTTCGTGTATGAATGGCTGATACTTTTGTGTATGTGCACATGTATCAACCGGATATCGATCGGTTAATGGTCTTTTTTGATGAAGGAGAAATGGGGATTTGGAGAGCCTGAGCCGACGGGTAGACAAATGTCAAAGAATGAACGGTGGCAATTAAGTATGGATAAAAGGATGTTTCTCAGCCTCTTTCCTAACTATATTATCATTCCAAAAGAGTGACTTTCTAAGATATACTATTTATCGTCATGACAGAGTATAAGAAGATGTATATCTATAGATATTTGTATAGATACTTGTGTTGCAATGTTGGAGTTTATATCAGGATTAGTGCCTGTGTCATGCACCGTCGGAATTGATCCAAGGAAGTCCTCGATACCCGCGATAATACAATTATCGATCTCAAAGCTTCATCCGATGCTGGTAGATAGAAAAACCCCTCTCCAAAGCACATGGAAGTATCAGTGTTAGTATATCATAGGATACTACCGACAATAAAGCCCCCCTCCCCCCACATCCTCCATCCGTCCCTTCCATAACGATGATTCCTATGTACCAAGAAATCCTTCCAACCGAGGAAGTTCTAGTTGCAAACAAGCCTACCCCAAGAGAAAAATGAATCCAACCAATCCCGTTCCACCGAAACGGAATGAGAAAGACATGGGGTCGGACGCATTCCATCGGGCTAAAAATTCACATGCGAAATACCGTCATTCGGACCCACAACAGGTTCAAGTACTCCGTAAATCTGGAGTGTTTTCCCCGGGACCAGATTACTCCCCTGTCATTTGTCCCTCACTTTCCCCAAACCGAGAACCTCGTACCGCCGTTCCTTTGGGGTGGTATAAGTTTTTCGGCGCATGCGAAAGAAGAAGAAGGAGAAGGTTCCGAAACAGGTGGATTTTAGTAATATTAATAAAAATACAAGTCTCTGTCCTTTTATTCTCATTTTCATACTTGAATTCCATTTCTCTATTGTAGATATCGATATCGAGAGGGTAAGCTTAGGAAGTCGTTGTGTAACGTCATTCTTGTCTTGTCGCGCGACTTAACTTGAGTTTAAACCGAGGAAAGATCATCCAGCTCCAACGTAACACGCCCTCGCCAGCTTCTTCTGTCTTTACCCGTGTAACAGCTCTCATATACACTTCCCTCACTTATCACCAGCCTCAAACATGGCGGTCACCAAATCCACGTTAGTCCTCTATCCCCCATCTTCTTAGGTAGTCTCAAAGAATAGATTTATAGCTAACTCTTTTACTCAAAAAGACCCTCCGACTCAATCACAGTCCGCGACAACCGTACCGGTAAAACCATCGATATCCCCATAAACCACAACAGCATCCCCGCCACGGCCTTCAAATCGCTCGTAGCCCCTCAAGATTCCAGAAACCCATCTCATAGGGATGAAGACGACTTTGCCGCCGGTCTCAGAGTCTATGATCCCGCTTTTATGAATACCGCTGCGTTGAGCAGTAAGATCACATACATCGATGGCGAGAAAGGCACCTTGATGCATCGGGGGTATCCTATCGGTATATATACATTACCCCCCCAAATATTATACAACCATACACCCCGCCATTTCTAAGATACTAACTTTGTATATTATATCACCAGAACAACTCGCCGAAAAGTCTGATTTCTTAGAAGTAGCCTACCTCCTAATCTACGGCGAACTACCCAACAGACCACAATCCGAACGTTGGCAATGGGAAATCATGCACCACACTTTCCTTTCCGATGATCTATCCCGCATGATGCAAGCCCACCGTTACGACGCCCATCCCATGGCGATCTTCGCATCTACTTTTAGCGCCATGTCTGCTTTTTCACCGGAAGCCAATCCGGCGTTACAAGGTCAGAACCTTTATATAAATGATAAGGCGGCGATGAATAAACAGATTGTCAGGATTTTGGGGAAAGCTACGACGGTGGCGGCGAATGCTATGAGGATCAGGATTAATCGGCCGTTTGGTTAGTATTTCCACTATCACTGTCCTTTTTTTAAAAAATAAAAAAAAAGAATAATTGATTGATTGATTGGGTGAATAATTAGTGCTGCCAAGATCGGATTTGACTTATACAGAGAATATGTTGTTCATGATGGATCATATGAATGAACCTAGCTCTTACGTTCCAGACCCTAGATTGGCCAAAGCGCTCGATGTTCTCTTCGTTCTTCATGCCGATGTAAGCACCTCCTACCCTCCCTATAACTAAACAAAGACTAATGTAAATATAGCATGAAATGAACTGCTCAACCGCCGCAATGACACACGTCGGTTCCTCCCTCGTCGATCCCTACAGCGCCATCGCCGCCGCCGCTTGCGCACTCTACGGACCTCTCCACGGTGGAGCGAACGAGGCCGTAATCCGAATGCTTCAGGGTATTGGTAGCGTTGACAAAGTACCCGCGTTCATTGAAGGGGTGAAGAACCGAAAGCAATTGCTATTCGGATTCGGACATAGAATTTATAAAAATACGGACCCGAGGAGTAAGATTATTAGAGAGGTTGCGGATACGGTGTTTGAAATTATTGGGGCGAAGGAACCGTTGATCGAGGTTGCTATTGCGTTGAAGGATGCGGCGTTGAATGATCCTTGGTATGTCCCCCCATTTTTTCTCTGATAACAATAAATGGGAAGTTACTAATTCAGTATTTCAAAATAGGTTCCAAGAAAAGAAGCTATATCCAAATGTAGACTACTGGTCCGGATTAGTCTACAAAGCCCTCGGATTCCCATTGGACTTCTTCCCAGTCCTCTTCGCGGTCCCAAGAGTCGCCGGATGGATCGCACATTGGAAACAACAGATCGATTCGGGAACGAATAAAATCGCTAGACCTAGACAACTTTATATCGGAGAGAAGAGAAGGGATTATGTACCTTTGGACCAAAGGCAGGATACCGGAGAACCAAAGGATAGCAGAGTCGGGTTGAAGGAGTTGCCGCATTATATGAGCAAGAGGAAACTCTTGCCGTCGGCGAAGTTGTGAATACCTACCTACTTACCTCGTTAAGTATTACTACTAGTAACACTGGTAAATTTGGAGAAGGGGGGGAGGTAAGTGGGGAGGTAAAACAGTCCTTCTGTAGCAGCGTAGCATTCTTTAACTTTGACTTTGACTTTGGAGTTTCTGTTTCTGTTTCTATTATATGTCGTTCTAGTCAGTTCGTTTAATTAATACCATTGGCGTCTCTCCTATCTCCTCTCACATATGTCTATCATCCATACCATATCATCATTCGTATATTCGTTTATTCATATATACATTTTTACATAAACAAAAAGTGGAGAGCCAGAGAAGTATAATATTTGTAAAAGATCACAACTTCCCCTCACCAAACTGCCCATGCCTCCCAACCCCACTACTAAACCTCTTCGCCCCACTCACACTCTCCTCACTAATAACCTTCACTCCATTCTCAAACTCAAACTTCAAAGCCTCCCGAAAGCTCTTCGCATCATAAGCCGCATTATACGTACTCCTCCGATCCACATTCATACACTCCTGCGGGAACCCCAACAACTGCTCCGCAATCTTCTCAGCTTCCTCCAAAGCCTTCCCTTTCCCCACAACCCTATTAGCCAACCCCATAGCCAAAGCCTCGTTAGCATCAACAGGTCTCCCCGTCAATATCAAATCCAAAGCTCTACCTAATCCCACAATAGCCTGTAATCTTACCGTCCCACCGTCGATAAGTGGCACTCCGAACCTTCGACAGAAGATACCGAAGATTGCATCTTCTTCTACGATTCTAATGTCGCCTAGGAGTGATAACTCCATACCTCCGGCTACGGCGTAGCCTGATACCGCTGCTATCACTGGCTTTTGGATGGTGAGACGTGAGGGTCCCATTGGTCCTAATTGACGGTCTACATCTTCTTGAAAAACTTCGCCGCCGGCGAGGGCGGAGGAAGTTGAAGTGCTCGAGGCGAGGGAGTGTAGGTCGAAGCCTGCGGAGAAGGTACCGTTGGCACCGTGGAGGATTAGGATTCTTTGGGATGGGTCGTCTTCGAAGTTGATTATGGCTTCGTAAAGGAGTTTTGCAGTGGGAGGGTCGATGGCATTGCGACGGGAGGGGCGGTTGAGGGTTATGGTTGTTATGCCGGAGGGGGATTTAGTGGTGAGGATGGGGGAGGGGTCGGTTGACATGGTGATTTATCTCTACTTTTTTAATAATTAGTATAGTAGTATAGTATGTACTTAAGTAAGTAATTAGGTATAACAGAGGGGGGGTACGGGGCGGTTCAATTTACGTGATATTCCGATAGATATTAAATGCTGAATAGCCAAATTATATTATAAGATACTTTGTATTATATTATACGATATCAATTACGTTTAACAAGAACGGATCCTATTTTATATTTTATAAAAAGTGAATCAGGAAGGCGGATAATATATATCTCCGAACTTTCACAGCTATGGCTTCAAACGTTGTAACTTAACCCGCGGCCCAGCCGAGTCGTCTACATGTATACAGCTATATTCGAATAGCATCTCCACTTGAGTGCATACCCTTTCGCCCGGCCTATTTCTGTTAAATAATGTTAATACCTTTCTTCTATAGATATGCATATCTGTGAGTAGAGTATGTAGACGATCGGGGTTACCCCACATAATCGCTCGCTATAAAGTAAGAGGAGATTAGTCAGGATATGGGTAATACGGCATCATTACGATGTCTTCCCATATAATTATACTCGAATCTTCGGCCTTCCCCAGCTTTTTTTGAATTTCTGGACTAGTCTGTCTTTGGAAAGGGAAGTTTGAGCCGGCTACGGTCGGACAGGGTATTCTATCATGTGTCACCCGATGTATATGAACGGTAGCCGAGGAACCGAATTTTATTTTTTTTGTTGGGCAAAGAAAAAGGTTCTGGAAGTTCTATGTAACTAGTATTAGTATTAGTTCCTTACTTATGCATACGCATACGAAATGCATAAGTACACAGTAGTAGAGTAAAAAAAAAAGTACCTGCCGTTGGGTATATTCTTGACTAATGGGGTCATCTGGGTCCTGCGTCTGCGGAGAAGGGGAAAAGAAAATGGTCACACGGACCAATCAATCGGCAGGGTTTTGTCAGAGAAAAGTAAAAAAACTTTCTCATTGCGAAAAATGCCGATTCGGGCGCCGCCGCTTGGAAAACTTTGATTATTTTTTTTTTTTGTAAAGATTTCCTCGGAGGCAGAGGATGCGAATGGATTGAACAGCAGCCGCTGGCTCCGATATTTTTATTTTTATCTTTAATTGTATCGATTATGCATATATGGTATAGAACAGACTGACGTCGAAGCCGGTCTGTTCCATTTTCTTGACAAAAGTTATAAGCAGGTTTTGTTTTTTTTAGGTTAACGTTTTCCCTTGTCTTCCCGAGTCCTGCGCACACATGCATAAGTAAGGTAAGGTAAGGTATGGTAAGGTATGGCATGGTAAAGGCAAGCTAAGGTAAGGTCAGGTCGGTTGAAGCAGGGAAATACCTCAGCCTGGAGCTCTTTTTCCAGCTTCCCGAGGAGGACGGATTGGAATTGGGAGGATTGTGATTGGAGTTTTGGTTGTTTCGGTCCGAAGTCTAATTAATTGTTCTTCTCCACAAATATCCAGATACTTCATATGCAGGTTCCAGTAGTATATGTATACGTATCCTGTAAATCTTTATATCTGTTGACGTCGATGTCGATGTCTGTGGAGTATCTTTATACTGATTTCATGAAGTATGTAGTATAATATAATATGTATCTGTGAATACAATATCAATTGAACTCATGAATATATTACATATACAATTAATATAATATACTTCCCAGAATTGTAATTGATGTAAGACTAAACAATTTCTGACGGCGACACTGCACATGATGCATGTAATCGACCGGGATTAATTCGATTTCTTTCGAAAAGTATCGTACGGTTCTGATGTTTCTTTCCTTTCCACTCGGCTTCCTTTTCCTAAATCGTTCGAACGTTCCCGCCACACATCCACTGCAACCACAGCTAGTCACTGTTTAGTATTATATTAGAAACCACCACCTCTTCTTCTTCTTCTTCCTTTTTCTTCTTCTCTTCCTCTCTTCATACTCTTCTTCATCTTCTTCTTTCTCCTCCTTTTTTCAAAAAAAGGAGACGCTCAATTGCTTTGGTTTTGGTTCTGTTTGATCAAGTCCCAAGTTGTCAGCAGTCAATTGACTAACTAACAAACACCTTCCCTTCTCAATTTGGCCACCCCCAAAATTCTCATCTTCAACAACCTCAAACAAAACCTCAACCTCAATTCAGCATCTCCATCTTTTCTCCCCCCGGAAATTTACAACTACACCGGAAATTTATAGGAGATTGCTATAAAAAAAATAAAAAAAGAATAAATTTTACAAAACGAATAAAAAATTCCAAAAAAATGGAAACCCTTCTCCGTCAATCCCGTTCCGTCTGTCCGTTTCTCAAAAAGACCTCGCCATCCGCTCTCCGCGCCTTGAGCACCTCAACCTCCCTCGTCCCCCGCACTCCAGGCATCGCAGGCGGCAAAATGTCGAACCTCCAAATCCTCGCCCGAAGATGTCCAATCATGGGGAAAGCCCTGGCCGTTCAATCCGCCCGTAACAATCTGTCTTCCGTCAGCTCTCGTATCGGCGGTATTGGCGCTGGAATCTTCAATTGCACCCAGAGGAGGGGTTATATCGTCCCTACGAAGGCTGCGAACCTTCAATCCACCAGGAAGACCGAGGCTATGGCCAGCAGCTTGGAGGATGTTCATATCAAAGCTGGGGTTTTTGATACTTCCAAGGGGATTTGTCCACATGGCACTGCTGCTATGAAGGCTGCTAAACATGCTGCCGATTTGACCGCTGCTGCGGATCATAAGCTTACTGTCTTCCAGAATCATACTGTTGCCAAGAAGGCTAATTTTGATTATGAGGGTTTCTATTATAACGAACTCGACAAGAAGCATAAGGACAAGTCTTATAGATACTTCAACAATATCAATCGTCTCGCCCAGGACTTTCCAAAGGCTCATATGGCGACAAAGGAGGATAAAGTCACCGTCTGGTGCAGCAATGATTATGTAAGTCTTTTTTTTATATAATACCAATCCCCAGCGTCAATGCGACATACGCTAATTTATATAAAATAGCTCGGTATGGGTCGAAACAAGCATGTCCTCCAAACTATGCACAATACCCTCGATACCTACGGCGCCGGCGCCGGCGGCACTCGTAACATCTCCGGCCACAACAAACACGCCGTCGGCCTCGAACAAACCCTCGCAAAACTTCACTCCAAGCAAGCCGCTCTGGTATTCTCATCCTGCTATGTCGCCAACGACGCCACCCTCGCAACATTGGGTTCAAAACTCCCAAATTGCGTCATTCTATCAGATTCCATGAACCACGCTTCCATGATCCAGGGAATCAGACACTCTGGTGCTAAAAAGATGGTATTCAAGCATAACGATCTTGCCGATTTAGAAGCAAAACTTGCATCTTTACCATCCGAAGTTCCCAAGATCATTGCTTTCGAATCAGTATACAGCATGTGTGGCTCCGTCGGACCCATCGAGGAAATCTGTGATTTGGCGGATAAATACGGCGCAATCACATTCTTGGATGAAGTCCACGCTGTTGGAATGTACGGTCCGACTGGCGCCGGTGTAGCCGAACATCTTGACTTCGAAGCTCATGCCTCCGGCAGGCCAAGGGGTACAGTTATGGATCGTATCGATATCATCACCGGTACATTAGGAAAAGCATACGGTTGCGTTGGAGGATACATTGCCGGTTCCTCACTATTGGTCGATGCTATCCGATCTCTAGCACCCGGATTCATTTTCACCACATCCCTCCCACCTGCTGTCATGGCCGGTGCGCAGACTGCGATTGAATACCAAATGAAGTATGCAGGTGACAGACGGTTACAGCAACTTCACACCCGACAGGTTAAGACTGAGTTGGAAGGAAGGGATATTCCAGTCATTCCAAACCCAAGTCACATCGTGCCCCTTCTCGTCGGAAACGCCGAGATGGCAAAGAAGGCTTCCGATAGACTTTTGGATGTTCACGGTATTTATGTACAAGCTATAAACTACCCAACCGTCCCCGTCGGTCAGGAGAGGTTGAGAATCACACCAACCCCCGGCCACGGCGCCGAGCTTCAAAACCACCTTATCGAAGCCCTGGAAGAAGTCTGGACTACTCTCGAAATCCCAAGAACTTCCGACTGGGCTGCTAAGGGAGGCCATGTGGGTGTTGGTGTTAAGGAAGCTGAGGTCGTTGAGAACATCTGGACCGAGGAACAAATTGGAGGTGGACGGGATGTCGTCGAGATTAATCGACGAGAAAGGGAGGTTGTCGATTTGATTATGGATCATGCAGAGGCTGCTGCTACTACTGCTGTTGGTTCTGATGGGAAGGTTGATAGGGAGGTATTGATGGCTGGTGTTGATGTTACTGCTACCGCTAAGGCCGTTGAGGTTGGTGCTTGATTAATATTCAAGCTCTGATCCTCTATTGTGCTTTTTTTTGATAGCGGAGTAGTAACGTCTTCATTTTTGTCTGCTTTTGTTTAAGCCAGCTTTACCATCTTATCCTTATTTGTTTGGTACCTTAACCTGTACCTTTACCTTTACCCATTTGTGTTTTATATTCCGAACAAGAGATCTATTTTCGAGATTTCTTACTAGCGGAAGCTTGCTCTTTTCTTTTTTAATCACAGCTGCAGCAGCCTCTATTTCTATTCTTAGTCATTCGTTTTTTGTTTTCCTTAAGTAGATATTCCTTCTTCACCGGGTTATTTTTTGTCTCAAGCTACATACCCTTTTTTGGGGAAAGGAGGGGTGCTCTGCGAGAGTGGAGCTTTCTTCTCTCTTTTCTTTCAGGACATTTTGTTTCCCAAACGACTTTAGCCGGGTTGGAAACGTCCTTTTTTGTAGCTTTGGACTTCCGGAATGTATGATGGTCATCTATTTGAGGAGGGACATTTTATATACAGATAATATTATTACCAGTTGACCCAGCTCCCTTTTTAGGGATGAAATGGGTCGGACTACAACTTCTTTTTGACTTCGTAGATGAATATCGTAGTTGTCTTAAGTATTAGTACAAAAAGTGATAAAGTAATGCGTGTCAACGTCGACTAGATTTACTTGGAAAAGTACCACACATGCATGGTGTGCATAATCAACTCCCGTGTGGATCCTATCTCTACCGGTCTACCCCAATCGGCTGTTAATTACTAGTATTCTCCTTCACGATTTCAGTTGCGTTTTACTTTTTGTTGTAACTAATAGTAGTCTGTGATATATCATTCTTGGCAAAAAAGTGGCTTACTTTTTATGCATGGCTTACATCCCTGCGGAAGCGTGAGGTCAGTTCTTTTATTTTGGTTTCTGGTTGGTCTCTAGTTCTTCACGATATAGTGATACGAACGGTTGTTGACAGTGAGGTCTTTTCGTTTCCGACTTAGCTTTTCGACTTAGGATCAAAGATCGCTTCATCCTGTATGTATTCCCAATTTTCCCTTTTAATATCTTCCTAGCATCCTCTAAAGAAGAAAAATCGAAAACCAGTTGAAAGGACAACAAAACCACTTCGCAATTAGCGAAAGAAGCCTCCCTCAAACGAAAATTTGTGAAGATGGCATCTCTAAAGACAGAAACGGTTTTGAACCACTCGACGAGAGTTATATTGAAGGGGAAGAAACAAAATGTTGAAGTTCCGGCCGTAAGTCTTCTTTATAAATTTATATCTAAACTCCGCCTTCTATACTAACTATATATTTTTATTCTATTATAATAAATAGACTTGCTGCGGAACTTGGTCTTGGGGAGAAAAAGTATTCCCCTTTCTCTTTTTTATTAGCTAAGGAATATTAATATAAATTATTGACTTTTTTATTTTTAAAGCGTCCGTGGGGGTATACCGAAGAACGCGACCTCCCAGGTATAAAAGAAGTCTGGAACCTCCTCAACAAAGAAAAAATCGGATTCTACGACGGAGCAGAAGGCTACGGACCTTTAGAAAATGAAAGGATTATAGGGAAATTACTCAAAGACATGACAGAGGAGGAAAAAGGAGAGGTTATTATTGCTACTAAATGGTTCGCAAATAATCCCCCTCTAATAACCTACATATACAATGCTGATAAAACTTTTTTTTTTTAAAAAAACAGGCTACCATTCCCAATCTTCCCCGGCCGTCTATGGCCCGTAGGAATTGTCGGAGCGCTTAAGAAATCGTTAGAGAGGTTGGGAGTTAAACAGGTGGATTTGTATCAAGTCCATATACCAGTGTTTTTATTCTATGGGATCGAAGGGATTGCGAAGGGATTGGCGGAGTGTGTGGAGTTGGGGTTGACGAAGACGGTAGGGGTTAGTAATTATAATGAGGAGCAGATGGTTAAGATGTATGATGGTGAGTTTTTTCTCTCTTTTTTTGCTTTCATTTGTTGATCTTTGTCTGGGGTATATTTTTTGGAGCTAACTAAGGGGTGGGTGGGTAGAGTTGAAGAAGTATGGGGTTCCTCGTGAGTATAGTACTCTTTGCACTTGTTCTGTTAAGGTCCCTTATATTAAGGGACTGTATGGTGATGAAATTAACCGTTGAGCGTGTGTGAAACAGTCGCGAGTAATCAGATTGAGTATAACCTCCTTCGAACGTAAGTAAGCTAACTAACCACCATATTCGTATTACATATACATATACCAGAACTAAGCTAATAGATTTAAACCTCACCAGAGTCCCAGAAAAGAGTGGTCTTCTCGCCGCCTGTCACGAACGTGATATTGTGCCGTTGGCATATTCCCCACTAGCACAGGGTCGTTTGAGTATGTTCTTCCTCACATCAGTCCTTCTACTTTGAGCATACAGTCTTGATTAATATTTATTACTTTTGTTAAAAAAGCCGGGAAGTATAATTCGAAGAATTTACCAACTGGTAGAAGAATGTATGGAAATCAACCGTGGGAGATTATTGATCCGTTGCTGGAGGCCATGAAGGAGATTGCTGAGAAGAGGGGTGAGTTCCATCCTTTCTTTTTGTTTAAGCTATGGGTTTTGGAAGGTATGCTAATGGATTAATTTATGTATAGCTGTACCCGTCAGTGCTGTAGCCCTCAATTGGGTTATGTGTAAAGGCGCGATTCCATTGGGTGGGGCTAGGAATGGGAAGCAGGCCGGGGAGGTAAGTTTTATATCCCAAAATATACCTTATGATAATTGTAAACTATTTTTATAAAGGATGGTAAGAGCTAATATTAAATATTTTATTATCATACATAGAATTCTAAGGCACTTGGATTCCGGCTTACGAATGAGGAGGTGGAAAGACTTGATGGACTCTCTGTTGAGGGAAACACTCTGCCTATTGTCCAGGCTGGATAAGAGTGGTAGGGCGGCATGTGTGTACTTGCGACTACTAATTTGAACGATTCAATATTTGTATGACTTCGTATGGTTTGTGTCTTATTCTTTGTCGCTCGTTTTCATGAATTCACGGGTTTTTTTATTGCAGAGTTTATCGAAGATACAATATAATATATATATCTAGGTACTTTCAACGCCATCTGATATTAAATTCAATTTTACCCAGTCTGCTTGGAAGATTTGGGCTTATAGATACTTTCCTTTGCAAGGATAGCAGTATTGCATATATCCAATCCAAGGGTTTGCATTGAAACGTTTTAATCCGACTTGGTCTTACGACTACCCATTAACTTGTATAATAACCATAAGACCATTCATCACCAGCTACTTAAGTCCAATTAAGTAGTCAAAGACCATATCCCTTCCATGAACAACCACCCCAGCCCACAAAGGCAGGGGTATATAAAAAAAAAACTCGCTTGCCCTCCTCAAGCGATTCAAGAAGCAAAAAGATTTTTGGGACCGGTCCTAGTAAGGCTCGAACTTACAACCTCCCGGTTAACAGCCGGACGCGCTAACCAGTTGCGCCATAAGACCCGAAATCCCGAAGCCCTTTTGGAGGGGTGAAGGTGCGGGGCTGGAGTCGAGATGTGGGTTATAAAGGGTTTTGGGAATATTCGAAATGGGAAACTGTGTTTTTTTTGCGGTGGGTTGTTGGATTGTGTGGATGTGTTGTGGTGAACGGTCCGGTTGCCGATGCGCATCGATGCCAGGCTGCATCAGAGCTGGGAGTTTGGGGGTGCGACAGCCGACAGATGGATGATAGTCGGAGGCTCCTTCTCTTTCCCTTCCTACTTGTGTTTAGGTAGCATTCCCAGGTTGGGTATTCGATTTAGGGCCTGGGTTGGTTGCAATTGCTCCACAAGTATTGATTGTTAATGTCTTGTGCATGTCGTCAGACTCCTCGAAGTCGATATCCAACATCCATAACAGTGTATGTGATATTGCTAGCTAATCAACTAGTAGGTTCTGCGGGAATCCCCGTATATAGCTTTCCGGAGTCGAAATACTCTAGTATCGCGAATATACGGTACAGAATTCTTATTTCATTTGCTGGCGAATCTTTGTGAGTGCATTTGCTAGTTCCTTAGGTTAGCAGCAGAATATTTACTTGTTAGTTCTGGATGGATTGGTAATGTCGAATTTGCCCAGTTACTTCCTTGATTATATTTCATCGGGGGCTTTGGGATTGATATTCATGAAAGACAATGTGATTTTGAAGTAATATTGGTCATGAATGTAGACTGCACCTTCTTTCTTGTTCTTTGACATCCCTGTATGATGTTAGCGGTTATGAGTAATACGTAAGCCGATAATACTTTCCGTGTCTATGTGGATGGAAAGAAATGATCTTGGTTTTGGGTCTTTCGATTCCGTTTGGTATATGTGGAGGCGCATCCACTTCGGGGTGACCCGTCGACCGTTAAACCAACTGACAATATGTCGGTTTGATAATTCCTGCTGAGTCAGTGATTTCATGCGTATATTAGTCCGTATTATAAGTGGATATATGTGCACTGTATGTGGTATGAGTCGTCGGAGCCCTTTTTTCTTGAGATTAAGTAATGATGTTTCTCGTTGCTTCTATTCTAGCGTAGGAGAAAAGCGGTATGAGGTCTTGTGCTTCCATTCGTAGGTTGATACTAACAACTAGACTAAGTTGATATCAAAGGTTTATTTCTTTCGTTTCTATTGGTAAGCCGGTATTATAACCTGGCACGATTGTTAGAAATTCTATGAACAGTCTTTGATAACTTTTCCGCTAGTTTGAGGTCACGTTGGGAGATTTAGACTTACCAACTTTGGTAAAATTCTGCATTTAAGTGTATTTGGTCACTGGATCTGATAAGTTTTATATCTAGGATATACAATTTTAATCATTGGGTGAGAGTCCTTTCGATAAATGATTAGATGTTCATTTTATTCTGAAAGAAGTCTTGAACCGCTGTAAATGTGTATATCGTCTGCTCTCCAGTATATCTCATAGTAGCCTTGACGTAACGTATGGCTAGACGATGTTTAGGGACATGACCAAACGCGTAACGTAAGGAGTGTAAACCTAGTTCATTCCACATTGGGGATTAGTATGTTGAGATTTATATATTCAGGCCAGCCTCGGGCTGTATGAGGTTTTCTTTGCTGAACCTAATGATTCTAATCGACAATCATAGCATGGGAATTCCATAGATAAATGGCTATGATCCGTGAGAAGAATAGTTACAAAAAGTGATGGTAATTACCTAGGTAGATGATGAGAGCATGTTGTTGATGAAGAAGGAGTAAGTGAGTGACATGAAAAGGAGAGCCTGGGAGAAACAAAATATGTCCATCGCTCAGCTGGCAACTGGATGGTAAAGTGTGTTGCGGGTGTGGTAGCATTTGTCAGCATAACGTCGTGTCAACACATGGCGATGAGGCAGCAAGTCCTCCATAGCGGATAAACTGTATCCTTAGAATAGAAGCCTTGTCCTAGACGTCGCCTTGAACACCAAGTAACCGAACCACAATGCAACCTTACATTCGAGGCCATCTGACTGCTCCTCACGAACCTGGAGTCTCATAATCATCGACCTTACCGATTTCAACTTCATCACCATTCGCAATATTGGCTGTTGTCGCCTGTTATCAATTACCGCAGAATGACGACTATAGGGGCTGACATGGCTGATACTGGCGCTTCAAAAAATCCACGACCCCCTCGAAAAGGTAGCATGGCGAGCCTTTTCTCAAAGAAACCAAGTTCAGCAAATATCACAACTGAAAAACCAAAGGGCAGCCGTTCAAGCTTTTTTCAGAACTTCAAGCTGAAAACAAACAGCGCGACTTTGCCCGAGGGGAAGGAAAATGAGAGGGCTGCCGCCGAAAAGCCAAATCATCCGGCATACGGAATCCCGGGAGAGGACATTCCCGTCTTCAGCGAGTCCTCAAGGATATCCGCACTAGGAAATCGAATTAGTATTGCCGGCTTAGTTGATCTTGACCAAGAACATAAACCTGGTTGGCAACCGTTGTTCGGCAGCAACGTTGAAGATGAGGTCCCCGATGTTGACGAGGGCCCGAGCGCCTTCGAACCAGAAGTCCCAAAGAATAAGGGAAAGGAAAAGTCTCGTCTCTACACGGACGAAAGTTTGGAAAATAATATTCAGAACTCAGCTGAATCGATAAATAAGCTGCCGGAGGGCTTACCGCATGCCTATCAGATAATAGCTGGTAGAGATGCTCGCAAGTGTCCCCAATACAACTGCTCAAATCTTTACAACGGATTCCCTGTTGGAGAACTGTGGAATGACAAAGGCGATACACTTGTGTACCTTTGTCCCAAAAACATGACAACTCCCCATGGTCCTAGCTTTTTGGTTGACTCGATTATATTGCAATCTACTTCCGACTACTGGGTCACAACATTCTCACCAGTATGGCAAAGTGGCTTTGAAATCGACAAGTTGACATATCCTACTGCCAAATTCGCGCTCTTTTTTGCCGCCGATCGACCAGACGGCAGAAATGAGGAAACAGATCCACTGACTTTACTCAGACACTACATCACGATCAGAAATGTATTCGCCTGCATATTTGATTCGTTTTGTGTTGGGTTGATTGAGGAAGACTCTCCACTTTTGAGCGATCTAGTGGATCGCATGTTGATGTATTTTGATGGATCTGAAGATAGTCTTGGCGAGAAATTGTCCGAGTTCATTAAGAAAAGTGGCCTTTGGGACGTTAGCAATGATCCTGTTAAAGCAGTTGATCTTCTTCATCTTGCTGCTACATACGAAATGGAAGATCTCTATTTGGAGGCGTTCGCTCACAGTGTTGGAATGTAAGTCTTTCCCTGTCTCTAAGAGGAAATCTCGAGACCGTTACTGAATAATATTGTCCATAGGTGGCCTCAAGTTCTTGCCTCTAAGGCTCACGAAGTTCTACCTGAATCTGTTATCACAATTCTGACGTCCCGCCATAAGAGACTGACCAATAAGATTGATGTCTTTTCTCAGAATATGAAAGGGTTCCATTTTAAAGAACTATGGACTGTTAACTCGCCTGCCACAAAACTACCAAGCACAGTCCGGAAAGGATATGAGTCAATGAGAACATTTCTCTACAAATACTATACCACCGCTGGGTTTCCTAAATGGCCACCAAAGGATTTGACGACGCGTTCTGTGGTTTTAAGAATCTACTCAGACTTTTGTGCCTTATATCGGCTACTCGTCGATCGACAATACACATCCTCTGGGGCGTGTGCTTGCTATCCAAGCTTGATCAACTATGTTTTAGCTTTGTATCACATTGATCAAGCTGTATGCAAGCGTGACGTTAGTATGCCATATGGGATTCCGATTTTACCCGGCTACTTCGCCCAGACACTTACCGAAGGAGACCAACTCCGCCGGCCGGAAGCCTATAGAGTTGACATGGAACAAAAACTCAAACCTGAGGAGCTCGATGGTGTACTCGAAAGGATGTATAACCAAGATCAAGTTGCAGATGCGCAATCCGAAACCGCAGAGAGCATCACTACCGCATTTATTGCATTCGAAAAGTCAATGATGAAAGGGAAAACTTATAAAGGGATTGCAGAAATGAGAAAGGGGTTTTGGTTGCTAGTCTATGGAGTGTTAAATGTCATGGCTGAATTAAGTGTGGAAGTTGATGTAGTCTTCAAAGATGAGGTGGATTACCTCCTATGCGCTGACACTAAGGGTGTTTTCAATTGGGCAGGTAAAAGAGTAAAGCAGGATAGCCATCAAAATACAGATTTAGACGACCCAGATTTTGATAGGTGGAGTCTGGCAAGTCACCCTGGCACACAGCCTGGTGCGCAATCACCGCCTGCTGCTGGATCCTCTACAACAGCTGCAACCCCTCAAACAGGCGCTCTGGGGGCTGGAACAAAAGTGCGGGGGAAAAGTCGTGCTGAAATGAGCTATCCATGGGTTCTGGCAGAAACTCCAGGTTGGGCCATTGGAACACGCCAACGAGGAGTATAGAGAACCACTCGTATTGGCTTGTTTCCATCTAGGTCTATCCCTAGAAGGATAGTGCCAAGGTCAAATGTTGATGATGTGTACCTTGCGTTCATTGTTTAAAGCAGAATCTGACAATGGGATTGGAGTGAGCTAGCTAGGGTTCACAGAGATCAGATCAACGACGTTTCTTAAAAAAATGTATGGAATTTTCCGTCTTGTGTCCATGGGACCTGAAATAGAATGACATGGAAAGAATACCGAGCTTTAAAAGAAATATCTTAGTGGTTAGCATCGTGGTAAAAGAGTGTGATAATCTGCAGCAGCTTGCAGAAGTTGAAATATATTCATGTTCTCTCCTAAGCATCTCCACGGGGTTATATCAGCCTGGTTATTCCCGCGTGCCCTTCTCAAGATACAGGAATCAATAGCTGAGATTAAATAAGAAACATAGGAATCCAAAATTAATTACATTGCGACATCCCGCTCCGTAAGTAGGTAGGGCAGTGTGCCGTGTTACATGCAACTGAACTTCGACCAGGGGTACACCTACTTAAACTGTTCTTGTGATTCTCAGCATTGCATTTTCCCCACCGCATTGTGCAACCATTTCGCGGGTGATCGATTAATCATAAATCATTTTTCTGGAATGCAATGCAATGGTGGTTGGTCGACACTGGTGCACCTCGCTAAGGATTGCAAACTGCCAACAACGCTTGATCCTCAACTCCACTTAGGTTTGCGGACTCTGCAGTATGCATGCATATGCATACATATCAACATGAGGGGGCATATTTTCCATGTCATAGCCTCAGAAGATGGCAAATAATTTTTTTGAGGGGTTGATCGCGGTTCACGGAAATTTGGGCTTTTGCAAAGGTTGCGATATGGAGCTCTTCTTGGAGATTCGAATGCATGGTTGCAGCTTCCAGCTGCCCCTCTTAAGTATACTTGATGAGTTTACAGGCTGAGATTCTCAATAACTTTTTGATACAACTGACTAATTGTTTGACTAATTATATTTCAATTGGCGACCAGCGATCGATTGAGACCCCTGGCTGCCCTACATATAAATCTGCAGGTCGAAACTATGCCAGATTTGAAAGAGTTAGTTTAAGTGCAATAGAGTTTACTATAGGGCATATCCTGTAAGTGATAAGAGGATCGTTTCTATCACGAAGAGGATATAGAGGTCTGCAGTTTGACGAAACAAGTTCTAGTTTACCTGTTCTTATGATCATATGAGATGAAAAAGTATCTCAAGTCCATAAGTGCAAATTTGATGTATGCGAGAATCGCAAGTAGATTATTGACGTGGCTGTCAATCTTAGGATCAACTATCGTAGATTCAACTCCACCGATCTAATTATGCCTAACCGAGCTGAGATACTTCACAGCCATATATATGATGAGTGGGGTTGAATTATATTAATAAGTTGTGGAGAATCTCGTTAAAGATTGAAGTATTTATTCCCATCCGATCCGGCCAGAGATCAAGACCAAAGAACTCCTAAGATCACCACACATCAGCATGCTAAAGTCCCCCCTAGGTAGCTCCTTTTCAAACCGCTACTCTGAAACCTACCAAAATTTGGGATTATTCCAGTCCCAGACTTGCCCAGCTCGTCTACCTGTCAATATGATGGGCCACCCAGATGCCAATGTTGAACACCCAAGGGGACAAAACATATCCCCCCTCTCCTGCACCCTCAGCACCGTGTCTGAGGTCACAAATATGGAGGAGCTTAGAAGCTTCACCAACTTGCCAAACCTCGTCGTCGTCAATTTTAATGCACAATGGTGCAACCCTTGCAGATTTATGAGGGATAAGTTTTCAGTCATTGCGAATCAGTACGCCGATCACAGCGTCATCACCGTTCAAGTCGATATCGATAGAGTACCGAGGGCTCATCAAGTCTACGGGGTTAGAACTGTGCCCACATTTCAGTTGTACCGTGGCGGGGTTAGAGTTGGAGAAGTCTTTGGATCGAATGATGGATTGCTTAGAAGTTCTATCTTGCAGAATTTGTAGACTCTCTGTGATATGTCTATAATATTATCTTATTACTCCTGCGGACCGGTTGTCGGTGGCCTTTTCAATTTATATGTGTAGCGAGCTAGGGGGTATGACTAGAGGCCTAGAATTAGTTTGATACGTCATGACATGTGAATTGAGTGACGCGGTCTATTTAGACAAAGAGTGTATGCTAATTATAAACGTTAGAATTCACACCTCATACTTCACTATCTATTATCTTTAGACCTGGGTGTATCTATTACTATTTTTCTTTTCTCTTTATATCCTTTTCCCAATTAACGCCTGCATATTTACTAGTTTGCTTTGTTTAATTACCTCCATTGGTGACATGAGTTATGACATGATACGGATTGATTGCCTAAGTGCTATACTAATGGTATGGTGTAACTGAACATATACGTAAGGTTGTAATTCAAGCACTCCAATTGCCAAAGGAAGAAAGAAGAAGAAAAAGGATGGGACTGTGGTCCGCACTCGACGAAGATGAACCCTCCAAGATACTGACATTAGTTACGTGGTGGCTTGTTGTATTTTGAAAGTAGACGCCACAAATACCGTGCGCCACACACCGCCACAAAGGCCCGACGACCTCAAATACTTTAAGTACCTGGAAGTACCTTGCCGGTAAACCTACTGCGTAGGGGTACTAACAGCTGGCAGGGACGTTTGCCGATTCCCCGACGACGCGACGCGGTTGGTGAACGCTAACCTGATAGCAGCAATCATTGAGAGATAACCGAGAGTGATATTGTATTGTGATCTTTCTCCTGTTCGTTCCGCGACCTCATATGACCATCGATTGGCATTACATCTTCACATGCAATCTCCTGCAACGTTAACATCATCGCTTCAAAACTTCCTCAGATTGTGCCGGCTTTTGATAGTAGGCATCAAAAAACGGGCTGGGTTAACTAAATAACAAAGCCAGTCCTTGTCGTTCGGCCTAAATCTGCATTCGCTTATGCAGGTGCTTCCCTTTATTAACTTGCTTCGTTCTAGTCCAGCCTTCTCCACGCGCGTGTCGTCGTCAAAAGGCTGAACTCGGGCTCACCGCCATCTGCTCGAATCCTAACAACCTCCCTTCCAACGAAAGAATCTCTGGACCTTTTTACAACAATAGGCACTTATAGGGGCCATTGTGCGGCACAATGGCGAATATCCTATCGATCCCATTGGAAGTCCTCTTCCTCATAGTGGGGCATCTCCCAGCTGACGATATCAAGTCGTTGAGGCTAGCCTGCCGCGAGCTCAACGGAAAAGCCGCAGGAGCCTATGAAGAAGCTCTCTTCAAATGCCGGACTTATTTTGCTACCATACCAGACCTCGAAGCACTACTTGAATTGACCCGACATCCAAGCGGCGCTAACCTCCGCCTTAAGCATCTCAAAATCAATGTTGCATCTCCTTACGTTCATATTAAGCCTAATCTGTTACTGAACTCTCTGGGAGATGACGATGAGGAGGAAGAGCTCAGGCCACCCAAGCTCTTCAATAGGACTTGTTTCGCCTTTGACTGCCACAATTTCGAAGGTCTCAAACAAAGCGAGGACCAAGCTTTGATCTTTGCTGCCCTCCAAAATCTACCAAATCTCGAGGTGATTGAATTCATCGACCAGCGGGGCATCCCGTCCGAGAAGGCTCTGGCGAAGCATTACCCTCTTTCAGCATCGCCAGAATACAAAGAGCAGTTCCTTGCTTTCTACAAGGACCACAATGCCCGACAAAGACGAGATAGAATGACAACCTTGCTCTTTTATGTCATGGCAGCCTTAAAACATGCTCCTTGTCGGATCAAAGAGCTCCTCGTTGATGGCCCGCAGCAGAGGTATATGTACACGTCTCTCGGTTGGTTTGATAGCCATAGGAGGCATATCAGCCGCCTCGCTAAGTCCCTCGAGAAACTACGAGTACTTGAGCTGAATTTGTGCTACCCTTGGCCTCCGGAGGATCATCGAGACTTTGACGACTTCGGGCCCATCAAACTTACTGAGGGAGAGCTTCAGTGCCTTCCCGACTTTTTAACGAACACTGTTCCTAATATCGAAAAGCTCAGGCTCAATTTTGCCGAGATTTTGCCGGAACTAAACACGAATAATCTCCATGTTTGGATGCGCCCGGAAGGAAGGAGATACGAACCGACCTTTTTCTTGAAGAAGATGGAAATCAATTTGCCTCGAATCAAAAGGTTCGAGTTTCTGGGTATCCCTTTTGTTCCGGACGAGCTCATTGAAGTTCTTCTGCGCCCTCATAAATCCACTCTTCGGCATTTGACGTTCGAAGACTGTGTTCTCCAAGAAACCCCTCAGTGCTGGTCGACAATATTTTCGCTCCTTAAAGAGGAGTTAACATTGGAGACGTTCTCGTTCCATACTAAAACTGTCCATAGAAGGATATCTCTTGTCGGAAAGATGCCACACATATTCAAAGTTCAAGGCAACATTCGTGACAGCAAACACAAATGTGAAGTGCAACCTTCAGGGAAGAAACCCCTTATCTCTACCACCTACTGGGATGCTCTGGATATGATCATAGACTTTGAGGCAAAGCTACTCGATCCTAATGCTGCTACTACCGACCCACACCATAGGAGTCAAAGCGACTATCCTTTTCTCGGCGACGATTCTAGCAGCTCTGACGGCCCTTCAGAACATGGTGACTGGCCAAATAATGTCTGGGATGACCTTGATGACGATTTCGATGATGCGGATGATGATGGAATGGGTCACATAGGTCACATAGGTCACATCGGTCACATCGGCCACATCGGTCACATCGGCATTAGTTCCATTGCGGGACCTCTCCCGCTACCACTCCCGCCACTCCCTGGAGGGTTAAACGGAATACTTCCTTCGTTCCCAATGCCAGGGGCCCTACCTCGAACATTCCAGAACAATCCACTACCAAGATTCCAGTTTGCGCATACCGATCCAACGGGCCACTTTGTAATGCCTGGTACCGTCCCGCCTACTACCTTCCCTCCCGGATCGGTCGTCGTACAAGACTTTATTGTTCCCGGGACCATGCTTGATACTGCGGCTATGGAGGGGCAACCAGCAACCGTACAAAATATAATTAGACATCTCTTACCGAACGCACTGGATGTGGGCGTCAATCCACCGCCTGGTGCCACTGTTGGAACGTCGAACCCTGCCACATCAGCCGCTGGGGCTACTGCCTTTGGATCATCGACTGCCGCGGCTACTACCGCTGGACCATCAACTGCTGGACCTTCCACTGCTGGACCTTCCACTGCTGGACCTTCCACTGCCGGCCCTCCTACTGCTGGACCATCAGTTACAGGGCACAATATTCTACCAGCTCCAATGGGCTTTCAAACTGCCGCCCAGCTATTCGGACTCCCTAGTAATATCGAAGAAGGACCTGACGATGGCAGACCCTCCTGCCAACAACAATAAAGCATGTTTTCTTAGAAAGATACGAAGAGTGAGCCGCCAAGCTCGAGGAACCCTTACTTCACCATCCTAATTTTATCCTTTTTTAATCGAAATTCATGTCATTATTTTACTTTGCATGGTGGTCGGTTGTAAATACCAGTGTGTTCTATTTTTTTCTTCTTTTGAATGCTGCTATAGCTATTCTTTCCTTCACGAAAACACAATAGCAGAAACATTAAACTCATACGTTTACCGTTTTTATCGTTTCTAACTGATAATTTATTCAATAAATTTATGAAAATTGCATCTTATCCCCAATATAAACTAGTAATATGCTCCGGGCTAAGGGCATCCTGTATGTCCCAGGGGCTTAGTCCGGGAATGTAGACCCCCCCAAGACTTCGAGATAACCATGGGTCATCACCAAGACATCTACACCCTCTGTCCCGGAGAAAGTCGATTACTGATAAGCCATTTTACCACCAACAGCGGTCTAGAAACAAAACGAACACTAGCCCGGCACTTAACGGAACAAGTATAGAAACATACTTGGTATTAGTATTCGATACCAAATGCTGTTGCCTGATGTAAACGAGTACGAAGGTGCAAGAAATATCTAAGATCTAAGACATCCCGCTAGAAGCGAATGCTCAACCGTTGTCTGCATAGCATTACCAGGAAATAGTGCTAAACCGATGTTTCTTTTTTCCACATAAGTTGTAGATCTCCTTGAAAGCTTTCACGTGTCCGGATCTTTCTTGTTTTGTGGTACTTTTCTAACCCGGTTTCTCTACAAGCGTGTTCGAAGTTGACCATCATCATACCTCGCGGAGAAACCACATATCCACAAATATTACAATTATCTAAAACTTTGGAATTCCATGCCGACAGAAGCCCCGTTCAAGAAGCGAGAATTTGCATTGCATCAATGGACCTTGCATTATTCGACAATATATATACGTATACCCGGGATAATCAGATCTACTAGCTACCATGTATATGTCCCAGCTCTCCCCCCACGTTGTTGGTTTTATTGGGTTGTGCTGGGATCTTGAATACCCGCCAGATCAGATCAGCCCCATATACGTATATTATTTATATGCGAATGTCAGCCTAGAAATAAAAATATCAGGACCAAAAACTTTGGCCGACATCGACGATTCGCTTCTTTTTTTAAAAAAAAATAAATAAAAGTACTGGGAGTGTAGCGTCGGGTCTGCATATTTGAAGGTGTTCAATGCATCAAAGTACCCACGGGTTTGATTGTCTTTCAAGAATCTATCATGATGACATCTCGATTTTTTAATAGACCAATTATAAAGGCTAGACTTTGCACGCTGTAAGAAAAGTGCATTAATGACATAAAGCCTCAATATGATTTGTACAAGATGTTCTTAGCTAAATACGTATGCGGCTTCAAATGGGGTGAAGAAACACCTAGGTATACCGGTAGCTATGGAGTCAATGCATGTCCAAAGCTACTATGCTATATGTCCTTAGAGCTTCAAAAATCCAGCCATCTCAACTAGTAGCTTACCACCTTCCAAAGAAGACATATCGCCCCTAGTCTGTCACGGTTTATAGTACCTGAACTAGCCACTAGCCTCGAAACCCTTATCTTTTCATCTAAGAACCTTAAACCCAACGCATGTCAAGCCCAAGAATTCCCAGGAACTCGAACTAATTCCCAAGATTTCTTTACAATTCTTTATACTCCATCGGAAAGGAAAGAAAAGGAAAGAAGACTCCACTTCCAAGACTTCCCATGGCAAAGACGTGCATCAAAACCAAAGAATCTTGGAAATTCAAGCTTCTTCCGGAAGGCGCTTTATCGTTGAAAGATGGGTGCCACATCCGAAAGTACAGGGACCTAATTTGTCCGTTGCATTTGTATGTACTTACTTATTTCTACGTCGCGCACACCGCCAACCGATTGGACCTGGTTTCATCCAGCAGCTGCAGTTTAAAAACCCATATTTTTGCCATGCGAAAAAAAAAAGAAAGAAAGAAAGAAAGACATAAGTACTTCTACACTGTATACTGTTTTTCAAGCCTTTGTGGGGAAGGTAATGGGTTTACTAGGGAGTAAGATTTTCTTTTAGGCAGTCGTCAGATGTTATGCATTGTTACGACATCTTGTATGGCGAACGAGGGGCCATTTTCTAAACGTCGGCGCCTGCCGAAGCCAGTTTGATATCCCCGGGTTTGTGTTTTGTGCTACCGGGATGATATTCGGGGTTGATTCTGTATTCGGGGCTCTGTGCGACCTGGGTCGAAAATACAACAGTGCAGCGTGTTGCTGTGTATTTGGTATTTATTACAGTGCACTTTCTTCAAATTCGAAGGTGGCTGCTAATTAAAGCAGTTATCGAGAATACGACAAGTCCTTCTTTAGAAATTAAAAATTTGGTCATTTGTTAGTCTGGTTTTAGACGGGCGGCCGAGTCATTTATATAAAATAGTTGTATCTAACCCTGTACATAGATGCCATACTGAGGCGCTTTTAATCCTAACTAGCCATACGACATGATTATCGATCATGAAAATGTACATTCCAAGGCTCTTTCTTAAAGAAAAAAGGATTAAAGAATTAAAAGTTCTTTTTGAGCCCATTCGAGATTCAACGAGTACACACGGATGGTAGAGTTGTAAAGCTAGAGGCGCTTCGATTCGTTTCTAGTACATATTCGGGTCATAGCTCCGGTATAATCATTATTGCATTGGTATAGATAACACAACGTAGCTGATATTGGATATGCATACTAGTTTGGGCCATCGATTGGGGTATATCTGGTTTCTTAGCTAGATACACTGAAGCGTTGGGATACCAGTCAAGGAAACAAGAAACCCAAAGCTTACTAAGATCGAACAATTTGAGATTGGGGCGTTTTTATAGTTCTAGGGGTAGTAAATCAATGGGTGCATACGTTGCATTTTATACAAAGTTAACTATCCTCCCATGGCCAAGAGAAGTTCGATGTCCCTAGTGGGTGTGCAAGATAGACTTACTATGCGGTGCTTCTAAACGTTGCTCTAAGATTAATATTCACTAGTCGGACTTGAAAACCATAAATACTGTAGTATTATTGTAAGGGTTATTTATCTCTAGACATCTTTTCTTAAAGTTGAAATTTAAAAGCCTAATATTAATTATATTAGGGTCGACGGTCTAGCCTATCATTATTGCACCTACAACCCTTTAGAGTGGTCTCGTACCTAGACGTCAGAAAAGGCCGAGTCATTATTAGGTGTATTTTATTCCCTAATCATTATTATATTAGTGAACATCAAATGGTAATTATCATTTAAACTATGTCAATTCAAGGCCATTAATTGTATAACTTTGCATCCTTTTCTGACCTGACTTGATCGGTAGCCGATCTCGAATAACAGCTATTATTGATGTGATCAAGCATCCTTTAGAAAAACTATTTCCATGGGATCTTTGTGTTTATCTTTTAAATTTAGAGGCATATTATTTTAGATGGTAATTATAAGGGTCTTTTAGATGATGAGGGTTTAAGACCATTTTTAGCATGATTTTATTACAGCTTGCTGCTGTTAAATATAGGTATGTGTTTGAAAAATTGTTGTTCTTTCTTCTGTTCTGACCATTCCTAAGGTCCCCGTCAAGGGCGAGTATGGCTAAGTATGTATATACCTTCAAATGAAAGGAGGGATGCAAAGTAAGTAGTTAGCCCTCGGCCACCCGTCTAAACTAGACTAAGTAGTTAGTAAACAACTAGACTAGGATCTAGTGTATATATTTGCTAGTAAAGTAGTAATGGTTTCGCGTGTCATGGATAGTGCATGTGCCTGAAAGGTCAGTATAATATACCCAACTAGCTTTAGTTAGCCCCAGAAGTGAGCGAGGTCTGGCATTGCCTTAGATAAGCTGTATATGCGTATACTATATGTGTACACAAGACGCGTGTACATTTTTTTAATTCAAAACATTAAACTTAAATATTAAATAGAAGTGTTTACTGAGATCAGTCGACTGCTGCCCATGTGCAACGTAGAACCGAGGCCCTCTTCTGGTATGCATATTGCGTCCACTATAACACAAGGTTGGAATCCCACGTGGGCGACCGAGTTTAATGCTAACTAATGGTATACCTAACATACAGTTGGAAGGCATATATCAGTATCGGCATCGGCATTGCATTGTGATAAGAGCCGAGAGTCCATCCAAGGCCTTGGGACTGGCAGAAGATGCTGACCTCCTCGTTCAGGGTAGTAGAACTATCCACAGTAGAGAACTTGGCTCCTTGAAAACTTTATTCCAATCTTCTTATCGTACCGAAATACCGGCTCCCGCCTTTGTAGAACATGAAAATGTACTTGATAGCATAGCGTCGATATGGAATACAATATATCTGTGGCTGTGTTTCTGGCAGTATCCCCGGGGGCCTCCCCTGTGCGGTGTAAATTAGTGATACCGAACGGGAAGGAAGTTGTGTCTGTTCGGGTGAAACCTTCACGATCCAACCAATCGCTTCGATTTCTCCAGGCACGCTAGCCCCTGTTAGTGCCGATGCAGCTCTGGGTCCACAAGCAAGGGGCTCCATGCACGCAGGCAGTCATTCATGCAAGGTCACAAACCGGTCCAAACCTGGATCGCACTCTGCAGGGCCATCCAAAACCACATCTTTTCGGCGTCACAGCGAGGCAGAGCTTCCTTCCTGTCTCATCTCAAGCGCAGCGCCGAAGAAATATTCGACCTTCCTCTGATAACGGACTTGTTCCACGGAGTGGGCTTCTAGCGTGGAGCCTGCATGTCCTTCCATTTTGCTTCCAACCTACGCGTGGAACATCAGTCGACTGTGGGATCGATATTTGCATGCAAGGAGCAGGCTGTCTCAAGTTTCGGGTTCCAGCGCCGGGCTGTAGTGCTGGCAGGCTGGCAGGCTAGTCGATCTGGAAGTCGTCACTAAGTACTTACTCGATTTGAACAGAGTGACTGCGATTGCAGATAATCACAGTATATATAAGACGGCCGTCTGCCCTTCAAACTCCTCCAGACTTTCTGTTGGCCAGCGACTCCGAGACCTCCTTCGGCGCCCCAGCGAAAACTCCATACAAACACACACTCGTTGACGTTCTCGATATATACACATATACCTTTGACAAGATGTTAAGATCTCTTGTTCTCGGGCTCGGACTTTCGTCCGCTGCTCTTGCCTGCGACGGCTGCACCGGAACCGGCGATGTGGAGATGGTTCGACGTGCCCGACTTATCCAGCCGCGTATGCAGCCAGATGCCATTCCGGCAATCAACGGTCCCAAAGGACCTTTGCCATGGGGTCAACTTACCTTTGCGCATACGTCCGATACACACGGTTGGCTTATGGGACATGTTAAGGAAGAGAACTATGGCGCAGATTGGGGTGATTATGTCAGCTTCATCAGACATATGAGGTATAAGGCTAGGAAATTGGGGGTTGACTTCCTTGTCGTGGATTCCGGTGATTTGCACGATGGTGCTGGTCTCTCGGACGCCACTGCCAAGCTAGGCGGTGTGAACGGGGAAGTCAGCTTGCCCATTTTCCAGAATTTGGACTATGACCTTCTCACGATCGGTAAGTTGACATCTTAGCTCGCAAGGGCACGCATTTGTATGTATTTGAATTTTGAAGCTGATAGAGTGGTCTTTTAGGTAACCACGAGCTATACGTCGCTGATGTCGCCTTCGATGTCTTCGAGAACTTTGCTAAGTTCTACCGATCGAGATATTTGACTAGCAATGTTCAGATCATGGATCCCAAGGATGGAAAGTTCAAGTACATTGGCCGCACGCACAAGTACTTCACCACCTACTTCGGTGTCCGTATCATGGCATTTGGTGTCCTCTTTGACTTCACCAGCAATGCCAATAACTCCAAGATCATCAAGGCTAAGGACATGGTTCAGCAACAATGGTTCCTTGATGCCATTAACACCCCTGAGCCAGTCGACCTATTCTTGGTCCTTGGACATAACTCGGTCCGCAGCTCCACTTCGACCTTCCCAGTTATCCGTGAGGCTATCAGGAAAGTTCGCCCCGATACTCCCATTCAGTTCTTCGGTGGACACAGCCATACCCGTGACTTCAAGGTCTATGATAACTCCAGCACTGCTCTTGAGCCTGGTCGTTATTGTGAGACTGTTGGTTGGTTCGCCATGTCCGGTATCGAAGCCGGAACTGGCAAGCACAAGCCCGCCGGTGTCCCAACTCCTAGTCGTCCAGCTGTCAACGGCACTACCTCTTATCTTTCGTACGCTCGTCGTTATATTGACTGGAACCGTCTCTCCTTTGAATATCACTCTGACAACGTCCGCACTTTTGATACTCCTCGTGGTGAATCTGTCACCGATGAAATCTGGGATGAACGCCACCGTCTCAATCTTACCAACCTCTACGGCTGTGCTCCACAAACTTACTGCCTGTCGTGCGCTCCCCAGACCAGCGAGCTTAGCATCTACCCTCTTGTCCAAAAGGCCCTTTCCGCTGTTATCGTCAACGAGGAACGTAAAGATATCCCCCGTATGGTTTTCGTCAACACTGGTGGTTTCCGTTTCGATCTCCTCAAGGGACCTTTCACCTATGACGACAGCTTCATCGTTGCTCCTTTCACCAATGCCTTCCAATACATCCCTAATGTCCCATACGCTGCTGCAGCCAAGCTCCTTGACCTCCTCAACAACGGTGCTCCACAGAAGCGCGATATGGATCGCAAGCACCGCTCTTTCATCCCTAGCTCCGTTGATGCCTGCCCACTTGATGGTGCCCAATTCAACTCCGGCCTCGTCAAGCGTAAGACCATCATCCGTCGCCAAGAAATCGTCACCCCAGGTTACGTTACCAAGGACGACTTTGGTATCGATGGTGATGATACTCCTCACTCCGCCATCCCATTCTTTCGTACCACGAATGATATCATGGCTAAAGGTGGTTTCCCGACTGATGGCAGCACGCCAGAGACGGTTGATGTTGTTTTCTACGACTTCATCAGGAACTACGTTTTGACCGCCTTAGCGAAGGCTGGTGAGAACTACACTACTGCCGATGTGGAGTATTATATGCCACCTACCTTTACATCAAATGACTTCTTGCCAGAGTATGCGAAGCGATTCTGGTCTAAGGATTGTTAAGAGTTTAATGAAGACGTTAGCGTTTGAGTGTTCTTCTTGCATGTTTGGGATGGGTTTAGAAGGCGTTCGTCCTGAAGAGTGGAATTCCAGGATGACCTTTTCGAGTAGTTTGTAATTTGATAGTTCTCACGAGCCTAGTGGTTCGTTTCTTGTATCATAGCCTTTTTATTATCAACTTTTGTTGTCGACGAACTCGAATGAAATTCTATTTGAAAGGATATGATTGTCAATTGCGTCTAAGAAGAATAGATATGCCGTGGGCATGGTTTGTCTAAGCTATTACAACAAAATGCGTTAATTCAAGAATACTGAACTAAAAGAGAACCCAGCCGTTTCCCACCCAGCATGCATGAACACCGAAATAGCATAAAATATGCATCATAACCGATAAAATGGTAGGAATAAACGTTATATAAGCCGGCCCCGGCCTACACCGCATATGATCTTCAATATTGATTCGCATATTTCGTCGGGACAACAACCTACATCGGCCTCGCAAGGTCCTCATAATCCATCCCATTTTCACCCCAAGTCGCCTCCATTTCTTCACGAGTCTTAGTCTTCTTCTTCTTCTGCGCAATTCGTTGTTTCTCGAAGTATACGTAGGCGGCATAGAAGGTGCGGTTACCACAGCCACCGGTTTTTCCTGTTGCAGACATGAACCGTTGGAATGAGTTTGGTGCTATTGCATGATCTGGTTTTGAGGTGCAAGCGGCGAAGGCTCGGAGCAGAGAAGCTTTGGTGTGGGTTGCGGACGTGAGGGCTCCTGTGATCTTACGACGGATGACGTCGCAGGTGTCGAAGACTGGGACGGAGTCGTCTTCTTCGCCCTCGAGTGTGACGGAGGTGACGAAGTCAGGGAGGGCGCCCCTAACGGGCTTTGACGGCTTTGGAGCAGGTTCCTTGGGTGCTTTGGGTGCTTTGGGCTCTTTGGGCTCTTTTGTGGCCTTTGTGGCCTTTGTGGATTTCTTTGCAGGAGCTGTGGCTGGGGCTTCGGTTTCTTCGGTTTCTTCGACTTCTTCGGTTTCTTCGATCTCGACGACTGTAACCTTCGCCTTCGCTTTGGATTTTGCGGCTTTCTTTGCTGGTTTTGCGGGCTCTACGGGTTCCTCTTGCTCCTCTTGCTCCTCTTCTTCTACTTGGGCTGGAGCCGGGGCTGCTGCTTTTGCTTTCGGTGTTGCTTTCTTCGCGGCCGGTTTCTTTGCCTTGGGTTTACTTGCCTCAGGTTCGGCGACAGGTTCCGGAACTGATTCTGTTTCAACTGGAGCGACCTTTGCGGCCTTGGATGTAGATTTCGGCGTGGCCTTCTTTGCGGTGGCCTTCTTTGACTTTGTGAGAGCAACTGTCTCGACGACTGGTTCCTCTGAAGCAACTTCCGGCTCGACCGGGATAGCCTTTGCAGCTTTCGAAGCTCCCTTTGGAGTAGCTTTCTTTGCGGCTGGCTTTCTGCCCTTTTTCGCTGGAGCGGTGACCTCTTCGGGCATCGGTTCGGGTTCGGCAGGAGTGGGTTCCGGAACAGCCACTGGCTCAGCAGCTGTAGCTTCCACGGCATTGGCTTTGGCTTTGGGAGTGGCCTTTTTTGTGGCGGTTTTCCTTGTAGTAGTCTTCTTCGCAGCCTTCTTTGCTGGTGCTTCAACTGGTACTACAGCCTCCTCAGGGGCTTCTTCCTCTTCCTCTTCCTCAACCTCCTCCAGAGACTCGGTTTCCGGTACCACTTCCTCTTCTTCTTCGTCCTCTTCAACAATATTCTTGTCAGCCACGGAGAAATTAATAGGGGCGACGGGTCTCAGGGGATCCTCGACGTATTTCCCGGTTCCAAAGGCGGTCCATTTAATCGGCCAGGGGCTATTGGAGATATCACCTAGCGGAGCATTCTGCGTTATCTTTGCGCGCTTTGCGTCGTTGACGGCTGGATTTGGAACTACGAGCTCTGCTGTTTGCCGGGACCGGTTTTCGAGGTTGGCTTCTGTGGATTTACGTTTTGGTGGCATTGTTATTTGTCCGAATGGGGTGTGGAAGCCGGTGATATGGGAATATCAAGAAGTGAGTGGTTGAGAGATGTGTTGGAATTGTTGTATTTTAGATAGGTGAATGAACTCGAGTACTCGATGAAACTTGATCGAGCTTGAGTAGCTTCAAGATGATATTTTTGGGACGAATATATCAAGGGGGGGATTAAATCAAGCGATAAGGATCATATGCAGAAGGAAGCGAATAAATTAGATTTTCTGGAGCGAGGGGGGTGTGGTTCCGAGCCAACTTTTATAATCTCCCACTTTGGCACACGTGGAGACGTGGAAATTTAATGTTTCCCTTCAAGACCGCGTTTTGATTGTATGTAAACAAAAATCAATGGGCTCGAAAAAAGTGATGCTAAAGCTAAGCTAGCGAACTGGAATGGGATCCGAGAGACCGGGATATGAGTGTATCAAATTTTGGTAACTGTATTTTATTCTGAATGAGGATTTGAATGCGGCATGTTATGACTCTTGGGCATGCATGGGGCTGTGCGGAGCTCGAAGTTTCGATATCGCGATGCGATGCAGTACCCACTTGTACCTAAAGTACCTATCTGATATCCGACGTAAGACTACCACAGACACGATTGGCTTGAGGAGTTCTGATAAATTCGTCGACAGTAGAGACGTTCTTTAAGCTTTTCACCTTAGATATTTTTTCTTAATTTTTAGACTTCAGCGTATTTCTTGATCTTCAATTTAGATAGATATTCTTATTTGAACGCGTGGACCGAACCACAGGCGCAAGCTGCTTTGCTTAGCCTCAATTCCAGGGGAAGTAAGGAAGGAAGGAAAGAAACCTCGCTTGTTGACCAACTTAGGCAAGCCTCTGTGTTATGCAACCCAGATCCTTGCTTGGAGCTATGAAGCTACGGAGGAACCTTACAGCTGCACAGGCAATCGTGCCTGCGATGTACCTTGTCAGCATATTTTCAGTATTATAGATTATAACACCCGCTGGGTGGATGTTAGTCTCAAATACAGACATCTCCACATTTGATATCATTACCTTTTGTAGCTCGACCACAGGCGGAGACCGAAATTCAGGGCCGCACAACATTATGGCTTCACTACATTCTCTACCGATTGAGTTGGTTCAGGAGATTGCAAATAAGCTGGATGAAGACGAAATACTTGCTCTTCGCCTTGCATGCAAAGACCTCGATTCTAAGACGCATGAAGCTCATTTGGAATCCAAATACCGAACGCGGCGAGTGTTCTTTGTCCCCGCCGGTCTCGATAATCTGTTAAAGATATCACGACACCCTTCTGGAGTCAATAAAAGGGTGAAGGAGATCATCTTTTTCGGAACTTCCCCATATTATTGTATATCAGACCCAGACCCTCTGCTACCTGGCCAGATACCTAGATCGGAATCGGCTAGTATCGTTTTATCCAGATTGGACTCCGCTTCACAGCTTGACTTCGCGGAGCTCCAGGAGATCGATCGTCAAGATTCCGGAGAAGATACGAGTATGCTTGCTCTCGCATTTACGAATCTTCCTGAGCTTCGATCAATAAGGTTCCATTCGCACCCTTGCTATGAACATCCAAACCTCACTCGCTCCGAATTCAATTTATTCTACCCGACTGTACTCGGACTGAATTCGAAACCTGGAACCCATATCCCCACAGGTTTCACGGATGTAGCAAATACTATACTTAGACGCCACTGGGGCCTCAAAAACAGTTGGTCCAAGTTTATGGCAGCCGTAGTGACAGCCGGTCTCAAGAATATCACCCGGATTCAGAATACACACTTTTGGAATGAAAAGGGCCACGAAATCCCTCTAAACGACTTTCTCCCCTCGCAACCCCGCCGCCTCGCCCGACTACGGACGCTATTTGCGAATTTGAAGGTTCTCGAAATAGTTCTAAGGACTTATAGTCGTAGTAACGTTTCTGTTATGAAACGTGTTCAGCCCTGGCTTGAAGCCATAGGCGCAATGCTCGAGGTCCTCGACCTTAGGCTAATCAGAATATCCTTCGGTGGACCTACAATCTATGCGATGAATGTATTCGCTCTGCCAATGCTCTCTTTCCTCAAGATGGTTACACTCGAGAATTTCAATTTCGATCTGGAGAACTTTAAGCAAGTTTTAATCAATTGCAAGGATACTCTTGTTAGCCTGAAGATCACCAAGTGTAAATTTTATAACAATAAAGAGGGCTGGTTCGTTGTCCTTCAGCTTCTTAAACGAGAGGTCAGAAGCTTGAAGTTTTTTCAATTGAGAGGTCAGTCTGAAGCATGGTATGAAACTGATATGGAACCCCCTGATTACGTCTTGCCAGACCTCCTCTCCGTCGAGGGCTGTTGGGCTTGTGAGAGTACGGTGTGTTTGGTCGGGCTCGACTTCGCCGATGCTCACACTGTTGTTATTTCTAAGCAGATAAGTAAGGAACTTGATACTCATAGGCATCATGATGACTTTTGGGATTCGATAACCAACGGCGAATGGAAGTCAGAAGTCCGCGTGGCTACCACGAGACGTTAAGTATAGGGTAGCGTGAAGCTGTTGCCCGCCATTGGTCCCTGAAGTTTCTTTTGAAAATTGCTTATGAGATCCTAATATATCTTGGATATCTACATCCTCGTCCAGCCAGCCCCTAGATATATATAATGTACATGTATAACAAAGGTGGTATTCCGACAAACCATTGCATATTTGCAATCTCATGCTTCAATCCTCAGACCCCTAGCTAGAACCTGTTGTTGAAGAGTATCCTAATTCCGCTTTTGTTATATTATATATAATGGACCCAGGGTAAAGGTTTAAATGGGGGCAGAGAAAGTACTTAGGTTGAGTTTCTCGCGAGGTTCTGCAGCTAGCTGCAATTAATTCTGTTGATATCAATTGATTCCTAACCTTGAACCCACACCCTCTCTAGTTTAATTTCTACCACGCCCTTGGACCAACTAGGCCAATCTCCCGGATTCAAACGAGTTAACGTTCTCTCATATCGATCAATGATTTCAGTCCTAGGTCCTGCCATAATGTGATACTCATTTCATGGGCTCACCTCGACAATTGCAACACAAAGATCCTTCCTTGCACAATTGGCCCTCCAGTCTAGTCTGGGCATAAGACTAGCACACGCATGCGGATCCTCTAGTTGATGAATCGTGGAGTAAGCTTACAATACTCCACATGCTTCACAAACTCGTACTTATTTCAATCCTTTGATTACCCTCAAGTTTATCTTCATCCGAATCCTTTTCATCATACACGCATAGGTGGTGCATATGGTGTTTTGCATTGCTTAAATTCCTCCAAGAGCTTACGAATCAAACCCTGCAAAGCCAAGCGCATGAGCTAGGTCCTGGCTCGAAACCTACGATCCTATATATTAGGTGCAACAGTGCGGATACCGCGGCATCACCAGCTTCTAGCTTATCTCAATATTTGCTTTTGAAATTGATACGATTTATCAAATCGTCTTAAATTAAGATATCACACTGCAAACTTTCGGGTCACCCCTCTTGTCAGAGATGGAGATGGAGCCTGAGCCTACGAAAAGGCTAAGAAGATCGTTGGTTCTATCCGTCCCACCCGAAATATTTGATATCTTCAGCGATTACATCGATGATGAAGATGATTTTCTAGCCTTGAGAATGGTCTGTCAAGACTTCAATGCAAAATTCCGTGAAGCACACCTCAAATGCATCTACGGAGTTCGTCGACTTTTCTACGCCCTCGAGAGTTTTGAAAATCTATTAAAAATTTCAAAACACCCTTCTGGTATGAACAAGTATGTTCGACAGATAGATATCTGTTGGTCAGCACCTTACTACCATTTCATCGGTGGCGATGAGTTCGTCAACAAAGTCGAAGCGAATGCCAACGGCGAGTTCGATGAGATCAGAGATATGGTGCTAGCAATTACAGATCTAGCGGGTCAAAAGGCAGATGAAGTATTGAAATTTCAATTGTCTGACGAGGAAATTACCTTCTTTAGTCTTGCGTTAGCCGGGTTTCCGCACCTACGAACAATAAACGTGGAACAGGCTATTTTCGAGATGAAGCCCTTTTCTCGATCGGAATTCAACCTATTATTCCCGGGTGTCGGAATGGCCCCTGGTAAACACCTTCACCATCTTCTGAAAAATAATCGTTTGGAAAGTTCATTCTTCCACGGGACGAGATTAATGGAGGATGAGCCGTCAAATGGTTTCTTTTGGAAACTTCCAATACATTCCTTATTAGCATCAGGGGCGACACACCTTCAGACATTGGCTTTCAATAATTCGACCGGACTTCAATCCGATGCATTCGATCTGTCCGCATATAATCTACCCCAGTTTAAAGCAACATTCGCCAATCTGAAGAGCTTAAAATTTTATATGGGGGGGTTTAATTCGGGTTCTGACGATGACCAGAGAATTAATGCAATGTTCGGCGGCTGGCTCGAAACAATCGGAGCGAACCTAGAAGAATTATCACTCGAAAGCAAAAGATTTTATCACTGGAATCGTGCGGTAGTCCTTCCCGTAAACATAGGACTACCGAGGTTGAAGAAACTAACACTTGATCACTTTGTGGGCTCGACGTCGAATTTGGTACAGTTTTTAGACACATGCAAATCACAGCTTCGATATCTCGTGATTCTGAACACTATGTTTGAAAGTTCTGAGATTTCAGAATGGTATATGTTGCTACAATACCTAAAAGAAAACTGCATTCGCCTTCAAGAGATGGAGTTAAGACCATCCGTTTTCGAAGTTATAGAAATTCAGTATAATAATGACTTAGTGACGGAAATTCTTCCTAGCCTCTTGGCAAAGGTTACAAAGAATTCGATATTTGACGAGTGCGATTGGACTGTTGTGTATCCTAGTGTCAGACCCGGGGTCATGGTGGAAGAGAGACGACGAATTAATGACGCTATAGGGCGTTTTTCGAACGCAGAGGACTTCTGGGATTCCGTGACCGAAGGGAAGTGGAGGTCTCAAGAATTTATACAGGATCTTCTTCATGAACCAGACCATGGGTTATTTTAGTCAAGGTTGTACAACGGTTTAGAGATTCATGTGTATCCGGGACTTTCTTCTCCTTTTTATTCTGTATATACCTGATACTACCCTGTGTATAGACACAGACAAAAAATTCCATTTGTTTGATCGAGATCTCCTTCATTCCTTCCCTACCTCCCTCCTTCTCCCTATAACTAGTATCGATTCACCATATACATGTATACATAATATCGTTATTGTTATTGCTATTCCTGCTGCTTACAACCTAGATAGAGAAAAGGTATAGCTATGAGGTAGCTGTTGGATGAATAGGCCCTAATGCCCCAAATTTACACACTGAATATATTATCATAGTGGAAAGAATAACGGCCCTTCAAAACCGTACGGACGTCAGATCATGACCAAAAACAAAAGGTACTGATGGATTTTATGTATTGTGAGCGGGCGTGTCATGCAAGGATGGCACCGAAGTATGAGCATGCGGGCCTGCCCCAGAATCTTGACCCTAATCATCAGATTCATCGGAACCTCCGCATTGAAAACCCCTCTCCAAAATCGAGTCCCAAAAAACACGAGCCCGCTCATCATCAACCATATCAGGATGGCGCCTTATCTCTGCAGCGATATTGTCTAATACTTTTACCCCGTCGTCCTCTGACCGCGTAACTCGAGCGATACACGTTTTCTCCAAAATCCAAAATCCATAGACCTCCAACAGCAGAGCTTTTAGCTCATAGGCCATGTGAGTACGGATTCTAGCATCGTCGCTGTCACTATGAAAGAGTTGGAGCTCGAACTCACGAAGGTTTTCAAGCTCTTCGCAGGCGAATTTGAGTAGTTTGAACGTGCTTACTCTTCGTGTGGGGGTCCCTTGGAACCAACATCCGGACATTCTTAGGGCCTTAAGCCCCGGAGAATGGTGTAGGAAGCTTTGGAGGTTGTCGACATCGAGAGTTACTAAATCTATGCCCAATTTGGTGAGTTTGGGTAGTCCGGCTGATGTAGGCAGAAATAGCTTCCGGTGCTCCTTAGCCCAGTAGACGTTGCCAGTACCGGAGAGATATAGTTCTTCAACTTGGTGACCAATATTCTCTAACCATTCCCCGAATCCTCTGCAAGGATCGTCATAGCAGTCGTCAAGGCTGACGTGGAGTTCCAGCCGACGTAATTTTGTGAAACCAGACTTTAACAATACCATATCGCTTGGAGGGATTCTATCAAACTGAGAGATACGGATACCCCTCGCCCCAGAACGATTTCTGAACCCGATGGTGGTAATATTGCTCTGTTCAGCCGATGCAATCACTGCAAGTGTGCCCGACCATATCCAATTATCAGCGTCACGATCCTCATCGACCAAATCCGTCCAACCAATGTGAGGTTGTCGAACCCGATCTAACGGCAGAACGTCCTCTTGCATCTGAAGTTTCGGGTATAAAAGACTCAATTCGAGATAATTCGGAACCATTTTCGGTGAATTGTCAAATGTAACGGTCCTAACATTCTGAAATATCGAAAATACCGTGTTTAAAAGTTCAAGTTGCTGTGGGGAGCTACACATGCGATTGGCTCCCTGAGCGTCCCGAAGCTCCTTGAAGGGAATACTGGCTGTCCCTGCGTATGATATGTATTCACGACGGACGAGTGATAGGTATGGCATTTGTAGACATATGGTTAACTCGCGCGTCCGATTGGTATGCCGGGCGCCACGACCCTTTGCGACTTTGATAAAATTCTCGAGAAACGACGGTACTATGAAGATACGTTGGGTGTGGTATAGAGCATCATAGTGGAATTCTCGCAGCTTCGCGTTGAGGTTGTGGCATGTTTGTCTGAGCGAACGAATGTCGTGACTCCTGAGCCTCTCTGCTATTATATAAAGGAGCTCCATGGGCATTGAGGTTATTGGTGCCATGACGGTATATATGTATATATATATATATTGAGGGTAGAGGTGTATTAGGAAAGGCGTTTATTTGCAAGCTCGTAAGCCGGCTAAGTTAAGTTTCCAATTGAGAGGACAAAAAATTAAGTTTCGATGTGGCGTACGTACGCGTACAGGTTTTCATGTCTAAGTATGTAATTGTGCAGAAAGCTCAGTCCGATTGATCAGAAGGATTCATAGTCAACTTATTTATATTATGCTCATATGTACTAATCAATACGAGATTAGTATGGCATCCATCCTAAATATGTCGGAAGTCTTGTGTACATGTTGAATGAAAAGTGGGTCCTTTAATCATGTTTTGGAATTATTTTATCTACTTTAAGCTATATTAAGCATTTATATGCTTTACGATCTGGCCTATGACTGGTTTACCGGCTGGGTTATGAGCCAATTCACAAGCGGATAAGCTGGCTAGCTAGTTGCCCTCCCCACAAACTATTCTGCAGCCTGTGAACTAGCCTGTGGACCAGCTTAAAGACGAAGCTCGACGTCTCGAGGCTAGTATAGTCTTGTTTGCTACTTCGACTTTGTTATACCATTTATCGTATCCCAGAACTCAACCGCCCCTGGTTGATCATCCAATTTCAATTTCAAAGTCCTCTCGCCAAAAACTCCCCGCCCTGACCGCGTCTCGACCTGAAAAACGGTTTCTTCGGAACCAGGAGAGCTCGTAATATTTAAATCTGTTACTCTCGTCCCGTTAAACGAATCCCCCTCGAATTCTGTATGCGTAACTATTTTCCGAAGCGCGCAGTGATTTCGTCTGAGATGCTTCAGGAGACGGTACCAATCTTCGATTTGGTCATGAAATCTGCAACGCTCCAATTTCAATAACCTCAACCCCATGGAACCATTGATGAATGTGATAAAATCATCAATTTCGAAATTGAAATTCCAAAACTGAATTATCTTCAATTTTTTTAGCATCCCAGCTGGCAGCAGCACAGGTGGGCTACTTTGGTCCGCGTAACTAGGATTCCAGATCCTAAGGTCCTCCAGGTTTAATCCAATAGCCTGTATCCATTGCTTAAATCGGAAGCTTGCAGTCGAGTTATTTTCGATTTGAATTGTAAGATGTAGTGTCCTCAGATTTGAAAAAGTGGATACGAAGGGCTTTAAATAGGACGGTTTGAGAACGATCTGGTCCTTTTTCAGGCCACTCCAGTCGCCATCGGCGTCGTCGATACGTTCAATGCTTTTTATTCCAGTAGCCACCGCAATATAAAGTACCAATGAGAGGATATCTTCGCTAGCAGGACTTTGATCTTCAAACTCATACCAATCGGATGTGTTTTCTGCTATAAATCTGGACAAATCGTGAACGTGTGCTTTGCTGGCAGCGTCACCCTGAAACCCAGGTCCATATCCAAGGTTGGGGTATATTAAGTTTATTTCAGATCGTCTCAGATCCTCGAAGTCCTCAAACTCAAAGCTGAGAGCCTTGATATTAGGGAGATTTGAAAAAGCGATAGTTAGAAGAACAAGGTATTGATTGTTCTCGTAAAAATCGAATAATTCATCCGAATGAGCATCAGTCGTTTTTATAATCGTGTTCGTGATTGTTTTTTGAGACTGTAAGCCCTTATATTTCCATTCCGTCTTGGGATAAGGTTTGGTATAGGGTATAAACTTCGAAATGATGATTTTTCGAACCCGCAGGTTTACACCCGATGGATGCTTGGATATCTTTATGAGATTTTCGAGGCTGGCTGGAATCAAGAAAACGCGTCGACAAGAAAATATAAAATTGAGATGGGCTTCTTGAAGTTTTCTATTGAGGATTTTGCAGGTGCTTCTTAGAGCTAGAAGGTCGTCCTGGTCAAGACTCTCGTTTGCTATCTGGTCGAGTAGCTCGGTAGGGAGGGTTGTAATTGACGCCATTTTCAACTTGTAGTATGACTTTTTGGTGTTTGAAATGAAACATCAGCGAGTTATCTGGGATCAAGCTTGCATTTAAAGGTTCAATTGGATCTATGTAGCATCCAGCATCTGCATCTAGATAGCTAGACTCATGCGCCGCACTGCAAATCTACCGTGCGTCTTGGGCGTCTGACATGACACTTTAGGTCTCGGCGTGGCCCGGTTGGGAACATATGCAAAAAAATGCAACATTTGCATGAAGCCAATCAACACGGGAAGCTTGAGAAGATTCGCCGGTACGTACGGGTGCAATATACGGCCATATGATCCCCTAGTCACTTATTGTTAGCTCTGTCAGACTTTTTAAAATAAGTGCAATCACTGCTCATTGCTATGACTTTGTGTAAATCTCAGGACTGGCTTTCTTTTCGAGGTTCTTTTATGTCGATTATAAATAGTCGGAACAGACTTACGTTCTGAGATTATGTTGTGTAGACGAAGCGTAGCATGTAACTTAGCTCGTTGATTAATGATATCGACGATTATCGTGGAACCATAGCTGCTGCACGGTTAATGTGATTGAGGTGAAGGCGGTGTAGGTGTAGACTCGGGTTAGTCTTGTACAGCAATGTCTCTGGTTGTAGATGGAAAGGAGGATAGGATATAAAGAAGTAAGTCTGTATGGAGGTTATACCCGCAGTTATAGTGTCGACAGTAGACGTGTTGAATGATTTGTCCCTTTTCAGACCACTACATAAGATATCTTAAGATCACAGTCTCGTAACCACACCATCATCAACATCTACATCAAGATCGTCACCAGCATCATCGCGATCAATCCCTACCACATCCATCTGCTGCCTCATTATCGAATACGGGCACGGGAATGTCTGGCCAGAATCTATTCCACAAGATATTATTTTAATCTTCCTTTCTTTGTCCTTCCACCTAGTTTCCCTTTCGAATCTACAACGTCTATCGACAACCGACTTAACACCTTCCATCATAACTGTACGTCACTAAACATTTCTGCTAGCTCTAACTAGGTACGTACTGGCTTGCTTTAATTGGAATACCAAAATCCTAATATTGAGTTCTATCAGTCTTTGACTAAAATTCCTTAATTGGGAATTACAGATCACCGCTACCAGTATCCATCAGTCACCTTACACACCCGTCTCTTAAACTAAAGCACATTAGTTCACGAGGCCAGAACTGCAGACCACTAGCATCGTTCTTCAGTCGATAAACTTCCCTCCGATAGGCAAGACTTCATCTTCGACCCCTATACTGTCGGTAAGTAAGTCCATTATCCTATATTATCTGGCCCGAGCTGACAGCTCCATCTTCACAGAGAAATCAACTCGTATCAGAATCTCCAGACGACACCAAAACGATGGCAACTATCTTTGATCTTCCAAACGAGCTCATGGATGAAGTTGGTATCGATTTAGATGAGGATGATTGGTTGGCTTTACGCATGACTTGTCAGGGGCTCAATGAAAAGTGTAAAGAATACCATCTGAATTCAAAGTACTCACGTCGAAGAGTCCTTCTGGTTCAAGAAAGTATGGAAAACTTGGCCAAGATTTCCCAACACCCATCCGGGGTGAACTTGAGGGTTCGGTATCTCGATATTTCATGCCTATCTCCGTACTCTTTAGAGCGTATCTTCTACCACTACCTACTTTGGGAAGAGCACTGTACTTCCCTGGCCGATGAAGAGCTAAAAATGACAGCGGCTATTCGAAAATTCGACCGAGTAGACGACGAACAAATCGAGGGCCTGTCTCCTGATTCAAATATCATGATCGCGCCTCTTATACGGGCTCTTCCAAATCTACCCAACTTACAAAGCATCTGTTTTAATCCCGCGGGTCAGCGGGCAGAGTTAACCAGGCCGGAATGGAATTTATTCCATCCATCGTTAGGGTATAGACCCGGTACCCGTATTAATAGCAGACTGTGCAGGACCGTCAACATGAGAACTTTACCGCGACTGTTTTATAAGGGTTGGGATAAAATACTCCCTGCGATTTGCTCTATACCAACATCTAGTTTACGACATCTCACTTGGAATCATAGACACGGCTACTTCATTGCCGAAGACCGACCAGGCTTTTTCGCATGTGAAATCGGGCCAGTATTTCCGAATCTAAAAGTTCTCAGAGTGATCTTTCGCTTTCTCGACTCAGGATTAATAGAAGTTTGGATGCCAAAAATTTCCCAATGGCTCAGCTCCATTGGATGCAATTTAGAAGAACTGGAGCTCGATCTCAAATACATTACCCGCATTGACGACGAGATCAAAGAGGTAGTTCTAACATTACCAGAGTCTCGTATGTTCTCTTCCCTGAGAAAACTCGGGCTAGCCGGTTTCAAAATCGATTTGGAAAACCTGAAAATATTCCTCACCCATTGCAAACAGAGCCTAAAAGAGTTTACTCTTTCCCGGTTGGCGATGCAAGATCCTAAGGAAGATTGCTTCGAGATTTTGAAATTCTTGAGCGATGACTTCAAATTGAAGCTGTTCAGGCTGGCACTTCAAGGCCACGGTAGAGACTTTATCACGAAAAGAAAAGCCGAGTATGCACTCCCGGACTTAGAGGCTATTGGAGATTGGTCATCAAAATCGATGATTTGCACCGTTCGAGGTCTGGGTGTAGAAAAACCTTATGATTTTTCAAAGCATCTTGGGAGAGAACTTTGGACGCACGATTCCTCGGATACATTCTGGAACTCGATTACAGAGGGAATTTGGGTCGATAGGGAAGCGTTAAGATTTTATGATGATTCGGCATCTTCAGATTCTGGTTATTCGTAATCCGAGTTTGACTCTGAAGCCTCCCATAAGAATGAGTTCCAACAAGGAAATAGTTAGAACAATGGCGGTCCTTTCCATCTTGATTCCGACGATAAAGGGTATGACAGTGGCTGGAATCAATGACTAACAAGGGAGGCTCCACAGAACCGATTTTGATAAGGAACTTTAGCTACAGGCATCACAACCTTCGTTTTTTTTACGCACTTTCAAAAAGTATCCAAACTACCTTTAGCAAGCAATCCTCAAAATATGAGAGAATGTACTTAGTTTAATGATTGACTTTCCCCAATATAGGGTACTATGCTAGGCATCTCCCTTAATTTGTAGCCATATTGTCGTCGATAGCAAGGACAGCGGTTTACTAAAGTAAACGTATCGACAATCCACCCCGCCGACTATGCACTGCATCGATAAAAATGTCTCTATTTTATACCACCGAGACATCTTAGGCTGGCTTCTAGACCAACTTTTACTCCTCCATTACTCCTCTTGCTTAACCACTTCCCCTTCCTTAACTGGTTCCTCTTCTTCCTTAGCTGGTCCCTCTTCCTTAACTGGTCCCTCTTCCTTAACTGGCCCCTCTTCCTTAACTGGCCCCTCTTTCTCCCCAAATCCACCATTCACTTTTTCATCCGAATTCACGGTATCTGCTTTCCCATTCTGTAGACTCGAGCCAGACGTAGACGTAGAAGTCTTCGTTGGTCCACTCCTTTGACCACCTGGAGTTTCAATATACCCCGTAGCTCTTCCAACCTTACGGATTGAAACGAAGCAGACAGCGAGATATACCCACGTTGCAACTAAAAAAACAAATTCACAAAAATACGTTAGCATGTTATTTCGAACCACGTTCTCTAAGAATAGAAATCATGTAGCAGGAGGTATTTATATCTTACCAGCAAGTGTAAACGTAATAACCAATGCCCAGAATAGCACGACTCCTAATAAAATATATCCCCTCGTTAGCCACCCACTCTCCCACTCTCCCACTCTCTCAAAAGCTTTAACCCCTTCTTCAAAGTTCATAAAACGATGACATCATATCATATACATACCCGCAACAAGCACCCAAAATAACCCAGCCCCAAGAGCCAGCGCCGACAGGAACAAAATCGCAGAAACCGAAAACCCGATGAAACAAAGTAACGGCACAAACGCGAATAATAGTTGTACGCCAAGAAAAGACGAAAGAATCGGTCGTTGGTAACAAAATCGGAAGACCGTGTTGTACGCCCTTTGCCGGGTTTCCGGTGATGCGATTCGGTCGAGCGTCGAGAGTACGAACGACATGATGTTTTGTGTATCTGGGAAATACCGATTAGAAGAAGAGGTGGATTTGTAGGTTATTGCTGATGGCATCTTTTTTTTAATTTTAATTTTTTTTTGAGTGGTGTTTTTGGATTGTATAAATGTGCTGTGATCACAGTGAAGTATGGTGGTGGTGGATTGGAGGAGAGGGATGCATGCATAAGAGTTTTAGAGATATGAGCGCATTCCGTAAAAGTACGAAGGAATGCGTATACGTAATCGCATAAGAAATGCCAAATACCCCACGGCGATATCGACATACCGCCTCGGAGAAAATGTGAATATTGGGAATAAAACTTCTGCTATCCATAACTTCTATCTGGACGACGCCTTGTATTGGAAGAGCTACATTATACCATGCTAGAAATCCCCCCACACCCTAATCTCCACCATCACCGTCACCACCACCACCCCCAATTCGGATAGATATTTAAAGATACAGGCCTTCAGGTTCACCCTCGGTCTTGGTCTTCAATACTCTTTCTCTGGCACTCCTAAAGTCCGCCATTTGCACCCTCATACGCCGCTCTCTTAGTGCCAATAGACCGGCCTCTGTGCAGATAGCTTTGATATCAGCTCCGGACAAGTCGTCCTTCTGGGAGATGAATTCATCTAAATCAACGTCCTCAGCGAGCGACATCTTCGAAGTGTGGAGGGTAAAGATCTTTCGTTTTGTGTTTTCTGCGAATCCGATATTAGTAATTTGCTATACGCATATTTCAAAATGAAAAAGGCACACTCACGATCTGGGTTCTCGAACAAGATCTTTCGGTCTATTCTACCTGGTCGGATCAAAGCCGGGTCCAAAGTATCGATCTTGTTTGTAGCCATAATAACTTTAACATCACCCCGATCATCGAAACCATCAAGCTGGTTCAAAAGCTCTAACATAGTTCTCTGAATTTCCCTCTCTCCACCGCTAGTGCTTTCGTATCTCTTGGTACCAATTGCGTCGATTTCATCGATGAACACAATACTGGGTGCATGTTCCGCTGCAACTTGGAAGATCTGTCGTACTAGACGAGGACCATCTCCGAGGTATTTCTGGATAAGTTCCGACCCAACAATACGTAAGAAAGTAGCAGACGTCTGATTTGCCACTGCCTTTGCAAGTAATGTCTTTCCGGTACCGGGAGAACCATATAAGATGACACCCTTTGGTGGTTTGATACCCATTTCCTCGTATAGTTCCGGATGTAGTAGAGGGATTTCAACGGCTTCACGGACTTCCTGGATTTGTTGTTCGAGACCACCAATGTCGGCATAGGATTCTGTAGGGGCTTTATCGAGCTTCATGACGGTAATTAGCGGGTCGGAGGCTTCGGTGAGCACACCAACAATGCTAACGGACTTGTGATGGAGAAGGACAGTGGCGTTTGGTTCGAGGAGATCCTTATCGACGAAAGACATGATAGAGACGTAGTACCTGAACACCCCACTATTAGTATATCCACCGGACGAAAGTCTGGATTTTTCGGGCAACGAACTCAGGGCCAGTTGCAGAAGAAACAATAGCGTGATCATCGTCAATCATTTCCTCAAGATTTCCAACACCCATAGGACTTCCACGCATATCGTCCACGCGCATTCTTTCCTCAGCAGCACGGTCATCGGTCGTACCAGTTGGTTTCAAAGCTTCCTGATTCTGAACAAACTCCTCCTCCAAGAGCAAGTGATCCTTAATACGCTCCATTCGGAGCATCTTTAACTTGCATCGAGCGTTCGGGTAGACGGTAGGAAGCTTCGAGGTAGCATCGGGACCTTGCGAACGTCTCTTCTTACGACCTGGGCGCGGTGGGGGTGGTGGCGGCTCGTACTTTGGCTTATCTTTCTGTAGATTCTCAAGCTATCAGTATCCGAATTATCACCACGAGATAATACCTTCAGGCTGAATCTATACCTTCGCGTCCTTTCCGTCTTTGTCGCCGGGTGGCCCACCTTGGCCCATGCCAGACTGTGTATTACCCTGTCATTCCCCTGTATTAGCTTTTGAAGCTGAAGCTGAAGCTGGACGTCATTCATTCGTTTCACCATACCATGACGCGTCTCTTTATCTATATGGGTGTTATAGGATGAGTAGATGGTAGAAGTATCCTCTGCCAGAAGCCGTAACAGGTCCTAAGCCGTGGTGATGGTGTTTCGAGATGTGGGTCGTGGGAGTTGGAGGAGGCACGGTATCGGGCTTGGGCTTGGGAGCTTGCGTACTGGCTCTACTGGCTCTTGGTTGGTCAGCGAGCTTGCACGTGACTGTAGAAATACAACAGGGTCAACGCACTCCCTTGTTTTACTCCAACACATCTGTTTCTGGGCCAAGAAAAAGAACGTGTATGTCTGGTGCATATCGGATCACTGATAATCATGGTGAATTGGAGTCGATTCTACCAATTTTGGATCGACGAAATTAATGAAATAAAATATAATAAAATATAAATAGCACAAAGCAAAGATACAGCGGGAGAGCAGGTATATAATGGGGAATACTGACTCCCCTCATCCTCCAAATCATTCAACTTTCTATAACTAAACTACAAACTACCATCAAATCAGCCCTCGACGTAGTTTACACTATAACATTCCTTCGGATACCCTACAATCAAAATGAGCTGTTCTCAGTCATGTTGCTCAAAAAAGAAGCCTCGAAAGCCGTCCAGGATCCAGGAATCTAATGCTGAGGCCAGTAGTCACCCAGAGACATACCATGGAGAGTATATTGACCTAGACAGCCGTGAGGATATTCCTTGTGCGCCTGGTTCATGCTCTCATATTATCCCTTGCCCGAACTCGACTATTGAGCCACGGGTCCGGTTTATATCACCTGAAGTGCCCGTATATAGTTCTGACGCAGCCCCTGGTCGTGAATCTCGTAGCACCTTTCGAACAACTACTCCCAGTACTTCCGCTGCACGGAATCAATTAACTAAGCTCGAAGACCATGGTGAAAAAAATTCTACTTTGCAACGTCCACAACGGAAACGGCCTCGCCACTCTAATGACGCATACCCTTCAGATACGGAAGTCCGAGCTGCAAGAAGTCTGGATCGAAGTGGAACAACCGCAAAACGGCGTGGCTTAACAGATTGTACAAGCGGACGGCTGCCACAACTTCCCAGCATTAGAAGGCCTAGTGTTAATGGTAAGCAAAAAGCAGCCAAAAAAATGTGACATTTCTGAGCTAACTATACGGTTCCAATTAATAGAGCTTCAAAGGCGAGCGAATTTGGACGGGATGAAAAATGATTTTAAGAACACTCCTGCGACGAGACAGCCACTGGACGGCACTCATACTGCTAGACCATCGCACGCCCTTCGTCGGTTAGGTTCTAATACACGCAGCTTGAACGGAAACCTACCGAATTCGCCTAAGCGCCCAAATTCTCGACCCAATTTGGAATTCTCAGAGGCAGATTCGTCCGACGTGGATTTCGACGATTTAAGTGTCTGGTCTCTAGAAGAAAAATGTGTCCTTATCCTTCACTCGATCTTCAAATCACCGTATACGTCTATTAGAAGGACACAAGCGTTTACATCACGGCAAAAATTTGAAAGGTTCATTGAGCGCAGGTCTATTTCTTTGGTAGAGCACCTAGACATAGAACCCACATCAAAAACTGTTAACGTGCTGGATAAGGACGAACTTGGATGGCAAAGGGTTCTCTATGAAGTGCAATTCCCAACTGATGAAGACTCGGACCCTGATATGCCGGTAATAGTTCCGCATGATTTTATCGCTGGTCCAATAAAATCATCTTTTATACCTGTCCTTGCGGAGTGCGGGATGATAGATGAAGAGCAAGTGGCTAAGCTCGAGCCAGGAGGACTGGAATACTGGGAGTCTTGGGTCGAAGTTGGTACACTCGATAGTTGAACCCAAACACTGACATATGGCACATGATGCATTGTCGATCGAGATCCCGAGTTTGTACAAGACACGCTTATACCCAAGATAGTCTGCGGCTGTGGAGAAACCCGTTTATTTTTATGGCTGAAAACGTTATTGAACTAGTACTAGTAGTAGTTTGCAATTGGAGATAAAATTATCGGCCACGTTAACGTTATCGATCCCGTTGGCCTCTGTGTAGTTTTCTCACATAGAAACTTTCCGATTCCTTTCTTTCTCTCTTTTCTTTTTCTCCCCATATATTGATCAAAGCCTCATTCGCGGCCCCTCGTCAGCTTTGAATTAAGGCTACAGGCTAATATCTCCTTCCCTGTTTTCGGATACATCTGTCAATTCGGAGAAGCTTGGACCCTTCGACGGAATTGTTTTTTTCTTTTGCGTCCTGGGTCGAAAATGGTTGGTACCAACAGCTGGGGTCATCCGGATCCGTCCTATTCGCATGTTGCTGTTGTACAAACCATTCGAATTGCAGCCAAATGGAATACCAACCTTCTTCCCAGCTGCAGCTGAGGCCTGCGCGTGTTTTCCTCTATCTTTGCCTTGCATTGTATTGAAACGATAAAAACGGTTGCCACCTCCCCAAAGGTCTGTCTGTGTAATAGAATGATTTGATTTGATAATCACAAAGGATTCGATTTTAGAAAAAAAGAAAAAGAAAGTAAAATCAAAAAGAGGTGTATATGTATAACACAATTGTTCCTTTTCGTTTTGATTCTGTTTTGGTTCACGAATTCACCGCATGCGTGTAATCATGAAATACCCCCATGAACCTGGTTGCAACATCTCATCATCATCATCGTCGCTAATTTTTAACTCATGACCGACCGTCCGACCCGTCCGCAGTGCATCATCTCCACACATACCGCAATTTTTAAATTTTTAGAACAAGGGCTTCAATTGCCGAATAAACAAGGGAAGGGGTGAGGGGATCGGCGAATCACCAATCAGAGGCTTAAAATCAGCATTTTCGTCGCTATTTAAGAATATTGCGATTCTTAATAGACAGATATATATATATCTACACCCTAGACTGTCCATATGCTTAAATGCATATTACCCCGAATGGGATAAAAAAAAAGGAAGATTGTATATGCCGGCATACCGAAGCACGCACTTATCCAAAAAGTTTAAAAGCTACGTAGTCAGGAATGTGGCTGACGAACCCTTCTTTTTGAGACAATCTTTAGCGAACATGGAATGAATGAAGGGATAGAACAGGTCCTAACTACTTCTTACATAGCATAGTAGTGAACGAAATGCTGAACCAAAGAAAGAAAGAAAAAATATTACAGGTTCTAGATCCGGTATTCGAACTAAGCAGCGCCCCCCCACAAAACCCTTGTCGCATTGTTATATTTTTATGATCAACAATTCGTTCTGAACGGTACAAGTCTGGTGACCTATTTTCTTCGTTTTTGGGCTGAACCGAGCGACGCTACGAATCAATCAGCTAGAGAACTAGAGGCGAAAAAATTTCACTCACGCCAGTACAGCTGTACAAGCCGTGCTTTTTGGACAGTACCTGCATTACACTTGGCGACCCGGGCTAGAATCGTTAACCCCGCCAATCGTAGACACAACGGGACGCATTTTCGCACATAGGCGAATTTCCATCCCAAACTAGAAGAGAACCTAAAAGAAAGACGGGCTTTCCGCCGCCCTACTACGTAAAAGAAAAGAAAAGAAAAAAAAGAGGGTTTTCGACTCGGAAGGGGAGGGCTTGTGTACATATAAGAAGGGCTGGGCTGGGTATATCCTTCCGGCTCTTCTTGACCACGCATAACCACCTTTTCTCAATACAACCGCACTGCATGCACATAAAACTTTAAAGTATTCCCAAAGGAAAAAAAAGCGAACTCGATATTATATTAATCATCCTTGTGTAACATTATAAACCTTTCTGCCCCCCATTTTTCTTTTCTCAAGAAGAAGAAACGGGAAAACAAAAAACAAAAAAAACCGACGAAGTACTGCTGCCTGCAGACTAAAGGGGAACAAAAAGAGAAAAAGAACGCGGGAACGGGAACGGGAATAGGAATATTATAAACGTTTGTCGATATACCCTAGGCCTATCGGCCGATCACAGTATTTCGTTCTCTCGTTCTTTCTTTCCTTTTTTTATTGGGACTGAAGTTGCGTCCTTTCTATTTGCCCGAGGGGTTACCTATACGGTTTTATCCTGTTTTTGACTTCGGGAATCGAAAATTAAGCAGGAATTGGAAGGGGTGGGGAAGGGGACAGCTGAGCCTCCAATCGCGCATCGCAATTGCGAGAACGAGAGTTCCGACGGACGGCTGTACCGTCTTGGTGAACTTTTTGTCACTCTTGCAGAGAAGTAGGCCTCTACTATTTTCTTTTTTTCCCGGAAAGATAGTCAAGCCTATTTCTTATAAGTCTCACGTTTCGACCGTGTGGGATCTTAAATACTCGATTTTGAAAATTTGCTTAAACGGATTCGGTCAAAATATTTCCATTCTCCATCACGAAACGAGGTTTTGAAGTTGAGTTCTTAGAGACTCGAGATATCTACCAAGGCTTCCAACATTCAGCTCGACAAAGACAAAAAAAGAATACACCGCCAGTCAACTATATATATACCTATAAACGTTATTAAACTTCTCTATTCAAACTTCACAAAAATGTCGAGATCAAGCATATCGACATCGAGTTTATCAGATACAGATTCCTTCCCCTCTAGTAAGTCACCATGGTGCCATGATATCTAAAAATATATTCCAACATCCAAACATCAACTAACATATAACATCTATTTCCAGCACCTACAACTCCAACCACCCAATTCACTCTTCCCCTCTCAAGTGGCTGCTCTCCCACAGTAATCACAATCACAATAATAAACCCAACCCCTTACTCCCTCCAAGCAATCAAAAACAACCATGGCTGGAACCACCTCCAAGATCCCATCTGTCCAAACTCCGATGGTACATTGATCCTCCATTCCCCCAACACGGGAAAGGCAGCCTACATCCTCGGAGACACAGGTGATGTCATAGAAGTTGCCGGAGGAATAGGGATGGGTGATCATCCCATGGTCAAACTATGTCCGGAGCTTGGAGGAGGAGACAATGAGGTATTGGAATGTGTGATGAAAGAACCGGGCCATTTCGTCTATAGGTTACCCGAAATGGAACATATGAATCATGCGCATGCGATGGTCGAAATGGAAGGTCTTAGTACGGATTTGATGGTTAATAATTTCACTCCTTGCTTTTGATTTTTTTTTTTTTTTTTTTTTTTTTCTCTTCTTCTTCTTTGGCATCTCTTAACCCCTTCTTATCACAGACTTTTTAGTCTTTGATTTTCTTCTTCTGTTTTCCCGAAATAATCATTTTACGCAGTATACATATTGTTGCCTGTTATTAATTGAGCCACCAGGTACTGGGAGGGAGGTATTACATATACGCGCGCGGAGTTTTTTTTGCTTGTATTTATAACCACGAGTAGGCAGGGAAGTCTTTTCGAAGGTTAGTTTGTATCGGAGTTTGCATAGGGATTATACGGTGGTTGGATTGTCTTCTGTATTGTAAAGTAGTTATGTCTAACGAATATGAATGAATTTAGCGATTGAACTGGTACCATGGCGTATTCAATGCCTCTGGGTTTAGTAGAACTCACAGGTGTCATATAAATAACCAATGGGTATACAAAGGCTGTGTAGATTTTGGGATAGTATAGGTGGTAGGGAAATGCAAATCCTGAGCAACAATACCAGCCGCCCCCGATCTACATACACTATAGAGAAGAACAAAATTATGAGAAACGCCAGACACTCCAATGCCAGGATATATAAACAACCGCGCTAAGAATGCCAGAAATCCAACGCCAGAAAACAAGTTAAATATTGAGTCCATGATGATGCCTTTTACGATAAACGCTGGAAAACCCGCTCCGAAAATGCGAACAGCAAAGTAAAATAACGCCATATTCGCCCAAGACCCCGTAATTTTAAGACCGGTCCTCAGTGGCGTGGGGTAAAAAAACCCCAAAAATTGTAGTTTAAAAAAATACACAATGCAGGGATGCCGAATAAATCAGTTCAACGTCTCTCTCGGGGACTGGAAGGTCGTGGTGGGGGTCGCTGTGGCCTGCTGCGTTCTGAATCGGGTCGTCGACGCGGAGTACCTCTCGGTGGCGAGCGTGGCCTTCGGGGACTTGAAGCATGTCTAATGTAGTTTTCTTGCCCTCGAGATTGAGGGGCAGAAGCTCTTCGGTCGGTACCTGGACGGTCATAAGGTTTCCTTGACCCCGCTGTTCGTTGCAAGCGGGTGGGTTGTCCTCCATGCATTTGCGAAAAAGAGTGAGAGCTACCATAAGGCCGTGGGGACCTCTCGCCTGGTTGTCTCTGTATCCTATCGGCCAATGGCCCAGTCGGAGTCTATTGACGATCATTAGCACTCTGAGATAAAATCTGGCGTGTTGGATATTGTTGACTTACTACTGGGCTTTGGGGTCCTGCGGCGGCATCTCGTTGGCTTGGGATAATCCTAGGAGAGGCTTGGCTTGGACGAACTCTGGGAGAAGCCTGACTCGGAAGAGTCTGGGAATTTGACTGGCTCGGGAGGACGAGTGGCGGGGGGACTGGCGGGGGGACTGGCGGGAGGCCTTTTGTCTGGGGTTTCTGGATCTGAGGACACTTTTGTTAGCCCTGAATATTGTCAAAGGTATTAATTATGTCTTGCTTACCCCCTTCCATTCATCCTTGTTTAGGCTGACACGTCTCTTCGGTTGTTCGGTATGCTCTTTAGATTGAGTCACGTTTCCCTTTGAAGGGGCGCTCGGACCAGCTTGAGGACGTGGCGATTGGGCGCCAGATGCTGAATTGGTTTGGGAAGGCGTAACTCCTGCACGACTTGAAGATGGTGTCGTAGCTTTCTCACCCTGCAGCTGTTGCATCTGTAGTAACAGGATTAGTAAACATTTCTCTTCCAAGTCTTCTGATCAACAAGAAAATAGTATTAATTACGCACCTTCGCCCTGAACTCTTGCTTTTCCCTATGGGTGCGATTGACTCGCTTTGGTTCGCTGGTAGCCTTGCTCGTGGGTGTCAAAAGTGGGGGTGTCGCAGGAGAGTTCGTAGCAGCAACGCTAAACCCGGTAGCTGGGATTGTACTAGTAACGACTTTCTTTTTAGGAGCACCTAGGGTCGCGTTTGCAGTTGTATCATTGTCGATGTCCATTTCATCTACCCCAGGTTCCGTCGACGCCCCATCTTTGGCACCCCCACTTGCAGTCTCGCTGGACTCCCCAACTTGTTCCTCAGCCACTGGTTCTTCGTAATGAACCTCATACATGTCTTGAGTAACCAATTCTCTTAACCAGTCCTCCTCCAAGAATTTATCCATGACCTTAGGATCTTTCCCCTGCATGCCCTCGAAACCGGCCGGATCTCTCGGTATGTATCTGGGTGCTCTGAACCAATCGGCGGCTTCTGACTTCTTGGCCTTTCTGGCTGGGGTTGTCTTATCGACGAGTCTTGCCGCTAATGACATCTTGAGAAGCGAGTTATTATGGATGACATCTTCGAGTGTTCCACCGATCCTGAACCTGTAAACGAAGACGTGCTTAGTTTGTCCGAGACGGTAGGCACGCCCTACCGCCTGTTCCTCATCCTGAGGTGAAAACTGTGAATCGAAGACCACGATTCGGCTCGCAGATTGAATATTCAGACCTAGGCCCCCGGCCTTGGTGCTAATGAGGAAAACAAACTTATTGCTATCCTCATTATTGAACCCTCTAGCAATCGTCTGCCGTTTCGCTGTCGAAACCTCCCCGGTAATCTTCACGAACTTGATGCTTTGTTTATCGAGAACTTCCCCGATGTACTTCAAGGTTTCCACAGACTGCGAAAACACCAAAACCTTTTCCTTTATCGTGATACAGGACTCAAGTATTCGCAAAAGAACCTGAATTCTGTAACTATGAGCTGTATCCTTAAGATTCTCAGTTGCAGTAATCACTTCTTGCAGTCGATGAGAAATAGCGCTATCGGCCCCAAGAATTGCTTTTTGTGAATCCGGATCCTCTTCGGCCTCGCCTTCTTCAGATGACTCCCTAGCGGCTTCTTCATCACTCAGATTCACCTCTGTGATTTTGGCGCTTTGGAGTGGACCTTCGATCTTTGCTTTCTTCTTTGCCTGTCTTTTCTCGAAAGCCTTCCAAAACAAAGCGGGGTGGTTCAGAAGCACCCCAAGTTGTGCAACAAAGTCGAAAAATCCGCAGTAGTAACCCTCTTCAGTATCTCTTTTTGCCTCTTTGGCATAGAAACTGTATAGCTTGTACTGAAGCTCGGTTAATGGTAGAGTTATTAAAAATTCTGTTTTGGGGGGTAGGGTGTTCTCTAGACCCTTGATCTGCTTTATATTGACTCGACTCATCTTGGGCCCCCAAAGCGCGATGAGCTCCCTTTGTTTCTTGTTGCTCTCCTTAATTTCTTCGTCAAGCGAGTTTATGTATAAACCATCTCGAATTGGAAGCTTGAAATTGTTATTAAATTCAGCTTCGTCTCCAGCATACTCAGGGTCAACCCATTTCATTATGTGAAAATATTCAGTGAGGTCGTTAGCAAGTGGAGATCCAGTCATGGCGATACGAGAACGTGTTTTGAACATCCCAAATAATTTAGCGATTTTGGAAGTCTTGGTCTTGATCTTGTGGGCCTCGTCAGCGACGACAATCGTTGGAGTGTCTAAGAGGAGATTTTTGATTTTTGTCACTTGTTCCAGTTTTGCTTCGAGTTCCTCGAATCTGGCGTCTTTGGACACCGAATCAGGAATAGAAGCCTCATTTTTAAGTTTTTCATACTCCTTCTCGATCGACTCAGTCCTTGAGCAGAGCTGGCTGAAGGATTCATATCCTATTATGAGAACAGTCCCCTCAGCCGCCCATGCTTCGATTGCCTCGATCCTGTCGTTCATGCAATGTGCTTGTGTAACCGGATAAACAGTCGCTAGAGCACCATCCGCCCATTTAGAAATTTCTTCGCTCCAGTTCTGTATAAGCCCTGGAGGGCAAACGATTAGAGCTCGCATGTTCCTAAGCTCCGCAGGTATCTGACTCTGGGTCCGAGGCCTTTCAGAAACGGCAGCGTCGGCAATTGCGCAGAGTACAGTAATACTATGATAAATTGGGATAAATGAGCGTCATGTAAGGTATTCAGTCCAGTATTACTCTATCCACTTACACCTGTCGAGTCTTTCCCATGCCCATGGTATGTGCCAACAGTGCCCCAGTTCTCTTCTCTGAAACAACGATATTCCTCCACAAGAACTGTACCCCTGATTTTTGGAAGTCGTAGAGCGGCTGGTCGCTAGCGGGGAAGTAGATCGGGTCATCCTTTGCTAAGTGACCTAAGTTGATGAGATCACTTGTTTGCCCAGCCTTTCTACCTCTTCTCTCTCGCTCCATTAATTTTAAACGTTCCTTGTCGTTCAGCTGGCGGATTCTTTGCGTTTCGTGGTCAACCATTTTGGTGCGATTGATTTTTTGCCGGCGAGGGGTGCTTGTGCCGCTTCGGGATGCTTCGGCCTCTGATGTCGCTTCATATTGAAACGACCGCTGGCTGAGTGTGATTTCCTCCTCGGAGTCGCTCTCCAGTAAAAGAGATAGAGCATCAATTTTGGCTTTTCCCTTCCCTTTACTCTTGTCGCTTTCAAGGTTGACCGGTCTGAAATTCAAAAAAGGATATAAAGATAAATTGTCAGAGTGTCCAGAAAGAAGAAGGAATTAAAAGAGAGGGCGGGTGGGGGGAATTTGAGAGTGGGTGCAGAGTTTAAACATTATGATAAGATAAACGCAGCTATTTCAATCGATCAAGATGTACCTCTGAGTATTCTGGCCTGTTGCCTGGGAACTTTCGCTCACGATACCAGTTGCTGTGCCCTCGGTATCCGCTTTCCTTTCCTCATATTCTGCCACGTCGCCGAGGATAGGTGTCAGCTCCCTCGTGAACAATAAGAAGTTGTCCATGTTGCTTAGGAGCAATTTTTGCCTCTTGTAGTCTATGCTTTTTGGACGTGGAAAGCTGTAGGCTGAGTATAACCTAGCGAGAACTGAGTATGCTGGCTTGTCCTGTCTTTCGAAACGACATATTTTTTTAGCTAGGTTATCCCTGTATAGCGGCTATTGGAGGAGTGTGGATAGCTTACTCTTTGATACCGAGACTTTGAGTGTCTACGGGCTTGCTCTGCGAGATATTCCAGCAACCTAAAACCTTGTCCAGCATAAGTTCGTTGCCGTAGAGACTTCTCTCTGTGCTTATAAGCTTCCTTAGTGACAACAATTCTCCCGCCCCTTTATCGTACCGGGCCTGCAGGTCCCTTTTCCACGCACTCGTAATCCCTTCCAAGGGCGTGCAAATTACCGGTCGTTTTGTGACTTTAGGTTGGATTTTCGCAGCTGAAGAGGATGGAGCAGATGAAGTTGCTGTTAATCCCTGGGGTGCAGAAGGAGTTCGGTCAACAGGCGAAGGGGAGGGACTCAATCGCACGCCTTCTTTGAGCGCTGTTTCTCGAGACTCGATGATCGCGATTTGGAGTTGTGTATCTTCATCCTCATCCAGGTCCAGCTCGATAGGGAAGTTTTGCCGTCCTCTAATTGAACTGTTTGAGGGGCCAGGCACTGGAGTCTTTTCAGGAGTTAATACTGGTGTATCGTTCGTCAGATCAATGAACTCTCCTCTCTTGAAGACCGTGAGAATCGGGTTTTCGGCTTTAATAACTGGAGGTGGGGTGGCTACTTTCGGCACTGGAGTGCCTTGCTCAATCGTAAACGGGCCTGTGTCACCGAATTCTGGATCGGAATTACTGATTGCGGCAATGGGTTTGGCGGTGGATACGCTGGTGGGCTCGGGAACAGATTTGGCAGCGGACTCAGTCTCAATGGATGGTTCAGGAGTGGGTGTCCCTGATCCGTTGTTGGTTGAAATGGGTTCTTCGAGGATAGGAGTAGCGGGGCTCTCATCATCGCTAACCGCGAGACCGACTTTGGGAACACTTGTTTCGGATTTTCGGGCAGTTTCTGGGAGTTCATTCGAAAACCATCTGAAAGAATCACTACTAGCCTTAGCAGACTTCTTCGACTGCTCATAAAGCGACTCGTCTCCATCTTGGCCTTGACCTTCAGGCCCAGCATCTGGGAGATTGGTATCGTCGTTGCCGTGATTGCTGGAAGACCCAGTAGCTTGTTGATTCTTTCGGCCTTTCGGCTTTGGTTGATCTTCCTGCTCATCGTCATCCTCGAGAACAACGTCTGCTGCTAGTTCGTCGTATAGGTACCGATTTTGAAGTCGAGCTAATACAGCATCGTTTTCAGCCCTCATATTTTCGTGGCCTTCATCATAGACAGTATCATCAACGATGAATTGATCCATGTCAGATTCACTATCTTCGAAATCTGTCTCCTCCCCATCTGAAATGCTGAGATCTTCTTCATCTACAGCTGTTGGTTCGCCCTCCGCATCCTTGGCTTCGCCTCTTTCAATCTTCCTTCGGGGCGCAACCTCGGTGGACAATGAAGAATCAGGAGTTTCGGGTTTCTTTCCTTGAAAAGTATCACGCCGCCAAATCGCAAGCTCTCGGCTTTGGATAGTAGTTTTCGATTGTGCTTCCATGAACTTGCGCAATTCAACCGCAGAATACCAGTTATTCTTGAGATATCCATCCCAATGGTTGCTCAGACGGGTGTCAAGTTGACTAATGGTCACCATACTGCCAACGACTATTTGCCTCCGACTATTTTTCTTCTGCGCCTCCATCCAGCACTTGTACTTGACCATTTCGAATCGGGGGAACGCACTTTCCCGCCATTTCTCTACGACTTTACTTTTAACCTGTTCCCAGATTCCTTCCATCTCTTCAATGGTCAACTTCTTCCCGGTACTTTTCCTTGCTATCTTTTGCTCATGTGATACTAGGTCCCGGCGTATTTCCCTCTCGGTCTCTAAATCGAGGCCCGGGCTTGGCCCACGATAGTCGACGGGAACGAACTGATCGCCGCCTTGGAGTTTCGCAAGAAGGTCGTGTTTTTCACCCAATGCTTGATAATAGTCTGCATCTTCAACTGGCTCCCAGGGATCCATCCGTTTCCGGTCCAAGCCAGCTGTAGCATCCATCAACTGAACACGATCGGATTTTCGTTTGTAGATCTGATTCCGTACATCGAGATCGGGAAAATCCGCAATATGATTTTTGAGATTCTCCCCAACTTGTACTTCCTGATCGTTGACTATGGTGATGGAATCCCGCTTATAGCGATGGAGATGACGAAGCGTGTGGTGTCTATAAGCTATATGAAATTTGCCGTTGATTCTTCTTTTGTCAATCAATTTTTTGTGAAAGAAGGCGTTTGTAATCCGGGCGGCCCCCATACGTGTCCCAGCCGATACCTTTCTCCTGACCACGAAGCAGTCAGTGTCGTTTGAGTCATCACCAACTAGTGCCATCTCCCCAGCGGTGACTGGAGATCGGTCTAGGTAGGTAGAGGACCTAGAGCGATTCGCTTGGCGCAACCTAGGGGCTCGTTGACGGCGGATTTTTGAAAGAGGAGAAGCATCCGATTCCGATTCCGTGAAGGTCAACTGTTCCCCGCTCTCGTGACCCCTAAGCCTAAGGAGGGGAATGCTTGATTCTTCTTCAATCGGAGGGATATCTTCCATTCCAGGGGGGTCGTCTGTGACAATGTGGTAATCGGGTTGGTATTCTCGAGGGGTTGTAGCATCTGAATGGTCTTTCGCGGCGGAATCCAGGCTCATATGGTCGTCCACATCGTTCTCCAAAATCGGGGGCATCTGAACCAGTATTCTCTGCATTGTGACTTCATGTTCATCGCCATCATTATCTAGTCGAGGTCGCTTTGTGCTTCTAGCATCAATGTCGTCATCGTCTCTAGAAAAATGTATTCGAGGAGTTGAAGGTCCAGCAGGATATATGAGTTGTCCAACTCCACCGTTGTTATCGTCACCATCGTTTGACCTGAATATTGAGTGAGCTTCTCTGGTAACGAGTTTGCTCGGTGTAGCAACAAGAGGCCCTGACCATTCAACCTGGGCCTCAAGTAGAACCTCATCAGCATACCTTTGGATGTTGCCAAATTTCAATACCTTCGTTTCAGGTACTAGTCTCGCAGGGTAGCCATCATCATCACCACCACCATCATCATCATCATCATTATTTTCATCCCCGTCCACTCTGTAGTCCCGAAGCGAGAGCCTGCTGGTATTTTGTGGTGGGGGCGGCAGAAGGCTATCGTCGCCGAGGTCGATATCCGGCCGTTGTGGGTAATTTCGACGTATCTCTTGGATAATGCTCCACAGTAGGATGCATAGCCCAACCTGTTTTATCCCCAGGTCGTCTTTCAGTGTATCCCTTGTAAAGCTATCGTCGAATAGAACTGCCCCAGTAATATAATTATCGATGAAAAGTGCTCTTCCAGCATCGGATTGGAAGAACTTTTGGACGGGAAGGGGTCGTCGAGGTTTCGATAAGTAATCGACAACTTCTTCAGCTGTCCAGTCCTGAGGGTACTTAGCACCCAGTAAGGAAATAACGCTCTCGTCCATTATGGACAAGCTTAGTATATATCCTTGGACAATCAAAAGGATCCCTGTTTGGTATTAACAGCCACGCAAGGCCATGCTATCTGCGATGATGACTAGCTTTAAGAAGCGCGATAGAGAAAAGGAATGTTTGGTGATCCAGCGATCTGGAATAGGTAGAACCACTGTATTTTGGTTAGTGTTGATTTCCGCTAGAGCCAATAGGGACGTGGAATCCAAGACACTTACCGAAACAACGCTTTGAAGTTAATCTTCAAAGAGCCTTTAACGAGGGGAAAGATACGTTAAGAATGAGAAGAGGAAGGGGGAGGACAGGTGAAGATGAAGGGAGGCAGACAACAGCGATGGTGAGGGAGAAGGTAAATGGAAGTTGGAGGTTGTAGATGGAGTCAGAGGAGCGTGGGGAGGTGTAGAAGAAAGAAAGAATATTCCAATCTCTCAGCGAGTCAAGTTCAAATTCAACAACCAACTTGTGGGGTCCCAATCTTCCCACTCTCGACTGTCTCAGAGTTCGGACCACCACCCTAATTGGCGCCACCGACCCAAAATTCAGGCACGATTAGACTTCGGTTCCCGCCAGAGATTGCTGGCGCTGGAAGGTAACTAACCCCCAGTCGATGGGAAATGGGTCCCTGGCAATTGGTGAGGTTTCTTTCAAAGGGACCGTAGGATGTCAGGTCGACATGCTAGTTTTTTGCTAGATTGCGGTAGGTTATCGTCCGCTATACTGCTTTCGTCAGGTCATACAAAACGGTTGCTAACATCTACGGCACAGCAGAACTTGGTCCCGTCAAGAAAATGTAGACAGGCGGGAATCGATTCAGGGTCTTGGAAGGGATGGGTTCTGAAAGTCAAAGAACCAAAGTCTTCGACGACATACGATCAGTTCTACGGAGTATTGAATACTCGAGGGAGCTTCAAATAGCCCAACGTCGCTGCGCCTTCCTGAAGACGGCTTCGATCATTTCAATAAAGAACCAAGTCTCGAACCCAGGATCTCGGCAACCCTGGTCGCTGAACAGGCGCTAGCTGAAGCTGAATTGGCGGGTTATTATTCATACTGGTTCATGTGGCACGGGAGAACGCTCGTCAACCAACGATTATGCTCCACCGATAGTACTAACAATAGCACGAGGCGATTCATTATCACAGCTTCTATAGCCCAGACGACTATCTTCATGCATAAAATCCTGTTCAACTGAGAGCCGCTTTTTAATATGCAAAAAGTATGTATTCAGAGCTCCACGAATGACCTTTAGCCAACCCTTGGCAGTGACTCCGCTTCAGCATCCTAGCAGGGGTACCATTCCAACATTTATTTTTTGAGTTCATTCATGATCACAAGATGCGATATCTTTCAAGCCGACAAGGTATTTATTTTCGCGGGAACACAATATAGATTACCGATTTTTTGGGGGTTTCGTTGAAGCTAGGATCTTGACAAAGTTCCAACCAGTTCTGCTCCTCTCCACATGGCTACGGATATACACTAGCCACGCCGACCATGAGGCTCATGGGCACAAGCCAGGTGGTTTAGCATTTTCAAGCGAACCCTGCGATTCCACCGCCGCCGCTAAAAGGCTTGTCCCGTTCCTCGAATGCGTCGCATATAGGTGGGTCCATGACGAGGCGTGTTTCCAAGACGTTTGGCAGACCATCCTCAACTTGTGGAGTAAGAAAACGGCACTTGTTCGCTGTTTAAATGCTCACCTTTTTAGTTTATCCAAGCAGGATCCATTTGATTATATATAAATATCAAGCGATAAGGATAATATAAAATAAATTTTCTGCTGGCGGATGCATTTTCCGTCTTGAGATTTCGACTCAATCTTTACCGACTCCTGGATCCTCCCGGTCACGATTTCCAACCCCCTTAATATCTATCTAGGTATATATCTCACGACCAACGTATTAATGACCAATCACGTCAAACATATTGATACCCTCAAATAAAGATGTCCGACGAAGAACCAACCCCACTAACGACAATCCTCTTAAACCAATGGCGCAACCCCGGCGACATCCTCTCCCTCCTCCTCCTAATAGGCGGCGAAGTGGTCCAAAAAGCCATAGCACAACTGGTAGGCCTTCGCGTCCCTCACCGTCGAAAACTCCACAATGAAAAAGAAGACAACGATTACTTCTTCACCCTCACACCCGTCGCCTTCTCCTTCGGATGGGTAGCATACGCATTCAACTCCCTAATGGCAGTTTTCGGAAACGGAAATTTAATGCCAGAGCCAGATACGCAGATAATGGTAATCAATGCTGCAAACGGATATGTTCGTGATAACTCTTCGTGGGTCCTGGGTCGTTTCCTAAGAGATTATGAAATCGGGCTGGAAAAGAAAACCAAAGATCTGTGGCCAGATCCCGCGCCGTTGGATTCTTCGAACAACCCGAGAAACGTCAGTTTGAGAATTGATATTCTCGAAGTGGCTTCTTCGATCGACCCTCCTGCCGTGGATACAACATGGTATGTTGGTTGGGTGGTTATAGTAATACAACTGGGTATAGCAGCAATACCCTGGGGACTTTGGGGAGACTGGGTAATCTTCCTCGTTTGTTCCGCAGGAACCCTCTTCAGCCTTCTATCATCTTCCCTCCCACAATGGATATCCGAAAAGTGGGCTTGGAGGCGTTTATGGAAACCAAAAACCATAATATTAACCCGTGGAAACGGTAATCGCTACGCCGTAGCCCTCGTTTGTCGTGCAGGAGACCCAGATATCGAAGCGTTGGCATCAGCAAGAGCTGAAGCTCGCCCGGGTACTAGACCGCTATTCTTGGTATTGACGACATTATGGATGCTCCTTTTGATCACCGTCTCGGGCGTTGAAGACCACCGTTGGTTTCTTATCGCTGTCGGCGGGATTGGAATGCTACAAAACATGTGGGCCGCCTCATGTGTCCGTCATTCCTCAACATTGGGTCTGCACCTAAAACCATACCACCCACGTTCTATAGTGGTCGGCTACCAAACCGACCGCGCTGTCGGACGACCCCCAGATGAACCCAGAGTCTCTATGACTGGAGAAGAAGAACTTCCACCCCAAAAGCCCAACAACGAAGTCTCAGACGTCATGGGCGCTTTAATAGAAGCCGAGAAGGTTATTCCAGGCTTAGGTGCTTGTTTGGTTCCCATATTCTTTCCTGGGAATTTAACATACGACGAAGCGCCGTTGTATTATAACCGTGAAAAGAACTTTTGGGAATTGGCGCATCTGACGATGAAGGGTAGGCGGAAGGAGCATGCGAAGTTCATCGCTGGTGGGCCGAGTGGTCATGGAAAGGAGAGGGAGGGGGATAAGGCTGTGTAAATTTGTAGTATATTTAACGACTTTTACGAATGCTTTGTACAGTAATGACGATGCTTTTACTAGCACGCGATCTTGACAGCAAGTTGTAATATGATTGGATGTATATATATCAACGTGTTCTCTGCACTTTTGGTTAGCCCGGTCGAATGGGAATCTCAACTACCGCGGAGCCTCAGCCTTGATTAACATCTACCGAATCCAATATCTCACGCTTACATCGATAAGGGGCCATATTTTGTTTGTATATTACTATTATATTCCTCAAACGAGTGAAAACACCCCCGATTATACAAAAGAAGCTTGCAGCATAAGCTCTTCGAACCAGCGGGCGTGGTAAGGTATACTACTGAAAGAAAAGAAGAATGATTACATGCGGCATTGCGGCACGTTACATTCATGAAACGAAAGGACAAAGTCTACTAGAGACTTCGAGGATAGAACTCCAGCCCTTCCAGAGGTTTAAAGAGAGAGAGAGAAAAGGAGAATGCGAGGGGGGAATGTAAAAAAGAGAAAAAGAGAGAAAAAGAAGCCAGTCTCGAGAACCCAGAGAGGAACTAACCAACCTCCATGGGGCGAGGCAGAGAAACAGTCTTTCGTCCCAAGTAATATAATATCAAGAGCGAAACCACATCCGATGGTAGAACATCAGACGGGCGCTACGATATAAACCCCTCAAGTCAAATAACCATCTTTCCCGCCTCACCCCTAAACTTTTTCTTCCTCCTCTTTTTCTTCTTCTTCCTCCTCTTAAACCGGTGGGCCTTCGTGAAAACAAAACATCTTGAATGATCAAATATAGCAACAATAAGACTGGTAAAATAAGGAAAATCTCGTACGTATCTACCTGACTCTGCAGATCGGGTATTTACCGGGAACGAGAGGGGCGACGACTTCGAGAAAAAACCTGGACAGCGACGACGGCGACCGCAGAACCTCTCAACCCCTGGTTTGGACGTCCGCCTTTCATCTATAGAGTGCCTACGCCAAAAGTCAACCCTTTTATTATCTTCTAAAACTGTATATCGAGAACATCGATTCCAGATCCAAAAGACGTAGAGGTAGAAATGGTGAAGACGATGAAAGGGAGTCCGTGGGTGCACATGCTAGTGCTTGCGAGAGGCGTGCTTGCCGGAAGGTTTGGCGGCGGGAGTGTAGCTGGCTGTAGTTTTGAAGAAAACAGTTCGAGGAGGACGTCAGTGGCTATTTCATTTTATCTATATTTATATATATATATATATATGTATGCATGTATGCAGGTACGAGTTCGAGCTTCGAATAAGATTGCATGCACACGGGAGGAGTTTTCTTTCGTCGGTTTCGGATCGATCTGGGGTTGGAGTCCAGTGGCAATCCTGGGGTCGACCTCGAGCTCGACTTCTGGGATCTAAAAAAAAAAAAAATGCACAACAGAACAAAAAACAAGGCAGCTATATGTTCTTACAATGTTGCCGCTTCCTCTGGCACTGCGGGATTTGCTGCGACGACTGTGAGTTATCCTCCTGTGGAAGAGGAGGAGGACCCAAGTTCTTGTGCATGGTCAGGACAATAGCGCCGTTTTTGCGTTGCGTGGGCTTGAACTGAGGCATTATTGGACTAGCGTAGTTTTTGGCTGGGGGAATTCAGATCTTCGGGAGGAGAATGAGCTTTTTGGAGCCGGAACTAGTGGTCTTTGGAGTCGTCGAGCTGGGCGCAGGCTGGGAAAATTGGTGTTTCTCGAGTGGCATTAAGAATCGAAATATTGTAAACAATTTTAAGGGGGTTTTGGGGGGGGAGAAATCTTTCTGTGAATATTGAGGGGAGAGGGTGTCTATGCTGAATATTTAGAAAGGACAAGTCGAGACGACAGGAATAGTTCTTATAGTTAACGGGTCTCGTTCATGCGACGTGGATGCAAAGCATGTAATGTCGAATAGTGGTCGGTCGGTTAGTTAGTGTTTGAGTCACAGCCCCCCCTTTGCCTTCCTGCTTCCTGCCTTTGCGCAAGGCCGGTGCGGGGGAATGCAATCAAACGGATTCGAATGACTCGTCATTCGCGCCCGCCTCATTGGCCGGGCGGTATCCGCTTCAGGCATGAGTCCCGGAATGGGAGGCTATCTTCACCAAGGCAAATCCAGCTCAACTTCGACCTTTCGGACGTGTCTGCAAGGGCAGGTCAGGTCGAGTTTGAGGTACCGAGAGCTTCGCCTTCAGGGCCAGGGCTGAGAATATGCTTACTTGGAAAGGTGCCTGTTGCAAAAGAGCACCCTCGGTCCTCGCGGGGTCGGATTTCATCCATGCCCCTAGCGTAAGGAGGAGCGGTGATATCATTTCGCGATAGTTGAGATGTGTCACCAGATGGAAGTCTAGGGGAGTCTGGCCGCCTGTGCCATCTGCATTTCGCTTGGCCCGACGACAGGCTTTGCCGTTTGGCCCATAGCTAGGTCAGCTTATAATGGAATTAAAAGCTTGCGCAGGATCTTGCAGCAGGGATAGAAGATGTTTCTGATCGGTCAGAACTCCGAGTGAGATCCATCTGTCATCTGCCATTCCATCAGATAATTTTGATCGCTGATGGACGACTTGGCCACGGACTGGTTGGCCATGGACCTTCTCGAGCTCGTGTGCCTGAGCTAGCTCGAGCTCCGTTTAGCAGTGTCATCGGCTGCTGCAGCTGGCTGTGGCAAAACGTGCAACCTTATTCGAACATCGGAATTCCTCTTGACTTGACTAGACTCGAATGCTTGCACTTGTTCATCTGGTGTTCATATCGTCATTAGTAGGTTGTTCCTAATTTAGATATCCAAAGCGCGCATACATACGTAGTCTTCTGTTGGGCCTGAAGGCTCAAGTTGCTATCGGGTTCGAGAGGGTTTGTCAAGTCTGAATCATGATGCATCAAAAAAGCCGCGGCCGCGCTCATGCCGGGGCAGCAGTTACTAATTGTTAATTAGCGACTGACCCAACAAAGATAACAGAGGCGAACCGAATACAGCTCACTCACCAGTTGTCAATTTTGTTCGTAATGGTGTGGCGAAATGTTAATTCGATAAGTACCTAGCTCATGAGTAACCGTAATTTTGATTAATAAAAATGAGTCTGCTTCACATTAATTTTGATATCCCGCTAGATAGGAGTCTGTAGTTCTTCCTCCCGGGTATCACAGACACCGCAAACGGTATCTTCCCGCCCAACGAGATCTTAAAAACTGTCGCATACATATCTCTAGTTTCCCGTAGGTAATTCGAGGACGAATAGAATAAAAACCTTGCCGTTTATCTGTAATACGACCGTATTTAGATATCATATCGGTTCACGTCCGTCCATGTCCATGTCGAAAGATATATAGATAGTTAGGCCGGCCGTGTCCAGATCCTTTCGCTAATGCGTTCTTATGAATTGCATGCGACCAATTGCAAGCTTACGGCTAGTCCCGAAATGTTCGCGCCTCGAAGGACATCCGGTCTGGGGACAATTCGAAATAGTTTTGGGTATCGATAGATAGTTCAGCCTTGACGCTAAGTTTATAAGCCGTTGACTTCTAATTCGCGAGGTCTGGCAATTCAAATATATGCATATGGGGGGGGGCTGACACGATGCTGCGAACGTCGTATAGTATCACCATTTGTATTAGTGTATACGTAAATAAGCACAGCAGAAGACATGTACCGATTCAAAAAGTCACCAATCCTAGCTTCGGGGCTAGTTAGAGGCTAAGTATATTCGACTCTCGAAATTAAATCCGGAATGTAGGGCATGAATTCGAAGTTGGGTGCTTGCAAGGTGATGTTTTGCTGTCGATTGAGACAACTGTCAAAGGCACACTAGTAAATCAGTAGCCCTATAAAGCAGAACTAGTGCTGCTTACACACGAACACCCTTCACACCCACAATTCTTGTTCGCTATTGTATATGTATTTTCATGTATATGTATGTATACATGCACATAAGTACTTGCATCCCAGATCTTTAGCTAGATCATAATAGCTCTAGATACTAGTAAATCGATATAGTCTAATAGGAGTACTTGGACGCAAATTTAAATATTTGAACATTCACAAATTCTCGTTAACAGTTAATTCTCATATCGGGCTACCGGTTCGCCTCAGAGATCACCTCACGCTAGCACTGCAGCAAAATCGAACCTCGCCAGGATACACTACACACTTCTTACGTATACACGATAGCACACTAGAAACAAGGGATCCTACAGCAAGGCCGACTGTATTTCGATATCCCGCTCAAATTATAAATAGTAAATAACTATTTTCCCTTGAAAAACGTACGCTGCATATATATGCGCATATGCATCTGTACGTTTGACGACAAACAGCTACCATCTACAGCTTTTGAAGCATTATATGCAGTAGAAACACATACGCCTTATTTAAGGGTACATAAAATAGATACATAAAGTATTATGATTATATTAATAGCATCAGATCTCGTATCGATATCATGCATACTACGGCGGGGAATGCAGTCTTCAAAAATAGAAAGAAATTTATGAATGTATATAGTTTAATAACGCAAATTTTACCTAAGATAAACCCAATATATGGGTGGAGGATGAATTAATTCATGAGATAGCTCCGGCCATATAAAGCAGTCTTCATTAAACTGAAATTAGAACTCTACCGTGCGCGTAATTAAATCACGACATCGATCTTGCAAGTTTAACTCTAAAACATTAAAATATATATGAATCACCGAAAATTTCAATAAAAGATGGATGCTTCCGAACAAGAAAGATTGTTCGCTCCATATCTGACTCCAATCTTCAAAGCCAACTGTACTGGGCCAGAGAACTTCGTGCCGCTCCAGCCATTATCGAAATTTTGGCCATCTGGAATGCGTACGCTCTTCGGGACGACGTCATAGCTATAGAGCTCCAGCCGACGCACACGCGTGTCAATCCGGATGAGCCTGTAAATGGTCTTCTTGCGACTTCGGTGTCTCTTTCGCACAAAGGCCGGCGAGCATTTCAACAGGCACAATCGGATGGAGAAACCTTCTTACAGGTTGTGAATGAGTTGTCGAAAACGAAGTCTTATGTAAGTACTTCTGGGGTTTTCCTGCTAGCTTCGTTTAGCTAAAGAGAAGGGAATATTCGTAGGTTTTTAAATTGGCAGGAGGCTTCGGTGTAGAAGATGTCCTGGTACGTCAGTATCAGCAAGCTTTACGCATCTTGTGTCGCGAAACTTTCCCTCGGTTGAAAGATAAAGGGGGAAAAACGTTATCAGCGTTTGAAGACTTAGCGTGTGAAATAGAAACGGGGATAGAAGCTGTAGCTCGAGTTCTTGGTATGTTAGGATCAGTCTCTGTCATTATACATATAGAAATATCGCGCTAACTTTTCCATTTATCAATCGTCCTTGATTTAAGAACAGGTATAATTTCAAATATTCGGGATGGAGTCTGGTCCCTCGCAACGTACATCTGGGGCGGAAGGTGGAAAGGGGTCGGCGGGTGGAAAAGGTACCCAAAATGGTGCCGATTTGCTCAACAGGAAGGTTAGTATTGAGACTGTAGATTCCTGGTCCTGCCTTGCTTTGACTAGGAATACTCAAAATATTTCCCCTAACCAATTCAGAACTAATATAATTATAATCCGCATGATGGAGGTCACCAGACGAAGCAACGAAATACTCTCAGAGGTATCCTCAAAGAACTAATCAGCCTACAAAGCAATGTTTGTACCCTCACCAACTTCTTCAAATCTTTATACTTCAATGCCACAGAGCTGTCCAGGAAATTTCGAAATATGAAGCGGACATCAAAATTACCACCGAAGATGATACCATAGCAATGCTTTCAACACAGGCTGCAGATTCAATCCACCGCGAACTCGCAATTTCCCGAGTACCAGTTGCCACCAAGTTGAAAGCGTATATCGACATTTCATATACACATATTATTCCAGGACTTGAGAAGATTGAAGGAATTGCTACGCTTGACTCGGGGAAGGCAGGCTTGAACAAACAGACTCAGTTAGCCCTTGAGCAGATGGCGAAGTATCGTTGTGATGCGCAGGAGGCGATTGATGAATTGATAACGAATGTATGCCCCCAACCTATTCCTTATAAATAACAAAAGGAGTGAGTGATATCCTAAGATGGGAACTTCGGTCAAGCGAAAACTACAACTTTGGGACCAGCTGAAGGCTACAGGCTACAAGCTGAGCGACGCATCGCCATTGAATCCGAGGAGACGGGCTGCAACAGACCGTGCTGGAGAAAATGCAAGAGAAATATTCGGGGACCTCTAATCCGAATTTTCAGGCTAGCTCGAACCTAGAACCCTTCGGAGGAACTACCTCATCTGCAATATTCAGTCAAATCGAATCGAATTGAATCCGGACAAAAAAGAAATAAAAAATAAAAAAGAGATGTTGCATTTTTTGCGTTGTGACGGCCAAAAATGGCAGTCGTCAAAACCGCAGCCAATTGGACGATAGCACGTTGAACCAGCATTGCATCCCAGGTGTGCGGTGCATGATATCTCGCAAGCCAAGCTTAAGCACTCCTATGAGAGATATCGAGAACGAGATGGAATGGTGAAGAAGACGTCGGCAGGTCTCAGATATATTTTTTTGTAATTTTTTCTCCTGTAGGTTTGCCTTGTGATCGAGTCAGTTTTGATCAGTTCTGGTCCGATATCCCAGCACGATGTTGATGCCATGGTGGGGCTATTTATAATCCATTGAAGTTTACGCCACCAAAATGAACCAAAAAACATCGCCATCCAGAGCGAGCGACCTTGTTAGATCTAGAAGCAAGGTGTGATAACAGTATTGAACATGATGTATCTCAATTAGTTGAGTAAAGTACTTAAGTACTAAGTAAGTATGTATAGCATAGTGGATAGCTGGGTAATTTTAGGATTGACCGAGTGTTGGGTGTTGTTGTTGCTGCAGTGTTCAGTGCTCGATCCTTCCTTCGGCCTAGGAATTGATCCCAAGTCCAACCTCCCCAGCTAGCTCGAATCCTCTTCCCACTTCACTTTCCCTCCTCCACCTCCTCGATACCCCTCCACGGCTACTATCCGACTATTTTACCCGTCCCACACCGAACATCCGGTCACTTTTCAACCTCAGTCTTGAACCTTCATTTTGTATTTTTCCGAAGCAGCTTCAGAATCTCACCGCACAGGAAAGCTTGACGGAAAAAACCCTCTCATCTAGGCTATCACGGTTTTAGTCGACCGGCTACCAACATCACTCGACTCTCAGCTCGAACTCCCCCCCATCCATCTCACTCCCACTCCACTTCAACCAACCGAATAAAAAAAAAGGAAGAGAAGAAAACTACCGATACAAATCGATACATTCGCTTTCCAAAATGGCAAACCGAAGTCGTAGAATCGGCAAGGAAATGGAAGATTTACGGAAGGATGCTCTCTCCGGTATGAGCGCTGAGGCAATCAACGACGACATCTCCCATCTCCGTGGTTCTTTCAAGGGTCCTCCCGGTACGCCCTACGAAGGTGGTGTGTATCACGTTGATATAAAGATTCCGAATGAATATCCTTTTAAACCTCCACAGATGAGGTTTGAAACAAAAGTTTGGCACCCGAATGTCAGCTCCCAAACGGTAAGCGAGGAGTTTTTCTTTTCTTCTTGATTTTGGTATGTTTTGGAAGGAGTCATATGGTTGCTGGCGAGACAGCGAAGCAAAAGTGAAATAGATGGTGGGGAGTGATGGTATTGGTGGTCGAGGTTGCATTTCGGTGGCGTTCAGCATCGATAATAGGAGCTGTACGGCTCGTGAAGCTATCTCAGACACCTGCTTACACTCTTCACCTAATTTATTTGCCACAATACCCTCCACCGAGCTCACATGGTTCTTAATGAGCAATTCTGACTCTTCGATCTACAGGGTGCCATCTGTCTCGATACTCTCTCTGCCGCCTGGTCACCAGTACTCACCATCAAATCCGCCCTCCTGTCTCTACAATCCCTCCTAGCTACACCGGAACCCAAAGATCCCCAGGATGCCGAAGTTGCTGGAATGCTCATCCGAAATCCCAAACAATTCGAGGATATCGCTAGACAATGGGCAGTCCAATATGCTGGTGCACCACAAAAGGCATCTTCAGGATCTGGGAGTAGTGCTGAAGATGCAAGGCGTGATAGGGAGGCTGAGGAGAGGAGGAAGGCTCAACAGGAGCTGATCAGGTGAGTTTTTCATGAATCATTGCTATATATGTAGCTACAGTATATTAATACAGATGGGAAATTAGACAACAGCAAATGGAAGGCTATGCATCCCACCTGTTCACAGACTTTGAGGCTATGGGATTTGATATCCCGAGGGTGGTTAGGATCCTGAAGGGTATGGGAATTCCAAAGACCATCGGACGACTACCTAACAATCTATCTGAAGAAATTGTCGAGAGGTTGTTGAGCTCAACGTAATAAATCAAACAGGTTACTTCTTTTTATTTTATTTGTCAATCAACTTACACGCAGGTTTGAGATTTGAATCATATTACTTTTATTTCGATCTTTTCTTTTCTTTTCTTTTCCCTTTTTTTTTTTTCACCCATTCCCTCGGCCTTCGTGGTCCCTGGAAGCCTTCTAAACCACCATGAAGCCCTTCCCTCCGTTCCATCTGACCAACTAACACGCCTCCCGGAGAAGCCATCTTGGGAGATTAGCTGACTAGAACATATTTGCAAGATCCTCCTCTCACATAGACACGGCTTTGCTAAATCCCCTCACCGGGATTCTGCACCTTTGTTTTCCCATTTTCTCCTTGATGTATCTTCGTTATTCTTTACTTAGGGATTGCTCGGTGGTTTCATTTTCACGAAAGCGACTTTTCTGTCTTCTCTTTTATTATTGTCTTCGTATCTTTAGTATCTTCATTTCCCATTGAGAGACGTACTTTCATCTCATTTGTCCAGTTCCACTTGGTATAGTCTACCTACTATTGCACCAATTGAGATGATTTTTTTATATCTCATACCTATTTACAAAATCTTATATACAAGTTCTCTATCATATCTACACTCTTCTAGACATCTGCACAACCCATAAAAGAAACAGGGATACTTTTAAGGTGTAATACCTCAATTATCCCCGGCAATCTCCCCAAACATCTCCTTGGCCCTAACTCTGCTCCCCAACCTCGCACACAGCAAAAACGCACCACTCAACTTCCTATGTAAACTATAAGTCTCTTCTGGTGGGGGCTTCAACCTCTCCCTCACCATCGTAGGAATATAAGCCTTAACCCTATCCGTCACCGTCTGACTTCCAAAATCGTAGACATCCGGTGCATCATTCGCAAACGGTTCCGCCAATGTCAAAATACTACCGATATGTGCTTCCAACATACTCTGGCTCTCCAAACCGTTCAAATAACCTAATTTTATTGATAATTCGCGAATTGTCGGGGTATCCTTCTTCCTAGCAGCTTTTAGGACGTTTACATAGTCTTCTATGAATTCTTTAGGGAATTCACGTGAGGCGCCGAAGTCCAGTAGTGAGATTTTTGAGGTTTGACGGTTGTATAGGAAGTTCGACCAATTTGGATCGGTTTGCATGAAATTCCAGGAGATTATTTCGAGGAGACAGAGGCGTAGGATTTGGGTTCCTAGGTAGTCTCTTTCCTGTTGGGTTGGGTTTTGGAGATTGGTAATCGGTGTTCCTTGCATGAATTCCATCGTAAGAACTTGTGGACCTGAAGCTTCGGTGATTACTTTAGGAACGGAGAAGATGTCGGAGTATGATGGTGATGAGGCGATTATTTCAGAAAACCGGGTTTGGGCGGCCGCTTCTCGGATGTAATCACATTCCCAAGCTAACTCCGTTCTGGCATTTGCAATGGTTTTGTCGAGGTAGAGTCCCTTTGGGAGGAGTCTAGTGGCGGTTAGGAGGATGGAGAGGTTGTTTAGATCTGAAGAGATTGAGGTTGCTACCCCTGGGTATTGGATCTTTATGGCGACTTTTTGACCGGTCGAGGAGAGGACACCCGTGTGAACTTGGCCGATTGAAGCGGCGGCTATGGGATTTTCGGAGAATGTTGAGAAGAGGGAACGCCAGTTTGGACCGAGATTTGAGGATAAGACGGAGTCACGTTGGGAAGGGGGCATATAGTCGGCTTGGTTTTGAACGCGGGAAAGTATCAGTTGGATCGCTGGGGGTAGAAAAGTTGAGTCTATTTTCGTCAAACGAAAAAGAAAGAAAAAAGAAATAATTTAGTAACGAAATTGAGAAGATATAAAAAAAATGGAATTCGTTTTTGAATCGTATATACACGAGGGTACATAATCGAAACGAAGAATTGATGTATATATACCTTGAAAACTTAACATTTGTCCAAGTTTTAACGCTGCACCACGCATTTTTGAAAGTGTCTTTACAAGCCGTTCGATGTTTTGGGGGTTTAGGACTAATCCTCCACCATTCCCGCTAGAACCTGTGGATGAGGAATCACTACTGCTGGTAGCACGTTTTACGGATTCACTTATTGCTCCGAGCGTCATACCAGCCGCTAGACTGCCGTAGTGGAATAACCGGTCTAATCGTGACGAGGGGACTGGAGATGCGGACATAGTATAAGGCTGACTGTTATTACTTGTCTACCGCCTGTTAGTTGGGATTTAAATCAGTATATGGATTTAGTGAGTTAGTGGTTTGAAGATTTAGGACGTACTTTTAGCTCATCTATAACTTTTGAGGCTGTAGACTGGACTTTTGGCGATGTATTTGTGAATTCTGGTTTATTGAGACCGGATGAATCCGAGGCCGGTGTACCCGAAGAGACGGGGTTTAAACCGCCATTGGTATTTCCAAGTGCCTTCGCACGTCGACTGTGGAATACTTCCGCATTGATATTTGAAAGGTCCGGTTCTGGGGATTCGGAGACAGTAGATGGAATTGTATCCTCGGCGGTGACCTCTGGAATTGTACCATCGGGCAACGTCCTTGCTTTTGACGATACTTGACGGATATTTAGATCCGACGGTTGAGATAGTGGGGGCGTGGCAGTTGTGGCAGTTGTGGAGGTGTAGTGGTGGTCTTGGTCAATACCGACTTTTGGGGTGTTAGAAGAGGATGATAAGGTTGTAGGTTTTAGGGAGTAATATCGGTGGGAAGGGTATCCTTGGAGGTTTAGCCGATGCCAATTGGCAGTGCGGCTTCGAGATAGAAGTCTTGAAGCCATGATTTCAGGAGATTGTGGTAAGTGGATGAGGGAAAATTTGAGTTGAGGTTGAGGTTGAAAGTTGGAATTCGGGATTTGGGTTGCACAAGAGAACTGATGTCACCAGGTCACGTGCTCGGACCAATATCGGATCTTTGAGCTCCTGTTCTGCCTAGATCTAGGCATGCGACAAGTGAGCTAAAATCAATTCAAGATTTCTATCCTAGATCGTATGTGAGGGCACAGCTCACAGTGGCATTAATTCTGGCTTACACGATAAACGTATAAACACAGCCTGGTGTTCGGTCGGGATATCATTAATATATTTTGAATTGTAACAGTGCTGACCGTCAACATTTCGATTTTAGAAGTGATACTTGAATATCGACGTCATACAACTAATCTCTCCCCGCGGGCCCTAGAAACATTAACTTCATATAGACTAGCTCTAATTGAACCAGGCTAGGTGGTAGCAGCCTGGTCGATTCGAAGCTGGTGTTTTTTCTATCACAACGCACTTTACTGTTGCATTTTAATGTATTGGTTTGATGAAAATGATGAGACCGGACCCATAGATTCCATATATCCTGAATTTTGTTTCTCGAATACCCCATTTCCACAATTTGTAAAAACTCGATATCAAATCGGAATTGGCTCATATGATCATGGTTAAGTCCTTGTAGGCTTAGATGTCTTAAAGCCTTGAGATCACCACGTGACCTATATGATATATAAATTAGGGTAGTGATGCAGAGCGGATTTAATATATTATGATGAGTAATCAATTCGATATTTATCACCCTGATCCTGAAGTTATCTGAGTGTACGCTGCTTTGAATTTAGCTCCTATATATAGCTATTGAAGTAGATATCTATAAGTAGAGGATGATTATATCGGCTGAGGCCTATGCGCCATTATCGGCTAATAACTCTTTTCAGTCCATCAATAGGGTGTCATTTTATGATAAACCAGCTCCGGAGAAGACCGCTTTCTTAAGATATGCTCATAGTTTTATTAATATATATAGGTAGCATGCAGATAGCTATCGATAGCGATTTTCCCCCACACAAAATCTCTACCCCTTCAGACATTTAGGCAGTTCAGGGACCCACATCCGATACGAACATTGGCAACAGGGGAGCTGCATTGTTTACGAGAATCAGTTACCTATATGTACGTATTTGTAGCTTGGTCGGATAAATTATGCAGTCCCACTGCGTGAGTGCCTATAAAAGTCGAATATTAATTCAAAGTGCCCATATAAAGTTGACAAGTCTTCAACTCAAAGTCCTCTAAACAGATATCAATTAAAATACTTCTATACTAATAAATATAATATATATTCCAACATGAAGTTTTCGCCCATAACCATATTGCCGGCGAGCGTTCTCATAGCCGCTGCTTTCGCCGCGCCAGTAGTGGACCAAACGCCAGAAATACAACTGAAGAGTCGTTCTTCCCAGGTTTGTACACTCCAAAAAAGCCACAACATCGCAAATGTCAGTAACTGACTTACCGATCAACCAGACTCAACCATCCAACGAAACCCTAGATAAAAGAGCTTCGTTCCCGGTGATCATATGCTCAGGAAGGTATGCAAAACCTCAATTACATCTCTGCCATTCTTAATATGATATTACATCCAAGTCGACTGAACAATTTCATAATAGGGACACATTGGGACCATGCAGAGTTTTGCAGTTTACGTCTGAAGTTGGCGAATGTAGTAACATTATGCAGGTAGTTGGATACGTTAACACTATATTTCCGACGGTTCAATGTATTTTGTATTATGGACAGGCATGTAGTTCGCCAGCTGTGGGGCCCATAACTGGGGCTGTTTCTGTTGCGATGCAGCTTTATGGTAGTTTGCGGTGTTGGGTTTGAACTTAAGGAATTTATTAGTGGGTATATCCTAGATTTATCCGTCGCGGTGGTCTGGAGGCAAGACGGGTGCAAGTTCGCCGTCGTGGTGTTAAGCTAAGATTCTAGATCTTATAGATGGGTTTCTGAATTCAATTTATCGGTAGCGCCATATAGTTGCAGATTTCGTACAGCTTTTTATCTCGAATAAAAACCATTCCAATTGAATATTAATGGCTATTAGTATATCTAGGTGGTTTGAGTATCATATGGGGTCACATCTGAAGGAGGCTACTATACTCTTCGTGGATATCCTTGACCAATTATGTATACTGGCGGCTAACCGAAAGCCGCGGCCACTGTCATTGATATCTTGAATATCTTCGTTTAATATAGAATAGTACCTAAATACTTGAGTAGCTACAGGCATAAAGTAGTTGTTTCCTTGAACCAGTTGCAATGTTGCAACGTTGAGCTATTGCAACCTTTATGACGGAGTCTCCATGTTTTTCTTCAAGAACACTACAATATCATCGATCTCATCCGGTACCTTGTACCAGTGCCCAAAAGCCGCATATGCCTTTCATGTTACGTCCATGGATAAATCAAGAAATGCATCTCTAGCTTGTTTTCCCAATAAGACGCTCACCTTCTCATCCTCCTCCCATGACCCAAAAAGGCTGGCGTCTTTAGAGAGGGCCAGCTATCAGCCGTAGAACCTATAGGAGGGAAGTCTATGTTTTCTCTAAGGAAGTTCAACGCCTCTATAACTTTTAATGGTGCTTTCGATGCATTTGTAGAGTTCGAAGTGCTAGTTGTGGTCTTTTCATTCTGACCGGCGCCTATGGGAGCCTCGCCATCGTCGTGGCCGGTTTCATCTCGCTCTTCCTCCTCTTCACTTTCTTCTTCGTCGCTCTCTTCTTCTTCGTCGCTCTCTTCTTCATCTTCTTCATCTTCTTCATCTTCTTTTCCTATGGTACCACTTTCTTCTTCGTTCTGCTCCTCATTATCAAAGCTGCCAAAGCCAAAGCCATGAGTATTGATATTGAATGCTCCTTCATCAGAGCCGTCCGCTCTACCTTTTGCCTCCTGTCCAATTTCTTGAAGGCTCTCATTGACATACTTGACAAACGGAAACCAACCACTCATACCAATATAAGCTCCTAACTTCTCTTCAATAGTGAGCAAAGCATAAATTGATGCAGCACAACCTTGACTCAACCCTCCAAGAATGATATTACTCAGTGATATTCCACTAGAAACCTCATCTCGAATAATTTGATGTACAACCTCGGTCGTTTCTCTTAATCCGTCAACTTGCAGGTTCTCCCGCATGCTAGGATCTTCCAGCGAATAGTTATCGAACCATTGATTGATAGATATTCGTTTGAGAATGGTGGATCGTCGCTTTTTGGCGGTGGGAAATATAAATTTCATAGAAGGGAAGATCTCCCTGAGTGTGCTGCCATCCGCAGTTTGAGAAGCTAAGAGGGCCTCTCCAAATTTAGGTCCGTTACTGCCGCGGCCATGCAACAGGATGCAAGTCTGTGTATGACGCGAGGACGCTTCGACGACAAACGGTTCTAGGTAATCGTGCTTCATGTTGTGGGATGTTGGTATCAAAAAAAATGAAATTTAGTATACAGAAGCAGATGAACGGATTGCGGTGAACGCCTGGATTCAAGGCTGGATTGCATGCGGTCCCGGTATCAGACCTTTATGCAATTCAATCTTATAGGCCTCCGAGCGATTTCTGTGCTACAAAGTCTTTCGGGCGCTAAACCAAATTTTGATTAAAGGCATACATGCGAAATACATAAGGTCACAAGACCAGATCCTATATATATAGCCTCGATGCCCTGATTCGGGATACATACGGCACTGCGCAACCCAATCGACACGGCGGTGGAATCGAAATACGAAATTAAGAGAGTAACATTAGGTAATATTCAGAGCTACAAGTAAAGAATTTTGAAAGACTCCAATATGTTCGTAAGGGCTCTTCTAGTCTAATGCTAAAGGTTAACTTTAGGTTGTAATACCGACTTTCAAGAGCTGGGTATACAGTATTTCACCAAATTAGTTGTCGAGCTTGCATCAGGACCGCTAACTCGGCATAATATGGCTTAATGAGTTTATTCACCATTCCGTCTTTGAACCAACTCTTTAAATATGGCGGTCGATACATTATCTTGGTATACTCCCAGTACTCCGGGTACCAACCTGCCATCTCCCAATCCAAAATCGCTACCACCTTGCCGTCCTTAACCAAAATATTTCTTGGAAGAAAATCGCCGTGTGTGAGGACAATTTTGTGGCCTTTCAGGATATCTTGGACCATCTCACACACCAATCTCGGGAACGCGGTGGCTTCCTTCTCAAGCAGTGTATCAATAATCCCTTGCGAGAACTCCTCCTCAGAGCTGTACGGGCCCCGAGGCGTTTCTGTTTCCGAAAATAGAACATCCTCGCAATGGGTATGGTCTACACATCCAATAAACGTACCCTCCAAAGAACGCAGCTCGTCGAGGATCCGTTTGAGTTGACTGATAATATCCTCCTTTTTTTCTAGACCGAAATCTTCCCAGACATCCTCTAGACAGTCTCCTTCGATGTACTCCATCACGAGATGTGTCTTCTGTGTCTTCTCGTCTTTGTATGATCCGTAGACTTTCGGGACCGGTATTGTGGTATTTTCCGCTATGTATTGCATAGTCGCGGCTTCGGAGAGTCTGTAACTCCCAACTTTCAAGATCGTGTTATCATCGATTTTTTTGACTGTCCCGATATCGGGGAGAAGATTTATCGCCCGCTCTAGCTCTTCAGCTGTAAGGACTCTTGACATCTTGATAATTAGCAACGGGAACTTCGAGGTACTCCTTGGTGGTGTGGTGTTTTTTCTGAACTGTTAAACACCTTATTAGGGGGGTTCGGCCTATATTATAAGGCCGGTGGATGCTAGATCTGCTCATCGTTGTCTGTGCCACATAGGATGATAGGTTTGCTCGTTTATTTTGTTGGATTTTACAAATGCAATATAATTAAAAACGGGGGACGCTTTTAACTGTAGAACTGCCTCATTTCCGCGTAAGAACTTATTACACTTGCGTACGAACGGTACCTGTACCGGTACCTGGACAGGGTGAGAGTGTTGTGCTGTCAATATACTGTACCGAATTCAAGGCGTATAAAGAAAATTATAATGGAACAGAAAATGATTTGAGACTCCGTTCTACGACCCTCTTTCTCTCATTACTTCTCGCAATGTGTCTCAATTGAAAATGGTATTGTGAATATAGATACTCAAGTAGATATTAATAATGTTAAATTCACATCGATGAAAAAACTTCTTAAGGATATTCCTTACAATTTGGCTTAGCTAATATTCTGGAATTGTGGTTCGAAGAAGAATATTATAGCAAGATACATATTGATAACCGGAATTGGCATTCCTAGTGTCCATATAGTGCAAATATTGGTCGACTTTGAATTTCTTGAATTGTTCCATTTTTCGATACTATTCCCTTTATAAAATAATCAAGATAACAATGAAAACTGCAATGGCTGCTGAGAAGGTCCTAAAATCTAACTATTACTGTTGCCGTTGCCTCCAAGTGCCCCATATCGACGCTCAAAATTTTCTGGAATAGCTAGCAGACTTGAAGTCATATCTTTGAAGGTAATTTGCGAAAGTTCTATCCCTCCAAAAGTCTACCATCCGTACTTATATGGTCATTGAACTTTTCAATTCCAAAATTTAAAGAATCTCTTGTCCGTCCGCTTCTCTGTCAAGTCTCTCGAGGTGCTTGACAATAGCTCGGTATATAGCCCCCGCAAACTTGGGTGGCCAAGCATTTCCACTATTAGATGCCAGTTCCAGTTATTCTGTGGCCGGATAACCCAAGGGGATTCGGATACATACACTTGCTTAATAATGCTGGTATCACTGGTACGGCTAAACATGTAATTTACGGGAAATGTCTGGAAAGTGGCATATTCCCGAGGGGTGAAGGGTCTTTTTCCGTTTGGATGAACCTTGCCTTCACCTCCATCGCAAGTAATAGTCTTGTTAAATGGTTGGTCTAAGCGGAATGGAGACGGCTTTGGATGTAGGTAGGGTCGAAAACTGTGATTGTCAGAATTTGCTGGAATGGTGGAGAGAACTTGTCCAATTGTTGGAGTTGTGGGAAGGTTTTGACTATTCAATCCGCCACGCATACGGAAGGGATTAAACGAAGTTGGTGGCGGGAAGTTGGGGACTGGTTCTCCGGGGCTAGTTTTGGTTGTCAAATTAAATCGTTTGGGTATATGTTACGTCTATAGGTTAATGCGAGAACTTACCATGAAGCAATAACGATTAATCTTTTCCTCGCCGAGGCAGCTCCATATTCCGTCGCATCTTTAACAGCCCATCGTACACTGTAGTTATTGCGGACGTATTGATTGATGACTATTGCAAAGTGATCTTTGAACTTTCGGGCCGAGTTGATCCCAAAGGTCTGTTCAGATGTAACTACCCTTGGACGAACGACCTTTAACAGTCTGTCAACTACTAAGGACGCAACTTCGTTCATCTCGTCATTTTTCCCTGGGACGGTATGGACTGGGGAATAAAATTGACAAGGGCAACTCAGATGGATAACATCAGCGTAAAGTCGAGACGCTGGTAGGCTAACACTGAGGGGGTTTGCTGCGAATTCACATATATCTGCTTTGATAGCCTTGCTTTTACCATAGTTCCGCTCGTAAGACATGAGAGCGTCTTCCCATTTATCTACTCCATAGGCAATTTTCAAGCCTGCGATTTTGGCACCACAGGATGCACCCCCCGCACCGCAAAAGAAATCGCCGAATGTATATTGGTGTTTTTTGACTGGTTCCTGAAGCCCGGGGGCTCTACTCGCAATAGTATTTTGTTTTTTAACCGACTTTGAGGTACGCACGATAAAAGTAATTTTCTCTCCGGTGTGTGATTCAGAAATTGTCGTTCTTTTATATATCTTCTTTGAAGTATAAGAGCAGGACTTTGACTCCTCTGAGATCGGAATAGTTAAGTCAATGGCTCTCTCTTCAATTTCTGCCTTTTCAATAGCAACAGCTTCGTCCTTCTCAGACGTCCAAAGGCTTTTAATTAACTTTCGAGGATACCTTCCGAGATGTTAACATGTTAGATATATAACGAAGAGCGATTAATCAATTGAAAGAATCAGAAACATACCTAAAAGCTTCGTCTGCTTCAAATTCTTCTAACAGCCTTACGAACCCTTCGTCACCTATTACGTGCTTCGCTGAACCTTCTCTATCTTCAGCATTATCCCGTAAATTCGCACGACGCCGACAGATGAGTCTGCCAGAATCCTCACCGTCTTGCCATCTTTCTGTCTTCTGTGTCGCGCAGTCAGCTCGGGGTAGGATCCCGCCACAAGTTAGTTCCGTATGATTAGTTAACACTAGTTCCCTGACTCTGACTATATGTTTAACGCTTACGGTCACTTTATCTCTAAGCCAAAATACCTCGCCAGGAATTTTGTCGAAAAGACCGTAACCATGACGAACCCGTTTGAAGAGCTTGCCGACAACGTACTGTCCTTCGTGACAGGTCAAGATCTTTGCAATCCTCACAAAATACGCTACTGTCTGTGGCTTTGTCTCTCCTTCGAGAATAGTCCCTTTTTCTATTTCGACGCAGCCTCCAATGTTTAGAGCTATTTCTTGAAGCTCATTACTCTCTGCTTTCTTTTCTTTGAAGATAGATAACTCAGTAACCGCGATTAGACCTCTTGGTAGATCTTTGATTTGGATAGGTCCTTTACGACGCTTTGGGGTGTTTGGCCTATTTGGGCAGGTACTGTTGGAGACTTCCTCGCTTTCTGAAATTTTGTCATGACCCATGGTAAGATCGATCATCATATTATGGGATCGCTTGTATGCCGACATATTCAACTTGAGATAATCGTAAGACAAGTAGCAACGCTAACTTTAAAATCGAAAGGCGAATTTTCTAACGGGAGAATGAGAAGGTGGATATATCGATACTTCAGATTAGAAGTATAGTGTGAGTTGGAAGGTGTATCTGAGAATACCGAGTCAAGCCGTTAAGAGGACGAGTGTTGAACCTCGAAACGTCCAGATGATATATATCTCATTCGAATTCGAAGTTCTAATGGAATGAGAATGAAATCCTCATGAGAATCAGAATACACCCGAAAGGTCTGGAATCTATGCGAACGTGGTTTTTGGTCAAAAGTTTGAATTGTCAATTTTGGGGCACAATATATCGCATGATCACTGTAAATTCTAAGCTAATGCGTGTATTGAGACCCAAAGAAGTGGGATTATAACCGGCCAGTGCCAGCCGCGGTCTCCAACATTTCGAGTTATTCAGAATCTTGCATCTTTCCCGAGTTCCAACCCCCCAAAGTATTACACTTATACACATATCATTAATAGTCAATAATTGCGTCTCAACTTTCTTTCGTTTCCTCTACTAACCGTATCTAAAGGGCCATTTCACATTCATTCGGCGTCTGTATCATGTTGTTTCTTGCTTGGGGTTTGTGTTGGTAGCGAAACAGCCATTTAAACGTCTTTGGCTGTCCTTCTGCCCCGCAATTTAACTTGGTCTAGCCGTTCGAATCCTAAACTGGAACTAACGTTAACCATCTTTCTGATAAATAGCGGCCCAGGGCGGGTGACGGAAAAACATAGGCCGGACGTCATGAAGTTACGTGTGCGATTTAGGATTCGAGCTGCTATTAGAAGGCGAGCGTTTCGCTCTCGATAGCCCTCCAACTCAAATTCACCTTGCATTCTATCGATAATTATATTTATACTTACGCTTCGAGCTCAAAGGCTTCTACCGGTCGACAAGTTGGGCGTTTTATTTGAAGCCCGGAACGTTCGAACAAGTCTAAGAAAAACCATGGCCGAAGAAGCGAATCAGCTCAATGCGGGTGAAATTCAACCGGATGTCCAGGCACCAACCTCAGCCTCGACTACTGCTCTAGACGAGCTTCGAACTCGTCGGAAAGAGTATTTAAAGTACCAGAACGAAACACAGGCTGCTGCTTTGGAGGGTAGAGCAAGCTTTCTTGCAGATGTTGTGACTTGGGAGGACCCTGTGGCACTTGGCGATGGTGTGGGGCTTACATATCGGGTTTACGCCAAAAGCCATGAAGTTTCACAAGCAGTGAAGGGACTCCGAGAGAATGGATCTTCCGACGAGGTTACTAACCTTGGGATTACCGGAAGTTTCATTTACATTCACGGTGGAGGTTGGAGGGTCGGAAACCTGGACTCGGAAGACTGTGAGTCGGGAACCCCATTTTCCACGTTTTTATTCCCTCCGAAATAGTGTAACGACGACCATTTTATGCTCAACTTCAACAAACGGCTTCTTTAATTAGTAACATGTCGTCGCCTGTGTCACACTTTAAATCTCGTGGTATTCTCTATCAACTACCGCAAGGTACCCGAGCACCCTTATCCTATTCCGATTACGGATGCCAAAGCTGGAGTACTCGCCGTGAATGAGCGGTATATTTCGAAACTCTCAAGTTTGCCTGTTATAATATGCGGATCTTCATCGGGTGGACATATTGCGGGTTTGATCACACAGGCTGCTGTGGAAGGGAGCTTGAATATTCGCCTTGACCGCACGGCTTTACGGGGACCTGTTACGGTCCATCCCGATCATGTCCCGACTCGTTTTAAAAAATCTTACAATTCTTATGATACGAATGATAGCAGGGGTGAATATCAGGGCATGGCGTCCAACATGAGGAATGGAGTGTTCGGTACGAATGCATTTGAAATTAAAAATTGCGTCGAAATTTCTGTCAACCACGCGATTTACAGCTAATAGAAGTTATTCCATGAGCAGGGATGGCTTCTATCCCACAAGGGGTCATTGAGACCGGACAGGCATTCCCACTGTGGGGGGAGTTCAAAGGACACCCACGAACATATATCGAAGTTTCCGACGACGACGTGCTCCTCGATGATGGGCTCTGCTACGCGAAAGCTCTCGAAGAAGCTGGGGTAGAAGTTAAAGTGAAAATTCGCAAGGTGTGTTGGCCGGTCTATAGTCAAGATTGCGCGATTTATCTGGGGTTCTACAATGTCGAATACCATCGCGAGACGATGTGGGCTAACTTGCGAACCATTGTCTGCTTGTAGGGTGATCATACGTGGTGGCTTAAGAAGTAAGGTTTCCCAAAGTGCAGCGTTTGTTGAGATTTTTTCAGCTCTAGACACGGCAGAACTAACAATTGCTTTTCCTTGTAGGTACGATACTGACGAGGGGGCAATTGTAGAAGAGGATTTTGTGCGCGAAGTCGGGCTTTTGATTTCTACACAGCTCGAAGAGCTGAGTATCTAAGCATATCTCGCAGTATACTCCGCTATCTCACGCGATGGCATCGCGACCATCGCGACCGATGCCATTGCATTTGCACATCAGAGACATTGTGCCTAGCTGTGCATTAAATGAAACCGTCTACCGTCTACCGAAACCATGTTTCCGCTACTGCTGCCCGCGAGATCTCGCACTTCGTGGCTAGTGACTAGTTGTGGGGGTTATGAGAATGCTGTGCGCCACGCCAATGCTGGTGGTACCAACCGCATTTGGCCAACACAGCAGACCCACTAGCTTCTTTCACGGTGCGCCAGCACAGCGATTTCCTTTTTCCTGGCTTTCGTGATGCTTCAAAGTCCTTTATACGCCGCATTCCGCCGGATGGCTGCTGTAAAAATATGTACCATTGACCCTTTACCAGGTTTTCCCCTCATTGATTTCGCCGCCTGAAAACTTAATTCTGATGTTAAGTACCTATGCAGCATAAAGGGAGCAAACTAAAACGTTTTCACGGGATTCCGGCTGTTGAGAAACGAGGGCACCATTGGAGCGGCCCAGATTCCGTTTCCCATTTTGAGCCCCCGCCCGCCCTCAACCTGGGACTGGTTGGGGTCGACATATTCGGGCCAATGCTCGACTTGAACTTTTTGTCATTTCATACGAGGAGTCGGTACTCTTGCCGTGCGAGTCGTTTGACGTGGTTCCATGATAATGCGGCGTTCGCTACCAGTACCCATGCCTCCCAACCTTTTTCCCAGTTCCGGGATTTGTGCAACCAACGAAAACCCAAGATACCTAATATGTTTTCCCGTGCGTGCAGATGTGTAAGCAGGGTTATAAGAACCTTGGGGGTTTCCTCGTGCTTTGTTGGCAGCTCGAACACGTCGAAGGAAGGAATCCACGAGCTCTCAGGCAGATTTCGTCAACAAATCACATTCCGGCATCGACGAGCCTAGAAGATCTTTACCTTACCACTCTCTTTCACTTCTAGTTTGAACCCCCAAATCCAGGATAAATAATTGTAGACGTGTCGCCCCCCATCTGTCCCTTCTTTCTGAGGCTTTAAAAGTTTCTCGCTACGGTCCCTACAACTAGTTTACTCGACGCTCTTTCGACACTAACGACACAAAAGTACATGAACGCCTTTGCATTTCGCCTCATTCGACGCTGGTAACGCTATAATTGACCAATCAGTGAGCCGGAATTCACTTCCCCAGAACAACTTGATACACTACACTCGCTATCAACATTCTATACATACATCCCCACACATAAACAGACGCCTGGTTGCCTCGCACATAAAATTCAGTGTGTAATACTTCTATATAAGATCCGAAGATCTACGACAATCATGGAGTTTTCAGATCGAGATACACTTTGCCCTTCCCCAAACTTCACAGTAAAAACCCAATCAAGCACATCATCGACATTCTCGTTAAACGGCTTTAAAAACAGACTATCAAACATCTTTCATTCTTCATCTGCACCAACTTCGCCAACTGAAGATAAAAAGTTCAGAATGTCTATCTTATCTTCTCGATCAACCAAGACTACTACTAGCACCACTCGACGGCTGCGCAAGCAAGCTGTTCGAAACAAGTCGAATCCATCTTCACCACGATCAAATAAAAGTGGAACTAGCTTGCTTAGCAAGATCTCTTTCAAGAGACACATCACTATCAGGACTACCAGGGTCCGAAGATTTTCGACTTTCCACCACAAGCCAAGCACTCTTGATTTCAGATGCGCAGGTGATGAAACTAGCAGCATCATGATATTGGAGCGTGTCAATAGTGTCAATATGAACAGAATGATATTTGGAGCTGTTCAGAAACGACGAAGAGGTGATCTGACCTACTTGCTCACTGACTGTAAGTCCAAAAAACATTTGTATACTGAGACACCAAACAGCTCATCTACTAATATAATTTGTAGGCCCTCCAACGATTGCCTGGATCTCCCCAGATATTGCTGGTGGTTGGGATTTCAGTGAAATCGGAATTACTATCAACTAAATTACCACATTAAATCCTCGACGGAAATGTACAACTACGACTGGCTCTAGAATTATATTAGCTACGGAACTCTTGATGGATACACCGCCCTTTCGGCAAAATCTTACTTTTTCCTTTGTCACTGGAACTGACTAACTCAAAGCCACTCCTTTAAAACCTCTACTTTCCTTTGTTAATTTCTTTTGTATGAGAAGCCGGTCTTATATCCTTTTGCGCGGCGTATACCCGGGGGCTTGGCTTTGTTATTACTATGCGGAAAATATCCTTTTGGCCCTTTTTTACTTGATATTTGGAGTTACCGGAAAGCGTTTGTATATCTATCCTTCGAGTTTTGTTTACTTTTACTTGTCTTTCATCGTTTACTCTCGTATCTTTCCTCTTAGGCCCGCCTCGCGATTCCCTAGGGGTATGGTTGTTCTGATATTTTGATACCTTATGGGCTGGTGGGAATTCTCTTTTTTCACGAATTCCCTTTTCAGAAAAGTTCTTAAACTGTTCGCTTATTGTTGATGCACCCAAAAAAAGATAAAGTATATCTGCTTTCTGTTGTTCTTTCGTCTTCTTACCTTCCTTACGATGATCTTCTCATACACTTTGACAGGAATACATACTGTCGTCACAGTGCTCTCACAGCTAGGATCTAGCATCGAGAGCCGGCTTATCACAATTTCATCTCTTTCAATTCTGTATATTTCTTTTATTTTCCTTTTGTACAATTATCTCCAATTGGTACAATATTCCAAGCTTTTGTTTTTTGTTTTTGTTGTATTTTACGTTTGTTTTCTCTTTGATATATTATCTTTCCATATTCCAAAAGTCGAGCAGCGGTAAGCATGGACTTCCCGGATTAGTATCTGCACAACGTTATATGACAGCGGATAAAATCTGCCGGATAAATTATATTAAAATAAAAGATGGTATGGGTTAGGGTATGGGTTTCACGGTTTTCTTTCTCGTTTTCATTGGCGTATACAATCACCGGTTTGGGGGTGGGGGGGTTCCGAGGAAAAGTCCTTGCTTTCTTGCGCAAAATTTTTTTATATATTTTCATTGCTCCATAATCCCGATTCGGCCTTTTGACCGATTCTTCTTCAATGTTTTCTTGCGGTATTTTTTCGATTCGGTAACTGTATTATATTATTATTATATATATTATTATGAATGACGAAGGGGTGCCCGATACCCGTTTATGTTTGGCATCATTGTCACGATATTGACTTCACGCACATTAAATTAAATTGAACTTCAAGCATCTTTGTTTTTTTTCGCGCCCGAAGTTTGGTATTCCTTTGGACCAACCGAGGGTTCTGGAATGAGGCATTTCTGCTGCGGCTCTTTATGGTATTGGTGGCAGGACTTGCACCGTGCGTCGGACTCTATTGGGGCAGCCAATCGAGCTATCTATAGAGCTAAAGCTGCAGTGCAGTGCTGCTGCATGCAGTTTAAATTACGGCACCTGACCTATCAAAGTGTATGCCCTATCTTTATTACTTTCGTATGAGACGACAAAATACGCCAGGCAGCGAGGATAGATTTGAGAACACCGTTGAAACATAGGAAATTTCAGATCTCAAGGATCGATGTAAGTATGTATATATGTATCTACAATCAAGATTCAAAACATTATTTTTATATATTAAAACAACAACTATAAATCGAAACAAATCACATACGCCATAAAAACTCCTTCCTTCTTAAATCGCGCCAGACGTTCCATATGCATATATGCATTTTTAGAATTTTTTTACAAGTAATTCGTGTTTGAACCTTTTAGTTTTTGTCCCTCCAGGCTACTCCCGCTCCGACTATTCCATCCGCTGTCAGGAGTCTGTGAGTTTGGTCTCGTATGCTCTGACGAGCTTTCGTTTCTTGAATGTTGCATCCTTGATTTCCCCATTAAACTAACTCCACTACCTCCAAATGTACCGAACGAAAGTCTACTGATCTGTTGGTGGATACCATGTAGATCTTGAGGTTCCGCATACTCCTTGCCGCTTTTTGAAGATATCGTCGCATAATCGACTCCGTCTGGGGGTATTGGTGAACTATAGTCGTGTACATCATCCCAACCACTCCAGTTTCCAAAACTATCATGGTTGTTTGAAGTCCATTCAACGAATTGCTCGCAATGGGGTTCCTTGACGAAGGTCATTATTCTGAATAATGTATCACCTACTTCCCGTGGGGTAGGTCTCTCCTCGGGGTCCTTCGATAGCATTTGTGAAACCAAAACGAGTACGGCAGCAACTACTTCGTCATCTCGTTTCGTAGCCTCCTTGTGTAAATCCTTAATCCACTCGTTTGTTTCTGGGATGTTGGCGTGGAATGAAGAATCCGGTTGGCCTCCGCCTCGGGAGCCAGCAGCGCGGTTGTGGCGTGCCCGAGCTGACGGGAAGTTTGATAGCTTTTTCTTTTGAGAGTGGAATGTTAACATGTCGAGCATGATGCATCCCAGTGAAAATACGTCTGATTTGGCGGCAGGACGGCATATCCACTCGGCTACTTGGACGGCACCCGTGGAGACACCTTTTTGGCTGGTAGTGAAAGTGCGGTGGCTTTCGGCGTGAGACGGTGCATCAAATGAAAGTGGTGAACAAGCGCCAGACATTGGGGTTCCGCGGCAAGCTTGGTTGGAGGAGGTAAACGAGGGGGCGACATCACTTTGGAGAGAGAAACGACGAGATGTTTCAATGTCATCAACACCAGCTGGAAGAACGGCAGTAGAAACCTTTTTCTTGCCTTCTACAGCTTCACGGTGGGCGGGATTTGCCATTCGTCGACCTGTTCTGCCGCCGTCAAAGTGTAATCCTGTCGGAGACTGGGATATGCTGAATTGTGCTACCCTTAAGAAAAGCTCTGGTGCGGAGTATTCGTATCTTTCATTATCATTTGCATTTGCTGTCCTTGTGAATGCTAAGCGTCGTTGGCTGCCAACGTCTGAGAAATAAATTTCTCCGGTCTTGCCGTCGATAACAATAGATCTCGGCCTGATATCGCCGTGTGGTATTTCTTGGTCGTAAAGATAAGCCAATCCATCGCTCAAGCACCTCATCCAATCTAATAGCTTGAATCTCCTGCTGTCCTCTGCCATCTTCGAGAATTCCGCTGGGGGGTTATGTAGAAATGACCTTAGTGTGAAATCGGTTGCTGGCGATAAGAGAAGATATCCATGTCCTTTGAAAGTATAAGATGCCCATAGTTCGACAATATGACGGTGTGAAACCACCCGAAATGACTCAACCTCCTCCATAAACTCAGGCAGTAGAGAGTTTCCATCTCGATCAACGAGGGGAAAGCGTTTCCTAGTCAGCAAATTATCCGGGTTTCGAGGACATCGAACTTGGTCTACTGGTTGCGAGAATAATACAGAGTAGTTTTTAATGATGTCGAGCGGTACGGTCTCGAATTCTTCAAAGTCGATATGGGCGCCGTTATAAAGGAATCGTAGAAGGTAATTGTACTGTGCCTTGTGGAATTTTCGATCAAGAACTGGATCTGCGACTCGATTAAGTTTTAAACGGGGTATGGACTCCAAAGATATCGGCAAGTCGTCATCGCCCCAGCTGTCATCGGTAATCCAGAATATCTAGTAATTGTTACGTAACGGTTAGCAGGGGGTGTTCGGTTGTTCCGTTCCCGGTAGGGCTGTTGAGGCTTATTCTGACACCAACATACCTGTTCAGGGATCCCCAGGTCTACTAATATCAAAAACAACTTCTGCGCCCTCGAAATAATCCACTCGGCGTATGTCGTTTCAGTCAAACCGTCTCCGAATCCGACTGGTTGACTGAGTCTCGGTATTAAGGGCTCAGTCGCAGGGACCTTTCGTAAACAGTCTTCAATAAACTCCTTGGTAACGGTATTTGATATTCTCGCATCATCCCAGAATCTACTCTCTTTGCTTTCCGAAATCCCAGATTGACTCCAATATCCCGACTCCGCTGAAGTATTTGATCTTGACGATATATGTGACAACCTTGATTCTACATTTCGGGTGTGAATTTCTGGCCTATGATCGGAGTGGTAGCTCGGTCGATGTGAGTGGTGCCCAGGATCAGATGAGAAGCCGGTACTATGACTGTGGGTACTCCTCGGCCTAGTACTCGAGCTGATAGTAGCTGAAATCGCAGCGCCTTCCGTGAACAAGCCTTTCTTGCTAGCATATGGATTAGGTGCACTTTTTACATCCTCGCTACCTAGCCGGGAACCCAACCCGCCCCACAGTTTAGTACTACTCTTTGGCTCTGGACGCTCTCGCTGGGCGCTGGGTAGATGCGCTTTAGAATTCGGCAAGGCCATAGCCTTAACGGCCCGTAGTGAAGCGACCGTGGAAATCCGACGTTTGGATAATGTTTCTGATGTTTTATCGTCTGCAGATTCCCCGGATGAGACTTCAACGGCCGGGGCCTTTGACTTCTTCATTTTCATGTGCCCGGACCGCGAAGAGAAGAAGACTTGCTCCTGCCTAGGAGCCGCTGCGCCACGAGGCATTGTTTCGGTGCTCTTTCGATACCAGGGGCAAATATTGTATTCGTTGTAGAAACAAGCTTTCCTTAGCTTGTCCCAAAAGATTGATTCGATGTCGCAATTCCCAGGTTTCGAAGAAAGCTAGTTAGACGTTTTTTGTAGTCAGCGAGCTGGCGATCGCGAGAGAAGTACGGGGAGGTTACGATTTGATAAAAATAACGTAACAATCTGGACCAAATATATGATTTTAAAAGAGCGCTGCAGGACGCTGCAATGTTCGAACTTACTTTTTCCACCAAGGGAAAGGGTGAAAGCTCATATCTGGTTCCTTGCGTTATTTTTTCATGTAAAAACGAATTGTCAGAGGTAAGATGAAGGCAAAAAATGAATAGCGGCGGTTACTCAATCAAGAAAATATAGCTAGTTCAAGCGGATATATCAAGGGTTCTTAAGCTGTGGATACCCTCCAAAAAGTGGTGGGTGCATGTCGGTCTTGTTTCCCAGATATCGAATTAACCTGGCTTAACCTTCTGGACTGCAGTTCGGCTCGCTCTTGAACCCGCCAAACTATGGGTTCTTTCCCTCGGGTTTCTTGACGAGTATGCATATCGAGGTCTGAGGTCCGGGGTTCTCGAAACTTTTCATCAGCCGTCCTTTTGGTGGTAGATTTCAAGAAAATTCTGGTATTCTGTACCAAATCGACGGTTTCGTCACAAGATACAATATGTAGGCTGGTACGCGATTGCAAGACCCAGTCTTAGCGTCACTCGCTTTCGAGCCTACCAACAAAACCTTGGAAACCTCGATGCACCCCACTCGATGTGGATAAGAAGTCGAGAGAAAAAACGGAACGCCACTGACGGTACACTGCATTCATAAGAGCATTCGAAGGGTCAGCGGATAGTCAGTAAAACCCAGATTTTCAGCGTAAAAATCTACAGCCCTATTCCTGGGTCTCGATCTTGCATTTGCTAGGGATTGATGCCATGTGCAGCTGTGCTAGATACTTCTGTCGTGGAATCCGAACGCTCGGTTTAAACGAAAGAAGCCTAATAAGTGCGGGTCCGATATGGTAAGGGTTAGCAAACGCCACAGCCTCCATAATGTTCGCCCCTTCGGGACTGAATCGTTTCGTGACGAGCCCGGGTAGAGATAGGCTGTAGACGGTCCTTGTTGAGGCGGAGGAGGGCGTAACACCTTCAGCGCCTCACCCCTCGTTTTCATAAGTATTGCCGTCCCTACTACGTATGGATATAGATCCGGCCTCTAGTTAAGGGAACCACCGCCTCTCGCTCAATCGCACCATGATTTGTGATATGTTCCCTCATTGGCATTCCTATAATATGCACAGATGGTATGGGATCACGTTGAACCCCTCAAATTCTGCCGATCTTTTTCCAGGATGTGCTCAAGATATCTTTTCAAGCAGAAGCGTTCGAAATGGCTGTTATCAATGCCGTTTCGATCGACACCCGGTGCACCCTCCAGCATACGCAAACTTGACCTTTATTGTAAGCACTAAGTTCGAAGCTGCCAAATTATAATGGGTATTTCTCAATGGAAAGAGCCCCCAAATTCGTCCTGTCCTGCCAGCCAGTCTTGAAATCCGAAATAAGGGTGGAGGACTCCAAGTTCATGACAAGGGTTAGCACCCCACCGAGGACCATTCCTTAACCGGCAAATTGGGAGCTCGCGAAGTTTCAACCCATGGAAGGTTCGTCGGAGTACATTCTTTGAGCTTCATAGAAAATCGGGGCAGACGACCTATCGCGTGTAGGAATATAAATATCTCCCACGAACGTATCCAAATATAAACACTTGGATCGATTGAGAGCTGAATGTCGTGAATCAACATCTGACGGCGTTACCGATTGCCGATGGAGTAACCGTTAAACGAGTCACCCAATTCAGGTGCCGTCTCCGCGGATTCTACCCAAGAATAAGGCCCTGATAGGCTGGAAGGGTCAGTATGTACCAATGCATCCTGAACTTCGATTGGGACAGGTGTGAATGGGGCATGCAGGTGGGCGCCAAGGACTTTAGCCTGGTTCCTTTTTGGATAGAGAATAGAATTGCAACAACAACAACACTTTCTTAGAGGCAGCCTATATAAGTAGTGAGTAATTTTCAGCTGCTGAGGAGCTCAGATGTTTATCAATTGAATTTCAGTGTTACCGAATCGCCTCTGAGCCATCATATTCTCTATCGAGAATGTAGATGCCGGTCTCAAGGCACCAAAGAACACACAGGCACAGTAATGAGGAGCAAGCCCTAGACATAAAATCATAGCCTCGGTGAAATCCGTGGCAGACAAAATACACTCTTTACACTCTCAGACCTCATAACCAATATCCCGACTACCCGATCTTCTTGTGACAGGTGAAAACCCAACAATGGCAGTCATGCCGCGACTTGGTATTGCTTGCTTAGATACCTTTCCCCTCCGGGGTGGCCCTTTACTGTCGCTGCGGGTGGATCTCGCGACCATTTAATCATTGCTTTTTTCACTGCCACGCCAGCTTCTACAACTTCTTCGACTGTATCGTATAACCAACCCTCCCCAAGCTCCGACTCGAGATTGAAATATACCGATCTCAAGTGCCACAGGCCCATCCCAGAATCAATTCCTAACTTCTTTTTCGTGTGATTCTCTAGGATGTCATTCATCACATCCATCGTCAAACAGCCGCCCGCTTTGCATGGGAAGAGGTATTCTTGATGCCAGTGACTATTTTCAACCGTCCCCCCCGTATTTAAAAATGCAATAAAGGGTCGTATGTCGATGAGAAAAATCAAAATAAGTCGTGAAAGTGGATCAGGAATAATGGTTCGAAAATATTGCTTTACCCTCCAGTCGAAGGAGAGGATAACCAAGTGGCCGTTCTCGTAGTGAAGGGTACGGTACCCCTCACTAGCTTTAAATTAGTCTTGGTTCTAGCGTATTCAGGACTCTCGACAGAAAATTATTCAAGATGACTTACCTTCTATTAACGTTTATGAAGGAAAGACTAAGTATATCCCTAACATCTAAAATCTTTGGGCATGTTGCGAAAAGAAGACACATAATGAGTTCCAAGAAGACTTGTACATCATTGTGGTATTGAACTGGGTCTGGGTAATCCCCTCTTTGTAGTTCTAAAATGGTAGGGGTGTCAGCCGGGTCAGGGCGATAGCCAGCTCCTACCAAGAGGTGCCCAATGCGATCGCACTCATTTTTCACAGGCCTTTTTTTATTCTCAAATCCTAGTCCACAGCTAAGAAGAAACTTCTTGAACTTTTTCGTTTTTGTCAAAGGAGAAGAATGGGGCGGCGGCGGGATATTTGCATCAACTTGCGCAGGCCGGAGGAAACCAGCGGGTAGTGGCGCTGTGCCGGAAGCATGCTTCTGGTAATTGCTCAAGATATTGAAGAAACCCCTATTGACAAGATTCTTATTTCTCTCCTCTGTTAAGAAGCCATACCCTACAAGGGCTTCGTCGGGATCGTCGAATAGACCCTTGAATGCATCTGGGGGGACAGTTGTGTAGTTTTCGAATGTCAGACGCTTTTCGACCCACCAGATTGCCTCCTCAAGACATAACTCAACAAAGTATATATAGTCGTCCGCATCAACCAAGGAGAGCCAAGGATACTGCTTAAAATGTATTTTAGAAAGTTTCCTCATGGTTCTAATTTTCGGTTCTGACGACTTCCAGTTGACTGAGCTTGGGGATGGACCCTCGGAGGAGTGCTGCGAGTCCCCAGCCATCGGATCGGGAGTAGAATCTTCTGAATTCTGTTGAATCGTACTATCGGCTCCTATTGTTGCTTGTGCCGGACTAGCTGCAGAGGAAGGCCCAGCACCTCCGTCGGCATCATCTTCGGCCTGGTTCAGGTATAATTGTCTAATGTTGTCTTCTGTTTCTTTCCTGCGTAATCCAGCCATGATTAAATAGATGTTCGATCCGTTCTGTTGTCGTCGTCCAGTAAAGAAGTATAGTGAAGTGAAGGCTCGAAATATATCGATCAAAAAGGTTACTCGAAGGAAAGGAAATAAATCTTTACGTTGAGGATGTAAAAGCAATACTCTAGAGCCAGGTAGGTCATGACAAGTAAGTCATGGCAATCTATCGTGATGCACGACTAGCTAGTAGGACGTCGGTTGTGTTTAACGCTTCGTTCATGCATTATGCTCAGCACAGCACAGCTAAATAGTGAACGTTCCTTTATACCCATATATCTTGATTGTCTCGATCGTCTAAGTTTGACGTGCGTAGCAGATATATATTTCGAATATCTGTTGCCAATATGGCCAATATTAAATAGGAACCTAGGATATATCTTCCTAGGATCCTTTGATTAATTCCACCGGGCTGATTGCACGACTATCTTCTCTTCAGAATAGTTAATGATTCTATAGGCTTTTGGACATCGGGATTGCGAGAAGTTTGTGACACATCACAAAGCGTCTGCTTACGTCTAGTCTATCAACTATTGTGTCAGAAGCAGGGTGTTTTTTGGTATATATACCGTTTTAATAAAGCTTTTTCGTTATAATACGGTATTACGGTGCTCAATACGGATTGAAACAGCATTGGAGGAGAAATTTTACTAATAATTAGGATTCGAACGGTATTTGAAAACACTACTTTCTAGCACATTAGATAAATCGAAGGGCTTAATAACCTGCCAAAGGTTTAAAACTATTATAGTCACGTTTCACAGAGATCTGCGGATCAATATTACGGGCCTGGGCTGGGGGAGAGTGCTGCATAGCCAACACATAAATTGTTGTAATTTTAGATGTGAATCGTTCGCAACTTGCATGCTGGCTGGCTTGGCCCGGCAAGCATGAGCTACAATTGAAAAAGGTTATATATTTACACCTTTGGACTAACTGCAGAACGACGCCGAAATTACCGCAGGACTATAATTTATAATATGCTAGCACACAAGTGAAGAGGGCCCGGGGCTCCGACTACAATTCTCAGTTGCAAATGCATAGTTACGTTATTCGTAATCTAGTTAATGGCGTTCATATGAGAACAATATCTTCCGCCTCGAGCGCCTGGATTCGAGGCTAAACAATATCCACGAAGCGGTTCATGTTCATTAATATTATAATGCGTTTCCTAGTGGTCTTCTTTACGAATACTAGCTTTATGTGAGGGGGTTTGTGCTCGGGTTATGCAACGGATCTAGTCAGCACGCTAGCACACTAACTTAGTTATGAATCTCGATCTCGTTTTGCGCAGGTTTTCCCACGATTAAGTACTGCCGTAGCATTGATCATTCCGCACCCGGGTATCCATGCGCCTTTATAGACATGAATCCACCTACGGCTAGATTCTCGTACAAAAGCCTATGGAAGCTTGACGCTCAGATATCTCCATAGTCTAAACTTTGAATCGCAGGGAACAAAATCGTAACGATGTTGTTTTTGACGCCATTCAAATCCTCCAAACCAAATTTCACATTCCGATTTTTTATGCAAACATGGCTTTTATTAGCACCGTTGGCCACCGTTAACGGGCAAGGGGGCGAGAAAAAATTCCCTAGCCCGGGAGCCGAACGTCAAGAGTTACCAGTTGGATATGGGCCTCATATGATTGCTAGCAATCGTGCGTGGATCATAGATGAGGCTGGATTGGCTCTCGCAGCACTTCATCAGAAACAGGCTGAGGCCGGGCTGTATGACATAAATGAAGAAGATGTTGGGTGGACCAACCCAGGTGAACTTGTCATTGTACCGGTGCAAAAATGGCTCCGTTTCGAAAGGGACTTAGGTACCGACGATCCCAATGAACAATACAACCACCCGTTGTTCAACCTCCTCGCTCTGGGCAAAAGGGTAACGCAAATGCAGTCTAATATATACCGGCTATTCTTCATTATCCAGCGAGCGATTCCCGCAATGGGTATCAAAGAGCCTCGCGAGCTTTATGAAGTGTTCGACTTAATGTATTCCCTATTCACGGCGCAAATTCGGAATCGATTCCTTGGAAATCCCAAGCTTTTGAAAAGGGCTCGGGATGTCCTAAAACCAGATAGTCCTGTTGTGGCAGCAGCACTGGCAGTGGTGGGTCAACAGACTCGAGCAATTTTCGAGAACATGATGACGGGAGCCATAAAGACTATGGCTGCTCAGGGTGCAGCGCAACTATACCTAGAGTTTCCAGGAGTACTAGACCCGGGAGGGATTCTTGACTCAAATCTCGTAAATATATCTAAAGCGGGTGGCTTCGAGGACATCACTACTAAAGATGAAAAAGTCGTCCTTTTCAATCTTTTCGATATCGGCGCGGGGAGCGTTGAGGATGACGATATTTACATCAATGATGGTAAATTTTTGCTGACGTGGGAAATAATATATTACGCCTTTATCAAGGTAAACGGGCTCATGAGGGCCCTTGGTATGCTGTTATCACCTCGCCTAAACTTCTACAGCAAAACCTATGGTGAACTACCCAAACCCGCTAGAAGTCTAAATATCAAAAAGCCTGGATATATCGACCGCCGGTTGCTCGGAACTGGAGGTTACATTGGCGAGAAGTACGGCAAAAACCTTATCGACTTCGAGCCTAATGACCCTCGATGGGAACTCTGGATGAAAACTTCCGACAAAAAGTACTTCAGTGGTATTTTAACGCATTTGTTAACAGAGATGGTAGCAGAGGCACAGGTTGCATTACCGGCCATGCTGGATTGTATTGCGGATATAGCGGTACAAATTCATGCAAGTGGCTTACCAGCTTCTTCAAAGCTTGGGCCGGTACCTGATTTCGCTATCCCGACTTTTTTGCTTGGGACTACTGAGCGGATGAGTGTAGATTTAAGTTTTTTTAAGAACTACCCGGAGTTTTACGCTAGGACGAGTATGTATCAAGTTGGACGACTTGCAGAAGAAGATCCGGCAGCTTAGAACCCGGATCTTACGAATCAATCGCAGAATTTGCTGCCGGAAGTCTAGTTTAAGAACCAGAATAATATAATAATGATCGAGATATTTCGAGACTAGATTTGATCCAGTCTCAATTTAGCCACAGTCTTGAACAAGGTATCGTAGATCAAGGGCCTTAAAATTCGATTCCATGCCGATATATATGTATCACACTAGTTAAGTCAATCTTAAAGGATCATTGGAAATAGATGTGGAAATATCTTAAAAATCTTGTTAAATTCAGGGCTCGTACACTTGGGGCCTAAGAAAGGGGTGTGGATATTTGTATCATTCCGGTACTCGTGCGCATATGCGTCATGGAGTTTAATAAGCGAGCATCTTGCCTTCTCGCTAGGCTCCTCAACTGTGCGGGCACCAGTTAACGGTTAAATTGGCCAGTAGCACGGTACTCCCACACGTACATGTGAACCTTTGGCGGTTGATGACCCCAATAATATCATTCTTACATCCATCAACGTGCTTTGCCAGTCAGGACTATACTATAGTACCACCTAACCAATGCGAGTTTTCTGCAAGTTATCCCCACGGATCTGTTCCGGGATCGAATACTAATAATATATGCACCACACTGACTCAGCATGGATAGCTGGCCAAAAATGACTTAGGTATATGGCTTTGTGAAAGAGTGCGATTACTATGCGTAATATTCTTTTTACGTACCTCTCGCCTCCTCGATATAAATCGATTTAATCTTGCTATTTGGCTCCTGGTATATCAAAAGGGAGCAAATTAATAGTGAGGACCTAGTTAGTGAGTATCCAATAGTGTTCAAAGGCGGTAATAAATATTAGTTCTATAGACGTCGATATCTAGATCTAGACCACCCTTCACACTCAGATCTGATACCAGCAACGATCATATATCCATAGATCAGCAATACAGCCTAGACCCCAAAATTTGTCTGGGCCAGAGACCGGTCTGGCTTAGGTATGAAACAATATATAAGCCTATAGCTATATTGGGCTAATATAGTTGATAACTTGTCATAGCCCATTTACAGAGCTCAACCCAACCTCCATATATCCCCGCACAGAATTTTGAAAACAAACCCAGAAATCCTGCTTAACATTTGAAAGATGTTATCAAGAGATACTTGTGGTCAAACAAAAAGTGGCACCACACCACATGCACACGGTACGGTACGGCTTTGGTGTCTTCTGAACACCCCTCAAATATGCCCGAACGCCACAAAAGTTCAAACCGCATTGCATATGCAAGTATGTTACTAGTGTAGAATAATAGGGCAACTCCAGCAATACTGCAGCTGGTAAACCTTGCCTACCCGTATTTAGGCACCGACGCGAGTTCGCCACTGTTTATGCAGGTATTGAATAAAAGGTTAGGACTAAGGAGGGCTGTAATTATAGACGTCTGTCAGACAAATGGCTCTGAATCTGTTTCAGAAATATGTGGGATTTGTTGTGATTTATGAGATTTGTTGGAGGAATGTTGGAGATTTGAACCGGGTATCGAATACTAACTGTACTAAATTTTAGTTCTTAGTATAATATAATATCTGGCAGGATATGCGCATGATGGGATCTGCTTAACTACTTAAGTATATAAGCACTTAAGAATTAATGTCCGCGAGGACCCTGAAGGCGGGAGCTCGTTTGTTCATCTAGCTCCGATTTTAGTCGCTTTCAGGGAGGGGCTGGTGAGCCGCCCATTCTAGACCGTACAACTACTTATCGAAAATCGAAACTAACCTTTAAATCAAGGAGTTATATGTTATATTCAAATGTTTTTACTTATATGGTTATTCGTGTCTCGTAATACCATTAATACATTATAATACAGATGCCCTGAATTAAACAAAGAGCGTATGTAGCTAAACGCCAGTATATACCTGCAATATCCGGAAAGCTAAAACTTAATGGAAAAGGCAAAATAAGGGTATTATATTGGTACGGCCTCTAGAATTACCGGCCCAACGGTACCAAGTGAGGGCTTGTCTCCGTCAATCGCCGCTTTAGTCGTATATAGCCATAACCGTCCATTGTTCGTTATTGCTAAGAGCGAATAGCTTCCTCCGTTACCCTCAAATTGACCAGAGACCACCTTGCCGCCGGAATCGAAGTTATGTTCGACTAGGATTTGTTGAGCAACAGGTTCTTGTAGATAAATTTGCTCCGCTTTCGCGTCCACTTTGTCAGCGGCAAATGGAGTTCCATCTCCCCCTGTAACCTTGCCATCAGGACTCGCGCGGAAGATGATGCCTTGGTTGACATTATTAACAAAGGCCAGGCGTTTATATGGAGGCGTGCTGGTGCCTTCATCCACCGTGTACATGTAGAATCCCTTCCATGCCTGAGCGTCGTCATTCTCGGCGACGTCCGCGACACGAATCTTGAAGTATAGATCTGTTGCAACCGCAGATTCTGTCGCAGTGGTGGTGACGGAGAGATCTTGAGTTGTAGACTCGGTAACAGTAACGGTGATAGTTTCTACGCCAGGGAGATGAAAGTAACTTGTACCACCCTCAGCTATCCCAACACAGCGACAAGCTGAAGCGTAGTCGCTGGATTGCGCGCATGCGGAGGCGTAGGCTGGAATGGTAGCTACTCCTCCTTGTCGCTTCATAAGAGGTGCTGACGTAGTGCCGACTGTGATAGTAGTCCATGCTGTCTCGACCACAGTGTTTGTCGATGTTGCAGTAAATGTTTCAGTCACTACCGTACGTCTACCACGCCGATTAGATGCAGTTCTTACGAAGCTAAATTTGAGACTCGTGTCTGGTGGAGTGCTTACTCTGAAGAAACTGTGCTCACAGTCCACACGAATGACCGACAATCAGAGCTAACTGACTCGTGGATGAAAGGTGATGGGCCAGCGAGAGCTTGAATATGATATCAAAATTAGCCCATGATTTTGGGTGTTCGAAATTCTGAGGTATCGAATAAATCTTACCTGCTAGACACTCGTCAAGCACACAATCACAATTGCAGTTATCCTGAGCTACCGCAGTCCCCGCCAACAGGGCGATTGCTCCGACGAAGAAACGCATCTTGAATAACAACCTTTTGCCCAGTCGTGTATACAGATATATTTCGAATCTTCCCAAGGAGTTTCGACGTCGAGAATTCGTCTGTTGCTTTTTGAAGGAATGGAGAACCCTTTGCAAACAGCGAATAACCGGCCTGGTTAGGGATATATAAATAATTCCTTCATGTTCATAACAAATTTTCAAATTTTTAAGTCAAGTGTGGATCAACGGACATGAACCATTGCATATAGCGGCTCCACTTTGTTGGTGTTGAGGCGCAATGTAATCGCCTGTAGCATCCCCAATTGGGTTAAAGAAGGTTGGGTATTCCGGGGCTGGGCGGACCTTTTTGAAAAGCCTAGCACGGCTTGTTTTTGAATCCCAGCGAAGAATACAAATGAATGGGTATTCCGGCAAGGGGAGCGGAATTCTGGGACTCTAGACTAGGCACTCCAAGGCGATGTTTAAAGCGCTCCTAGATATTCAGGTAGCACATATAAACGGCGCGATCCTGCATTAAAACTCCTAGCAGCCGGTTATCGATCTAACCGAGTATCAAATGATGCATCGATGGCCCTTGCAGCGTAGTATATGTGGACACTACCACGGCGGTCATTCAAAAACACAGGTTGGAAATGTCCAACCTCCAAAATCATTCGTTGAACTGTCTTAAGATAGGGCATGACGACTAATTATAAATGTGGTTAGAATCTGGTTGTTGAAGCCGATGAGGATATTCTGAGCGCCCACGCCATACCTAATCCCAGCTGTCTCCGTCCCAAGCCGCAGATGGAACATGAATCCCAGTGGATCAATGAGCCCGCTGGCCACCTACATATGTTTGTAGCGGATTATGTATGTATATGTGTATACACCTCCTCGTGTGTCTCTTAATTTTCGTGACAATATTGGTCAATTGGATGGAGTCATGTAGGTAGACGTACGTGTCTCTGATTCCTGAATGGATAAAACGGACCTCTGCAACATTGTTTCAAGGTTACGTTACCGAATTGAAGTTAATTCTCGAGGAGCTTTTCAGCCTTCTCCTCGATGTACGCATATCCGGAAGGACGGCGGAGAAAGGTTCGTACTCTGGCCCGCCAAGCGTGGGTCGGACGTCGGTTCCTGCACGTGGGCGCTGAGGCATTTCACCTGCCAAAATTCGAGTCGGTGTCCAAAAGAGGAAATATCCCAATTGAGGAATTGTTTGACAGACGTTTGTCATCGGAAAGAAGTGTTGAGACTTTGTGTTGATTTCGTTGCAACCAACAGCTAACAACACACAACCTTCAGTTATAACAGCAATGCGGACTTATGTCATGACCGTGAATCAGATTGCATATAACGCATAATATTCCCACGAAGGGTTTATTTAATAAAAGACTATTCCAAAATATGGATTAGTGAACTAGTTGGACTCTTTTTAAAAGTATATTTAAAAGTCGAAATAAATATAGGATTACCTGCCATACAGTATTTGCTCTGCGGGATTATTGGGGAGTAGAATTGTTTTGTCGATGTAGATATCAAAGATCCCACCACGGCTCTAACAAGACTAGAGAATAATATCAAGGCCGGTTACAATTGAAGCAGAACTGATATATTACATAGTAAAGCCATAGTTCATGTACCTAGCAATGAGGAGGGTGGTGTTGATCAAAGCAAGCAATGCACATGTAGCAACATCTTTTTTCTTTCTTGTCGTCGACAGTCGCGTCTTTTCCTCCTCCTAACGTCTTCACCAACACTCACGACGCATTTTTCACCTTCCACCTCCTCACATCAACCGCACATCTCGTCTCCATTTCTCATACCCTCAAAATATTCCGTCTACCAACCGATAAACCGTCTTTCTATCCATAGATAAACTCGAAAGAGCTTAGTAAGTGAATTCCTGGGAAATGGGCTGACTATGCCTCTCCTTGTGACGTTTGGGAAGGAGACCAGACTGACTCTTGGAGCACCAATGATAACCATTGATTTTTACGTATATAGGCATCGCAAAAATGTAAGTTGAGTGACCTCCCAGCTTGGTCTCGTATTGCAGACGCGACTCCTAGCTATAGGCTTCGATACAAGAAGATGTACCACCCAATAGCGAAGTACTGAGTCTAAATATAATTTAGGAATCACTCACGCCATGGTTCACGAACCCAATTCCAGGGAAGTCCAGGACGTGGACGAACTGGGGGTTCAACTCCAGCCCGAAACAACTCACAAAACCAAAACCAAAACCAAAATCAACAGCTGCGCAGCCTAGACAACTTGGGCCCACCCCGCGTCACCGTTTATTGGCGTGCGGCTCCTCCCCGTTCCCTCTTCACTGGGGGTCCTATCCCAGGCACCAATGCCCGACAAGGACAAGAGAGGTCCGACTACCAAGTCATCGTCAATACCTCTTACCCACGCTGTCACGACCCTCATGCTATTGTATTCCACAGTGTCTACGGAGAACGTGGTGCTCACATTGAACATAGTGAGCTATACGGAACTCCTAACCCCTACTACGCCTATGACTGCCAATTTGTTCAGATGCTGGCAGATTACGCCTTCTTTCGTGACGGGGTAAACCGAGAAGACTATCACCCGACTCTCACTAGTGACAACAATCTCGTTGCCGAAGGTAATTAATACATTCCGTTCACTTTTTTGTACTGGTTTGCCTAGAGACGAGTTTAGATGTCGCACTGAGGAACCTAACTGACTCATAAAACTTGTCCCAACATGCAGGCCCACCATTCAAAAGTATCTACCTCGAAAACAGGACCGGCCACAGAATGTACATTCAACAACTGCAGGCCACTGGAGATCGAAATGAGTACTATGTTGGTGTCGCCGTCATCCCACCAGGCACAAAGCACAGGATTGTCAAAATCCGAAACGCCACCATCCAACTCGAGTATACTTGGGAGTCCGTTCGCACCCGAACCACATACGCAGCCTTGATCAAATGCCCTAATGAGGCTGCCCTCTCCTCTGGAAGACTTCCAGATTGTCTACTCAATCAAACTCCCGATAGGCCTTACGGGTTGGTCATTTCGGGTACTGAGGATGGTGGCTTCAAATTTCTTTTCCACCGTAGTGGCAGCGATTATTGGTGATAACACTCTAGAATTTACAGTAAGTGTAGCTTACTTATGTATTGTCGATCATGTTTCTTACATAAGGAAAATAGCATTCGCGATAGAGAGCATAATAGTGCTTGAGCAGCTAATATTGGAAAGGCCCCCGATAAGAATACTTTCCTTGTGGTTGTACCACTACACTGCACAAGTCGTTTCATTTTCCTTCTCGGAAAATTCTTTTTTTGGTTCCTTTAACTCTTCTACTCTAAATTTTCTACTCAAACGCACTGGGAACTTCTTTTTTTTATCGGGATACAACAGCGATTTCTCTTTTCTACGAATATTCATGTTAGCATTGTTTAGTGGCAATTACTGTGTACGTTAACAAGCACGAACACTAATCAATGTCAAAAATTTTAATTACTTTAACGTTCCAAGCTTTCATTTGTTCTTCTGCAGGATAGAACTCACTATGGGTGCTAAGCCCCAGATTTAAACTCGATCTAGCTAGATGTCATGAGGTGTGGTTATATACTCCGCGTATCCGTCTCCATATAGCACTTCTACATTGACGCTGTTCAACGTCCCGAGCTCTTATAACAATTGCGTAATATCGAAAAGAATAGAAGTGCCAAAGTGCCAGACCACAATTATCCCCGAAAAATATTTTAATACCTCGAGATCTCCAAACTTCACTATAGCCATGGCACTTCTAACGATTAATGGACATTCGTATTTTGCAACAGGTAAGCTGTGTTGCTTCACCAATTCCAAATCTCGAATATCAAATGGGGCTAGTATGGCTGGGCAGGGGCTGGGCAGATATCGGCTGAAAGCACGTCGCGTCCGCCCGTCGACGACCAATTTAATTTATCAATTATACGCCTTCTGGGGTATATATCCTTACTTTTATCCCAATTAAATTCCCTATCGATTGTTGGAACTCCGATTCTATATGTATACCTTGCACCAGTACAGTGAACCGAGTAACATGGTGTCGAAAAACATATGGATTCTACCAGATGAAGTCGTTGGACGAATCTTGAATTACGTTGGTACCCTTTCTCCCCCAAAAGTTTACCAGATTCCCAGATTTCTAACTCGAGGAGAAAAATTCATCTGAGACAAAAAACAGCTTCCAATTGACAATGGCCTGAAAAGCTTTGCTCAAACCTGTTCTGTAGCCTTAAAGCTTGCCTCACCACTCCTATACCGCACAATAAGTTTGGAACTCGAAGGTGCAGAAGTTGCACCAGACGAAGATGGTGATTTCGTCTACAATAGCAAATATCAGGATGTAGAGTTACGAACCGTTGAAGCGGTTTTGGAGACTTCTGCGCGAACATTGGCGAATACGAGGGTCCTGGATGTTTATAGTCCGCGGTTTTTGCCACATGGACATATGACGTTGGGACTTACGGATGCTAGGATCAGGAGAGATAACTTCATGATTAGGAGTGTGGTGAGGAGGCTGGGAGAGGTTGATTGTTTGAGGATTATCAAGTACGAAATTTTCGGAGGAAATGCAATCTATCACTTGCTAATTGGGCTTATCAAATTAGAATCCCTTCCCATATCCAACTTTCGTTGAGATCTTTGGACTTCATTCTGCGCTCGCTTCCAAGTTTGCGATTGCTAAAGGCCGGAAATATTTCAGTGGCGGATCCTACCGATCCTGAAGCGAGCGTGGCACATGCAAAGCCGGAATATGGTAAACCGGTGAACCTCAATTGGCTCGAGCTTGCGAAGTTTGATACACAAGCTATTCCGGTGATCCTACAAACCCTTAGACGTATGGGCCAGTCCCTTCGAGGGCTCAACATCCAGCCTGTATCAGGCCGAGACGGCCATGACTGGAAAACCGAAAATGAAGATGGTCTCCAAAAGTTCATCACTCAAAATAGAGAATTTGATTTCAAAAAGGGGCCCGATACAATAGTCCAAGAAATGAGAGAAGAAAATCGGAAGATCAGCCTTCCCGCTTTGGAAGAGTTATGGATAGCGGCGATGGATGATTATCAAGACATGACAGATATCATCGGCCACCTGATCATCGACTGCAAAAAACTCACCCATGTCAGACTCGAATTTTGTTTTTCGCCAGAGAACGTACTTCGCGGGCTTGCAGAGCTGAATGCTCCTAGACTCCATTGTCTCCGGATGTTGAAATGTTCTTGGGATAATGATCTACAACCAACGCCCCTAGACGAAGTATTACCGAAGTTGGCGCCGTTAAAAACGCTAGTTTTGTCAAATCTAAATAATTGGGATATGAGAACTGTGTTTTCACACCGATTATCGTTGAAACAACTTTGGTTGCAGTGCCATGCGTCTGAGCAAAAGTGTCAATCGCATTTCAGCTGCCATATGACGGCTGATCTTTTCAGCGAAGGGCCCAAATATCAGTTTACTTCTCAAAATTGGCCTTGTTTGGAGGAGTTGGCAGTTCAATACGTGGCCTGGGAGAAGGTACGAAAATCAAGACATATGCCTTTATTCAGAATCGGAACCTAATTAATGGTTAACTCAAATTATATAGATCCCAATGATGCACACCCTCAAAGCTCTCCGCCTCCTCTCGGACCTCAACTTCAAATCCGACTGCGAAACCATCGAATCCTACACTCTCAAGATGCGCGCTTATGTCTCTCAACTTTGGGAAACCAGTCTTCTCCAACATAACACGATACCTGCACTGGAACTCATGATCGGAACCTTTGACGGAACAGAAGTCTACTTTATTATCACGTCCCAAGATTCCAAACCTTTAATAACGGTGTATCCTGAAAAGGAATTTTTGAAGGTCTTTGGAGTGAAACCCATGCCGTTTCTGCTAGACAACTGTGAGGACGGGGAAACAGGAAGGGTTTTCGATAATAGATATTGGCATGAATATATTAGGTCTTCTTCCAGGCAGAATATTAATGAGACGTTTATGGAGGATAGTGCCAGTCATAAGTGGGATTTGTTTTAGAAAGAGTTTCACCGGACCCGCTTGAAAAGGCAGTGTGTATGAGACGTACAACTTTGATCAGTAAATATATATAATCAACTAGGAGATATCCTCAGATGCAGAGCTAGTAACATAGGTCTAGCGAGTAACTCGTATCAGAGAGTCACGAATCAAATGGAAATATATTAATACTGCATTCGTGTGTTGTCTAATGCTTTGCAACATGCTAGCGCTAGCTTAGGAACTTTCGCAGTCAGCGAGCCACGCCGACGCCAACTGTGCAGCACTAGCTGCAGCTACAGCTACTTGCACGCGAAGCCATTAGCTCCCAGCGCAGGCAGTGCCCCGCGCGAAGTTCTACATGACTCTTAATACTCGAACCCCAAGGAGTTAGTATCTAGGGCTGGGGTATAAAACCGGAGACACAAACCTTTTGTGGATGAAATCGTGGGTTCTATGGATCTAACAATATAGTTAGTGGACATACCATTGCGAACCAAACCCTACAATTTCAATCGACGGTGCGGTGGTCTAGGTCCTATCACGAACTTTGAAGATGGAAGAAATAGATTTCAGAGTCCAGAAAGAGCAAAGCTCGAACCAACGATCAACCCTTTTGCAGGTCCCGGCGGAGGTTCTTGAAGATATAATAGAATATGTGAGTTGTGCGAGTCAATGTATTGGTTTAAAACTAGACCACTATACACCTACAAAACCCAAGTAGAGTATCTTTGCGATGTTTTTAAATTATAGATTCTGTCTAATCAACTACTAATAAGCCGATGTACATCTGTCGTAGATACCAAAGGAATCCCTTTCACCCCTCTCACAAACTTGCAAAATCTTTTATAATCTCGTAACGCCCACCTTCTATCCCCGAACGCTAAAGCTATTCATCTTGCGACCCGAGTATGACTGGAGGAATGGTCATCATCATTTTACGTACCCCGCCAAACGCTGCGAACAGGGATATCTCGATGATCAAAAATCAGAGAAAATCCTAAATGCGCCCGCCGGGTGGTTGAAACACGTCAAGGAGTTTATCGTTGTGGATTCAGCACACAGATATGATGATGTTTGTTGGAAGAGGAAGCATAAGGGGCTTAAGAGGCCAGATGAAGTTGTTTTGACGATGATTTTGAAGAGGTTAGGGATGTTGGCGAAGGGCTTGAAAAGAGTGCTGTAAGTCTCAATTCTGCTGGATTTGATGGCAAGTTAAAGTACTTGTCTCGTACCCAGCCCCACGCAAAAAAATCTTAAAGTACCCTATACTAAGATTTCTAACCACTCGTCCACGTAATAATATATAGCATCCCTCGTGATATTCCTTTGAGAATGTTCGTCACGATTCTCGAGTCGATCCCAAATCTCTGCGTACTGGAAGCCGTGATCGAACCCCGCACTTTCTACCGCGAATCTAGGGACCGTCTCCCTTACAAGTCTTTACTAACCACAGTCACTTCCCTAAACCTCGAACGACTGAAGTTCGGTTTCTCAGGCGAAAAAATCGTAACCGGAATGTTTCGAATACTGGAACGGTGTTGCAGTACCCTACGGAGCTTGGAAATCTCTGTTACGTTTTATGACAAGGTAGATTTCAAGGGTTTAGAAAATAGTGGCGACGAAGGACCTGACTACAAGAAGCCGAAATTGAAGTTTCCCGCCCTCGAGAAGTTAAAAATTGACATGAATGGCGACGGTTCATTCGCAGACTGGTTACTTCATTTATCAACAGACTTCCGAAAACTTTCATCATTAGCAATCCACGCTGGTCAAGATACCCAAGAGGTAGTAAAATACCTAATATCAAACGGCGCGCCGATCCACTCCCTTCAACTTACCGATCGCGACTTCCCTGAAAAAGCCAACTCCGTAAATCTAGAAGACGACGAAAGAGGAGTTATCACGCTCCTAGAAACAATAGGCCATCTAGATACATTGCAACTATGGTCATTTGACGGCTGGGATTTGAAAACGGTGTACGATATGCATAGACATACATTGAAAAGGCTATGGCTCAATTGCCATATATCTCACAATCTTGAACAAGGACAGACGTGTGCTGTTGAGGATATCATATTTAGGGCTGAAATTGATAGGTATACGTTTACGACTGAGAATTGGCCGTTCTTGGAGGAACTTACGATGCCATGGCTTGGGATTGATAAGGTCGGTTTAAGTCAATCGAACATACTTTCAGTTTCAAGATTCTAAAAATGTGTCTGTGACCAAATAGCTTCCACTTCACTCAGGTCTCCGCGTCCTCCGCCTTGAACACCTCCACACGAAATCCACCCCTCGAGAGACCTATAAATCTCTTCTGGAACCATACATCACCAGCCTTCTCAAATATGCCGCACCAACAAAGCCAAAACTCGAAGTAATAGTGATCATGCCAAACACATATAACAGGGGTTATGAGGGCCATGATATGACATATTTATCTATGGATTATAATGAAAACGGAGAAGCCGTTATTAAGACTATGAATTACATGGTCGATATATTGAAGAAGCACAAGTGGTCGTATTTGTTTCAAGAGAAGACTTTGGCCCGGTTGTGGGATGATAGAGGGATTTGGGATTTACACAGCGGGAACTATTATGAGGGGTCCAGTTAAGTAACTCAGTCGTTTCTGGCGATCTTGTGAAATGCCAAAGAGGTTTTTGAATATCCTTTAGACAACGAAACGCGCATGCGACTTCTTAAATGCTACTCTTACAAATGACAAATTCTAATTCTGTTGATCCCCTTGTCCCGTAACCAGTCCCAGTCAAGAAAAAGTACAGGGTGGTCCTCTCTTGATGACTATTCCTGTCAGTACTGTTTTGTAACTTGAGTGTACTTCAGCCCCTGTCCTGTAGGCCTGACGGAGTTTCGGGAAATGTGTGTTGACATCTACAATACAACAATCTCGCGCCAAGCCTCTACCGAGTCGCGCCAAGCCCTGCTCTCTCATACCTCGAAGCTCGCGAAACCTCGTCGACATCATTCTTCGGATTCTCACTCTCTTGGTAGTAAATCTCAAAAACTCATCCTACAACCATCCGTCGTATACGATACTAAAAAAACGAAATGAGTGGCAAACTAAAGCGCAAAGGTATCGATAATACCAAAGATGACGACCTCATCATCGAATCCCCATTCGTGGATCCAAACGATCCCATGGCCGCCTTTCTACCAAAATCCTTTGGAAAGCAGGCGATCGCTAAATCCGCGCCACAGCACGATAAAACGAAGCGAGTTGATAAAGTTGCTTCTCCGCCAAAATCGCTACCCCGGGAGGATAACGAGGACAACAATAGACCGTCAAGCAAAGTATACGATGATGACTCCGATGACGATGACGATTCAGACGACTCCGATGAAGAAGAAGAGTACCCGACAAGCCACGAACTCATCATAAAAGATCATACAAAGACCGTTACTTCAGTTTCCCTGGATCCATCCGGCATGAGGATGATAACCTCGTCTCACGACTCGATCCTAAAATTCTACGATTTCACAGGAATGGCCTCGAACCATTTACATTCCTTCAAATCCATTGAGCCTCGTGAGGGTCATTTATTACATCACTCCGAATTCAGTATCACCGGTGAAAATGTCTTGGTTATACCAGCATGTGCTCAGGCAAAGGTGTTCGATAGAGACGGATATGAAGTTGTCGAGTTCGTGAAGGGAGACCAGTATCTTAGGGATATGAATAATACGAAAGGTCACGTTTCTGAGGTTCTTAGTGGGACATGGCATCCAACCGATAGAAACCTATTGGTGACATGCAGCTCAGATTCAACGGTTAGGATATGGGATGTTAACCAAAAGAGGCAACAGAAAGAGGTTATTGTTGTTAAGTCTAGAACAGCAAAAGGTGGGAGGACAAGGGTTATGTGTGTGAAATGGGATGATCCGACTCAAGGTGGGAAGAAGTTGTTGGCGGCTGGAAGCCAAGATGGCGGATTGACGTTGTGGGGAGGAGATGGGCCATTTAATAGGCCTATGGCGGCTGTGGAGGGGGCACATGAGAAGGAGGTAGGCGTCTCCGGGGTAGCATTCTCACAGGATGGGAATTTGATGATTAGTAGAGGCTTGGATGGGACTGTGAAGTGTAAGTTTCTATACCATTACTCTATAACCCTCGAGGACTTTGATGCTAATAATACTGTATAAAATAGCATGGGACACCCGTAAATTCAAAAAGCCAATCATGACGAGGACCGACCTCCCCAGCAATTCTCAAAACACCACAATCACCTTCTCCCCGGACTCTTCAACTGTTTTGACCTCCGACTCCCTCGGAAATCTCCATTTCCTCTCCCCAGCGACCCTTCGCTCCGAAAAGACACTCCAAGTAACACCTGAAGTACCCTTAATAGCTTCCCTCTGGCACCCCCGTCTCAATCAAATCTTTACAACCTCCACCGACTCCACCGTCAAAATCCTCTACTCTCCAACAACCTCTATCCGCGGAGCACTGACAATCCTTTCTAATCCCCTCAAAAAGCGCCACATCGATGATGACCCTTCACTAACAACCGACATCGCCACGGGAATGAATGCCGACGCCATATACCTTCCCAACGCCGTCCTACCCTCAAAAACTAAGTCTTTGGCACAGGCAAACGCAATAGCTAATGCCTATAAGCCGTTTAAGCCGCATACTACGCCATTTGCAAAGAGTACACCGGATGAAGAGCATATCAGGAAGAATGTCGCTTTGAGTGGCATGAGAGACGAGGATCCAAGAGAGGCTTTGCTGAGGTACGCGGAGAAGGCGAAGAATGATCCGATGTTTACAGGGGCATGGAGGGAGACTCAACCGGTTACTATTTATAGTAATGAGCGGGAGGAGGAAGAAGAAGAGGAGGAGGAGAGAAGTAAACGACAGAAGAGGTATTAATGCCTTGATCTGGGCACGCATTAGGGTGGATTTGTAAGATATCATTTAGAGCTATTCGGGGCTCTGAGAACGAGACGGGTTTATGCATTATGAAATTTTAGACTGTATCTAGTGGTATATTGGGAGCATTTTATTTTATCCAATCGTCATTTTATTGAATTGATATTAGCTTCGAAGCTAACAATTGAGAAGAGCAAACTTCCTATGCCAATCAACCTATGCTAATCAACCTAGATATAAGTTGCGCCGAAATGCTCGAATCCTTATCCATCTAATTAAAACCCATAACGCCGTAGGTCAAAGCAAAAAAAAAAAAAAAACAAATCAAAAATTGGAAAGAAGATTATGGATTCATCTTAGAGAACCCCCAAACATATCATCTTCCGTTTTCCTCTTCTTCTCTGGTGGCGGGACTTCCTCGGCCTGTTTCTTTGGCTGTTGTGGAGCATCATTCCCAATCCCAATTGGTGACCCCGCGCCCAAAAACTTTTGAGGATTTTGGCAACGATGAAGCTTTTTATCAATTCTTTTAAGCACATCAACCGGTATCTTTTCATACTCTTGCGCCTTCAGCATCATCTCCGCACACGCAGCAACAGCTGGAATCAACTTTGGTGCCAAAGTTGGTGGTTTTGGAGCTTCAGCTGCAGATTCCTCTTCTGTTGCCTTATCCTTTCCTTTCCTTTCCTTCTTTTTCTTCTTAATAGGCCGTCCCATTGTTGAGTTCTCGCCAAATCGCCATTCGATGTATGCTTCTGCTAGCTCTTTATCTGCTAACCATAATGCCCCGAGGAAGATTTGTGGAGGGGTGTAGTGGTAATAGACGTCCGAGACCAACGCTTCTTTTGTGAGGTAACCTTTCATTCTTCCGGCAGCATCTGTTACTCGTCTTGATGGGTTCTGGCCTAGTTTTTCCCTTAAAGTCTGTAGCCCCGAATCGGTACTATTTGACCCCAAAGCGGTCAATAGCTCCATTATCCCTCCATCAGCCCCTCTCAACGGATGTCTGATCTCAAAATCCCAACCAATCCCTCCGGCGACCTTGAACTCGTATTTTAGAACGGCCTCTGGCGTCAACTTCGGTATTCTCTTACAAAACTCCGCAGTGGAGAGGTAGTTATTTTCGGTCTTAGTCGCAAGGAATAGGATTGTTGTTAACAGATGCTTCGGATGGTATGAATGTACGGAATGGTGAAGATGGAAACGTGAGAGGAAGATGCAGGCTGTAGCTTTAACGGACGATGGGAAGGAGAAGATGTCGGACATGGCCATCAGGCGCAGCATGTAGTAGTTCACCAAGGTGAGTTCCTCGGAAGGAGAGAGGGGTTCCGGGTCCGGAATCGTAGAAGGGTCTGCGGGGATCGGTGTTGGAGTGTTGTTATTCGATGGGATTGGAGTGGTTGCGAGGGGAGTGTTTGTGGAGGAGGAGGCTTCGACACGAGCGCGTTTCCAACCACGCTTGATGGAGCGAACACCGGCGGCATTGGTGGCGGAACGGAGGTTTGAGAGCGTTGTGGGGCCGAAAGACCAGGTCTTGCATTGGGTCGTTGTGGTGTAGAGCTGGTCTTCCATGGTTGCTGGGTGATGATGGGGTTGGGTGGGAAATAATTGATGTCGGTTGGAGTCTGCGGGTTGAGGTTGTTTGTGTGTTGCGGTGGAAGAGCGAACCTTGGATACAAAGGGGAGTTACGGCGGTGTGGTGGCCATATATGGTACCATATGGTGTAAATCCTGTGTTAGAGCTTCGAGGCCGATTGATACTGCTCTCGAGCTTGGTTTTGGACTAGAAAAGAATGTGGGGCGATGGCCTTTGTTCGCGTTTCGATCAAGTAGTTCACGTCGCCTGCGCTAGGAGTGGTTTGTTAGGAGTTAAGTGGATTGTTGAACTTGAACCGATATCGACGCAGCTGGATCCTGGACGGTTTGTTTAAGCTGACCAACGCGTTGACATTCACAAAATGACACACGTGCCGACATATATTCTGCATCCGGGGCATCCTTGCTTCGACTCGTATTATTTCAGGATTGATACATAAGAAACCTTTTGCTCTACGCCATAATAAAATTGTCTTCCAGTAAAGTAGATTGAGCATGCTTATGCGTTCGTCTACCGGGTCTATTGATCCGATCATCCGAATTTCTAATCATGTTAGTATTATTATTATCTTACATCTATCATGCATCGACCCTCATATTATAATTCTATCATTGAAGACCGTATTTGCACGTAAGCACAAGGTCTTGAATTCTATACCGGTATCGGGGCATTTTCCTCTTATTATATTAGCTGTCAAGTGTTTTAAAGGTATCTACAAGGTAATATAATAGTATACAAATTTTCAACTACTAAATTCTCAATTACACCATCGATCCGATATAAATTTCCCAGGCTTGTTCCTTGATCCAATCCTTGTACGACCGTCTATCGACAAACCATCAATTGCCACTAATTTAAAGCAGGAATGTCTCGATTCTGCAGAGTGACAACATGCATGGATATCCCTTATCTGATATCGCTTGTAAAAAATTGACAAAGCCACTAACTAGGCCCACGGGCTGACGGGTAAGCAGCCATCAATATTTTAAGAATTTAACGGGGTATTATCTAATGCCTGATTTTTAATGCGGACATTTATGAATTTTTAAGTTTCCTGTTTTCAAGGACTGTGGGATTCCAAATGCGGGACGGAATTGTGCATAATTGTCAATTATTTGTACTACCGCATAGCCCATAGGCGCCTTTATGCCTCCTTAGACAAAACAAGCTTGCTGCAGTAGTTGGTTGCTGAACCTCCAATTGCCATTTGATAAAAAGGACGACTGGGCATCTAATTCCCCCCGTTTTATCCGAAACACGATTGAAGCAACGGTTGTTGCCATTTGTAAGTATTGGCCACTGGAACCCGTTAATGCTATATAACCGTTTATTAAGAGCCTCATTTCCCGCCCGTGCGCAGGCACTCACGTACGCACGTCCGCACATAGCATATTAGAAATGCCGGTATTTGAGGACACCGGATGTCAGCATTTGAATTATTCCAAGAAAACTATATCCACGATAGATGTGAGGAACATGAAAACTTGATCCTCCTTCCTACTCTGTAGTACTTTCCCTATGGACTCGAACCCGAATAGAAAGATACGGCCTCTGCGAATTAGCGAATTTCTCCATGTATAAAAAATTTACCGATTCGATTGAAAAGGTTTATAAACCCCAGCAAATGGCAAGAGACGACGGCGACCTACCCGAAGCAGTACCAGTAGCGAGTACACTACCGCAAACCTACCAAGGAGACCACGATTTACCGCAGGTGGTGGAAACCACAACACCACAGAAATGGCGACATCCACAGTTTGCGGAGGGTTCGTATACGCCGTCGCCGCCGTTTATACCGCCACTTGAAGATAAAAGAATATTGGGATTACGGCGGACGACATTTTTTCTATCACTCGCGTTGGCGGTTTTGATTGTTTTCGGTATTGCTTTAGGGGCAGGGTTGGGCGTTGGATTAAAGAAAGGCGATAGCAACAGTAGTAGCAATGCGAATAGTAGTGGAGCAGTACGATATTTCCGATTCTCCTTGTTTAACTTCAATTATTGATTTAAATTTTGAGAGTTTTTCTAATTAATTTTTAAATTTTGACAGCAAACATCTTCTATAACATCCTCACCGCCGTCAACATCTACTACTTCGACTACCAGCTCGACTACAACCACAGCGTGCGACCCCTTACGAACAGCTGCAGTCACAAATGGTGGATTCGAAGCCGGTGTCGAAGCATCCGACATTCGTCCGTGGTATATTCCCGATCTTGTCGCACCAGCAACTTACGAAATCCTCAACGTCAACGGCAGCAATGTCTTCCATGCGATCTGTAATTCAGATCTAGAACATGGAGCATACACAAAAATAAAACTTGCGCAACAATTGCGAACTTGCCCAGATACGGACTACAATTATGAATTCCGCTATAATTTTCTTCCGGGAAGAAATCAAAACGCTTATATCGTGTTCTTCATCGACGGAGAGGAGATAGCTAATATCAGAGCCGGGCCGAATGATTGGGTTACTCGTAGAGGGAACTTTACGTCGAAGAGAGGTGGGAATTCGACGCTTTTACAACTGGATTTTGCACCGGTGGCTTTTGATTCGCAGGAGTTTTTTGTAGATGATTTCGAGGTTACACCGGCTTAGCTTTTTATCAGTCTCGGTGCCAGGATTGTCCCCTTTTTCACTTGATATCCTCTCGAAACTTTTGGTTTCATGCTTTTTTGTTTTATTCTCTTGCATTATGTCCCCTTGAGATCTAAAATTCCGTCATGTTCAAGTTTACGGCGTATATTAAAATATATTTCTTTATCTGCATGCAAGTTCAACCGGAGACGTCTCCGTTTGAGACGCCCCCCCGTATATATATAATGCTAAATTAATTATAGACTGAAGTATTTACTCAATTGCAAAGCCCAATGCAAGATCGATGCTGGGTAAATGCAAATAGTTCAAATCGCACAACCCGACCTTAGACTTAGTTAGAACCCATGATTGCAAGAACCTCGTCAGTTTTCAATTCAATATCTCCAATCATCATTAACATCTCCGCCATCTCAGACGCGTCAAGTCTCTCTTCGAGTTGTGATCTCCCTTCCCTAAATTTTTTGACTATGGTCTCTAGGTTCTGAGAGAGATCACCTCTTGTAGCCGCATACCCCAGACCCTGCATATCCACGCCCAGCTCTCGAATTTTTCTCTCCCCAATTGATATGGATTCTTTAGCAGCTACGATCTTTTCCACATGTTTGTAAACGCTTCCATGCAATAACGCCGACTTTTCAGCCAGAAGGTTAACTTTAGGCTTTAGACTGTCGAACTGCTTTAGGTCGATCTTTAAACTGGGAACCTTAACAATCAAATCTGCAATTTCACCCTCGAGACGCTTTATGTAGTCAATCGTGTTCTGGATATTCCTCTTCGTAGCGTCTATCTCATCACTTAAGCTTCTGACAATACCATTCTTGCATTAGCATTGTATCGTGCTATACATCCTTCGATGATATTAACTAGTTTTGGATAAGAGAAACCTACGAAGCATTAACTCCGTTCGTAATAGCCATGCCCCCGCCCGCCACCCACATACCCATGGCCAGAATTGGAAATGCTGCTCCAACCACGAGGCCCAGACCTGCAATAACGCCGCCACCGACACTTCTCTATATATGGTCACATCGTTAGAATAATATATTCTAGATAGCAATGGTGTATATGTACATACTCCAACCATAGATCCGCGTTCTTGACTAAGCCGGGGTAGAAATTTCTCCATATCACCGATGTCGCTCTCTAGTTGCGTTTTCCTGTTTATTGCATTTTCTTTTTCTCTGACCGAAACTTCTATTTCGTTTTCAGTTTGAGTGATTTGAAGTTCGATGTTTGACCGAGTATTGGATATCTTGCTACTTAAGATACTCATTCGAGTAGTGCCTTCTTCGACTGCCCTCTCCTGCTCTTTCATCAACTGCTCTCGACCTTCGACTAATCTAACCTCTAGCTGTTGAAATGATTGTCCCACCATTTTATTCAAGCTTACGATAGTATCTTCAGAGGTATCTATATCTTCTTCGACTGCAATATCTCCAGGCTCGACATTGCTGTATTGTTCCAGTAGTAAGGAATCAACCTCACAGATGCATTTGATAAAACGGAATAGATTAGCACTGATGCCTGCGAATTGGGATTTATATGCCGCTCCAAGCTCGCCTATTCGGGTCTGTTGCTCTTGCTCTAATTTGTGAACGTTGATTTCGAGTTGTTTAAACTCGTCTTCAAGTCCGAGAATCTGGATATGAAAATCAAAGGAAGACATCTTGAATTTTTTTGAATACACCTGATGCAAGCGTCTGTTGAGAACTGTTGTCCTCTAAAATTGTGTAGTTTAGATTAATAGCGTGAATGGAAATGAGTATAATTTTTGACGACATCAAAGATAGGCTATTGTACTGTTAGTGAGAATAGGCAGAGCTAGCTTATATATATAATCATGATTGATTCCACTATACAACGTTCCAGCTACCAGATGGGCGAAGTGGGTGTGTTCGAATATGCGCCTTCTCATCAATATCGAATCTGCATGCAGGGCCGGCCGCACGCCCAGCTCATACGCTCATACATGGCATAGCTAGTTCCCTAATATTAATGATCGCCGAAATACCCAGACCCAGAACCCGCGACCTGAAGACCTATCATAAGTGCATTCTGTTAATACTTCTTAAAGGTTGCTCGTTCTTAATTTAGTATAACCTCGCAGTCTGTAAATATGCCAAAAATCTCAGCTACTACATATATGTACTATACAATACAAGTGCGCAACTCCATGGCAGGTTCCTAGAATAGTAGCATGAAACCACATTTCAAAATGAGCCCAACTTCTGACTGTTGTGAAAAATACAGCCTCGGCGGTTGAAATTTCATGCTGATTAACACGCTGATAGAAACTTAAGCAAACATGTTGTACAAGGCTGCAGGTCTTTTAAAGCTTTAGGCCGTATCATATTCTTGACCGAACAATTTGCTTGATTATTTGATAACCATTGGTCGGCTGCGCCGTTGGCCCGCCGCCAGCACACACAAGCATACTAAGTACCTAGGTATATACCCAGGTCTTTTGACTGGTACTTACCGATCCATATGCACAGACTCTTGCGAACTTTTTTTTTAACAATAATTACGTCTCAACCACCTCGACAAGCACTCTACGTCGGCGATTAGCCTCGAGTTTAGGCGCCCAACAATGACTTCGACGTATATGCACCGGCCGCGAGGCAGATCTGAGTTGCAAGACTTTCTTAAATTTTTACTTGCGCTTGGCTATTCTGGCGCTTTCTGCGGGGATACAGGACTGAAGGAAACGGTCAATTAATTTGTATGATATAAGAGGTTTGGGTATTCCGTACTTACTTACTATATCCTGATCCATTTAACCATCTAAAATAAATTCAAAGATTAAATCATTAATCATAAGATTGAAAATTCAAAAGACAGATTTCCATCACTTCTGTGGACCGACCCAAGATACTGAAGTTTTATCGATCATGGAGCTCCAATCTGTTATCAGCCAAGCCCTTACGGATGACTGGTCTAAAGACATCCAAGCGGCTCCAAAATTAATCCATATCATCGGACTCTGCGCTGCACTGACTACCAAGGAAGAAATTCTTTCTATGCAACTTCAAGACACAAGATTGGCGTAAGACGGCCCCATAAACCGATTTATAAGCTGCCAAACCAACGATTAACAACTTGTAGGAACAAAGGATTGCTTTCGAACCTTTTACATCTTGCCAATCATGGCCAGTCGGCATTCCAACAGGCTCACTCTGATACTTATAAAATATCAGTTCGAGCAGAAGAGATCGGTCGAGATGGTGGTTATGTAGGTGACATCATGTCATCTTTTTGATCTTGAGCTTTTTAAAGTGCTGCTTGGGGTTGTTGTCGTCTGATATTAACATCTGTATTCAGATCGATAGAATTATCAAAAACTTTGGTAAAGCCGACCCGCGTGCCAGAAAACGTCTTGAACGGGCGCTCGGTGGCCTTGAAGGCCAGGTTGCTTTGTCCAAAGCAGAAGGGCTAACGACCGAAGCCGCCTTTGCCGACTGGAGGGACAAAACTGATATCTTACATGAGGCAGTTGCATCTGAACGAGGTAAAACAAATCTTAAAGCCACTGGGACATGAAATTGAGCCGTTACATACAGATCCTGACTGTAGTGTTAATTAATAGGAGAAACACAAAAAACCTTTCTCGAAAGGGTCAAGGTTGAGAAACAAGTTGAAAGAGATTGCAGACTCGCTGAGAGGGACAAGAGTGACGCGAAGAATAGCTTTGATAATGCGGCCGCCGCAGCCCAGAGGGCTAGGGATGTAGCAGCGGAATCAGAGAAACGTCTTACAGACATAGGAGCCGGTGAGTATACAATTTCGCACATGTTGGGAAAGCTGATTGGTTTCTAACGTTATTTAATATACAGAGGCTACTTCAGCCGACTTCGGCTGGGGCCCCGGCTCTTTGTTTAAGATAGGAGCATTCCTCACACGTGGTATTTACCACGGTTTCGATGTCTATAATAAATCACGCGATGCCCGGGAGGCGGAAAATAAACTCGAATCGCAATCGAGGATGCTTAGACAGCTTGAGAGACAGCTGTTTATCATCCAAAACGATGTGGATGCCGCAAAATCGGAGACTCAAAAATGGGTAAGACACACAAATCCCTCTACTTCTAATTCCAATATTAGCGCAAACTAAGCAATCCTTTAACACATGTAAAGAAAGATGTGTGCGAGGCAGTAGATGTAGCACTCGACAATCTCACTGCCTTGCAATACCATATCCGCGAAATGGTGCGATACTTTAGTACTTTATCCGTACAAATTGGATTTCTTTCCGAGAGATGCAATTCTGAATTCCACAAGTTTGTATTGGAGTCGGAAAGTGATGAAACGGGCGAAGCGGATCAAGACGACTTCGAAGAACTTTTAGACTTGGCCCGACAGATAAAAATATTCGCATTGATAGTCCATGCTAAGGCAAAGGTATATGCGAATGTTTCTGAACATGAACTATTCAAAGGGTTCCAGCTCATCAGCTGCTTGAGCAACCGTAACCCTTCATTGATCTCCGATCGGGAGTACATCGAGCGGAGCGCTGGCGAGTTAACGGTCTATCGAAATAGCGCTGAGTCAGGGATAGCAAAACATGTTCATGAGGTATGGAAGCAAAGTTTCCCCATCTTGAGATGTATACTAAAAGATATATTTTCCAACAGAGCAAGCTGCGGCTCTTTGCAGAGTACAAGAAGATTTTCCCCGCACTAACTGACGACTCTCCATTAAACCCTGCCCACCAACCACCTCCAGCCTACACCCCTTAAGCGGAGTGACTGCAAACAAAAATATGACACAGTAAAGTCGGTAAGTTTCTTTCGGTGTTGGATGTAAAACGATTAGTTTCGAAAATATCAATATCTGACTACTTTAGCATATGGCCATATGCATATTCTGGCCACAAATGCACAGGAGTGTGACAGTAGTGAACTTTTTGTAGTAAATTTAAAAATAGCTATTGTTATTTAACATGTATTCTCCGTAGATCTCGCACCGTAGGCTCATGATTGATAGAATTTAGGACCCTTGACTCTAATTCTTGTGGATGCTCGTTAGTATCTCCGATTTGGTTACGATACTGTACATGCGCAATAGTTAAAGTAGCAGAGTCCCGAGTGTCATAGCCTTGAATCTACCTGTGCTTGGGGTCGAATCGTATGCCAACGCAAGATATTGTTGTATTCTGAATAGTACTTTAGGGGCATTCGGGCACGGTCTCATAACCAACCTGGGAACGAGACTACTAATTGGCCATGGTACGAGACTATCGATATCTGCGGCGATATTTTAATTTAACTCCTCTACCGCGAGGTCTAGTTTGGGATAACTACTCTATGCTTAAGTTATAATTGGGGTTAACGTTATAACCCAAAGCGCACATAGCATGGGGGTTGCTGTTAGGGCCGTTGTGGAATTGGTCAGGAATCGCGAAATACTTGCTTTTTCAATTTCGCGCAGTAATGTCGGTGTAAAAAGTTTTAGACCACTATGTCATAATTTAGATCCACATGAGAATCTGGTTCAGCGTCTATGAAATGAGATTCCCGACCTGCTCACTGTGGAGCCGCTATTGGATTCGTCTGGGGTCGCCTATTGGATTTTGCCTCCCACTCAGCTTGCCGAAGCGTTTTAATACAAGACTACTCCGTAGCCTACCACCAAAAAGGCAAAGAACAAAGTTACTTCTTGGTTCGATGTTGTTTGCCTAGCGATCGGCCATGATTCAATTTTAGAGATCTCGTATTGGGTAGGCCGGCAATATTTTTGCTTAATAAGAGGGGTTGGGTTTTCTGCCACGTTGGCGTGCATAATGCATGCGTACATGTACATTCTAGACCATCTGGGTATCTTGCACATACCCAGCAAGGTGAAGAATGTGGAGATTCCGGTCCCGTACTTTTCCGCATGCCGAGATCGATCGATTAAGATATCGATAGAGTAAGACAGAGTTTAAATCTAGGAATGAGATTCCGACGATTATACCTTGTCGAAATCTAGTCTTGTGCGTCAGAGCCGCCCTGATTTCGTGAAAGGACTACAATATATATGAAAGCTCGACCGGCCGACCCCACAAGTCAAAAATCCGGTCCACCTATATCAGCTACAAAATAACTTCAAAAAATTCAAGGGCTATAAAGCTAAAACCGTCATTTGCAGTACAATATATCGCGAAAAGGACGCATCACCAATCAAATTGACGACCTATATCTTCCCTCAAGAAATGCTAGACCTTCAATCCAATGATCACCCGGGTCTAATCGACCCAACCACGATTTCTGGCCCGATTCCTCCAGCCTTCCCCTTGTCGGCAAACAATTTAGATAAAGTAATCGAATATCGACATAACGCGGGAGGCCAAAATTCCGTTGTCGCACGCGAAAGACTACCCCGAGGTTCTCACATTTGCTATATCGATACCTACATTCCCGCACCAATATCCACATGGTCATCCATTCAAACCAGTAAAACCAGTCACATAGAAGTTCCTTCTGGTATTGTTTACATAAATCATTCCTGCGTCCCTTCAATCGACATTGAGGTGTTTCCGCCAAATTCTGATGGGACGTATTTGAATGGTATTTGTGGCGAACTGCGCGTTGTTGCGGATAGGGATCTTGAAGCTGGAGATGAGTTGACGTTTTTTTATCCTTCGACGGAGTATATCAGTCCTCGACCTTTTAATTGCCTTTGTGGGGCTGAGAATGGAGTTTGTATTGGAAGGCAAGAGGGGGCGCATTTCTTGGATAATTCTATCTTGGGGAAGTATTTTTTGAACAAGCATATCAAAAACTTGATAGCGGAGCGGGACAGCGGGAGCCGAGTATAGTTCCTCACCAATGAGAATGTTTTGATGTACTTTGAATTTATTTTTTTGAAGTTGTCAGCTCAAGGAATGGGCTAAATAGAGGAAACTAGATGTTAACGCAAGAATATATAGACACGTTTTATGGTTCGGGCGAATAACTGAATCTAGATACAGTCATTTATAGTTGAGGTTTCATCCGCCCGGATACTGGTTTTGAAGCTATATAAATTTATTGATATTGTTCAAAATAGTATTGCGGTATCGTACAAAAGATATCACATAGATTTCCAACCACGATACCGAACTTCAAAATTGACCAACGCAATGAATACTTGCAATTGCGAATGTCTATGCATGCAATCTGCCCAATGATTGAAAGGGAATTTGCACCGTATAAACATAGCGTACTGCCTATCCACAAGTTGCTGTGGAACGCGTTCATGGTACCCCTGTAAAAGAATTTGCAAGCTAGCTTGATGTAGTTCGCGACGAAGAAAAATTATATCTACGACCACAGAAAGAGGAGTACTACGTATCCCGTCCGCTCTGCGATATATAAGCCTCTTATCGATCAGTCAATAGTATAGTGGGAGACCATATGCGAATCCTGATTGTTGTAGATTTATATTTTTTTGTATTTTGTATTTTGTGATTAGATGTCTGGATTCATGTTTTTCACTTGACAAGTGATTGATATCTACGACCACAGAAAGAGGACTATTACGTATCCCGTCCGCTCTGCGCTATACAAGCCTCTTATCGATCAGCCAGTAGTACAGTGGGTGACCATGTGCGAATCCTGATTGTTGTAGATTCATTTTTTTGTCTTGATACTTTAATTTTGCGACGACACTTACGTGTGTCTAGAGTTTGTCCGCGGACATCGTGGCATTTAATTTTGAGGCTTTTGATTTTATGACTTCAAGATCAGTGGGGAAAGTTCGAGCACTATTGTGGCCATGATCCCAGAATATTTTTGATCGTAAATTTCTAAGAAAGGAAACTTAATCTCATGCATCGAGATTTCGGCCGGGTCTAAGCCAAATTTTTGCATGGAACTCTCAGGTCTGGCGGAACTAATTTAGGATTTTTAACCGGGGTTAAAATACCACGCCTCAATTGTGTTGGTCTTAGCGCAAAATTATGTCACTATCTGTATGTCACTAGGAGGGTCTGATTGGTTGATAACACCCTCTCTTCATGATTTTAGGCATACGAGTGCTTGATTCCGCCATCTGATATCTCTGCAGCTGTGGGTCTTGCATAGACCGGGTTTCTGCCATATATCTGAAAATCGCAATATTACAGCAAGGGACCATATTTGTACATATTATCATGTGTACATGTATTAGTACTTGCTTAGTTTAGCCTTTCATTACGAAAATATTTTGTACAGATATTAATGACGAGGTACTGATCTTTTGTCCTTTCTCCAGAATCTATGTCCCAGTCAGCGGCCTGCCATCTGTATCGAATTAGTCGGCAATCCGCGCTGGTACCGAATGAAACTAAGGCTTGAGCACCGATGACGAGTTCATCCTAGATCTAGCTAGAATTCTAGGGCTAGCAAAATTTAAGGATTCTTATATTCTTCAAGTTAGCGATAGCTAACTAGTCGATTAGGGTGCCGGATAAGATTCCAGAATTGCACGTGTGCCAATTGAGAGCACCGATTCGTTGACTCTGGATGTACACCAAAGTTTGCAAAGTTTTCAGCTCACGAGACCAACTACTGTAATCGATTAAGTATTCTTCCAATGTCATCGGTACACATGCACGATATCGGGGTACATATATACTTTGTGCTTGATGGCCATTGGTTCAATGAGCTGGGAGCTCGTGTTCTTTTTAGGAAATATAACCGTTTTATTCCTTTGTTCATTCTCGGGATATCAGATAATGCGTCTCGCGGGACAAAGTGGGCCTAGCATTGGTGGCGTCGCCCAAATCCGGAATTTTAGACGAAAATCACAGCCCAACTCACCGACGAGGTTAAAAAATATGGTAGGGATTGAGTTTTAGAATTCTTCGGCTGTGTCCGGCTATTCCAAATCTGACAGTCATCGACGATCTAAGTCCTGGATACTATATCGCGCGTCGGGGCAAAATCAATAATCCTGTCACTGCTCGATTTTTATTGGTCGGTTTGTGTCCATGTCTGGTATCAGTATTGAGCAGTATGGGATACCAGTCCAGCCCAGGGAGTGAAACGATAATTGTATCTTTTGTATATAAGTTTTCTGATTAAGTCTTCTATAACATTAATACCATGTAGTCTAACAAAAAAAATTCTCCTCCACCTTACCTTACCTCGAAATCCTCGTCTTCATTTATTCTTGACGATCATCTCGAAAGCACCATGGGAGCACCAACCGATTCACCCGAAAGTTTCGAAATAAATGGCTCCTTAGAAGACCAGAATATCGAATCGGCACCGGAGAAAGATACAAGGTCGTCTGCTTTTAAATCCTTAGGATTTCTTGACCGGTATCTCGCATTATGGATACTGCTGGCTATGATTATTGGTGTTCTACTTGGAAACTTTGTAGATGGCATTGAACGTACGCTACACCAAGGGAAATTCGTAGGGGTCTCTTTACCAATAGGTTAGTCATTTAATATCTTTGACACACGGATTGAGGTATAGGCTGATAGTATACGAGTTTAGCAATCGGACTTCTTATCATGATGTACCCAATTCTCTGCAAAGTTCAATACGAGGTATTGCACCTTGCTTTTAGTAAAAATGAGCTCTGGGTTCAGGTTGCATTCAGTGTCTTCGTTAACTGGATTGTAGCCCCCTTTTTGATGGTATTTATTTTTGATTATTGACCTAAAAATTGCAAGGTGATACGCTAACGAACTCGGTTTAACACTCAGCTCGGGTTGGCATGGGCATTTTTGCCGGATAAGAGTGAGCTCCGAACTGGACTGATACTAGTTGGACTGGGCAGGTGTATAGCTATGGTGAGTTACCAAGTATCAAATAACTATTGATATGAACATGGATAAAAACTGACGTACAGTTTCCTGGTTAGGTTCTGATTTGGAACGGTCTCGCTGCTGGCGATTCAAACTACTGTGCCATTCTAGTGGTAATCAACTCGATTCTTCAAATTGCCTTATTCGCGCCACTAGCCGTCCTTTTCATCAACGTTATCAGTGATACGGACGAATTCGAAGTCTCGTACCCAGCAGTAGCAACAAATGTCGCGGTCTTTTTGGGAATACCGTTGGGAGCTGCCGTTCTAACCCGATACCTTATCCGACATTTCGCCGGCCCGTCAAGATACGAGATATTTATAAAATGGCTCTCTCCATGGTCTCTCATTGGCCTGTTGTACACTATCCTCATTCTTTTTGCCTCACAGGGCCGTCAGGTCATCCACCAAATTGTATCAGTGGTCCGAGTCGCCGCACCCTTGACAGTCTATTTTATCGTCATCTTCGTCGCTACTCTTGCTGTGACGAATCGCCTTGGATTCGGCTATAAATTGAGCGTTACACAAAGCTTCACGGCAGCTAGTAATAACTTTGAATTGGCGATAGCGGTTGCTGTTGCAACGTTCGGCCCGGATAGCGACCAAGCTTTGGCGTCCACGGTCGGTCCACTTATCGAAGTGCCGGTTTTGATAGGCTTAGTATACTTAGTTAGATTTATTGGGAAGAGGTGGAACTGGAGGGATTAGATTCTTAATCTAGAAAAATTCTCGAATTCCGTCGAGTAGCTAGCTAAGGAATAGCTTCCTCATATGAACGTATGACCATAATCAAAAACACATACTCATGAAATCGATATAGTGGTCGGGGTGTAAATTTGTCAATTGCATGAATCTATAAATGATATAGAATATATAGAACAACCTCATGCCATATACTTGAGATTATAGAGGCTGCCAGGTTCAAATTCTTTCGCACTAATTTCAGATCTAGTTCATGGCGGAGCTGAGCTATAGTGTCTTGATCAATTGAATCCAAAGCTGCGTTGTTATCCAAAAATACAACATGCAACAGACCTTAACCGCAGGAGCTAGGAGCTACTGGCTACCTTGTACTGGGAACTACGTAGCTAGGAGATGTATCGCAGATCAGGTCTCAAGCCCAATACGACGCATTAATCTTTATGCGAGGTTCCTCTTCCATTTAACTTTTTTTATATATATATTCACTTAGTGCCTTCTTAGTATTTGAGCCTCACCTCTCTACAGACTTACAAGATGGATCTCGATCCTCTCGCCCTACCTACGCTTCATTCGACCTTTTGCCTAGATTCTCATCAACTTGGACGAGGATATTTAATCACGGACCTTCCCACCGAGGTCATTCTGATCATAGCTAAGCAGCTACTTCCTAAAGCTCTAGAGAAACGTTGTAGGGATCTTAATTCCTTTTCACAAACATGCAGTCGCTTAAGGAGTCTAGTTTATCCAATGGTCAATCGTCATCTATGGTTCGACGAAGAAACCCAATACCCTGACACTATGCTTAGCATCGTTAACTACAGCTTTACAGACCCTCTAATTGAGTTTGTCAAGTCCGCGACGTTCCGTTTGCGGGCTGAAGAAGGTTATTGGTTGGAACTGACGGATACGGATAATCAGATAATCACAAAGCAATTGGAGGAACTCAGAGGCCATCTAATCCACAAAGCCGAGCAAGGAATGAAGGTCTATCGGTTTTTTGAAAGCCAGCTGGAAGAATACGGTATCGCAATTCTAGCTACGGTACTATTGTATCAGCTAGGGGGCCTTCAGGAAATAGAACTCGCCTGCTCTATCAATGCAAACAGCAGCAGGTTTATGCTAACCACCATGCACCACTTTGATCCCCCATTTCGGCTTCGAAGACTAGGTACGACGAGACTAGCCGATTTTGCTGTTGCAAATTATTTTCTTTTGGAACGCTTCCCGCGCATCGGAGCCCCAAAAGTTGGTATTGATTCTCGATTTGAAAGCACGAAAGGTGCCCCAAAAATCAGACCAGTACCTAAGTTTTCCAGTGACATGGACACAGATGAAACAGTTGATAGCTCTGCGGATGGATTACCTGAATAATTTGTCTGAAGGGTCAATGGAGAGCGAGTACAAGATTCCCATTCCATCCCAAGCACGAATCGAAGATGCACTGGCCAGAACCGTGCGACAGGTAATCCAACAGGACTATACCGGATATCAGCCACTAGATCATCAAGTTTCCGGGTTTGAAACTGGAATAAATTACAACCCACCCGGAGTAAACCCATCGATCGAGAATGAAGGCCCACTCCTGATGAGGGAACTGTACCTCTGGCTGGACGAAACTCCTGTAGGTCAGTGCGAACCGCTCGTTTCTTTGTTGAGCAGAGCGATAGGAATTCGTCACCTAGAGATCAATATCTTCCCCGCTGTCCAGTTTGTTGGTCACAGCGAACTTGCAAGCATCGCAGCTTTCGATTCCTTCGTAAAAATATTCTATGCCCAAATGGAAACCCTTGAGGCCCTGACTGTCCGTATTTCGTGGGTAAATGGACCGCAGCTACAGATTCCATCTCTACGAAAATTTGACAACCTTCGTCGCGTCCATCTATTCTATGGCTGGGACACCCACAACACCTTTACAGAATGCATGAAGGACGGGAGATCATATTTTCAGTTCATGTTTCCACAACAGTTAGAGCACCTTAGGATAGATATGTTCAAGGCCAGACCTGGTCTCGAATTTACTACCTTTGCAACTCAAGTTCCCAGCACATCGTTTCCGAACCTAAGAATTGTTCTCGGGTTTGCGAAAGAAAAAATCCCGGAGGATATTACACAAGCCATAGGAGATCTCTGGGCGTCTCTCCCTTACCTAGAGGATATTGTTTCTGGAGAATGGGGTGTTGATGGTCAAAAAGAACCAGGCAGCACTTCCTGGCGAAAATCCGGTAAGCCATGACCTATAATTTTACTGTATAATCATTACAGTAAAACGTTGAGCTAACAGGCATCCGCATATTAGATATAAAGTGTGTTCCGATCAAAATATTGGCACATGGCCCCAGGTATAGGGATGTATTTTGCACAGACGAAGGCTGGAATGGGCCTTTCCAAAGCATTATTCAGTCGATGTTGCGTATTCGTCGAACTCACCGCAATCGAATTATAGCAGCGTTGATGAGCCAAAGGATATTGATATAACCGCATGGAATTCATCGTCCGAAGGATCGGAATCCATTGAACTAGGTACCTGAGTGGAAATAACGTATCAATGTTAGAATATGCATTATTATTCTAGCTATTGCAGGCTAATCTACAGAATGTTACCCTGGGTCGGCCTCACTACCAGGAATCCCTAGTCGGATTAACGTTAGGTAGTGCTCGTATTAATTAAGCTCATGCTATCAGGTTAAAACAATGATTCATAACAAAATATTATAATCCCGCCATCCTCCTAATACCGATGTTTTCAATCGTATATCCGTCGGGGTCAATGCCCTTCCCTGTAACCTTTTCGCCATCTCCCAATGCTAATGCCACAGAGACTTCAGCAAGCTTTTCTGTAGTAATAAAAATAGAAGACATAAAGGGTCTTAGTAGCGGCGCCGCTCCCGAGAAAAATACCTTTTCGAGCAAATTTTGCTTCCTTTCTGCGATCCAGGTTTTGCCTGGATCAATTGCTGCCGGTCGAAGGTTGTAAACCGAGAATGTGGGCCTGCTTGATGCAATACCCAACAATTGCTTCTCTGCATCTCCCTTTACCCTTCCAAACATTTGACTAGCCTTTCCGTTCTGGTCTGCCCCGCTACCAGAAACATAAACAAAATTAAATTTCCCTTTTACAGGAATTCCTTTGAAAGCCTCTGCCGCAGCTAATGGATATGTCTTTGTGATTATTGTGTATTCGTCTTCTTTCATCCCCATGCTGGAGATTCCTTGCGCCCAGATGCATGCGCTCGCACCAGAGAGCTGGTGTAGAAGCTCTGGTGGGTATGATGTGAAATCTTTGTGGATTATGACGTTTGCTTTCGGGTTTCCGTCAGCAGCTGCAACAGGCCGTCGGGAAAGAATGGAGACTTTGGAGATCGAAGGTGAGGAAAGAGCATGTTGAAGGACTGCGGAGCCAACGAGGCCTGTTGCGCCAGTGAGGATTATGTGCGACATCTTTGTCCACTACCAGTATTTAATACCCTCTCTTTCTTATCGTAAGAATAATTGTAGTATTACGTCGTGTGGAATAGCTTTTGGTAATTTTAAGGGAGGATCCGGATGATGCTTGTGAGATTGAGATCCTCATATATTCCGTCTGTGTGTCTATCTTATAGTTGCGTATGTATCTGAGCTGATATGAAAACTGAGGGTTTATACTGTAGCAAGAAATTCCTGACATCAACGACGCCGGGCCAACCTCCCCCTTTATAAGCCATACAGGCCTATAACCATCTGTCTTTCGTAATGCTATGGTGCCCATAATTATAAGCTTCCTGAATTAAATTTCTCGACCCTGACTGCTTTCAGTGTCATTGTCGTAATTTCAGGTCAATAATGTGTTGCTTGAATGTCCTTTGCTGACAGATGTGAGAGGAACTGCAGCTGGCTTACACTAGCGTCGGAGTTAAAGGAGTTAGTCAGCAGCGCACAGCGGGTTTAGATGACATGGGCTATTGTGATATTGACATCCTTTCTGGGTAAGGCCTGTTAATTGAACCTTGTGATATGGCAATAGTTAGGTAACGAAGATAAGTTTGGAGTGTATATATTGTATATACTGGCTGTGTCCATATTAATATTATTCGATCTACGGCGCCCGAAGAGATAAGTGCGAAACAACGTACATATGCATATGGTGCAGGTGCCGACCGAGTATACGTAATTTATATTTCTTATCATTTGAAATAATAAAATTCTCAATTGATATTATTTACCTCTTGACGCAATTATATCTTCAGGAACTCTAAAGCTCGATATCCCAGTGGGTTATACTCTATACTTGAAAGGCATCACCGCGGTACCGCTAACACACATTACCGATACGCTGACGGGATTAGATATGCCGAAAATCTAGTTAGGACCCAAGATAAAATTCTATATCTGTACCTAGTCTCGGTCTGTACCGATCAATCTACCAAAAAAATATAATAGAGCAAATGGAATGGCTGTATCCCTAATCGAGTTTGTTTTCCCCCTATAGTACTGGTATAGTCATTGTAAAATATGCAGAACTATAGCAATAGAGCCACGTTTTTTTGTCGGCGCCGTGCGATTTATAAACCTGGCCGCGAGACTATTATAATTATACACCAACCTTAGATCCAAAGAGGTATTTCATTATATATGACAGCAGGGATTATAAACATTACTAACTACCCGTACGTATGGCGTTCTCGAGAGCGATTGGAACTCCGAAATCCTTCCAATTTGGATTTCGGTTGCAAATAAGAGTACAATTTATCTCCTGCTACCTAGGACTAGTATGATACTATTTTAAAACTTTGTAAACTGTCTGTTTTATAGACCAGACTATGGTACCAGTCTCCGAGCGGATCTTGAACGGTCTCGACGTCTCGCGCTCTAGAACAGTTTTGTCGCAAATTGTTGTATTTGTTGTGTTGGCGGCCATCGACGTCGACCGCTGCCAAGATTCTATCATGAGGGACAGGCCTAACTAAACTCCGCCACAGATCCGCATTTTGAACCCGATAACTTCCCGCTCCATGGATCGCATTCTGTTCATGCTACATCAAGCACGCTAATCGCTCATGACAGCCCTATGGCGACCCCCAGTGCTTCCGACCCAAGCGGTCCTCGGCCGACTCAAGATCTTGAAAAGCTCGTTGGTGGCCCCGTCGCGGCTGCGCTCTACCACCGTCGAAAGGAATTCCTCCAGCGAACAAGATGCACGGTCAAAGTCACAACATGGAACGTCGCATCTATCGACGGAGCACATAGAGCAGCCGGATCAATTCTCCGAGAACCAGCCGTGGGAGCCGATGAACCCGGAGGCAGAGGAGCGAGAAATCGGGTCTCACGATCTATCGGTAGCGGAGGCGTCACCTCAGATAAAAAAGAGAAACCACTTGGTATTACCGATTCACGAAGCTCTGAAGGCGGCGTCCAGGGACCGCAAAGATTACCAACGGGCTCTAGCACTGCAGCAGAGGGTAACGAAGTTTATGGTCGACGAGATGGACAGGACGAGGCAGAAGAAGGGAAGGACTCCGCTCTCGGGCAGGTTGAAGAACGAGAAACGCGAACAGTTGTTGAGAGCAATAGGGCGAAAGCGGGAGTGGCGAGAACCTCGGGGTCAATCTCCTCGATCGGGCAAGAGCTAGTATCTGGGGGAACCCAGGCGTACAACTGTATCCACGTTATCTGTCTCCAGGAAGTAGTGGATGTTACTGCTCCGGAGAATTTCATCCGAACTGTGGATGAAGCGGTTCAGAAACGGTGGAAAGAAGAGATCCAGGTACGGGAAACGAACTCCGAAGTCTATTTCTATTCTAGGCCTCTCCTGTTTATAGACTCTACGACCGAAAGATTACAATCAGCTAAAATACGGGTCTGAGGTGTAAACTTCATAGGCTGCTCTTCCCGAATACCGATGTCTCCTCGTTCAACAATTAGTGGGGGTTTTGATGTTCGTTTACGTTTCACCTGAGATAGCGCCCCAGATCACTACGCCGAGTTCGACAAGCGTGGGGACGGGATTGATGGGGTACATGGGTAACAAAGGTGGCGCTATGGCAAGGCTAGTTTTTGGAGGCCTACCTGCTGCCGGAATATCACCACCGTCGTTTGCCGATAGCTCGATAGAGGAACTACGAGAATCCGAAGAAGAAAGAGGTGTCACTGTCGTTTTTGTGGACTGCCATCTTGCGGCTTTTGTGAATTCCGTCGATAGGAGAAATTGGGACTACACGGAAATAATGAGGAGGGCTTACTTCCACCCAAACCCGTTACCGATATCTGGGGGTGGAACAGTACCGGAAGCCGTTGCAGCTGCGCATCCAAACGGATATCCGTTTAAGGAGTGCGATATCGTGGTGTGGGCCGGGGATTTGAATTACAGACTTGAAATGCCTGGGAACAAAATAAGGAAGGCGATTCATAAGTTCCTCCCTTCAGAAGCAGATGGGAGTGACCCGGTCTTGAAGCTGATTCTTGATCAACAAGCGCCCGACAACAACGATGACAGTAAAAGCAATGATTCAGAGCCAAATCGTAGTTTTGAAGAAACAATTAGTTTTCTCCTCGAGAGCGATCAATTACGGAAAGTTCAATCTGAAGGGAAAGCATTCCAACATTTCCACGAAGGCAAAATTATGTTTGTGCCAACGTACAAATACGACCCGGGCACGATCTCGACCTTCGATACTAGCGAAAAAGCGAGAGTTCCTAGTTATTGCGATCGGATTTTATGGAAAGACTGGAAAGTTGAAGAGGAAGAGATCGAAAGACTAAAAGCGCGGAAATTATCCGATGAAAGAGACCAGAAACGAGAATCTCATCTGGATGGGACCGACCATAGCGATGTTTTATTTGACTTTGCGGACGAAGAAGACGTAGGCGATGAATCCGAGTTGCGCATAAACGAGAATGACTTGAACATACCACCAAAGATTGATCATGAGATTACTTCTATCAACGACATCGATATTTCCGATATCGCTACCCCGTTGAAGCTTTTGAAGTACTTTTCGCATCAATCAGTCGCAGAATCCGATCACAAACCTGTAAGCGCAGAGTTCTCGCTCGACTTCCTTGGCGTCAACCAGGAGAAACGGTCTCAGATACAAATCGAGGTTGTGAAGGAACTCGACCGCCACGAAAACGAAGCCCGTCCCGCGGTCACGGTTATAGTAGATGGAGACCCTAGTGACGAGATAGTCAACTTTGGGGATGTTACTTGGGATCAGGTGGTTCGTCGCACCGTAACAATTGCGAATACGGGCCGGACTGCAGCCGTGTGCGAGTTTGTCAAAAGGCCTGTTCTCCCCGCTATCATGGACGACGATGACGATGGCTTTACTAAAGTGACATCGGAGGATGCCAATGATCCCATGGCATTTGGGGAGGAGAGTAGTGCTACTGGTGGGGCCACGGAGGAAGTTTGTAGGGAGTGGTTATCGGCTACGTTCAATAGTTCAGAAACGGATGGACCACACATGTTGCAACCTGGTGATGCCGAGCAGGTTACATTACAGCTGGCGCTTCCTCCAAGAAAGCACGGTCGGCAGCCTCGATCCGCCTATGCTTCCCTGCTTCGACATCTCAACAAAGGAAAGGAACAACTCGCGGATGTGTTGGTGATGCGGGTATCCCAAGGTCAGGACAAGTTTATACCTGTCAAGGCCGAGTTTAAACCTACGTTCCTGGGATATGGACTTACGGAATTGTTGAGGGTTCCTGATTCTGCGGGTGGTATCAGGGAGAATCCGAAGTGCACGGGGGAAGCGCACTGGAGTGCGCCGCGGGAGTTGTTCAGGATGACAGAGTATCTTTTGTTAACTTTAAGGAGTATTGTGATGAGTGAGGGTGGAGAGGGTGTCAGATGGACAATGCTGCCGGGGTGGCCGTTTGTGAAAGAAACTTGGGGTATGCGAACATTTTCTTTTATGTTGGTAGTATGGACCGAGCTAAATTTTCCACTAGGGTTAATGGATAGTGATGGAGATGATGATGAAGGCGTCAAAGAACTTACTCGATCTTCTGTTTATGCTAGATCTGCACTCAAGAGATGGATAAGAGAATCTCTCGATTGCGACAAAGACTGGGCATGGGAAGAGGTTGACAGAAACGGATTTTCGGAAGAAGACAAGTGTGAGGCCATGTCCGAGTGTTTACTTGACTGGCTAGGATACCTTAAAGAAGGCGTACTCCCCGGATCACTATATGGAGAAGTCGTGAAGGGAGTTGGCGGAAAAGCCGGAGCTGATAAAATACTCGATATGTTACCTACCGCAGCTCCGCCTGTTCACACCAATGTTTTTATATACCTTACTGGTTTCATATCAGAGGTTATATCACTCTTATCGCCCAAATACGACGCAGCAATAACCAACAACTTCACCCCACAAGCACTTACACCAGCGGCTCTGGTCAAACGGCTAAGTGCTAGTAGCAGGTTGACGACCACAGAACTGGTGAAGAAAAGCGTGGTAAAAGAGTTTGCTGAGGTTATCGTGCGGCGCCCTACGGCGATGGATGGTTGGAGGAGCGATACACTTGAGAAGCGGGAGGAGGAAAGAAGGTTCGCATTTCTGACGGCCTTTTTAGGATAATAGACAAGGACATTAGACGTTTCTTTCTGTTAGATTATACATAGGTCTTTGAGTCCTTTTGGCAATATCTCTACGGTCTTCTGGCGTTCGATCGGGTCTTCTCTTTCACGTTGATTACTAGGTCCTTAAAGGCATGTAAATTACTCTCCGCTGAGCTGCATGAAAAAGTGCGTTGACAATGTAAAATACCACAATTCGATTGATGACTAAGGAAAATAGCGTGGATGTTCGGCTCGTACTTCTCGCAAAACTTGAATTTGTTACCCACTTCCCTTCAACAACATCAGCTTCCCGTCAAAAACCCCTGTCGCAGCTGGCTGCGAATATCTCTAGCTTCGCCAACTACCCGTCATACATCATGCGGTCTTGGATACGAAGTCTCCGGACTGTAGACGCCCGAAGGGTGACCCAACGCTGCTTCTCGTCGAGCAGGCCTAGGTTAGAGCTTCGATCGATATGGGATCTCGATAACAAGATAGACCCGGTATATCGCGGTATGGGATTAACACTTTTTTCTATATTAAACGTCTATATGATTTTGAGCTACTAGCTGACTTACACGACCAGTGTGAATGTATAGAATGCACAAATCGAAGTCTTGAAATTATCAAGTTTCCTGAAGATCAGCCTCCCAATAATGTCCTGTTGATACAGAAGGAAGGGGTATCGTCTGTTACAGAAGCTATGGTTGAGTTTGCGAAGTACGTATTTGGGTGCTATTCCTTATGTATTGGGGAGATCCTTGCTGATGAAAGTTGAAAGGTTTCTTAAAACTGCATACCCAGCTACGAATATCATCCTTGAACCTCATATCGCTACTGAACTACATTCGTCCTTGCCGTTCCCAATACATGCGACACCTTATACGACTCTCCCACCATATCCGAACCGAAATCCATACCATCTCAAAACTTCATTGACTGTTACATTCGGCGGGGACGGAACAATCCTCCATGCTGCTAGTCTCTTCTCTACATCCCCCGTCGTTCCACCTTTATTATCATTCTCCCTCGGTACACTAGGTTTCCTAGGGCCATGGAAGTTTTCAGACTACAAAACAGCAATAACCGCCGTTTTCACGAACAAAGCACGTATCATGCGTCGCAGTCGTATCAAGATGGAAGCATTCTCCGGCTCTACACAGTTGTTGGGAGATTTATGGCCCCCAGATTCTCAATCAAACGGTGGACGTGGTGAAGGATCTGGTGTATGGGCAATGAACGAGGTTAACATCCATCGTGGACAAAACCCCCATATGGCGATAGTGGAGGTCTTTGTAGACGGCAGATTCCTAACAGAAGCTGTCGCCGACGGGATTATCCTAAGTACGCCAACGGGATCGACTGCCTACTCACTCAGTAGCTTTGGATCTATTGTTCACCCCAGAGTCCCCGCTATACTTCTTACACCTATTTGTCCACGATCACTGAGTTTTAGACCGTTGGTGTTGCCGGCTGAGGTGGAGGTTAGTTTGAAGCTGTCGGATAAGGCAAGAGGGGACGAAGTTGAGGTTTCTATTGATGGGAAGAGGTGGGGTGGGGTTAGGAAGGGGGTCGAGGTTAAGATTACTGGTGAGATGGGGAATTTTTGTGGAGGTGGGGAAGGAGGAGTGCCGTGCATTTGGAGGGAGGGGAGTGAACATGAGGATGAATGGGTGGGGGGATTAAATGGACTGTTGAAGTTTAATTATCCGTTTGGCGAGGAGGTACATTTCTGAAGCCGTATAGGCTGGAAATCACCTGAGGAAGAATGGTAGATATATCTATCTGTACATAATTACTTACTGACATAACTGATGGTATCACTTATCACTACTGCATAGGCGAGCTCTAGAGTCTTCTCGAAAATAGATGGGTTAGAGGAAAAGCCAACCTGCAAGTCGACTAAACGAGGTCTTTCAACGATTTTTTCGACAAGGAAAAGTTTCCGAAGCTTGAGAAGCTAGAGAGGTCCGGGCTAAGACCCGCATCCTCGCGGTCACTAAAGCCAAGAAGGGAACTACCTACTACCGTATGGGGTGTAGGCTTGTAACACCAGGCTAAAAGATGTATATATCGACTGATGTAAGAAGTTATACGCCACTGCGGGAGATAATATAGGTTTAGTTAATCTATTCTAAAATCTGAAACGTTAAAGGTCTCGATGTATGTATGTATGCACTACGTTTTATGCACCTGCCATAGAAAGAACGGCTGAGTTCCGGTCTTTGACAAAATGCCGAGGGACCATTGGGATTTTAAAGTTCATTTCGACAATATAATACGAGTTTAGTAAATGAGGCATCTTTGTATAGCGCTATGTTGTGCCGGTGGCACTCCTGTCTTGAATTCATGAAACTGAGCTATCGATATATACCATGATATCACCGGCTCAATTAATTCTTCAAAGCCCGAACCCACCTCTTCTGGACTTGAATTTGGTAATATATGAAGTACAATATATCTATATATATACTAGGTATATATATATATATGTATTCTGTCACCTACGCCAACGTCTACATTAATTGAAACATACAAATTAATCTTTCCCAGATCCACTATCTAATCAAGTATTTTTCTTAACCCCGTAGAGATTAATATTAACAATGCAATGCATAAATTAATGTGCACGCCAGAAACTAAACTTCTTTCGCGGACGGCCGGAGTAGGAGAATTCAATCCAAATTAATTTTCCAAAATGCAAGATATTGACTCAATAAATTTAAAGAGCTTTCCGCAAGTATTAACACGGGTTGGATCTTTATGCAATTTCCATAAGATGAAATAACCATATGCATACGTATAAAATAGATATCATTCAAAAATTCGAATATTATACTCGGGCTGGTCAATCAATACCTTTAATAGGTTTCTACCTTGTGGTCCAACTGTAGATCTTAGACGAATTCTTTAATGGTAAAATCAAGGAAATGTCCGTTCGTATTAAAGTATATGATCGCAATCGCAATTGGTCGGCTCCACTCTATCATAATCTCATCGGATGATATACCTGCCCCAATGCATAAACGGCAGCCATAACCTTTCGGTGCATGCCGCACAAAATTTCCGCCCCACAGTAGTGACAGCTTAGCGGCAAACGAATTGTATTACCAAAGAGTATTGGAAACAGCCCCTTTCTGGATAATTGCAAGCTGAAGAGAGAGATCTTCACGCTAAATATCTACTTCTGGAAGTTTTTTTCTTCGATTTCGACTAACGTTATAACTAGGACGGTGTTGAGATATTGGTTCCGTGACGTTTCGGAGTGGATATCTGTGTCGGATCCACTGCCAATGCATATGAGCCTTCATTCTTTTGAATTCTAGCGCCATCGGACAGGGTATTTTGGAGGAAATCTCTGTTAACCTTCTAAATTTTGGTGTGATATTGATTACTGGGGATTAGATAAGTTTTTTCCCCTTGAGCCGTTTCTTCTCTCTTTTTCATGGGTACAGAAGTATCATACATCTTGAATCTGAGCTGGAGAATTTGAATATTGCAACAGGATCGGGTTGTTGGATTTGATTTTCTACGGCTGTAAAGGGCAAATTAGTAATATTAACTATGCATGCACCGGAAGCTGTTTAAACATCACCAAGAATAGCCCAGAAACGTACAAGCCACTTATCGTGGCAGCCTGCGAGAATTTCCATTATTTGAAAGGCAGCAGCTCTAGTTCGTTTGTAGCCTGCGAACCCGAATCAACCACGGGGTTTTCCACCAAAAAACACCGCCCTGCCGCACTATTGCCCTGTGCGCGAGCTGCGGCGTCAGAGTGAGACTGGCACTTCCATATAATGCAGGGCCGGCGAACACAAGCGAGGAAAAACCATGCAGATGGACTTTACCTAATCCAGGTTATATTCAGAAAAATCGACTCGATCGAGTGAGCAGGTTTCCATCTGAAGATATAATATTAAGGATCATTTGTTAAATTTATTTAAAGGACATTCATGACACTGAAGGCTGGCTTGATGCGGCGGCTATCTTATCTCGTTCGAAATATGTAAGTAGCTACTCAGATCTTCCCGTGGAGATAGCAAAATGAATATTAGAGACCCACTTTTTGCTGCATATAGATATGCTCAGGAGAAATCACCAGATTAAGCATCGGACGTGCACGCCACTGACGCAAAAAGCAACGGTTGTCGATACGGTTAAAGCGAGTTTAGCGAGAGCAAGAGCAAAATACTTGCCTGTATGCGTGCATATACACACCACCGTACCGGCCACCGCACCCTCTCATATTCCGCTTCGCTGGTTTGTCTGTTTTAGCTCGACCTAGTTAGTTAACAAGAAAGGGAATGAAGGAAGGAGAGGGAGCGACAGAAGGGGCATATACGTATGCACTTTTTAACCCTTTCCCTTAGCTGAGCTTCCTGGCCTTAGCTTTGTTAAATTTCGATCGTTCGCATTCAAGAAACTCTCCATGGTGCACCGGACTCGAACATCGTCGACGCCACCACCAGGTAACAAGAAGTTCGTTCGGGGACGCTAAAGGGAGGCAGGCGCCTTCGCCTGCGGTTTCAAAGAACCGAGTTTTTTTTCCCTTTCTTTCTTTCATTCTTTCGAATTCTCTTTGGTCTCTCTTTTCTCTTGCACAAACGGGGGCCTCTTTTTATGTAAATAGCCGGGGAGGTGACCTTGAAAGTTAAACCGGATCTTATATATGGTCGATCTGAGAAGCGCAGGTCCATGAGTATTCGATATTTCTTGATCATTCAGAACGGGTTTTAACGTTTTCGATCAGATAAAAGGAATCCTACGTTACCATGGCACAAGTCCTCACCACCACAACTCTTTGGCCTCACCAAATGGCGCCACATCACCAGCCACACTATTTCACAAGCCCGCTAGCCGGTCTCCAGCCTCATCCTCCTGCTCCTGCTCCTCTTTCTGTCAGCTTCTCCCTCCTCTCTGCGCTCCCAGCAGATATAATCTACGAAATCACCGACTACCTCTCCAATACCGAAGTCCTAAAACTCCAACTAGTCTCCCGCGGTCTTCGCCGAAAATTACCGATCCAGCGTCTAAACTCCATCCATTCGCATAAGACCTACTTCCTCTGCCAAGACGGGATTCGAAAACTCGAGCGTATCGCAAGAATACCTCGACTTGCCAAAAGAGTTACGCATATCACATTTGATCTTGAAAGCCCCTATGTCGGACTTCTTAAGCGTTACTGGTGCATTAGCACCGCGATGGGGTACCCGCAGGAAACTAGGGCGAGAATGCAGCGGTGGTATCACAACCATATGCGACGGAGTTTGACGTTACCATCTGCGAGAAGGATTAAGGATAAATCACTCCGAGCTTCTGGGTTGAAAAGGATTCTGAAAAGAATGTTTACGGGCCATGGCGAAGAAAGTGGGAGTTTAAGGACCAAGAACAGAGAAGCCGAAGAAGAAGCCGAAGAAGAAGAACCGACGAAATACGAAGACGCATTTCATGAAATCTTCACGTTGTTCGAAGTCCACTTGACTAGTTTATACCTAAAATGGCAGGATAAAGCCGAAATTCTGGAACGTATAACATCAGCCTTTCGATCCCTCCCAAATCTTCAAATCCTCGAGTTCAAAAGAACAGATATAACAAAGGAAGACCCATCGGTTATGTTAAAGATTTGGAGAGAATATAATCCAGAGCTAGCTTGGTTGCTGAAAAAGAATCCGGAAATCGAGGATGGTGATTTACCCTGGACCGATTGGTTTTCGAGAGAAGCTTTGCATTCTCATCTTTGGGAGGCTTATCCGTCGATACTATTTTGTGCTGCTCAGGCGAAACGACGGATTAAGGAAGTTCGAGTGGGTACACTTTCAACTGAATATCCAAAGTCTGGAGCTATGATATCGTTCTTTGAGCCGTACCATGCGAGGATCAGTGATACCACGGGCCGCCAAGCTACTGAAGCCGAGTTGAACAGCTGGATCGAAAGGCACGCGGAAGGGTATCGGTACACCTTTTCGGGACTACGAAGATTGGAGTTATGTTTAGATGAGAAAGAGAGGGAAGGGTACCATCGGGAATATTTTGAAGTTTCGCCGTTGTTTACGGATACCATTAGGACGGTTGAGGATTTAGTCGTTTGGAAGGTGCAAGGGAGTGAAGTACGAAGGGAGGAGAATACTACACCTAAAGAGTTTGTGGTGCCCACAACAATGAATTTGGAGAAATTGAGGAGGATTGAACTTGGAAAAGTTGGAATCACACTTCGTGGGTTAAAGGCATTCTTGTTGACAAATAAGGAGACGGTTAAGGAAGTCGTATGCGGAGAAGGAACATTCGGACACAGCGTGGTGGAGAAAGAAGAAATCCTCGATTTCCTGGAGCAAACTCGAGATAACATGGGTTTGGAAAACATCGAAGTCGATTTTTTGGTCGGGAATCAGTACCGAAGGCTTATCGATGAAAAAAAGTATTTCTTAAGTGTTAAGATTCATGGAAACTGGAGGGATCGGGCGTTTTGCGGGTTTGATATCGGATTGAAGTATAGGTTTACCACCATTTCGGGTGAAGACACGATGCAGAGTCATTGGGTGCGGAAACACTCGTATGAGGAGTTTGTGAAGTTTATTGCTGTTACCGATGTTCAGGAACACTTTGAGATTCAATGAGTTTCAAGCTGACTTTTTTTTTCATTCTTTTGCTTAAATATTTTTACTCTCGTTAGGCTAGCTAGGCGTACAATAGGGGCGTATTACAAGTTAATAATATATGACAATGGTATTACAAGAATTTTTCCAAAAAGAAACCTCCAGAATTCAAACTCGCTTGTCGCCCGGACCGATGGTTATATAACTAGATCCATCCGACTTCTCCAATCCAAAAAGGGTAGCAATTTTCCCATTAAACTCCGCAAAAAAACAAATTAAAAAGCTTTTAGTTAATCTCCCGGTCTTTTACCAAGGATAAAGCTTTAATTCTTATAACCCGGTTTCGCGGGTTCGACATACCCAGGTGGTACAGTCGAGCCCGTCGTTGTTCCATGCTGTTGGTTTGCTTGTACATTATGCGGTGCATAGTATTCTGAGATAGGTGGAGTATGCGTATGCTCCTCCGGTCGTCCTCTCATCTGTTGATACCCTGTTCTTGCCAATCTTTCCTTTTCGTCTGCTAAGGCTGCATCGCCAGCTAGACGTTCGACATTGGCGAGGATTGTGTTACGGAAGTAGTCGCCTGCGCCCTATTTTTTTTCGGGATAGTGTACATATGTTAGTAACTTTCATCCAAAATTTACAAAAGGAAGTTTAATTATAAAGTGGGTGGGTGCTTACTGTAACGCGACGGGTCACTTGAGCTATACCCGAGGTCGAGGAATCTATGATGTCCTGGATGTTACCCCAGTTCTGGGATTGTGGAGGGTAAGTGGCGGTCGTACTTGTACTTGCGGGGTTTGTTTCTTCGTATTTTGGGGGAGTTTGGGAAGCCATTGTGGGTTATCGAAATATATAAATAAGTATATAATACGATATTAACTGTGAGTGGGGTTTGTAGTCAAGACGGGGTAGATGTTTTCTTTGAAGTTTTGATAATGTTCAATAGTATTGATTGACTATCGATTCGATTCGATTTAATTCAAGGATAAGATTTAAATTGGGATTGTACAAAATAGATGATGATGCATGACATGATATAGCCTGGGCAAAAAAGGGAAGCTCTACAAGGTTATATATATACTCGCCACCCCGAACTTTTTTTCTCCCTTATCAACTTAAGCTTTTGATAAGGAAAAACAATAATGACACCGAAAGAAAAACACCCGAAGAGAACCGCCAATTCGGACGTTCACAAAAGTCCGAAGTCTGCCGTCATGAGGAAAAGGGAACTATTGGGTGCGGTTACGCATGCATGCATCTACATGTATGTAATAAAAGTGACGTCACGAGGTCAAGTGGCAATCACCGGCAAACATTATCGTTTAACTTTCACTATCTTAATATGTAAATTCGGAAGTGCGGGGAGGGCAGAGAAAAAAAAAACAAGTACTAGCAGAGCTGAGAAAGGGAAGAAAAACGTGGTATCATCGATGTGTGTATGCATGGTGCATGTGATATCCACTCCCCGCAGTGGATCCGTATTGGCCTGACCAAGAAGGCCTAGAATATGGTCTTTTAAGACTTCGAAACCTCCTTTAGGAGACTGGCAGGTTACTATCGCGTGATTGGTTTTGTTTTTCTAACCGGGAATTTTGCGTTCGGGATCTTCGAAGAGCTGCACGCGGACGAATTTGGGAGCTCTGCTCTTTTCGGGATGTCGGGATATCGGGCTAAAGGGGGGTGTGGAAAATAACACGCTTGGAAATGTGTTGTTTGAGATAGCTAGAGTATGTGTCTCGGGGTTTGCCGAGGCTTTATTCGGCGTCTATACGATGATGATGTGATATGTATCACGATATTGATATAATATTGGTGATAATGGTTTAATCTCTTCATGCTTTTCTTATCTTTGCTTCATTGCCTATTGCCTTCTATCTATCCTATCTATCTAGCTACTTTACCAATATCTTCGAGCACCACGATATGTAGGGCACTCTAGATTAACGTAGAACCCCATTGCTATCAACGGTATTGAGTAAATCATTCACAGTAATTCGATGAAGGTCGAAATCCCATATAGATAGGACAGCGGAAGCCAGATACGGGCCCGGATTATATTCTTCGAGAAGTGTCTCAAACCAATCGAGTATGTTCGAGAACCAGCTCTAGAACCTGAATGTTTCGGAACATTCTAATGATTGCTGTTGAGTTTTATCTACAGGTTGGTTTTAGACCTCCAAACCCTCCCATATATATATACACAATTACCTGATTCTCATACAATGAAATGAAAACTAGAATATTTTAAAAAGGGGTATACCAGTATCTCCAACTCCGACATATCTGAGAGTTTGAAAGAATATAATATAATCGTATGCATAGCGGAAGACCAGCAATATTATCCTAAAAAAGCTCTGATATTAGAAATCCTGCAGCACTGACACTGACACTGCGGTAAAAGCGATAGGACACGATATAGTCGCCGAATCAGATTACCATTTTATATCTAGAAGGCAAACTTTATCGGATTTCTTTAAAGTTAGGATCTGCCAGAATAAGTCGAGCCATTCGCTTTTAGCATCTGTGGGCATTACCTATGCTCGCCAGACTATTTGGACGCCTATTTGATGAGGATAACAGCAATTAGGTATAATCGCGCGTCTGCACCGGTTCTGTAAATGAATACCTAGCTCGCTTTATAGACACAGAATACCCAGACGATACCTGAGCCCAAATGGGCCTGCTCCGGGAAAGTATTAGGTGAAATCCTAGTCTCGGAACCGCAGTGCACTAGTGGAGGCTGCAAGCGGGAACCTCATCATATTAATGCTCTTATTTCAGTAAATCATGGCAAACATAATTTACCGCCCAAGAGGAAATAAATCTGTTCCTAGATTATCACCAAAATATTAATTAGTTTTATATATACTAAATTATAAATACTCAGCCTAGTCGAGCAGCATCCTCATGTCGAAAGTAACCTGGCCCTCTAGAAATGTCGAAATCCACGAATACTATATATACGAGTATTCTCACGGACTCTAGATTTACCAAAGATAATAACGTCAAACTTATATTCTTCGACTACAGAGCCTTTAACCGGAGATTTAGAGCCGACGTCGGTTGCAACTGCGATCCATGATAGGAACTCGTCGCTTGAGTCAATACTGCAGTACGATAAGATGTTGTCGATCGTAAAATGGTGTCCCGGCCAGCGTTTGGGCCACTCAAAATACGAGTCCTCCGCCTTAAAATCCGGTGATGGTTATTCCACTGGTATTCGTGCTTCTATGGCGAGGCTAGATATAATTCCTAGAAGTACTCCTGGACCGAGGCGACAATGGATTGCATCGATCGATTGAAAACCATCTCTTGTGATAATCCTTAAAGTCCACCCGGCAATGATAAAAGAAAGGGGGAAGTGAGGCGAAATAAGTAAAATATATATATTTGACCATCAGTTATATATACTCCATCAAGTATATGAGCACAGGCTGCCCGAAAACATCTCCATCTAGATGAATCATATACAGAGACTTTGATGGTGCTTCGTCCATGTAGATTCAAATTCGCTACGGCGTTATAACTTCAAGAATAGTCGCCGAAAAACGAAATGTATAAAGAAAATACTAGGATACTCCGTCGCCCTTGGTACCCTGATGCACTAGATGATATATGGGTATAATCGCGACTGATCATGTAGCACTGGAGTACTAAGCTAAATAAGACGAGGATCGAAGGGCCGCCGTACCATAAAAATACGTCGAAGCCAAGGAGATTCCATGGATCCAGGCCTTCTGCGCCACCGGGTGAAGATGGTCAAAATGATGGTAAAGGCCTTAAGGCTATTTCGATCTCGCAAGACTGGCGACCTCTAAAAGCTTTAGGTAATAATAAGGTTTTATGGGCAATTGTACAGATTAAGGGAATTCCACAGCAGTATGAGACATAGAACCGCCAGTACTCCCTACCGAATCTTCCCTTGGTCATGAGAAACTAGACCACTAGTTCCTAGGTCTAGCTGGTGACCATAATCAAGGGGTACGGGAAGACCTGGTATCGTTTCCAGACGTCACAAAACTAGGGACGCTGATATTTTTACCATGGAAAGAAAAACAATAAATAGTGTACAGGTTTTAAAAGGCTTGTTTAAAAAGATTACACGCAAGCCTAGAAAAAAAAGGAAAATGGGTGACGATAATGGACTCGAGACCCAGCCAGGGCTTTTATGATAGATGTGTACACCCTAAAAATATATTACTATCACTATTTAAAACCGGGATATATATGCACAAGGCCAAGTCTTCAAAGTCTAGGTATATTCAAAAAAAAAGAGAACAAGGACCGCACCATGGCCAAACCGCTAGCTACGCGCTGCGAGGCTAGTTAGAGAAAGAACTATTATTATATGTGGTGATTTCGAATTGGATGACCCCAAGATCTTTTCTCATTTTAAAATTTGTTAAGTTTAATTATAATAGCGAAGTACCGCGCCGCACTTTAAAAATGAACTTACTAGGTCGAAATTTGTCCATCGGCCGGTATCGTTCCCAGCGATAAACTTTGTCTCGTATAAACTATCAATGAGTAAATAAAGCAGTATCGGAAGCAACCTCGAACTCGCGAGGTAAAACACGGTCGATTTAGACATCTTATTGTGAAGGTACCATATCTAATTCTAGAAAACTGTATATTGCCACTATTAGGTGTCTTAAAATCACTGGAGTAGTTCCAGTGTATCCGCCCCATGACCCCGTAAAAAAAAACAAAAAAAGACAGAAAGAAATGAGCCGTTCCCATAGATTACAAACATATGGTCGGTGTTCGTATATACGCGTAGTTGCAGTCGATAGTATCAAACAACATGCATATATCTATTTTGTCCGTATTTTGTCACAATACGCTCCGAGACTATTACAATATGCAATACATGGTATATCTATCCAAAAAAACCCGACCATCTAACTGAATTTTGTTCTATAGCTGTCGCAAAAAGAGCCAAGTATACAACAGCGCTGCTGCCACTGCCTTATGTACTGAATTAACACCGTTATATATGGATGTTGCGAATGTATAAGGTATAAATGGGGGGGTGTGGGCACTGCCTAGGCATATTTCTACATTTTCCTTAATAAAATTCGTAGCGAGACCGCCAGCTCTGCAGCACTCGAGCTTGCTAGCCTAGCCATGCATCCTGGTGCCTTCTCCCGAACAGGTGATAACTGCAAACCCCTCGAGGCCTCTGTCACATATGTATAGAAATCTTGAATTTCGAATCTTCGGGGACACCGCGAATAATTGCTGCGGGTTTATGGGATTATTTCGGCTCATACTATCTCCTTGCCTCCAAGAAACCTCAATAGTCTATGGTAATTTTTCGTAGAATAAACATGAAACCCCCTTTCGTATCTTCATGTTTCGTGCCGTGAAGTAATTTAGCATGCTGCAGACAATACAAATTACATGAACGATAATACACAAAAGGATGCATCCATCTCTCTCTCCAAAGAAACGCCAAATTCCGCCCCATAAACGCCTTCATAACCTCATGTATTGATCAAAGAAAATTAGAACGATAAAGATGCAATGCATAGACGAGCAAAATTAGCATACTGAGCCATCAAGGTTCCTAGCCAAGAGGCTTGCCAAAAAGCTCATTCAAAGTAATCTTCCTTCCTTTACCTCCCGCTCCACTAGCAGCACTAGTATACCCACCATCTCCGCTGTTATATCCACTATTGTTCCCACCACCACCATTGCTGTTGCCGGTCCCCACAATCCCCAACTTCGGCCCTAACGCGGCCATAAGATCGACTCCGGCGTACTCGGCCGTAGGCGTCATATATGCCGGCGAACCTGAATATTGTTGTTGATGGTGAAGATGTTGCATCTGCAATGGTGGTAGATGTTGAGACATCTGTGGATGATGAGGGTGATGAGGATGATGAAGCATCTGTGGAATCTGCTGCGGGACCTGTTGTGGGACCTGTTGCTGTTGTTGTCCCCATTGGGGTTGAACCTGCAACTCTGCCTGTAATCGATCCGCATTCTCGACTCTCTTCCTCAAATTCTCAGCTTCTTTGGCAGCAGCAACGGCAGCGGCAGTAGCAGCAGCAGCAGCAGATTCATCAATCTCTTCCATCTCCTTGACTAATTCCAAAACTTTTGCTCCAACTCTTTCGCTCTCACTAGCCGTTGATGTCCCTTCCTGATCGAAAACACTAAGACCGTAACAGTCCTCCCAAGCCATCAACATGCTTATAAGTACCGAATTCGTAGTATCTACGTTTTCAATTCTTTTTGGGAGTGGGATTAGGAGGTTGTTCACCCCCTTGCGGTTTAAGACGAAAGCGTGGTATTTCCCCATTCCTTCTACCATCTTGGGGTCTAGGTTGTTTAGAGAAGAAGATGATGATGGGAAGTGTGGATGTGAAGGAAGGAGTTCGAGAAGGAATAAAGGCCCTTCGATGTCGAGTTTTTCCCAGTTTCCGTTCCGGATTTTGTAGGCTGTTGAGTAGGAGGTTGTAAGGTGGATGCGTGTTAACGACGGAAGGAACTTTTGGAGTACTGGGAAGTTAAGAGAATTTAGTTGCTCAAGGGAAGCTGGAGCATCGTGAACAGCGTGGAGAGCTTGAAGGGAGGGGCCCGAGGAAGTGTGAGGATGGGATTGTTGACGGCGGTGGGATTGGTGTGTAGGCCTAGGGTTCTGGGGAGGGGAGGTGGGGTGGTTGGCTTTTCGACGAGTCATTGTGAAGGCCTTTCGCAGGCAATATGGGATGCGAGGATTTTGAAAGGGCTTTTGGATACTATAATGCAGCGTCGTAAGCTTCTCGAGATGGGTGATGCTGATGATGACGATGCTGGCGGGGATGTTCGTTCGTGATGATGATGATTGAAGACGATGTGGAGGTTGGAAAGCAGATGTGGATCTAGCTTGGCGTTGAAGTTGTTTGGCGTCGCACAGTCCCAAAAGGGATATCTTGGCACTATTCCAAAAGAGGAAATATAACAGCAACGCAAAAAATACAACACGTCATTCGGGTGACAAACAAATTTACGTTACTAATTTGTGTTGTGGGACGTCACTAATAGCTACAACATGGCGAGGAAGCTCTGATGTTTATATCCTCCTAGTGGTGATCCTACAGACTAGCTTAGGACACGGGACTGCTTAGAGCTGGGGTTAAGATGGTTAGTCACGGAAGGGAAAGCTAGCTTTGTATTCGACTACCTCATGACACTATATCAGATCGAAGAGGACCCAGACCAAACGTAGCTAGCATACATGAACACTAGAATCGAAAACAACCAGACATTGCAATGCCTCGTGACGAAGTAAAGACAAAATGTATTCCATGAACCATTAACCCATTCAAAAACAAGATTAGTGTCGTTTGTCATATTATCGATGAGTAGGGCAAAGAACAAAGAGAAAGCACGAAGCAACAAGAGGAATGAATAAATGTTAACGACTTCAGGTCGATGGCCGAAAAAAAGCACAAAAAGCAACAAATCCGAAACCGATCGATCAATCAAGTCTGTTACAAGGGAGAGATCTTAGTAACGAGAGGATTGAAAACGCTTAGGACGAGTGTCAAATTCGTTTGGCTCCTCCCTCTTGACTGACTTTCGTCGGGTGACAAGGGTAAAGTCATCAAAAGCAGCACGACGCTCTTGTTGGACCGCTTCGATCTTTGCCTCGACGCCGATTATTTTGTGCTCGATATCGATGCGGATGATGGCTTCTTTGGCGATACGTGACTCCATGTCAGTCTTGTAAGCAGTAGCCTCCTGAGCCGGGAGGCGAGCCATAGCAGTTGAACCCATGGCTGTCTGAATGTGCTGTGGAACCTCGCTCACACATCTGATCACCGTCTTATAGCGCTCATTCTTACAAAAATAGTCAGTATTCCTGTGTATCAAAGGAAAATATTGAGAAATGGATACGAAGAATACTTACGACCACTCTGAGCTGGTCAAGGTTCAAGGAAGGGGTGTTGTCGACCTCACGAGCCGTGTCAATGACGGTTTTGATGGCCAAATTTTGAACGTGGGTGACATCGTTTAAGAACTCGCAAATGAGTTTGGAGGCGAGCCTACTGACATTGATGTCATCGTCATCGTGGTAACGGAACCCTTCAATGTTGGCAATCATGTCACGCAAGAGACCAAGTTTGGCATGAAGCCTCTCTTGATTCGTGACTGGATTGTTCATGGCATCAATAGTTGGTTCAACAACAGGAGCTTCAACTGGAGTAGCAACATTGCCCTCGGGAATAGGCTGAAGCTTCGCGCCAGCAGCTGGCTGAAGGATGAAAGAAGTACTGAAAGATTTGTCAGACATTGTGAATTTGTTTAGGGGTCTGTGAAGAGGTATTAAGACGCGTTTTGATAATTGGAAAGAAGCGTTATGGTCTTTGAGCAACGTGGAGTGAGTTTGATGAAAGAGAGACGGAGTAGGTTCAAGCGCCGAGCGTCGACGTTTAAATAATTTCACTCAGCATTGATGGAATCAACGTCAACGCCACATCACCAGCCTCATCTCATCCTGCAAGGGCTATCAAACACTCATGATATGACATCATGCCCTATACAGTCCTTCGTTGGCACCATGGGTAGTGTTTCAGTAAGTAATTTCTATCACTGCCATAGTGTTTTCCTCAGCCCCAATTGCAGGTAGATATAGAATAACACGATCGCACACGAAATACACCTGTAATGCTTAGAGCTGATGATTCGCCTTTAAGGATCGTATTAATTCTTCATTGCGCTATTAATACGACAAAGTACATGTAGCAGCGTCTCCATCAAAGGTCCAATTCTAGTGTACAAAAAAAAGTCGTTACAGTTCTAATCCATATTCCAGAATCTTATCCGGGCGGCAGCAACCGACAGTACCATAACAGACTATGTACTATAGACGTTGAACTACACTAAAAGATCTTTCCCACACCACCAATGTCCTTCTTTCCCTTGAAGAATTGTTTGTCGAACCAATCCTTAGCCATCATCGTATTGTCTGGAAACTCCTCCAGCAATCGCTCAAAGACCTTGACATAGTCAAGACACTTCTCCAGATGCTCGAGCCAGTAAGTTCGTTCTTTGACTCCACGATCAAGGCTCAAGACTTGTTGCTCGGTATAGATCTTCTCGCGGCTCCTTTCTTCAATGATCGCCCCGACTTCGCGTTGAAGGGTTGGAATGAGTTTCTTAGTCATGTCTCTCTGCATTCGATTAACTTTGTATCAGTACCTTCGCTTCATACATCGCAATAATACCATATACGAGGAGGAACGGGGGGTAAGATGAACTTACATGCAAGGCAACAGCACGAGGGTCAGGCAAGAAACTTTCATGAAGGTAATCATTCCTGATCTGAAGCCACATCTGATTCCACAACTCATATCTAATCGCTCCCGCGTTATCAGTCAAAACCTGAACAGGATCGTTAATATCAGAGGCGGCAATGAGTCCATCGTTATAATAGTACTGGTTAACCCTTTCGGCATGATTCCAAGGATCATGGCGATGAGGATTGTACATGGCGTTGAGAGGTTGACGAAATCCCTTAGCGAGAGCGCGAGTCGCAAGATCTTCAACTTTGTCGAGGAATTTCCAAAACATTGTGGTCTTCGGATTGGGAGTCTTGGAGCGAACTGTGCGGATGGGTTTTGCGGGAATGGCTGCAAGGACCTTGATCGTATCAAGTTCGGCCTGAGCTCGCTTCAATGCTTCTTGGCGGAGGTACTCTAAGGTTTGAGCTGGATCCAAGATTTTGCCATCTGTAGCTGGAACGGCGACTGGTGTGTTATAATGCTTCCCAGGTTCGATCAAGCTGAAATTCTCCATTTTTGCTTGGATATCGCCAAAGAAGAGAATATCTTTTCTGGCTTTAGCTTCTTGAGAAGGTGGAAGCTTGGTAGGAATTATCTCCGGAACCTTGATGGAGGCGATCTCTGGAACCTTGATAGGAGCGGCCTCTGGAACCTTGATAGGAGCGGTCTCTGGGGCTTTAGTAAAGGTGGTCTCTACAATTTTCATAGACGCAATCTCTGTAATATTGGCTGACGCAGTCTCCAAAGCCTTGACAGAGATGACCCCTTTGACCTTAACAGAAATGATTTCTGGAGATTCCTTTGGGGCGGGAATCGTAAGGACCTGATCGAGTTCCGATATAGAGGGTTTTGAAACGCGTTCCCGTGCTTTCTTGGGAGGGAGTCCCGGAGCAGGAGGAGGGATATTCTCCTTTGGAGCAACCTCAGGAGTTGAAATCGGGGTGGTATCAAACCCGGAGGCACCGGGCTTGAAGATCCTGGCAAGTGGGTTAAGCTTTGATACTTGAGACATACTTGATGGTACTCTTGATGGAGGGGAGAGTAGGCTCTGGAAGATAGGAGATGATGGAAAGTAATGATAGAGATTGACTGGGAGCGAAGCTCAGAGGTCGAGATGGGAATGAAAAGGTGGAGGTTTGAAATTCGTAAGCAGGAGAGACAGAAAAGAAGAAGGAAAATATGTTTGCTAGTCGAGGGAATATGTTAATGAAAAGTCACGAGGCGGTCATTTTGACGACAAGAGGGGAGCTGTCTAGCTAGGAAGAAGTGATCAAATGGAAGACATCATAACATATGTGATGCTTCTTTCAGCCCAATACTTTAACCGCTTTAAGGAAATTATAGCGTAGGCGTGCAGGACTACCTCCCGCCTCCCAGTAGGGGCTAGTCTGAATTACTGGGCCGTTATAGACCTTGCCTGAAGACTTTCATAAAGTCTGGCCTGGTTAAATAGCACTTCGATAGAAAGCCATGATATCATGATATGATAACGGGTGTTAAATTACATAGGGTGGTTTATTGCATCGCTAATTTAGTTAGCGGATAATAAGCGTGCATTCTAGAGCATCCCGTAGGCTCTACCGGTTTGTCAATCAGAGCATGCGTATATACTGTCAGGAACTGCGAGATCAGTATAATCATAGTAGCCAATACCAGCTCGAAAGATACTTGAAAAGGAAATTATTAAGATTAATAACTTTCATAATTTCAACTTGAGTATATCAAGGTATCTTCTTCGCGATCCGAATGATCAAAGCCTTACAAAGTATGAAGCTTAGATCAGACATCCGCTGAAGGAGATATATCTCCTCTGTCTTAAAGGGAAAGATAGAGGAGATGGGATTAAATACATGGAAAACCGTAAACAATCCATCGATAAAACAAGAAGCTGAATAAAAGGCCATCCTAAAAGGGCGGAAGCTATTTGATGATCCAGAATGCCAAAGTCCCACCATGCATAAGATAGGCAAATCTAGATGTTAAACAGCCTCCGGGGATACGATGGACCAAGAAAATAAGAAGTGGGGGAAAAAACACAATATCTCAATGACGGGACAGTGTCAACGCAGCTCACTAGCCGAAAGAAACAATAACAGAAAATCCGAACTGAGTAGATGATCGCTGCGAAATGAAAGTGTCATCTGTCTGAAAAAGTCAATCCACATCGAAAAAATACCGAAAGAAAAATCAATGAGCGATTCGAGCTTCATCAGGGAATCGACGGTTGATGGCATCCTGGGTGATCTTCAAGGCATGATGGCACTCTCTTCTCTAATAAGAGTACGTACGGCGGCACAAGAAGGGTCCAAAATACCACGCGAAGGACAACTCTTCGTTGGTTTGTTCGGCAATACGCTCACGGTTCCTTTGATACTCGGCTTCAATTTTGGCAAATCCGTAGGCCTAGAGCTAGGATTAGTTCTCAGGGGTTTCCAAGAAGACAAGTGAAAATTGACGCGCACCAAGTGGACGAGATAATTCTGTGGGAGGACTTCCAAAAGGTGAATCCAACGGAGAACGAGTTCATTGTATTGACGAATGTAAAAGTCCATGAGGTTGACCGCGTTCGTCTCGCCATTCTCTGGGTTTTTGACGTGGGGGAACTCTTGGGGAGCATTTTCAAAATCATACGGGATTGGAAACACCGGACGTCTGTGGTATTCCGGGAAAAGGTTATGGGCTGGGGGTGGAACATAGCGTGGGCTATAAATTACTCCTGTAGCGGCAACGTTTTCCCGAGTTTGAATGTGTGCTGTTGCAAGAACTTCATCCTGAGCAGAGCGAGACTCCGCAGAAACCCGCATAATATGGGTTTGGACGACCATGGCGCGTTCCTGGTGCCTGGCTGTATGGTCAGGGTTGAGAGCTTGAAAGTAAGCTTGTTCCCAGCTAGTGCCGTGATCCATTGATTGGGGACCACCAGGAACTGTCATTCCCGAAACTGGATCTTGACGACTACCATGAACCGTCGTTACCAGCAACGGGTCGCGATAGTCGCCGTGGACTGTCGTTGCTGGAACATGGTCTCGGTCACCACGATAAACCGTCATTGCAAGCACTTGATCTTGATCACCACGAGCAGCAGCCATTACTGGGCCTGGGTCTCGATAGTTATTAGAAACTTCCATTTCTAGAACTAGCTGTTGATTCTCACGGAATGCAGAAGGTTCCGGGACGGAAATTTGTCTGGTTTTTATCGTTAGTTTAGGTCACACCTAATCTGGACGCAAGCATCGAACGAGCTAGGTTCTTTTAACATACTGAGCGTTAGCCCCATTGTCACCATGGCCATAAGCCCAATTGGGATCGAAAAGATTGTTGTCCGAAGACATTTCGACTAGCTGCATTTTTTTGTTAGCTCGATGGGTAGGTAGGTCGGAGGCAGCTAAGACTAAGCTTGGGGGCTATAAAACTAAAGCTAAGTACTTACTCGAATTGGAACTTGCTGTAAAAGAGATATTGGTCCCTTAGAGTTTTATCCAAAGCCAAAATAGACTACAAGAGACGGGTGAATGACAAGGGGAGAAGGACGCATACCAGATAGAAAGGTGGGGATGAAAGATAAGAGGTGAGGATGATAGAGAAGGAGGTGTCGATGGGTTTGGTCCAGTTTGGTTGGATGGAAGCCGACGTTTAAATAGTGCAGTTGTAGATGTTAACTAGCCACCATTTCCGCACCGCCACATTGTACTTTATCAAGCCCCGTACTGTAGAGAATGTCCCAATGGTCCCCGGGGTCCCTTGACCTCCAAAACGTCTCCCAGAATTATTCCACAAGCCAGAGAAGAAGAGCGACAGTCTGTATACATAGACTTTTCCATGAAGCCTTCCATCTCTTCCGGTTTCGCTGGTGGGACGTGCAGTCGTACCGTGGATAGGTATTCCCCAAACCACCAACCTTACTGTTCCTGACACTAACGATTTCCGCGCGTGAGAATCGAATAGTGCCAAAAATCGGTGTTTAACGCTTTACCGTATGTCGATACTTCGAAATACCCCTTTTCTGTGACGGAAGAGCGTATACGTGAAGAAGCAGTAAAGAGATCTTCCGGATCCAAATATTCCTTCAAAACGTACCGACGTTTTCAACATAAAACTTTAGGAAGACGACAACCTCTTCGGTCACGCGCCGGGGTGTTGCTCGGGACCCTGTCAAAGGCGAAAGGGCTTGTTAATTGATATCTGAAGGATACCAGGGCTCTTGGTAGTCTGTTTGGGCCAGGGCTAGCATTGCGGTTCGTGATGCCCAGCGAAGGAACGTCCAGAGGGCCTGCTATCGAGAGAAAGAGTATGCTGATTAGCATATGTATTGGCGGCACTAAGAGACCGCCTAGATGGCTATGAACCAACACGTTTGAATGACCTTTCTGATGAGGCTCGTGGGCATATATTCCGATCAAGGTCATTCTGTTGAGAAAGAGAAGTGATACTGGACTGAAAGAAAGAGAAATGAATCGATAGAGTGCTCTAATTAGGAACTTTGAAAGTTTAAATATCGGCGGAAGTCCTGTCTGGAAGCTGTACAATTACAAATGTTGGTAAAAGAGGTGAAACGGGCCTCAAGAACCCTTATCTCAGCTCGAGGGGAGTGCATCCCATGCGGTATATACACGTGGGGCCTAATCACGTGGGGGCACATGATCCAGAGGAAGGTTCTGGACTTTGTTTGGGGGAGTGCACGAGAAGCTCAAGTCGAGGGAAGGGTATCTAGGATAGGAAGATCAAGCTGAATTGACCTTTCTAGAGTCTACCGAAAGGGTTCAATAGAGCTCAGGGCCGCGAGGTACTGGGATACAGCAGAGACTAAACCACTGGTCATTGGCAATAGCATAATATTAATTGATACAGTTTTGGGGCTAGAATTGAAGTTTTTGATATTGAAGGCTTCGAGTCGGTAATTGTACCCAATATGCCTAGGAATATTCTGAGATAGGCAATCATAATGATAGAAATAATGAATATGTCATGAGAATCTTGAATCTAGGGGCAATATGCAGACCAATCAAGGAAGCCAGTAATAGTTATGGAGAATTAGGATTGACATCATTGGTCAAACTCCCTCGGCTTTCCCCAGTCCGGTCATATGCGGACATCGATTGAGTTACTAGTATAAGCTACGATGCCATGGATGGTCTCAAACTGTCCATGGGCTAGACCTATGGGACAGGATAAGATATCGGGTATGCATAGAAGACGCCAGAGGCTGAAAGCAGTTCAACGGATTCTAGCTCCAGGCGAACAATTTGGTAGGGAATTACAAGACATATTTTATCAGGATGAGGTCTAGTTGGGAGACTATAAAGATTACTTGTTCTTCTCCACTTAGGTGTCTATTATTAGGCAATTGAGGGGTTTCTCCAGCGTTTCTTCCTTCTGGCTCACTCGTATACCGATATTTGGGTCACTTGTATTTTAGTATTTCTAGAATTGAAGGTGGATCTCGGAGCCAGACCGGCCCCAATGAAGTATATTTTGAAAAGCTAGCTTCTCAGCTTATAGTAATGCCGTAATAAAGTTGCCATTTCTTTCTATTTCCACTTCTCAGTGGCGATTTATATTTCCAATATCGAAGGTTAGCCATTCTGTAGACACTGAGACCAACATGGCTATACTATAGCCAAAACCAAAACCAAGAGCCCCATTTCAATCCATCCTGTTGTCGAAGTCAAAACTGCTGAATATATAGAAGGAAGCAAAGAAAAATGCCGTGTGTTTTATCCATGCAAGGACCAAAAATACAGCGAATCAAGTTAACTAATTCCATGTGGATAGTTCTTAGCCGGAGTGACCTTAGTAAAGAATTCTGCCCTCTGGCCAAACGTATTAATATACGCCAAATCCGAAAATCGCTTGCGAGCGGCCCAAATACCGTGCTCCGACCAATCCATCACCCACGCATCGCAGTTATCCCTCGCATCCCTTCTCCTATTATGATCCCCAAGATTAATAGGTTTTGTATGATGTCCAGCAGCATCACTTGATATGAAACGCTTCAGGGCTTCCTCACCACGTCTTGGAGGTGCAAGTTGCTTGTAGATCTTGATCAACGCTTCATCTCGTCGCGGATATTCCTTGACCGCAAATCTCCCCAAGCTCTCGATAAACGCATCGCCGAATGTCCAATCCGGGACTCCAATGATCTGTCCTTCAAAGTTTGAAGCAAATTTCCAGCTGCTAAGTGGGGCTTCATCTTCATTTTTGTCGGGCCCGTATGGAAACATTGTATCAAGCATACTCTCGATACATTCCCTAGTAACCTGAAGGCTCCTTCTATACGCCATTAATTCTTTCCCCACCCAGACTTTCTGGGACTTGAAGTAATCGCTTTTGCCGAATTTGTACCATGGCTTTGACATTTTTGCTTCCATCAAGTCGGCGGGGATGAAATTGACGACACTCCTGAAGACTCGATCAAGATGGTGAATGCGTTCTTTCTATCCGGTAGAAGACAGTTTAGCTCTCCTGTGACATCAAGGGAACAAAGCATCCAACCAATATATATCAATCAACTTACCACAAGCTCCAACCGATCTCGACGGATAATAATTTCAGAATCATGCCTTGTACTGATGTATTTCATGAAATGGACAACATGGAGTGCGTAATACTCCATAAGTGGATATCTCAACATCGTATACATATTCGCAGTCTCCGGAGCCGGAATATAAGGAGCATGATACATCCACTCATGCTCGGGAAGACACCTCCAAGGTCCCCTCGGAGGATTAGTGTCATTTTCCTTTATGTCGATGAAGAACATCAACCAAAAGTTGAAAAAGTCGATTTGGCAGTACCTAGCAAGTGGCGCTACTTCTAAGTTACTACCCCTAATTCGGATATTGTAGGTGACAAGCAGGTCTGGTCGTTCTCTCATGCTGAGGTCGACGGGTTTAATAGGAAGTTTGGGCCGTTCCCTTTTTGACCTTGAGCTTCGCCCTGAGCTTTGTCCGCTCTTAAACATATTTTCGAGTAGCTCTGAGGAGCTGAATCTTAAGAGTGTCATCTGTATATTTTGAAAAGGATGGTTGGTGATGTTGATGCTGGAAGGAGAAAGAGAGTGAAGATGAGAAGACGTGAAAATACTAATGTTAGTTGGACCTTGCATGTCCGATTTATGGACAATTTACCTGTCAGGTGATTCATTTACGGTCTGCAGATCTGTTGATATGAGCACGCAGTAGAGACTCTAATGCGTAGGATACTGGATTAGAGACCGGATCATCCGTGACGACAATTCTGAACTTCTCGAGTCTCCTAGTATCAGACTGATCAAGATTCAAGGATATAATTCATGATAAAGATATTGCGACGGCCGTAATAAGTACGGTTATGAACGGAACTAGCTCTAACAAGATATCTGCTTACTTTATCCATATATATTGCAGGTAGATTAAGCTATAGCGCTACACTTTTGTCTTAAAACATCGATGATATCGATTGAGGCTGCCCTGGTAAATTACCCAAGTATATAGCATTCCATATCTTTGATACAACGGATCTTGCAATATATCGATAGATATACAATTTAAATTTACACATTAACGTTGTATGCTAGTCTTGATACACGATCTTCGTGTCCGCGAGTCGCGATTCTACCGCATATTCATTTTCAAGACCACGTACTACAATCAGGTGGGAAACGACATAATTACTCACTCACATGGCCAGATATAGATCTGGCGGCCAACATAGGTAGGTATATATTACGATTTAAAGAAAGAAATAAATAAAAAAAATAATTTATTATTTGGTAAGTCCCTCCACAGAGGACTCTCAATGCATATTTAAAACAAACAAGTAAACAAAAACGAAAAACAAACAAAAAAGACTACCCCGGGGCTCAACAACCGAAAGGTTAAGACTCCTCACTAGGAGGCCAAGGGTGGTCCCTCAGCGTCTCCTGGATGAGGGCCTTAACCTTTCGGTTATTGGCCTCAATTCCCTCCAGGCACTCGTTCATCGTCTTCAAGTGGGCCTCAAAGCCCAACTCGGTGCGCTTGCGGCCAGGAGGGAACCGCTCCATCAATGCGAGCATTTCATCTCGCTCGACCGTCATCATGGCGGCCATCTGCTCTTTCTCATTCAATTCCTTGGCAAGGTCGGCGAGCTTTCCGGCCTCTGGGGTGCCTGGTTTCTTCACAGGAACAGGCTTGGTTGGAGCCGGCTTGGTGGCCGGCTTGGAATCAGAGCCGTCGATTGGCTTGCGTGGGACGCCAGGATTGACGGGCCAGAGTGGGTCGTCTCCCAGAACGTCGCGGAGGGCAATGTTCCTCTTCTGGTTCTTGACCCAGGCTTGAGTATCTTCACAGATATCCAAAGCACGACAAAAGCTCTTGGTCAGGGACCTCATATTACTGAAGGGATGTTCACCCTGTGGACCGTCAGACGGCAAAATATGGTATTTCTGACTTCCCAGGAAAACAGGCTCTCCAGCTTTCGCCTTAGCCTTGGCCCTCTTGACAGATGTCTTGAGACCGAAAGTGGTGCCTTCAGGAACTGGGTTCCCCGCCTTTTCGTCACTCCCGGAGGGAGTTCCTTCGTGTCCAGCCTCGCCTTCAGTGTCTAGAGCCGTAGTATGGACCATGTCGACATCCCGGAACATCTCTTGTATGGTGATAACATTAGGGCATTGAAAATCTCTAATGACATTATTCATCCCGTCACCGATATCCGGCGTTTCTTTATCACGGATGCTAACAATGGGAGCAGTGACCATTTTGACCTCAGTATAGTCAGTATCGATACCAACAGAGAAAGGAGGATTTTTGTCGGTAGTGTCATCGTATCCAGCACGAATCATGCGAATAGGATATAAGAGATCAGCGTGTCCAAACTCGATTCGCCCATCAAGAGAAACGTCAAAGCAAGGACGTTTTCCAGCACAAATTGATTCTATGACGAACCGGCCGATTCCTAGAACAAGCTCAAGGCGCTGTGCGCGTAACATGTTATATTCTTCAAGGGGTGTCAATCCATTTGGCTTATTCCTGGACTTGACCTTGGTTTTGGCCTTCGGCTTTTCGACCGGAGTCTCGACTGGCTGGGGTGACTTTGGCTCAACAGGCAACAAGGCTACAGGAATCTTAGCTCTGGCTTTGCTTTTCTGTTTGGCGAAGCCGGGACTCTCAATTTTGGCATCAGTCATGATGCTTTGCAAAACTGCAGTGGTGAACTCCGGGTCTTCTTCGTTGCAGGCAAGCATCTCCTTGTGGAGCATGGCTCGCATTTCCTTCCCAGAGATTTCGCGTTCGGGTTGACCATGACCGCTGAACTTAAACTTAGCATCATCAGGAATGGCAGTTGGTAAAAATTTCTTGTACTGCTCGTGGATAGCTCTAGCGGCGGGACCGGTGACATACTCGAACTCGACAGATTTTCCATCTACGCCTTGGGCAACGCGAGAGACGCCGGCACTGGATTGCTCGGGAATGTTGGGTAGCAAAGTGGACTTGATGGAGGACTTCTGGATAGGCGTAGGAACTGAGGTTTCGACCGGTTGAGGCTCATTGCTGGCTTGAGAGGCTGCTGACTTCTTTTTCTTCTTTTTATTTTTCTTCTTCTTCTGGCCAGCTTCTAGCTCGGTAGTTGCTTTAGCGGCTTGGATCTCTTCTTCCGGCTCTTGAAGATCGAGATTTCTGGTCTCAGATGGCAAGTTCGAAGAGCTTTTGTCAGTTACGCTAGATGGTTCTACCTCAGGAGCGGTCTCAGTCTCTTTATCGGCTGGAGGCTTCCATCCCTTTGGGCGTCGAATACGTGGAAGCCCGAGAGCTGGGGCGAAATCGAGAAGATGATCCCACTCCATCTCCATCAGACAAGACAAGCACATTGCCCTCTCATCTTTGTCATTACCGACGCACTGATGGGTACTAGAGAAACGCCCCTTGAAAGCTGCGAGTTCTAGACGGCTAGTTTCAGCGTCTATTTCTGCCCAACGAATTTCTCCATCATCGAGCCATAATTGAATGGAGTTGTCGTCATTGAGAATGTTATTATCGAACAAAGTTTTTGAAAGATGTGGAGTGGCCCTGATCATCTGCTTGATGAATTTTTGACGAGTCGTGGGAATTTTCGCGAGGGATAAAGCTGGCTCATCAGAGCCACTTTTACTAGGTAAAATTCTGATGCCAGCTCGCATACAAGCTTCTTTTTGTTTGGCAGCTGTTATTTCCTCAAGCTGAGCCGACCATTTGATGGAGTCAAGGAAGCCAGAAAGGTAATCGTGCGATTTACCGGCGAGAATCCCCGAAAGTACCTGCTGAGATTCGGTAGCTGTACCTCTGAGTTCAGCTTGAAGTTCAGGGCGATCCTGATTTTGTTGTATTTGGTTCAGAGCGGAAGCCATGATGCTAACTTGCTCCTGAGATCTCTTCACTTCAGCCAGATCTTGGTGGAGGAGCGTTTCAATCAAATCGGCGTATCTTTGTTTGATTTCTAGTGATCTAGCGTTTTCGATACCGTGTACAAGGCTCTTTGTAGAGAATAGAGATGTTAGGAGGCCTTGGTAACTTTTGAAGGATGATAGAAATGGTTGTTGTGACGATGGTGATGGTGACGATGGTGACGGTGATGATGGAGATGGTTGTGAGGTTGAGGTCATGGACCCACGACGTGCTTTGGCCTCAGCAAGGTTATAAACTTTTTGCGCTGCCTCCTCTGCTAGGGACTTAACAGATCTTGTTGGTGGAGGACCAGGTTCGCAAGGCCTTAACCAAACCCCTGGAGGCTCAGCAATTCGGCATCTAATTTTAACACCACCGTTTATCTGTTCTTCAAACCTCGAAGTCTTCCCTTCTCCAACCTTTGAAGTCTTCTTTTCTTCAGCTTTAGGGTCTTTCTTCTGTTTGAGCTTTGGAACTGCTGCATCTTTTCCCTCTCCAGCTTTTGAAGCTGCGGTTTCTTCCCTACCGATAGGCTTTATAGCAGCATCAAGATGATTTTTCTCCGTCACTACATCTTCCTCACCGCAGAAAGGCATTGCTTGATCTTTCTTCTTTTCGATACGTCCACCACCGTCATCCTCTAAGTCCTGTCCAGATACTGACATATTGACACTAGAATTCGATGACGAGAAATTACAAGAGCGAGTGGCAAGCTCCCAGGCATGCATTGCTGCTGCAAAGTCATTAGGAAGCGCGGGAGTAGCATCCGGAGGACTGCTAGATAGACCATCACCTGCTTGACCTGCAGCTAAAGGCAGTAGGTGTCCACCTATCTGAACGCGTGCTTCTTGAACGGCTATGGTGCATAATACTCATGGATTGTTTATTAGCTCAGCTCCCTGGAGCCTTTATATTGCGGACTAAGGGGATGGGTTTATATCACAGGATTTCATCTGGTATCGTGACCATTCGATATGGGGTGGGTGAGGGGAAGAGTACATACGTTCATCAGCAATCTCATCGCTCCTTTCCTGGAACTTCCTCTCACGTTTGGCTTTCGCCTTCGCCTTCTTCGCCTTACCCATCTTGAAGATGACGATGCTCTTGCCGGCTTGAGAATGGATGGATACTTAAAGACCAGAGGGGGTCTGAGTAGGTGGTGATAGGGATGGGAATGGGGATAAGGATGGGATGGAGGTGAATGGAGGTGAATGGAGGTGGAGGTGGAGAGACAAGACACAAGCTCGAAGCTCGAAGTGGAGGTAGGAAAAAAGAGCATCGTGAGGGCTGAAACCCTGAGGTCAGACGGTTACAGCTTCTACGAGGCACAATGGGGTCATAGAGGCGTTGGGTTCTATGGGAGAGCGCAGAGTATATGGGTTGAATATGAGGCTTGCTAAAGGAATGCTAGTCACAAATCCATTATTGAAATTCCACGCTACTTGATTGAGAATACAAAAGCTATGGGAGTCTTTGAAGGTTACACTGGGCTAGCTATGATGCTATTCTTTTGCTCTAGTAAGGTAGTATCAGTCCCATCAATTCTTAAAATGATATTGCATGATCCAGAGGGCTACGGAATGGTAGGGATGCCTGGTAGACTTCCTGCTCAGAGACAAAAAGAAAAGGCTCTTTAGGGAGCAAAAAGTTATGAGACAGGGAGGGGGGGTAAAAGAGTAAGGAGCTATGAATGCATAACAGAAACAACAGCTTTCCATCCTCCAGATATTACTAAAGGAGTACAGACATATTAACTTGTATATGTCACCTCTAATTAGTCTTCTAAAGCTTCTGTCTTACGAAGAATACCTAATATAGGTAAGTATCGGAGCTACATCAATATATCCAGAGACTAATATAACCCTCAAAATCTATATTCAGTCGTAAGATTATCAACTCGCCTCTCATGCATTCCATTTTCCAAAATGGTATCCATAGAATGTCGATTGACACCAACTTCCTCGTTTCCATTCGCATCATAGTAACGGATTTGAACGGAAAATTTGGTCCCCATCTCGTCCAACATCTCTTGATTCTCCTTAGTGCAGTCAGTGACTTGCTCATGAAGATCGATCGAAAGAGTCTTGAGATCTTCGTCATCCCATTTTTGGATATGCTTGTCAAAGTGTGTACGACGAACATAGCGGATTAGTTTGGCTGCTTGGGAGATTATACGGTTTTGAGTGTGGAGAGCGACAGACTGCCGTAAGTTAAGATGTCAGTAAGAAGAACTCTGTTCTGTATATATTGAGACTGGCCAAGAAGTACATACCGTCTGGAAGACAAGCTGATGATGAGCTTGTAGACCCTCAGCAGGAGTCGGATAGACCGTCTGGGTAAAGTACGCCCTGGTGCTAACCAGAGCAGTTCGAAACATCTGAATGGCAGTTATCAGACGTCTCATGCCTTCCTTAAGCTGCTATCTCCATCGTTAAATTTATTACTTCTTCCATGCAAGCACAGAATTAATATTCGAATGAAATCACTTACTTCTCGTTTGGGACACATCTCTACCTCAGTCCAGTAGTACACACGACCCATGGTATCTTGGTACTTATCGATGGTACTATATCTGTTCTACGGACAGATTCTATATAAAGGGTAGTCAAGGCCAAAGATATAAGATTGCTGAGAGTTTTCTTTATATAGCTGGAATGAGGTACTTGGTATCTGGAACCTTGAAGAAGCCTTCAATGGTAGTACCTAGATGACGGGAATTGAGGACTGGATATGGTGTTTATTCGGAGAGCATTCGTGAGGTCATCTCTGTGGTAGTAATTTATACCTTTTTTACTGAATTATGACGGTGATATAAATCTGCAGCATATTCTACAGCGTTTCTTAGGAAAGCTGGGTTTTATGGAATATATCATTCTATTCGCAATTTAATTAAAGTAACTGACAACAGACCATAGAATTTGTAATTTAGCTGAAGAAGTAGAAAGAATAGAGAAGATGAGATGTACCAGGTCGAGTAGCATGCTCTTGCTGTACAGAAATCCTTGAATTCCTACTTAACTACGTACTCGCGAATTATAAAAGCCAGTGGATGCCGATAGGTGATTCTAGATACGCCCGATTCTTTCTGTGAAAATCAATAACTCCTCATTTTCCCATTGCAGATATGCAAGTCCTATGAATAAGAAGTATTTAGGGACAAAATAAATTCCTAGGTAAGTGCTTAGTACTTAGCTATTGTGAATATGCTGTGTAGCAAGTGTCACTGAGAGGCTTCGGTCTCATCTGTTTCCAGAATTATGTTACCAAAGAGGGGCATAAACCTTCAACGTGAGAGATCCCTCCTAGTCCCATACAACCAACCACTTCAACAAGGTATCTGAACCATCCCACCGGTGTACCCCACGTTTGATCCTACAATATCACCATCATAGACCCGGCTCCCACGAGGTGTCAATCGATTGGTCATGAATTCCCTTCGTCATCTAGAGCACACTCTTGCTAATCGCCGTAAAAGACGAGAACATATCAGAAGCCATACCTCCAATGAACGTCTCGACCTTGATGAGGTTCGTGGTACCAACCTCGAAGCCGGTCTTTTCTCCAACCCACTTCCTCGAGATATCAGCCAGCACCTCAAGGACATAGAGTATACCAAGAGTTGGCATACTATCTACAAGACTGCCGAGGAAACTGGGTTTATTCCTCCGAGAACCATGTTGCTGGCTCTCGTAAGTCCTGATTAGCTAATACCAGAAGGTACTCATAATACAGAAGGGGTACTGATAGTGTTATAGAAGAAATTCGGTGATAACAGAGTCGAGGAGCTAGAAGAAAAGCTGGATGCTATCATGAGGTTTGAGAACCACGAAGATAAGTCGATAAGGGATGAGTACCATCCGAAAATTGATCTGATTCGTTGGAAGATCAAGTACTATCAACATACTCTTCAAGATGGTCAGGATATGTTGGATACCCACGATGACGAGACAATGTACGTCCGGACTCCTCTCACATTGAATTTAAACCGATTATATCAGATATCGAACCAGTGGAGACGTTCCACGATGATATGTTATATTGAAATGAAAAATTGATTAGAGAAAATGATAACAATGCTAACTTGAACTGTCTTCAACTAGGTATTCGGGGTGGTGATGTATTTAAAAGCTATACATCATATTCGAATAAGAAATGAAATCTTGATATACAAGAGATAGACCCCATTATATTTATGTTTGGCCAGAGACAGGCGACAGGGATACCGGTATTTTGAGCCTAGTTTCAAGCTAGGCCTCATTAGAGTGTCACCATATAGCTCTCGTACGATGATGAGTTCGTTATGCTCACCAGGATACCTCGACAGAGCTAAATTGTGACGTATCCCAATATAATGAGTGCATATATCCTGGTTAAATTACGCATGCATATATGGAAGACTTTCTGGAAATAGGTAAGTAATCATCACAACTTCGGATAACCTCTAGTTCACTACGGCGCGAATTCCAGCTTAGAATTATATTGACTGTAAGACAATTACTCCCGTATAACGTTAGTGGGAATATCGAGAGATGGTTTTGAAATCACTATAACCGTGCGCCGCTAAAAGCATCGCGTACATTTGTTACATTTTTAGTGTTGTCGGTGGGTCGGTGGGTAATGAATACGGGCCGACGGCAAAAAAAATCAAGGGAACTGATATTTAGGCAGATGCACAGACCAGTTTCGCTGAAAAATTACTGGATTAGGTCGGCGTATACCAAAGCACGTTGTACGAAGAGGGGAAGCAAGGTATTTTTATATCGCAAAAGTTGCTTCGGCAGTGAATTTCGGGTGGGTCGGCATCATACAACCCTAGTTTCTTATCTCGAATTCCATACAGGGCTCGGGTAGACCTATACTATCTCGATACGGCAGATGCAGCTGACCAACTGGCATGTTTAGATTGGTTAGAATCGCGAATTTTCAATTTCTGCCATTTTAACCTTACGAGGTTTACGCTTTGAATCGGCTGTGCAGAATACTCCAAACAAACATTGTAAGTTGTTAACTCCTAAGTGGTGACTCCTTATTCTCGGAAAATTCCTTTCGGTATAGGCCGTCGTTTCGAGTAATACTTAAGTTCCAATTCGGAAAATAATACGAAGCGGTATCAGTCAATCAGCTGGATGTTAAGGAGACTTGTGTATAATCCTTAGGTAAGCCGCCCTCGCCAGGATCCCCTGTCCCTGTCTAGTCTTCGGGAATTTGGCCTTTACCCAATCCAATTCCTTGCCCTTTAGCATCCGCTATTTCCCATCAAAGACCCAACCCATGCCACATATCCACCAGTTCACATTTTAAAACAACCGGTTCTACAGTCTTTTAACTTTTTATCCCATGGTGCTTTCGGAAACATAACCGACCTCCTCAGTCGTCTCATCCCAAGACAAAGAATCTTGTAACCGAGGGCATTGAACCATGGAATCACTGCTGGTGTGAACAGGTGGTCGAGTCTGCCTTGCGAACCTTTTGGGAAGAGGTCGTGACAATATGCCTCCACACCTGGCGAGTTGGGACATGGGTGGGATTCGTGGGCCCAACCGAAAGGTTCCAAATACTTCGATTGGAGAATGTAATAGCGGACTAGCATTGGCCTTGTTAAATTTATATCTGTAGAGCCTGGGAGGATAGGGTTTTGATCATATTATGCTTACCGCGGGCGACGAGTTAGGGTTTTCCAAACCATGCTACAAGTAGTTGCGTATATGTCGTCTTATAACCAATCCCGTGGAAAGCTATTCCGACCCCTCCGATATACGCCATAAAAGGCTTTGAACTCTTCATTCCCATTTGGACATTTTAAAACGGTAATATACTTGAAATTATCCCATTGACGGATTTATTTTGGTTCTTGAATCCAAGCGGACCAGACTCCGAGCTTCAAATCGCGCATTCACGGACGGACTACAACTTTACAAAATCGAAATAGCGGTATAAAAGAGGGCCGAAAATCAGTATCATGTTGGAACATCAAATCAAGATAGAATCTCAACAGACATTCTATTTAGGACACACTCCAAAGGGCACTATACGGTACTGTCGAATCACTGTTGTATCGGTTGAAAATGAAAGTCAGCGTTCTCCTCGCAATATCGGCTCCGGCGCTCGTGTCTGCCCAACAGTCCCTTTGGGGACAGTGTAAGCCAACTTGACTCCTTTCCAGAATCCAATGTTTCCTCATATTCTGATAACAAAATAAGGCGGCGGCATCGGGTATACCGGGCCCACAAACTGCGTCGCAGGGGCTGTCTGTACTACTCAAAACGCCTACTACGCCCAGTGCGTCTCGGGCGGCGGTCAAGCAACCACCGCAGCCACTACCAGGGCCACAACAGCAGCTACAACCGCCGCCACAACCACTCGCACGGGCACTCAACCAGCGGGCACCGGTCTCGACAATCTCATAAAAGCCAAGGGCAAGAAATATGTGGGCTTCGCCGCCGACGGATCCGGCCAGTTCAACGACGCCACCATCTCAAATATCTTCCGTACCGAAGCCGGTTCTCTCACCCCGGAGAACTCCATGAAATGGGAGTCCATCGAGCCTAACCAAGGATCCTACAACTGGGGTACCGCCGACGCGCTTGTGAACTTTGCGCAGGCGAATGGAAAACAAGTTAGAGGCCATACGCTGCTCTGGCATTCACAGTTGCCACAGTGGGTCAAGAATATCAATAATAAAGCTACTTTGACGACCGTGATCCAAAACCACGCTGCTGCTGTAGCGGGGAGATATAAAGGCAAGATTTATGCTTGGGATGTGGCGAACGAGGTTGTTGCTGATGGAGGTGGAATAAGGAGCTCGGTCTTTTCACAGGTGTTTGGAGATTGGACGTTTTTGGATGTGGTTTTTAAGGCGGCGAAGGCGGCGGATCCTAATGCTAAACTTTGCTTGAACGAGTAAGCCATACCTCCTCCCCTTCAATATAGTGATAATATGGTTACTGATAGAATAATGTCTGGTGGTAGTTATAATATCAACTTCACTGGTGCCAAACTCAATACTTTCATCCAAGTTGTCAAGGATTTGAAATCTCGCGGCGTCCCAATTGATTGTGTCGGTACCCAAACTCATACCGGAGTCGGAGACAGCAGTATCGCCAACTACAAGAACACTTTGACGATGTTAGCAGGTACTGGCTGTGAAGTCCAAATTACTGAATTAGACATTGCATTCCCATCCACTGCTTCTAGCTCAGCGCTGCTGAACCAACAAAGCAATGATTATAAAACCATTGTGGCTGCTTGTATGGGTACTAGCGCCTGTACTGGTATTACAATCTGTAAGTTTTATTTCAACTTTGTCTTCAAAGCGACTTGTGAGAGAGATACTAACTCAGTGAAAATACAGGGGGTGTATCTGATAAGAATACATGGATTACTGGACGTCATCCTTTGCTTTGGGATGAGAACTACCAGAAGAAAGCTGCTTATAACGGCTTTGTGGCTGGTATTAACTCTTAAATGTCGAAGTATTCAACTACCGAGACCGCCAGGCCGACTAGCGTATTCCCCTTTTCTATTCCTTCAGAAGTAACTGCTAGCGATAGCAGCTGCGATGTTTGACGAAAACTCGGGGATGCGATCTGGACCAATCGCGTCGGGTCTCTAACCGACTATACTCATGGTTTGAGATCAGTATCATAGTGTGTATATGTACAACTTACCGTAAATATGTATATTTAGCTTTTAAGGCTTGTATATACTTTTTTTGTCTTTCTTGTTTGGTTTGGAGGTGTTTTCACCTTTTCTAATATTATATTTACTATTAACTCGCAAAATCGACCTGAGCGGCTAGATACTTTAGAGTTTCAAGAAGGTGGTGACTATGTCCTGTACTGCGAGCTAACTGTGCATCTTTGTAGCCAACCCGGTTCGTTTGTGAATCTGAGTAGACAGAATCTTGGCACTTATGGGTCTGATCGTACTACTCTCGCAATTCGACAAGTACTTAGGCGCCTGTGCCACAAACATGCATGATGACGATACGTAAGCATCCAGAAATCGATTTCACAGTTGAGAAGTCTGGCAACGAGACGAGAGATTAATTGTTCTGCTTTACATTTATAAATATTTAAGTAGGCAGTATTTTTCGGGGACCAGCGCCCTCAACTTCATAGACTCTCTCACTGCTCCAAGGAATCCGATTATATTTCTTCCAGTTGCATGCCGAGTCTTTATGCATAAGTAGATAGCTGAGATACAGACAGCGATGCCGAATTTATCCACCCTTCCTCACGATATTCGTTATCAAATTCTAGCTCTTCTCTCAGAATATCATAGTATTTCCTCTCTCATCGTTGCTTCCCGCCCATTCTACACCACCTTCCAACCACACCGCATCCACTTCCTCTCCCGCTCTCTCCTGAAGAGATTTGAGCCCGAAGCAAACCTCATTGTTACGCTTTCCAAGATTAGGAGTCTGCCTGATACCCCCGAGGTATGGTATTCGTTTCGATTGGCTGTCGGGGATTATATCGACGAAAAGTTCGACCATTTCCAGATACCTCATAATAAGGATCCTGATACACTTCTCAGTATCCGAAAAAATCACGAGGCAATACTAAAGTCTACAAAAAGGTTTCTGCAAGACCAAATCTATCCACATCAAGTTTCTAAAACCCCGCGGAACGCGTCAGGAGCATTTCCACTCCCTCCTCCCTTGAGCTCCGGAGCTGATTTACAACCTACACCATCAGTAAACGAATACTATAACATAGTTGGTGGGTTTTATCGGCTATGGATATGGACTCTGCTGCATGGAAGCCCGTATTATTCTAGCCACTCTAGTGGCGAATCGTTTGGGAGAGGAAAGGAAAAGAGGTATGTCGATTATATGTATGGCTACGTGTTAGAATGTTGGGGTTTTTGGAACATTCAGAACCTACAAATCCTGGCGCATTGGACCATTGGATGGGTTGATCTCGCCATTGATGAGGAGAAGATTGAAATGCCCCCCGGTTAGTCAATCATAAAATTAATATCCATGAGCAAAGAAATCTAGTACTGACTGACAGGTGAATACAATTCTAGCAACGTGTGATATGATAACGGATCCCGATGAAGAACGACGTCGCCGAGACTCTAGGTTTCAGCCAAGTCCTGATCATGACCGACGAGACATTATTGGCAGTCTTATCCGCCATAATTTCGTAGGCTTACTCAAGGCCCTTGGGGATACATCAGCTCTCAAAGACGTGGTCGTGGATATAATCAACCGTTCTCCATTCCCCCAAATCCTGACATATCTGGACCGAGGCCCAGGACACTACACCCCGTCATGCCCGGGGAATCTACCGAAATATGTTACCTTTGCCACAGAAGGTTGCATTGATCCGATACGGTTTCGAGGGGTCGATCCAAATAGAGTGGACGTTAGACCTCTCGTTAGTGGGACAGTTGAGGATAGGAAAGCTTATGAGAAGGTTTTTAGGCAGAGAGATAAGTGGATGACTATGTTTGACTGGTTGCTCGGTGGGCTCGGGGCGGAGCCTGTTCGTGAAGGAGCGGATTTCTGGGCATCTGTATGGGATGATTGGAGGCTTTTGGAGTGGGGGTATTGGAGGCCTGATTTTCATTTCGACGAGGCGGATAAATATGGAACGACTTGAACTCGGCTGCTATAGCTATAGCTAGCTAGTATATATAGATCCTCCAAGATCAAGAAACTACCGACCGGCGATATATATCGATATAGAGTTTGAGGTTATAGCACCTGAGAGAAGTGTAGATATATCCCTGCCATGAATTATATCAGTTTAAGCCGCACTTAGATCCTTCTGTCGCGTAATACAAATTTGTACAAAAGCCGTTCCCAATTCCGAAACCTTCTTCCGACTTCACCAAACCTTTTAATACTTACTCCGAAGAGCCTCAAAACCAATTTTAAAATAGCCCTCGAGACTAAAGATATACCCCAGTTCAAATGGCAAACATCACCACCCTTCCATACGAACTAATCCACGAAGTATCCTCCCAATATCTCACCTCCGAATGCTTAAAATCTCTACGTATTGCTATTCCAACCCCCATTATATCTTCAGCCACAGCTTCACTGCTCTTTCATACGGTAACCTTTCGTCTCGGAAACCATCAAAACAGCCATGAGAAGTTAGTTATAAAATCAAAGTATATAAAGGATCTCTCTCGTTGTCCGCGATATGACGACAAGGCTAAACATGGATCCAACAAAAACAACACATCTGCCGGGATCTTCGAGTTTGTGAAGAAAGTAGTAGTGGATGTTAGACATCCCTTTGCCGTAACCGAAAAAGCGTTGGAACACATAGCAGCCGAACGGAGGAGATATAGATTCCGACCTCAAGGCGAATTGACGGAGTTTGAAGAGATAGTGGGGGTATCCGAAGCTGATTTGTTTTGGAATACGGTGGATGAGATGTTCCCAAAAGCTACGAGAGGGGGACAGCTGAGGGTTTTTAGGTATGAAATACCATTTATGTTTCTTCCGTACCTCGATGCTTCTAGCTTTGAGATAAGAGAATTTACTAAATGTTCAGGAGTTAAAGGCTGCTTTTTTCCGATGTAACGCCCTACGAGCAAATCAAGAGATTACTCTCTCTAGTCTGTACCCCCTCAGCTTCCCGTTCCCACCATCTGAGCGTCTCATACACCATCCGCGAAAGTCGAAATTTAGAAAAATTCCTCAGCCTCATATCAGATTGCAACAATTTGGACATAACCTTCGAAACCTGGCCAGCAGAGGAACTAAAGGAATATGAAATCGATGCAATAATCAATACGATCTCAAAATGTCCTGATATAACTGGCTTGGGTATATTCACCAGGCATCGCGAGATCTGTGACGAAGGCGCAAAAAAACTGTGGGAATTCATTTTTCGCTTCAAAAGGCTGGATAGGCTATCAATCAAAACTATGGCCGGGGCCTTTCCGGAGGCTGGAGGTGCTCTTGAATGGAATGGATTAAAAACATTGGAGTTAGTGATGAGAGATCCTTGGCATGGTATTGGTTACACGCCTCTGGCTCCCTTGGTGGCAATCGAGAAGGATACTAGTTTCATCGGGGATTTATTGAAATCTATCAATCAGAAGGGCGTCAAGCTCGAAAAATTGACATTAAATCGGTATAATACCTATATTCAAGAGGGATTGATGTTACAGACTGGTATAACGTCTCTTGAAATCCGCGGGAAACTGAGGGTAGAAATAGAATCTTATGCATCCTCATTTTGGCAGGACGTTATACCAATTCTTGCTCCCAAACTGAAGAGCCTGAGGGTATATTCCACTTCAGAGCGGGGATGGTCATGGTATGCGAATGAAAGCAATCCAGCAAAACTTGCCATCAGGAAATGTCAAAAATTGGAGGAACTTATGATCTCTTCTTGGCGGGACGGCTATCGTCCAGTAAATTATATTTTGGACCTAATCACCGACTTGCTCCTACACAATCCTCGTATGAGGCAGCTAAACATGAAGCCTTGTCCAGGAAATATGAGGAAGAAGATGGGTTCTACTGATACTCATTTTGATATATGGACTCCTGAGAAGAGTGAACTACCGGAATTAAGTGAGGAAAGGGAGTTTGAAGTGATTTATGATAGGAAGACGGATTTACAATGGATCGTTGGTATGGACTGTCTAGAAAAAGGGGAGAAGTCGTTGGCATGGGACAAGTATTTGCAGAGATGGAAGTTACGATATCTACAAAGTGGAGGGAGAGAGAAGAATGGTATGTTTTGCCTGGACAGATATTATGATGAATGTCGTTTTGATGAGTAAATTTACAGGCTAAGATCTGTACTTATCTCAGCTAAACCATTTTATCAAAATTCTTTCTATTTTATTACCTAGCAGGCCGGTACCTCTTAGAATAGTTTAATCTATATGTAGTAAGTAGCCATATCTCTCCTAGTCAGGCCAGTGTGCCGAAGCGTTTTAATTCAAGACTAAGTCAAGCCTTATCAACAACTAGGGATTAAGATTATAATTATAGCTCCATATGCAACAGCTAGTTAAGTATGTGAAAAGATTTTAGTAGATATTCTGTACCAAATAGGTATGCGACCATATGAACAAAATATGATTATATGGTAAACCCAGATATGCCGGCTTCCAGAATTCACATCCAAAGCATCAATGCATACTTAAAGCGATAATACTATAAACTTATGCTAGCATGCTTACTCAAGCTCAGGCCATTGAAAACTGCAACCATCCAAGGATTGCTGTGGCTAGGTTCATAGAGAGGGGTAAATATTGATAATCGGTGCTTAAAACCAATGATCTTTGCCTGAACAATAGATATGTATAATATTATCGTCAAATATGCATATGATATTTCTAACAAGGGTATTTTAAGGGAGCTCAAGCATCAATGCATTTCCTAATTTACCGTGATTCCGAATTTTTCGAAGGATATCGAAATATATCCAGATATCTGCTGGTCTCGTCCCGAACTACGTACTACATACACTTATGTTACTTAATCAATCTGCGCAAGGAGTACGCATATCTAACGAAGCGGATGACCCACTAGATACAGTGCTATGGACTAGCTAAATGAACGCTATAGAACGACTAGAGTCTTCTAACATTCGCGATCGAGGGGGTTGATAAAAGCCATTGGATAAGCCTGACAGAGGACACGCCTACTTTCTTTATCAGTGAGCTAGCCTGCGGAATAGTCCGGCGGAGCGTCATACTGAAACATCCGGAGAAATAGCTCTCAATCTCGCGACAGGGTTATTTTAAGATATAACTTCGGCTACTTTTCCAAACTATCGTCGGTGTATAACTTTAACGCCTCGTTCTAGATAAGTCCTCATACAAGAAAATCTTTTATATTATAGAAACACTGCAGCCACTGGCCAATATGAACCAGTAATAGGCTGGGGTGCGCGCTGCCAATGCTCTAGTGAGGATCATAAAAGGTGATCAATCAATTTTCCTGGACTGATATGGCCTGATAATGCCCAGAAAATAAGAAATGGAACTATCGCATAGATGAGGCTCCGTGATTATCCCCTTGTCTGAGTACATATTTTCAACTTGGGAATATTTTTGGAACTAAGTTGGAAACGCGAGTGTAGATCTAAATAGGGTATGACTTTGACCCCCCATTTGGAAGGGTACCTGTCGATCACCAAGCAACGACCTAGTCAGGGTCGACGACATAGCGACAGAGGTCTCAGCAAATTGTGCCATCAGGAAACCCTCGTCACCTCCCTGGCGTCTATATAGTCAAGGCCACAACTCTATTTTTTCTTGAACTTGTCCCTTCTTCCTTCACCAATCCTCTCGACAACCTCCATCTTTCATCATCACAGCCATCCTGATTCTTGCCTCAAGGCATTATCTCGATAACAACTATCACATTCATCTATCTATATCAAGCTTCTTGCTAAGCCTCAGTCTTCTAGACACCTATCTTTGATCATCATCATCATCAACGTCTTCTTTGACACCTCTCTATCTCATTCGACTCTCTCTTCTCTTCACACTCACCTCTCATTCTATATATATACATTCATATCTTAATCATGCAGAGATATCGTCTTCGTGAAGAGCTAATGGACTTAGCTCACACCGCTGTCAGCAGTGTGGAGTGGACTCCACCTGCTAAGCTCCCACTTGGGGAGCCTCGCAAGCCCGCCTCTAGATCTCCAGCACGAAAGTCCTCGGAGACAGATCTCACCGGGGTCAACAAGCCAAAGTTGGCTTGCACCATTGGAGTCCGCCGTGTCTCGGTCTTCAATCCGAACAAGGCCTCTACCAGCAAGCCTAAAAGAAAGGCTGCTGGCACGCCTGAAGAGCCAATCGAAAGTGGCTCCGATGAGACAGCAATGACGAAGACTGACGAGGAAGAAGAAAGCTCCCCTGAGGGGCGCGTGGTCCAGTGCCAAATCTTGCACATCCCACTTGGGTGTGCTCTTCGCGGTAAAGTCGTCCACAGTGACAAGATCACTGGCGAGGATGGCAAGGTCGTACCTTGCCTCCTCTGCAAGGTCGAACGCACACTTGAAGTGCGTACGGTCAAAGGGAAGAAGTACTTCTTCCCGACCAAGATCTTCACTCCCAGCGACAAGATGGTGAAGAGAGTCGGCGGGGAGGTGATCTCGGGGGTCCCCAATGTCTACGGGGACGCCCCTTACAATGCCGACTGGACACACGAGGAGAGGGGCGAACTGCCCAGAGAAGTTACCCTCTATACCGGAAGGGCATGCCTCAGGGGAATTCGGTTCCCATATCGAGACGTCATGGGAGACGTCTCGATGGCTGAATCGACATTCAGCTATAATGACTTCGTTACCGAGGCTCAAGGGGGGATCATTGGGACGATCCCCGCCTACAAATTCACTTCTCGTCCCATTCGATCGAGTCGGTCATCCGACTCAGACACTACTGCTGGCCCAGATAAGGGAAAAAATCCCACCAAGCCATCCCGCGGAACTTTCAAGAAACCCCTCTTGGAATACAAACGGCCCGTCATTCACATCGTATCTAACGGGATTTGTCACACAAACGTCCTAGGGCCGAGCTTGGGCCATTTTAATCCTCCCAATCTCACTTGCACCTGTGGAAAGATTCGAGCTTCCCTTAGCCCCCCCGAAGGCGTGCCTTCGTCTGGAACTGCGACCACGACCACAGCCTCCCAACCTCAAGGCCAACCGGCCACGCAAGCTTCTTCAGCTTTTTTGACTCCACCGAAGAGCCCTAACACCCAATCCAGGAAGAAGAGAAAGAGTGCTTTCGTCACCAAGGTTGCCGGCAAGACAAAATCCAAACGCCAGAAGGTCAGCAAGGAAGCTGATCCTTCGCAATCCTGCGACTCAACGTCCACTTCGGGCCCATCTTCAGTTCCTTCATCCGAGAAAAAGCGAAAGCACGACGCAGTCGACGGTGAAGACCAAGAGCCAAAGTCCAAGTTCCCGAGAATCCGTCTCATTGTTAGAAACCTAGGTGAAGCCGAGGCCATTGGCTCCCCATCGGCCATTTCTGCTCACACAAACCCTGAGACAACCAATTCCGTTCAGCCAAGCTCCGAGACGGCTAATACGCAAGAAGCAGCTAGCGGAGAGCCATTGGTACGAAGAATCAGAATCAAGTTCAAACGTGACGACCAGGATAACGAAAAAGTCTCATCACCCCCCAAGCCTTCCAATCCGACGAAGAGGCCTCGCCGGAAGCGGGCCGATTAAAAAATGAGCAACCCTCCAAATACTCCTGTTTCTCCGGCCAATGAGAAAGAAAACGATAGTAAACAGGATATAGAAAGGCCAGATGACCCACGCTGGCCATACTCCCCAACATTTCTCGCAGCACTCACACCACAAGAACTCGCCAAACTTCATTCTAGCTCCCCAAAATCTATTAATGTTCCATGGGATGATGAGCCACCCCAGCTGAGAACTAGACGACCTCATCAACTTCTTCCTCATCCTCTAAATCACCCTGCAACACTCCCACGCCCCTACGAATATCAACCAGAAGATTGGAACCCCGTCCTTGGTAGACACACACTTGTACACCCTGAAAATTCTGAATGTTGGGTTCCTGATGATGCCGACACTCGTGACGCAGTCGGAATATGGCGGTGCCCAAAAATCAAAGAAAGTGGCGAAAGATACTTCAAGACCTTAGAACCCTTGGATAACAGCCTATGGTGGATTTGGGATCCGAAGAGAGAATACTATTTCGACGGTGTCTTTCTCAAGTCCCGTATTCATGATTGGTTCTCTTGTCGACTCATTGAGCTTGGAGAGTCTGTCACCTATAATGGGGTTTATGATCGCTATGGTTTTTTTTGATTGCTCTCTTCTGCTTTTTCTGCTTTTTTCATTTCTTACTACTCTCTATCTCGCTTCCTTCCTTTGAAATTATTATTATTCTGGGTTTTCCTTCTTCTTCTTCTATTACTTGTTCGGGGACATTATTTTTTGAGAACAAGAGAGGTTTGCCCCACACCTTTTTTCCTGTATAGATGCTCTAGACTACTGGGGTTTCTTTTCTTTCCTTTGAGGCTCTTACTACTGTCAAACAGAGGGCATTCTATGGGGCTTTAACTATGCAATGCGACGTTTTTCATTTTGCCACTTCTTTCAATTGTCCATCGATCGCGTTTTTCTGGGTCTTGTCCACTCACGAGCTCGTTTGCATGTTCAAATCGATAACCCATCCCCGCTTCCAGCCTTGATGTAGCGTTTCTTGGGAGGCTTATCGATTTCTTTAGCTCCTAACATCATCGCCTTCATTTTAACTCAGCACCTGTATCAAAACAACAACCGTATTTTCTCCAAACTGGCTCCTGTTTTCTCGACATGTGCATGTACATGCTTTTAACCACGTTTTTTAGTTATATCATCGTACTTAGATCAGCTCGGAAGCTCTACTTTTTATAATATACAAGATGCAAGCCCCCTCCAACTAGATAATCCCACCGGCTACTTCAATACATTTGTTAGATATCCCGTAGATAAAGGCCACCTACTCACTTTTGCGTTTCTTTTGGACTTGCTTTCTGAAATTGAGAAAACTTTGATCGTCTTCGTTCTCTTCCTCTTTGTAATTCTCTCGGTATATACGCTGCCTTCGCGATCGGTCAAATTCTTCACGAGCATTTGCTAACATCCGGTTCTTTCTCTCTACTGGACCGACAGGGTTGCGGCTTCGGGTAGATAGAGAAAGTAGTAGTGCTTCGTTTTCTAGTACGCCTTGTCTTAGGCTACTTGGATTCTCGACTTGTGAAAGATCAGGGGAGTTTCGAAAGATAAAGTTTGGTTCAAACGGTAGCCCTTGGGTTCCAGCTTGAATATCTTCTAGACGAGGCTGCGAGTTCGAAATTTTATTAATTATTTCTTTGAGGTTTACTAATGGGTTTCGTCGGTTGTAGTTTTGGCTCGAGAGCATATTGACCTGCGGCATGTTTTCTTGTTCAATTTGTATAGCTCCATTAAGTCTCGGTACCTCATTATTTCGACCGTTAATACCGCGGTTGTTTTTCATTGGTGATGTAGAAATATCCGTATCTGCGTTCTCGCGAGCGTACTCTTCTTCAAATTCATCCCACGCCCTACGGAAGGGGCCTAACTCCTCGAATTGTAGATTTTCCACATCGCTGCGGGATACTCCGGGTATTCCCGTAGTTTCAAGCATTATGCTGATTTCAGGGACGAGGCGGCCGCCTACTACGACAGTATCGGGGTCGAAGAACTTGAAGTCGATATCCTCTGATACATCGTAGATGTCTGGATTAGCCCCTAGGTGTGAGGGATTCACCGCCGTATCTTCAGATTCTCGATATAATAGACTTGGATCATTAGAATATTCGTAGGCGTAGTCGGAATCACCTTGCCGCCAAAAGGGAGGGGTAGTTCTTTGTTGGGTTTCTGCTCTTTCTTGGTCTGCAGAAATTTTGCTATCAAGTTCGTTCATGAAGTTAAGGACTTCGTTGTTTGCGGAAGGGTAGGATTGGATTTGGTCAGTTTGGTCGATTGGTTCATGACTTTGACTTTGGTCGATTGGTTCATGACTTTGGCTTTGGTTGATTGGTTCATGACTTTGGCTTTGGTTGATTGGCTGACGTTGGCTTTCGTCGTAGCAAACGGCTTCTTCGTCTGCGAGTTCTAGGTCCGAGACTTGGAGGTCTCCAACGTTGTAGTTCTCGATCTCGGACTAGGTTTAAACAGTTAGCCATCCCGTTATATATAGAATCACAGGTTACATGGCGGCCTCGTCCCCAGGCTCCTTGCAGAAGCTGGGAGGCCTGGAGATAAGAAAAACCTTCGGCAGAATCTAACAGGCTGTATATAATCTTACTTCTTCATCATTATAACTCGGGCCATAATTATCGACGACATCCTGTCTATACATCCTGATACCAAAGCCCGTCATTCCTGCCTTCCTTGCTATAATCCCTTTCTCCAGCTGGTCTCTCCTCCATTCCACCATTTCCAAAAAGTTTAACGGTTTGATCTTCTCTCTCGGTGGTACCGGGTTAACATATAACCTCAAGAGGTCCCTCCCCACCCTCGCTGAGTTTTCTTCGAGTACATCTTTTAGTGCCGTTGGTATAGTACTGGATATCTCGCGATATACGCTCCAGATATCCACCGGTTGTATCCCCACTTGCCTCCCTAGCGCCATTTCTATCCAATCCCTCAGATAACGGTAAACATTTTGTTGGCTTACTTCCGGGAGCCACCACGGAGCTTCTGTAAACCAAGTATCTATCTCCCATTTTTGCGGGATATAATGACCGACCATCGATGGTGCAGCCGTGGTTATGACAGTTGTCTTGTCCGGCGCGGCGTTCCCTCCTTTTAAGTATCCGCTCGCATTATTCACTTCTTGAAATGACGCAAAAGCCCTGAACGACCCCGGACGAACCCTCATCCCCCGTTGTGCTAGTGGGATGATATGGAGTCCTACAGGCTGACTTTTTTTGATTTGAATTATAAATTCTGGTGCGTGTCTGTTATTCTCATTCCGACTTTCAGGCGGACTGGTCGAGGCATCGTTTCCGACCCTAATGGGGGTATCGCAAGTGGGAGTACTCCAAAAACCGAGGGCTCGGACATTTTCTTCGAACGGAACGTTGTAGATTCCTAAGGCTTCGATGTAGTCTCCTGAAGGTGCATATGTTGTGGGGATAGGATAGCAAACTCCACGAGATGCGTAATTTATAGACAATGGGAGGGATGCGGTGGGGTTTGTGCGGGACCATGAGGCGCGACTATGGTTTAGGGCTATGAGATAGAAGCAGAGGGTGGGAGTTGAGGTTAAAAGGAAAAGGAGTATGGTGGAGACGTGTGAGTATGGCATATTTCGAGGTTGGAGGGCCACGAGGGCGAATTTGTGAAACCTCGAAAACGTTTACGAGACCGAGACCCCCTACCCCATGATGTATTCAAAGGGTGGAATAATGTGGCATGGTATACGGTAGCATGGGCACATTTGAGGAGTATGATGTATGCTCCGGTTTGAGCATATTGGAAGCATTATGGCTATTTGATTTAGTGCTTCCTAAGAAGGGAGAAGTGGCTCTTATTATCTCGTGAAAGGCTTAAGAAAATCTAGTCTCTGTTTGTGCTTCTGATTTCTATGAATAGGATCATGGTAACTAGTATATATTGAAGATACGGAAATAGTAGAGTAACAGGTAGATTAATTTCCTCTCCCTTATCGTCTGCTCAAATGTTATCGAAAACCCAAACCTTGAAGAAAGACCCTCTAATAAAAATTCTAGTTTCTAGGATCAACGTAGGTATGTACCTTTGTCCCCCATTACCCCCATGATACTACAATGATTGTGCTCAATTACTTAAAAGAAAATCTTTTGCAATGCAATGGATCCACGAAATTCTAGAATTTTGTGGAGTTGTGCTTGTGCCATGTGCTCCGTATATATAAACTTAGATCAGGCATATCGCACATACATATGTAGGAGGTTATGCTGCCGAGCCCAACATCGCAATCAAGCACCTCGTAAAGGCCATGGACGAGTTGAGAAAGTTTTCCGGGAATATCACGACAACGCAAATCCACTGTTGCATGTTACAGCGCATGTTCGGAAGCCCAGGCCGAAGACATGCAACAGGAAGGATAATTTTTGCACTCTTGCGCGATACAATGCCGATCATATAATAGTATTGCATTTTAGTTCTCCCAGTGAAAGATACCGTTGGGTTGGAAAACCTAGTTCATAAAACACGGTCAGTATAGCATTCTCCACAGTTATGGTTGTAAATGGCCGGCGAGCGAACCAAAATATACACTCTAGGAAGAGACACCGCATGGAGAGCTTGGGCTATACGACGAGGAACTAATAGCTAATACTTGCATAAATTAATTCTAGAATAAATCCTAAGCTCGCTGCGTTTTTAGAAATAGCTCCCTTTCTGTCTGTGGATTTGAAACAGGATTCTTCTGAATGGGGTATCTCTCACGCGAATCACCGGGCAAGTTTTAAAGGCGATGCACATGATTGAGCCATCGCGGGGCCATTTACCAGATTTCATAAAGAAAGTCCTCTCATGTCATTCAGTCGAAACGTGCCGCTAGCTCCCCATATTTTTGAGCTCTCCCTTGCAAATATTCGCCTCACTGAGCATCCCAATGGGAACTTTTACTGAGCAGCAACATACCCTAGTCCTAAAAAGTTAGCGCTATGGCACCCCAGGTCTACCTTAGGAATAAGCTTAACGATAAAGTTCCTAGAGGGAGCATAGGTGATATGCCAAAATGTACTCGCATCCGCCTAATATGCCCTCGGTACTGCTAGGCACTCCACTTAGAAAGGACCTCGCTTACTCCTCTACAACACTAGACCTAAAAGACTTTCTGGTTAGTAGTTAAACATCGCTGGTCTGCGATTTTTCAGCGGTCGAATTTAAGCATATTCTCATAAAACGCAATAACTGGGACCGGGAAAGTTAAATTATTTCCATAGATACAGATGGCTTTCTACAGTACCCACAAAACGTCCTAAATGAAACCAGCAAGAGAAATAGAGAATAAATCAATTGAGCTCCCCAACATATCACCGTTGCATTGGTTCTTTCGTTTAATCGCTTTGCCGAGTAGCTCTGAATTCGGCTATGTCAAGCGCTTTGCAGCCAACACAGAAAGTATAAGCGAATTTTATAGAATTCGGGACGGAACGAAATCCCCGTTCGCTAGAGGAGACTCTTCAGTCGATTAATTTTTCCCTGCGTGATCTTCATATGCATTAGATATATTGCTTTTGTCGCTTTAAATACCACAGGGGAAAACAATGGGCAGGGATTTGCGATTCTTCGGGTGGTACTCCGTAGGCGGCCTGAATCTACCTGATGTTTTTTTCCCTATAGGAAAACTAGAAAGCTAGGATGGCCATTTGGGTTTCTCAAATAGCTTGAGCACTCAAATATTCGGGTCGACACACAAGAATATTTTCGACTTGACCATTTTGCCTAATATCGCGCTCCGGGATACAGTTAACTAGACGGATACTACAATGAGATTGTTTTCCACATTTCCGGCCAATCTACGCGAATACCGTGATAAATGGAATTGGAGTAGGGAACTATATATTTCGGAAGCATGTACAGATTTGTCAGATACCTTCGGTCCCTTTCCTGAGCTTGAAGAGAAATCTTTCATCCCGAGGACAGGTTTAGAACCCATCGATTTTTAGGAGCCAGGATACGAGATTCGAATCGCCCTCCGACAAATATGAAGTCCCTTACTACGTGGTTATTGTTTGGCTTAGCAGCTTCGGCCAACGCTGCTGGTTGCAACCGTGATAATTGTTTCCGAGGTAAATAGCTGGTTTAAACGCTTATGGGCTTGGAAGCAGTTTGGAAAACTCCACTAACTCCTAAAATCCCATATGGGATCTTGTTTTTTATAGGACTACTCGGAAAGAAGTTGACTAAGGAATGTCTGTCATACGCGTCTGCAGCTAAAACGGATCCTCCGACTTAGTGAGTACCGCCATCAAAAATAGGTTTCGAGATTCTTTCAAATTTGCAAAGCAGAATTTCTAATTCGAAACGTTTTCCAGCACATACACACGAGATGTAATGCAAGTAAAACAAGTAATAATTACACCCTCCGCCGTTGTCCTACACAAAACAACAATAGGCGAAGCAAAAATCATAACCACGACAATATACACGACATTACCCCCTGCGATGGAGGCCGCCGGCACCACATCAACCCCCAAACTTGTAAAACGCGCGGAAATACCAATCCCTAAATATGTATCAAGCGTGTGTAGTGGCGAAGTCGGACGCAGATTTCTGAGCGCTTGTTCTTGTATCATCGCTGAGCTTAACACCGCCAAAGCCAACGTCGTTCTACCGGCTGTGACTCCTCGTTCTACAACTATTACGAATTGTGTCACAAAGCTACATACGACCACTCTCCCTATTCCAACTTCGACTGTTATTGTCACTGCTGCAGCTGCAACATCAGTTAAAACCGTTGTTGAAGTTGTAAAGTCGACACCAAGCGCTCGTCCACAAAGTACAACTTTCAAAATAAAGCTCAAGGGTGGTCTTCACGATGGTAGATACCTTTTCCCCGGCCCAGTATTCGACGAGCAGCCGGGAATTTACTATAGCATGTTCACCCCGAATCGTGATGATTCAATCGACTTCAAGATGAACAAAGACGGCGTCATCTCAAGCATATCCGGAGGGTTAAACCTAACTTACTCTACAGATTTCGACGACGACTCCCGGTATCCTCCCGAGAAGGAAGGAGATCCGATGATTAGAGTCCCCAGTTTTGTCTTCCTGATGGCTGCAGAAACTCAGGCTATTCCGGACTATAACTCGTATCCAATCAAGTGCGCTTTGACTGGAACCGATCTTGCATGCGGTGCTGGAGCGAAGAGAATAGAGTCTGGATGGTATGCTTTCGGTATCGATGCAACAAATTATATCCCAACTTTGGGCCTCTGCAAGCCGAACCACGATTGGATTTATTGGCCTGGTCAGAAAGTAGGACTTTCAATTGAATGGAATTAGTTGCCTTGGTGGTTTTAGAACCTCTCATCTCGACTTTTAACTCCTTCTTATAACTTTTTCCGAAGTTTGGGAATTGATATATATCAATTCTCGCTGTCATCATCGTTTGGAGTTCTCGCTGTTTTGCATTGCGTGGAGCACAAAGTCTTCTTCTTCTTTTTTGAAGTATTCTTGTATATAAGTATACCAGCAAGTGGGTATATTAGAACTAGCGACTTTTAGATAAAGCTAGTTAGGCTGGAAGTTCTCGGAGTACTGTGGAGTTCCAGTGATAGAAAAAAATATGATTATAAGAAAATCTCCTATGATGTGCAATATCTTCGTACTAGAAGCCTTCGACAACGCTTTTATACCTCCTACCCGATCTTATTACCCTTTCTTCTATAAAACTATATATCCAGCCATTTGCTCCTAACTTAGGCATCATCACTCTGTACGTCCTTCTAACCCCATAGTTGATAAATATGTTCATAGACTTTCTATTCTATAATAACACAAAGAGGAACTCACAAGCCAGTCATACAATTATCCACTCGTATCCGACTGCCATATTCGCAACTTCGTCATTTGGTAGGTCAACATTGTCCAAAATGTCCGGATTACCTGGGAAGCCGTCAGAATGGACTATATCCATAATGGTCCTTCGAATGTCCCTCTCGATTACGGTCACTCCTGGTGGCAGTTTTTTCTGGACTTGTTCGACATCAACGTGTAATGTCCGCGCTAAATACCGAAATACGGCCGCCAGAGCCTTTTTTTGTTCAGATTTGGTACAATTTTTCGTCGCACCTATTGTTGCAGAGCATACCGCTGGAATATACGTAGCCTGAGCGGCTGGTCGTTCCAACGACCCGTCGGAGTTGAGGCCTTGGACTAAAAAACGTCGAGAATCCTCACCGAGGACTTCAAAGAATGTATCGTAGATCAAATCTGCACCGTCAATATCCGACGAGTTCGTGGTGCACAGTAATCGCATTACGGCCCGATAAACAGGTTCGCTAATATCGAACTCTCGACCTTTTTCCCACCCAACATTGATTAACAATTCAACCCTCTTCGTCAGGTTTAGATCATATGCTTCGCGAACCCCTAATCTACCCTCAATAATACCGATGGAAACATCGTAAACGTTTTTAAATGCTTGGAACACTGGTTCTGTGAGTTTTTTGGCACAAATATGGTCCACATGTCCTGCCGCACCCGCTATATCCAGAATTTGCTCCATGAATCGTAAGTCAAATGCATGAGTATGTCCTTTCATCGCCGCTACGCCAAGTAAAGAAGCTGGCACATTCTCTGCTTATGCTAATTGACCGAAATTGAATTCCGCCCCGAGTTGAATTCCCAGAATCAAATCCGCTTTACGGGGTGGTGGGAGTTTTGATATTGAAGGGACTAAGTGGGGATACTTGTTGACGACTTGATAAAGGATCATATCATGATTGAGCTTCGAGATATTGATGTTTGTAACCCGTTGAAATTCTGTTATCAAGGACTCAGATTTCCCTAGGTCGTTGATAATTATAGAAGTAATGAGTGAGTATATATCGTCGCTGCTACTATCATCAATCCTATTGTGAAAGAAAGTAGATATCCAATTAAACGACTCGCGAGTGAGTTTGATATGTGGTACTTGGTGGCTAACGAAGGTATCATAGTCCTTGTTGTAAATCCAGCGGAGGGAGAGAACGCTGACCAAAGTCCTATTCACTTCGTCAAACTCGGTGTCGTATAGGTGCAGTGAGGGAGACAGGGTATTAAAACGTTCACTTGTTGGGCCTGGGACCGAGTAAGCAGTTTTTAACCAGTCGAGTTCGACGGCGTATTCTTGTTTCAGGAGCTGCAGACAGTCGCCCGTGGAGAGGTTGAAGAAGTCACCATTTTTGATGGCTATATCGAGGCTGGATTGATTCATGTGCATGGCGACGTCCAATATTGACATAGAACTCTTTAGATCGAGAAAAGGGTACTATAAAATTCAGATACAAGACTGAAATTAATAGTAGATTATAACTGCTGACTGCGCACTATATATAATTATGACACCAACTTGGGAATTCTTAGGTTAATGATCTTGCGTCTAGTTAACTGGGAGGTAATTAATTTTGCCACGTGATATAACAGAAGCTAATCCATGCACGTTGAGTTGGCACAATAGTGAAAACTTTTACGATTGGTCGGGTAATGGATTGACTTTCCGGGCAGAGCTAAGAAGCTACGAAAAATACGCGAACTCAGCTGGTCTCAAAGTAGCCGGCGTCCGGGGAAGATAAAAACATTCAATTTTCAAGTTATGCCCAATCCAAAAGAGTTTCAAGCCTTTGAAGCCTCAATATCCGGAATTATTATGACCGCTTCAGAGAAAAAGAATTGATCACAACTGCGGCCACTAATTTGAGTAGGGAAGTATTCATGAATTAATCACCAATAACGAGGGACGCAATTAATTATAAACAAGAGAAAACGAAGACTAAAAATCCCACGAAGGAAAACGTAACGGCTTTCCATAGTACATCACACACTCTACACCAATCAGTCAAGGAGCTCCAACTTCCTTGCTATATCGCCACAAAAGGGAGTTTCCTTGTATTTACTAACCCAAGAGAAACCTCCTCCACCATTTCAGCTTCTCAGCCATCCTACTCGCGGACTTATCCGCCATTGCCTGCTGATTCCTTCTTTCGTCCTTCCTATTCTCAGCATTCGCTCTCTCAGATGCACGATATATACCTCTCTCTTTCCCCATTTCTTCGATCAAAAGTCGAACTTCCTCCTCCCTTCCAGCCAGCTCTCGTGCCAGAGACTTAACCTGCACTTTGAGCCGGGTATTCTCCTCTATGATATCATTAATATCATCTTTGTATGTCATTTCCGTAACGCCTTCGGGTACTTCGCCATTGTGGCTATCCTCCGGATCCCCGGAGGGCAAGCTTTCACGGTGCTCGTTAGACGCCGTCAAGGCATCATAGAGAAGTTTTTGGTGGTCCCTTAGGTCTGCGATTTGTCGTTGTAACTCCTCATTTTGGTTTTGAGAGTCTACAAAGCGTTGGGAAGTTCTTTGGAGGATGGTTTGGAAGGATAGAGTTTTTGAGCGCTAGATAACAAATTTTATTAATAAAAATTTTTCCATGAGGGTAAGAGTGTATGATGAGTATTGGACTTACGGCTGCTTCGACTTCAGCCTTCAAACTTCTGATTTCTTGTTCGTCCCTTTCGTTTTTAACGGACGGTCCTCCAGCTTCGCTAGCCTCATATCCTGCTCTCCGGTCATATCGTCGTCGGGAAATGGATAGTCTTTTTAGCCCCGTATGCTGTGGTTCCAAAGCTCCAATCAGGCTACTTCCAATGTTGCTAGTACCATCATCTGACGATCTCCGACGACCGTAACCAAGAATCTGTAAAGTAGGAGACTCGGATGGATTCGTGATTGCAACTTGAGATTGAGCATTCGAATGGGAGACACTGGAGCGCCATGACTCGATCATACCGTTATTAGCGGATTCTTCTTCGCTATTATAGTTCGAATTATCTTCTATACGGTTCAAGCCCTCCCCATTCTCGCCGTCGTATCTAATCCGACGAGTGGAATTTCTTCTGGTTGAATATGGATATCTGGATTCGCCTTCAAGGCAGGACATGATATCTTCTTCTAGCTGACGGGTTCTTAAAGAAGCAATTGTAGAGAGTTCATCGTCGTCATCTGGCAAGCCTCTTAAAAACTCATTCCTCATTTCAAGCATAGTTGGAGGTCGTGGTAACCCTGATAGTGGTTCTGGTGATTTCAGCAAGGGCTTTACCTCAATGCAGCTACTGCGGTAGCTACTGGGCGTCGAAGGATTTGTGTTCGCTAAAGTTTGTAAAGTCGCTTTAGTAGACACCGAATCCCTTTTTGTCGTTTCCGAAGAATCGCCCGACTCATAGTCAAGTTCTCCTAACAAGGCATCTCTATAAATACTATTACCATACCGATCGATGCCACAGATGATACCCCGATAAGATATGGTTTCTTTATCCCATGCAAAGCGAGAATCTGCTGTAGGGGTTTGAGGGTACTCATTGGAGGTCTCTAGATATTCTTTGTCTGAAGGATAGAGTGTGCATATACCGGTGTTTATTCTGAGGTGAGGAATGGATCGTTTCTGATTGTAGGAAATTGGCTCCTTGGCTTCATGGACAGTGCTAACTGAGTAGACAGACGATTTATCCGAAAAGGCGGACGAGGATTGGCGTAATCTAGTTGGCAGTGGACTGATAGTCCGTCTGGAACCTAGGGAGCATGGCGTAGCTAGCTTTTCAGTCGCGAGCAATTCCAGTGAGGCGGTCGATAAGGAGTGTTCAAGAGACAGCGGACGAACTTTGGATGCTGTTGGAGAGATACCAGCCGGTTTTATACACATAGTACGACGGGTATCCTTGTTCAACGGTGGGACATCCAGATCTCCATGTAGGTCAATTCCGCATAGCTTTCCGTTGATATCGCGGATGGTATGTCCGTTTAAAGGTGCCTTCGGTGCAGTAGACTGCGATGCTAGTTTGGGAGAAACCCCTCTATTCTTCCACCAGATTGAAGACCAGTGTCCAGCTTTAGGATCCAGTCGAGCCGTCAGCTTCTTATCATTCCTCTTGACGCTGCTGTTCTCGTTTCCTATCTTTTCTTCCAGTTCTCCTCCACATCCAGCTTGATCGAGACCGTTCGGACGCATTTTTGCTGGTTGCAATACTGTCGAGTTCTTCGGATGTACTTTCACTTTCTTCGTCGAATAAGTCTTCCTGGAACGGTGTCTTTTGGGTAGCCTTGCGGTTGAAAGCCAGCCAGATAAGTAGCTTGAAGAATGTCCAGGTTTCAATGACAGATATCAGAAGATGAACGGTGCGGAACATCGTCAGAGACTAGCATCTTTAAATATCTTCCATCCGGATGAAAGAGCGTGATTGTCGTCGGACGATATAAAAATAGGCCAAGTCAACGAGATCTTCATTTACAAGCAAGGTAGCAATTTAAGATCGCTCTCAGAGGTTACCGTGTCTATCCTCTGTTGCTAACATGGTCAGTAAATGCTTTGTATATAAACTTTAACAATCTAATTTTGGATTTAAAAAAGTGTGATCGACGGCGGGTCACCCATTTATGTCCAAATATATACCATCCGGCCTCGCAAATGTAGTTAGACCCAGAATCCCAAATAGACGCCCCAAGAATGGCAACTATAAGATTGCAGAATACCACATCCCCCAACGCTTTAACCACGTCCCGGTGACATATTCAGCTACAATCATCAGATTACAGCCTCGTCAACCAGATCAACCTCCTCAGCCTCGTCAAATACCCATTCATTCCTTGTTCCCGTATCGAGAACCAAATTGCAAAGAATTTCCCTAGCGGATCGATCTGACCTGATCTTTGTCATTGACGGTTTGAGTCCGGTATGCGTATACTTAGTTGATATCACTATCACGAAATCGAACTTTAGAAGTGTATTATACTCCGACATCTCATCATTCAATCCTGTGCGAAGTCAAGGTTAGTATCTCATTCCGTACGAAATATCAAAGCTTCAACGAAACTATATCTCCGGATACCAAAATATATTAAGGGAGATAAACATAAACTCATCTTGGTCCCTCAAATTGATCAATGATAGGATATATAACAATCAGACAACCTCATAGAAAATCTCTATGCTTCCAACCTATCTCATTTAAAAGTTGAAGAAACCCCTCCGCAAGCATCTTGTTTGCTACTTCTTTAAGGGCGTCTTTTGCATCCATCCGTTGAACTAAACGTCCAACTAGCTTCAATTTTTAACTCTTTTTCCACACAATCGAGTTCCCTTTCCTTCATTTGTTAGCTCTTCTCCTCATCATAACTCTATTCATCATCGTCACCATCACTATCGTACGTCAGTTGCCCCCATCACTCTTCTTACACTCCGTTGTTGACCCATTGGAAGCTCCATCATTCCAAACTATCCTTCTGCCTCACTATCGCGGAAGTCCTTGCCTTGCTCGGTCTTCTCAGTCTCCCGTTGACACTTGTGGTATAACGGGTCTTGTAACTGTCGTATCTATCTATCATTTTAGGTCCTGATCTTGGGCCAGTCACGACTAAGATCCCCGCAAACCTAGCAAGCAAGAAAGACTTACCTCAAAGCCCTTGAACATCATCTCATTGCCGATAGCCCTCTTTCGGTGCCCCACCAAACTGTTTTCACACATCCCCGTGTTCAATTGACATTATTTGGTAAGTAAAGGTCTAGGTATCAGCTTTATCTAGCAACAATGCTAATAAAATCTGCTTTTAGCAAAAATGGAACGAGCTCCACCTGTGTCCTCCTCCTCCTCCCTCTTTGAGGAGATTATTCTTGCCCCTTCCACAGAAGCAACGTCTGCTTCATTTCTTCCAGCTCGGGTTTATCACTCTATTCTCCCAGGCGCCGGACCCGCCGCAGGCCGTGGGTTTGCCTATCCTGAAATTTCCTACCCACTAAATGCCGGGTATGCCAACAACCAGGGGTTAAGACAATATCAAACCCCACTGCGTCCAAATGCCGCTTATGTAGCTGGTCTGGAATTCGGTGGATATCAAAATCCGCTGCCCCCAGATGCTGGCTATATACAAGCACATCCCTCCAGGAGCTTCTCCCCCCAAAATACTGGTAGCCGAGGCTCCCAGGAGTCTATTCACCACCAAAACCCCCTTCTTCCAGCCCTTGGCCATCCAGCAAGCCAAATACCTGTCCCTTATCAAAACCCACTGCCCCTAAATGCTGGACCCGAATCCGGCCAAAGCTTTCCTCAGTCTCAAGGCCAATTTTATCGAGGAGTTTACCATAGTGAACAAGCACCTAGCCATGGGGTTTATCGAGGTGCGCCATATGACGCTATCCAGGGATACGCCCAGTATCAGGTTCCTCTGACTCCAGATACTGGACGTTCAGTCGATCAAGGATCTGCTCCTTCTCAAAACTTCGTCTCTCCGAATGCCCGACCTACTATTATTCCCCAGAATGTTAGTCCTACTGCAGACGACAGATTCTTAAATCCTCAAAATTCCAACATCAGCCATGACGCTATCGGCTATCAAGCTACTAACCAGGTATACCACGACGCAAAGTTACCCACCGTTCAGGAGAACCCCCCTTCCTCGAGCCCTCCTCGAAAAGAAAATAAGTCGTCGGCAGTCAAGGATATAGCTGGCCAAATCAAAGGCTTTGACAAAGAAAAGAAGACTAAGTTGCTAATGGTCCTAGAGAAAGCAAAGACGAAGAAAGAATTGGAGACTATGGACTCCAAAAAAGCTGGGTTAGGCGATAAAGCCGTTGTTGGTCGTCCAGAACAAAGGCCGAATATGCAAGAAGCTGATGTCATCGCAGAAGCTAAGTCTGCTACCAACCTAGCTCCGGAGAAACATAATTGTGGTAATTCGGCGAGCCATCCTGCTGGCAAAGAAGGGCTTGTAGTCCCATCAACGCCACGACCCGACGTCATTGCTGAGCATCGACGTGCTTTACCAATGCCCACAAAACGCCAGCTCCCAGAGCAAAGCATTCTTTCTCCAGTCCCTCTAAGTCCTCTACGCTCACGCCCACCTGAAATCTCGTTGTTAGCCCCCTCTCCACTTTCATTAGAACCATTGACAAAACTATATCACGACATCCACGCGAGCTCACCAGCAAACTTATCTCGCACCATGAAGCTCACTCAAGAACCTCTCGGGGAGCCCTCCACTATTGAAACCCCGGTCGGGGCTGTCGCTGAAGTCAACCCCGTTGCTGAAGCAAAACAAAGCAACATTATCCGCTGGACACCTCCAGGCCCCCGAGGTAAAAAAAGACGGTTGCTACTTGAACGAGGTCCCTCTTTTCTGAAGAGACTTGATATTGATGAGATCTCTCCGGCAGAACACTCATATAAGACCCCTGAGGGAGGGGTTCCCGAGAAAAACTCACCTATGCCGCAAAATACATTCTGGGACTCCGAGTTGTTCTTCCACGGCGTGGCCAGTAATCCCGCCGCAAAACGGTCCTTTGCGGTGGATAATATCAAAGAGAAAGGAAAGGATGAAAAGGGGAAAGGGAGGGCTAAAAGTCCGGAAGACCGTACCGGGGAAGAAAAGCTTGATGATAGGCATGATTGGTACCAGGACGAAATCGAGGCGGCCATGAGGAGGGCCGGTCCGTCTCGTGTCCCATTCAAGCTTCTCCAGGCGGCACAGCTCAGCATCTGGGGCCAGCAGTCTGGCCAGGCGGGCAATACCGAATCCAATGAGTCAGCTAGCGAGAGCTGGCTCAAGGATATGAAGAAGAAGACCGAGGTCTTCGCTGACAGCGATGACGCGGTCGAATCCCGCCTTACCGGTAACGCCCCCGCTCTCCCGCCAGCTGTGGGGGGACACTCTATCGGTCCTGGACCCGCAGAGCCCGAATACACCTTTGACAAGGTGGACGAGGACCAATGTGGGTCCAGGATCTGGCATGAGCTTACGAGGTACTGGGAGAACCATCAGGATCAGCAGGTTGCTGAGTTGAACCCAGACTCAAGGCCAGAGGACCAATACTTTAAGGTCCCAACTCTTGGGCTATTGGGTAGCCCACTTACTGTTAACGGTGAATTTGGAGACGACTACGGCGAACAAGCCCGAAAGAGGGCTCGTCTGGACGAGGACTTGTTCATGGACCAGTTCATCAACTGGGATTGGAAGGAGGAGAGGGATCGGGGGGAAGAGAAGGGAAAGGGGAATGGAGAAGAGGGTGGGCAGGGGGGTGGAGAAGATGAAGGTGGAGAAGAGGAAGGTGGAGAAGGGGAAGGGGAAGGGGAAGGGGAAGGGGAAGGGGAAGGGGAAGGGGAAGGGGAAGGAGAAGGAGAAGAGAAAGAGAAAGGGGAAGGGTAGGGCCAGGGTCGGCCAAATCTTTGTTTTCGTAGATACTAATACTACCAACACTACTACTATTAACACACTACCACCGCTGGCGTTCCTTTCTTTATCATGATGAAAGCGTAATTATTCTTATCCCCACGGTCTTGTCATAGATATCTATAAGATGCTTTCACTACTGTGAGAAAAATTGGCATTCTGTATATATACGATATCTAAGTCTAGGACTCTTAAACTCAGCGCCTGGATCCTAGGCTGCTTAAACTTCGTAGCTTTGCTTCAACCATTCAGTCTATATATACGAAAAAATAAAATATACGTAGTATAGTCGAGGCAACCAGCAATTGAGTGTTCCAATACATTTGGGCACCTAACCCTTATATACATACACTTTTGTCGGCAAGCTAGGCATCGATAGTCTAATCGCTGTTTACCTTTGAAAAGTCTACAAGTACACTCTATAGATGTAGTTCAGCGCCAAATCTGACGCGAGGCGAGCAATGAGGCCCTTATAGATACCACCCAATTCACTGATTTTCTTTTTCAACTTCTTCGCGATTTTTCTCTTATTTCTGTTTCTCTTTTAAATTTTTTATCCTCACCTTTCGTTAGCTTTGGGGGCCAATCTAGATATCCCTTCCCGCACTATAGTACTATGGAGCTTTTCAATAACGATAGCGACTTCTGTTCCCGTATCAAAGGCCCTGTCACCTAATTTACTAAATTAGCTCATTTCAATCTTAGCATCTAAGACCAAGATCTATGAGAGTGCATTATGAACATAGAGCTCGATATGTCACAGTACAACCTACCGTCCACGATGGATTACCATGTATAGCTCAGATCCTTCCACATGACTTCTAGATCTACGTATTCCCAAATCGTAGTTATCTACTACCATAAAATGCCTACTAGTTACCACTAAACATACGCCGTTTTTTTGAAGTCTAATCTGAGACTGCAAACAACATTCTTCGAGATTGATAAATGATATAGAACTCTCGCGACTTAACTAGTACAGTATCTATAGCTTCGAACTAGCCTTAATCTATACATCACACTCGCGAAGAATAGAATCGGCAAGGCCATATTTCGAATTAAGGGCCATAAAATTCTTTTTATGAATTATTTATACATAATTAAAGGTAAAAAGAAGGCCTAAAGTCGACTCGAGGCGTGACCTAGCCTGCAAAGCTGTGCCTCGTCATCACGGGAACTGCTACATAAACGTTTTATATATGTAAACAACCGGAGCGCTGGAGATATAAGGGAACTCTCCATATATATACCTTGAATTTATAAAATTTCTAGCGGACAAGAGGCAGAAGCTTTCTTCCCGTACCTTGTACGCCTTAGGTCAGTTACCGAATATTAACTCGTACGTTAATTAAGCAATTCGCGCAGCTAACTAATCAGATAGATCAGCAGGCTAAATTTGTCACTAACAGGTGTAATTGCAATACTAATATAATAGCAAGGAACCCCGTCTGCTCTATTCATAAGCTGTCGCTAAGATTATATGAAACCAGGCTACAGTGCCGCCAAGTCTACCAGTGGCCCTCTGCCTACTCTTATACTAAACAATCTACTCATTATACGACTAGCCAATAATTTGTAAATATCAATATGCAAGTTATTCCAAATAAAATATACGATATATTATCTCCATCCACATGTGCCCAGAGCCGAAAGATTTTCATAAACTTCAAGTTCAGTTACACACCCTGGTAGGTACTTAACTAGTATAGATAGAAAACCAATGACTACCAATGGATCGTCAAGTAATTGGTGAACGTATTCTCCACACACACAGAAAGCAATCCCTTCACTCCGCACTCTCCATAATGACTTGGAATAGACAAAGTGAATAGTTTTCCGGGCGTATAAGTCGAGGGAGATATAAAATGTGTTGAGAGAGTGGTCTCCTTTCCAGCCTTCCCCTTTCCAGCAAACTGTTTACTTCGTCATCACCCGAAATCTTTTCCGCCCCTCCAAACCAATCACAGCCAAAGCAACCTGCCTGTCAATCAATCGATCAATCAATCAACAGTCAGCCCAACATCACCCATCGCCATCACACCCCAACTTCATCTCTAGCTCCCCTGTCCTATCCTATCCTGTTCTGTGCTGCTTTCTGTTTATTTCCATCAGGTTTATACTTACTATATACTATCATTCTGTCTCGTCTCGTCTGTCTGGAGGGATCCGGAAAACTCTCCTATCAAACCAACCGGGACGTACTCAGCTGTATGTCAAACACCTAAAAATCACGAACTAATTTTTTCCCGTCCGTCCAAGGATCCAAAGGGACTCAACCCGCGACAACCTTCCCCCCTTGTCGCACACCCGCCACTTCCATCATCATCATCGGAAGAAAGGGAAAAAAATAAGAGGAACAATGTCTACACCATCATCACCGCTTAGTTTGGATGCTAAAACAAAATTCCAGCAGCTATGGGCTCAGTTTGGCACAGCATTCATGGAGGAACCAATGCTTCGCGACCATTCCAAACGCGTCGAGGACCTTGTTCGCGAAAATGAGCGCCTTCGCTTAGAGATCTCATCGACTAAAGCCGAACAAACAAAGCAATCGTCCGAGCATAAGCTAACTGCCGAGGAGCTGGAAAACTTACGGGAGGAAGTTAACCACGAAGTCAAAAGTGGCATCGAAAGAGTCCAGGAGAGGAACGTAGCGCTAGCAAGAAGAGAGAAAGAAGTTATCGTCTTGAGAAGGGAGATCAAAGGACGGGAAGCTATCTGGGCGCAGGAGAGACAGAAGTACAAACATACCATCCGACTGTTGAGGGATGAATTGGAAAGTCAGAATGTTGCTCATGATAGACTCAGGAAGAACGTTGCTGTTCTGACCGGTGATTATGATGCTAGCGGGGATGAGTATGATGAAGAAGAGGAAGAAGAGCTGGCTAATCAGGCGGAGCTGCAGTTACAAGCCGAGAGGAGCTTACAAGCTGGTGCGTCCTATAGGAGAGCTAGTCGGCGTCTACAAGTCGAGGAGACCCCTGGAGTTGAAGAAGCTAATAACACTGGGGAACCCGAGGAGGAGGAAGAGGAATACGAATACTACGAGGTCGAGAATGAACAAGGCGAAGAAGGGGAGGAGGCCGAATTGGGAGGCGACGAGGAGGAGGATGAGGATGAGGAAGCCGAAGAAGAGGAAGCTGAAGAGGAGGGGGACGCCGAACAGGACGAAAACGACGTCGAACCCGAGGAAGAAGAAGCAGAAGCTCCGGAGGAACAACAGGCCGAAGAACCCGAAGAAGAGCAGCCGCTTCGACGCTCCACCAGAATCCGACACTCCGAGGCAGCAGCCGTGGTCGAACCCATCAATGGCAATGAAACTGTCGAGCTAATCGGTACTAAACGTGGACGCGACCAGTCTAGCGATATAGCAACCGTCGACGGTGCGAACAGAATTCCCGACCGCCAGGCGGAATACAATGGAGTACCTCCGACTCAAGCAGAGGCCACAGAAGCCTCAGATAGTGCGGAGCGCCCTGCGAAGCGCACACGGCGCCAGACAGAGCGGTATAGCAATGCTCTAGAATCAAACAAGAACTTTGCTAAGATTATGACCCCACCAGCCACCTCTCCACCATTTCTTCCATCCGTCCTACCACGTAGGCGATCCCCTGCTCGAAAGCCCACCACGCTCTCGCAAACATCCACCCCTGTCAATCGCCGTGGGCCCAAGCGAGGTGCGGCTGCAGCGGCTGCAGCAGCACAAGCAGCCGTCCAACCATCCCCTGCCAGTGCCCCTCCAAAGGTAAAGGCTACACAAACTACTAAATCTCCAGCAAAGGCCCCTGCCAAATCTCCAGCTAAGGTTTCAGGGAAAACCCCATCAAAGGGGGCGAAATCACCAGCAAAATCTAACAAATCCCCGCGAGTCACCAAGAAGACTCCTCAAAAATCACCTTGGGCTGCCTACCCCAAAAAGATGTTCGATTTCACTCTTATCTCCGGATTCAAGCACGGCCGAAGTCTCCTGGTCGACGACGAGAAGATTCGTGAACAAATGCAAGGACTCCTCCCCAAAACGACGGAACGTATCCGCGAAGTTGCGGTTACGCCGGGTTTCTGGAGATCCTACGCCCATAAACGCAACCTCCAACGCAAGGAGCAGGGGTTGAGCCCGCACTGCGCATTTACTAGTCAGTATCCGCTCGGTAGCGAAGAAGTTGAGACGGAAAATCAGTGGGTCGACGGAGAGGATTTTGCTTGTTCGAACTGTCTCAGAGAAGGAATTGTTTGCTTCACAGTCGGCGAAAGACTGGATACAGAAAAGTATGGGGCGGTCTACAGACCCCCCAAGAGGTCTTAATCGGCTAGGCCGATTAACCCCGGTAGATACCCGGTGTCTTTTTCTTGGCCATCGTGGCCGCGGTTGTTGCTTAAAGTGATGTTTTGTGGTTTGTCCGATGGGATCTGTAGGACCCCTCGGCCGTTTTCTTTATCCCAAAACCCTGTTCTTTATTACAGGGTAAGTTTGATGAAGGCATTATCCTTCATTCCCTCTCGACTTCTCACTTTTTACTCTTTTATCCCCCACCCTCCCTCTCCCAACCTCCATGCCTCCTTCTTCAATGTATAAAACTTGGCCTCTCTAGGCCCCTTTATTATTGTCGTAATATGATCGATAAAACAAAGATTTTTCCCCTAACTTCGATGTTATAACTTGCTCCCCCTCCCCCTCTTCCTCCTCTCACCTCTTTTCACTTCTTTGGTAGCACGTTTTATATGCCTGGTTATGGATCACTAGCGTGTAATTAAATTATGTTTTTTCCTTCTCTCTACTTGCCCTTCTCTCTGGTAGCCCTTTCTCCTTCTCCTTGCCTTGCCTGTCCCCTAGTCGACACCAACTAGCTTCACTAGTGGCTGGCACGAGGGCGGTTTAAACTTACATTATGATGGTGTTGACTTTCACTTCTTTTTTTGTTTTCCGGTGCGATATGATTTACGCATATGCAGATTTTAAAGCCTGGGGACGAACGTGGATGGTCATGGTTGTATAGCTAGCTGAATGCGGAAATGAAAGCCTTTATATATCATTTATGACGGGGTTAATGAGAAAAACATTGAATTCGAGGAAGGTTTCTTGCTTTGCTTAAGGCACTTTGTTCGAAGCATTACTGCATTATTTTTATTGTACATGTACATATGCGCTATTGCTGTCTACGGAATTTCAAGACGGTGCAGTAATACATATGTAGAAGAGTACTCGCCTTCGTTCCGAGTACTAAGATAATACTGGGAGCTTGGATGAAGCTATCGCCAATTTACCAATTAGCTGACTTAGATTTATATACAGCACTTTATATGTAAAAATATATGCCGGTTTGGAAATTGAATTTTCTTTGCGCGCCCCTAGTTACGTTCGCTGCATACTAACGTTGGTAACTACTGTTAGGCAAATTTTTGGGCGAGAAGCTTAAGATGCGGCTTGGCGCGATGGGCTGCTTGTGTGACCGACGCGATCTCGCGTGGTTACGTGTCGTGGACGGTTTGGGATGATTACCGGATACGGAAGTGCAACAAGATAGTGTGTTGTGAGGCACCGTTTCATAGGGTGACGAGGCTGTATTGTCCGATAGATATTATGAGGTAAGTGCATACCAAGCCGTGTCACTAATACCGATACAATGTGCCCCTTAACTATTTTTCACTCACAAGCTACACCAAGCTCTAGCCTGGTACCCTGGATTGGAGTTTGGCCCCATGCAATCGAACAGTAGCTCCGGGAAACCTCTCTCTTTCGAAGGGCATCGCCGACTTCTTCCTTTCTAGATAATAAAAGGTTGATTCTGTGAATCAGATAAAGAGACCTTACTGATATTGCGTCTATTCTACTATGTTTCGATCCCTCGTTTAGGAGAAAAAAATAGGCGGGGGCGGGGCGGGAGCTAAAATTATTCGAAGAAAGAAATCGTGGAAAGGATTTTTCTAAAGAGCAGCATTTGGTCCACGAGACAAGATTGTGCTCTAGATAGTGCTTGGTAGTTTGCCCGCAAACACGGTGGAAATATCAAGAACCTCAATTTAAAAATCAAGCCTATCAACTCCGTATGGGCTGCAAAGCAACTGCTCCAGCATCTACAGAAAATTTTGCCTTATTTTCTTCGCAACCCAAGTCTAGAACCCGATCGATGCCTGACATATCCCTGGAATCCACTATTCTTCATTAGGCCGCAGTAGCGATGTTAGGCCGATCACCACATGCGCAACCGCTGAACCAGAATGACTTCAAGATCGGAACTTTGATAAAACCGAGCGGCTTAATGCCAAGCGAAAAAGTACAATCCGCCTCTAGTCTCGAGGCTGAACCCGCCTTCATTCCTCATGCCGTGTACATGCATGCACCGTAATGCACATACATTAATATGTGTTGTATCGTGCATTTTAAGATTCCAGTTCTTCGTCGAAACCAAGGATTTTAGCAGAGATTTGTCCGTCGGCTAGGATTACAGTCGTGCATAGACTATGGTAGAACAAAAGTTTTGTTTGTTGGGTGGACCCTCAACGAGAAGTGAGGGGGGGTTGAGGGTTGACCTTGAGACGATTATGTCATGGAATTCGAGCCCCCACGTAGACTTGCTATCAGCGTCGGACTTTACATTATTAGGAACCGGAGAGACTCGAAACTTATATAAGGAGAGTAAATCGTTGGTCAGCCTTATGATTTGTCTTCTCTATCGACAGTATCCATCCTCAATTTATTTGTTCTACCTTCCAATATTAATAGCGCTCATTCTTCGGTGGGTAAGAAAATTATGGTCCCAAAAGTTCTTCTTGGCCTCGCCCTTGCGGTTGTAGTGAATGCGCAAGCTGGAGCGCGAGCCCCAAAATGGGGTCAATGTGGTGGCCTCGGGTTCTTGGGGCCTACAATCTGTGTATCAGGAACTACTTGTAACCTTGTCAACGCCTGTAAGCTCTAAAATCCTGTCGATATATCAGGAAAAATAGTACTACTAAACTCTCGGAATATATTATTCCCAATACCTTTAATGCGGTATAGCTGAAGAGTCTAGCGATGGGACAAAGCCTTTCCCAGATGGGCCTACAGTGTAATACGCCCCCACCCCAGGTTGCCCAATAGAACGGCTGGACGATAAAATAGCAAGGACGACGATGATAACTACCACCTAGGCTAACGCTTAGTCCCATATATACGTATTGCATTACAAAGACGGCCCAGATGGTGGATGCGGAGTCTCAAGATTTCAGCATTTTATATCGTTTGTTTGGAATTGTTTATCAATTTATCTTTCGCTACCTTCGTGCCTCGAGCCCATACACTTAGAATATAAGACTAGGATTTGGGGACACTTGTAGTCAACCGGCGTTTGGTAATGGTAAAGAGACTGGATTTGAGGCTGCTTTAACTACAACCTGTTTGTCAGATTTGATGACTACTCTCCATGTTAAACTTGAAAAATATTTGTGCTCACCAGAAAACCAAGACGGGATTAGCGATTATAAAATTGTATATGGGAGGCTGCGTTAGCCCATCTTGTAGATAGACCAAGGGACTTTGATCAGTGTACAAAAGATTCGACATCAATCTTAAATTCACCAATGGATGTCATCGATCATAAACCCGGCATCCACAATATTTCAACCGCCTGCTGAGTAGCAACATCTTCTATTCGGCCCTGATCCTGCAGAAATCATAATGCCTTCCGTGCCTGGATATCTATTCTCCATCGGAAAATTTCGTTCTGTTTTTCTCACAACAACTCGAACTCATCAAGTCCCACCAACAGCAGAGCTTGGCTATTCTTTATCCCTGACAAATCCCTGCAGCTCACTATTCCTCATTAGGCCATTAGAGTCGGTACTGGGCCAATCACCACAACCGCTGAACCAGGATACCTTCGACACCGACGAATTTCAAACGCGTGGGGCACACCCAGCGATCTTCGGTCCGTTTTCCCCGCATAGGGGTACCGAATGCTAACCTTTTGACAAGACCAAACGATCTAATACCGCCAAGCGACAAAAACCATAATTATGGATACTGTATTCTTGTATTGCGTATGTTAAGGCCCCACACCCCTTGCTATTAAACCATGGATTTCAGGATCGAGATTTGTCCGTCTACTGGGGTTGTGAAATCCGGTAACGATTATGAGTGGTGGAAATTTTGGGAATTTTTCATGTGAGAGAGTTTTGGCAAAAGCTTCGTTTGTTGGTGGTCAAGGGGCGGTACGGTGATTGGAACCATGGGAAGTAAACGGGGAGCGGAGGGGTACGGTTAACTTGAGCTTGAGACAATTACGTCGCGGGGTTTCGCAAATCCGAACTTTCATCTGATTGATTCTATAAAGTTTATATCAGGAGAAATTGGAAAGATTCAAAACCTATATAAGGAGAGCAGGTCTTTGGCCTGTGTAATAGTTTTATCTGTCTATATCGATATCTTCACTTCGCTTGTTATTGCTTTTGTAGTGTCGCTAATTCTTCAGTGAAGAAAACAATTAATACAATAATGGTTACAAAGGTTCTTTTCGGCCTCGCCATTGCTGCGGCAGTTAATGCGCAAGCCCAGCCGTATGCTCAGTGCGGTGGTTCAGGATTCACGGGTTCTACCACTTGCGTCTCAGGATGGACCTGTGTTTATTCCAGTGAATGTGAGTTCTAGCAATCCTCTTGATATCTTGAAAGTGAAGAATAGTATTAATAGATGCTTTGAGTAGGGTACTCTCAATGCCTTCAGTCGACCGGCACGACTGCTACGACCAAGACAACAACAAAGTCGACTACCACATCGACGAAGACCACCGCTGCTGTTACCACTATCAAGACCACTACTACCAAGGCTAGCACTACACTTGCTACTTCGACGACTAAGACGGCATCTCAGCCGGCAGCTAGTGGCTCCTGTATTGCTCAGTGCACGTATGTCAATACCTATCTAGTGTAATACTATAATATCAAAGATAACCCTGATCCTAACAATCCCTATGTACAGCGTTGGATACTGCACCCAAAATGGTGGAACCACCGGCGGCATCGGCGGCACCGTGACCACAGTCAGCACCCTCGACGCCCTCGTCTCTGCCCTTAACAACGATAACCCAAAGATCGTTTACATCTCCGGCACCATTTCCGGCAACCAACAAGTCGATGTCGGTTCTAACACCCACGTAATCGGAAAATCCGGCTCCCAATTGATCGGCGTTGGTCTCCGAGCCTGGCGTCGCAAGAACATCGTCTTTTCAAACCTTAAGATCTCAAAATGTCTTGCTCCGATTGATAACATCATCATTCAAGAGACTACAAACGTCCTTGTTGACCATTGTGATCTTTCATCCGACCAGGATCATGATAAAGACTACTACGACGGAGCACTAGACATGTCTCACGCTACTGACTTCGTCACCGTTTCAAACACTTTTATCCATGACCACTACAAATGCTCCTTAATCGGCCACTCCGACAACAACGCCGCCGAAGACACCGGCCACCTACGCGTAACCTACCTCCGCAACCGTTGGTCAAACTGTAACTCTCGACAACCCTCTGTTCGATTCGGAACAGTCCATGTGGTTAATAACTACTTTGAAAACTCGTCGTTGGGATATACATCCCGTATGGGAGCTCAGATGCTGGTGGAATATTCTAAGTGGGTTAATGTTGCATCTATTGATTATGAGGAGTCCAAGACTACGGGGTATGTGGTTACTAGAGGAAATGATTATGGAACCGGAAAGACACCGATTTTGCCAGTGGGGACTTTGAGTAGTGTGCCATATTCTTATACCACTTTGGCGGTTGGGGATGTGGATTCTTACACTTCGGCTAATGCCGGGCAGAAGTTGAGCTGCTAAATCATTGATATTTTACTTAGCCGAGTTCGCGAAATAGGAGGAAATAAATTAATTAGATGTATATATCTATTATAGCCAGGCGTGTGAATCTGTATATATTTGCTTTGATAGATGGAAATATATAAACTATTATCTCATTCAACTACGGTATTTGTTACAATGTTATATGCTCTAGATCCACATGCACATGAGTCGCCAATAGTTGAACTCTTTCGAAGATTTCCCGAGTATATATACAGCGATATCGAGCTATGGTATACCAGGAGATATGTTCAAGGCTCTGGGAAATCATTATTTGGCATGGCAAGAGCTTGACAGCTAAGACATCTGATTGAACGGCTCTAGTCTCGTGTGTGTACTCTCCTGGATATATGTATTTTACAAGGAGGAGTTTCCAGATGAGGTCACACAATATCCAACAGGGAAGATGTGTTGTTGTAGACACTTGTAATGACGACGGTGCCCCGTTGCTATCGTAGACATGACTGTAAACATTCATCTTTCCACTAACAGCACTCGCACGCACATACACAACGTTACACGCACTACTATCTTCACCGTTGACAACGTCACGTCCCAACGGGATCCCTAGAACCGAATCAAACAGAACCATAATGAAAGCCAAGCTAAACCCAAACATGTCTGGTCACAACCACCATCAACACGGGAGCCCCGAAGGCTTAGAGAACAACTTCATTGATATGACCGATTGGACTGTCCGCGATGTCTCTCGTTGGATCGCCGAGATTGGACATGCTCAATACTGCAATAACTTCAAGGGCACGTATCTACTACTCTTCTCTGCCGTAAACGAGACTGTACTTGGTCTGGATCTCAAATCGGTCCCGGGGACGGAAGCTAATTTGATGGTGTTTACAGAACACGATATTAATGGCGAGTGTCTTCTCAAGATGACTCACCGTCTTCTTCGAGACATTGACGTCGAGTCTGTTGGTCATCGTATCAGCATCCTCAATGCCATCAACGATGCTCAGCTCCCACATTCTCCTCAGCACGACGAGTATGTCCCTCATACAGAAGCTACTTGCGTTCCAATTGCCCAATACCAAAACCTCGAATCAAGTTTCAAGAAATGCGAACAGCAAATCGAGGGTATTGGAAGGGAACTCAGAAGGTCCAAGGAGGAGGTCGCAGTTGCTTGGGAGCTTCTTGCCGAAGAAATCAATAGAGGAGCTGAAATCAAAACGGAATTGATCCGGGTCAAAAGGGTCTATCATCGTCTTTGTGAGGATAAAGGGATTGAAACTGAAAGTGGGTTTCTTGAATTTCTCCAATGGAGAGATGAGATGAGAAGAGATGTCAGGGACGCTGAAAAAGAGAATGGTCTCGCCGGAGATTCGGCCGGGCATCATGATGCTACTATTCAAGCCCAAGCCCAAGATGACCACCAACGTCCAACAAATATCTCTCGAGGTCGCGAAGAGTTTGAAACTTTCGATGAAAGGACCAGTACTCCCTTCCAGAAAGCTTCGGAAATGCTCGAGCGCACTCTCAAGGCTCTCAAAGTCGCAGACAACCACCAGGACTGGGACCTGTGGGTTCGATACGGAAACAGGCAGATCAGATTGAAACCTGATGATTTTCCGGTCAAAGTTTGTCGAGATTTTCGAAAGACCTACAAACCCGAAGAAGTTGTGATTCTAGCCAGGCACAAGAATGCCTGCAGGGGGTCTGGATATGCTGTTCAGACTGATGACTGATTCGTAGGCGCCGTAAAATGTGCCTCTATGGCGTCGGATTTTTTTGGTCTTTTTTCTTCTTGCGTCTATGTTAAAACTAGCTGCTGTGGCCACAGCATTTTAAATTTTTTTTTTTTTTGTTCATCCTTTTTATGTGTGAAATAATTATCAAAGATCTTGACGGAACGCTTCCATTGGCAAGTGGTTCGAGATCTATTCTTTGGGTTCTGGGTGCCGCGATTGATTGGGTACACCGAGGACCCACTTCAATTATTCGGAATATCCAATTCGTCTAAAGAATACAATAATATTTCCAATTCTAGCTAGCCAGAAATCTTCGCACTTTGCCGTAATCGGCAAAAGTTATTGAAGGGTACCGACGTTTACAGCTTTTACTCGTCAAATATTGATATCTTTCTTAGACCTCGAGCTCGTATGCACACATCCATTGTCCCTCTCATTTGTAAATGTTATTCTAGGACTTGGTGACTGCCTCGGTGCGTCTGGCTTCGAGACTATTCTAGGACTCACGGTGCTAATATGGATCTGGAGTGTTTGCTCAAGCTAGCAAGTTTGATGGTTATGTTTGAAGCCATATGCTGCTAGGCTCTCTAACCGACTTCAACGAACTCATTTTCCTAGCCCAACTAACTTAGCCAAACGATGTGTACAAGCATCGTTGAGGAGTCTTGCGACGAGACAAGTGTACTAACTAAATCCATTGTCAGGCTGCCAGCCCAGAATTGACAGTCCTCTAAACTTCAAAACCAGCCGTTTTCGTGAGAGCATCCATGAGCTCAAGCGCTCCCCCCAAATTACATAAGCGGCGGGCTCCTGAACTTCCTACCCATATCCCGCCTGGCCTGGCGTTTCAAACGGAAATCCCGCGATCTTGCATGAAGTTCGGAAACTTCCACCAGGTACACTCGCCATCGCTGTGGGAGAAAGAGTGCCTTGATCTTGGAAGAGAACCACGTTGGCTGTCACGAGTCTGGGCAGGGTTTTAGGCGCCGCACTTTTTTTCCACTCAGGCCGGCCGCATGAATATCGATGAGCTGGTCCCTTGCGTGTCCAACAAAATTCCGAGTTCCAGCCCGATCGACGGCTAAACTCGAAATGGAAACATCTTGGACAGCATTTTTTCAGACTTCAAGAAGTCAGTCAGGCAGGCATAGCGCTATCTCCCGTGACGATTCATGAGGAAGGGTGACTGGAATGGTCTGCTGGCCCTGACTGAACAGCAAACCAAAAACCCTTTCTCTGCGTTGGCTAGCATGGTGGCTTATGAAAGCCAAGCGTTCACCTCCATGCATGAACGATTGCATGATCGCCTCGTTCCGGGCGAACGAGCGATGAGGATTTTGAAGAAACTCAGACTTTCTCTGACACAAGGTTGCTGCGCCCGATGAACAGCAATGCTCATGCTATAGTTGCTAACCCAATAACCAACTAATAGGAACGGGCCCTTTCAACCACGGCCAGACACGACAGAATCGGTAGATGTTTGCCGAATCCCCACATGCAGGGCCACGATTCCCCCATGTCCAAAAAAAACCAACTGGAACCTCCCATGTTCACCGGTTTAGCGCTTTGAATCTTTGGTCATAGTCCGTGGCGAAGCATTTGTGGCGTATTGAGTTTTTGGAGAGTTATTATTGGTTTGACGTGTGGCGGGTTGCTCATGTCATCATGCATGTTCAGCTGAAAATATCGCCTCTGGATACTCGAAATGGTCTAGTCCGAGATGGAAAATGCTCGGAGATGCAAGAAAACTCGATCGAGTAATCCCGGTTCTTTGGTGTTTCCCCTCCTATTTTGGGAGGGCAAGATGCTCCGGACCTGCTGTACAACGAAGAGGCAGGCCCTAGAGGAATGGATCTGGCATGACAGCTGATGCGACGAAGTGTACGGTCCATACTCTGTACACTACATGGCCATGGCGAAAAAAATATTCTATGCATGCAACCATGTCAGCTAGCTCGGGTGCCGCAGTCGTAATGCAAGCTTGACGTCCAGCCGGCAGGCTTTTGCCTACACCTCGCTTGGTGTCGGTCTTGATTATCGATCTTAAAGATTTTCATTTATAAAGCCCATTTCGCCGCCGACTTGGACTAAGATTTTTTTTTGATTCCCCAGAGACATCTAAAGCTACAATATCGAGCTAAAGCTTTCAAGAAGGTTACTAGACATTTTAACCTCCCAAGCAAATACCGACTTCTCATTTGGAGAATTTTCCACATCCACTTCATATAGTTCTCTCCTCTTTATCACTAAACAAACATCAAGGGCTTCCCGGAGAATCCCAATAACTAAAATCTTCAAAAATGTCCAAATACGAAAAATCTACTCGATTCGACGAGCGTGAAGTCCGTGACTCCCGCAAAGACCGTCACGATCGTTCCGAGAAGGACCGTGATACTCGCCGCAGCCGTCGTCACAGATCTCCATCTTACGATTCATACTCAGACTCCGATGATTACTCCTCGGACTCCTCTCGCGGTCCATCCCCAAACCGTCGTCGCCCAACAAGACGTCATACATCTGCCGCACAACCAGCACATGCACATTCTGATGGCGAAGATAAAGGATACAGAAAATCACGCGGTCGCGACCGTCGAGGTCATGATTCGGACTACTATTCCGACCGATCCCTCAGCCGATCCCGATCACGGGAAAGAGTAAAGGGAAATATCGTAGAGGATCTACTTTCTGCTATCGGTGTGCTACAATCTAAACATAAAGACGACAGAAGCCACAGCCGATCCGCTGGAGCTAGCGGTCCAGAGGACGAAGCTAGAAAAAAGAAAACCCGTGAAGCTCTACAAGCTGCACTTACCGCTGCGGCTATGGAAGCTTTCAGGACAAGAAAAGATGGAAAAATTACACCTCAAAGACTTATGCAGATTGCTGGCGCAGCTATCGCAGCGGGTGGGTTGGACGTTTTGGTAGAAAAGGCCGGCAGCCTTGGGAATGGCAAGAGCAGTGGGGAGGGTGGTAGCATGAGGAGCCTTATCGAGTCCGTGGTTGGTGGTCTCGCGACCAGCAAGACTTTGGGTGGCAAGGGGGGCAAGCATGGTGCTCGAGGTGAGGAAAGTCTTGGAGCTAAGATTGGCTCTGGAGTCGTCAACATGGCGGCCAAACATTTGGCGAGAAGTTTGAGCCAGGGACCAACAAGGAGAAAGACTACAAGATATTAGAGGGATTAGATCAAGGCGGTATTTCTTATTTTCATGATAATTTTTAAGTTTTTTGTTTCTTTTTGATGTTAAATCTTTACGGTCGGTCGGTCGGTCGGGTTTTCACGGTTCATGAATTACTTGGTTCTGGGTTTACTTTCTATTCTGGGGATCTTTGCACGGTGTTCTTCTTCTTCACTTCTATGTTTCTATATTATTTTTCTTAATTCTTTCTCCCTCAGTCTACCAGATTTACAATTTCCCCTTTTCTTCTTTTTATTTATGAAATGCTTGAATTCGCTATGATTAGAGCACATCTATACTTTCTCTATAGCTAGAAAATCAGATATATAGATTGAAGAATTCAAATCAATACGAAGTTTGAATCGGTATCTGGATATATCGATTTAACCTCTTTCCAACTTCTCGGTCCCTTCCGGTTTCCCTTTTCTGAAACATTTTATCAAATGAGCTATTAAATAGCTCGTGCTAGTAACTACAGAGTAGCCTCGAGCTCGTATGTCTTGAACTGACTAGTTAGTTAACTAGTGGAGGATTCTAGATTCAACTAGTTATTGGTTTAGCAGTAGGCTTGGGAGCCTGGCAAACCTGCCTTGTGCCATTGGGAGCGTCGTAATCATCAGCTGCATTTTAGTTTTTTTTGAAATTTTTTCACTTGAACTTGAGAAACAAACCATTTTAGCAAGGTGTGCCGCAGAACTTTTGCCTCCATCAGAAGCCGCATATATAAAAAAGAGTTTTCGATCTTGGATGAATTCTTGGAAGTTGTCGATTGCATATTTTGGGAGGGTTTCTGGTTGCTCCGTGTTACCCAAACTGGGGAATGTGTTGCGGTTGCACTGGATTATCGTCATGTCGCCGCCATGACCAGGGAATGAGCATCGGATAGTTGATATTTTTTGCAATTGACTTTATGACAGGTCTTTTATGGTTTCTTAAGTTTCTGAGAGGTGTTACCATTACGTCTAATGCTTCTTTTGTGCCGTTTAGGGTATTTTAAGGGTCGAAATCTTGGTTCTGGAATTTATAATCTTGAAGGTATGTTGGAAAGGTTAATACAACGTCGAAGAACTTTGCCTTCGAATCGAGGTCTTGACGGAATGGAATGCATTAATGCAATGCAATGCAATATGGCGTCGACTCGACTCAGATGCGCATTATGGTCCTACATAACATAGATACGAACTCTGTACAACCCCAATCTGGTAATATATGCATATACGATGGTATTTTAGGACCATACATGTACATGTAGTATGGGACAAGACAAGATATTATGGTATTGGCATACCTGACATCAAGCAATTGACAATAGCCGGCTCCGAGCCTCGACTTCTAAAGCAAATTTACCGGTATTATATCTCTTGGAAAAACTACACAAACTCGACCCTGATTGAAGGCTGAGATTACCAGTCTACAAGCTTGGCCAGCCCACTGCCTCCGACGGAAGCAAGCAAGCTTTAACGACGGAGCCAAGCATCCCGGAATGAGTGTTAGATCATGAAACGGAATCCACTTCCTTCCAAAACGTTGACCCGCCAAAAGTTGTCAGTCCCCACACCGTCGCTCCGAATACCAATCTGAGCCCAAATACCAGGCTGGTTGGCTATATAAAGATACGTACTGCATAACATGTATGCGCATAAAGTCGATCGGACAATTACCAAGGCGGTATCTCTAGAAAGCTTGACGTATCTTAAAGATCTTGTGACTGTCTTGGCCCTTGCGTTCGAATTCCCATCCCTGGCCTTGCTTTTCTTCTACTGCGAGCTGGGATGGTGTTTTATGGGAAAGTCGGACCCGCCAAGGGGTTGAAACTACAGCCGGAATGACATCCGTCAAACAAAACATGGGGACATGGGGCCGATGGGGATCTCAATGCTTCTTTCGCGCGGACCGGATGCTCCGTGCTAAACCACTCAGGCGTTAAGAAACCTCATAATTGCAAAACAAACTATTGCGATTCCGCCATATTTTCTTCACCAGCCGCCTGAGGCACTGGTAACCCGGACTTCGTCTACCACCCCTGCTGTGAATAACCCCGTTGATCCCTTCTAATGTGATCGATGTTCTGGAGTTTTCCTTGAAGGCCTTTAATTTTGTTAACCAGATGGGTCGGGGTTACGGATTGATTAGCCGTCGAGATTTGCTGGGTGACGTTGGTTAACGAGTCAAGACTTTCTCTTTTGTTTCGATTAAGCTGTGGTCCATGCTTGATATAAAGCCTATTCCCGCTTCACCTCGACAAGACTTCCTTTTCTCAACAAGCATTCCCCAAGGTTTTCTTCTGCATTGTTGGCACGGTCTTTGTGAGACTTGGAAAAAAAAGCTTTCAATTGACTTTTTTTTTCTGTACATATATACACTTATTTTCTCAAATTTCGATATATTGGAACTGGATTTCAAAATGTTCAAGCTTGCTTTGGTTCAAGCCCTCGTTGGGTCCGCTTTGGGTAAGTTTTATATATTCTTTTCTCTATCTATGTTTATGTATATATGTATATAGATATATTGATATATCGATATACATCGAAATTGGTTGCAATTGCTTGAAATATTAAATGTCTGAAACTAACGTAACTTTTTTTAAAAAGCTGGCACTGTCATCTGGGATGGACGATTCAACGAATTCTCATCCAGCACAGATTTGAACAACTGGTCGTGGTCCAACCAAGTTGGTCCATACCAATACTACATCCACGGCAGCGCCGCAGTCACCCAATATGTCAATCTCTCTCCAAGCTACAAGAACCCTGCCGACACCGCCTCCAACCAGGGTGTCAAGATCTCTATCGACAAGACCGCCTACTGGAACGGGCAGAACATGAGACGTACCGAGTTGATCCCCCAGACATCCGCCGGAATCAACCAGGGACGCCTCTACTACCATTTCTCGGTCAAGAGGACCAATACCAATGCTCCACGTGCTGATCTTGAGCATCAAGTCAACTTCTTCGAGTCTCATTTCACGGAGTTGAAGTATGGTCTTCTCTCTGGTGCCTCTGGTTCCAGCGATCCTACTTTGAAGTGGTGTGTCTCCGGACAAACCAAGTGGAGCGTCACCTTCGATGCCGATGTTTGGCACAACGTTGCTTATGACATTGTATGTTCTCTCCACAAAAATTCTGGAGTTTAGGCCGCAGGATAGTAGATTGCTAACTTTGTATACCAGGACTTCTCTGCCAACCAAGTCTCTTTCTGGCACTCTACTGGTTCCGACCCACTCGTCCTCACTGCTGGTCCTTTCTCCGTCAGCACCTCCTCCAACGGCGCTGACTGGCACTTGGGTGTCCTCCGTCTCCCAATGAACTCTGATCTCCAGAGCTCCGACGTCGAGGACTGGTACTTCAGCGGTGTCTACGTCGAGTCTGGATCTTTGAACACTCAAATCGGGTATGTCTCCCTCCGGCCCAATATCTAAAAAAAGATTTATAAATTTAGTTAAATATAACTTCAAACTAACAATGAGACAAAAGATCCGGTGTCACCCCAACCACCACCCGCACCACCACCACTCCTGTCCGAACCACCACCACCAGCTCTACTACTACCCAGCGAACTACCACTGGAACCACTCTCAGCACAACCATCCGAACCACCACCACTACAAGCCCAACTACCACCGCACGAACCACCACCCCATCCACCACTCGCTCCACCGCCGTCGCCACCACCACAACCAGTGCCTCTGGATCTCCACCAGCCAACAAGGTAAACTTAACCATCTTGATTACTTTCCCTCATAGAATATAATACTAATCACAATCTAAAATATAGTGGGGACAATGCGGCGGTATCGGCTGGACTGGTGCCACCACTTGCGTCGATGGAAGCACCTGCCAGGCTCTTAACCCATACTACAGCCAGTGCTTGTAAATAATAAGGCTTGTGTGAGTTAGGACGGAGGAAAGGGTTGTATATAAGTTTTGTGGCGGAGTGAGTGGTTGTACATAGATATACCAGATATATATTTACATAGCGTTTTCAATATTACATTGTCTCGTTCTCTCATCTTATCATATGTTGCATTGCTTTAATATTGCAATCAGCTCTCTATAAATTCATCTGCATGTAGGATACGTAGCTGATTTTAGCTTTCTTTTGAGGGGTTTCATGTATCAGGGTCTTTATAACTTCATGATTAGCTAAGCTGTATGTCGTGGGAATCCTTGGTCATGTGACCATTTTCGACCTCAGAACTCACTGACCCGGGCGGGGGTTCAAATATTTGAACCCCCAAATTACACCCCCAGCTAGCCTCGAGACCCCAGCTGGCCAGATTTAAACCCCCACGCATGCTGATCACCACCAGCTGATCGATCGTTGCGTTGCATTGGCCACTGGTCTCGAGGCTACGTTGGCCACCGGCGTGATGCCTCACTGACCTGTGCACCCTTTCACGAGGTGTTTGTTCGATCCTTTTCCCAAATTGGTCAATTTCCGTTTTGGAGTGTTGGATTTCGTCATGACAACGCAATTTTATCGATCGCTTTCCTGATACGAGACCACCTTAGAGCCAGTCTCGTAACCAGAATTTTCAGTGTGTAATCCACATTAATGATTTGCTAAAATTCTGTATACCTAGCGAGTTACAGTTTTTGTATTATATTAAACATTATCTACAGTATTCGTACAAGATAAGGGTAAATCCAAATCATCCAGCTACCGTCCTCTAACCATTCTTCTTGATCAACTGGACTAAGCACTTCTGAGACAAACTTCTCCCTCTAATAATAGTAATAATCCCCACCAACCGGTTCTTCATAATAACTGTTCAATTCAACCCCATTCGACGCCAACAGATTAGGACTCTCATTCAAAGTGGTCTCATTCAAAACCCCCTGTTGAGCCAATCCAAGCATACGATCAACAACATCCTTAGCATCAGTCAAACCCCCAGCGGCTCGAAGGTAACAGATCAATCCGGCAACGTGTGGGGAAGCCATGGATGTACCGGTGAGAACTCTAACGGCAGTATCGTTTGCAATACCGGCTGATGTGATACCGGTACCTGGCGCGAAGAGGTTGACGGATGGACCCCAGTTTGAGTAGGAGCCGCGGACGTGGCCGCGGGAGACGGCGCCGACGGCTATGGAAGTGTTCGCCGAGGCTGGGGAGTACAGGGATGCTGAGACCTGCGGGGTGGGTTAGCAATGTCTTTTTTTTATAAAGTGGCTTTGGGTGTGACACTAGGGAAAGGTTTTACATTTTTGTTGCCGGCTGCAACGACTGAAAGGATACCCTTTTCGTAGGCGCTGTCGACCATGGCGTTGAAGGCCTTGCTAGTTTTTGTCGCTAGGTTTTGTTAGTTGGTTTGTTATATCAAATGGGGTTAGGAAATGGCTTACTCAAGCTCATGTTGATAACAGCAATGTTAGTACGGTTCTTCTCTAGAATATCCTGAACAGCCCAGTTGAATCCATCGAATATATTGATAGTCGAAGTCTATGAATCCCATTAGCTCAGGTCCGCTGTCGGAACACCTATATCTGTTGGGTTGAAAAACGAACCTTTCTCCCCTGGAACACCTTAACATTAACCAAATTCGCCTTCTTAGCAACACCATAGGTCTTCCCCGCCACCGTTCCAGAAACATGTGTTCCATGGCCCGAAGTATCGGTATTATTCAAGTGCTTCAAAGCGTTATACCCTAACTCCGCACGACCCTCGAATTCCTCGTGTGAGAAATTAATACCGCTGTCGATGATGTATGCGTACATTCCTTCACCGGCCGACGAGTCATAGTAGTAAGTCGAGGTATTTGAAGCTTGGTTCGAGAGCTCGGAGATACCCCAGGTTGCTTCGGATTGGGTTATTATTTCTGAGGTGTAGGCGTCTTGTTCTGGTTCGACGTAGGCGACCTTGGGGTAGTGTCTTTTGTTAGCGGTGTGCTAGTTATAGTATGTATGGGGGTCATGGAGTATACATCGTCATTCTCTTCGATTTCACGGAGAGTATCATCATCGAATGAGCCCGAGTAGGCTTTGAAGCGATTGATATCGAATGTCTTCTCCACACCTGAAATGTGGCGTTCAACGGGGAGACCATTCAATTGACGCTTTTGAAGGTTGCGGGCGTGGATTCTGGCTGCCCATTGTGTGTGTTTCTTCAATTGGTTTGTGTTGACAGTGTCCTTTAGGACGACTATGAATTTCTTATCGGAGGAGGAGCCGGTGGATGGTGACTGGGGAGTTGGGGCGGCAGAGATCAGAGGGAGGAGGGACCCTATAAGGAGGGATGCTGTGAGGAACTTCATTCTGCGGGATATTAAATTATAGTATTATATATATCTATTTAGTATATTCAAGATATTCTCGTAAGATAGATAGCTAGGTTAATTTGCTTGATGCTAGAATATTGAATAGAACCGTTTCAGCGGGTTGAATATAGACTTATATACTTGATTCTCGATGCTAGGAATACTACATGAAAGATACAATAGCCATTGATAGCTCCCCAGCTCTGTAGCTAGCATAGACGCTTAACGACTCTAAGATTACACATCAGCTGACCCCGTATCATTACAATTCAAGCGCTTTAGATTGTAATTTTATAACTATCGCCACAAAGCATGCTAACCCACGGTTCACAGTTGCCGAAACCGGCCTCTAGAACGTTACATTCACCGCTAGAGCCTCCATCCACAACCTGAATGCCAAGATATTTTCCAGGAACAAGTGGGGCCTGATAATCGAATTAGCTTAGCTAGTAGATAAACAACTTCTCTAAACAGTTTGTTTCTTCAAGCTGCTAGGAAGTTTAGAATTTGTAGTTCATGGGGTGGTGGAAAAATGGCATTGTGGAAGCCTGGGGTGGGTTCTGCAGATTTGGGGTCTTGCCCGTTTGGGATGGTGGGGCATTATGCGGTTCCGGGTTCTGAGAGGCAATGGTTGTTTCAGGTTTATGACGGTTTTGGGGATAAGATGGTGTTTGGAGATGGGGTGGAAGATCTATGGCTTTGAAGTACAGTAGATTCAAGTGATTTACTGCTCTGTATCGTATTTTCATGATAAAATATAAAATACGATATCGATAGGATGGTGGTTGATATCTTGATGGGAAAACTTTTGGTAGACAGTTGTGTGTTGTTCGTGCATCAATTGATCAAAGGTGATAATTATCGATAAGAGCTACGATAGTCTCGACGAGATCGATAGGTTCCAACAGATGCGCTATATAACTCATCTCTAAGATTGCAATCATTCAAACTAGATACCCAGAGTATATTTTTCCCTCTCCGGTAGTGAGCTGTGCAATCTAGGTGCTTCGTATAATTCTGTAGGTTTTTACGTTCAATTTATGCTGTTGACTCGTCGATACCCTACAAAACTATAGTTAGTACATATGTAGTGTCTGCCTTCAAAAATAGGAAGCCACAGAGGTAGGTTTTTCCTCCTAAACTTGACCGCATCTAAAAGGGGCACAACAAACGAGCTAGAATTAAGGGATTTGTGTATCCATCCTTTCAAAATCGAGGTGTTGTTGTATACACCGGCTTGCAGGCCGAGTATACCTGGATTCGAGGCTAGAGTATACCTTGGTTGTCTAGTTTATGAGATCAAGTATACCTTTGTCTCGTCGCCAGACTCCTCAACGCAGTTGAGGAGTATACCTACAGTTTGGTTACGGGAATCAGTATACCAAGGACGCAGGTAATTGAGGGCGGCCTTTAGGCTTGCCGGTGGCAGGCATTCGATTTAGCAGTAAACCCTGTACCTCAAAATTAGGGTCTGGTTTAACATTTCCAAAGCAATCAATAATGATCAATTGCGGAAGATACTACCATAGTTGTAGATAATAGAGGTAGGTCTATAGGGTAGGGTACATAATTGGGACTTGTAACCCGAAATCCAAAGAACAATTGCAATATTAATATATTGAATAGGAGTATAGACATAATGAGTAAGTCGCTCCCGACTAAAATATGCATAGCCGGGGAATCTATAATCCTGATCGAAAATTGTTCATATATGTCTGCAATGGCATCTAGATTCATGAGGGGTGCTTGGTGTCGTGCCGGCGTTGGTTCAAATGAATGTTGCCATTTATATGCCTCCAAAAGTCTATCTATAATATATCCTCCCCCAAGGCCCCAAGGCTGTTATGCATATAACCTTGTTCCGCCGCTAGACCTCGTAGTTGAGCCGAAGGAAGGTTATCTTTCCTTCCAAATAACAGTATTCTATATTTGCAAAAAAAAAAAAAAAAAAAATGAAAATGAAAATGAAAATGAAAAATGAAAAGGAAATAGGGAAAGTTATAATTATAAAGCTGAAATCCTTCGCAGGATTCGTACTCGTGTAATCATGCAACTGCCGACATTGTTGTCGTTCGTTCGGAATCCCATGTCTCCATGAGACGCTCATACCACTGCAGTTCTTCGATGGGATAAAATTGGCATAGATGCCTTACGATTTCTCCCTTTCGCTCGTGGTCGATACGCTTGAGGATCCATGCTCTGTTGCCCATTACTCGATCCCATATTTGTGGTGGTGTGTCATCTCGGGCACGTGGGAGAGGAAGGAGTGTGTGTTTGCAGGGCATTTCGATCGAAGTTTATGGCTACTGCAAATCGCTCTAGCTCGCCTATGAGAGTTTTTAGAGGTATGGAGAGGAAGGAACTGTCTTATTGATAGTTATTAGGAAATAAGGTGGTCAATCTAAATAAATACTATGAAAGAAATATATGGAGGTTTTGGGGAGATGTCCCTTTTCCAGGAAGCAGTTGTAGTATAAATGCGTCGATCGCAACTCGACCGAACGCGATTGTATGACCTAATCGTTCCCAAAGCGAACAGGTATGTAGTACAACTGTACAGATCTAGGAGTCATCCATCTGCTGGCACGAGCATTTAATTCGAACCTACCCGCCACCGATTCATTTCCTTCCCGTAGAGATACTGAAAACCTCGTCTCTCCCACCCGCCCATGACCCCAGGGTTTGTCTGCGCCAGCCAGGTTATCCGCCTCTTCCGCCGGATAACCTGGTCCCATACCGAGCGCGGTGTGTTGGATGCCGCATAGTCAAGGGGTGTGATGGAAGCCTTGCACGGCATTTCCCTTTTTTTCCCCTTTTCCTTTTGTGAGGCGAGGTATATAGATAGCTATCCGCTGTTTTTGTAGCAATCTTGGAGGAGAAATAGATCGAGCTAGAGGTTGAGGGAGCTCTGGAGGTTATTTGAAGTTCTTATTAATAATGTATTTAAGACGCGCTTGACGAAAACAAAAGGGAAACGATGACGATTTTTTTTTGTCTGTGAACACGCGGGTAGTCTAACCCGTTGCCGAAGGTTCGGTTTCTGCCGAGGGTTTCTCTCTATCGATAACTCGGCTGGCCAGCTGGCCAAAAAATACACAAGAAACTTTGTATCTGATGGCTTATCGCTTGTAACATTTCTGTTCCCTCCAGTCCCCCTTTATACTAGTGCGTTTGGCCATGTGTGGCCATGTATCGATACTCGGAGTTTTTGCAAAAGGTACGGCAAAACCCCAGGTGGCGTTCTCGATGATCTAGAAGATGATGCGGTTTGGGGACACTATCCCCGGCGATCGGCCATTGTAGGTACTGGGTTTCGAAGCGGTGACGGGCACGGGTGACCAAAGCCCATACTTTTCGATTTACTCGTTCAGAGAGAAAATCAAGTGGCGGCGGTATTGCAGAACAAGGCATCTTTGCTAGAGAAGTTTTTCTTTCAGGAATCTAGATTTCGAAGATCCTCGAAATCCGTGTTGTGAGGCTGGAAACTTTTTAAATTTGAAGGTGAGCTGGTCTGGAAGGATCGAATTTGGAGCGGGGGATTTGAGTAATCATATTATTCAGTTGATAGTTTTCGGAGTCAGCGCAGCCTAAGCTTACTGCCGGAAATTGGGCATTCATTATATTTTGGGCTTTGGAAGTTAAGCATGAATGGCGCAGGTATCAGATGCGGCTCTTCGACGCGCCAAGCTGGTGTGAATCGTGGGGACCCGAGAAACCAGAGCCGAACTTGGTACACCTCTCGGCTGTATTGGATAGGCTCATTTTGTGTCTCTTTCTTTTAGATTTTTTTTCTTCAAAAAATTGAAGAATATATATTGATATTGGAAGATTTTAAAAGTAGTTATGAGAAATAGAACAAGTGCGCGATCTCTTGATAGCTTCGGCGTCAGTATACCCGTATTGTCGGCCAGGGCTGATCCTGTACATGTACAGTCGGAAGATGAAGACTGTGGTGGGTATGCAAAGGTGATCAATTCGCCGTGATGAAATTTCGAAATCGAGATCGCCGGCGCCGCGGATGCTTTTCGGGCTATCGCCCCATACGAAACCGTACGGGATGAAGCCGCTTTGCAGGGCATTGGATTGATACCATAGTGGGTTCCGGATGGGCAGAGATACTCGCCATCTAATGGTCTAGCCTTGTGTGGGCTGACTGTCGTTGCCTCTATCGAATTTAAATGCTATCCTTGTTTTTTTGCCTTTATTTTGCCGGGGCTTCTCGCACCAGCAGGTGTTAACTAATCGAAGTCTGAAAATAGTTCTGCAGCGCGCCTCCGTTTAATTCCCCTCACCAGGCGCGTATAGATGGCTCTTAACCTGGGCTCTGTTGGCCGGTACTTCTCTTGTATCTCGATGAAGTCGTTCCAGACTTCCCCTGGCGTATTATCGCCGACAAAAGACAGGGGCACGGTAGTCGCTTTACAAGGCATCTCGAAATGACATGTAGATGATAAATACGAAAAAAGTTGTGGAAAGAGGGAGCAAATGGTTGAAGTTGGCGTTTGAAGGGTCAGCGCATGTGCGGGGAAGGGCATTACTGCCTTGATAATATCGGCTATCGTGGCTATATTGAGCTACTATATTGCGTACATCAAAACCCCCACTAGCTGAGAAACTTGAAACTCAATTTTCTTGCCTAAGACGTCTTAGATGGCTCTCGTAGCCGCGCATGTACGAATAATACAAGCGTTCGAGCCATATCTCGATGCTTCTTAATCGTATCCGCTCTGATGGCCGGACAAGCCCCTTGTGTTTTTTCCGGAAAATTCGGCCTCATATAGACTTGGGGTGTCGTCGGAGATGCCTTCGATGGGGCCTAAGGTAGCTTTGCACGGCATCATGTCAGTGCTAGTTTGGCCTGGCCAATACCCAATTTATAACGCAGGATTCTTTTTTTCATCCGAGAGTGGCATGTGCAATATAATTTATGGTTGAAAACTTCTAATTCGACGGCGTCGGTAGTAATGCTGGGCCATAAGCCCGCGATACAGGAAGTGAAGTCTGGTTTCGCATTCCCGTCGCCCCGCGGGCGTTTGTGATTGATCGGCTGCGAGATTATGTTTCCTCCGAAGAAGTTCGTCCCAAATGTATTTTGGGGTGTATACTTTATCAGGTATGAATTCTAGTATAGGACTGATGGAAGCCTTGCACGGCATTTAAGATGATCTGAATACGGGCACTGGAGGGGGTTTCTATGTTATACGTGGTCGCATGAAGAGAATATATACCGTGACGTATTAATATTTATAGGAGGCTCAAATAGGCTAATTCTAGTTTAGTATACGAGATAAAAATAGGCCTAGTTGCTGCAAGCCGTATCAAGACTACCGTATTGATTATGTCTGCACACATGTGTTGAGGAAGGTCGCTAGATATTTTGGGTATAGATATATGCCTATCCCGTTCCCAGACGTTACAAAGGGAGGCATCACTTTTTTTTGGATGCCTGCTAAAAGGTTTTTGTGGAATGCAATGGATGGCATGGCTAATCTAAGTATTAGTAATATATTGCAAATTTCAATTGAGCTTACATATTTGGAGAGAAAAGTATGTTGTAGTCGAGTATACATGCCTCGAGGCTAGACGGCTTGGTACTGTGAGGCGCCCCTCTACGAACCCCTGAGGCTATAGAAGTAACAAGATTAATACATCACACCCTACGTCTTGCAGACTAGTCTTTAAATTCTTTGGTAGGTATCTGGGGCTTTTTCATCTATTATATTAAGATATTTTCAATATCGTCGGCACCGTATAAAATCTGTTTATAATCCCGCGAGGAGTATAATACCGCGGATAGAGCTCTGATCAACCCTTCTATTGATAGGGTTTAGCACGCGAGAGTTAGATGGCACTCTAGGAAATCTTTGCCGCAATTAATACGTATAGGGAGGGCAAACGTGTCGACATGTCCACCGCTTGCCTCATCGATATTGTGAACACAGAATCGAATGCTGCACGGGTTCAGATCTCTCGGCATCTAAATACGACTTTCACAGCTGGGAGGACTCGAAATTCGTCATCCGTCTGGAACACTCATTCATGGCCGCTAGAATCGGTGTAAATGAGCCATTATAGAGGGCTTGTATGCCAAAGTCAACCTTTGATCGTCGATCCTGCTTGTTTTTAACGAACAATCCTAAAGTTCAAAAATATAACATATGTCTAGTTATTTTCTAGTTTTGATACGTTCTTTAAATTGAGAATGGCTTGAGAAAAAAATCATATATACATAAGCCGTCTTGTACAATCGTTAGAAACTTCAATCAAATGATTTTATACTTCTTCCACAAACTGGAAGATCTACTCTTCTATAGAATCAATAACATCCGGTCTAGAGTTAACTATCATGCTACGATTGTTCTCGTCAATAAATTGATGTTGACGATCATAAAAGCACGTAATATTACATCTTTCTCATAAAAAAAAAGGAATGGAAAGGCCCCTGTCTTTAGGAGTACAGCTCATAAAGTTCACATAAATAAAGTTTACAAAATGTACTAGTATTAGCTGCAATGAAGTCTTCGCAACTACGGACTATATATGTAGTAAATGATTTCTGGGTTCATGAGAGCTCAGAGATCCGGTTCTGGTGCTCGCACGGGGTATTGATATCGGCGGCGTGGCGTAACAAAGTTTCAACAACCTTTTGATGACCCATGACTGTCGCAACCTGGAGCGCGTTGCTAAACTGACGCCCACCCTGCATATAAACGTCGGCGCCGTAGCGTACTAAAATCCTAAGAATATCCTCGTTCCCTTCGAGACATGCCATAGCGAGTATGGAGCTAAATTCGCTACCACCTTCTACATTTGGGTCGACGCCATGGTCTAGTAGGAGTTTGACAATCTCCACATGGCCTCCTAATGATGCTGCACACAGAGCACAGTTGCAGTCCCCATATTGTGCGCTTACGTCGGCGCCTTGTTTCAACAGCGATTTAACAATCTTGAAGTGGCCTTCAATCGATGCCGCATTAAGTGCATTTCCGTAGTGGCTCGCATCTTGGGCGTTGACGTTAGCACCTTGGTTCAGGAGAAACTCTACGATTTCCTCATGCCCTCCGGCCGCTGCCGCCTGGAGAGCATTACCATAATCTTGACCGCCACTGTCAATACTGTGACCTTTGCTTATTAGATCCTTTACTGCAAATAACAGCCCTCCAAAGGATGCGTAGTATATTGGAGTAACACGATCGGGCTCATAAAGCTCAGTATTAGCCCTCCACGGCCTATCTAATGGGTAAAGATCGTAACATTTTTCGAAAGCGTCTTGAGAGGTATCAAAAAACTTTTGGACGAGACCCCGCAGGTTCTTATTATCTCCTTCACTAACCCTAGCAAATTTTACCCAGAACGTTGCACAATATTGTGCGAAGGGGTAGTTAAATCTAATCGTCTGTGATATAATCTTTGGGGAATGGTTTAGGTGCAAGAGATACGCGAGACAAACTGATGCAATAGTTTCTTTGGCGATGGTGTCTTGGAAATTTTGTGCGATGTCGCTGTCAAGTCGGTCAGACGTGAGATATTCCTTGACTGAAAAATGCGCTAACTGGAGTTCCATCGGTATACTGGTTTTGGTTTCCTGTCCATGGAAGCTAGAGCCTGGCCCATAGTTCTGATCGGTGGGAACCGCAACGACCAAACTAGAGCAGTAGCACAGGATTTCGTCACTATCAGGCATTCTGTACTTCGGATTAAAATATTCATCACCGTCTATATCGACCACTATGGCATCGATGGCCTCTTCTATTGTTAACGGGCGTTCAGAATACGTTAAGAACTGAAGGATCCTTATAGTACTCTCTTTGTGTTCTTCGGGGATATTCCGTAAGATCCTTGCATATGTGCCGTCCAAGGTTTTAGGCAGTGAAATAAGACTTTTCCGAAGACTCCGGTATTCTAAACAGTTTTCTAAAGCATCGAGCTGGCATGCGACCCATCTAAACCTGGTATCGTTAATTTTTTCAGCGCTTTTTTCCGGAAAATATTAGTCAGGTAAAATTCTGGTTAGGTCTTACATCCCGTTTGCCTTTTCCATTAAACAAGTTTCGATCTCGTTCTGGACTTCTGGTAGCGATCGCCATCTTTTGAGCCCCCCACCGCCTCTGACTCTTGAAAAAATATACGCTTCGATGTCATCTGATATCAGACTATTCTGGATAGGTATAACGTCCTGAGGACGGGCAAAGCCCATTATCTGGGATTGGATATCAGTTTCGGGACGACTTGTTGCGAGGAGGTGGACTATCGCCTTCTGCGATGCCAGGACTTCACTCATCCAAGATAGTAGTCCGGTCGCTGGACCAGCCCTGGTACGACATTCATCAAGTGCGTCTAATACAATCCACACTTCCCCTGCTTCTTCTAGCATCAATAAAAAGGTGTCACAAAACGACCTGATAGTTGGCTGGCGTCCATCTGAGCAAGACGAATACAATGACTCGAGATGTACCGAGGCCCCTTCGTGTTTATGAGAGAGTTGATCAATTAAAGATCGGAGCATATTTTCCAGAGTCTGTTTACTAATATCGATAAAGTCGAAGTAGAAATATATCAGAGGTTGACAGGCCGGCTCCGCTTCAGCTTTTCTTGAGTTGCCTTCAAGCGCTCGGATGATAGCAGAACTAAGAATGGTTTTACCACAACCAGGGATTCCGTGAAGCCATAAAAACGAATTTCGCATTGCTGAAGTTTTCCACTCGGTAAACTGTTTGCTCTCTATGAGCCAATCACCCGAGCCTTCGTGACGCCGCTGCAGTGCTTTATTGTAATTCGTTGAGACGTTTGGAGCTGCTAACCAGCGGTCTATCTCCGTGTTTCTCATCTTATTTTGAATGATTTTGACGTCTGCTCGCATCTCGTATACATTGTTTTCAACTAGTTATATATATTAGCTGGGTTCGTAAACGGCTCCGATTTATTACCTCGGCGTGGCGTCAAAAGGTCTATTCTTGAGATATTCTAGTGCTAGGCTATACGTCCATATATAGATAGATACCCGGACGAAGTCGGGGAATTACTTACTAGAAGAAAGGATACCAGGAATATCTGTAATTTTCTCCTCAGCTTGTACTTTCGCGGGGACTATTTTGTAGAGTAAATCCTTAGCGTAGGCAGCCGCTGCCATTGCAACATATCCCTACCATTTTTTATTTTTATGAGAATCTGAATAATCATAAATGTCTCTAATAACCAAATATGGGAATTAGTTCATTAGTCCTGCTGCTTCCATTTCAAAACATAAAACTTCTTTTTCATCAGCTAACTTATCTCGTATAACCGCATTTTTTATCAACTAATTCGCTGAAGCAATTAAGCCTCGATGAACGGCGGGGTTATCATTGCTTTCTGTTCGTTCTGGTTGTGATATTAATCTAAAAAGTTCATCACCGCAAAACGTAACGCAGTCTTCATTCATCTGGGAATGTATTATCTTAGATTTATATAATCTATCGGTATTAGGATCTGGTTGCTGGAATTCCTGTCATAGCCGTTTCTTCTTACTGAGAATGTCGTTGATATTGGCTTTAAGTTTATGTTCCTCAGACCTGTACTGTGCACTTAATCTAGCTAATATGGTCCTTAGGATAGCAGGTGGTTGGTTTAAAACCCCTGTAGTTTGAAAGCTTTAGTCCTGAATCATTTTTCTAAAGTTGTATTGAAATACACTATTATTACCATTACGGGGGGCGCTGATAATAATATCACCAAGTCGGATATCATATTTTGAACTTGGAATCCCCCGCCAACGCCGACCATTAATCCGATTCTGATGCTAGGAAAACTGTGTAGTATGTTCTTTACAACAGCTGTAGCAGATGAAATACTATATTTATTGTTGGGGAGAACTGCGATAACCACGTTATGACCTACAATCTTGCCTAGTATATAATGGTTGCTGTTGTTTGTATGCAGGGATTTGGGTTTCCCATACTTTTTGTCTAGAAAACACTGTGCTACTATATATTCCGTCTCAATTGCGCATATCCAACCAACTGTGTAAATTTTAGTGTCCATCATTGTAGTGGAGTCTTAGAGTTCAGCCTTGCGGGAAAAAGGTAAGGCGTGTAAGGTAAGTTTTGAGAGAAAGAGAAGGGATAAGGAAACATTGGCCGTGGAGTCTTGATTGAGGCGTTCGCGAATTCGATAGCCAACGAAGTCGGAGGGGGTTCGATTCACGGCGCTTAATTAATCAAGCTACCAGAATTAACCCTACCCCGCAACCTGCGCCTGAACCAACCTTGCAACCAAACCAATCGAGGTTCAGCGAAAGTCAACCGCTATTATTGTAAATGTTTTTTGCCATTCCTTTAAGTATAGGAGTAATGTGGTAATAAAAGTTCAGGAACCCTGTAAAGTATCTAACTGATCGACTGATGTTTGAAGCTTTGCCTGGTTCTTAGGGAAGATTCAGTTTAATCAATATTTAGAATGGTGCGACTGTTGCGCCGAAACTAAACGATCTCGAGATCTCCGTTCGCAAAATGCAACAACACTCGGATACTTGTTAGGTTTCGAGAGAGTAGTTATATCCAAGGACGTCACTACCTGATTAGTTCTCAAGTATCTCCGATAATCTGATGGGGAAAGAGTAATCTATTGGAGGGTTTAAGTAGAATTACTGTCCCCAGGCGCATCTTTATTGACAGGTCCGAATAACTAAAGTTACGTGGCACGAATATCGAGATGTATTCCCTATCCTTCATAGGATACTTGAATATGCACAGTTTGACTTCTGGGCTGATTGCTGCGGGGTAATATTTGTATATCCTACGTATGTCAGAGTCGATGAATATGCCCAGCCTTGGAGAATGGCAATGCACATAAGAATCGAGCGGCTCCCAAGAACCGAGAACAAAAAAAAGTCTTTGAGTCCATCCGTTGTAATATACAGATTCGAGCCTACTCACATAGACTACGTGGAAAACAACAACAATCACGACAAGAATATCAAAAGAAATTTTCATAAAATATTAAGATGAGCCCGCCGGACTCCCAAGCAAAAAAGAAGCGGTGGCACCGCAGGAGCTTCTTTGGTACGAAATCCGGCAATGATTCTAGCGGCACGCCAAAACAAGATAATATTGCTGTTTTGCGATCAGACGACCAGACTTCGGCATCGAGTCAAGGTACTCAGATAAGAAGCGGTAGAAAGGCAAAGATTACCGATGCTGTAGCATCAGTTTTCTCAGTGGCTGCTCTGGGGGTTCAATTGCCGAATAACACAAATAGTAGTTTAGGACAGCTAGCTGCTACATCCACAAGCCAGCCCCTATTGACGACTACCCAAAGCCTACCGGTACCAACTGCATCAGCTACCTATACCACGAGACCACTATCTGGAAATATACCGGCTGCTACTGGGAATTTGGTTATTGCTGGCAATGGTCCATGGGCAGAAGCAATCAACAAGCTCCCAAAAGACGAACGAGAACTATTAGTTCCAGGGGGGCAGTCGATCGATTCCGGCGAAGTCATTGTCAACAATTTCATCAGCGAAATTGAGGGCCTCCGCGATAAGCAAAAATCTCAAGAGTGGAAAATAGAAATAGGAGAGCACAAGATCATACTTCGGGATATTTCCGAAAAGATCATTGTCTGGCTTAAGACCTTCAAAGAAGTGGGGGATATAGCTGTTCAATACGACCCAGTTCATGCGGCACTACCATGGGCAGGTGTCCGATTCATGCTTCAGATGGCAATATCAAACTCAGAAGCCAGAGACGCCATCTTAATTGGTACCGAGCAAGTTATCTGGATGATTGGTAGATATGCAGCCTATGAGAAAATGTATCTGGGGTTTAACCTTGAGTTTGAAGAGAGCCTGAAAAAGAGTCTTGTGAAATTTTATGGGACCATAATTCAGTTCCTCATAAAATCGAAGAAGTTCTTCGACCGCTCAAAAATTGGTAGGTTGAAAACAGACAGTGTCTTCTTTTGGGAATATCCACACGCATTATATATACTGATATAGATACACTTTGCAAGAATCCGTCGCGAAGGCCGTGTTTCCGTCCACTTACTCTAAAGAGCTGGATATTCTACAAAAAGCTGAAGCGAACGCGATGAAAGATGTAGAAGTTGCGAGATCACAAAGTAAGTTAACTTGTAGCCGGTATAGAGTCAATTTTGGGTCATAGGCCCAACTGGTCAGCTCTAAATAAATCTGATTATCTAACGGAACGGCAATCAAATATCATAATTGAAGGGCAAAGGCTAACTGGGGGACCCTCTTGACATTAGAAATCAATTCGTCTGATAAAAGCAACTCTGAGATGATCCAGAAGTTAACTGAACTTCTCAACAAATTTAACGAGCCTATCTCTAGGATTGACGAAAAAGTAGGAAAAATAAATGATATGCTTGACGGTACGTATTTGTGCTTTAGTTAATTAGATATTGTAAATACTTACTTTGTGTTACACTTTAGACGAAAAACGTGGACAGGCCCTTGAATGGGCCTCGCCGATCAACCATGACCAAGATCATAACTACTATGCATCGAAAATAACACCTGGGACTTGTTCCTGGCTACATCGAAATGAAGATTTTCTTAACTGGCGGAAATCGAGCTCCTCTTCAATATTCTGGTTGACGGGTAATGGCAAGTATCCCCGAATCTGAAACAGTCTGAGTTGATACATATGACAGCTAGCTATTTTTTTTTACAACAACCAAGCCGGCTGTGGTAAAACCGTGCTGACGTATGTTACATATACATTTGGTAGAGATCTATACTATGACCCATAGAAGCTGATTATATCCCGAGAATAGGGCATCTGTCATCCGATTGCTTTTGGACGAAGGACGAGGGTCAAGCAGTCACGATTGTGTCGCCTACTTTTATTGTGACGCCAAATCGAACGAATCAATGACAGACACAGGCCGTGTGGTTGGATCCCTCTTAAAACAAATGGCCACCTTGCGTCCTGGCCAGTTTTTACAGTTACCCATAGCCGACGAATTCCAACAAAGAATTAAATCGGGAAATACCAAATCGCCACCCACATTTGAAGAATCCAAAGCACTTATATCAAGAATTGCTTGTGAACAGCTGTATCCAAGCATAAACATTGTTATAGATGCTTTAGATGAGTGCCAAGATGGGCCTGAGGGCCGGCGTATGTTAATCAAGATGTTGATTGAGCTAGTTCGGGACTCCAATTGTCTTGTCAAGATATTTTTGTCCAGTCGGCCAAGCGAGCGGGACATTAATATCAGCCTTAAGGATGTTCCTAGCTATCATATCAAGTTAAAAGACACATCAGCCGACGTTAGCTTTTTTATCGATTCAAAAATGCAAGAGTACGAAGATGGCGGTCTGTTTCTTCCCGGGGCAACGTCAAAAGAGCAGCGGGAAAGGTTGAAGATTGAGGTTGCTGGGAAACTAAAAGAAAAATGTCAAGGAATGTAAGTTTGCCAGAATCGTATTTTTATTCAAGCGTCAATGAGCGTTATACTCATCACCATTTCCTCTAAGGTTTCTCTGGGCTAAATTGCAGATAGAGAGTATCTGTGATTGTGATAACGAATCACAGCTTAGAAGCTACTTATTTGAGCTCCCTGTAGGGTTAGGATCGATATACAAGTATATTCTTGATCGAATAAAAGAGAAAGACAAAAACGCGCTGGCTGTGAGTACGGCATTCCGATGGATGATTGGAAGCTTGAGACAACTTCGTCCCAGAGAAGTTCTTGGAGCGGTTCGAGAAAGGACCAACATCGCCTTTAGTATCAAGTCTTTTCTGGATGTGTGTAGAAACTTGTTGGTTTTCGACGAAGAAAATCAAGTCTTCCACTTCGTTCACCTGTCTTTCCTCGAATTTCTACAGCTAGAAAGTGGCCATTTTCCAGGAGTTTCTTTTCAAAAGCAAGATTGCATCGAATCGGTTACTATGGACTGTTTCGAGTTCTTTGAACGCACGGACGAACGGTGTACCTACTTCAGTCCCTCGATTATTGTGTGCTCCTTGCGTCGATTCTTCATCAAAAAAACCACTTATCAATCGGTAAATACTTACGATAAGCCCGACTACGAATATTGCACGAAGTGTACGTCGATCAATAGAACCAAATGGGACCAGCTAGAGAAACCAGAGCCAGAGCATCCTCCCTTTTCCGAGTTCAGTTTTTTCGTTTGGACAGAATGGGCAATTCAACTTGGAAGATGTACCAAGTCATCTAGCTTCAGCGATAGAGTGAAGAAGTTTTTTGGTACTCACGTTCCACCATCTGATGCGCTGAGACGGCTAGTTGAATACTCAGCCCTTCTTAGTGAATCTTTTGTGAGTATAGATGATGTCAGTCTTGCCGAAAAGCATGGTGTTGCAATTGAGCCGGGGCCAAAAATAAAACAACTTCTTGAGTTTTACTTAAGCAAGCAGCGAAGGCTTTGGTACGGTCCTCTCCTCTGGCGAGATCATAATTCTTTTCGAACCAAGGATGGAGCACCATCTCCTCTGTTTCTAGCCCTTTACCTTGACATCGGTTGGTATATAGAGTGGCTTAACGCTTTGGATGGGACACTACTTCAATACATGGCTAGCAACGGGAGACCTCTACCTTTCTCATGCTTGTCCATCCTTTCCCCTCCTGACCTTTCCCCCTATAATTGGGAACTCGTCCTATGCAATGAAGTATTTGAGACAGTAGCAACTTTACCAGGGTTTACTATCACAGCACTCGAAACGACTGATTTCTTGTATCTCGCCCTTAACATATGGATTAATACAGCTTTTCGTTACCGGAGTCTCGACCCCGTTGCAGTTCACAGCTTGGTACAGTGTATCCAAACCGTAATTCGCCACCACAGTCGGTTTAACATCAACCCTTTTGTTGTATCACGCTGGGCTCTCTACACAACTGTTCTGGCTTACGATGAGCACTCCGAAGTCGATATTTTCACGGAACTTTTCGAGGCTCTTTCGAACGTGGATCTCTATCCTGCTGAGGGAATACTGAAAACCGATGCTAGCAAGCAAAAAAAGCAAGAGATATTACTGTCATGGTTAATCAACAGCAGAACAGACCCGGGCGATGACAATCGGTTTGGCGCCGAACATTACAGCCTGACGAGATATTTACCAACATGTCCTCTGCATATATTTGACCTATCAATTAGATTCATGGGACTGAGGCGTGATTCGATCGATATCAATTGGTTGCGGTTCTGGTTGGACAATGGCGTAGATCCTAATCGAGCCGGCAGCTGGGGCACCCTCAGCCATTTCATAACAGGTCTTTTCCTAGGCGATTTTGGACTTCAAATAAACAAGTCGAGTCGTCTATCAGTATCCAAGGTTGATGAGTACCGGTCTCGGGCAAAAAGATGCTTGGTGCTGCTGAAATCCTACAACGCCGACTTGAATCTCCGACACCCCATCACTCACGAAACAATATTAGAATACGCTTGTCGTTTATACACTTCACCACAGCGTACTGTAGGGTTTATAAAAGCGCTTATTGACTTTGCACCTCCCATTACTATCACCAAGTATGCTCTTATCAGCGCCTTCCACCTCGACAAGAGGCATGCGGCGCAGGAACGCCATGGGGAATTTCCAGGTGTTGGAGAACAACCACCTAAAAGATTATCTGACTTGCTTGCAAGTGAATTAAAGCATGAACACTTTGCAGAGACCGCTTCCAGAGACCGATTAGGCTTGGGTTCGCTGGAAAACGCACTCGAGATACTGGAAAAAGGCTTGGTTGCCAAGGACTGGGATGAGTTTTACGATTTTTACGCCAAAGGAGTGGAGTTACCAGAGGACCTGCCGTTCGAATTCTGGACTCGCCACATTTCAAAAACAATCCCAGAAAATCTTTATACTTTTAAACGCACTTCCGGTGAGCTAGATTTAATCGACCCTTTTCATGTATCCGCCAGCCATCTTACCGAAAAAAAACCTTTTGATCAACTATTCTTCATGATCAAAGGGAGGCAAGCCAAAATCGTTCATAAATATATCAGTTGCTGTACCTATGATAAAGGGGCGATAGATGAGGCTGCCTTTTTTTTCGGTTCATTAAAAGATATAGAATAGGTCGTATATAAATAGCACACTTACTTATGCCAATCTATTGCGACTGTTATCCCTTACCATTTTAACCTGGCTCAAAATTAATACTTTGCGAGCCGGTATTATGTTTAATTATGCAATTCTAGCGCTATCCATCTTATGGCATTTTACGTTATCAATTATAGATTCAATTGGTCTCGTAAACGAAAATAGTGGCAGGACCCACCGTTTATATATCTGAAGACTCTATATTGTATTTGAAAAGCTAAAGAGGTGCATAGTATTGAGTTCGCCACGAAACCGCGAATATATTCTTATACTGTCTTTTTGGCACTTGTAGCCTTTACTATACTAGCCGCTTTAATGTGTATGAAGTATATAGTGCTGCGAATACGAGAATCAGCGCTGCGGCCCGCCTAAGTTAAGTCTCACATCAAACATTCGCACTCGATAGAAAGTTGTAACGATATATCAACCAAAATTATGTAGATCTGAAAGTGGCGGCTGCGCGGGGGACGATATACATCTAAAGATGCTCAAGACTTAAGAGAGGCCGAAGATCAAATTATAGACAGCTTAGAAGACTAGATATGCCTGTAAGACCCAGAGCTTGTAAAGATTTTGGTGGTTTAATATTTGAATGTCATATTTATCCTGACCGGGCCTATCCTAAGATACTATTTGTCACTCGCCGAAAATCTCGTAATCTCTAATTAAGCTTGGGTATTAATAGACAGAGATGGGAAGTGGTCGGAGTGGGATATCGAGAGGGACCACGCCTGGCACCAATAAACGCCAAGAAACCATATCAGCCTCCATCCCATTAAACGTCATAAACCCCAAACATCTCATTCTTCCTTCTCACAGCCGCAAAATGGTCCCTGATAGCCTTCTCCAACCTCTCGACCGACGCCATGTTCACCGCCCGCTTCTGTTTACCAATACTTTGGAGATAAAAGTTATTTTCGCATCTCCAGCGCAACCGGATGAAGTCTTCAATGTAGGGGGCGGGGACTTCGGAGGGGTCGAGGATCTCTGATGGTGCGATTATAGATTTGCAAGGCATCGCTGGGGCTCTTTTGGTGTATGCACAGTGTATATGGTTGGGATATCGATATCGATGTACCGCGCCGCGTATAATTAAATATAATACAACTCCCGTGGTGGTTTTGGTATTGAAAAGTCGAGGTTTAAGGCTAGCGCCCGCTACCAATAATGATATGGTAGATAGAGATGTAGTCGAAACGAAATTTCGAAGAAGGAAAAAAAACGAAGGGTATCAAAAGTTGGATCGGTGATATAAATGATATATCGTTAACGCCGGGGGAATAAATCGGTCCAGATCCAGCAAAGGGGGAAAATTGCCATTATGGCCCACACACGGTGATTTCCTCGTTTGTTCCCCTCACAAAGTTGCAACATGAGCGCAGCTCATGATCTTTTCTTTTTAAAGCCCCGAAGATAATGAGTTAGGTATACGTATGTTGTCCTGTACCTAAATACGTATGTGAATTACGTATAGAGCGGAGTACCGCCCCAGTTCATTCGGTATTCATACGTCGACCTTTCCCACCGTATAAAAGTCGGGGTTAAGACGAATTCTTCGTAATCAAACCTACGGCGCACGATGATATCCCATACCCATTTCGGTGTGTTGTCGCGGGCATATTCCGGCGGGGAAATTGAAGATTTGCACGGCATTGCATTCAAGTCGAACAGCGGGGTACGATGGATCCAACATATGAGGCAACAGTAGTGGGTGAAAGGTATGAAATGAAGTCAAAGAGCATTGAAGTTGAAAGGGTCTTTAAACCCTTCCTTTCTCTCTTTTTTTTCCTTTCTATTTTGTTCTTGTCATTTTTTTTTTTTCGCCCTTGTTAGGCAAAAGCAGTGAAATGTCTAGATTGGTCTTATCTAAGGAAAGAAAAGCTTGACTCGTGTGAGATATCCACGCTTAACAATGCGGACAGTTGGCCATGCGCCGATTTGATGCACGATGATGCCATGTTCTTGAAGGAAAAGCTATACTCCTACCCACCTTCCGGACTTAGTTCTACTCGGGAGCGGCTCGGCAGGGTAGAATGAGAGTCGTCTGATTGAAGGAACAGCTAGAAAAAACTCGGCACAAATGTTCCGAGGTCAAGGACCCTGTTTGTCTACAGGATTAATCCAACAAATACAGCCTTGAGGCTTTTGTGCATTCAAAGAGGTGTTCCAGTCCATATTAATAATCCCTGCCCTGCCAAGGCCCTCTCTTTTTTGCGTAGTGTTCAATTCACATAACCAACTTTGACGGGAGTCTCGTACACAAGGAGTATGTCTTTTCCTTTGAGGTCTAACGATGGAACCTAACAGATATTTGTCTTGAATTCCGACTTCCTGTCTGCATTCCGAGTAAACTTTCGTATTGTTGCAGACTTTTGACGTAAGCGTACCAGAATCGGCGTATGTTGACAGGGGAGGCTGTTCCAGTGAAGTCGAAGGAAGGACCGAAACTGGTCCCGACGCGGGGTCCTGATTTGGAGTAAGGCGTGCAGGGCATGGTATGTAGCTGAGACTTTTAGCCTTTCACTTTGAGGCTCAAGATATTATAGCCAAGGAATAGCTTGCGGGAGGGGTCTTTCTGCGTCGTATTATTATGCTCGACTGCGGCGAATCAATGATAACAGTGATGATAGTGGTGAGTTTACTTCAACCCCCACCTCGACCAAAATTGGCGAGCGAGGTTGGTTATCGGTAAAACGGTATGTTGGTAAAGCCTTTGCCCCAAAGTTTTCCGGCCTGAATTGTGATTGCGGGGCCGACGGTATCTATATATACCCTCGGACGGATCCTGATAATACACGGTCGGCAATCTATCTTGACACCTGGTAAGGTCGAGTCTGATTTCCCACAGGTGGAGTTTCTCTTTAAACGGTCTGGTTCCTAACCATCGATATTCGAGAAGATCCCATGGTTCTGGTTGCGCCCTGCAAGGCATCTAGCGGTGCTGTTCTTTTCTGTTCCTCGCGGCCCGGCGAACAACGCTCCGAGCCCGACGGAACTGTTATACTCGAGAATTCGATGTGCCTTGTTCTAGCAGCCCTTGGGAGGTGAAATCCAGTCTTTCAACTGCTGTCTTTTATTGAAGTTTGTGGTACACGAAGGGATATAGACCTCGTGGAGAGAGCCTGGCTGGACCGTGATCGGCGACGACGTGTGAAGTCAACTTGGAAGCCGGAAGATGGCCGGCGCAAGGATCGAGGGACTTGAGCACGTTCAAGTAGGATTTCGACAACAACAGTGACAACACATACCGAATATCATGTGTATGCATGTACTGTAAGTACTTGCATTATGTAATTGACGAGTGGAATGAGGTTGAGGTTTTAGCCGTCAGTCGAGCAGGATGCACTCGGATGGCTTCGATAGAGATGTCGTTGGTCCCACTGAGCATGAGGAGGCATCTTTGCATATATATAAATTTGCAACTTCAAATCCCTTCCCGTTGGCTGTTGACAGCCCGGATCCTCTGAAGAAACGATATATTTCCTATTTCCCCAGCAATCATATCTTGACGCTTTCGTTCATGGACATATTCTGCTTGTTGCGCTTCCCTTCTTTGGCGCTTCCATGGGATAGCCCATGATCTTCTGAGTACTGGCAGTTGGGATACGATTGGCATCCGAGGGACAGGCGCTAATACAATGAACATCCAACGGATGGCACTTGGGTACGGTTCGCAGGGCATTTTAATAATAATAATAATAATAATAATAAAAAGTATACTGAAGGGAATTAAAGAGCTTTGGTTGGAAGAAGCTCTCTAGATCGGTATTTTCGAAGTATATGTTGGGCTTGTACGCATCGCGCAGTATGACTGGGCTGGATGAAGACGCCTGAAGGCTGACTCCAAGGCTTTAGTACGGCGTCAACGCAGAAAATGCGACAAGACAGTATGATGTTAAGGAAATAATGACTAATATACAATCCAATTATCATGTTAAGATCGAGATACTCAAAACGGGATGCGGCTCTTCTTGTATAAAAGTGAGTATTAGACAGACTATGAGAATATCAATTGGGAAACTTGTCACACACACGTTTGTACCGCCGCGTTGGTCAGGGTACCGTTATGTCCAACGTCAGATTGATATCTCCGCTGGAGGACGGAAACTATCCTTTATAGTGCTACTATTGACTCATACTTAGAGAAACCTATGAATGACTCTATTATAATTGATATAACGAGGTGTAATCTCGCTCTGACTGAGATTTATTGATCTTTAATTTAGGAGTCGAGTCTAGATCTCTTAAATTAAACATCCAAAGAATTTCGAACAAAGATTTGCACGTTACAACAGTTGCAACTTTTTTACCACAAACTATATAGAAACAAGAGCAAGGCCGAAGAATTCAGCAATGTCGGGATCGTGTCCGGAAGACAATTTCAGGCCACCTGGATATGAGTTTGAAGAACTAGATCATGATCATCCTAATACCGACAATTACGACCAATGGCGAACTTCAACAGTTCAAGTCCCATATGGCGGCTATCCCTTGTCATCTCAATTCCTGATTTCAGCTGGTTTATATGGACCTGGGTCTGGGTCTGGGTCTGGGTTCCCTAACATTCAACTTCCATTAGAACCCCCTCAACCCATTAATTATATGTTTCGTTTCCCTCCCCAGCCTCTACCGCAGAATCCATTTCCACCAGGGTACTCGGACGCAGAAGCACGATTCCCCCACCCATCTGATGGTAAAATGGGTGAACCCATGAAATATCGCGAAGCTTGTCTCCGAAGGTTCTCAGCCGCCATTAGAAATAAACCCAATTGGACAGAAAAGATACTGGACAGAAAGTTATTCATAAAATGGCTTAGAGAGACAAAAGCAGCAGATTCATATCCTAGGGGACAAAAGACATTATTGTGGACTAAGGACGATATTCATTTTGTATATAAGGAACTGACGAAACGGTACAAAGCATATGTTGAGGGCTGTGAATTCAAAGGACGATTGCAACCTGATATTGATGGTGTTTGGAGATGTGATGATTTTCTGGACGAGAAAGAAAGGCGGGAGCTCATTGATGGTTAGCCTATAGCAAGAATTATATCTAACACTCGCTAGTAGAATAGTCAAGCTAACTGTCTAATAAGCAATTTCAACCCTAGAAAATATCCCGGAAGGTCAAAAAGACTGGCATCCAAACTCAAACAACCAAGTTCTAAACCTCGTTCATCCCTCACTATGGCCTATAATCTACAACGTCACAATCGATACCTCTGGAAACTCTGTGGCCCCTCCGAATGGGAAAAAGGACTGGGTATCCAAATCTTTCTGCTGGCTACCCTCAGAATTCGAAATTTCCCCCCATGGAGAAACAAAAGTTGCGTCGTATATCAATAACTTATCAACACCGAAACAGAAGGAGTTGTTTTATCCCATTCTTGGGAGAATATTTGATAAGTTCATACCATTGTTTAATCATGTGCTCGCGAACCTAAAAGAAGGCTCATATGACCACAAGAGGGTCGAAAGGGATTACCGTTACGCACCACCAGAAATATTGTCGCAAAGGGACCACGACAGACGATGGGAGAGATTATTAAAGCAGTTTGAGGGAAGAAAGTACTTGTTGACTGTGGGGTTGCATAAAAGTATTTATTTTTCTCTATCTCTATAGCTCTACTAGTTAACGGAAGCTGAAGGCGCATACTAACAAACTATTCAGACGAACCAGAAAATTATTATTGCGGGTTATCAGACGATGCGGACGGACAAGAAGAAGCCGTAGATAATGAAATTAATCTTGATTATGAAGAGGAGAGTGACTGCGAGGATCAATACGAATGCGGCCGAGATTATTATATCGTTAGAGACATGGGATACATATTGGACCAAAGAATGTGGCGACCACCGAAGCCACAAACCTTAAAAGATGTTAAGCTAGAAGGCACTACAGCGCGTGTTATCGTCAAAATAGCAAGTATAATCCTTACACCAGACAAACCCGAGTACACAGGTGGTACTTGGCACGTGGAAGCAATGGAGGTAAGGAGCCGTGCCAAAGGTACCATTAAAAAAACTCTATAACTAACCCCTAGCAGAACGAAAGGATAGTATCAACAGGAATATACTACTATTCCCAAGAAAACACCACAACCTCTCACCTCGCGTTTCGAAAGGAAGTTACATTAGGTAAACCAGATGAAAATGAATGGTCCGGCGATGAATTTGACGACGATGAAGGAAATGAAACATGGCGTTGGAATAATAGAGATCCGGAAAGGGAAGATGATTGGGAAGCAAAATACGATATGAATATTCTGGATCAACCAAATCAAAAGCTTGGTGCCGTCGAAACAAAGGTAGGGTATTTGTACATCTTATCGGCTGCTTTTGGTGTTAATATTAGAATAGGAAAACAGAGCAATCGCCTTCCCAAATATATTTCAGCATCGCGTCGAACCATTTGAACTCATCGACAAGTCAAAAGAAGGACATCGAAAGATCTTGGTTTTCTTCCTTTGCGATCCTTCACATAATATCCCGACAAGCCGAACGATAGCTCCCCAGCAACCAGAGTTTAGAGAGGAATTTGTTCAAGCTTTAAATGATGGACCGATAGGGAATCTTCCCCCAGAACTTCATCAGGAAATATTAGGACGGCTCCCACCTGTTATTTCAAAAGCGGAGGCATTGGAACATCGAAAACACTTGATGGAGGAGCGGGGGAAGGCTACAAAGAAGACTGGCGAAAGGTTTGGGAGGAGCACAAGCTATCATTTGTGAGTGGCTCCGCATCTATACAGACATAGATTATTACCTTTACTACCGAGAGACTAACTAATTATATTATTTCTTCCACCAGATGCGAACATTGACTTAAATACTATGTAACGGCTCATTATTGTCCCACCAGCGCCAACGCCCTCAACATACTCTTCCCAAAAGACCAATTGCTTACTTCTATGTTTAATGTAGCCTATATAGTCGAGTTTATTGGTCAACTATAGCCCAAGATATTCTAGGATAGGAAATATTTACCGATTCCCCCCGCGTCAAGTGGTAGTTTTAGCCGCATTTTTAGGGTTAGCGCTATGTATCCGCCTTATGACGGCGGACATATTTGGGCTGTTTTGTTCTTTGGGGTCTTGTTCGAAAACCAGGTCGGGATAAGAATATTTTAAACCTTTGCGACATTGTTTGATCCAGTCGGGTGCATCATCATTGAACGCGTGGATTAGGAGATATGGTGATAGTTGTGATAGGAGTGATATATGTCCAGGTTGCCAGTAAATGGGACTTTGACAAGATACTCGCGGCATTATGAGTCCCTAAGATGTGATATTATAATTTTCCTGCTTCCCCTGGGGGGGCAATTAGTTTTGGGAACTCTGAATAGGAAGTATTCGTATATATACGTATAGATCCACTACCGGATATTTGAATATAGTTTCTCGGATCCGAAGGAGCTTGTAAATATGTTACAGTGTCGTAAGACAAATCCGCAGTTTTCTGGTAGTAATAGTAGCTAATATAATGAACTAATCGACGATATGTACCTTGACTGTTGATCGCGATCGATTGAGAATAGTCTTCTCAGGAAAAGAACGAAGAGGTGTTGAACAATGATTAGACTTCTTACGTTATATATAAGTATTTATCAATCCTCCAAGTTTTATTCCTGTGCCATACTCCGGCATTCCGATCTTCTGTGCGAGCTTAGCTTCTCAGTCTATGGGATATATTATGTGTGGGAATATTAATGCATGTACGTTTTGCAAATTTGTGTTACCCGCAACAAACCAGCTGATAGAATTAACCGGGGCTGAGACAAGCGCCTATACGAGCTGACGACTGGTTTACCGTTTTTCCCTTTTTTTCGTATTGAATACGGTATAACATGTTTGGTATTCTATTTGGGAGGTTTCAAGGATACATTTAGACTAGTCTGACAAGGTCTACGAGAGGCCCTTTGAAAAGTGTGTGTCTATAAGAAGACAAGCAAACTTGGAAAAATCATCCCAGCAAGAATATTATGTGCCCCTCACCTGCAGTTGGAAAATGTTGGACTCCACTTTTCTTGGTTCGAAATTAACATTCGCCTGTAATTGGATCGATTGAAGAGGATAAATGTTGTGTAACAAGGACCGAGTGCCTGGTGGTGTGTAATTGGTTGTAGGAGACTTTTCGGTATGGAACCGACCCTATGATCCCGTTGGATTGATTTTATCGTTATCGGGTACCATGTTATTTGCATTAACACCCCTCTTCTTTTTTCTGTTTCTACTTCTCACTCTTGCTCCTCCCCCTCTTTCCATTCTTCAAGCGAACACGCTTACAGGTGACCGTTGTTGGCATCGATGTCACAGTTTTCCGTTTCACTGCCCTTGAACTTGGTCCCGGGGTGCCTTCAGTTTCTTCTGAACCTTTATTTCCGGGACTTGAAGGCTTGGAATATTCCGTAATCGATAATCCTTTGTGGTCCGGGGAGTTCACGTTCTGAATGCGGTACATAATACTCTGGTCCCTTGGTCGTTCGGGTTCTGAGTCTGGTGACTTAGCTAGACGGGCTCTTTGAGCTCCGAGTCTCCCAGCCCAGCTTCGTTCATGAACATTTTCTGGTACCTGCGATTTTGTGCTGACCGTCCTGTGGGCTATACCGCTGATCCACCCAAACCCAGGAGCATCTGGATCAGAGAGACTTCTCGTGGTATCCAATGTGAAATGGTCCCGAAGTCTGTAGATTTGGCGACAAGACAGTGAACAAGTATTCGGTCTCCCATGTCCTCTCACTCCCGCATTCTCGTACACTTTCCTAACGATTTCGCCATATCGAATTTCTTTTCGCTTCCATAGCTTGTCTTGAAAGGCTTCTTGTTCCGGGGGTAGAGTTGGCCATTCTTCACCTTCCCGAACGACGAATTGAGGACTCGAACCTAGCTCGTCGGTTTTGACTAGAACTCCAGACTGCACTAGGACCGGTGGTGCCGTCCCCTGTACCCTAACTAATGGGATATGGGCGCATATAATTTGCGGTGTACCTTGGGCTTGAGCTTGAGCTTGAGCCAGAGCTTGGAGTTGTGCCATCTGGGGCGCCTGTGTTGATTGGCCATGGGCATCTAGTTGAACCACTTGAGCCTGTGCTGCTGCTGCTGCTGCGACTGCGGCTTGCGCTTGAAATTGGGCCCTCTGGACTTGCGCAGCTTGTGCTCGAAGGAGGGCCAACCGAGCTCGTGCAGCCTGCGCGCGGCCGACATTGTATATTTGTGGCTCTAAATATGATTCAAGGGAACTGCAGGGCATTGTGTTTTCGGTAAAGCTTTGAATTTAATTTGATTACTTAGTGCTGGATGTCCTTGGTTGATGCGAATATAAATGGCGGTATCCCGAAGGAGCGAAGGATCCAGGTGATGAGGCTGGGAATAGCCGACTAGTATATGTAGTACATGTACTCCCAACGAATCGATGTTTGTTGGATTTTTCAGAACTACAAGGCTGGCAGTTTTGTAATGAGTTACACAAACCCCTCGGATATTTATAGCTAAGAAATTAAAATTGTGCAATTACAACTACACAGTAGTTGATAATAGTGAACTATTATAAAGTAGGTCGCCTGGGGGAACTGGCTGACTTGATTTGTCCTGGAGCGCCCCAAATTCTTGGTTCGTCGAGTTAATTACGTTAAACGGGGATATGATATCCTTCATGAATAGAGCGCCATCTCAAATCAACTTGATAGCTGATGCTAGAATATGCTTCGGGCTCCCATCTCAGAAAACGACAGCTAGCTTCGGGTTTTTAGGAGAGTAGTTGGACGTTTCTTTACTCTTTTCTTGATTAGAGTAGTTGGACGTACAAGCGAGTCGGTCAATATTATTTCGTATCCCCCAGCTATCGTTGTCCCGGGTACATTAGCTATTCTATTGGGGCTGGAGTACTGGGCCCATTCGTTTATGAACGTGCCATTATGATGATGGGCACTGGAGATTTCACAAATTATCTATTTAGGGATTATCAATCTGTGGACGTGCACCTAGAAAGTATCGACAGTAAGCCGGTTGGTATTAACATCTGCGCTGCCGCTAATACCGGGCTCGAGGTTAGCAAAAATGGATGAACACCGTGACTTATTCTTCCATTTCGCGCATTTGTAGGGGCAACAGATTAGTTTTTACGATAAGCCACTCGCAAAGTACCATAGGCGTTATATTCCTGGGAGCAATCTTCAATATCCAACGTGGAAACAATTCAACCACCCGAAATTGCATTATTTATTTCAACTTATTGTTACATATTTCATTCAGAAATGCTCTTAAGAAACTATCGCCTGTAATCCCCTCCATATACAATAGTAAGGAACTATTATTTCGAAGATGAAATGTGATTTTACAATTTCGCCATGATAGGGGTGGCATTGAGTTGATTTTGGTATTCCCTCTTCTCTATGAGGGCCGTCAGATCATCGATTTTCTGGAACGTGTGCCCAGTGTTTTGGAGGGGTAAGAGGAATTGACGAGAGTCACTATAAACAAACGATCAGGATCAGAATACCAAACAGGGTAAGACAAAGTTATATTATACGTACCACCAGTTGTTGTGAGGTGAATATGATGTTGCATGGTATGCAGGAGTCAAAGTTGTGGACTTATGTCTGTTCAAAGCAAGGAAGTAGTGGAATTTCTAGTTCATAGTTAGAACGTCAGCCTACTTGATCCGCAGAAGATGACTCTAGTTGGGTGCGAATATTTATATGCGTATGTACCTTGATCTTTTCTGCCATTTCCTGGGGGGTGTAGTCGCCAGCCATTGTCTGCACATGCTTTTGGAACATGCTCACAGCTCCAAGGTGCTCAATCTTTCGACTTATGGCAAACATAGCTAGCTCGTCGTAACTCATTCCCAAGTCTCCTTCGTCATCCTGACAGTAGTCCTTGGTAATAGGCTGCAGTTCCCCAGATGGTTTGGCATCCAAGAAAGTTTGCAAGACGGGGAGGTTGAAGTTATTTTGCGCCCAGCCGATCATCTCGCGCAAATGATTCTTTGAATAGGAGCCAATTGGGTTCAGGTCTGCAGAAGAGCAGTCGTATCGAGTATAATTACCGCGCAGCACCCTGGTATCATGGTTAGGCATGAATCGCAATGCATCATAAATATCAATGACATAACTTACTCATCGGCGTTCGTGGAAGCGAGAATCAGTAGAGGAGTGGGGCAGACCCTCTTACGAGAAACTGGTAAGATCTGGCCAAACTGGTAAGCAGTAACCATTCGTAAACGAGCTTGGATGTTCTGCAGACAGATATCCTCGGCTCTGCTACCCCCAAAGACTTGAAATATGGGTTGGTAACCGGTTGCACTGGTAATTAAATCCTTTTGAGCTTTGTATCCGTCTTCAATGTTGATTTCCAAGTGGTAAGCACCAATCGAGTCCCGCAGTTCCCTCGCTCGTTTTTCTGAGGCAGCTGATGAGTGTTCAGGCATGCACATATAAACAGTGTGAAGTATGTTGTTGCAAAGTTCGTTGGGAGTAGCTGGTAGCCAGTCGGGGCTTCTGTCAGTGGTAGCGCACATTTTTTGGACGTCGTTGATGACGCCGCAGTCGCCGCTCTTGATCGCATCAATGACCAAATGACACATGACATAAACGACAATTGCGGTGCTGCAGGAGTCGATTCCACCGCTGAGAGGGCAAAGAAACCCGCTCATTCCAGCCCGGCGTAGGTAATCCCATAACCAGCATGCAGGACCAACTGCAATCTCCTCTGCCTCTGCGAAGTGAACCTTGGGAAGACCTGTGATTGACACTGAACCGGTCGCAATGGGATTGCTCATAGCTATAATATTGGGTGATGCGAGGCTAAATGGTACGTCGACGTAGGAGAGAGAACCAGAGTTTTTACCCAAGAACTGTATATTCGCATGTCCAAGAATGGAACAACGATATTCATCAACCTTCTGCAAGTCCACAGTTGCTGTGATAACATCGACATCGCCAAGTTTGAAGCGAGGACTCTGAGCAATAACTTCCCCATTCACAATGATGCAACTGGCTCCCTCATATAGCATGCGTTCTCCACCACAACCTATAGTTACGCGTATACGTATCAATTAGCAATTCCATCGATGCATTTCGAATATTTCCTCGTACGTATTCAGCCGAAATTGCGAACCTTTCAAATTGGAGTAGATGTGAACGCCACCTACGTTCTTTCCAAGTTGACAAATTGAGTCCATGTGACTGGCAAACCGACCGATTTCATGATGGTATCGAGTAGTGTGGATTGAAATATCGGGAATAAGCGAGGTTTCCTTTTTTTCGCCAACAAAGGGGCCGATAGACCTTCAATTATGATTATGTTAGTGCTATAGTTGATATAATCAATAGAACTCGGGTGCTAAAGTGACTCGCCCTTCTAAGAACGAGATAGAACTATCTCCGAATGGAACAAATCCAGTGCCATGGGCCTTCTTCAAAAAATCAGGCAGCCTGTATTCTTCCGTTATGCCTCGCTTCTTCCAAAGAGAAAAGTATTTGCTATCGCGGCTATTTTGGTCGCTCCACCGAACGGTTTGAGGCGCGATGAGAAGTATTTTCCCGTCTAAGGCGAAGACTTTAGAGTTATACCGCTTTCCGCCATGCTTCACAGGCATGCCAATACACTAATAAGAGAAAAGATTTGTTAGACTCAAGATTCTCATTCAGTAACTGTCGATAAAATCCCTTAGGAACAAAATGCAGTACAACTTACGAGAAGGATATCGTGGCATTCTCTGTCAGCCAGGATACATCCAAGCATCTCCCAGGAATGTAGATAAAGATCATCCTCAAAAAAGCTGTCCAAGCAGTCACTTCCACAAATCTCTAGCTCTGGACCGACTCTCAAGCTTGCGCCAGCAGCCTTAGACCTCCTAATCGATTCTTTAATGCGATCGCAGTTACCAATCCAATCCCCAGCCCACTGATTCAGGCTACAAGCACTATAAAAATGTCAGAGCGTCACCTTATATATGATAGACTCCTCAAGAAGGTGATGGAGGGCGCCTACCTGACGCTAACGAAACGACGCATGATGGATCAAAATAATAAATACCCCCCAGTAGGTCCAGTAGTGGTAATTGATATTGCAAGATAACAAGAAATTAGCCGGAAAATTAGCAAGTTGATTGTCTTTCTGAGATCTATAGAAGATGTATACTTATACTCTGGGCACAAAGTATGTCTGGTCGGCTTGCAAGCCCCCTCTCCGCCCACCTGTCGTATGGTACATATTTCCTATGAATGCTATAATTCTTGATCTTGTATGAAGGGATATCAGAGCCAGCTGCAGGAGCCGGTCTCCACAGACTGCTCGAAACGTTCTCTCGAAGTACGCTAGCTGCTAGATAAACTTTAATGCTGAATATCGGTCATGTACATTGCCAATCTAATAACCTATGGAAACAGCATCAATCAACTGCACTTTCAATCTCGTATAAGACGATATCCTGATCCCAGGAGAAATTCCCACCTTAGTCCTTCGAGACGACTCAACCCGAAGTCTTGCATAGAACCTTATAATATTCCTACCCCTCTCAATAAACTTGACTAAATTAAAGTTTTGTGGTATTTATGGCGTCCCAAATGTGTCAGATGCTTTTATGTATATGTTGAACGAAAAAGTGGGCCCCCTAACTATGTTTGGGATCGAACCACTTTATTTGCTTTAGGTCACATTAGGCGCCCACATGTTCCATGGTTTGGCCTACTGTTAGCTGGGTTATGGGCTGGCTTGTAGGTGGGTAGGCTGGCTGATTACCAGCCTGTGAATTAATTTGTGAACTAATCTGTGAATTAATCTGTCTATTAGCCTGCATGTTTATCAGTTTATCTACTAGCTTGAGTATGTGCGGGCTGGCCTACCGGCGGCTGGGTTATGGGCCGGTTTGTCGGCGGGTAGGCTAGCTGTTTACAAGTTGTTTTAGCTAGTTTGTGAATGAGTTTGTGAACTGCTAACTTGTGAATTAGCTTGAAGATGTACAGGCTGATCTGGGAATACCAGCCTACAGATTAGTCCTTGGAACGCGTGGGTAAACGGTCTGGCTGGTCTCGTTCCCAGACAAATATATAAAAACACCTGACACATTTGGGAAGCCATAGTATGTATGGTATTTTATTGAAACTACCCAACTACCAGTATACCGAATGTTCAACAGAGCGGCCTTGGTTTCAAGTTTATGCCCCGCGTGCACACCATGCCTAGCGTAATTGCGTAAATTTTTTTAGTCTCGCGCAATCGAATACAGGAATCTCGCAAATACTTTTCTAACCTCATGAAATTTATCATTTTATCACGTAGAAGCTTTAAATTCCGGGTAATCAGTATTTGGATTACCTTCGATTTCATGTTGCACATTCATATGCGTGCTAGCTACACGTACCAGTATTGGACAATACTGCTTTTGGCAGAGACCGGCCTCGGAAACACCATATCCGAATTATTGTCCATCGTCCCAATATTAAGATTGGCCAACCTTTAAGCCACCAAGGTATGTTCCTAACCCGATAAGGAGTGCTGTGCCGGATCTCTTGGCCTAGTCTGGGGCTCTTAGCCCCGAACCCACCGCCACTAGAGCTCTGGATCCGTGGATTCAGAATAATCCGAGAAGTCACTTACACTGGAACTCCGGTTAACGCGGTTGAAGGCCACCTAAGTATGGCCAGCAGCTATGGATACTTAGCTTGCTAGTCACCATACAAAATTGTCCCGAGCAAATAGCCGGAGCCGAGCCGTGTGTTGCTAGGCCGGGGCCGCTATTGCAATTGCTCGATTGCGATCGATGTAGCCGTTGAAGAGGTCAGATGGGCGCGAACACCAACGGATAATCCAGGCGAAAAACCTTAATGTTTCTCCACAGAGGAAGAGTAATCATCCGTCTTGAGCGGATAATTACTCCTCCACGAAGCGAGTACTCGAGTCCGCCAACTCACCGCGAACGCAAGCTGCTGTTTCTGTCTAGTTCGGGGCCGATCTTGATTTTGCGTCATGCTAGCCTCTAGATACTGTTACCTTGCGTTTGCAACCGGGTCGCAATGTTACCCTTTCGCTATAGGTCAAGAATTATACCTGTGTTTCCATTATGCCAACTGTGCAGCTGCAGTTTGCAGTTTAAAGTTCCTGGTTAGCAAGTTCAATGTTAACATGTTTTACCGATTTCATTCATTCCCTAGATCGGAGGGGGAACATAGCGCGATATATCAAACAGTTCGCACTTTCACTCCTCATAACCATGGACATGGACTTCGGCGTTCTTCGATCAGGCTATTGCAATTCTGTCCTACGGTTCCAGATAGAGAGGAGAACGTACACATACAATTGCAATCCTTTAAAATATAACACTTCTCCTAAAATCTAAATCAATTAATTTTGAAAAAAAAAACCCCCCCACCTCCAAATCATTGACATTGAAAATAGTGACTCTGTGTGATACCTGTCCTTTACTGTGATATTGATACAGCTAGTTATTGAATATAAAGTTGAGGATATCGGTACTGTTAGAGATGGTTTGTCTAAGGTTCCCGTTAATGTGCTACTTCGCTGTTAGTAAGGTGAAAACGATGGTAAAAATAACAATTAGCAGGAGGAAAAAAGAATCCCAATTAGAATAGTCAACTAACCGGCCGGCGAGTGGTAGAATTCAATAGTCCAGGTTTCCCTGTATTAAGTAGCCCCGAAAGCCTTCCGTAGCTAGTAGGGGGGTTGGCGCAGTAGCTTTATTCGACGATGCGAACATCTCGAATCTTGCGGACGCGCTAAATATCCAAAACTACTAGAACAAGAAGTAAGTGTTTGTATCCATACTTATGAATTACGATAAAAATGATGTCATGACGAAAAAATGCGAAGATTAATCTTTCTTCTAGTGAAGGGTCTAATATTATTTGGGGACCTTTGGTGGAGCGGCTGAAAAGACTGCAGCAACTTGGTGGTTCATCATTATTATCGTACGACCATACAAGCTGGTGCGTCGCCGTATCGTTTTCCTCTTTATATCGGCGAACTCCGAAGCCTGAATGAATGACCCGATATAATATGACTGCATTAATACCCATAAACAGCAGACACATCGAGATATCTAGATACAAAATTAGGCTTATTGTAGGTAATGATAAACATAAAACTTTTAGCGTGATCAGATGGAATTGAACAGTAAATAATACGTAATAGGGTGCGGGCCTGGTCCGTTGATTTTCGGGGATGTGCAAAGAAACGGAACGAACACAATATCTCGCACTCACGTGATCCCAGGAACTTGCATTTTAGAGCCCTGACGAGCTACTCGGACTTTGAACGCCATTAACTAGCGTCTAAATTTCTAATTGCCAGTAATTTTAGTAACGGTTTGCTCGCAAGTGGCTATTCCGCCAGAACTCCTAGATAACATTATCTTCGTATTCTACTGGCATATAAATCGATATAAATGCTAGACTTTGAGTGCACCAGAAACACTTTATGTGCAAAAGAAATACAATGCAATAGACACCATATGCATGGTCTGAAGGATGCGAACTCGCGTACTGGTGTTACACACATAGTACTCAAACGTCTTCAGCCTAGCTTGTTTCCCTTAACTTTGTATTTTTCGCGGGCAGGAGCCAAGAGACCGAGATCGAGCGTACATTCTAGGCCCGCTATAAAACACAAGTTTGTTGCATTAAACACCCTTGTCTTACAGCCCGAGGTTAAAGAAATTGTAAAAGCGAAAATGATTTTAAACCATTTATTGAAATATCGAAATTGAAATGGAGGTGACGCCTTGCGGGTATATATTGGCTTCGAGACTAGGTATATATCTCATTACACTAAAATCTGTCCAATGCCATTTTTTGGAAACTATTCCCGTATATAACAACGATCTGATATTCCCCAGATGCAATCCTACTCCTTCAAAAGTCCTGTTTTCCTTTCTTAAATATCCCTTGGGAATCAAGCTGCCTCCCTCTTTTAAGGCTTCGCTGCTCCGGTGAGGTTTTCATACCACTCTGCGAAGACGCTATCGCCCTACCCTCAAGTTGAACTCGGGCCTTCAATTTTTGTGAACTATTCCGATCTCTATTCGCTTCTCTTATCTTCCCAATAACAGGATTCAAGCAAACAAGCCCCCGAGAACTCCTTCGTCGCGGCACTTCCGGCCGAAATGAGTTCAAACAACGCCTACGAGCCTCAGCGGGCCCGGGTAAGCGTCCCCGACTAGCAATAACCCTATAATGATCCATCGCTCTTGGATGGATAGCCCGCATTTGTGGAGGAGAACTCGATATATTCGCAACGGCTGTGGATATTTCCGCGGGAGAAGGGACAGGTAGGCTCTGTTCTCGACGCGCTTTGAGAGATTGGTAGTAGAGCTGTATGTTTCTTTGGTGCTGTTGTCGTATCAACTGATGGGCTCTGGCTTGTTCTATTTGAGCCTGCCGCATTATCTGCGCTTGGATACCTATAACTTGGGGGTTGATGGGGTAGAAGGGGGGGCCGAGAGGCGGTTCTAGGGACGCTGCAAGCGCGCTGCAGGGCATTTCTGTGGGCGCTGTAGATTCGCTAGGTATATTTACTCTATAAGGATTGCCCGCTTTAAAACTCTGGTTGTAGATCTTTTAGGTAGGTCTAGTATCGTGTAAAGATTTCTCACCCTAGATTCTCTGAATTTTCCTAGTGTGGAGGTGTCCCTTTATATAGGCGTTTAGAATTTTAAATTGTATTTACGTCAAGCCGCAGCCTCTTGAATCTAGATCCTTGAAGTTTGGTCGACCTTGTCAGCCTTTCGATCCCACTACTAGCTACTGTCCAACGGTGGTACCAGCGGTGCGAGTTGGCAAACATTTCGGCGCTCCACGAAAATAACCCTCTATGGTCTTGTGTGCCATAGAAGATGTATCCGTATATGAGGTACATGTACATGTTAAACCATAAGCAAGTACATATTAAGACTTGTAGAATTGTGTCTTTTCAGCTGCATTTTCGTATGTACTCTACCCGATTTCAAAATCCAACAAAATCGAAGTGTTGCGCTATTTATTGCGAGGAGATTAAACTTAAGGTCCGGTCCGTTAAGTTAAGGATCTAAATATCTATGGCGATCGTTGGTCTGAGACTACGATGATTTTATAATTTACACTTCATATTAGTATATTTTGAACTCTGCTAGCACCGAGACTATTATTCCAAATATACTATTTAGTGATCATTCGTCGCGTCTGTCACAGGGCCTGGGTGCGGGTTAATTAAGACTTCAGCGAAGGGTTGCGAAGGGCACAAAGCTCGGCATGGCCCACAGAAGGATACTATCTAAGTAGATCTACATATAAGCACTGAGAATGCTCGGAACGGTAATATTATAATCCTATTCGATTTATTTATTGCAGTGTATTATATTAAATTAAATTTTAAGAGTACTCGAGTTGTACATATGAAACGTAATGGCGGCCAACTCCGGACACGAAGCCCCGAGACAAACGCGACCGTCTGAAGTATTTCTAGAAAATGCTATGGAGATTGATAGAAAATCTTCTTGGTAAATGTCTGAATATTAGCCCTGCTTCCGATATGCGTGGAATAAACGATTAAATGAAGCTGCTTAAAAAATCCAATCCCTGCCCGTATGTCTCCCATTCGGAAATGGTCTTCCAATCCATGCCCAAGGACCCCTAGCATGACCGAATAAACAACTACCAGGCCAATGCCTCCAGAACTGTCTGACCGAAACCACTTTCAGCGATGTCTTGTAATCTGAAGGTTCCATTTTATCCCTCTCGTTAATGTTGTTTGGCTTTAAGTGTTTATACTCCGCTCTGCAAATTTTCGGCACATCCATATGCGCATCCGCCTGCTCAAGAGCCATTTCACCGTCTATCAGAACATCTAGGGATGGGAAAATTGGAATACTTGGTGCTATGGATGATTCAGTAGGCGCATCGGGTTGAGGTGGTGCTTGACATGCTTCTCGTCTTTTCTGTGCGATCTGACGGTCGCCTATAATTTTAAAAATCGATGCGCATGTGTTTTTAAAAGGCTCATCATAGTTTATTGTTCGAGACTTTGTACTACTTCGATGTTGTAGCGAACGTAACCTCTGCAGCTGTGGAGCAGGGATAACTTCAGTCTAGTGTAGATAGGAAAAGCGAAGTCAGTACCAGATCGCGGCATTAATTTATATATGTTTGAATAGGTATTCGACGATAGAAAGATGGTTGCTATGAGTGGGAATTTCATTTTGGCTTACCAATTCATCCAAAGTCTCAGGTAAGGCCAGCTCTCTCAACTGTGGGTAATCGCTAAAATCGAAGGGATTATCTGGATCTGGCTTGTATAGTCTCCGCCACATGGAGGGTTTATCCACGTCGGAATTCGAACTTAGATCAGTAAAGGCATCAGGCCACACATCAAGCCAAAGCACTCTTAGGCTATCTTTATGTCTATTGAGATATCTAAATGCAAACCAATCTCCAGGTTCCACATTATATTGGTATCTCCAAGAAGTCAGACTTAAGATTTCTAGAGGGGGTAAACGCCCCACAATCCGGCAAATTTTCGAGACCCTGGAAATACTTCGACATAACTCGAGTGCCTTAAGATTTGGCAACCGTTTTTCTTTCGCCAATTTCATAAGTGTATCGTCAAACCCCGGAGCATCCACGAGGCTAAAGGTTGTCAGTGTTTCTGGAGCGAAAAACTGTATAACTTTGAGCTCATAAGCTACCTCGACAGATCGAAAAATTCTTAGCTCGTTGAGTCGCAACTCTTGACGGTTATTAGACCATTGCTCCAAACTGGATGACTGCCAGTTATGTACTGTACGATCATCGGACATCGACTCATAACATCCAAGGTTTAATGACTTTAATGTTTCCCGATTGAGAGCTATGAGCTCCCAGATTGTACTGAAGACGGCGATACAGTTATCATTGGCATCTTTCCAAGGGAAAGCAACAGACAGCTCTTCTAGGTTACGGGCTTGTTTCAAAACGGTTTGGGAATCAGGGATCTCGAAAATTTCTGTCGAAAGATTCATAGTTAAGCTCTTAAGGGGTTTGCTAGCCCGTAATCGGTCTAAAAGGAAGCTGTAGGCTCTAAGATCGTATGTATGAAGGCTAAAAGCCAAATGTCAGGGTTAAAATAGGCCGCGGTGTAATGGGGGGCTCGAGAGGAACTCACTGGACACCGCGTAAAACTCTAGAACTATCGATAATCCCAGAGAACTCATCGGTGGAGATATACTGGTTCGGATCGGAGTCCGGTTTGCATGGGCATAGCTGTTTGTAACTCCATCGCTTTTTGGGATTTTTCCTAAAGCAATGAAAGAGATGGAGGTCTCGCGTAAAATGTGCGAATGGCAGTTCTGGAGGGGGCTGTGTCAAGAGCCGGAACCCAGATTTTGGGCAAAGATTCCAAGATAGCTCTCGGAAACGGTATCGTAATGAAACTTGATAAAGTTCTCGAGAGACCAGGGTCATCGATATAATCTCCGGTGGATCTAACTATATTTCAGACGGTTTTTGAAAGTCAGCTGTCCAAGTCCAAATTCTATAGATTAGGCTGACAATCTAAAGTCTTAGGTCCCTTACAAGGTCAAATACCATGCCCAGGATCTCGTTGGGAAGATCCATGATAGGACTCTTTCTATGATTTAACGGAGCCATAAGCAAAAACCCCTGCGCGTTAATGAGAGTAGTAGTAGTAGTAAACGAATGCTCCTAGTATTGATATTATTCGCAGAGATTGTTAGAACCAGCGAGCTCAAGTAAGATGTTCAATGCTGGGAAGTCGATTTCGTTTCGACGGGTGGGTGGGCCAACTAATATAAATTGCCAACGTTTGAATACTTAAATACTGATTTTCGTTTAAGAGAAAAGATCTGATCTGGCGATCGCTGCTACTGAGCATATAATTAGAACATGTTACATCCCTTAGATTTCGTATATAATATTATCATGAATAGAGTCGACGGCCAGCCCCTAAGAGGCTTTATAATTATAATTAGTAAGTATGCCAGCATGAGTTTCTCCAACTTAGCTATCCAATTATCACGCTTATATACCTAGGTATATACTTAGATATATGGGCGTAATTTTATCTTGAGCCCCCTGATCAGCTGAGCTGGTCCGGAAACCTGACGGAGATTATAGGATTATCATATATAAGTAAGTATATATATATATATTGTCATAGAACTATATATAGACGTAATTTAGTTCGATGACCGTAATATTATTTTGCACCATCACGGCCTTTAATATACCCCGAGCATCAACAGCTAGCACAATTGTACAATTGGACAAGCAAGTGAACATAAATCGATATATCACCATGTCAACAATAACCACCGGTGGTATGCAAATGATCGTTCAAGACTTTTCATATAAGCTAGCCTGAGAAATTAACACGTATGTGTAGATTTAGAACCACCAGAACCAGGCCTCGCAGGCCCATCCGTTACCGCGGCGAGGCGGCCAGTCAAGAGACGCCGCTCAAGAAAAGAGCTAGAGCGGGAGAGAATGGAAGAGGAAGATGAGCTCGAGAAGAGAAAAAAGGCGCGTTTAGAGAGGGAGCAGGTTGAATACCTGCTCCAACGAGTCAAAAGACTCGAAAAAGAAGTGGAAGATCGAGACAGGCAGCTCGCCCACCAATCACAGGTCATCCGGGGCCTGCAGAGGTCGGCGGTTATCCTCAGTCAGAACCCAGGTTCTGCTCCCGGCCCCTCCAGTGGTCCACACGCAGAGACCTTCTTCAGTTTGGGGCTCAATTCTGCATCTCGTCCCGAGCGTATTCCTCGACCCCGATCCCGATCCCGATCCTCCCGTAGCCCCTCGCCTAATTCTACTCGCCACTCTTCTCCTCACACTCCTCGCCGGCACTCCTCTCTAGGGCCCGATTCCGATACCGACCACCCCGCTGCCGCCACTGCCGGTTGATCGGCAAAAATAGCCCGCAGCATTATGGCACTCCCATACTCCCATCACCATCACCATCGCCGCATTACTACTATCAGCATCACCAGCTTCATCATCAACTTCATCATCAGCTTCATAATCAGCATCATTGTCAGTAGTAGTAGCAGGAGCAGCAGGAGCAGCAGGAGTAACACCTCCACCACAACAACAACCACCAGCACCATCGTGTTCTTCTGTCCCCTCTATCCCCTCTATCCTTTCTCTTTCTTTTCCTTATACTCTTTTCATGTTCGTTTTCGCTTTCTTTCTTTCTTTCTTTCTTTCTTTCTTTCTTTCTTTGTGGCTTTGTGGCTTTCCAAAGTTAATATTATCATCTTGATTCTCGATCAATACTTCTTTTGCTGCAGTTCCTCTAGTCACATCTCTACTAACTATTTAAAATATCAGGTAAGATGCAATTTTCGATTCATAAATCGACAGAACTCCCACATGATGGCCACCAGTCAACCCCTGAGACCATTTAACGTACATCAAATATTTCGACAACAGGCTAGGCCTCAAGGTAGTTTCTTATTGCAAGGCACTGGCGTATCTCGACACGGCATGAGCTATATGCGCAAGTATATATCTAGGTACGTAAATACCTCGTCAATCACTTTCGATTTGACCGTGGGTTTGATTTCACTTCATATGATATTGTTCAAGATGGAGTGCTCGGGCCCAGCTTCTAAATCAAAATGTATTTTGTCTCGGGGGGGCATTCACGACTCTAAGGCCTTCGGTGCTTCGGTTGTAAATTGTCGTTATATTGTATCGAAACGACACTTAAACTTTCTGTATCGTAAATAAAATCCACCCCCCTCCTCGTCTAATTTTCACCGGCTATGTTTAAGGGAATCCTAGGAGGTAATGGCAAGAAGCCAAAGCAGGACCGCCATGTTAGACCCAGAGAAAACCCACCCGAACGAAAGAAAGATCGAGAGCCGAAACCTAAACAGGAAATCCCCAACCGCGAACCCAGGAAGGAAAGGCCCGCGCAAAATTCTGCAAACAACATACCCAACTGCAAAATAGATATTCTCAAATTTCCTTTGTTTCCATTAAAATGGCCAACCCCGGAGATGAGCCATCAGGAATGGTATAGTAGCGTATCTTTAGGGAAAGACGATGCAGAATTCATCATTGCGTGGTGGTGGCAGAAAGTTCAACTATTTTTTAGGGTGCACGATCCGCATACTCTCCAGGTAGAAGAAGATTTGAGAGAAGCAGTTAAGAATGTGAAAAGGCTAAGAAGGGAGAGGGATGCATGGAAGAAAGAACATGACGATGTTTTTGTAATGTATCAAAAGCTGAAGATGGCATCGGATAAACGGAAGCTAGAAAGGAAAACATAAACTGCCGTTTCAAACAGGCACCCAAATCGGTAAAGAACAAAGACGTTAATTACCAAATTATCTTACTCTAACCCCCCTCCCCTAAAGAAATACGATGTATCTATGACCCGATAGATATAACAGCCTGCAAAACTTCCATTTGGTATCTATATCTCTTGAAAACAAAGTTGTACCACAATTCTTCTTTTTCAGATTGACTCATATTCGCAGTACGGCTCCTCCAGATTCCCAGAATGCCTTGCCTCCTTGTTCCGTGGAGGAGTGGTCCAGCGTTTCCCCATGTATTCAGTGGCGGAATGAATATTGCTCGACAGGGCATCCTTGGTGATCGATGACTCGAATATGTGGTATCCAGAAATATATGAGGAAGTAAGTCTGATGTCTTGTAATAAATAGTTTAATTAGGTCAATTGGTTATAACGGCGCGAGAGTCCGGAGAATAACCTCAGGTGAAAAAAACAAATACCGGCGAAGTAGCGAATTTAATATATGCTTACTTATCGATTCGATGCCCTAATTTCAAACGCTTTGTAGGTCGTAGCTAGGTAAACCCGTTTTCCTCTTGGAATCGCATGGACGGATCGAAGGTTATGCTCCAGAAGAGCCGCCGCGTAAGCGTTATAGCAGTCAGGGGCAAGATGCCGCGGCAGCTCAGGCCCGGGAACAAGCCAAACCCCAAAGTGGATCCCGCCGCCTAGATGCAACACAGTCTGCTTAGCTTTTCTAAAGAGTCTAGGTTCGAAGCGTCATTAACGTTAGCTAGATCTACAAAACCACATTACAGGCTAAGCTAGAGATACAAAATAGAACCGGGGTAGTTAGGCATATATGTTCAGTTTTGATTTTACTGATATCGGAGAAATATTTTTGAGGGCTTGGTTTAGAGACTCTTAAACGACAAGACAAATGAAATAATGGACCATATATCGTGTTCTGAAAATATATTTTGATACCGAAAACTCAAAGAGCTAAGTTTATCTAGTTGTGAGTTTCGTAAGCAACGGTATATGGTCATATGTTATGGGCTAGTCTCCAAGCTGCCTAAACAAATTATCAGGGCTAGAAATCTGATTGTCCATTGGGCGCTATTGCGGTTAATTACGCAAGTTTAGGCAATCCCTAGAACTGGGAGCGAGACCGGAACATGATAAGATATCCTATATTTACTCGGATCTTGCATATAAAGCTTTAAGATTCTTGAGAGATGAAAAAACTCGGCCTAAGTACTATTAAACACGTCCACTATTGGATTGTAGGACTGGTAGGTATGTGAACTGTACAATCGGATATAAACAGGTAAACTGCACAGTTATCATGTTTAAGCAGTTGCAACGTTGCGGCCGGTAACTACCTAGGTAGGTTGGAGGTCTGTGTAAGGCAGCATAGGACCAAACAGTATACATCTAGATCTAGCTAGACCGATCCATGCTTCAAAATCCTAAATAGCGCTACTAAATATTACTCTGTGAGTTCTGGGGTTCGGACTTGATTTTTCCCATCCTATGCATTGTTTCAATTTAAACAAATGTTCCGTTTCTATCGAACCTCTCATAATATAACAACCCACATGAACTCAGTTTTCCGTTTATCATATCTGGATATATAAATAGCTTATCATATTAGCATACGCACAATTAGCATTCCTCGAAACCTCGCCTCTTCCCGAAGGCACCTAAGATTTATGAGCGGACGGTCTTGAAGTAGCCCATGTATTTTTGTCACTTTGACAAATCTGGCAGGATGTGTCTCGTTAGGGCTCATGGAGTACCAAGCATGGTATAGCTAGCTCCCCAACCATCCATCCTAGCTCCTTCCTATCCAAGTCAAACGATAGGGAATAGGAAGAAAGAAACTTCCGAAACCCGTCGCTTGCATATTGACCCACCGGGTTCCTGAAGAGTGCGGCAACTATACCTATTGCTCAGATTACAAAGCGTTTTTCTGTTTGCCCATGTTGGTCACATTGATATTTGCCTAGAAATCTGAGAATTGCATCCATAAGTTAGGATTTCAGATTTGGCAGTTGTAAATTAGCTCAATAGGAAACCACAGTTCGAAATCGACTGATGATAGCCAATAGAATTAACATTCGAAATCAAATTATCAAAGGTTTATAGTTCTTAATTGACACGATAACAGAAGCAAGCATTTAAGTTTACATATAGATACATATAAGGCCTTTCTTCCACATCCTTATAACGGCGGACCTCAGATCAACAGCTATCTCTTGTATTTTCGAGCTGATATTTTTCTATCATTCACATTTCGATAACTCTTCTATTTCGCCATGCTTAAAACAATCTTGAGCACGATTGTGACTTTCGCGGTAGTATGCACCGCACTTCCAGCCAAAAGTAAGCTTTAAACTATTAATATTGCGGGCTCGAGCTTGTAATCATACTTATTTTTTCATTAGATCAGATTAGAGCGCCTAGTGATAAAGGCTACTTCTATCCTATTTGGTTAGGCAATGCCAGTTTCACAGACTTGGACTCTCGCAGAACCGATGATGCTTGGATAAGAAAGGATCTCGAGTTCCCCCTGCGGATTTACGGTAAAACGACTTCGGTGGTCTGGGTTTCAATGAACGGCATTCTTTTGCTAGAGGAGCCTAAAAGCGACACCCTAACAGTTCCACCCAGCTGCAACTCAGCTAGTCTTTGTCCGTTAAATAATGCTATCATTGCATACGGGTCAGACTTAGTTATGAAGGCGAGAACATCCGGACTATGGGTTCGATGGGCCTACCATATTCCAGCCCCTAATTACGACGACCCCCACCACCATGTGATGTGGTATGTCTGCGACAAATCCGCACCCCGGGGCCCTTTCAGCGCCATTGCGCCATGCGCCAGTGCCACTCGCTACTTCAGTATCACTTTTCATAAAAAAAGCCCTGGAGTCATCATCTTAGAATACTACAACTTCGAAGGCAATGACTGGTCTAACGGCATTATCAGGCTACAATCGTCCCCTAACCTCGCTACCTTCCCACCCAGCAGAGTACCGCAGAATGCGGATAATAAAGGACACACGTGCATCATTTTTGATACCAATAGGAATACGTATCAAATATCAAAGGATCCGAAGGAGTGTACGCTCAAACGATGAGTCTAGCTATCTATCGGACTGAATGTATCACAATTGTAGTAGTAATCCAAATATGTATATAGGAATTGTAAATAAAGATATAAGAAAAACGTAAAATTCCTAGTTTCGAACGGCAAGAGTTCTAAAGCTCTCATCATGCATGCATGCTCGAACACCGTAGGTTATATTCCATTTTATAATTTAAGAGTGTTACATACCCAAATATTTTATGTACATGTCATCTTGAAAATGGGAAAGCTCGCTACTTTAGGTTCCGAAGAACACTACTGTCAACAATCCTTTGGAGCAGATTCAACTACTGTGGAAGCCCAGCATAGGTTTTCTCTCTTGGTCTAGATCGCGTGTACCATATAGCTAGGTATCAAAGTACTTGTTCGAGGGCTAGAAGACTGCCACTCAAATATAACTTCTGGCGCCTTTTGCTGTCTGGGTATAGGGGCGTTGAGGTTACTCTGTAGGGCATTGCTCTACATGCAAGGGAAGCAAAATCCGTAGTGCTTTTGCAAGTTCGAGCTTGCGGCTGGTATAAACGCTATTAGATATCGAGGCGGAAGTATATAGTGGGTTCATGGTAGAGTTCGCGTTCGTGTTTAGATCTGGCACTTGTATTATCGAAACTCCGGGTTACTGCCCGTTTTGGATTTGACACTGTTCTAATAGTTAACTTAATAGAATATCTCTACACCACCAACGCGAGATAAATCAACCGGAGTTTTTCAAAGACATAAAATGCTTCAGCAGAACTGTACAAGCCGTTCCGAGCAAAATACAATACCGGCTAGCGCCATACTAAACCAAAGTCAACTAACTATTCTGTACAATATCCATATGCATAGACCAAAGTATGACTTTCTGGCCCATTTTAACAAAACTCGCGAATTAAAGCTTTAAATCGCTTCTGCAACATTAACTAACTACTGAAACAAGTGCAAATCGCTTTATCCGATTTATCCGATTAGAATACTAGCTTAAACTTTGATTAGGACTTTTTTATATATAAGGTTTTGATGTAGAGTAGAAGACTGACAGCTTCCGGAAAATAATCCGCTTTCCCGGCCGCGGTTGGAAACACTACTTTCTATACACCGATAAATTTATGAAATTCGTCGAGTTCGCATCTTAAACCTCTTAGCCCCTTAAATGGCACTTGAAATTTCACAGAAGTCTCTGAGGTGATATGCAACATCGTTTAGAAAATACTCGGGGGCACAGCGAAGAAAAGGCCAGAATCCATTAGTCAATAAAAACAGAGATAAGGCACCTCGTGATTCCTTCGGCGAGACCCGGTTATCTCTAGTTAGCTCAAGCGCTTAAGCTAAAGGACAAAAGTCGCAAACTCTGGCGATTAGTTACACAACTTCCACACACAACTGACGTCCGCGCGCGGCTTGGCATATGGATTTAAACCCACCTTTTTGCAACAACCTAACTTGAAACCGGGATTTAGGACCCACTATGGACCACTATATGGGGCACGACGATAAGGTGTTCATGTGTATGTCTCTGAATATAACCGGCCGAAGGAGTAGCAGCCACGTCACATGGATTAAGATTTTTTTTTTTGTTATCACACGACCGTCATGTTGGGAGATAAGCTTCAAAGAATATTCGAACATGTATAGTTTAACATTCTACCATCATTCACTACGTTTCAATATTGAAATCCAGTTGTTCGATGTCAATTTCATTAATCTTTGAAGTTTATAATACCTATCATCGATTTAAGCTAAGATCCAGTTATCCTCAAACAATATGATCTTCATACCCCGTGAAATTCAATACCTCATCCTAGATGAAGCCGAAAAATCACAATATACAACTCTCATCTTAGTCTGCAAAGCATGGAAAACAAAGCTTTTCAACAAGTTCAAGCAACGTTATGTTCAGCCACATTACCCTGATGCCGAATATATCGCAGCCCATCAGGAGTTAGACCTAGGACTCATTGCTCCAGTACCTCCTGAAAAGGCACCATTCTTAATCCACTCTGCCATTGTGGGGCATTCGAGATATTTACGAGGTACAATCAAGAAAATAGATTGGGGCACGGGATCTTGGTTACAGCTGGGGGAATATAATGTCGATAAAGCGCCTAAACCGGATGATCCTGATATACTAGCGGACACGGAGAAGTTCAAAAAGTACCTGCATGATCCCGTTATCATTCCAAACGCAGAAGATACTATGCTTTCGGGGCGTAGGATTAATCTCGTCACTCGTTATCCTGGAGGATCGAGCCATCAGCTTGCGCGACGAAGCGAGTCCAATACAGCGAAAGGAAATCAGAGGGTCCTAGTGGGAGAGGCATTGGGGTTTGAGTTTTTCCGCGGAGGTAGGCTACTAGAACGGCCAGAACTTGAGGAAGATGAAGTTGTGCCAAAGTGCTCTTATCATATTGTATATAACTGTGCGCCCGATCCTGATGGGAAAGCGGTTGTTGATTCGCACACTGATGTAACCGTGTTTCTTTATTATCCCGATATAGAATCAACGGTGGAGATTTGAGGGTACACCAACGAGACCAGGGTACACTAGTTTTTGGAAGTTCTGTATTTATCTACTTATGTTCTGCCGCGCGTCTAGAATTTAGATTTATAGAAAGCAAAAATAAACTATGCATCCTTGTAGCCTCGAGTGCTTTCTCACAGAAGGTTGCTCTGTAAAATAAAATCTATGTGGGCCCTAGCAAAACAAGTTATATTGGTACAGTCTCGTACCATAGGTTGCTTTTTCTAAAATCCTTACATCCGTGTTTGCAATTACCAGCTGAAATATTCTAATTTTACATATTTTCAATCGAGACTATTGCTTACTCTCCAACCGAATAACCAGAGACTCGTGATACACTATATATAAAACTTTTCACAATATAGCTACTTACTCAATATGATATCCCATTCCCATAGAACAGTTTCGCGTCTGCCAGACCTCTTCAAAGCTTCCAATCCGTTCGCTATTGGTTCGGCCGTAAGTGCCCCCTCAAAATCATTGAATGCAGAACTCTGAATCGTATTTGGGGATCAACAACCCGCTCAAGGAAAATCCACCTTCGTGCTTCTTGCAACAGAGAAAGACGACTATTTCTGGTAGCATCAAGCCATATGTGCAAATACTCGACTTCTTGGTCGCGGCAGAACCCTTTTGGGCTGTTAAAGGGACACGTTGAAGTCGCTTTGCAAGGCATCTTGCGTGGATTTTGTGTTTGTTGTATTTTGAGGCGTAGCTAGTACTAACTGCAACTGACTTTGAGTTTTATAGCAGTAGTATCCAAGGAGGTGGCCATTCAACAGCGCTCAGGACCCCAAAATGCAACGAGGATCTTTGATGACGTGTTCGAGATAGCCAGAGCGGTGAAATTTAACAGTCAATCGATCTTATATCTTGATACATGCCCCACAAGAAGAGTAAACATTACATTCTCGATCAAAATGTTTGACGTGAGCCAAAACGGCAAACGTGACAACTAGGTTCGAAGTTGGCTCAGTCCATACTATAGTAGAGACCGTATAGTGAATTCGATAATCAGCCACAATTAAAAGCTCATAGCCTGTAAAATCTTGTTAATCTTACTAGTGCTAGAATATATAACTTTATCATCGGCCGCAAGAGTTATGTACAGATAGGTAAACAATGTGCAATGCCTAAACGCCGCTTAAATATCGCTTCAAATTCAACATATGCTCATTAATTAACATAGTATATGTTGGAAACTAACTACTTGTCTTACAGCCCAGAAGTTAAATCGACTATGCTCCGCCGAGGTTTACAATAGCAAGTCTCCCCTCGTCGTGGTCATACACACTCTTGGGGACTGCTAAGAGTCAAAAACTCGTCGCAACTGTGAAGAAAGACTACATCTTAAGACTAGTATTGTGAATGTAGAAAGAATACAATCTTTACTCATATGCATACTTAAGATTTCGAACTTACCGCGAGGTACGAAATATCATCTTGAATGACGAAAATTACGTAATGCCCCCCCCCCGGGTCGCGGATTCGGCTCACGGAGTATGAAGTCCGTGATATTAGTAATTAACTTGAACAATATATTCTAGAATAATCGAATATTGGGATAATTAAAATATTGTCATATTATGATATCGACGGTATGGTTCATGACAATGCATATTTGAAATCGCGAGAAGGTAAAATATACTGTCGGTAAATTTATGTACCAGTACTTGGGCTAATATGGGAATCCAAAACAATACACTTTCTAGAATAGATTGGAAACGGAAACTACATTCCCTTAAAATAGCTACTCAGTTAAGATACCGATAAGCCTATGCAACTTCAGGGCCGTTTAACACCGGAAATCGATCGGCTCTTAGGCTATAAGTATCAGGGCACAAATCAGTACCCGGGTTTCGAGCAATCGAGCTCTCCCCAGATTTTCTAGGCTCCAAAGATCAGAAGATTGTCTGGTCAGAACCCTAGAAATAATCCCATATCCTATAAATTATCAGACATCTCTTTTGCAAAAACATAATTTAAATCCGCAATTATCTAGTTGGAAAATTAAATTCGCTTTCGAGAATTAGCTGTCCGATAACATCAAAATCCTATCCCCGAGAAAACTGATGAATAGCCTCGAGGACACTTTGTATACTAACGGTTATAGGAGTGATTTACGAGACAAGTTCTTCAATTCATTCCTATGTCTACGTTACCTGTACAATGGAAAGGTCCAGAGACCACTTCTTTAAAAATAGAAACTATTGACTTACTCCACTATATATAAGTTTATATAAATCCATGCCCAGTTTTGTAATACATATCGAGTCTAGGAGATAGCCATTGAATATTGCGCAAATATGTAGTGGACAGGTTTCATTTCGAAAGCAGTGCATCTTTATATTTAGTCAAAAAACGTTGTATTTTTGAAGCAACAACTAGGTAGGTAGGCACTAGGCTGGGCATGTACGCTATGTATTTTATCGCAGGGTAAAAGCTTAAAAGGTATATCCACTTCTTATCGCCTGCTACCAATAGAATAATGAAGTATGAAGCCGGAGAAGGGTAGTTAGTACGTTGATAATAATAGTGGTGTTGAGTAGAAATGGCTGCGGCTTGAGCTCGAGCCTGGGACGTTTGACAATTGGGTCTAAATGCCTTAACTGAAGATCCATGCATCCATTCACCGCAAACAGAAAAATGGACAAACAAAAAGCATCCGTCACCAAGCTTGATGCATCAACCTTAACCCAACGAGCCATACATAAACTTGGATTCTGCATATGCATTCGATATTCCAGTTGCTTAATCCAGTACATACAATTGATACTGGAGCCGACGGTAGGGGGAACTATGATCCCGAAAGGCAACGGCGATTCGACGCCCCGATATATATATATTATGCCTGCTGGATCAAACAGATGGTAAGCAGTCAACATTTCTTTGATATCCCAGCTGCAGCCGGGCTGAAGTATCAGCGAAGGTGTGGCCTCCCATGCGAGGCCAAATTTTTATAGCTGGTGAATTCGTGAATGTGGTGACGAAACTTAATACCAGAACTTAATGTTTGGAGCTGACAGTCAATTTACCCTGGGATCTTGTTCGTTTTACGTACAGAAGAACTAGTCAGTGCGCGAAGGCAAACCTCCGATTTCATCCATCCACCCATATGGCCATATGGATATAGGAATGCAGCCGGCCGTCGGCAAACGTCAATACCTATATAAAATTCTATATGAAGCTATACCCATGTGGAGAAAAAAGTTAAAGAACGTGCATCAAAGCCACGCAATTCCCCAGTTGCAGATTTCTAAGCATGCATTTTATTGGCAGCCAAGCCGTCGGAGAACAACGGACTCCGGGATTACAAGGGTCCGCTGACCCCGCGTGGCCAATAAAACCGTGGCATTCAAGGGCGGAGTCTAATTGATTACCGAACAACCGGTAGGAAAGTGGGCATTGCGAATACGGAATCCGGAGAACTGGCGGGATTCTCACCTTTTCCAGAAGTGGCTTTGTCAGCATATTTGGGAAATAATGTTTGAATCGCGATGCATCGACTTATTCCTGGAGTATATCCTTTTTTGTTCTCGAGATCTGTCGACGGCTCTCCGAACTAATATACCCAACCACCGCCTGCCTTCCTGGACGACAATAGTTAGCCCTTTTCTAATTTTGAAACTTGAATTCGACATTTTTGACCAACAGCAGCGAGAGGCTAAGCCTGAGGCCAGCGGGTTAACTTTTTTTTATATCCCTCGGTCCGAACGGAGGTCATTTTGCTCTCCTTTCTCACCTTACGATCTCAGATCCAGCTCTGGTCCTGCATCCGACCCCTTGCACGCCGACGTTACCTGCAGTTTCCCACCCTGACTTGCTCAGTCAAAAGTCAAACCTCTCTCTACTCGCACTTGTCGCTGCCTCGGCCGTATCCACTCGGAACTAGCATTCTTTCGGGGCGCGCAGGCGTCTTTATTCGCCGAAACACCCTCTTTGGCCAACATTCGCAAGAGAGTAAACTGGAATGATGAATTCCGGGTCATCCGCAGCGGCTTTACCGCCAATTCACTCATATCATCCCCAACACAATAATAATTCCACAAGCTCGAGCTTGAGCTCCTCTGCGCAACCTCGCTCGCCGCCACCGCTGCTTCCGGCTGTAACTCCCAACACTGGGCCGAGAAATACCAAAGCTCGTGCTTGCACTAACTGTAAGACAAAGAAGATTGCCTGTCGGCCGGGGACCGTTAGTGGCGTTTGTGTCAAGTACGTATTTTGTCCTGAAAGTCTTAATATGGCCTAGCCGCTTCTTTCGGTATAATTGCACAATATATCCATCCGCACCTCTTGGTTTTACCTGTAGACGTCTACGGCCGAACTATATTTTGCCCACGCTTGCTCATGCATATCTTGTTCTGCTGCTTGATATACACAAGATGCTCTGCAAGCTTTGCGATAACATTCATGCAAAATATACATGCACATTCAGCATCAGAAAACTAATCAGAGAATCAAATGTTAGATGTCAACGAGATAACAAGAAATGTATTGTCGAAGAACCCACCCCTCGGCCCGTGAGGGGGAAGGGCACCTCCAAGGCGTGCGTATACCCATACCTATTTGTCGGAGCAATAGGATAGCCTACTAAAGTACATGAGTTGTTATAGAAGAGTCGCCGAAATGGAGAAGAAGCTTGATGGATTAGTCGCCCTACTCACTGGCGCCCAATCGGTATCATCTAACAACAACAATAACTCTTCACCAAATCTCTCCGATCAAGAACAAGCTGCTATTGGACTTGCAAACCTCGCGCCCTCTTTGTCCCGTTTATATCACAATGGGGATAAAGGTGCCATCGCTAGTCTTGTCAACGAAAACACCATGCCGGATTTCAATGTAGGCTCTTGCCTTAGTGTTATCAAAGCTAAGGACGACGAATTCGAACATCGACGGAAGGAACGACGAGAAAGGGACGAGGAAATAGAGCGACAGCAGGAGAAGGTTCGACAGGACGTCAACTGCAGCAACTTCAACTTTATTATGCCGCCGCCATCGATCAAAGTCCCGTTGGAGGATGTAATTGGTCGAAATTTGGTTACCGAAGCCCAGGCCGACCAATACTTCTCGCTATTCACAGAGATGTCTGCACATTTTCCCTTCTACGTCATACCGCCAGGAACTACCCCCACCACTTTACGAAGGGAGAAGCCGATGCTATTAATGGCGATACTGTGTACCGCTTCGGGGATTGATAAAAGGGTTCAGATAGTGCTAGACAGGGACTTTCGAAAGGCGTACAGTGAAAGGATCTTTGTGAATGGTGAAAAGAGCCTGGAACTTTTACAGGCTGGGTTACTTTATTTGTCATGGTTTCAGTGTCATTTTTCACCAAGGACGCAAATATTCTTACAGATGGCGCATCTATTCATAAGTTTAGTAACAGACTTGGGGTACGACCGGAAACCAGACAAAGTAAAACCGCCGACAGGTGTTTTAGGGAATGAAGGGAACGTTGCAAGCCCGATGTTCTCTGAGGCCGGATCGGAACCTGCAGAGAGCACAGCAAAGTTAGAGGAGCAGGAGTTTAGGAATAAGGAGACTAGAAGAGCATTCTTGGGATGCTGGTGGCTTACTAGTTCGTAAGTGCCCTTCATTAAGTCATTGCTTTGACATTCAGTTAAATCATCATAGGTTATCGATCGATTTCCGCAAGCGGATACCTCTCCACTTCTCGAACTATATGGCGAGATGCCAACAATCATTTGTGGAAAGCCCGGAGTTCGAGTCGGATAAATATATGGTTATGATGCTCCGGTTACAAAAGTTCCAAGAAGACGTTTGCGAAACATTCCGGTACCACGAACCTGAAATAGCCGGCAAGCAGGATCTATTGAGAATCCAAATGAGTTTGAAGGCTTTCCAAACTCAACTGAAGATTCTTGAGCAAGATTTCCAATTCCTTGACCCTCGAAACCCAACTTGTATGTTGGCTCCTGCCCCAAGTTCTTTTTTTTTGTCTATACTAACGCTATGAATAGTCGACTCGGTTTACCCATCTATCTTTGTGATGGGAATATACCTCCACGAAATTGGCTTACACATGACCCCGCCACCCGCCTCCACGGCATCTTATGCTCCAACCGCGTCCTTAGAATATACCGCCGAACGAATCGGCATCCTTTCCGAATGTCTCTCCTATACCAAAAAATACCTCGACTGCCTGACTAGCTGCGAACCCAGCTGCTACCGCAGAATGACCGCCCCCTGCTGGATGCGCATCTCCTATGCCCTCGTCGTCCTTTCCAAACTCGCATTGGGCGGTACAGAACCTGTCGACTTGTGCAGCATCAAAGAAAAAACAGTCATTCAATACTCCAGTAAACAATACACAACCCTAAATCCACACCCAGCCATGATTGCAGAAGCAGCACAAAAGAAGAAAAGAGAGTTCATGCGGAGAATGTACAACCCTAATGGGGGAGTACCCAGTCGTAGTCCAACACCCGAACCCGAACCACGACCAGGTATAGCCCTCATCCCGTCTCCATCCAACGTCGACGGCTGGGATACCTCTGTTGTTCGCGCTGCGGTCAAGATGGAAATATATCTCGACCGAATGGTTGAAATCTGTAAAATCCTCCATCGGCCTTCATTACCCATCCGAGATGAGGATAGAGAAAGATATAAAGCCAACGGGGTTGAGGAGATCGTACCCCCAGATTTATACGATTTTGGAATGTGGATGTTTGGAACAATGAAAGAATGGTATCTTGCCATGGTGAGACGGGAAGAAGAGATTGAAGAAGCGGTTAAGGACGCCGTCAGCGCTACACCAGGTAGTTTGGTTGGCAATGGAATAACCATAGCCGGTAGCACAGGTGGTAGCATCATCACCACAACCACAAGCGGAACTCCAAACGGAAGTATAATAACAACAGCCGCAACCGGTAGTAGCGCCAGGACCAGGAGCACTAGTATCAGCGCCACAACACCAGGCGGTGGTACTCCGTTGGCAAAAGGATGGACGTCACCAACAACTGCTTTTCAATCTTTGAAGCGAAAGTTTGATTCGGATAAACCTAGAGGACCGAATAACGGTGCGATGGGGGATTACGCAAGTCCTATAATAACTTCTGGAGCAGGAGGAGGTGGTGGTGGTCAGGGTATTCAACCTATGCAGCCGATAATGGGAGGGCCAGATGACCAGCAGATGGCGTTGCCGCCCAGTATTGGGTTTGATTTTATGGATCCTGTCGGTGATGACTTTTGGGGCGCGATGTGGAGTAATTGGCCTTTGTTTTACCCTGGTGCTTGATTGGTTGGTTGATTACTTGATTGATTGATCCTAGTCGAGATTTTCGGGTCATATTTCAGCTTTAGCATTATACATTATTAATCTTGGTGGTTTGCGATTGACCGATTCTTGTATAAAGATGATTGTATGATATAAGCCCTTTGTAGTTAGAGTTATATACTCCCCCCCTTAATGATCTACGATATATATATTTTCGCACAACTTATAAAAGATAAAAGTATAGAATTCTTTAAACTAGTAACAGTCGAGTTGAGATATAAATGCTTAATCAGTAGTACCCCTCACCCGCCTGTTCTTCATAGCACATAATAGAAAAGAAACGAAACGCCAAACACTAATATCGTGTTGATATCCCAACATTCCAATTACAAAAAGTACAGACGTATATATGCTTGAAGCTTTTTTCTAAATCAAAATCCCAGAAGTCCTCCCAAAAAAAAAAGAACCGATATTTAAAACTGCATTAACTTCATACGTAAAATAAAGAAAAGGGGAAATATAAAAAACGACGTCTTTAGAACTGATCATGGTATCATTTGTTAAACTCCGACTCCACCACCACCTCCAAACAGGATCTCATACAAGTCCTTATCTGGCATATCCATCTCCACGCTAGGGGCTGTATACCCACCTGGCATACCTCTCATCCCCATCCCCATCATTCCGCCATTCCACGTAGCTCCGCCAGCCATCCCACCAATATCCGCAGCACTATTGCCCCATTTTACACTTACAGCCGTAGGATCCGTCATTCCCATAATATTTGGCTGAGAGCCTTGTTTACCATTAGCATTGCCCTTCGGTGAGCGATTAGTATTTGCCCCATTATGGTGGGGGTAGGTATTCGCAGCGCCTGGGGTAGCAGCAGGTGCACTGCCGCTTCTCATTCCGTCTCTTCCGGTGGATCCGCCGGGTGCCGTCGGCGTTGTCAATGGCGGCGTCATGAGGGCTCCGTTTCCGAAGGGTTTGCTGACTGAAACTCTCATACCATTGTTGGTCATATCGTTGTTGTTCCCGGTATTATTCCATACCAGGCCACTATTGGAGCGCTCCCTTTCGCTCCCAGCGTTGGAAGGTGGTACTGGTGGGATACTGCTCATCTCGCACAGCATTTCGACAACTTCTTCTAATAGGCTCTTAAGGGTTCCGATGTTCACGACGGAAAAGTCTATATCGCTCGTTGAGAACTGTGGGGGTCTTGTACCCATCTTTTCTGCTTCGAGGAACTTCTCGAACCCGCGTTTCAAGATGCGGAAGACACCACGGTAGCGTTTTAGATCGTCGAATTTGGAACCAACGGCGGTGAGAACGTCCATTGCAGAGCCAAGGTCGGACGACACTATATTTATGTTAGCATGTCATAATTTTGGACTATACGGATGCTTCTGATATACCTTGTTCAACTGTGCAGTATCTCCTCCTGAAGGAACTGAGGATCAAGACACTCCTAAGAAACACTAATCCTGCCTTGAATACCCTGTAACCAATCAACCAACTAATGAAGCTGCTCAGCTCCACTCTCTTAGCAGCACTACGGAGGACGTATATTGATGCGAAGGCAATATGTGATAACTTTCGATGATCTTGCGATGTTTGCATCGAGCTATTTGTTAGACTAAGCCCGTTACTTGGCGTAAGCGGGCTAGAGTCGACAGGCCTGTACTTTTCGTTGGGCTTGATGAGGAGTAACAATGCGCCGTAATATAAACCATCAAAATAGTCTCTGATCGTATCCCGTAAAACCTGATCTATCGATGGCGGGAATACAGGGAACGATTGTCGCCAGGAGAGGAGGTTGGTCTGATGGTAGGTAAAATTCTTGGTCGGGTGGGTCATGAAATCGGTGCGGATAAGATTGTAGCGGATGAAGTGTAGGGCGAAAACATCAAGTGGGTTTTCTTTGGAAAGAGTTGGCAACTTGGCGGTAACATCGGTATCCTGTATACTAAAGGGACGGTCTAGGGCTTGACAGATACATCTATCGAGCACATATGCTGTCCAGAATACCCAGCGTCGTTCTTCTTGTACACGTTCATCAACTGGGCCACCATCCTCACCCTGTACCATATCCATATGATATCCTAAACATATGGCCTTCCTGATTGCGAGGCCGATAAAGTGCCATGTCGGACCAGCGGAGGGACTATAGAGACTGTATATGGCGAGTAGAAGGAGTGCTCTAATAGTATCAATTGGATCGTCAGTTCCAACGTTGGAGCCTTCAGAGCCTTCAAGGACGGCTTCGAAATGTCGGATGGCGGCGAAGAGGAAATGGTTGGAGAAGAAGGCAGAGTGAGAAGCCGAATCCTCATCCAGGGTAATCCCGATTGCGAGAACCATGTATATTATAAAATTCTTAATGGGTGAATCCGGATGTGAACCAGAGCCGTCACCGGAAACTGCCTGGGTGGGACCACCCGCCTGACTAGTCGCCGATGATCCTGGATAGTTATCCTCCTGAAGGGCAGATCGGGCACTGGATACACTCTCCGCCCGTGCCATTTGCTTTGATTGCCTATTTACCCATCCTTCGTAGTACTCTTCGATATCCTTGCGGTCAAGTACTCGGTACCGGAATTGCACCATTCGGAAGTACTTGTCCATGTGTTTTCTACCCGTTGAGCCGGAAAGTTGGCTTGCCATATCTGGGAGGACATGGGGGATAGCATCTGCAAGGTCCGTGAAGAATGGATTTATCCGAGTAGAAAGGGCTGGGTTACGCCCATCACTACGGATAATGCTACTCAGTACCTTTGAGAAAGTGAAAGGTCCTGATTCATTCGAGTCGCCGATGTTGCTTAGGGATAGTATGGACATTGTCGGAAGGGTGGAGACATCATGATGGATCGCCGGAGCCGGAAGCTCCATCTGCGAATTAACAGATGAAGCATGGGTCATAGAAGCAGTCGCAGACAACATGAGAAGGTTTTCCTCTCCGTCAAGTTCCATCCGGCCTTGCATGTATCGGTCCTGCCATGATGCTGCACCGTCGTCGAGTTTGAGACGCTTGGACGGTTGGGATTCGGGTGTGCCGTGCTGTTCTCGGAGGGACGAAAGTTTCTCTTGGATATTACTCTCCAGGAACCGGACCTGTGCCTCAAGTTGTTCGATATAACCTTTTGGAAGACGAGCCGATTGAGCGCCAGCGGCTCGACGGCGGTCCGTTACGTCGGGAACATTACACTGGTGGCCAGATTTAGAACAGTTGGAGCACGAAGGCAGCTTCCGGTCGCACTGTATTTCGTATCAAAGAATAGTTAGAAGACTTGTCATCCAATTAATCAGACTAGTATACTCGAAGACGGTATTGTAGTTGATACCTTCTGCTTTCGTCGCCGACATCGCTCGCATGCGATAGGCATTTCGCCTTTCCCGTTGGAGAGGGCATCTTGCATAAGCTGGCTGGCACCCTTTGCAGCCGCAGCCTTATCTTCCGTCATAGCTGTCGCGGGAAGGTATCTCCCCTGTATATATATACTCAGAGTCTCGTAGACTCAGTGACCTAGGTCGCGGGAGGAGGCCAGCAGAGTCGTCGGCAGGTGTCGGTTTTGGGGGGCACGATGGAGGTTGGTGGTTTTGGAGTAGCGTCGGGGAACGACCGAAGAAATTTGCGATGAGAACGGGCTTTGGCAGCAATATAAAGCCTCCCCAGCAAACAACCAGCAACTTCCCCCCCCAAAACCAAACTAACTAGCACCAAAAGAAACGCCAGAACTACTCCACCAACAGCACACTAAAGGCACAGCACGAGCTTAGCTAATGCTTCGGAGGAAGCTTAAGTTAGCGACGGCCTAAACTAGGACCCTTTTTCTTAGTACGTTGCGTTTGCAGCCAACGACGTGAAATCGAAAAAGGGGTGGTAGTGGTGCTGGTGGACCCTTTATCAAAATCGGATTCGGATTCAAATCAGAATCAGAATCAACATGGACCCACCCCGCCGCCGCGATGTCAACAAGTCTTCAACATACAAGTCATGGATGAAACTATACATCTGCGATATCACGGCTTCTTTAGTGTCTCTGAGTCCATCGTTTGATTCGGAATCGACATACTCCTTCAATGGGCATCCCATTCGTTGGATATCAATTGTGGGGACTGTCACCTCCATCGACGAGCACGAAAAGAAGATTCTGTTCAGTATTGACGACGGCAGTGGCCAATGCATCAATGCCGTCGCCCGGAAAGATAGTATGACAAGCAAAGACATGCCACGACTGCATTCTACGGTCAAGGCCAGGGGAGAGTTGGAGCTCTACCACGATGCATGGCAGTTGAAACTCACATCGCTCGAACTCGACGCCCCGCTAGAGACCCAGATCAAGTTCTGGACCGAAGCCAATGAAAACCATGCTCGTTTGGCAAAGACTGATGCGAGGAAACGTTCCAAGCATACCGTCTGAGGCATCACCATCACACACGCACACATACACACACACACATCCCGACACATTGCAGATACTTATGTATGTATGTACTTATGTAAGTACGTACGGATTATCGTATCTAAACCCTGTTGCGTATGTATAGTACATATATGTACATGTGCATGCATCCCGAAAAATGTGTCCATTCCTTTCTCTCCGCCTATAGCCGTCGAGAGAATTCGAAACGCCTAATTGCTTAACCATTGTGTGATCAAAGATCCAAGGAAAGAAAACACAACAAAGAAAGAATTAAAGAAACAAAAGAAATATTCATTTGATCGATTCGTTTTCGTTTTCGTTCGCCATCGCCTTAGCTTTTCACGAAAATGATTAGAAATGGGATTGTCAATTGGAAAAACGTCCTGCCCAAATTGCAATAGGCAGTTGCAAACGCCAGTGTGATAACCTTGCATCCTCACCTTGTTCTCCGAGACTTTTCACCTCGACAGCTCAACTAGTGCGCACTCGAGAGAGCTACAAGCTTCTAGAGCTTTGACTATTGACGGATCATGTGTCGACATGCAGCTCGAGACGAAAATCCCAAGGGTCGGGGTCTATAAGCTTAACCCAGAGAACTGAAGCTGAATGGTCAGTTCAGCGCTGTCCATCAACGGCCAACGATGAATTCGAAAAGTCTAGTCTGGGATATGTGCATTCTCGGGTGCATCCAGAATCCCTACTAAGAATTCCCCAGAATTGCAATTGCACTGCATTGGACACGAGGACACTCTCACACATGGGTACGCACACATACCACATACTAAATACTTACATACACTGTACTATGGACACGGATACACCCTCGAACGGCTCCTCAATGATCTCCTGCATAGACGAGACGACGAGGAACATGGAGCGTTCCATCCCCACGCCCTTTTCGCTCTTTTTTTCCGATCTCAAAGAGCTCTTTCCCCGGATTTTGCGGGAACCTGAAATTTTTTAATTTTTTTTTCATGGTCACGGGGCGTGCACAAATATGCTGAAAGGGGAGCAGTCAGCTAACAGTGGCCTAAAATTGGGCACATTCGCGACAGCTGACCCCCAAACTCTGGTTTACTCTGGCCCAATATCTGTTGCAATGCCGAAAGGCGACTCCGAGCGGGCCTGCCAATTGGCTATTGTAGGCGAAGGAACGGTGGCGCATTCCCCAAAGGAGCATCCTTCTCGTACATACAGACACACCACGGACACGCTTTGGACAAAGCAAAGTTTACACGACATAACCAAGGTGCTTGCTTGCTATGTACCCCAAAAGAAAGATTGGGGGCCTCGTGCGAAAAAAAAAAAAAAGGCAGGACGGAGACAGAGGGGAACAGAGTGGAGAGAAATAATTCGAGAGAGAAAAGAAAGGTCACCAGCTCTTTAGGCTGGCATCATCCGCCGCCCCCTTTTGTGACGTTCCTTTTCTTTCGTCGCCGTTAACTTCCATTATCGTCATCGATATCAATCCAGATCAGATCAATTCAAAGCTGGAGCTGAAGCTCCGCTGACTGACTGACTTAATTTGACTGACTGAATGCCTGACCGAGCCTGAGCTCACTCTCGAGATCTCTCTTATACGCAATCTATGCAACCAACCACCAGCTAACCCCCCCAATCAATACCTGTCATTCACCATCCATCTACTATCGTTCTCCATTTAATTTTAATTGGGGTTTCCTTATTTTTATTTTAGTTGCTTTGCTTTTGGTTTGACGCTACGCTGCCCGCATTTGCACTGTTTGATCGCTCATGAACTCGCTATTGAGGAGAACAACCTGCTCGTGTGCCCTTTTTGTGTTGTCGCAGAGTTTTGCCGGCACATCGCCGAAACCGCCTCCCAACTTCATCTCTTCTCTCTTCTCCTCCTCCTGATCGAAGAACCCCGTCGACAGCCTCAGTTCAAGCATCATGGATGAGCATTTCGAGCGTCCCGCAAAACGCCAGAAGCAGGACGGCTTGTCACAGTCTCCCGAAGCCTCCAACTCCGCCAAGTTCCCGCCTGTCGCCAGATCTCAGTCCTCCCGCCCCGTCTCCGAAGAACCCCAACGAGCTAGCTCAAAGTCCGAAGCGGGCTCCGATTCTCCTGCTATTCCTCTGCTCTACAAGCAGCCTGCCTGTCAGAGATGCAGGAGCAAGAAGATCAAGGTACCGTTCTGTCTCGTCTATACCCGTTTGACTCTGGCCCTGATCAGAGGCCGTTTCACGTGTATTCTAACTGATTATGTCCGATTGATTGATAGTGTGATGCTTTATCACCACAATGTACTGCTTGTAAAAAGGCCAACGAAGCATGCACAATCGCCAACCCCACCAGCCATCAGGAATACCATAGAGGGTATGATGTCATTCCTAATCAATGGATTAAGACTCTCTATCAATCACTATCTAACTCTCTCTTTTTCTTCTTTTTTTTTAAAAAATTGTAGATACGTCGAGTCGCTAGAAGATCGCATAAGCCAGTTGCAGTCGTACATGCAAAGCATCTCTCGTATAACCAGTCTCGACGAAGCCGCTCTCCATGACGACTCTCTTGTTAACAGCTCTCCGAAAGGCGGGATCACTCGCCCCGAGTCTCTTATCCCTCACGGCCCGGGTATCCAGCGAATCAATCAAAAGGACAAGGATGCCAACGACCGCGAAGCCAGATTCATTGGCGAGGGAAGCGGAATCAAGTTCGTCCCCTCGTGTGACATTACATTAAGTTAAATCTTTTACTAATTGACGAATAGCTTTATCAATTCGATTTTGGCAGCTATCCGAACTCGCCATAGCGATATAAACCTTCTCCGTTCATTGCTCTCCTCCAAGAAGAAGTCCTCTGCCAAGGCTCCAGCCGGCAAGTCAAGCTTCAGTCAGCAACGCTCGACCCCGCCCAATCCACCACCCCGGGATCTCGGTCTCCAACTCCTTCGTACCTACCTCGAGAAAGCCCAACCAAAACATCCCTTCATCGCCCGATCCGAGATTGTCCGGGTTTGTGAATCTCTTTTGGGAATCCGCAATGCTCGTCCATTGTCTTCCCAAGATCATTTCCGCGCCTATATGGTGTTCGCAATTGCTTCGGTATGGCATTTCCGACAAGGTGAAAAGGATACCGTCAATCCCATGAAGTTCTATGCCAATGCTATGTTCTATATCGATGGTATTCCTCGTCTCCATGGAGTAGATGGTGTTACAAACCTTCTTTTCATTGCCCGTCTCGGTTTCTTCTGCACAACTGGTCTTAGCCTTTGGTACATTTCGAATCTTTGTCTACGTATATGTGTTGAAAATGAGATGCACTTGAATCCTCCTCGCAGCAAGTTTACGCCTTCGATGCCTGCCTTTGAGGAGCAAATCAGACGCCGCCTCTTCTGGCAATGCTACTCTCTTGATCGCCACGCCTCGCAAACCCTCGGGCGCCCTTTCGGTATCTCAGATGAAGACATCAAAGTTGACCTACCTGAAGACGTTGACGATGAGAAGCTCATTGGCGTAGCTGAGGATTTACCAACATTTATGTCCCACTATACACCGAAGCATACAGGAAATATCAAATCTGAACTTGCATTCTTTATTCACAATATTAAATTGAAGAAGATTACATCTCGGATGAACGTTGCCCTCTTCGGACGATTTTTGCATCAGCCGAAAGACCATATCGCCGATGTCCTCGCCCCTGGGAAGATGTACACATTTTTCGAAGACTTCGTTATCGAACTCGAAGAATGGCGTATCACCGCTCCCACGACACCGCCAGTAAGTGCGGTTCCAATGAGTCGAGCATACGTTAGTCAAGATTGGTTCGACCTACACTTCTACCAAGAGAAATTGACTCTCGTTCGAGCGATCATTGACCTCATCCCCCGCCCCACTGGCCACCCGCCGAGTGATCTTCTTGACATCTGCTTTGTCACTGCTACCAGGATCATCAAGCTATATCAGAAAGATTCCGCAATGGGTGATATAGAACCTGCTAGAGGTCGCTTATATAGAGTTTTCGTGGCAGGTATCAGTGTGCTCTACTGTTTGCTGCTTACCCAGCAAAGAACCCGAGACGAGCAGAGTGATATCATCTTACCGAGTATTCAAACTACCCGGGCAAATGATGCAGCCTTGCTACAGGAACAAAAAGAAATGTTAAGGACATGCCAACGGACCCTAGAGTTGATGGCGAAGCCATTGATTGACGACGGCAGCGGGTTGAAATATGTCCGGACTTTCGAGGTTCTCTGCCGCGAGGTTTTGAGGAGAGTGAATAGTGACAGCAACGCTGCCGCCAGAAGCCCGACTGCTGTCAAGCGGAAGATTGCAGCTGCCACTGGCAACGGAGGTGGTCCTGGTAGGCCAGACCCCGAGAAAAGGGGCAGAAGACAAAGTACCATTGAAGTCGGCGGTGAAGGAGAGTTCGGAGGCGCAAGTCCGCCTTCCGGATACGAAAAGATACACGTTCAGAATGGTAATGGTGGTAATGGAACGTACTCGGCACCAAATGGGACACCTAACGGAAACTCACCCCATAGCAGTAGTAATTCTTGGGCAGGGATGAGCGACTTTGCGGTTAATGAACTTGGGGAGTGGTTCTCTGCCGACTACGGCAACGGACAGAATGGATCTGGGGGAACAGGAGCAGCCGCAGTGGATTGGGATCTGACTGGTGGCGGGAATGTGGCAGTCGAAAACGGTGTTACCGGAGGATACGACTATCAGTGGGAAGGATTAGGGGCAGAATGGGCAGGATTCCTAGAGATCCTGATGGATGGCAAGACGAATTGAGTAATTGGGCCCTTTATAAATATATATTGATAGATTTGGAGAGTTTGGAAAAATGCACATAAAGCTTTTTGGGTAGGATCACAGTTTTATTTCCTCATCGGTTTAGGTTTTTCGGGGAGGGTTTCTTCAACATAAAAAATTTTATAGACACGGAATTCGACGGTATCGGATCGTTAGCTGGATTTGTTTCCTCCTCTTTTTTTGTGTTCTTTCTTTTGAAAATTTTCTCTCTTTCATTTTGACGAGGAGGTTTGGAGTATATACGAGGTTATAGGATTAGGATTAGGATTAGGATTTCTTTTTGGTCTACTTTTTGGTCATATGTTTTCTATATATTTCATCTTGTAAGTTACTTTGTTAGTATTATATTGGGAATTTATAATATACATATCGTTTTAACTTGTCGACGAAGGATGATCGCTTTGCGATCTCGAGATCGATATCATAAACTTGTACCGTGCTCCGGAGTTCTATAGGTTTTCTCGTTTCTCAAAAACTTGGGTCTACGTAGAAGGCTATGGTTGGAATGTCGCAGATTCCCATTTCGAAACTATACAGGACACCTCGAAAGCCTTTGGGATATTATATGATGCATGCTAGAGCCCACAGCACCTACTGATTCTTTGAAAAAAAAACATTCACATCATTCGAACGGGCCTAGATTCTGTGATGTTGTATGCGTACAAAACGGTTAACAAATTCTCGTAAGTCATTTCAAACTCACCATCTAGATACCATGCACTCTAACCTTCCTTCCCTCTTCCAACAACATATCTTTCCCTTCTAGAATTCTATCTAGCGATATATTTCACTCTGACGTGTCAATCTATGCGACTTCAGATGCAATAGAAGGGAGCTCGCACTTTGAGGCGAATGGTTATCATAGAGCTCGGAGCGCCAGGTTAATCTAACGGTCCATGCGCATATGCCGGTACACATGCCGACGTTACACAGCGCGTTATATATGCATGTCGATGCGCGAGCAACGAATTGCTGGTATGATCTGCATAACCGAATAAGTAATTTTAAGGTAAGATGCTAGCATCGCCAGAATTATTAATTCGGGCGAGGCAGGTTCTATACCACATGAAATATCCAACAATACAACAGGTACTAGGTTGATAGATACCTAGTATGGCGTATATACGTGTCACTGGCTACTAATTGCTTGTGTTACCACGGACTAAATGGCTGGAGGCTTGGAAATTGAATGGGATTTCGAAATTTCATTTGCTTTTGTGATTTTTGTTTTTGCGAGAGTTCTAGTTAGAAACCACTTCCTTGCAGAGAGATGGTCGTGGTACAAAATATTTTGCATGTTTGGTCGCAGATGGTGCGGGCTGGCGCCCGAGAGTGAGCTTAGATTTCAATCACGTTGCTGTGCATATGTGCATACATACATGCAACTGGAAGGCTATAGTGCTATTACGTAAATTCATAAGCTCAAGGTATAATGCACTTTTTAGAAAGATCCAGTACTGATCGTACACATCTGTACAGAACCAAGGAAATAAAATCGTATAATATTGACCTAGATGCCTTGGTATCAATGATACCACTGTCAAAATACCCAATGTTCATTAAGCGGTAACTTTCATAAGTACAAGGTATATCTATGTCAAGTTCAATACCAATAATACAGACCTTCCTTCAGTCTAAACCCCCTCTCCATTATTAAGGTTTCTTGGTGATTTTTAGCTTCCTTCGCCGTCATGACGTTTCCACGAAGGTATTTTAAGATCTCTTGAAAGACATCCTCAGGAAATACTTTTCCAATGATACTTTGGCGGAGCAGATGCTCATGTTGTCCTGGTTGCTGTGGGGGAATTGTTCGAGTGGATGGGAGCTATATCAAAAAATATATCAATTTCCGTGAACTAAAAATTTTTTAGTTAGTGACTAGGAACACATACCTCATCCGGGTCTATGTACGGATTGCAAATACGGAAAAGAACCATCTTAGCGAACCCAGGCTTTGTATGGTCCTCTAGATTGAAGGAAGAAAAACAGTGCTCATATACACTCGGGAAAACTATGGCGCGATTCACCTGCACACACCAAATTATAAGCTAGGATCTGGAGAACTATTAGCCTTCAATTTCCAGCTAGTAATTATTTCCACCTTCATCAAAGCCGGGGCATAGTCGTCAACTATCCTCAGAGGTCTAATTCCATCATAGTACGGCATCGTATGGTAGTAGTTTTGGTGACGTATCCTAAGAGAAAAGTCGGTTATATTCTCTTTCGCATAGTTGTAGATCCCAGTGGCGACTCTAAATTCGTTCTAGGGACGATTAACTTCTCTTGTTAGTTTTATAACTAATTATGCATGCATAGAGAAATTTCGAAACCAGAGTTAATACGGCAACAGAATTATTTCCGTACCATCATACCGTCCACATGCCACTCATCACCGGGATAATGAGCATCTTCTGATAATAAAGATATTTTCAACAACCTCGTCATAACCTTGACCGTTTTGCCTTCAAGGCGGCGTTGCGCAAGGGTTTTCAGATCCCTCCAGCCAACTTCGTTCTGCAGATCATATCCGCAACTACCCCATTGAGGTGCAGAATACCGATTCCAATCCCATGACCGGTCCCTATAACCTGGGTCTGCCAATGTGTAGTTGAACAATGGGATGAACTCCGTAAAAAGCTTCTCGAAAGTTGGGCGAAACAGGAAATCATGACCCAGGAGTGATAGGTTGTTGATGTACGTACGAAACAATCTTTGTACTACCACCTGTCGCGGCGACTTCGAATTCGGTTGGTAGCCAGCAATAAAGATCGTCAAGTCCTTCATCCACGTGTCCTAGTGGGAGGGATATTGATTCAAACTCGCCATTTTTTAAGGCTAATGTCTTTGTGTAGACGATAGGATACATTGAGGGATCTAATAGATCCGTGGTGCTAGTTGAAAGTCTTAGGCTGTCACAGGGAAACCCTCTTTCCTCCGCTGGAATATTCTCTAAAACCTTCAGCATGCTAACTCTGGCGGTATTAAGCTTATAAAATTGAACTGTCGTGACTTTACCACTGTTCAGCTTCTCTCTCCACTCCTCATCAAGTACATCATCCCTCCTCCATCTCCCATCCATATCAGGATCAATTAGAATGTTATGTTCCCTCAACTTCTGCACCCCATCTCGATAATGCGAAAACATTTCATGAAACATGCTAGCTTCTATGTCATCGTCTAAGCCGGCTTCAATTAGCCACGCTTTAGTATAGTCCTCATCTTGGGACTTTTCCATTCAATCGGATTGTTCGAGAAATGTCCCAAAGGCGCTTTGTCTAGTTACATTTTCGGGGTAGAGGGGATCAGGCGGGGCTGATGTGAAGTCGACAGTTAATTGCTAGCGATATCAATAGACGTTTCGCCAAGATGTTGCACTTTATCATCCAACGCAGCTTTGCCGCTTGCTTGAGCGAACACCCGAAGGAAAGATCTTTGAAGCTGGCTCACGATGCGCCTGTTTACGTAGCTCCATACATGTACTGCATGGGTTTCTTCGATATCGATATCGGTATGTGGGCATAATTAGTTAGTGGAGTCTCTTGGCCTGAGTCGCTTTATCAATCAATCTATCATGCAACTTTAACTCTTGGTAAAATATTTATTGAATATTATATTAAGAAAATATCATTTTTCTGTCATTATCATTAGGTATCATGTTGAATATTTGGTATCTAGATAGGTCTATTATGGTTTGGTGTAGTTAAATATAAACCCGCATTAATTCCAGACTTTCTATGAAGTCAACCACTATATCATCCTTCCAGGGGTATCAAGTAAGTAACTATTTTGTTGAATAAAATAACAAAAGAAAATGTGACGTGGAAATAAATCGCTAAATGGGATATAAAGAACAAATGAAAGACATTAAATATCAACTTCCAGCTAGCGAATCACTCTCTTCTCGGTTCTGGGTCTCTTGAAGCCTCACGGTCATCTGCGTCTCCATCTTGAGAGTTTATGCTCGCAGTCTGGCTCCACTGCCACGCACCATTGATATACATCAACTGGCCGTGGTTGTCAAGGGGTAGTTCGTCGTCGTCCCTCTTGTTCGGGCTCCTCAATCCATCTCGGATTTCTCTGAGACGCTCTTTGCTACCCTTCAACCCGACCCTTAATCTATTCTCAAGCTCAACCTTTTGCACGGCAAGCTCCTCTACACTTCTCTTCCTATCGCTGCCCCATCGATCAGCGATGTGGTCTTTTAGTTGTCTCCAGACTCTTTCGTTCCAGCCGTATGTGATTGCATTGGCCAACCCCACGAACTGTGTGCTCGCTTGCATAATTTGCATTACCGAGCTCTTTCCACCAGAGGCTTCAATCAAACGGTTTATGATGCCAGGAATCCACAGGAGAATGTACATCGCCGGATATGCATTGAGAAGTAAAATCCTCCTAACTCTTCTCGACCGCGAAGCGTTTTGTTGTCTGATCTTCCGCTCATTTTCGTCATGGACGTCCACGTCCGCAAGATGATCATCTTCATCAGCTCGACGATGTGCGAATGGATTACTGAATTTTGGTCGACGGCTTTCGATGGTATTTGCAGTTTCGGGTCTTAGATCTGTAGCTGGTCGGTCAAGGCTATTGTTTGCGCTGGAGATAGTAGTTGTGACTGCGTGTGCCGGTAGTGTCTTATCGTCGTATGTTTCGGAAATCCAGACTTCGGTTCGGACATATGCCTCGCCGGATTCTAAATCTTGTCCTCGGGCTCCAACGGGTCTGATATCACCTTCGTCGGCGATGCTGAATGGCATTTGAGAATCCGATCGTTGTGGCCCCTCGGCTGGAGCTAAAGAATCATTTCTAGCAGCGACAGAATCCAACCTGATGGCCATAGAATCGTTTCTAAATTCCGTACCCACATCGCGAACCGTCGATCGACCGGTATGAGAACTACACCGACTCGCATCCAAAAACGCACCAAATCGCTTTCGAATATAGAAGTGTAGATATGTATACATAACAATCTCACAGAAGATGAAAGCAAACCGCCAGCCATGTGTCATCACATATCGAAAATACGATGGCTCGGCTTTAATCCAGCACCAGTTTCCAGAAACTGGTCCATAACGGTTCATACCTAGGGTGATGAAGGAGGTGGTCATGGGGAGTATCCATGTTGCAGCGCAGATTAGAGCTGTTGTTGTCCTTGGAAGGGTTTCACAAATTGTGGTTTTGCGGGTGAGGGACCAAACTGTGACGATGGCAATGGCGAGGATGGAGGTGTCTGTTGCTTGAACGGAGAGCTGACCGAGGAACCCGTTGGCGACGCAGCCAGGGCTGTCTGGGATTTCGCGGCGGTTGATAAGACGCCAGAGACCAGATGTGGAGTTGTTCGAACTGTTTATGAAATCTATATCACGTATATTAGTCTTTCATTGTATACGTTTAACGGATGATCCTGATGCAAGTTTCCCGGTGCTTACCTGCAATAGCTAAATTCAAAATCAAAGAATGTCTGAAATGTCGTTTGATTGGTAATAGCAAATAAGTTACTACGATAAATCCAGACCCAAGGAACGACGAAAGACTACCGATCAGATTTAGGACGGCAATTGTAAAAGAAAGTGTCGTGAACGCCATGGTTGCGTCGGGGTATTATGATCCGTTGAATAACCAAAAATGATGAAATCCTCCCAAGTCTGAAGCCGTTACGGCCTCTAAAGACACAAGGGCCTACAAGAGGCCTTAGGACTAGAATAAAGCCACCTTATTGACTGTGTAGTCCTTATTTTTTTTTATCTTTAGTGCAGCTGAAGTTATTCTTTACAGCGTAGTAGGATTAGGATATAGGATATAGGACTTGTTGGAGTTTTGAAATGCGTTGTGAAATATCTGTGTAACTTGACAAAAGCGGTAACCGATGTTAACAGTCGTTGACGCTAGATATATCGGTATCGATGTAGGTTCGAGATATCGCGATCCCGTCGATGTTTCTGCTAATGTTTCGCCGTCGACGGAGGAAAGTCGAAAAAGGAAATCCTATTTGTAAAAGTGTAACGGGAAGAAAAAAATAAAAGAGTGTATGAATGACTGGAGTGAATGACTGAAAAATTGAAGAATGAAAGAATGTCCCTGCTAAAAAAAAAATTGGGGGATGGAAGAATCTCCCTCGGTATTATGCAAAAATTCTAATTTAATCCCACTTTGGTAGTTGCGGATGCCGCACACTTGTCGGAATAGCTAAGTAGCTTAAAGGCAAGTTGCAGGACAAAACTGGCTCTCGAACAGCTAGAATGAACAAAGGGCCAAGGCTCTTGTCGTATACTTTGAGAAATTGGAAGCTCGTAAGGGGATTAAAATGCTGAATGGGTTCTTTTTTTAAGATTGAATCCTGGTAGATCGTTCTTGTTCTCCTCGATGGATGATGATGTTGCATAAGCGACTAAACGGAAACGAGACCTTTTTCATCAGGGCCCTTGAAGGGAAACATTCTATTCATATATAGTTCGTGAACTCTTCATGTCATGGCGAAACAAGGTGAATCGAACCATGCATAAAATGGTCTAGCATACAATTCTACTACAAGAATAAGTAGCAAGCTTCGCTCGGGTTCATTCCATTTGCTTTTCCAAGCTCATGCATACTGATGTAGGTCTAGCAAGCAGTATTTTACGTTCTGATGTATGAGGGGCACGGTGGCTTGTTTCTGCCTGTCGAATTCCAACGCCTTTACCATTCACATCAGGTCCCCACACACCTCTTTTGCACCTGAGGGAAAAGAAAAAAAGGCAGAAGATCAACGGTCTGCAGATTTGAGACATGTCGCACCCTTCTTCTTGGAAAATTAGGGAGAGCCTGATGGGAAATACGATTGGAGAGTGGAGTTTTGGCGCACCGATGCGCAGCTGTCGACAGGTGTGTCTTGCCTTGAGACCTTGGGGGCGCCGCCGAACAAAAAATAAAGAATTGGGCAAAGGGCCCCTCTTGCAATGCATGGAACGTTAGAACTAAGTTGGTGTGTTTCTTGACAGGCCAGCACCGCCCGACCAGATGCTGCGAGTACAAGCGTTGTTCGACTAATCCGGGGTGGTCGAAGCGAGCAAGCCATTAGGTCATGGGCGTCAGCCTGGGGACCCAGAACGGGTAAAAGATCTTGGATAGCCCCTGCTCAGGTTTCCCGTGTGCAAGCATTTTTTGTATGGACGACGAACAGATATCGAAAAATCCCACCTGCGGTTTGTATTTTTATAATAAGAAGGATATGGTTCGCCATGGATTTGGGTAGGAGGATCGCAATATGATTTGAGCGCTTTTATTTGTTATTCATATTTTTTGTATGCGTGCCGTAACCGATCGATCTGTATCATCGGCATGGAAGTTGACGCAAAAAACGGATGGATGATTATCATGATAGCGATAAATTTGATAACCACCTGTCAATAACTGCAAGTGACGAGCTCTCGGGATCTTGGAGACAGCACACACGGCCGCGGCCTACAGGCTTGTAGATCTTTTGATTATACGACTTGACAGGCGAGGGAACTTCTGTGCGTTAACTCAATTGAGGTAAGGAACCTTTTGATCGATTAATTACAACCTTTTCTCTCACATGTCTGCACTTCGGGACGAGGAGAATAAACCGTGTTTCGACGTTACAGGTCAATATACGGCTGACCCGCTCTGACCAAAAAGGTCTATAGATGAACGAGTTATAACCGAAAAAATTCTTGACTACCAAATCGAATACTCAAAACCCATGGGATTATTCATCCACGTGTGATAAAATAAATATGCCCCGGCGAGTTCTTAAGCTTGCCTCCGGTGAACATCAAACACGGGTTGGGTGCTGGAACTGCAGGAGCGTGAGAGGTGTGTGTTAGGCAGCAAAATTTTTTTTATAGGCTAAGACTTTGATCCGAACTTCTTTGGGAATTCCGAGGCGCTGCGTCACTTAATGACCTACGAGCCTCTTTCAACCTCAAATCCAGCTCGTCTGAACTAATCCACTAGTTACACATTTAAATGAACGGCTGTAATAAAAAGAAGAAAAATTGCCCCTGCAGATAGGTACCACAGACCCTTAATTTTTTTTCTTGGGTCGCGTGCGCGCAAATATAAAAAAACGAGGTGCGCGAAAGTGTTAACCTCGTAAAAGCACATTGTAGCCTGCCAGCCACTCCATGCAGCTCTAATGCACACGGCGACCATGCTTATGGAAGCCTGGTTTTCTAGAAACCATAGAAGCATCGAAGGGCTGTTCGGAGTTAATAAAATCACTACCTATATCAATAATGCAGGATATCAGATAAGATGTGCATATACGCACAGCCTAGGCATGCATCGAGTATTATCACAGGATTCAACTTTCGAAATTTCCCAATCGATGTAATCCAAAGGTTCGCCTAGGTTCGCCTAGGTTTGGTCATCTATGCATCCAAACTCCTAAAATCTACAATCTACTAATCCGAGAGGCGAGATATCGACAAATCATCATATCAATATCAATTTATCTCAGATCACTCGCCAAACTCGGGCTTTACCGGCTATCGATACAAGCCGATTGCAAACCCGCGTTTCTGTTGCCTAAGCGTATAGTCCTATATATTTTCTCCATTGCACGAAAGCACCTGTGTTGTGAACCCAGTGACCCGGTTTCGTAGGCTGGCTCACCTTAGACGGCTAGCTAATTTCTATCAGAAATAGGCATCGGACCCGGAGAAGGTTCGAAGAGAATTCAGCGTACGACACCCATATGAACCAATCCATACTTAAATAATTGGTTTTTATAATTTTTAAATTAAAACTTACCGTTTAAAGGAATGATTTAATTGCATTGTCCGTCTGGTTTTACGAGACAAGGTCGTTATGTGTTACGCTTGATAACTGCTTCCTCCACTTCGAAATACATATATCTGCCTTATAAAATTACTCACAAAGTCTTTTCAAGATATTGAACCAAGAAGTTTATTGTTATCCGATGCTGCTAGTAGCACCCCGGTCACGAAAGCTGCTGATCTACACGGAGGTAAAACATAGCTCACATAGATTTTCTCATTTTCTATCAATAATAAAGCTGATAAATATATTCTAGTGGTTAAAGATGGTGATATTTTGTTTCCTGCACCAACGCCCAGGAAGTTCTCATGCCTAAGAGCCCTGGGACAGCTTCTAGGTCATCCTTGCGTACGAAGTTGTACCGTATGGTCCCTCATAGCCATGATATTCCAAATTCTTAAGCCCGAAGCATTTACTCTGCTACTAGAATTACGCGGCTCCGCATTCTTTCTAGAGTATGAACCTCGCATGATTGCTACTTCATGAATGATGTATTACCGTTCAATGTACAGATCAAAAAGACGAATATCTCGCAAGAGTTGAGAAACCTTTTGTCTTTGATGCTTATCCCAGATGTCCAAAGTCGACCATCAGCTATGATCGAATGAGTATCGAATATTCTCGGAGTCTATTCATAAGCCCATACATATTCAAAGCCTTTATCAAAAGACATAATTTTCTAACTAGACTTTTTCTATAACTATTTTCAGACGAAGATTCCTTAAAGCGGGTAGTGAATGAGCAAGACCTAAGGCTTTTATTTTCATTTTTTTTCAAAAAAAAAGACATTGACAGCTTGGGACACAAGTATCGAAATTGCTGGAATTTACAAATTTGTAGATCCAAATATGTCAAATATATAGCTTCAAAGTCTTCAATATCTGGAAGGAATCATTTCAACTTTTTAAGTATTAATAAGATTATACATTTGTCATTTTCTCCCTTAATTGTTCCAAAATTTTGTCACCACTCTATATTTTTATGCAATACTTGGGAGAGATTTAAATTTCAAAGCTTCGCAAAAGGTTATGGTACAAATTTGAGGCCGCATACCTGTGGTAAAGTGAACCTCACCTTGAGTACTTACATCCAACACCAAATATGACCACAATGTATTCTCGATTCAACTTGCCGTGTACAACCATATTACTTGCGGTGGCAAACCGCATATATTATAAAATGGAAAATGCCGGGGAAACAAATTTGATTTCCCTGAAACATCTAGGTGACTTACATAACCCATAATCACGAGGGTCTCCACTTTCACCCTCCTCCGTAACCCTTCTGGCGAGCTTTGATTGCCCAAATAACCAATAGACGTCTGTGCAAGTCATTAACTGTGGGGAGCCTAACATTTCACTCGCATTCCAAGTCTCTTTTTTTTCCTTTCTCGTCTCTTCGGCGTTTTCGTTCCAAGCGGCTTGCCGAACCCCAAGCTTTTTCACACTCGATCCGTGCCACATCGCTTTCCAACCATCAAAAAGAACTGACGAATCGCAAAAGTCCCCGGTGCCAGGGTTTTCCCTGGAAGTCGCACCTGCTCTCCAACGCCTGCGTAAATTTTTTAAACCTCCCGCTGCAGTCTTTGCTTTCCCAAGTTGTTACTTTAATGTGTGGTCGGTCCGCCTCCCCACACACACACACACCAGCCTTCGGTTAGCTGTGTATTGTTCCCGAACAGGAAAGTTTCTGGAGAAACAACCTGCAATATAGAGTGGGAAGAAAGCACACCTTCCTGTTAATTCACGGAGACGAGGTTCGTGTGTGTACGAACCGCACGTAGTCCACAATAATTTGGGGAAGAAGCGGGACGAAGTTACAATGCAACAGTGACGGTTTATGGGTTGTCCTCCTCGGTGATCATTTAAAACCGTTGAGAGATTTATATGAGATATAAACCATCAATATCATTGAACTGAAGAGGCTAGACCTAGTTAACTAATCCGTGGAATGTGATTACTATTGCATATATTGGGCAGCTAACTTATGTATGTAAGGTACTATCAGTGACAGCATATGTTACCGTTCTATCAAATCAAGGGGGTGGATATATTACAGGTAATGTTATAAGTCTACGTAATCCGGCTAACGAGCCGTTAGGATGAAACTGCATAGTATCACGGGTTCGCCGGCCGGGTGCGTCGATCTTTGCATTGTGGGCTATACTACTTTAGAAAAACCACAATACGAAATACGGCAGCGACAGTAATAACACAGTCCATTCATGACCTGTAATTCGATGAGTGAAATCAATGTATAAAGTAGTGTATATCCGTGAACACGGGGAATGCTCTCAAGGCAGCTGCAAAGACCGAAGCTGAGTTAGCTAAATTTCTGAGACGCCGTCAGCCCTGATTTAGCCCTCGGTTGCAACTTACTGATATATACACATGTGTATTCTCTGCGAGCCTATAAGATCAATGAACACCACTGCTGTCGAATAGTAATCGATCGTTACATTTCTTTCTTTCTTTCACTTCGTAATTAAAGACACGTCTCAAGCTCAAAGTGTCACGGATACTCAGAGTGATGAACCATGTGCCCCCCGCTATATTAATTGCATTGCCTCTTCTCTCATCGACTTTGGCGCGGGCATACATGCGAAAGTGCTACTATTAATCTAAAATTAATAAAGAATAAAATGATAAAATAAAGAAGCGTGAGAATGATGAAAAACGGATTGGCCAATCTAGTGACGAGACTAGGCCAAATCCGCAGGTTTAGATTTAAAAAGGCCTTAGGGCAACATTTCAACCGTGAAACCCGAATCCTATCGATTCCTACAATATTAAAGCCTATATTAACTATTGCATGCTAGAATATATTCAATGTCTATAAAACCGAACTGAATAATAGCAGATTGACCTGAGACCAACCAAAGCTTATCTCAGAATCATGATATTATGGTTAACTGATAGCATGACCTCTAGAGCTAACTCTATATCTAATTACTCTACCCTTTGGGAGGGGGAGAGGGGGTTTATCTGTAGATACCGTAAGAAAACTTCAATCTCTCAGAACTCAATTGTCGATTTTCGTAGCCATGGCCACACAATTCAACTTTATAATTTATGGGTCTAGAACCATGATTAGGATACGTTCGAATTCACGTATAGATGAAGCTTAACATCCTAGGTATTCAATGTTATATTTCGCCACAGCCACAGTCACACTGCGCCATAGTACACAACTCCGTATACGAGCTACCTTGCCCATCTGCTCAATCAACAATCACTCGCGCTCAATTTTCTAGCAGGGTCGTAGTTCTAGGTCAGTGTGTACATAATAGACAGAAGTATAATTTGGTAAGGTAGACGATAATCATCATCTCCACCAAACCCAAGGCGACCGTTTATTGATAAAAAAAAGAAAGTCATTCTATCTATACTCAAAAAAAAGAAGTAAAAATATATGCATAACATATACATAAAAAGAATCACTTTTCCACCATTCCATCCATCCATCCATCCATCCCACCGAACCATACCCACAACCCCTATAAAGATACTTAAAAAGGAAAGGGCGTAAGAACAACCCCGTAAAAGATCCCGGAGGGAGAAGAACAAATTAAATATGTAGATACCTAGCTTTATATACTAGACAACAATGGAATATCCCAATGAGTGAAGAGGAGGGAGTAGAGCGAGTTTTGTTCTCTAGATTTAGACAGCACCAGCTGCAACCATCTTCTTCCTCAAATAGTTCTTGTATTCCGAGATAGAACCATTCCACCTCTTGACAGTCTTGTTCTCGCAGACCAAGATGTCCTTTGCAATCTTATCAAGCAGTCTGTCGATCATATTCTGTTAGTTTTTCAAGCTTGTTTTCTATCTAGGATTGGAAAAGCAGGTACTCACCTGAAATCGTGACTGACGACGACAACACCACCCTGGAAATCATTGATAGCATCTGCCAAACTGTCAATGGTAGGAATATCCAAACCGTTGGTAGGTTCGTCAAGCAATAACATGTTCGGCCCCTCAATCGCTAACAGTGCAAAAACGACTCTGCTCCTCTGTCCCTCGCTCAATGTACCCATCAACGCTGTTTGAGCATCACCAGTCAACCCGTATCGTCCTAGCTGTTGTCGCCAGTATTGGTAATCTTGACTCTTTTCCCTGAATTTATCTCTGCAGAAGTCGAGCGCCGATTTTGTAAGGTCGAGCTGTTCGGCTGAATGCTGGGAGTATAGACCAAGTTTGAGATGGGTGTGGCGAGACACTCGACCACCCTGGGGGTTTAGCTTTCCTGTCATGATACGAAGAAGGGTGGATTTTCCAACACCATTGGGGCCCACGAGAGCTACACGGGAGTCCATGTCCACACCGAGATCTAGAGATTCGTACAAGTTGTCTTTGGCTTCACCGCTGTAGCTGAAAGTAATATCGTCGAAACTGAGGACTGGAGGGGGTAATTTTTCAACCTCGGCGAAGCGGAAAGTGAAGACCTTGTCTGGGGTGACCTTTTCGATGAGACCATCGGCTTCCATCTTATCGAGAATCTTCTGACGGGATTTTGCCTGTCGGACGAGATTGGCGTAGGTACCGGCTGAAGCAATAAACTTCTTGATGTGTGCGATTTCTTCCTGCTGCTTATGGTATTGCTTCATCTGGTTTGTCTCGTTTTCGGCACGGGTCTTGACATATGAGTCGTAGTTACCACCATAGTAGATAAGCTTGTTCATTCTCATGTCAATCATGCTTGAGCAGACACCGTTCAAGAAATCTTGAGAGTGGGAGACGAGAACAAGGGTTCGGTCCCACTTTTTGAGATATTCTTCAAGCCACACACAAGCTTCGAGATCCAAATGGGCTGTTGGGTCGTCGAGAAGAAGAAGGGATGGTTTGACGAAGAGTGCCTTAGCAAGGGCGACACGCATACGCCAACCACCAGACATGTCCTTGGTCATCTTGTTCATGGTTTTAGGGTTGAAGCCGAGACCGGTAAGAATGAGGGAGGCACGGGTCTCAAATGTCGAAGGGTCCATTTGTTCCATTCTCTATTTTATTTGTTAGCGATCTTTCGTTTCCATCTGGAAATTATTATTTGCATACCTCGTATAGATCCTCAAGAATCGGAGACTCTGGACCGTCCTTCTCCAAGATTTCCTCCGCTAAAGCATCTAGACGCTTCATTTCGTTCTCTGCCTCCCTGACGACGTACTCCAAAGCTCCAAAACTGGTTGGATCAGCTGGCTCATTGAGAAGGTAGATATCGATATGTTCTGGAACTGGATACTCTCTCTTTGCGATACTCTTTAGCAATGTACTCTTACCACAACCGTTCTCACCCAATAGACCGTATCTTCGTCCGAAGTTAAGTTCGATAGTGGTATCACCGAGCAGCACCTTTCCGTGGAACACAAGGGAGACAGAGTCGATTTTACAATCCCTGGAGCTAACTAGAGATGCCAGAACACCGGTTGTGACACGGTCAGAGAGACCATACTTGTCCTCCTGGAGGGTGAGTTTCGCAACGTCAGCAAGAGCTGATGCAGAGGTTGCAGCATCATCGTCAACATCGATCTCTGGAGGGGTGCTATCGCCAGCCACAGACGAGGCTTTTGAGCCAGCCTTAGAGCCAGCCTTGGATGCAGCACGGGATGCAGCAGTCTTCTTCGGTTTATCTTCATCACCACCGGCAGCTTTGGCGGCCTTTTTGGCCTCCCGCTTGGCCTTGGAAGCAGAAACTGGTGGCATTGTGAATGAAAAAGTTGTCGAGAGAGAAGTCGAGTTTAGGACGTAAGGTGGGGTTACTGTTTTTTTTTTAATTCCCTCTTTGTAGTGGGCTGAGCTTTGGTAGGAAAGTGGGGGGGATTTTTCCGACTTTCGTAAGCCTCAGTTGGTAAACAGGATCTATTGGACGGTTGGTGGCCAATATAATCTACAAATAACACACCAGCTGTATCCGAAACTGGTGAGTCCGATCCTCCCTATCCTTGAATGTGGATAGAAACGATGGTGATGATGGTGATGATGGTGATGGCGAGGTAGCTGCTGGTAGAGGTGAGGTTGAAGGTATTGAGAGGGAAAAGCTGAGTGTGTTGGAGTTGAAGTTGGCAAGAAAAGGCCTTCCAACGAAAAAAAGCTGTTTGCTGTCAAACATTTTTTTTTTCTAAATTTTTTTTAATTTTTTTAGCACAGGAATTTGGAGTGCCATTTCGTCATATTTTCTTCTTTCAGACGAACTAGCAATGCATGTCTGCTTCAATTCATGCCGCCTCCATTGGTCGAGCTCGTTCGGTCTCACGTACATGTAGGCTTATGTAATGCATACTGGTACTTGGAGTCTCCAGCAGTATGAAGAGACTTGTAAGCTTATAAGGCGAGGAATGCTAGCCAGATCCTGCTCCCACAAATTGAAAAATATAGAGCCATTGGTACTTGCAATACTGCTTAGTATACATACTAAGTATATTATGCGGCACTCTTGAAGTACTTGCTTTTATGATCCATCGTGATTCATGCTTAGCTTCGGTTCGGTCTGATATCCACAAAGATAATAACCAGGTCCGATGCCAAGCATTTACCCAGGATCTTCTGCCAAGACTTACCGCTTTGGGAACTTAAAATACCACACATTCAACGCCATATTCTTCAGACCCCGACGGCCGGCTTTGACTGTCGTTAAATGGTTGGCTCCTCGAATTCGATAAATATTATAATATTCGGAAGTTAACTATAACTAACAGTTACACAATCCAAGTAATGGCTGTTGGATCTATCAATAGTGTATATCCGTATATTAGGGGAATCAATTCGCAACTTTTTTTTAGAAAATGTGACCACTGGGTGTTTTTTGACGCAAGGAATCAATTCTTATTGTTGAGTTCAAAAGATGTCATACTATACATGCATACGGCGCAATTAATTGCATTTTCACATTGCAATATTGTGCGTACATTAATCTGAGTTAAATACCCAAAAATAAGCAACTATTCGATTCCTTTTAACTGTGAGTATTAAAGGAGAATTTAGTCTAAAAAAAGATTTAAACCCCCAAAATATCAGACTCGTGTAACTTCATTGCATTGGCTGACCTCGAAAACGCTTTGATCAGACTATAAATATGGACCACGTGCCTGAACCGAAACCACTATCCCATATACCGGTTTGATCAAAATAGATTAAATCGATCGGCTTCAACACCACGCATAGATGCACTGAGTAGATATCTAGATTCTAACTCGTCAATGCAAGGAAATACCCTCCAACTATATCATCATCGTATGACACATTGCCACGCATGTCGACGTCTACCACAGGAGGAATTTAAATTTAGAGGCTCATAAAAATCAGATAGCGATTATGCCATCGTGTCTTTTCGCTACCACCCACCTCCAAATTTAGCAGCTTCAGCCCTACTGGCCAGCCTACCGACTAGACTTCATAAGACCTCAACTTTCGTTCATAAATTTATAAATTGGAGACTTTTTACAACAATCTGGGAATTCTAGTATTGACCGACAGACCGCGATCGAGAGGGCACTATATGTAATATTTTCGCAATGAATCTACTACCTTTTTTAGCTATCCTCCGCATCGGTTTCGGCAACCCCCTTCCGCATGAATTCAACCCAACAGCCACCGACTTCGTGAATGGTCCCATTTCCACTGAGGCGGAAAATATGAATATCACGATTTCTGGCCTTGATACAAGCACCTCGTCCACTTTCGACCCTACACCTCCAAGCAGTATTGTTAACTCTAAACCAACTAATACCTTCACAACTACTGCTTCTTCCATTTCCTCCGTCTTTTCCTCTCCCCTCCCGGAAAGCACATCGTCTTGTTTATCACCAATTAGCCCTTATCTCGAAGAATCGTCTTTCTATAAAGAACCCCGTCCAACTCCAGAATCCAGCACGGAATCACCCACAATTTATGTTCCCTACCAAACCGAAGATTCACAATCTACTTCACTTGTGGATCCAATCACATCAATCGATCCAACCACATCAGATACACCAGCACTTTCATCGCCGCCGCCGCCGCCGCCACCACCACCACCACCACCACCACTTCTATCCCCATCACCACAACCCCAACTCCAGGACTTCAGCTCCCCCTACCACGATGCATCCGGCCAACCTCTCCACCCAGCAACCCAAACACCACCCCATGTCCCCCGCGCCAACCCTGTCACTTCCCTATTCCACAAAATCATGAAAGCCATTTCCTCCTCCAAAGCCCTCATCGGTCGCGCTCAAAATGACCCACCAACCGAAGACATGCCCCAAAACATGCCCCTAGACATCCTTTTCGCGCATGAAGTCAAACCCGCCCTCGGAATAAACTGCCGCGGCCCGACCCCCTGCACCTTCGACCGCTCAGACCACAAATTCCTCGCATTATCCCTAAACCACCTAATCGAAAGACTCGACGACAACATTTCCTACACACACCTCCAAAAAGTAGCCTGCGCCGACTCTCTAGTCTTCCCCGCGAAACCAACGGGCTATCTCTGCGCCTGGTTCGACTTCGCGAAACGCAAAAACACTTCATATTACGAAACCCTAGACGGAGGGTTATGGGTAACTGCCTGGAATGTTAAACGTCTTGCGAAGGAGATTTTGAGACATAAATGCAGAAGGTGTGGTAGCGTTCCTATCGAATATCCGCTACATAATGATAATTCCTTAGGATTTTTCACTTTTATGGCTCACCCGCAGGGATGTCCTGGTGAAGAGTTTGAGATTGATGCTATTTGCACTCATAAGGATATGGCTGCGGACGCACATGATCCGCTCGTTGGTGCAGAGGTTAGTAAGACGAATAATGGAACAAAGGACTATGATGGGTCGAATGATACTTGATCAGTACCGTTTTCACCCTAAGGGTTTATTATGCCTCTATAGATCTACTTGATTTTTTGATATCTCTTTTTATTTATCTTAATTTTTAATGATCTTTCTCAGCATTTGCTAAATTCACACACTTCTTTATACCTTCTTTAGCTCCTCGTATCTTTGGAATTAGAAAATTTATATCAGCATAGAACTATTTAAATTCGTCAAGACTTTTTTGTTTTTAGTTTAGGAGTCCAAGCATTGATACTACGAGCCCGGGCGCCCCAGCCGTAGCTGATATTACTATGCGATCACATGCAATTCTTGCAACGACATATTCATATTGATATTGATTAAAATGAAAAGCTAGGGAGTATAAAGTCTAGAACAAACTATACTCCCCGACGAGGGCTACGAAATGCATGTCCTCCACTTTTATATTTTTACTGACTCGATGCTTGTCAAACTTACCATCCCTCATGTATCTCTAGCACATATTAATCTTGCCCTTCCTACTGTTTTAAAAAACTCTTCTGATATGAAATAATTGGTAGGATTTCGTATACCTTCGCTGTCGGCTGGCGCCTGCTCACTGGACTGGGAAATTTCTAGAGATGGGGCTGACTATGGTCAATAACGACTTTTTGGGGAGCTAAGTGCGAGTCTGGAGCATATGATAAGCGGTGACGTTAGTTAAAAACTAATGAAACCGATTTCAATGACTTCAAGCAAAACTAATCCAATTCATACATGCTATAGACGCTATTTTATATGCCAACGTAGGTACTTAAGTTCAAAAAGACGACAAAAAAATATCAAAAGGAATCATTAAACTTGTATGTCTCGTCATCATTCTCAACATCAAACCTGTGTTTTTGGGTTGCATTTGAACGGAGAGAAGAGAAAGGGGGAAAAAGGATGTCTACAAAACCTTCGGGACCACGCACGCCCACCCCCTAACCCCCCTAGTATCTTCCAACTTGACGACCCACCAATAGATATCCTTCGCCTTCTCAATTCCTCCACTCATTTCATACTCCCTAGCCAATTCAAACCACGCCTCACTCATATCCCATCCATTGCCCAGTTTTGTCAAAGTCTGTAATAACCCGCTCGCTCGGTCTCTCGCTGTTGAGTTCTTTTCGTCGAGCAGTAATACTCGCGAGAGGCCGACTATTCCTAGTGCATGATCTGGGGAGTAGGCTAGCGCTGTTTCGAAATGCTTTTGGGCGTCTGAGCTTTGGTTCTGAGAGAGGGAGAGGAATCCGCGCTGAATATCCACCACAAGATTAGCATGATCAACATGACATTGAGCAAAAAGAAAAATAATTCAAAGGTACGGATTGATATACGAACCTCGGCCCAAACATCTGCATCAACCCCACCTTCAACCTTTCCTCCCTCAGCGACCCCGGCAGCTTCCTCAACCGCCACCTTAGAATCCTCGAACATCTCCGCCCGTCTATAGAGCCCAGCAACAACTAACCAAATCTTCTTCAAAATTCCCTCGACGCTTTTCTTTTCGTCTAGCTCGCTCAGTATCGGCTCTCTCAGATATGGTGGCCGATTCAACAACGGTCTGTCATCCGTAAGCTGTTTGATCGGACTGGGTACTGCCTCAGCTGGTAGATTATGCGGAATATTATTCTTCTCGGAGAGGACAGACGGTGTTTGACTCATTGGCCTATTAACCTGTACCGCCTGAGCCCCGACATTTTCTGCAGCGACAGATGGGGAGATGGACTTTCCAGCGGAAGTATGATGTGATTTGGCACTTTTTGCACCAAGACTCTTGGAAGATTTTGTACTCTTCGCGGATTTTTGAGACGGAGTACGGTGGAGTTTATTAGGTCCTTCTTTGGATTTCTCGTCATCGGTGAGAGGCTCAACCATACTACGCCGTTTCTTTCGAAGACTGTTTCTTCCCAGGGAACTACCACGGGTGGTCGGTCTAGGGGTTGCTCCAGACCGTTTGGATACCACTTCGCTATCTGACGCACCTTTTACGTCTGTGACTTGGATTGCAGGCATTCCGCCGGTGGTACCCGCTCTACCTCTGGTTATAGGTCTATCGGCGTCCATTACGCTATCCCTCATACTCACAGCTGCAGCAGATGAGAGAACACCAGGGAATAACCGGGTGTAAAGTCCGAGTAATTCATCTGCAAGGTTAACAGCGCTCTCTGGGCCTTCTAGCATCTCGATGATCGCTAGTTGTGTAATCTTGATTTCCACCAGCCCATCGCGATTTCCCAACCCTAGTGTTAACTGCTCATTCTCATCGATGAGTTGAAATATAGCCTCGCTAACAGTCAATGCGGTGTCCCAATCTCCTTTGCTTGTAAGAAGTAATGTAAGTAGGTGCCAAGCCGGGACACACTTCTCCTGCATCTCCGCAACTCCTCTAATTGCATCAATCGCGGAGTCGATATCTCGTGTTTCGGCATACATTAGACCAAGATCAAATAGCGCTTCGAACCCTTCGGGTTGATACTCTAAGCTCTTCTTAAAAGCTGCGATAGCGCGGTCTTGAATCTCGGCTCGTTGCGTGCTTTCTACAGTTTGATGCGACCAAGATGCGTTTGCAAGTCCGATACCCCGCCAGACCAGACCCAAGATGGACTGATCCTCAGTTTTCCATTCGAATATCCAGGTTTTGATCGTGGAAGCTATTTCCATGGCTTTGGTAGACTCTTCTGGGAAGTACTTGGCTAGAAAACGGATTCCCTGAACGCAAGTTGTAAGGATCTGGCTATCTGTGTCGAAATCCTCTTCACCTGTTGAGTGAGCTCCGGACTTCTCTTTTTCTATCCTAGCTTTACCACGTTTTATGAGGGTGATATATGTATCTAGAGAGAGATGGGCGTCGTGAAAGTTGCCCATTGCCGTGAGGGTTATGAAAAGATGGCGGAGGATCCTGGGGGAATGGAAAGTTTTGCCAGCAGCGCGGTACAAGATTTCAACGACGCGGCCGGCGTCCGAGCCTTGTGAGCCTAGGATGGTCCAATTGGCTACGACAGTGTCGACCCACATTAAAACGTCTTGATTGACCTTAGAAGCGTGGGGAAACTTGGTGACTTTCAGTAGGAGAGATTCATAGATTTTCTCGATAGATGATATTTCGGCTCTTAGATCGTCTGAGATCTCCTCATCACGGTCGATTTGTGTCTTCAGATATTTGGAAACGACTTTGAGATAAGTTTCGTAGATAGTTTTGCGAGAAGCATCATCCTCAGCGCTAGACTTATCGGACTTCATGAGGGTACTAGCCGCTGCCGTAGCGCTGATAGGCCTAATTTCCGCGAGAGACATTGAGAAGGCGTGGTAGGCCCGGAAGGCGCCGATTAGGCCGGACTCTGAGAGAACTCTTTTGAGTTCGGGTCTGTTTAACGATGATTCTGTCGAGCTTGGTGTCTCCTCTGTTTCTTCTCTGACAGGGTTGAGCGCTGCGTGTGCGGCATCCAGTTCGTCGAGACCTTCCTCTTCGTCATACTCGTCATCCGCATGCGCTTCCCGTGGCGTGTCAGGGCTCTCGACACCCTCAAATAGTTCCCAGCTGGCAATAGCGAATCTAGAGAGTGTCTTTCTAATCCACCAAATCGCTTCTGACCCGGAGGAACCGACTCCGCTGCTAAAGTCGGGGATCGGTAGACCCTTGTATGTTTGTATCGCTTCCTCCTTCATTTTGAGGGCCTCCTGGGCCATACCCTTGAGGCATAAAGCCTTTATTGCGCAGACTTTGGTCCATTCTTGGGTGATCTGGTCTCGAGGAGGTGGTTGTGGCGGTAATATTTGGAGGACGATTCGGTGGGCTTGTAGCAGGTGGTGAAGGTATGCTAATGTAACCTCTGCTTGCTATATGTAACATTGTGAAAGCAAAGGAGTGAAAGGCTTTCCCGTCAATACTTAAACGTCAATCGAAAGGCCTTTTTTTCCCATCGTGCTTGTTGAAGCAAAATATTTTTTCGGTTCTGTTTTGCCAGGAGGAAAGAGGCAGAGGGGTGCAGGGAGGTAGGGGGTGGGAGGAGCGTAGAGAGGGTAAATATGACGTACGTAGATTTCTTCCTCGCTTGTGACGATGTGTTCCGAGTACTTTTTGGATTTCCGTTTAGCAGTAGCATCAACCTCTTCGGCTTGAGCGGCAGCGGCAGCATTGTCCGCTTTGAAACGGGCAATTTCCTCTTCGAAGGTTTGGGCTAGGGCTGAGATGCTGACGAGAGTTGAAGCAGCATTGGCGGTCGATGCTTGAGTAGCAGAAGCTTTCGAAAGGGCGGATGCAGAGACAACAATGGTAGCATTCTTATGAAGGGAGTGTGATAGACGTTGAGGAGAGGTGTCGTGGTCGAGGAGAGCGGTTTCGGTGATACCTGTTTCCTCCATATCATATGCGCCGTCATTAGTATATCGTTGTTACTATTACCGCCGCCGCCACCACCACCACTATACTGCTATTACTAGCATTCCAGGCACCAGCATTCTTTCGGAACCCGAGATTTTGTTAAAAGCAATTGATAAAGGGAAACCATACACTTCCTAGCAGCTCCACCGTGCTTGGTCAGCTTGCGAACGAGCTCTGGGACGGATGACCAGTCGCCATTGCAGCGGGCGGTATCGAGAAGGCTCAGGTATGTCGCGGCTTTAGACTATGGAAGTACCACCATACCACCCCTGACGTTAGCTTCTCTTTCTTTATACAACATATCTCCGTCGTATTATAGCATATCGAATATCGATGAGGAACACGTACGGCGGACATGGCTCGAGACAATTGATGAAGCCGCTCAGGGTCGGTCAGCGATGGGCTGGCTGGTTGATTGGAGGTTGGAGGTTGGTGGAGGTTGGTTGATTTGGCTTGGTTCGGTTCGGTGTTTGTTTGGTGACGACAGTTTGAGTCCGGCTCGGTCGGCGGTCAGCTAATTAATTTGTTAACGTTGTTTGCTAACGCGTTTAATTTCAACACCAGGAAAATAAAAAAATAAATTTGGGAGAACGAAAAACCTCATCTCGACCGACGTCACCTACGACCAATCAACCAACCAATCAACTTCAGATCGACTGGAGGCGCCATGTTCATGCTTCAATAACGCTTAGCACTACAGGATAACGACGATAGTATACCAATATACTGTAATATACGATACTTTACTACTATATTATAGTAGCCAGAAGGGCTGGTTGGGGAGAAGGAAGGATCAACAATGCTGCCGCCAGACAGGATAGTAGCACTGCTATCCACAGTCGCATCAACCATCACTCCCTCAAAAGAGGAAGACGAATCGAGATTACACAATAATGTTGCTGTCTGCCTCGATATAATCTATTCGACCACTCTTCTCGAAGATGCGAATGCACAAGTCGCAGCCGGTGGACGGTACTCTGCAGAAATCACATCTTTTCTACACAAGATCAAGACCAGGATATCGTCGCTCTTACAGAGCAGGACACCCCAGGCTCGATGGGCCGGTGTATGTCTTGTCAAAGCCGGGATCGAGACTTCATCGACGTTTTTGCAGGGTGTCGGGTTGTGGATTCCTATGCTGTTGAAGATGGTTAATGTCAGTTATTGCTTCCTTCTGCCTTCAGTATGCTTGTCTTGCTTCTCTATATATCCATATCAATAAAATTATATCTCTACATTGATCAAGATGGAGAGTTAATATTGGTACATATAGAAATAGAAGATAATAAACGTATGCTAACGTTAAGGAATACAGAAACCACAAGACGGTGGCCCGATCGCTGAAAGAGCCATTGCGACTCTCACCCGCCTATTCGTTCTCACAACCTCAAAGCCTACACTGACAAGAGAACTGACATCGCCTCATCTACCTACATTCTCTCAGTACCTTCTCTCGATATCGGCAGCTTCGGCTAGTCCGGATACTCTTCTCGTTGTTTTGCAGTCGATAACTCAAATCTTGAAGACGCATCCCACAACCTTCCGTCCCCAACAGACGAAGACCCACCAACTAGTTAGGTCTATATTATTCTCTGAAGATGACAGAGTGCATTCGGACGAGATAGTACAAGCAGCTACGGTAGTCTATGTCTCACTCATAAAATGTGCTCAGCCGAAGACACAGGCCGAAGAATGGGTCAAACTCTTCAAAGAAACGATATCTACTACAGAACAGACCTGTGATGTTTTATTCGACAGTATCATTGAAGAGAAAGATCTCGACAAGAACTCTCACAGACCCCGGGCAGAGACTCAAGTCCGCCATTTGCTATCTCCGGAAAGGATCGGAATAAAGAGAATTTGCATCCTGTTAGGTGTACTCCAAAGACTTCTCAGTCATCCGACAACCTTCAATCCGGCACCATCAATACCACTATCCCCTCTTGTATCCCTCTTGGACCGTATGTTTGCAGTTCATCCGGGTATAAAACCCCATCCATCTGCCCCACCATCTACCTACCATCTATTACTCGCCTCTTATCCGACGGCCTTACTGTCTGCTATTCCTCTAATCACTACCGTTGTCACCCGTGCTTCACACTACTCCCCGTCTTTACCCCTCCAGTTCCTCCACCCGCTCACGTTCACATTCACAACATCTTCAAAACACCATACGCCTCTGAAGGGCCTTGTGTACACCACTCTCTCACAAATACTCTCTCTCACCGGCAGGACTCTGTCCCCAAAAGACGTCCAGCCCCTCCTCGAAATTTTCTCTTCTGCTTGCGAAGACATAATCCCCCCTCCGCCACCCGTGATAATCACCAAGGAACCTGTCAGCACCCCGAATTCTATGTTGCTAACTCAGCCGACATCGACCTACAAAAAACGAAAGGCCCCAGCGCTGCAGAACAAAGCCAATACTCCAGCCGCTAGCAGTATGCACGCCGATCAATTCCTCAAACCTTCTTTTTCTTCTTCATCCTCTTCAATTGTAGAGGAAACACCATTGATACTATCAGCTAAAACGCTTCTTACAACCGTCCTATTAACCCTCCCTTCCCCATGTATCCCCTCCGAAATCCGCTCGAAACTGGAACGGACAATGGTGTTATCATTCCACACGCCTGGCCTCCTAGCCGCAGTTCTCTACCCCAGCACAAAAAAGCGTGGAGGAAGTTTACTCCCACACCTGATAGCATCTCACACAAACGACTTGACACAAGCCAGCGTCGGTGGTAACCCCATTGATGAAGAGCACACCCTCTTAAACATGGCAATCGAAGCAACCCTCTACCCACGTATGCAGGTTCTAAAACCCGTTTCCCAACCTGGGAACACCAGTGATGGGAATAGCGTCCTTGGGTCTCCAATCGAAGGAAGATTTTGGGGTTCGGCGGTATCACCATCACAGAATGTTAACGTACTGCAACCAACAACGGCATCAATCGATGAAATTGTTTCACCACCGACGGGAGAGGTTGATATGACAGTTAATAATAATAATCCTAATGATGATGCCCCATCTGAGGAAGAAAGTTACTATCCACCACCACCACCGGCGCCAGTCCCCCAACATGCTACCCTTCCGGCTTCGTCACCAAATAAACAATCACAGGTCCCGATGTCCCCGCCGTCAATACCATCTCGTCCTAATAACTCCACCAATGGCACCTCTTCTGACAACAATAGCAATACTAATGGAGGTGGAAGGAATTATATACCAGTCCCCTCTCCCGGTCGAGGGGTACATGCCGCACTGCCGCCTAGTCCGTTAAGACAGAGTATGAGTATCTTCGAAGCCGCTGAGATGGAAGAAGGAAAGGAGAGAGGGAGTAAGAGGGTTAAGCTGGGAGATGACGGAAGGAGTCCGTTGAGCTTCGTAGAAGCAGTTGGTGGAAATGCAGAAAGCGATGACGAAGAGGATATCCCGGAGATTGTGATGGGAGAGAGCGATGATGAATAATTACTTATTTTGATTATTTGGCTTATATAAGCTTTGTCTGATAGAGGAAGAGGAAGAGGAAGAGACGGAAAGATTGTATGATATGGATTATGGTTTTTTGTATTACCTTTTGTATGATGGGATTTGGATTGGTGACTTTATAACTTCTATCTTCTATAGTCTTTATTTTGGAGGAGTATGTTTTTGATATTGGTGATGGGTAGTCTAGAGGATAATGATAGTGGCCATCCTTCTTTCTTTTCCGAGGTTGACTTGACTTCACTTATTTGGCAATACTATATGATGGGAGCAAGATTGGGACTAACTTTTATATATATTCCGATTATTCTCGATCGCTGAATTGTATATAAGAAAAAACTCCAAAACACCGAATCAATCCACCATATATAATACACTGCTATATATAGCCCTTCAATCGTGAAAACAAGGTATACAAATGTGGGCTGAGAAGTATGATAAGAAAAGAGAAAAGAATCAAAGATGAAACATCTTTCTATCCTTCTCCATCTTACCCTTCCATTCCCATTCAATCCCCTCACAGATACCCCGCTCTACTCTCCTCAACTTTAATGTAAACTGCGGCCCTAACTCTTGTAGTCCGACTTTGATTCCCAAATCTTCTCCTGCTCTTTGTCCGCCCACACCAACAGCAGCAGCACCAGTAGTCCTATCCCCTCTACTTATTCCCTTATTCTTCTCCGCGATTTCTCGAAATATATATCTGTGGAAGCGGAAGAATATGTAGTCTCTTTGGTTATGAAGGGTTACCACTTGTCTACCCATAAATTGTGGTTGCGGAGGGTATAGTGATTGGAATAGTGAAGCAGTCAGACGACCGATTGTGGTTGTGAAGTTGTTTAGGATTAGTTCTGGTACATGGTTTGTGTTTACACCACGGCCTTGGATTGCTTTACCATCCGCGAAGTTTGTGAGACTGAAGTGGAAGGTTGGACCGGCTGGGAGGAGGATTATGATTAAACCATGCAGGGTTTTTGAGTCTTCGAGGGCGACGAGGAGGTGGGTATACTGTCGGTTTGTGGCGAAGCTGGCGATTTGTGGGATTGTGAACTTGGTCCCTCGGGGAACGTATGTGGTATTTGGGAAGATAAGGGAGAGGGTTTGGTAGAGTTGATGCTGACGGGCGCGGCGAGTAGAAGTTAATAGAAGTTTTGGAGGGGTCGTCGGGTGCGGAATTAGTGAGAGGAGGGTGGTGAGGGTTTCTTCGGGAAGAGTGGAGGATTGTAATGGCTTTAAAGGAGCTGGTTTCTTCGACTTCTTAGTAGCAGTCGTTTCTAAGTCTGAATCGGAGTCGTAGAGGGAGCCTAGATCGTCTTCTTCGTCCCCATCCTCGTCCTCCTCGTCCTTGTCATTCTGGTCTTCCGAAGCTGATTCCGATGAATCTTCACCTCCTTCAATATTGATTGATACATTATCTTTCTTTCCCTTCAAACTTTGATCCTCCATCTCTTCATCACTATCTTCACCCTCTTCATCCTCGCCTTTCCCTTCACTATCTTTATTAACAGCATCCTCCATCCTCCTCCTCGCCCGTTCCATCATCTCCTCGCTAGGAACATAAGGAACATTAACAGCAACCCGCTTAGAATCCAACGTCTGTGGAATATTCGCTAATAATCTTTCTTTCTTGAGAGCTGGGTTCTTGAGTTCGGTTCTCCTGCGGTCATGACGAGCTTCTAGCTTGGCTTTGGAGATTGTACGACGGAGCGAGATGTTATGGGATGTTCGCTTGTGTTTGTTGGCGATTTTGAAGGAGCTTGAGGCAGAGGAAGATAGATGGGGGCGTCTAGACGGCATGGTGGAGAATTGGTGGTGATGATGATTGGTGATAGTGGGGAGGTTGAAGTTGACAGTTGAAGAAGTTTCAAACTTTTTTTTTGGGGCGACTGTCGCGAATTTTTGGGCGCCGAACTTTTTTTGCAGGGGTCTTAAAATACCACATGGACAACGCACTATAATTATCTTGTTTGCGCGCCAACCGTCTATGATAGTACAGTACGTTGAGAACGGTTTTGAAAACACTCTTTTTCTTGAAAATAAGACGATACTAATTGTAGCTCCGAAGTGAAAGCGTATTTAGAAATCGGAAAATCGAAATTCACTTATATGCTGCTGTTGCCAGCGGATGCTTGGCCAAGTATTTAGAAATACTGCTATATACATGTAGAGGCAATATAAGTTACCTATCTAGGGTGCTCGCCCCAGGACTGTGCGGAATAAAGCAACTACCAATGATTAATCAGCGCGAGAACTACGAGAGGGTATATATATATACACTTGTGTGCATTCGTTAAGCGTCAATACTCTATAATCGTCGTTTACAAAAGCCGAACGTACCTTGCGGCTTAATTACCGGATTTGATGAGCATATGAGAGGCGGGTAATAAAGCTCTTAGAGATATGTCTTTAATTTGGACGTGAGTATTAATATCCTTGGCCACAAAGACCCACCACTATAACTTAAGGTCTCAATGAACACAATTACTTATAATTAATTAACTATAGTGCGAAGCCAGCTTATAAGCTTAGGTTATTGTATAATATTGCGTATAGTTATTATGTGAAAGAATTAGCAAACTCAATTGACTTTTCCGAATCAGGACCTCAGCACCGAATAAACTAACCCCTCATAAGAGAGTTCTGGAAGGGTATACCTCGATTACCAGCTTCAAAACCGCAAGACGTGTCTATAGTATATATAGCGTACGGTAGCTCCCTAGGTTATACATAATGAACGAAAATTGGGCTGATATATAACAATAAGATTTCCTCAGCTTGCCGAAGCGTTTTAATACAAGACTAGGATTCCGTATTAATATATCCTGGGAACAAATCAGTGCAGTGTCATGGAATTTAGTGTTGCACTGTTGGAACTCTAACTTTGAGCTAGCTCGCTATGCTATTCCATTCCTAGTATAAGGTATATATGATTCGTTATTCCTCCCGCAGAGATCGGGACTTTTCAAAATATTGATATTACCAGGACTTTTCATGTTCAAAAATTCAAAGTAAAAAAAGCCACGAAAATCTACACTGCCGGGATCCGTAGGCGTATCTGCTCTGTAGTAGTGAGAAATATACTTGATGAATGGGAATCCTCATCGATTCCCGTAGAATGATATCATTACACATTTATAAAGCAAAATTATTAAGCTGTTATCAGTGGTTCCAAGTTCGTAGTGATTACGTACAAACACGTAGCCCTATAGCAACAAAATGGCATTCTGTAGATTTGGTGTTCCTACATGACAAAAAAGGAGTTTTCCGACTACGGCGCTCCAGACCGGATTCTTTTATTTTCCGATAGCACGAAAACAGGGATTTTGCCTCTAGCGGTCATCTACAATCGGCAACGTTACTTTTCCATTCCTTAGCATAACATAATGTAGAACACACAATACATACTAATAATTCTGGGTTTTGTGGTATTGTTGAAGCAACGACAGTCGCCAAGGCTCTGGGCGGAACGGAATCTACAGCGAGTCTTCCAAACTAACCTCTACCCGGCTGCAACTATACAAATGTAGTCTTCCAATGTGGGTATTATGGGTCTGTTAAGATATCTGCAATCGACCAATACAATTATCAGGCAATAGCGATTCAACCATATGTGTCTGGTTACGAGACTGCATATGTGTAACGCAGAATCCATGGACTTCAAAAAGAACCTATCCTGCCCATTGAAATTCGCGACATTTATCGGAGTCTTTTGTGATTGTGGGGACATATCGACATAGTGGGGAAAGCTAGAAATAGAGTTACAGTTTTAAGATACGAACAATAGATTTTCAGGAAATAGAGTGGTTGGATGGGTTGCATAGCTTTGTGGAGGCCAATGGCTTAAATAGAGGGGCTCATACTCTGATTATAGGTCTGAAAACATAGCTATTGTTACTTGCAGTTTCGTGTTCTAACTTCGAAAAAAGCGCATTTAGTATCGATATTTGAGTAGAAAAAAAAGAATGCATTTGAAAAGAACGGTCGCCGTTGGGCTGAGTCTGGCAGGAACCACAACCGCAGGTGTACTTAAACCTCGGTCGACACTCAAATGCAATGCTGACAATTGCCTGCGAGGTATGGATAAGATTAATTTCCATCGTATACATGATCATGATGCCGGACTCTTGGATACACTAACAATTGTTTCTAGCCATACGTGCATCCCATATTCCAACTCGCCTAGCGCAGGCATCTATCGACTGTTCTCAGTTTCTAGCTGGAATTATCGGCGGCGGCGGCGAGGAGCAGCATGCTACGTGAGTTCCGCTCCGGCAAGTTAATTAGTCATAAGTAACCTACAATGCTAATTCAATGAAATTTCTAGATACACAATCACAGAATCGGCCACCGTAACTTCTGTCTCAACCATTACTCTCCCAACAACTACAACCGACGACTTCCACACGACCCAAACCGCTACCGCCGGGTCGGAAACAATCACTATAACGGTTCCTCTACCTGGCGGACAGACTGCCAAAAAACGGCAAGCGACCATAACAATCCCAGCTTATGCATCCTTATGTTCTGGTCCTGTCCGATTTACAAGTGCTTGCGCTTGCATCGGTGTCGCAAGTGTCCCGCCCGCAGAGACATGTTTCCATACGAAAACAGTATCAACAACGATTACAATCCCGGCCACCGAAACAGTCTACACTACCGCCACAGAAATAACCACATTAGCAACTACTACAACCGTTACTCCTCAAGAAATCGTAAAATCGGTTTATCGCTACAGAGTCCGTACTTTCGACGGTACCAACGCCGCATATCTAAAGGCCCTACAGGGTCCTGTCTATCTTGTAGAAGATATCGCAGAAGCGACCTATTTTACATCAAGTACAGGGCTAGGATCAGTATATAGTGCAGATGAATTGGATCTAGCGTTACAAGCATTCGGGGATGGATCGAACCTCGCGTATGTTCAAATGGACGATACTGATTTGAGCTTTCAGTATTTTCCAATTCAGTGCGAGGTAAAGCCAGGTGGGAATAAATTGGATTGCCAGCATGGTATTAGTAATGTCTTTGGAAGAATAGGGCAGAATTTGATATTTGGCCCTAGCGATATACAGGTGGACGCTCTCTTAGAATTGACGGCTGTTGCGTGATGCCTGGGTACTGCATCTATATTTATGACCTTCAGATTTATAATGAAAACTCGAATATCCTCGGTGTATGATAGAAGGTATGGCAATAACAATCAAGCCGACCTATTGTTTTCTTATATCATAATAGTTAAACTGTATTCTGTACAGCAGCTAACGCTACAACTAGCTAGACTACCAGGTACTTGCCTCGATTAAGTACCTAAAACAACGCAAATGGTTGTTGGAATTTGGATAGACAGCCTTGTATCACCAAATACAATACATCTGCACTGTACGTAGATGTACTGCCAGACAGCCTCGTGCCGAATTCGCGAATTCTCGTCGTAAGTTGAGATTAGATGCACTAGTTAGGTTGTGGCGCAGCTTTTCATCCACCATATAGGATCCGCCTATGAAACCGCTGCAAAATCTCGATTGTGAGCAGAGAAAAACTTATAAAGTATGCCGCAGGGCTACCCCACTTCTGGCTTCGAATTTCGTTATGCATTATGGCAGCTGATCACCGGCACCAAGGCTTCTAAATTACCGGTAATATTATATACAACTAGAAAAGCTTTAAAATTCAAAGCTTCTCATCCTTGATATATATAATATAATGGCCTCATTCTTATCACTTGTAGTTGAAGATCTTTCGTACGACTAGATCTGACACTCGATAACACCAGGATTAAATCACACACCCGCGCTCGCGGCGCACATACAAGACAAATTAAATAAGCGACCAACACTCTATGCGAGCAACTATCAAGTTAATTCACTACTCGCCCACCGATCGCTTGATCAATCGAAAAATCTCGATACCGATATCGTGGAAAAGATTTAGAACTACCGAGCCGCTAGATATGGCGACGACGGCTATGATCACTCCCAAATCCCACTGCGACTACACCGTAGGTTGGATTTGCGCGCTTCCAAAAGAACAAACAGCAGCGATCTTAATTCTCGATGCAAGACATCTGGACCTTCCCAAAGCTCAAACGGATGCCAATGCGTATATCTTGGGTTCTATTGGTTGCCATAACGTTGTAATAACATGTCTACCAATGAATTGCTATGGTGCCAATCAAACAGCGAGGGCCGCGGCGCAGATGCTCAATACTTTCTCCTCTGTTAAAATTACTCTGATGGTTGGAATCGGTGCAGGAATACCTACCAAGGTCAAACTCGGCGATGTGGTAATTAGCACAGAGTGGACGCAGTGGGATTTTGGTAAAACAAAGAACGGCGTCTTTGAACATGTCGGAAAAAGATATTTCCCGCCTGAAGAGCTGTCCTGCGCAATGTCGAAGCTACAGGCCGAACACAACTTAGACGAAACAAAGATACAACAGCAGCTTGACAAATTGAGATCCGAAAATCAGAAGCTCTCGCCTAAATATACGTCAATAGAAAATTGCGGGAATAGCAAAGGCCATCCTTACCAAGGTGGTGAAAACGGTGCATCCCAGATCTCTAAGGGTTCCAATAATGCCCGGGTTCACTATGGCTTGATCACATCCGGCAACCAAGTTGTTAAAGACGCCTCTCTTCGAGATGAAATTGATTCACGCTTACAAAATAAGGTTTTATGTATCGAAATGGAGGCTGCAGGTTTGATGAAATTTCCCGCAGTTATTGTGCGTGGAATTTGCGATTATGCGGACGAATCAAAAGATGACGACTGGCAAGAGTATGCTGCTACAGTTGCCGCAATTTGTGGGAAAGAACTTCTGAACTGCGTGCACCCGAGTAGTAATATTGTATACACGGGGTTTGTTAGTACTAGTGGACACCCTTATCGGTTCTCCCACCAGCCTGGGGAACAAAATCTTGGTTATTTCGACTATGACCTCGGACCAGCTTCAACCCGTAAAGATAATTTAACAAAGGAAGAAGAGCGGGAAATAATCAGCCATCTCCTAGTAGATGATTTCAGCGCCAAACAAAATTCTCTTTTCAAAAGAAGGCAAAAAGGGACCGGCCAGTGGTTCTTAAGTTCACCCGAATACCAGACTTGGCTCAAAGAAAAAGGGATTCTATTCTGTCAAGGAATACCTGGTGCGGGAAAAACGATAATGACATCCATAGTTATAGACGACCTTACGGAACGATACACAAACGACATGTCTGTCGGTATCGCATATGTCTATTTTGGCTTTAAGGACACAGCTCAATTAAGCCTGGATCACCTCATGCTCAGTCTCGTCAAGCAACTTGCCCTTCGTCAACCTTTGCTCCCATCCTGTATGAGGGATGTTTTGGAATGGAAAAAGCGCACTTTCCCGCTTAGTCAAGATATCGTAAAGTCTCTCTTTAAGGTTGTCGCGTTTCATTCCAGAACTTTTATACTTATCGACGCCCTCGATGAATGTAGAAATGACCTCACTGCGTTTCTGGAAGTGCTGTTTACCCTGCGCCAAGATCAAGATATAAACATCTTCGCTACTTCAAGGTGTATACCGGAAATTGAAGATAGATTTTCCGGTATTAGCATTCAGCTTGAGATACGAGCGATTGAGGAGGACGTAAGGAACTACCTAGAAAGACAGATATTGCAACGTGGAACAAGAGTTCTGAAGAACAATAAAGTAATCGTCCAAGAGAAGATATGGAGAGCAGCACAGGGGATGTAAGACTTTTGACGCTTTATATACCCACGGAATTTTCCAACGGTTTGAGGAATATTGCTGACTTGAGTTTGATAAATCTAGGTTTCTGCTAGCTCATTTGTATTTTGAGTCTATCAAAAACAAATTGACTGTGACGAAAATAAACATGGCACTAAATTCTCTTACCTCAGGAGACGGAGCGTATGACAGCATTTATCAGGACATTATGGACCGGATAACAGAACAAGATCCAGAATCGAGAAATTTGGCGTATAAGATTCTTTCTTGGATTACATATGCAACGAGGGCCCTTAAAAAGGAAGAGCTACAACGTGCGATTGCCATAGAACTTGACGAGACCGAAATCGAAGAAATAAACCGGGGAGTCAGCCGATACGAATTTAATTTCAATCCTAGGGATGTACCAGAAATCGAAGATATGATTTCGGTATGCTGCGGCTTGATTACAGTCGACGCGCAGAGTGACGTTGTCAGACTAGTCCACTACACTACACAGGAGTATTTTGAGCGAACCGGATCGGTCTGGTTTCCACAAGCAAATGGCAACATTGCGGCAACATGCATAATTTCGATGTCGCTTAATGTATCATCGGGAGGCGTGCTAAAAGACTCGTATAGTGCTATTTACTGGCAGGATCATATTCTAGAGTCTACGAAAGAGGAATCGTGCAGTTCTCTAACAAAATTGGGCCAGGAAGATCCAAATTTCCTGTCCTTGAGAAAAGTTAAACTTCAGCCGCTATTGCTGGGCTTTTTTCGGACACATTATCTGCGATTAGCTTATGTCAAACGCATGGTGGCGATTAATATTAATAGGATTTCAAAATTCCAGGGTGGACAGGGTTGGTTGGAGGTGGTGGCACGCACGCAGATCTACATATATCTAGCTACAAATTTAGCTGAACTAATAGTCCGCTGGTGTACGGGCCCGCAGCCCAAACTAGACGGGGACGCAGAACAAGAGGAGTCCTTCCCTTCTCGGTTCAAATTCAGGCCAGATGAGGCTGTGGGATTTTTGGCGAAGCAGGGCATATACCTCCTCGCGGATGAGAAAGCCGGAGGTAATTTTGAATTTTCTGCACTAGAGTGGGCTGTGAATACAGGGAACCAAGAGATTTTGAGGAATATAGTAGACATGAATATAGACGGAGTACGCTCAAGCGCCTGCGCTAGAATAGATCTCTTAACCTTAGCTGTTGGAAACGGGTACTACGACATTGCAGAATTGTTGTTGGAAGGAAAGGACCTAAAAGCTCCTATTTATTCGGATGGGGGAACAATACTGTCTGCGGCAGCGGCGGAAAGTCATAACGGTGTGCTTGCCAAAATGTTATTGGACAAAGGATTGGAGATTGAAACCAAAAATGATTTAGGTATGACCCCACTGTCACTGGCTATCAAAAACTGGAAACTTCAGAATATTATTGTATTGTTGGAGAGGGGTGCAGATTTTCGCGGCCAAGGTGAGGATAAAGACAGGGAAAGTAACCAACTACTATTGGAGATAATGACGGAGCACGGAAAGGATGATATCGTCAAATCTTTAATAGAACGGGGCATATTTCTTAAACTCGGCAATTCAGCACTAGGCTATATAGCATGGGCTATAGGGAGAGGACAGGGATTCTCTAGAAACGCATATGATATGTTACAAAGTTCACGAAGACCTGATGTCCAAAACTTGCCAAGGATGGATCTTTCGATTTTGAAAACTCTACTAAAAATTGCTGGAGAACATTCCCGGGAGGATTTTCTCGAAATTTTGTTAGAAAGTGGAGTCCCTGCAGATGAGATTGCGGAAGCTCTGTTAAAAGAGTCCCCTTGATGATGAAAACCAAGACCATTTTTACTTGTACTTATCGTAGGTGCTCAAGAACATTCCTATGTATATACATTGAGCACAAATTCACATTCAATTCTACCCTTTTAAAAAAAAGATTTATGGACGGCTTGCCGACTCGCACTGAGTTTTATTAACCTTTGCTGCCAGCTACAGGTGTGTAATAGCTAGTCGAACGATGTATCATAGATATCTAGATATAGCTTTGAAGTTTGTCCGTATATTGTCGACATGCCTAGGGCAAGGTTCGGGGTAGACTATTATCGGAATAGAAAACTGGAGATTCAGGGACGGGAGAGGATGGATAGGATATACATCGATTATAACAGACTAGAATTACTTTTATGCTACCCGGGCCCGTCCCAGAAACTATTTTTTAAAATTTCCAAGGCTGAAGGTCGTTTCAATGGGTCGTAGTTCAGGATTTCGCGTAACAGAGAAAAGATGACTTCGGCCTCTTCAGGTAGAGCTTGACGAACCGTCTCCTCCATATTCGGAACAGGGCTCGGAATACCTTCAGGACCCCCGATCATTGAGTTATAGTGCTCCCTTGAACCGGGTCGGCAATAATTCCCTGATCGAGCCCATCTGGCATGTATGTTTTCTGGTAGTGGCCCTAAAATCATATCCATCTGGAGTAGGTTATCGTCGTTTCGATTGTCGATATTACAGCTAGGCATCAATGGCATCAGTGCAAACAATTTCTCTCCGATCAGCATTTCAAACATCAAACAACCGAAACTCCAGATATCAATATAAGTATCGAACGGATGAGAATTTAGAATTAATTCGGGAGATCGAAGACCAATAGCTATAACTGGTGTCCTGGCGGTGGGTGCTTCGGAAGTAAGAATTGCTATATATCGGCGAAAGATTTATACTTTAGTTACCATCTTAAGAGAGGGCGACGCTTGGTCTAGGAACAAAGAGATTTGGTGATATGATCATTGGTACTGAACTTACATGCACCCAAATCCGATATCTTTATAGGGGAAACAAGCCGTTGGTTGGTTTCCACAAGAGGTTGTGGCATGGCCAGATATTTCGGTGCCCACCTATCCAACTTCTCGTCAATTCTCTTGACCTCCACCGTAGCTTCTCGTATTCTAGCCATAAAATTTCGGGTTTCAAGACTATTTAGACCTTTGACCGAAGAAAGGAAATTTCCGGGATGTAGATCGCCGTGAACGACGCCATTTTGATGGAGAAAATTAAGGCCAAGAAGAATTTCCTTTAAAATTCTTTTTGCCACCGGCATTGGGAACTTGGTCAACCTTCCACTAAATCCTGTGATTTCCGAAGAATAATCCTCGAGTATTGAATATATATTATCGCCTAACGGGTAATCTAAATTAGCAAACCCATTTCTCTCTTGACTTCGAGTATCGATTGGACTTACCAAGTAATTCGAATACAAGACAAAGGTGGTTCCCGTTCGGACCTTGATGATAGAAGCTATCTTTAAGACGAATCACATGCTCCGAGCCTGCTGTTGACGCTCTTGAATCATTTAAATGATTTAGCACCACAACTTCTTGGTCTTCTACGGAGTCTTTGGCCGTCTTTATCTTCAATGCAACAAATTCCGAGGACCTAGAATATGCGAGGGCAAAGTTAGTTTCCAATCTCTTTCCATTAGCTCTTCTAGAGGGGACTTTACGGAACGTCTTGTGCGAGCCAGACAGTAGAATACTGGCCGTAGCCTAATTTATTAATGATTTTATATCGGCCATTGTGAAAAAGGTCACCAAAATGGACTGGATGATAGCCTCCCGGGCGATATGCTTCAATGCATTCGGCCCGCGGAATAGGTTTAAATCTCCATTCAGCAAGTGATGTTGGCACTTCAGGTGGAGGAGTGGGTGCCGGAGACATACCCGTAGTACTCGGTGCAGACATATTTTGTACAGTAGGTGTGACAAAAGACACGAGATCTCGAGAGACATATAGTCGGGAATTGAGAACTCTGAATATGATGGTGGTATCTAAAATATTAAATATATAAGCGTGCAGCTGCGCCTGATGTTCTGCCTGATGAGCGCCTGGATCCGAGTCTGTGCCTGATGTTATTTTTATCTCGACAAACTAGTTAACTGCACATCGATCTTATAATTATACACGTGGGTGGGCCCATATATGCATATATGCATACTGTATCCCCGCATGGATACTAATTAGCTAAGCACTTCGGTACCTATTAATATACGGTAAATTTACGTAAAATAGTTCTTTGTCTATCGCACCCACCAACACGAAGTACACGGTGTGACTAGGGAAGTAACGTTAACATGGCATTGCATCGATCGATATTGTAATGTTCCACGCCCTCATGCACGGAAGGTGAAATAGAGGATCGAGATCCATTGTGTTGGAATGTACTTACTCTGGCGGATATCACGCAACAGGGAAGATACTAGATTTGGGGGTCTCTCTAAACCCCCCAAGTAACCACATGACACACTGTGCGCACTCGGAGATATCAAGACACATACTTGCATGATGGTGGCTAGTGCTAGTACCGCATATGCGCCTGCTAAAAAAATGCTAGTTTGGCGGAGAAAGTTTGTGTAAACTATCAAGGCTACCGACGGTTAATTGGGTATATATGCCCCCCTACCGATCTTTGATAAAGGCATTCGCCTTGGAGTGTCAGAAGGAAGCAAAATTTATTATTCAAAGGGGTTTGAGACCCGAAATTGGCCAAATCGCACTATAGTACGTATACTGCTTCATAAATAATTATAACCCTTTGCAAATTTTATGAATTAGACTAGACGTATTTCCGCATGTTTATAAGGCAAGGTGCTCTCAGTTAATCATGAAGATTCGAACCTTAAGGTACCTAGCACTTGTGATATATGAAGATAATACTATAAACGTATATGTTAAAACGCTATACGTACACATGATTCTTCGAAACTATCGGGATTTCCGAGTTAATATATGACATGATCTTTCCGCGAAAGGTCAGGTGAGGTCGATAATTAACTGTCCGACGGATACTCGATGTTAAGAACTATTCGCGCCAGCTAACCGGATACCAAAGTTACATTTTTATAAATTCCACTATGGAAGTGCCATCGCGAATCTAAGACAAGAGATAGGTGTTAAACCCATGTCCCGTTCGTCCGCTATTAAACTAGCCTAGATATCTGCGCTGGTTTTCCTATCGGATACATTTCTGGAAGGCTAGGGGAAAGTCATAGACGAAACAGACTATAATGTTGTACTATAGAATAAGCTTTTTACCACGTTCTTCACTCTTCTCTGACTCAAGACTCTAGTTTGGGGGGAGAAACTTTATCTATAAATGTCTTATCAATTTCCCACGTACCACGATGGATTTTGAAAAAAAAAAATCCTCCTGCAGGAAGGATCTTAATCCTCATGATTGTTTCGTGAGTAGGTTTTATACCGTCTCCATCTCGTTCGTATTGTCTACCGCTTGTCGGGACATTATTTTCCTCTTCAATTTTTTGTAGATATATCGACATAGCGATATCGATCTTTTCTTCAAATTATCTTTTTCAACAAAAAGCTTATACGCAAAGTTTTCGGCAGTCAAAAATGAAATTTTTCAGCGCCGCCGCTTTACTTTCGCTCACTTTGTGCTGTGGTTTGACGAATTCTTTGAGGATTATTATCAACAATGATGATGGTTGGGCTACTGCCAATATCAGGTAGATACCCCCTTGGTAGTTAAATTTCAATAGTCTGTTAACTGATCGACTGCGCGGTTCATAGGGAGTTCTATAAGGCTCTAAGAGCCGATGGCCATGATGCATACATTGTCGCACCAATTGAACAACAGTCTGGACAAGGAGGCAGAACAGTTTTCTCAGCTGAAGCCACGCTCTCAAGGCCTGGCCAATTCGATACTGTTCCTGCTGGTGCACCCTCTGTAAGGCATAAAACTCAATTCCCAATATACGTATCGTGAAGCAAAAAAATTCTAACATCGGAAATAGTTCGGTTCCGATCCATTGGACTCCCACATCTGGTATTATAACGGTACCCCAGCAGCTGTCACCTTCTTCGCCCTCGACTACCTCGTCAAACGCCAGAACATCTTCAACGGCTCCGAACCAGATCTAATAGTCACTGGTCCAAACGAAGGCTCCAACGCTGGTCCCTTTGTCTTCACACTCTCAGGAACCGTAGGCGCAGCATACGCAGCAGTAAGCAGAGGTATCCCCGCCATAGCCTTCTCCGCAACCGACATCCTAAACCGAAAATACACTGCCGTAAACACCACCAACGATCCTGCCACTATCTTGGGAAAACTTGCGACAAAAGTAGTAAACCAACTTGAGGCCAAGGGTAATGGTGAAAACTCGAGACTTCTACCATATGGATACGGATTAAATGTCAACTTCCCTTATATATCTACTAAGGCCACTGCATTGTCCGAAGGGGTTTCATGTGTGAACCCCCCGTTCGTTTATACCAGACTTACTGGTGGTGCGGCAACAAACATCGCAGGATATAATGAAGAAACTGGTGTCTTCAACTGGGCTAGTAACTTCACTTCTCCGGGTGTAAACGCCTGTATCAACGGTGACTGCGAGCTACCCGGCGAGACAGACGTCATTAAGGAGTGTAAGTCTGCCATATCGATTTTTACAATCGACTACGACGCGCCGAGCTGTGGTGGTGCAGAGAGGATTGGAGAATTGTTAGTTGGATTGGTGGAGAATGAGGAGTAGGCCAAGGGGAACGAGGGCAAAAATGCTACGGTTACTGCTGTTCCCAGGCCAGTTGAGACCGGTGCTGCTATGAGGATTGGGGTTAATGGGGTTATGGGTGCTTTAATAGGTGCTGTTGCTGTTGGGATGTCGATGCTATAGATTACCTCAATAACTTATGGGAACTTAGTACCGATATAGCCCTGAGCTAGCCTTGAGGCGAAGGTAAAACGAACGGAGTACTGGAAATAATACCGATTCTAGACAGGGCAGTTTGAGAACGAGGAAAGGCGTAAAGTAGGTGGATAAGTACCTCGGTAGATAGACAAATAATTATTGTATATACAAATAAGGCGCATCTCAAGTCCTCCAGATATAACCAAGAAACAATATGAACGGTCGAAAGATTTACAGTATTTTAAAACGCCGAAAGTATGCCTGCATCCATCCATCAACCTGCAAAGTACATTGCCTCCATGCGCAATGCGAAGGAAGGATTTTGATCTATGTATATTCAAACTGAGTCACAAAGAAATATATCAAAACGTACATCATTTTTTAATTTTTTAATTTTAGTTTTTTTTTTGGTTTTAGATCATTAGGAAAGGAAAGCCGCTACCCGCCAACCATCCAACTCGGCCAACATTGCGAATACCAATCTCCCATGTAATAGCATGAATACCCCTTGGGACAAACAGTCCCGCCAGTGTATCCGATACCACCACATTGGGCCCAAGCTGCGACGGCGGCAGTATTAACGGCTGGTGCTGTTGATGTTGTACTGGTGCTCGTGGTAAGAGGTTTTGAAGTAGCTGCTGGAATACATTGGGAGTAATAATCATTGCTTCTGGAGCACTCCCATCCGTAAGGACAGTTTGTACCACCGGTCCATCCTATGCCACCACATTGGCCCCATCCAGCTACGGTTATGGTGTTTGCTGGAGATGTAGTAGAGGATGATGATGTTGTGCTGGTAGTACTCGTGCTTGTGATCCTCAGGGAGGACGAAGAAGTCGAGCTGGAACTTGAAGAGCTTGATGTTGTAGTCACTCTTGTTGGGCTAGGTAGGGTGGAAGTTGGAGATGTCGGCGTTGTCGACGTAGTAGTTGTCCTGCTCGACGAGGTCGACGAGCTGGAAGTTGATGTGCTAGAGCTCGAAGAGCTTGTCGTAGTTACCCTGTTTGAGCTCGAGGGACTTGAAGAGCTAGAGCTAGACGAGGTAGAACTTGAAGAGCTTGATATAGTTACCTTACTCAAACTTGATGTTGCAGATGGGATAGGGGTAGAGGAAGAAGTCGTCGTCTTATTTGAAGTTGTCGGGGTAGGAGTAGCTGACGTCGCCGCAGGCTTACACTGTGAGTACCAATCATCCTGTCGTACGCACTCATAACCACTCCCACAACGAGTACCACCGGTATAGCCATTCCCACCGCATTGCGCGTATGCTCCAACAATCAATGTACTGACAGCCAATATGCTGGAACTTGTTGGAGTGGATGTCGACAATGGTACAGAAGTAGCAGCAGGTTTACATTGAGAATAGTAATCGTCCTGGCGGATGCATTCCCATCCATACTCACAACGAGTACCTCCACTGTAATTTATGCCACCGCACTGAGCGTATGCTCCTACGGTCGCAGTATTGGTTGAAGTAGTACTGGTGCTAGTCGGTGTAGACGTTTTCAATGGCTTCAATGTGGCAGCCGGCTTGCACTGTGAATAGTAATCATCTTGTCTTACGCATTCCCAACCGTATTCACAACGGGTACCGCCTGAGTAACTGATACCTCCGCATTGGGCGTATGCTCCGACAGTGGCGGTATTCACGGATACGGTGGACGTCGCCAACGGCTTAGACGTTAATGCAGGCTTGCACTGTGAATAATAATAGTCCTGTTTTACGCATTCCCAACCATATTCACAACGTGTACCGCCGGAATAGTTAATGCCTCCGCATTGAGCATACGCTCCGACGGTAGCAGTATTGACCAATGTAGTACTAGAGGTAGTTGGTGTAGACGTAGTCAACGGTTTGGACGTCGATGCAGGCTTACACTGTGAATAGTAATCGTCTTGTTTCACACATTCCCAACCATAGGGGCATGAAGTACCTCCGTTATAATTAACCCCTCCGCATTGTTCATAGCTTCCCACAGTTGCTGTGTTAATGGACTTTGTGGACAATGGCGTGGATGTCGCGGCTGGTTTACATTGGGAATAGTAATCGTCCTGACGTATACACTCCCAACCATACTCACAGACTGTACCTCCCGTATAACCAATACCACCACATTGTGAATAGCCTGGTACGATGTTAAGATTGACTGATAGTGTGGCCAAGGGGGTGGAAGTAGTTGAACGGGTTGAGGATGTGGATGTGGTTGAACTCTTCGGTGTGGTAGGAGTCGTCGCTGCTGGAGCCGGCGAACTAGTTGAAGAAGCCGAGCGCACCGAGACATTGGTAGTCGTAGCTATTGTGGACGAAGGAGTAGAACTCGCTGCAGGCTTACACTGGGAATACCAATCGTCCTGTCTAACACATTCCCAACCAGGTTCGCAAACCGTACCTCCGAGGTAGCCGATTCCTCCGCACTGCGAATAGCCTGATACAATATTCAGGTTAACAGAAAGCTTAGTTGAAGTTGATAGGCTACTTGTCGAACTTGAACTATTCGGGGTAGTAGAAGCCGCAGCAGACGTGGTCGAAGGAGTCGATGTAGCTGCAGGCTTGCATTGAGAATAATAATCGTCCTGACGAACACATTCCCAGCCATAAGGACATCTTGTGCCACCACTGTAATTTATACCGCCACACTGAGCATATCCAGCCACAGTTGCAGTATTGACAAGAGTGGAAGTGGATAAAGGCACAGAAATCGCTGCAGGTTTGCATTGGGAGTAATAATCGTCTTGTCGAACGCACTCCCAACCGTAAGGGCAGTTGGTACCTCCTGTGTAATCGACGCCCCCACATTGGGCATACCCCGCAACGGTAGCAGAATTAACCAAGCGAGAAGTGGAAGTGGTTTTAGAGATCGTGGCTGGACTAGTTGATGTCACAGCTGGCGCAGATGTTGTGGAAGGCACAGAAGTTGCGGCTGGTTTACATTGGGAGTAGTAGTCGTCTTGTCGAACGCACTCCCAACCATAAGGGCATTTAGTACCTCCTGTATAATTGATACCACCGCACTGCGCATAGCCCGCAACCATGGCGTTATTAACCGATAGTGATGTTGACAGAGCTGTAGAAGTAGCCGCCGGCTTACATTGTGAGTAGTAGTCATCTTGTCGTACGCACTCCCACCCGTTCTCACATCGATTCCCACCGCTGTAATTGATGCCTCCGCACTGTGCATAAGCTCCAACTGTTGCGGTGTTAATCTTAATTGAACTGGATAGTGGTACTGAGGTAGCAGCTGGTTTACATTGAGAATAATAATCGTCTTGACGAACACATTCCCAGCCGTACTCGCAACGGGTTCCCCCACTATAGTTGATCCCACCACATTGAGCATAAGCCACAACTGTGGCAGTATTCACTGAGGTGGTTGAGCTTGCAGATGCCGTCATAGATGTGGCTGCTCGGGTTGATGTCGTTGATGCTGCCGACACGGGTGCCGAAAGAAGGGCATCTTTCAAAGGATTTAATAATCCACCAGCTGAGCTCAAACTCGTAGGTCGGGAGGATGTTGAACTCGATGTAGCGGACGTTGTCGGTACTGACGTAGCGGCAGGTTTACATTGAGAGTACCAATCATCCTGGCGAATACATTCCCATCCATACTCACAGCGAGTTCCTCCGGTATATCCGATCCCACCACACTGAGCATAAGACCCGGCCGTGGCTGTATTTATCGACGCAGTAGACGTCGATGACGAGCGAGGCGTGGAAGTCGCAGCAGGTTTACATTGAGAATAGTAATCATCCTGGCGCACACACTCCCATCCATATTCACATTGAGTTCCACCAGTATACCCAATACCTCCGCATTGAGAATACCCAGATACGATAGCGGTATTCACAGAGAAAGAAGAGACTGAAACGCTAGCGCTTGATGACGAGGCTGACGAAGGCGCTTTGGTTGTGGAACTCGAAGCCACGGATACAATTGCTGTTTTCGCTGAAAGCGACGAGAGGCCCACACCGGAACTGGAAGTAGTAGATGAAGCGGCTTTAATACTGCCTGTGGGTGAAGTCGTAAGGGGAACTGAGGTAGCCGCCGGTTTGCACTGGGAATAGTAATCGTCTTGACGAACACATTCCCAGCCATATTCACAACGTGTTCCGCCAGTATATCCAATTCCACCACATTGTGCGTAGGAACCGACAGTAGCGGTGTTTGCAGATACTGACGAACTTGAAGTTGGAAGTGGAGCCGAAGTCGATGCAGGTTTACATTGTGAATAGTAATCATCTTGACGTACGCATTCCCAGCCGTATTCACAGCGTGTACCACCACTGTAGTTGATGCCTCCACATTGTGCATAAGAGCCAACCGTAGCCGTGTTTATAGATACCGAGGAAGTCCTGCTACTAGAGGTTGAAAGTGGAACGGAAGTCGCGGCAGGTTTACACTGAGAATAGTAATCATCCTGACGAACACACTCCCAACCATATTCACAGCGTGTTCCACCGGTGTAATTGATACCTCCGCATTGTGCATAAGAGCCCACGGTGGCAGTATTTACAGATGCTGAAGAAGTTTGACTACGAGAAGTAGACAGCGGTACTGATGTTGTGGCGGGCTTACATTGGGAATAGTAGTTGTCTTGACGAACACATTCCCAACCGTACTCGCATTTTGTGCCTCCAGTGTATCCGATTCCACCACATTGAGTGTATCCAGCAACGATAGCCGTATTAACTGATAGAGAAGAAATTACGATGCTATAGCTTGTTACCGGTGTTGAAGAAAGCTTAACGCTGGAACTCGTGGTTATGAGCGAAGAAGCCTTAACACTCGAGCTCGAGGCTGACAGTGGTACCGACGTCGATGCAGGCTTACACTGAGAATAGTAGTCATCCTGGCGGACACACTCCCAGCCATATTCACAACGGGTACCTCCGCTATAGTTGACACCATCACACTGAGCATAGGCACCCACAGTGGCAGTATTGACAGAAGCGGTTGATAGAGGAACTGATGTTGCCGCAGGTTTACATTGTGAATAGTAGTCATCCTGGAGAACGCACTCCCATCCGTATTCACAGCGAGTACCTCCGCTGTAATTAATACCACCACATTGAGCGTAGGCACCAACTGTGGCAGTATTGATGGAAAATGTGCTCGATGAACCACTCGAGGAGGCAGTAGTCAAGATTTTGCTTGTAGCGGCTGTTGTTTCCGTGGCTGTTGTTCCCGTGGCTGTTGTTACTGTTGTTGACGTTGTGGCTTTTGAAGTGGCGCTTAAAATTCCGGTTACGGCGTTCGGAAGACTGAGAGATATTCCAGCCGTGGCGGAGGAAGTACTAGAACTAGTAGATGCTTTCGAAGTGGACGCAGAAGTACTAGTTGATGCATTAGGATCTGTTCCTGGTATACACTGAGAATAGTAATCGTTCGACTTTGAACAGTAGTACCCAGTAATGCAAGTAGTCGCTCCGGTCCATAATAACCCACCACACTGCGCATAGGCAGCGGCTGCAGGCATACTTGCAGCTGAAGAAGTGGAAGAAGCAGATGTAACGCTGGATGTGGACACCTTGGATGTGGAGGTAGTGCTTGATGCATTTGGATCCGTTCCAGGAATACACTGTGAATAATAGTCGCTCGACTTGGAACAATAGAACCCAGAAACACAAGTAGTCGCTCCAGTCCATGTGATCCCTCCACATTGTGCATAGGCAGCAGCAGCGGGTGTGCTTGCCACTGACGAAGTAGAAGCGGAAGAAGTAGAAATAGTTGTGGAACTAGATGTTTTTGAAGTGGTAGTCGACGCGTTTGGATCTGTTCCAGGAACACACTGCGAGTAATAGTCACTTGACTTCGAGCACCAGTAACCGTCGACACAAGTAGTTGCGCCAGTCCATGTGGCTCCGCCGCATTGAGCGTAAGCGGCAGCACGAGGTGTTGGTGCTGCCGAAGTCGAGGATGTGGAAGTAGTACTAGGGATAGACGCCGCAGAAGTAGTGCTGGGAGAATTAGGATCTGTCCCAGGAATACATTGCGAATAATGGTCGCTAGACTTCGAGCACCAGTACCCGGTCACACAAGTCGTGGCGCCGGTCCAGAGAAGTCCACCACATTGTGCATAGGCTGCAGCCGGCGTAGTTGTTAGCGACGTAGATAAAGATGAGCTCGTTTTAGAGACTGCTGATGAACTACTAGAAGTAGACGACCCGATGGAAGAACTACTCAATGTACCAGTAGTAGATGCGGACGAAGTAACCACAACGGCGGTATTTGGACTTGGGATACATTGTGAATAGAAGCTATTTGACTTTGAACAATAGTATCCCGCCACGCACTCCGTAGGCCCAATGTAAGTAAGGCCACCGCATTGTGCGTATGCAGAGGCAAGCGCTGTGGATGAGCTGGATGTCGTGGATGTTGAGGACGTCGAAGCGCCAATGCTATTAGATGTGGAAGCAACAGTAGAAGATGTAGACACACGCACAGAGCTGCTGCTATTTGGGTCAGGTACACATTGCGAGTAAAAGCTGTTCGAAACTGAGCATATATATCCCGGTACACATTCTGTGGCCCCAAGATAAGCTAAAATCTACGTTAGCGGAATGGCGAAAGTAAATAGTGACGATCAAAAAAACCTACTTAGACCGCCGCACTGCCCGTAAGCTGGAACCAGCGCCTTTGTCGAAGTTGTCGCTGCAGATGAACTCTTCGTGAATGTTCCGGATAGAGACGTCGTTGAAACAGAAATGGCCGTCCCGGTGCTATTTCTAAGGGCAGATGTAGTCGTCCTCGCGGTAGCAGTGATAGAAGTCCTCGAGCCTGCTCCGGATATAACTGTTATGGCTCACATGTCAGTACAATAATTGGAGCAAGAAGCCCCTGGTGGATTCTTTGTACGTACGAGCAGGTCCCGGAAATATATAAGAATTAGACCCAAGTAAGTTACCGATGGTGACAAGAATCCCAGGGTCTAGTGAAGTGTATGCTCCGGGAAATCGGACGGTATCTGAAGGCCGTGCGGATCCCCCACCAGTCACCTTTAGACTAGCGCACATGGGATAGAACTAAGGAATCGGTATTAGTAAGTCGTAATAAATCTTAATTGTCAAGAAATCAGTACTTTGGCCCCGTTAAGGAGACTTGCGCCGCCCAGATTTACGAATTCATGTCTCATCATATAGCTTCCCGAGGCGATATTAGATGGAATGTTGATAGTGTAACCGCTTCCCGCAGCAATGGAATCAGATGCCCACGACCCGTCATCATGCAGCCCATCCTCATCAATCTTGAAAAAGTCAAGCAGGTTGGGGTTTTCGTTAGAGCAGTCCCCACTACTACAGTAGGCAAGATATGACAGGCTAGGGCCCTTGTAGTTCGACGGCCAGCCTGGCCAATCGAAAGTGATAGATCCACCAGCTTTGACCGTTGCCGCCACGGGCCAGGAAGTCCCGTCTGGTTGATTGCAGGCGATCGCATTACTCATGATATCGCTGACAGGACCTCGACCTAGAGAGCAAAAGAAAAGTTAGGTTCGATGTATTCCTGCATAGATATTATACTAGTATGCTGATTCGCCAGGCGGTTGATCGGGCCAAAGATTTCACACTTACTTAACATCTGCCAGACACGGCTGGTTGCGGAGGTACCACCTCCTACGATACTACGTACACACTAAGGTCAACCTATACCATTACCACAAAAAACGAAGAGTTATTATCGAAACAGGGAACTCACAAATCAAGAAGGCCGGCAGAAGAGGCAGGTGCAAGAACATTATCAAGGAGACCAGCTTGAGCAAGGCCCACCCAACCAAAGGTGAGCCCTACCGCTGGATAGGGCTTCATTTCGTGATCTAGCCTTTAGAGTGTTAAATATAGTGAAAACCAATGTAAACATTTGTTGAAGTAAGATAAGATGTGAATATGACGAAAGAAAGGAGAGGGAAAGCACTTCGTGTTTGTACCGTCGATATTGCCATTTATACAAAGGATATCCTCTATTATTTTGGAAAGGTTGATTTTAAGTTCACATCTTATGAGCCCTGGGATGGTGAACTCAAAAAAACAAGTCGGTATCATGAGGGCATCTAGGCCTTCGGGTGTATCGACCGGCTATGTAGCCGAATAACGTAGCAATCGGCAGCTGTACCTGTAATTTTCTAGCACGAGTACGCCGATTCATAATTTCACAAAACAGCTGCATTGAAAAGTCAAAGTTGGGTTCAAAACGTTTTTATGAGAATTGCCTAGTCCGGTAATTTCGCAGAGTCTATGGCGAAATATTTTTTCCAGAAGAACTTAAACCGAGAAACTTACTGTCGGCCAAGACAAATTTGCCTAATGCAGGAATTTCCTTGCTGGAATGTAACTCATATTCTGAAGAAGAATCTATAAGAAGACTTAGACAAAACTAGACCAGAGACTCTATGGCAAAAGCGTCAATGTGGTATTGCTAAGTTTGTCATGAATTATAATACATTAAACAGAGGCTCTACATTTAAATATCTCTTGTTGCATTTTGCGTGTTGTCTCATCCACTTGGCAGGGCAGTCTCGTAACCAATTGGCAGGGCGGCCATTATTACGACCTTGAAATACGGAGATGCGCTGCCGCTATCAGTAATGGTACAACATGTCCTCCTTAGCAACCTCAACGCGTCCGTTACTCCGAAGGAGATCACGACGGGCCATCTTCGCCCTGTAGCTCCATTCAAGCTCGCCGCCTCCCCACGGACGCCGGCTGATGGAAGGATTCGCCGGGCTATTTATTGCTTTGAAGGAACTTGGAAATAGTTAGGCATGCCCTGAGACTTATATGTAGATTCCAAGTACGCGGACCAGAAAACATACCATTCCCCATCTTTGTATTTGACTTCATATGTTTTGAGGTCGATGTCGTCCTGCCCTTCATTCCGATTTCGAAGCGAGACACCCCAGTCTACCAAAAAATAGGTCTTTTTCTTCTCTTCTGCATCATAGTCTGCTGCATAGTGGGTATAATCGCATTTGCGGTTGTATATTCTCCCCATTATTGATAAGGCAATATCCGAAAGGATCTGATTTGGGCGCGGCGGCGACAAGGTTCTCCGGGGACTTCAGTCGTCCTAAATTTGATTAAAGAACGTGATCTTCCCATCATCGACCTTTCCATTCCTTTCCCAGAGGGCTGTCTGGATCTTTCCTGGCTTTGATTATAACCAGTTGAGTCGAAAGAAGGACCCATGAAGCCCCTAACCATTGCCCACTTGTGGATCAATCAAGATAATTACGTAGAAGCAAGTTACATGTGATACTACGGATTAAGAAGGAAGGCCAAGTTGGCTAGTCCCGTGACGAGACAAACACGAGGGATCCCTTCCTGAAGCTGCCGATAGTTATAATATTCAAATTCGTCACAATCCAAACTTAATTAAGTTTAACGCTTGACATATTCGAGAAATATGGATGGCCCAAGTAATCCCGAGACCCCACAATATGAGATACATGAACTATAACTAACGACATTTACTGGATATTCATGACCATACGAGCGAGAAGATAAGAGTGCGCTAGTATAAGATCCCTGCTTGGTAGTTAGTCCTCCTGCTTCCAGTTCCTGCAGGTGCCTGGTCTCGTAAGATGCCTAGCTAAATTCGAGCAGGCCAGGGGCTGCAGGCTGGGCGATGTCGCATTGCAACACAAAAAAGAACACAATGTGGTCAAGGTTGAACGCGGATATCGATGGGACCTTCGATACTTAAAACGCTTATCGAATATCCTGATCCTTTAATTTCGGCGCGCCTTAGATTTCCTGAGAGTTAGGTAACACAAGTCGGAGACAAAATGATTATCCTAGTATTAATATTTCTAGAAACTTCAGTATCGTTTTTGGTATGACATTACCAACGGCCGACTGAGAATATACTGGGAGAACAATACGACACTAATACACTAGAAGGATACTTCTCAAATGTCTAGCACAATTTTTGACCAGTCTGGATTATTGTAACTCTGCGAGAACGTATTCTATTGGGGCTGCCATGCATAGACCAATTGCGTCATTTCTAGAATTCTACGTTCCCTGCGCCATGGTATCAGCTTATACAACTCCTTATAATCATGACTACTCATAAAAATTTTATTCAGCTTTTGAATTCTGACGCGTAATTAAATACTATACTTCAGCCTCACAGTGCTTTGGTTGGCGCTAGAAAAGTATATTTTAAGAGGCAAAACAGTCGATGTTGCCTGATACTCACAATATCTTGATAAACCTCCTTCGCGTAGCGCAAATTAATACCAGCGGCGTGAATAGATGTACAAATTTAAAATTGTAGGACGGCCCGAGAAGCATGGCGCGCGCACAAGCTAGCTCCATTGACAATTCATAGTAGCTAGTAACACTATGTTTGATCATTCAACTTCGATGAACGTCGATCAGGGGTGAATACCTCAGAACAAGATATTCTTACACAATTATTGTATAATTTCCGAGTACTTCTTGCTCCGGCTTGCCATGCCATCGACCCTTGTTTAACCTTGCAAAAGTCATCCCTTCGTCAATCATTTCGCGGATTATTCGGCGCAAGAAAAAAATTGTGTTACTATAGTGGGGGGACAAACCCCAAACTGCAGCCAGGTCTTCGGCATAGGGAAGGTAGCGGGGCCTTATTGATTTGTGTGCCTGTCGTAGCTAACTAGTACTAGTAAAAGCAAAGGCAGAAATTTATGATCAGGAGTTGGCGGCAGAAATACCCCGTCGAGAGCGAAGTCAAAGTTCAGCGTGGCGGTCTTGGTGTCTTGGCTCGGCATGCTAGACGCCAACTCTGCAGGTGTAAAAGCAGGGGAAACACTATAACGAGTTAGGCGATTCAGCAAATCGGCTTGACTGCTTCTTGGAGGTATGGGGAACTCATTCTTGGATCTGATATTATCCTGGATGAATCGGCTTCTCCGGACACTTGCGGCTCATAGTGATCCAGGGGATCACGAATTCATCAAATTTAATATTATAATGTGGATACGTACTCTGAATTTAGCCTTAATGCGGGGTGGAGTTCGAAGTATCGAAATGTATATAACTCTTAAGTTAGCCAGGTTGCCCGCGATCTAGTAGACTGCGATTTAAAATCCACTTGATATTTTCAGTTCCAGTGCTTACTTTGGAGGCACCTTCACTTGTGACTGAGATTCAAGGTCTTAATTGACGACAACGACACCAATATACAGCATGTGGTTTAAGTCAGTGCTTTCGTCGGCGTTACTGCTGCTATTAGCGGGAAGTGCGCAGACTGCAGCGCCGACAGACGAATATCAGGATGCCGACCCGGCACAGTCTGGTAAGCTTCCGTGCGAATACCTTAACTAATCACGATCAATATCGCGCGTGTATCAATCTGAAATATTTATTTGCGTAAAAAATTTGAGCAATAATTTTCAAATACTAAATTTGATTCTTGTTCTAATAGGTTATCTTCCCAATCACAACATCCATCCGAACATCGTGAATAGTCCAAACTTCGGGGAACTATGGCGGCTCGTTTTCAGTAGGAATGAGAGGGTATGATAAAAGCAATATTTCACGTTAATATTCTATACAAAACATACCATTGGAATCTAATATGAAATATATTCAAACATCTAGTTTTTGGCAAAACCTCTAGTTTACACACCTTCTATCCCGGGATCGAGACAGATTATTCTCTTAGCGTCCACACAGAACAAAATTCATTCGGTCGATGCAGTTAATGGAACCCTCATTCGAACTCGCGAACTAATGTCCCCGTTCTTGTCACCCGATGTCCGTTGTACCGACATCCCAGATACTGTTGGAATTATCGGAACTCCAATCATTGATCCTTCTACAAACATCATGTACTTTTTCTCCAAGGGTTATAGGGGTGAAGAGAGGGGGATGGATAATGGCATTTTCCGGTTTTATGCTGTGAATGTTCTTACATTTGAAGATGTCCCGGGATACCCCTTTGTAGTCGACGGAGTGCCCTCAGATACGGACCCGGACAAGTACTTTGTCAGTGGCACACATAATCAGAGACCTTCACTAGCCCTGATCAACAATGTCGTCTATGCCGGGTACGTGCATCCGCTAGTATACACCTAACTACTCGTTCGACGGCTTCTAACTACAGGACTGAATAGTTTTGGTTCACATTGCGGCCAGTTTAACCGTAAGTAGTACTCCAATTTTAAATGAACTAGCGTTCTCCTAACACGGATATTAGATACCGGATGGCTTTTTGGCATACATACTCAAAGCAGAGAAATTGTTAGCGTCTTCTCAACCACGAGCGCTCCATTCACAAAACCCCAGACTGGAACTATTGATGGTGGCGGTGGTGGAGCTTCCATCTGGCAGGGCGGAATGGGCTTGTCTACTGATGCCAACAACCGCATGTTTTTCGTGGCGGTACGTATATATAACCTATAGAGCATCGACTGCCCTCGCGGTCTCGATGCATAACTCTCCCTAAACTACACAAGCTCAATTTGCTGACTATATTGAAACTTACAGGCCAACGGGAAAGCCCACCAAAATATAGACACTCCAGCGAGTGGCAAGACACCTCTTAAGACGCTTAATAACGCTATTGTCAATATCAAAATCGACCCGGAGACTGGAAAGATTTCGCTCTTCGATTATTTTCAACCTTTTGATTACTCCAGTCTTGATGGTAAAGCTAATTTCTGTGTATATCTGTAAAAAGTTGAATTATACTAATTTTTTGATGAAGCTGCTGATAGAGATTTGGGATCATCGGGTCTTACCCTCCTGGACCCCACTGTCTTCAAAACGGCAGGTATTGCGAGAATGGGAGTCACAGCTGGAAAGAATGCAAAGGTATCATGAATATTATCGCATATCCCTGCTCGTTCCACCAACCTTCTACACGTTCAAACTTCTAACGAGCTATATTAATATCTTTAATTATAGGCTTACGTTGTTAATCTTGACGACCTTGGCGGATACAGGCTCAGCTCGGAGGGAAAAGATAGCTGCATTCAGACTATTCAACTAGACAACTCCGTTTTTGGTGGAGCAGGCAGCTACCCACTGGAGGGTGGATATTTTTACTTTACTCCTACCCGATCGCCACTCGTCGCCTATAAATTTGGGACAGACGTGAACGGAAAGCCAGTTTTCACATTGGCTGGGAAATCCAGCGCAGAAATTGGAGGAAGGATGGGCGCTGTTACAGTTACTTCATACAAGGGCCACGAAGGCACTGGAATTGCTTGGATCTGTGACAACAACCGCGGACTACGGGCATTCCATGCTGTTCCTGAAAATGGAGAAATGGTTGAAATCCCTATTCCATCAACAGGTGGTATAGGCAAATTCGCAAGACCCGCCTTTGGGGATGGCCGTGTATATGTCACCAACTCGGCAGGTCATCTAATTGCGCTGGGTGCACCCACAAATCCTCCATTGAGCTGTGACGATCCAATCGATTTTGGCCAGTTAACCATCGGACAATCGAAAACCATTACTGTGACTTGTACTGGGAACATTGCCACCAAGGTCAACGGCGCGGTTGTATCAGATGGATCATTTAGTGTCCAGAACTCCTCTTTTCCGACAGCACAAATTAAGAAGGATGGTGTTTTCACATTCCCAGTCGTTTGGGATCTCACGACTGGCTCACATAAGCCAGGCCCCGAGTCCGCCGTCATCAATATTCTAACAACGAACGCAGTTGCTAAGTATATGACATCTCAACCACTAGATCTGCGTGGAACCATAGCCTCTTCTGGTCCGTTCCTTGATGTTAATCCCGCCACCGTCGATTTTGGAAGCGTGATTGTTGACGACGAATCTGCCACTGATGTTTCCATTGGTTTCACACTCTCGAATACTGGGTCGACTTCATTGCAGATCACAAAGATTACATACACTTTGACAAGCCAGGTTAATAACACTGATATCACATATTCCAATGTCGTTTACAATGGAGACGGTACCGCCAACGCTGGCTCGAGTTTCACACTTTCGGCGCTGCCAACCTCCGGGCAATCGATTGCAGTTGGTGCTAGCCTTTCTGTCACAGCAAACTTCAAAGCGGTAAACGGCGTTGGAGGTTATAACTCTGTTCTCAAAATCGAGTCTAATGGCGGCACCCACAAGATTTTGCTCACCGGCCGTGCCACAACAGCTCCAAAAACTCGTTTCGAAATACAGAACTCCCAAGGTCAATGGGAAGAAAGATTTTCGGTTAACTTCGGAGACGTCGTTTCGGGCCAGTCGGAAACTCGAAAAATCCGAGTTTGCAATGACGGTGGCGCAACTTTGATCGTTACCTTGTCTAAGCCACCTGGTGGGCTCGAGATCTTTGCCCCATTTCCAGCTGACGATTTGTACGAAGGATACAACGTTGCGGCGGGAGAATGTGGACTTGCGACTATAAAGTTTCAACCACTACCAATGGTGCCGAACACGGATTCACACTCTGTATCGGAAACATGGGTACTCAATGTGAATGAAGCAAATTGGGATATTCATAGAGTTACATTCGAAGGAAGAGCCGTATCTAGGCAGTTGGGCCCTCTACTACCTGACGGGACAGCTCGTTATAAATATCTGGGATGCTATCAGGACGGCAGGAGCGGGCGACTCTTTACCAAAAATACAGGCCTTGGGGATCAAGCCACAGTCGGACAATGCGCTCAGACCGGACTAAATAATAATTTTATTTTTGCAGGAACACAGTAAGTTTACCAATTAAATAGTTATTTGCTTCAAGGGACAGAACTAATATCGCTCCCCCCAAATCAGATACCGCAAAGAATGCTGGCAGGTAAGAGACTAGAAATTTTAAAATTCACTTCACAAGGCTCTTATTCTAATATCAATCGGTATTCTCTAGGGAAATACTCCTCCACCAAGTATCTACTTTTACCCAGAGAGTGATGCCAAGTGCACTTGGGGTTGCACAGGAGATACGACACAGCCTTGTGGTGGCAATGGCCAATTCATGAATGTCTTCTACGACAGCACAAGATATACACCACCAAGCCCAGACGGTTCGGTGACCACAAGTTCGACGACTATAAGTTCGACGACGACCAGTCGCACGACTACATCCTCTACTTTGTCGACTACTACGAGCTCGTCTACTACTCTGTCAACCACTACGAGCTCCTCTACCACGACGTCGACTACGAAGTCTACAACCTCGTCTACAACTACATCATCTACTACAACTTCATCTACTACGGCGTCTACTACGCCATCTACGACACCATCTACTACACCATCCACTACACCATCCACTACACCATCCACTACACCATCCACGACAACATCAAGCTCCTCAACGACCATATCAACCACAAAATCCACTACACCTTCAACAACCACTACAACCACCACTACAACCACCACAACAACATTCATGACATCCACTATAACGTCCACCACCTCGACTTCAACTTCATCCTCAGCACCAGCAAGGCCCGCAACAGATCCTACCAAACGTTGGGAAGACAAAGGATGTTGGCTTGATCCTCCCGCAGCATATGTTAAAGCCGTTCACCCACATATCAAATACGCCACAGATCTCATGACAACGCAACACTGCCTTGAATATTGCGAGACCCGGAATTATGTCTGGGCAGGTCTAGAGTATAGACGGGAATGTTATTGTGCAAATGAGTTTATCGGTGAAGAGAAGAGTACTTGCACATTAACTTGTATGGCAAATACAACAGAAATGTGTGGTGGTTCGAGAAGGTATGAAAAGTTTTCCCGATTCTAAATTTGTTAACCAGAATTTGCAGATGCTAATTGAGGTTGATATAGGATGAACGTTTATAATCTTGTGAAGCTAGATTAATTATGGGTTTGAAATTTATACAGGGCGTAACCAAGTGGTTTTTCTTTTGGTAGTGTACATTTCTATGTTTAATACTTCGATGATGCTTTGGGATGGGTTTCTTGGATTTCTTTTTTTTTTATCGTCACTAGTCACAAAAAATAAGTAATAATAATCCTTAATTATAAAAATTGTCGGGCAGCTCTTATTTTGATTTGAAATTTGTATTCACTTTCGGGAGGTTGTATTTTATAACGAAACTTGGAGAGCAGGCGATTGTATCACACGACATGTTATAGAAAATCAATGGTTAGAGTACCTAGGTGCGGGATTAGTTAAGGTAATCAATTCTATAAATACCTAATATCTCTATAATATCACGAACGCGTTATTGGTGAGATAAGTTTTAAAAACGATAAACGGAAATTCAACTTCATTATGATTAACTACTAATTGGCCACCCCCAAGCGTAAGAATATTATCGCACCAATGCAACATGATATAACCTCCAGTATATAAAAAGAGTATAAAAAATAAAGAAAAATAAAGACATGGGTACTAAATGTAATCTCAAACTACCTCAATCTCTTCCTCCTTCCCAAAATATACTCGAAAATTCCTATTCTTCCCACCATTTATTCTAGGAGCTTCCATTTAGTAGGAGTTGAACTTAGGTTTCTTAGGATCGGTCAAGTCCGCAATAACCGAAAAGTGTGGTCTGCCGCCGCCACGGTTTGCGAACTCGGTCTCAAATGGAATGGTGCGGTTGAAACTGAGTGCACCATTTGGTAGAATATCGACATAGTGGACTTTGTAATCAGCTGGGGTGTTGATGAGACCCTATATCAAACATGCTTTTTTAGTAACTGATAAATGTATATATATTATTGAGGATTGTTTTAGTAAATTAGACTTACGATATCACCTTGCCGGACGAAGTAGCCGAGAGCAACCAAGTTCTTTTGATCGGGGGTGACGCGGAGGGAGTGAACGCTGTAAAAGTTGAAATTATCAGTAATGCTATTTAAACTTGGAACGATTTGGGAGGCAAAGGATATCGTACCCAATGACTGGCTGTTGCTCATTTGGATTGTCAAGACGAACTGGTTTTTTCAGGTTTTTGAGATCGAGAACGGCGATATGGTTGGCTGTTGTTAAGCTCAAGTACAAGAATCTTCCATTGGCAGAGAAGTCGCTGTAGATAGCAACAACACCCTGGAGTTTAGGATGTTAGCAATTATTTCACTCCGCACTCGTTAAGATTGGATGTCGGTACTTACTTTGGCCCTTGGGCCAAGATCGTAAAGAAGTTCGGCGACACCTTGGGTACCATCGGCATTCTTCTTGAATCTATTGCGTCGAGATTCGATTATAATTAGTTTATCATTCTGAAGTATTGTCGCGTTAAACAACGTACAACCAGAGGACTTACGGGTAGATAATCCAAACTTGTCCCAGGTCAACAGCAGTAGCGATAGCAGCGCTATCCTTGTTTCCAGGAATGAATTTGACGTCTTGAATTCCGCCACCACCTGGAATAGTAATCGTCCTGATGATAGTACGACTTGACAAATTCCAGAGACGGAGTGTATCCGCCTTCTGGATGCCGAGACTTGGCTTCAAAGTAGAAAGTGGAACAACGAAGTCGGAAGTCAAGATGATGTTCTTGTCGAAGTCAATCGAAAGACCGTGAGGGCTGAATTGGTCTTTGACGATGTTCAAGGTGCCGGGGATGTCCAAGGCACTGGGGAACTCGCCGATCAATTTTCCTTGAGCATTCCACTCGGTAAGACGGCCGAGATTGGTACCACCGGCGGAGCCCATCTATAAGGATTGGCTTGTCAGCTAGACTCTTAAAAAGAATATTCACCGGTATGCGATTGCACCTACGTGAGTAATGAAGAAGCCACCATCTGGCTTGGCAACAATTTCGTCCCCAATAGATGAGAGAACGGCGCGGCCAGAGTTTCTAAACTTGGGCCGATAGGGATTGCTGATGTCAAAGAAATACTCGACATCTACGTGGGCAAAGTCAGAATTCATGAAACAGTCATAAAGTTAGATTTTGAATTCAGTCATACCTTGAAGCTTGAGAAGGGAGAGAAGGCCAGTTCCAACGAGAGTCTTTCCGTCTTTAGCGACATTCAAGTGATGCGGCTCGTTACCACTGGTTGGTACGTCAACCAACGTGATGAAAGTTCCTAAGAACATTAATTTTATTGTTAGCGATTTATTATAACTGCACGTGATTGGATGGTATCTCTTGTCCAAGGGGAGAGAGAAACTCGTAACTAAACATACCGAAGGTGTCATCATCGAGAGAGTAGACAGCAAGGAAATCAGCGTAGGCGATGTTTCCTGGACCAGTCCAAAAGTAACCAAGCTTCTTTGGTTTAAGGCTGCTGGCGGTGAATGGTGGACTCTTAACCGGTGGTGTTGGAACCCTCAGAATTGGAAGTGGTGGTGCCAGAGTGCTAAGCAGCTCGTTGAACCCCTATATATCAATATGATTTTAGTTGAGTGGTATCCCAGTCATAGATTGGCACAGTAGAAGACTAATATGAATCATTATCTTACCGGAACTTGGATAATCCGCGAAATGTCTGGGATCAAAGACCCGGGAATCGACAAAGGGTTGGGCTTTGGATGTGGAACTGGCGATGCGAAGCTGGAGGCGGCGTGAAGAGCCAAAATGAAAACGGCTTTGAGCGGTGTCAACGGCATCTCGAAGATATTATATTAGAGACTACTGTAGTCGTAGATATAAATTAAGATATAGATATATGATCGACTTAGATCTCAGGAGGAGACTAAATTTCTTGTAGGGAAAGAGGGGAGGGTTGATGAGTGATGCAGAAAAAAGGTATATGATCTAGCGTTCTATCGACAGGATTTATACTTCTCGAGCCTCCGGACTATTGATACAATGTACATGTGTAAATGACGATCTTACCAAAGGATTGTAACCCTGAGAATACATGCATCTTCAAGAGCACCTGCAGCGCATGCCTGGCCCGCAGAAACAAACTCGCACTGATCAACATAGTCTAACGATTGATACCTCAACCCCGAGACCTGGAGGATTATGACAGAGCTTCATGATCAAGGCAGACATTACGTCTATCTCGATGAAAATGGCGCCTTTGAAGAGGCTCATGGTACCATATCTACAAATCCATTCACTTTCTTGCTGATACGCGACCGGAATAATGTTATTTTTACTTGGGAGTAAAATAAATGGTGAAGTACGGGGTCTCATTTCAAGTTGCAGAAGCTCTCATGACTTCTGTAAAAATGATATGCACATCATTTCCATTGGGGATAGTGTGGGGTGTTGAACTATAAGCGCACAGGTTTTTATGAATTGAGGGCTGAGAGTAAGTAATTCTAGCTTCCGAAGTGACCACGGATGATATCAAAATCCTGTCAGGGCTTAAGCAGCGGCAAGATCGAGACGTGGTGGATTTTGCGTTGAGAGTGCTCCTCCTCCAGCAAGGGCTGGGGCTGGTACCAACGAGACCAGCTGGGGCCAAATATATCCATATTGCTTTTGTTCCTTTTCCATATTTCCAGGTTGTACGCTACTCTAGTATACTCGCTAGTTGGCTGTCTCTTGATTAAATGAACCTACGGGGCTCAGTGTATCCGTTTTTGTAATTCATTTTCCATTTTGGGCTGCGCGGTCAAAGTCTACCTTGCCTTTCGTCCTTGAAACAGGGAACAAGGTTCTGCAAGCAAAGAGCAGATCTTAAGATCCCGTATGCATATGAAGATCCAGATCCTAACTGGGATTAAATTCCCCTGCAATGCAGGTGCTGATTATTTCCGATTTTCAATGGTTATAGCAAGAACTAGTGCCTAGAGATACCAGTATCCTGTTCCCTTACCACTCCTTGAGCAACATACAACAGTTTCTTAGCCTCGTTATACGTCGCTGTCAAAATAACTTGCTCAAAACCTCGCGCAAACTTCGTCAACTTGACGCTGAAGTTATGTTTAAATCGCTAAATTTGGAGGTAAAAACAATATAATTATGTCTATCTTTCTTGTGAAACGTACGACGGATGGCGTTCGCGATTGATAGCCGCGTTTCTTTGGTTCTACACATGGAGCTTGTCTCAAACCAGACTTCGAAAAAAAAAGTGTTTAAGCAAAATCGGGACCATACTATCGAGTTCCTCGTTCGATAGCTCCGATGTACATACATACAACTCTAGGCCCTCAACCCCACTTTTACCATCGAAATTTAGAAACTTGTACTGAACACCTGCGCATATCATGTCATTGATCCGAAGGATGGTGCCATCTAGCAATCCCCTTTTGGAACAGAGTAATTACTTTTTGGGAATTTCGGACTTGTACGGACAAACCCAGAGCTTCAGGCACTAGGTTAGGAAAGTACTCGGGCTCCTTCTGGTGAAAAGTAAACTAATAAAGTGACGGCTGGTGGTGGTGCGCGGGATACGTAAATTATCTTGGCCAGAATTGACTTCCTCCTTAGCTCGAAAAATAAAATACTTTAGCGCGTTTACAAGCCTTTTTGTGTGATCAAGTAATGGAAAATCCCATTTTCAGATTATGCCACAGATGACATCGACTGCGCGGATCCAATATAGGAATAGCGTAGAAGCGGAGGCAAAAGACAATCAGGATTGCCAGGGCACAGTCTGGACTGATGTTATGATCATACTGGCTCGTTTGACCACTTGTTTCGAGGACTTAGCCTGACTTGGAGTGATCCGCAGATTCATCTGAGCTCAGGCTTGAGGAAACAAAGTTAATTCGTATTATTCGTGGTGCTAGAACACCTCGCTAATCTCAAAAATGCTTGCAAACCAGGAACGCAAGCCACAGGGGTCCTTTAGGCACGTATGTGGCTTTTCGGACTTTTAAATCGTGCATGCCCAAGATACCCTAGCTGTAGTCTTATTTCCAACCTTGCTGTAATCTTGCCCGTCATTTTTACTTGACCCGTTTCAAAAACTTATGGAAGGGTTCGCTAGCCTTGGAAAATAAGAATATGGGCCGTTTAGCCAATATGGTTAGTTAGCAGGAGTCAATTTTGGGTCCATGTTTAGAACTACGTTGAAATTAGAGTGGTCACGTAACAATTCAGACTTCCAGTGATATCGCTGGTCGGAAAAGACCGTAAAAGTACAAATGTAACTACTTGGTACATGTCGTTGAGCGTCCATCCATTGCCGCTGGGTCCACGGACATTGTCCATCTACCTAATTCTAGATTCCGATATCTGAGCCAGGCCTGAGAGTCACGGAAAGACCTCCCTGCCTCCAACAGCAAAAACGTCTGAAGAGAGTTCTTTGATGTCAGGAGTCTTAGAATACAATCACGGCAACAGGCAGATCGATCAATGGAGTGGGGTCCATTAATCAGTCCCCGAAAAGATGGGGGTCAATTGGACATTACCAACACATTTCTGTGTGTTAATTTTGAGCAATTGGGCATCCAAAAGCGGTTAGCAGAGCACCGTCGGCGTTTTCTGATTGGTCAGCTTTTCTGATACGCCATTGTCAATGACAATGAGACCATCTACCCCTCAAACATATCAGATATCAGATTGGTCAGGGATACTACAGAGACCCACTTTTTGGCTATCAGGAACGAAGCTTCGCGTATTTCGATCTGCAAGGTTGGAAAGAACAAGATGGGATTTTCCCCAAACAGCAAATTGGATTGTGGCCTGATATATCTTGTCGGCCAAGTTAAGAAAAGCTTTGTCTTCGCTCGGCCGCAGAAGCTAGCTAGTAGGGCGGCCAGCGGGCAGGAAGTGGAGTTCGAATCGACCAAGTCTAGAGGCTGGAAGCTTGTTTTCACCTTGCATGATCCAAGTCTGCCTAATATATCGATATTATACTTACTAAGTATGTACTTGTAAATTTGTAAAAACAGCTGCTTTGCAGGCAGGCGAGAAAGTATATACGAGGACAGCTGTGCGCCCCTACCCATACGCACAGTATACGTACATGTACAGTGGGGATCTTAGATCAAAAAGCGGGACAAACCGAGTCTCGGTCAATTTGTATCATAGCTTTGAAGCAGCATTGCGGCTCGGTAGACTGGCTGATTGTTTTAAAATTTGCAGCCGATTGTCGATTATATATTATAGCTCCCTGGAAATCTTCGGTTGGGGCTAGCTACTACAAACTAGTTAAAGTTCAATCCTACATCCTCGAATGCCGCTCTATCGCCCAATTAAATCCACGACGAAGATCATACTCCCATTCTACTTCGCTGTCTCCCACGATGTCCTCATGACCAATATGGAATGCAGTGCTACACCAGCCTCGCTCGCCAAAATATCCTTGGACATCGCCGGGATACAAGCTTCCCCCTTGCGCGGGAAACCGATATTGCGCATGCATATCGATATTCAAACGAAGTGGTTTTTGCTTACCAACCGTTCTTCTTTGCTCCCTTGGATACGATAGCTTTTCTATGTCGCCATATCACGTCTTTTTATTTTATCTTGTTCAAAGCCGCTCTACTGCCCTGGCTTTGCATATTCTCAATTGGAATTACGTCGATCACCGAAAAAAGTTTTCCCCACTTTTTGGTCAATTGGAGGATGAAAGGCGCGAGTCGATGTATGGCTGTGCGGTGAAGTTCCCTATACTTCTAGTTCATCGGTGATCAAAACCGGGAAACATATAATGCCAGACGTGGTACGTATCTCATTCTTTTTCTGCACGATATCATAATCACTCCTCCCTCCGTCCTCTCCTCCCGCGGTAGCCCCCCTTCTTTCATTGAATTGATAATTTATTGTGTTCAACCACCATCTCTCCAGCGCTGTAGCAGTCAACGAGTATGAAGGCAGTGAATATCCTCTTCTACTTGACCTTAGCTGCGCCATTTGCTTTTGGTACACCAATTACTGGCAATGGAAACGAAAAGAGGGTTGCAGAACCCGTAGATATTCTTGAAGGAATTGAATCTGAGATATACTCTCGAGAATATCTCGAAGAGGTTTTCAGGAAGCGGAATGCTGCAAAACACCTTCGTTTGAAGCGACATGATGACGATGGGCCTAATGAGCAGCCTATCCGTGGAGAATTCGGTGCACCTATCTTAGGTACTTTATCTCCATCCTCTTTTGTATGGAAGCTCAAATTTGGAACCAAATTTCTTGGAATTTTCCTTAACCTTCTGTGCCGTTAATTGTGAAACGAGGTATCTAATCGAAGTTTTCTTTGATGTCGTATAGGTGGTACAAACCCCGGCCGTGATAATGAGCAGCCAGATCATATTCACCCACCGGCTACCGACAACGGGAACGTTCCAAACTTGAAATGGGCCTTTTCAGACTCCAAGACAAGGCTCCTTAAAGGTGGTTGGGTTCGAGAACAATTGGTCACCGATCTCCCACCTAGCAAGGATATTGCAGCTGCTCAGCAACATCTTGTTAAAGGTGCTATCCGAGAACTTCATTGGCACAAAGTTGCAGAATGGGGAATTGTTTTTAATGGCTCTATTTTGGTAACCATCCCTCCCATTCTCAATTACCTCTCTATATATTAGTGAGAAGGAACTGAAGGATTAACAATTAAAATAGGTCTCAGCGGTCGACGAAAATGGCAAAAACACAGCCGAAGTCCTAAACCAATGGGATATCTGGTACTTCCCCAAGGGAGTAGGCCACACAGTCCAAGGTCTGGCCGACCAAAACGAATACCTCCTCGTCTTCGACGACGGTAACTTCGAGGCCGTGGGCACAACCTTCAACATCGTCGATTGGCTCCTCCATGCTCCCAAAGATGTAATCGGGAAAAACTTCGGCGTAAATGCTACCGAAGTCTTTAAGAACCTCCCAACCGCAAACCCTTACATCAAACAAGCTAAAGTTGGCGGTTTGAAGGCACCCAAGGCACCCGCTGGGGAGTTGAAGGGAAAGAGTAGTTATGTTTATAAACTTAGCGAGGTCGGGTTTAAGAAAGTTCCTGGTGGGGCTGGCACGCTCAATATTATCGACTCGAGAAACTTCCCTGTTTCTACGACTATTGCGGCTACAGTTGTGAGAGTTGAGCCTAAGGGCCTCAGGGAGTTCCATTGGCACCCTAATGTAAGTTATAATTTCCCCCTGACCAAACAGAGCTTGATCAACCTGGAGCAATATCGTGAATCTAATATTTTTATATCTTTTAGGCGGATGAGTGGCTTTACTTTCACTCTGGCAAGGCTCGCGCCACCGTATTCCAAGGAAGTGGTCTTGCCCGCACTTTCGACTTCAACCCAGGTGACACCGCCGTCTTCCCAGATAACACTGGTATGTCGATTCAATCCTCATTTGCACAAGTCGACTAAAATCCCTCCAAGTTTTATTTACTAATATGTCAAAAATAGGCCATTACATCGAAAACACCTCAGAAACCGAAGACCTTGTCTGGGTTGAGATCTACAAGAGCGAGCGAGTCGCTGACATCCCGCTCTCTCAGTGGCTGGCTCTCACACCACCAGACATTGTCGCACAGCTACTTAATGTATCAACTGAATTCGTTGCTTCGTTGAGTAAAGAAAAACAGGTTTTGGTTAATCAGAAGACGTTCCAGAAAAAGAGCAATTAGGGGGTTTCTAGCCATATTTAGGGAAATTTTCTGTATTAATTAGGATAGGCTGTGATGGGTGGTTGTAATCTTAATATATATACTACTTAATATAACCAATGTTTGATTATAAAAAATATATAGTACCATACTATCCTAGTATACGTAGACGTATAGTATTTTGTAGAGGGACTAGATAACTAATTTTAGGTCTCAAGGGCTTTTTCGAATTGCGGTTGCAGCAAATTTCGGGCAGTTGATTTCTTAGTACTGAACCAGCTAACTCCGGCGTGGGTTCATAGAAGTGTAGCCTAACTTTGATCAAGCAAAAAAACAGCCGAGTTCTGGCCACGAGACTGGCTCTGGCCATGGAGAAAGATCTAGACGGGGGTGTGTATAAAATACTTTGTATAGGTATCGGTTCAACGATGTCTTTGAACTTTTCTAATGCTAAATATCGGATTCCTCAAAAAAAACATATATAATGGAACTAGTATTACAATAGAAACCCGCTGTCTACACGACTAGATTTAGGGATCCAAAAAAATGCAAAAAAGGAACAAAGCTTGCAAGAGAAATGGTCTTGTTGGAGAGAACTATTCGTCGTCGTCATCGCTCACAACAGCCGGTTTCCCAGACTTTGCAGCACCAGCACCAGCATCAGCCATCTCTTCATCTTCATCACTGTCAACGACAACCCGACGCCTTGGAGCCGCCGGCGCATCATCACCATCGTCATCCGGAACATCAGAGAGGTCATCATCATCACTGATAACAGCTGCGCTCTTCACAGGTTTTCCTTTCTTAGTGCTTGGCGGCGGGGTAGCGCTACCCTTTCGAGATTCAGACTCATCTCGTATATTTGCTTCAAGATCGCTGAGGCCCTCGTCACTATCAGAAATGATTTCCTTAGAAAGTGCAGATTTGCCGCCTTTTGTAAGTCGTCGCTTCTTGCTAACTTTTCCAGTCTCAGCCTCTTCTCCGTCATCATCGCCCTTCTTCTTCCGAGACTTTCGCTCGCTCCGCTCCCTCTTCTGCCTAGGCTCCTTCGGTTCTCTCGGTTCCCTTCTAGTCCTCTTTCTCTTATTGCCGTCTGAGTCATAGTCATCAACTGCAACCATCCTGGCCCTTTCTTCTTCTTCTCTCTTATCCTGCCATTCTCTGGCTTGCTCTTGCATAAGCCTTCGTTCCTCTGCAAGTCTCTTTTGTTTCTCTGCCTTCTCAGCTTCTAATTTAGCATGCTCTTCAGCACGCTTGGTAATCTCTGCCTCACGCTTCCGCTTAGCTTCAGCGATCTTCGAAGCATGCAACTCCTCGTATTTCAATTGCTCTTCGAGATCGGCTGCTAGCTGACGACGGATGGTGTTCTTGTTCATGGTAACACGGACTTCGATGTCACTAGCGGGGTAGGGTGGGTTCTTGGACTTTGCGACCGCAGAGAATGTCCTATCGGAAGAAGAATATGTTAAAAAAAACTCCTCTTAAAAGCGTTCAGCTGTGTTGACTCACTTGATGGCTTCTTCAACGCCATCTAAACTAGCTTTGATTTCGTCGGATGTTCGTTGATGCTTGGGTAGCTCGTGCACAACCTGGCCAATCTGGGATTGAAGATATGCAACGTTGAACATGAAAATGGGATGATCAGGCGATAGACTCAATGCCTAGATAAAGAGGTTAGGGCTTAGTTTTGTCGAGCTGTGAGATACAAGTTGTAGCATACCTTTTTCGAATGTTCTAACGCAGTGTTAAGCTGGGGTAGACTCTTCTCAACTTTGCCCTTGAGATACCATGCCCTTGCAAGCGATGTTATAGTCCACGGATCCCGGTCGGCTCTGTACTGGTTGATCGCGATTTCATACTGGAGATTGTGTTAACAGACTAGAAAATAAATCAAGAGAAAAAGGCAACTTACATTTTCAATGGCTCGGGTGAATTGTTTGATCTCAACGAAGCTATGGCCGAGATTGATATGCACGGAAGCCTCCTTCAAAGTGCCCTTTACTTTCTCAAATATGCCAACGCCAGTACTGTAGTCCTTCTTGTCTTCAATCATGGCAATAGCAACACCTTGAGCAGCATAGGCATTCTTCGGATCCAAAACAAGTGCCTTATCAAAAAATTCAACAGCTCGCTCGTACATCTTTCTCTTCTTCTCTTTGTCTTGGTCGGTATCCCTTCTCATCTCTCTCGCGGTCATGAGATGGAGATTTCCCATTCCAGTCAAAGAGTAACGATCGTGCTTGTCGTGGGTTGTCAATGTTCTCTTGTAGTGCCTCTGTTCTTTATCCTCTGCTATGTTCAATGGAGATTTCTTCGGCCTACGGGAGAGGTAGTATCCGTACAAAGCACACACTTCTAAGTTATGATCCTCCGTTTTCATGAGTTCCTCGAGTCTCTTCGGGCCTTCCTCGCCACCCCTTCGGAGCGCAATGTAGGCAAGCCTCATAGCAGCCTCAGTGTAGTCTGCGTGACGGACTAAAAGACCTTCATAAAACTTGACGGCTTCGTCGGTGTTTCCAGCAGCTTCTTCTAGGCGGGCGAGGTTGTAAGTGAGGGTAGTAACTAAAGCATCTGTATCCAAACTTTCGTCCTTAGCACCCATCGCGACGCAATTACTGAGCGCGGTTTGGAAACTTTCGCGCGCCTCGTCCCATTTGCCCATGTTGTAATTGAAGACTGCAATGTTGTTGAGAAGTTGAGGGGCGAGCATTGGCTCTTCCTCCGTAGATGCCGCTCGTTCTAAATCGGCGACCTGTTGCAAGCAAGCGAGTGATTTGTCCTGGGAATCAACCTCGTATAGACGAGCAAGTGTAAGTAATACAGAAACACTCGGCTTCATGTTTTTCTTGGTATCTTTCCAAGACGAACGGACGGTTTCCAGGTAGCTAATAGCTTTTTTGCGTTCCTCAGTCTTTTCATCTCTAATGACGCCCGATTGAGTCTCAGCCAAAAACACTTCCTCAGCGTACAGCGTCCCAAGCACCATCATAGCCTCGAGGCACTTGTTGAATGTCTTAAGAATGCCCTCAAATGCTAGTTTCGCCCCGGTGTAGTCCTTCTGAAGTACCATAAGCTGACCAGTTCCCAGTTTACTGGGCAGATACGTATCTTCCTTCGCATTCTCGCTTCTGACATACGACTGGCGGGAAAGTGTGTATTCGCCTGCTTCTTGATATTTCCGACCGAGCAGATAAAGTGCGTCTCTAGCGACTTGAGGGACGTCGGTAAATTCGATTGCCTTCTTGCTCAAAGATTCGGCGGTCGCAAGGTTCCCAACTGAGAAGAAATAGGTGGCGAAGAGGGTACATGCTAGCGCCATGTTCTTGTCCAGTTTGTAGGCCTTAGCGATATACTCCGTCATTCCCTTTTTGTAGTGTTTGATAAACTCAGGATCGCTTTCGGGAAGCCCAGATACGAAGTTTAGGTAGTAAATACCCACGAGAAGGTTGGCAACTTTGGAATCCGGATCCTAGGGCAAGTTAGCCAGTCTCAAGGGATATACTCGGGATTCATATTATGTGCAACTTACCAATTCCAATGCTCTCTCCCACGCCATCTTAGCATCATCCTTGAAGTTTAACATCCAAAAGCACAAACCAATACCAATTCTCGGATCCGGATCCATATCCGGCTTCTTCCTCAGGATTTCTTGGTAGCACTCCAGAGCCTTGTCGTATCTCGCTTTACTAAACAACCACCTAGCTTTTCCCATGAGAGCGACCATATTCGAGCCATTGGCCCGTTTCAGAGCCTCGTCGTATATCCTATGTGCATTCTCTAGGTTTGTTGCGCGCTCGGCCTTGACGTTTGTAACGGCCGCTTTGAGTGACGAATAAACCGCCCGAGCAATGTTGTATGCTGGATGATCAGCCTCGTATCGTCCAATATTGTTGAGGAGTGTCGTGGCTTGTTGAAGGAAATGATCTTTTGTACTTTCGGTAGCCTCTGGAGCATGTCGTCAGTGATTAATAATGCATGCATGGGTGTCTTCGGAAGGAGGATGGGTACCTGACTGATTGTATGAGGCCTTCATAGCTTCCCTAGTTTTCTGTAGATACAGCCATAGCAGACATAGTTGGATAGGCAGAATTTCCTTCTGGTTCCGTTTGATATTCTCGGAGTTTAGTGCTCTTGAATTTAAAATCTCAATCGCATTGTCGACTTTTCGATGCTTTGCATACGCTAGAGCAGATAGGATCCAATAAGGATGCGATGCCTGCTCCTGTTCTAGAAGACTCGATAGCTCATCCACATCATCGGGAAGATCTGTAAGATCGATTTCGACAGTGCCTTCGTCGCCCACTTGCTCGGTGAGCGGGACCTCGATCCTCGATGGGACCTTGGGATACCGTTGGCGGGGGGCTGTGCTGTTCCCGTTCATCGTGGATGGGAGTCTGAGTCGCTTCGCGTTTTGGTGATAGAGTGGAAGATTATATCGATTGGAGGTTCAATCCTCGACTTTGGATTTGAGGATTGTATTCGCTTTGAGATTGTTACAGACCAGCCATCTTATGACTAGCAGAGTACCGTAGACGCGTTCCTTGACTGGGTTTCAGAGCGGGAGGTGGATCGAATTCGATACAGCTTTGACAAGGGTAGGTCCTTGCAGATAGAGAGCAGATAATATGACGGAATCGCGATAGTGTGATAGTCGAAGCTATTGAAGGTAGGGTGATAGTTTCAGTAGCGATTGGAATGGTGTTGGAACAGATGAAGTTGATAATGGTGATGGCGATGGTGATGATGTTGATGGTGATAGTCGAATGAGGTCGAGAAGACATTCATTCATTGAGTCGCGAGGTTTGGTGTGAAGCGGTTTCCCGCGTGGTCCCAATAAGGAAATCTCTTATTGGTCAAACATCTAGCACCAACACATTTCAATATAAACGCCGATATTCCCGCTTCAGCCTCTGAGACTCTCTACATGATCAAGACGAGACTCAAGCTTATAGCTTAACAGCCACATGGAGAAATTTAATCACCATCGAATTATTTTCAAGATAGATTCTCGGCTGCTTTTCTGAAACCGGTAGCTACGGCTTAAACTACCTGTTCCAAGAGCAACTTCGGCTCGACATCACGTAAACATAAGCAGAAACATTCTTCGAAATGGATATTTGAAGCGAGGGAACGTATGTGCATATGCAATGTCTCCCGGGATATATCGATACCGGGTAGGCCCATTATACCGTATTTAAGCTTTAATCATCCCATACTCGATATTTAAGTAAGAAGGTGCAGGCGGCACGGGCTTTGACCCAATTATCTATTGAATTGTTTGAAAAATGTATTTCACCTTAATTTCGCCTTACTCGGCTTCTTTTCGACGAATCGACAATTGCAATATATAAAAACCTGTAGTAATATGGAGTCTCGGCTTGGAGGTCCCGTTGGAAATTTTCAGCTTGGCGTTGATTGGTGTAACACGAAGAGTATTGTCCGTATTTGGTAATTTAGATACTCTCAACAGCAATCTCATTCTTTCTTGTATATGTATATTCTATATATATAATATTCTTTTGAAATACAAATACCATCTACCACTATATACAGCTATATAGCAAGCTTGTTGTCTGAAGATCTATCAGGGAGGATATATTGAAATCCAAAATGAAGTTTACCACTGCAATTTTATCATTGTTGGCCTTTAGGTAGGTGTCCCACAATCCCTGTACGAATATACATACGTATATATATGAATGGATATACGATTCAAAGCATAAAACTAAGGAGAAAATAGTATCGTTTCAGCAATGGCATGGGGAGACCGCGATCGAGGTCGTGAAGTCTGCAAACCAAAGACATTTTATATAACCAAATATAAAACCAATACTATCACCAAGTTCTCCATCCAAAAAACAACAATAAGGACAACCGTCATCAAAACTATTACAGTCACCGCAGAACCCGACAATTCGGTTACAGAAGAACCTGCAACTGCGGTCACCGATCCACCACCAGAAGAAGGGCCCCCGGCCCCATCTACCTGCCCACCATCATCCATTGCTACAAACGTTCGACGTAACTGCGGGCCAATGCCATCGTGTAGTAAATGCAGAGACACTATTACAGCGACTCAGACTTTTAACTGCAATTGCATTCGCCATCCAAACGGATGTCGCGTCGTGAACTTTAGGCAGAAGTGTCCTGGGGATTGTGCATGCACTACGTTGACTTTGTATGTCCCGGCGATAGGGTGCACTTCTACGCAGACTCTTGTTAGTGCTGTTGTTTAATTAAGTAGATTAATTAAGATTAATTAAACTATAGAATTCAAGAGTTTCTAGCTAGTACTTAAGTATATAAACATTATATATAGCTACTAGTTAAGTAAATAATTAGATAGGTATCTTAGTAGGTCAGTGAGAAGTAGTAGTTAATGGTACTGACATACGCCAAAGTACTGTGTACCAGGCAATCACCCCGTCCACATGGGAATAACACCACATGAGATTGAGGAGTATTTGTTGCATTTTATGCGTTGTTTCTCGTCCTCGATTCTGGTTGGCTGACTGCAAAACCCTCGAGTACTCCTCACTTCGCATTCATTCTTTTGATATTAGATTCGATTCAATTAACATTGATATCATACCATCTTGGCTGTTTAAAAGTGAACTATTGCATGCGTGCACACTCGCATCCACACTGATACCCTCAAGACTAGTCGATGTAGTAGAATGGCAAATTGTGACTGCTGTGGAGGCATCATGCATGATGTACATGTACATGTACAGTACATTTCGATGCAAAGACGCACTAACATATTCTGATCCCTTCCAATCCAATCAGTCGAGCTGAAGGCCTTCCCCACAGGCTGTCCATGTCCATTCAGAACCCAGATGAACCTGGACAGGAGAAAAAAAATGGCAATGCTGCGCTCCTACAGCTGCAGCTTCTTTAGCTCGCTCTTGTTAGCATTGGTTATTAACATTAACATCTCCCTGAATCATTCACGTCGTAGAATTCTAGCAATTAGCTATCGACTAATTTAGTCCACCGCCGAATGAGTAAGTGAGCGATAGCTACTTAGCTTTAGCTATAGCTCAACTCCAAACAAAAACTCTCAGAATTTAATCCAAAATGGACCGCCTTCTCCGCCGGAAACCCGTGAAACCCGCAAAACCAGAACAATACGTTCTCCGAGATCCCAGCTACTACCAGCCCTCTCAGTTACAGTTGACCACCCGGACAGAGGAACATTCTTCTCTCCACCGACCACCCGCCTACCACGAAAATGTGGAAAAACCCACCGAATCTGCTGTCGCTACAATAAAATCTCTCGAGGCAACTTACAATCGTCGCTCCAGCTCTATAAGCTACCCGTCGCCAAAGACCCAAAATGGCGAATTCAAGAGTCCTTCGAACTCGAAGCCGACCTCAACGGAACAAATCCGCCCGCAACAAGAAAGCGCCCATTTGCGTAGGCGCTCGACCACTACAGGATCTAGAACTACAAACTATGGCGCCGAAAACGTTGCCTCAAGCAGTCACCGAAACCCAGGAAACCCCTCCGAGCCGACTAGCCCTCAAGGCAAAACCACCAATGGTATCGAGGTCGCTGAGGCGACAAATATTTACACCAGCTACAATGAAGCTTCTTATCCTATAAACGGCCAGGCCGCTGGGGTATCCGAAACTCGAAGTCTAAGGAGTACCCGCCACAGCCGACACTCCGCCGATAGCAAGCAACCTCACGCCGCGTGGACGAGGCTATCAGGATTCAATGGATTCGAAGAACCGTCGGCGGCTAATTCACCAAACCCATCCATCCGACCCCCAAGTTTCGCCGACAGTCCCTCAAACCCATCAATTAGGCCGCCAAGCTTCGCTGAAAATACGTCAAACCCGTCCATTAGACCACCCAGTTTCGCCGACGTTGCTTTAACCCCACCGCATGAGGAATCAGCAAAATTAGCAAAGCAATTGTTCAAAGAAAAACTCCAATGGTCGACAAACTCCCAACTCTTCCCCTCGGAGCCAACATCACCTGAACCCCTCCCCGGGGCCGAATCCGATATCCCACCTTGGGCAAGAACGGGCACCACAAGTCCAATTTCAATCGAAAAGGATGACGATGACCTCTCTATCTGTTCTGAAGACTCATATGTCGAAAAGGAACGAACGAAATACTATGAAACAATGATCACAGAAGCCGTAAATATCAGAGATTGGAAAGCAGCAAAAGGACATGCCGCAAAATTAAAGGAAATATTAGGTCTGCAAAAAGAACAATCTAAACTCGACCTACAAGCTCAGTCGAATTACTATCTCCTTTGCGCGACAATACATTACATGTTGGCAGAACTCGACGATGCACTCTTCTGGGTTGGAAAGATCCCGCAAAAGAAATCAACGGACCCCATTACTCTGATGAATAGATTCAATATGGAAGCTGCTATCGCTATACGCAAAGGGGATCTTATCAAAGCCTTCGCGATATCAAGGAAGTCTGGGAAATATGGCAGGAAATTCGGTCTTGAAAAGGAAACGAACCATGCGCATTATCTTTCACAGCTCATCTGCCTTAAGCGGGAAGATGCCAGCGAAGCCCAATTCTACGGACAAATGATCACAGAAAAGGATTTCAAACTCCCCATTTTCATCGAAACTATAGATAGCCCACCCGAAGATGAACCAGGTACCTATTTCTCTTTATCACCCAAAGAAAAAAGAACGAACGCTCTAACCATATACACAAAAACGCCAAAAGAAAAACTAAAATGCACCCCAGAAGAGGTATACCCCGAAGAGCCCCTCCTAGAAACACCCCTCCTCCCACCCAAAGATCCTCGAAGATCCCCAAACATCGGAGAAGCCCTCTTCTCAAAAGCGGGCCTTACCCTTCGCGATCGTCCTAAACCCACAACCTCAAAGTTCACGGCCGAATACCAAGGCGGAACCGTAAACTGGACGACTGGCATCCGTCTGGCCATCGAAGCCGATGATGATTCCGAATCTGCTTGCTACCTTTACCGCAGTAAGTAGCCTCAATATTCTTCGCGAATTATATATATATCTCTAACACCCCAGGGAAATATAGCCGTCTACATAAACGAACCCATCAACTCCCCCGCAAACACTCCAGACAACCCCTACCCAACCAATCCAAACTCTTCCCCCCTCGAATACGCAATCTTAACCTACAAAAACTACGCCGCAATGGCAATAATCAAACAAAAGAAAGCAAAACTAGAAGACGACTCCTTCGAATCCCAAATAATCCAAGTTGCAGTCAGCCGCGATTGTCTCCCCGTCATAGTAGCTTTACTCCAAGCTGGTGTAGACCCTGATAAAGTCGGTACTGTCGATAAAATCACCGCGTTCGAAAAGGCCGCTTCGGCATCGCACTATAAGGCTTGTCAGTACCTCTTAGCCCATGGCGCCGATCCTTTGAAAATTGGGCCGACACAGAAGAATGCGTTGAAGCTCGCGATACAAGGAAATTTGACACCAGCTCGTGAGAAGGTTATCAAATTATTGCTTGGTAGTTTGAAATCGAAAGAAGACTACAAAGCAGTAGCAGGATATCTGAAGGCATTTAACATCAAGAAGGATTTAGGAACTCCGGAGTCGATCTATCCAAAATCATTCTTACAGCCGAACCCAGTTTGGAACAGTCATATTACTAGGTTGATTACAGAGTATCTGGAGACTTTTAGTCATTTGAAGGAGGAATGAAGTCGAAAATATGGTATTGTTATAATGTATGTACGACAAGACACGAATTCTCTTTAAAATTTCACGAAGTAACGTTTACATGACATATGTTTTCACGAGGCTTACGAACTACTATCCTTTCCGTTTTGTTTCTCTCTTTACAGGACCTATAATGTATACTTAGCGTTACTATATATACGAAGCCGATCGTGAAGTAAATATAAAAAGATCCATAACCCCTTTTCCCCGTCGTAAGATCATTGAAAACAAGCTTATCTAGTAGCTGAAACAAAAGGTATAAAGCAGTCATAACATAAAATAAACAAGACGGAAGAGAGGTCGCCAAAGAAAGTACACTACCAGAGGAAGAAGCGTTAACCCATCCCGATAATACCTTCCAAAACTCCCTGTACAACTTCTTTCTTCAACCCTTCCCTAACACCCCTACCTGCACCCTTCAACTCTTGCTTCAACTTCTGTCCCATCTTTTCTACCTTCTGCATCTCTTGCTCCCCAAGTTTTGCACCGCCTTTCATTGTCTCTACTATATCTTCCCAAGCTTCCATGATATCGAACTTGGGTAAGTTACCTCTATACTCGAACACCAATTGTAATCCCACTGCCAATAGTGCAATAAATATGAGCGAAAACAGAAGGATCGGGAAGGTATCTCTGAATACTGAAGGTCTCGATAGGAAATTCTCGTCCGCCATTAGGAATTTATGGATTACTAGGGTGTTCGACGCAGATACGGAAGCTAGTTGTATTTCTTTCTTGGTTTTATCTGCAGATAATGGTGAAAAGGCAACTTTTGTAGCGGGGAATGAATGAGAAGTTGCTAGTTGTTTGAAGTGTCGGAACTTGGCGTCTTGGACCTTTCGACTGCTTTCCCCAGATTCTAGCCAAGTTATGTCCAGGGTGGTGACAACTACCGAAAGGTCGGCTGAGGCGATACCGAGAACCAATTGCTGAGATGTTGAGCTTGATGATATTGACTTTTCGGGGAGGGCCAGAATGTCCAGTGATGTCGCTGCAGATACACCCGCCCGGAATGCTAATGCGGGGTGGTAAGTATGCGATTCTAGCACTGTGGCTTGCTGACCTTGTGGTATTGAAAGCAGTTGGAGCTCAACGCCCGATCTAAATGGAAGATTGACAAGGAGTAGGAACACGCTTGGTGTCAACAGCTTGATGCTTCTTATCTGTGGCTTTGTTCTTGTTGATGACCCAGCCTTTGGACCTCCAGGCAGTGTATAGACCTGTCTCTCGGCTTCAAGTCCGTTTGGTGTGATTTTCCGGATATAAACGCTCGACGGTGTCGAGTACACCACATACTCGATATTCTTTTCCTTTTCATCGCTATCCGTGGCAGGTATTATATCCACATCCACAATTTCCGAATCGTTAATTATCCTGTCGATAAAAACCGCAAATCCCTTTTCGTCGACAGACAACACCACGACTTCTCCACCATATACTCCTTCCCCACGAACCAACGGAACCGAAGAAGCGATTACAGCGTATTTCCCGGAAGCCGAGGATTTTGTAATCCGTTGGTAAACGTCATCCCACGCCTTTGGACGGAAATACTCGCGGGCGGAGATTTCCTTCACCTCAGTCTTCGTGTCGGATAGCCAGTAGGTACGGAAATGAGCGTTCGAACCGGCGGACAGTATTGATGCTGTTTGGTTTACACCTGCCAGAACAGCAGCTTTGGAAGGGAGGATGGTGAGGGACATTACGGCGTCTTCGTTGCCGGGGAGGTCGAGACTAGTCGTAAGTTTTGGGGTTTCGGAGGAAGTATCTACAAGATGCTTTATATGATTCCTTTAGTATACAGATTTGGGGAGAGCTTTTTGTACGGGAAGAGGGAGACTTACGATGCCGTTTCCGACTCCACTTCGCGACTCCCCTCCACCACCTGCGATGAGGAGGGTACTTTCATCGAGGTATTCGGCGCAGAAAAGAGGGTATTTTAGGGTGAGCTTCGACGTTGCTAGCGCTGCCATTGCGAGCGTGTAGGATGGCAAGAAGAGATTTTATAAATTTGGTCGATGGTATGTGGGTTCACGATACCATAGGATGGTGGATGGGGAGAGGTTTATGAAGCATAAAGCGAAGGTTTGCGAGTCAGTGAACAGATTCGGTGACGTCGGCGAAGACGAAGTTTTGTTGGGACGTGGCGGGAAAATACCACGAAAACAACACGTTTTTGGATCAAGCATGTGAAACCTTCGAAAACTCGAAAGATGGGAGAAAAGATTCGAGGATGTATAAATTTCAAATTTCAGATTAGAAACTACCGAGGGATAAGAAGGATATGCCTTCTGTACTAATTACTAATTACGATACGATATGCGACTTCAAACATCAAGAACTACTCTTTCTGACATTTCCACAACTCAATTCTCCCAACCATTTGACCCCTTCATCGGTATCAAACGGCACTGACACCACTCTGGAATCCTTATTTAATGCTTATGCCCGCCAACAAGATGGTCGAATTTGCATGGTCCGACTCTCTTACCACCGCGACGATCAATGCGACCACGCTTCCAGACAGCATTGACAGTTGGGGTGGCTGGGATTCTAGTGTGGCAAGTTCCTCCATACGTCAAGTGGCTGGTCTTGAAGGTAGTCTCGAGGGCATTGAGTTGGCTATTGAAGCATCCGGGGTATTGTTGTTGTTGGATATAACCATAGATGGTGTGTGATTGAGAGACAACGGTCATTTGGGCGAATTCCTCCCAAGGGGCTAGAAATAGTTCTCGTTAGTCTCTGGGGATGAACAAGGTGGGAAAGAGGTTTCGGCTTACCGGTGTTTCCGTAGTCGTCTGCGACACAGGTGTCATTCCAAAGGGCATTGATAAAGGTTGGGGATGCTGATTAGTTGTTAGTTGTCGAAACCACTATTTTATATTAATTTAGAGTGTAAAATTAACCAAGACTTACTGCTAAATCCTACACCCGTTCCAAGACCTCGGGCATCAAGTTGGTGACCACTATATATATTTTGTCAGCTCCCATAGCCGACTGAAGTAAATAAAGGAGCACTTACGTCTCATGAAGCCAAACAGATTGAGTATTACAGTTTCCCTGCATGACGATATCACCATCATCGGGTCCGGTAATAGCATAGGCACTGCAGCCCTCTCCGTGAGTTGCAATAACATGGCGAACAGTGCTGCGAAGATGGACTGGCATGCGGCCAAAGAAATTGGTCATTTGGTAGATGCTCAAGTCCGCATTGTCGCAGCGGCACATGATCCATGGAGTAGGACACTAATAGAAACATATCAATACGTTACTATATAAGTATGAAGGAAAGAAAAGGGTATAATTACGTACATCGGCGTAAGTGACGTTGTATACGACAGCACGCCCGGACAAGCAGTTGTTCCAGGCAAGTTCGTTGACACAGGCTTGAGGCGCTTTGCCTGGAGCCCATTGCACGATTGTAGCAGCAGGAGCAACGGTACCAGCGAAGAAGCCTTCATCAAAGACTGGGCTCAAGCCGAGAGGGTAGTTGATGAGAGGTCGCGGAAGCTGCGCATAGACGCTACCTGCAGCGGCGAGGAGAGCGATTAGAGTGTTTGGGAGGTTCAACATTTTGTATATAGCGACAGAGGATTTAGGAATGAAAAGATCGGTGATAGAAGAGTAGTTCTTTCTATTGATTGCGATTCTTAAGATCTTAACTATCTTGGGGATTGGTATGGAGATATCTTATTCAGAGAGGAGAATCATCGCCTTTTTATAGACATCCTTCTCCCATATCCGGCTGGCAGTCTCTGAGGCCTCGCCCGAATGTTTCCGCTCAAGAGCTCAGTCCTTCACCTCACGATGCCGTTATCCATTCCGTAGTCTATCCGTCATGAGGCCAAAGCATGGCGCCCACGATGCCGCTAGAGCCGTCGGCGAAGTACGATCTTGTCTGTACTTTCGGAAGCTGAAACCCCCACTTCGTAATTCCGTATCATGATATTGTGAATTTCAACCAATACGGGTTGCTGCGCCAGCTTCTCGTACCTATAAAACTCGATAATATCTCTGCATTTTGACAATTTACGATAATAGTGTGTAAGACGACTTAGATTCAGCTGTCAGCCGATAGGTACGGCACTGCGAGCTTGGCTCCTCCTTCTGTGACGTCTGTGCAAACGCAAAGGGAGAAACCCGGTTGGCTCATAAATGCAAATGTTAACATTGCTTTATTCCACAGTATCAATTATTTTCCGGTGGTGTTTGTTGAGGCTAACAATACGTACTCTTGCTAAGCTTCTGGAATATGGATAATATACGAGCATGCCATCCTAGCTATAGCGACCCAGCATCGAATTCTTTTTTCTCCCTCGGATCGGAGTTACAAGGGGAAGGCAAACCCTGGTCTTTTATAATAATATAATATTTTCTCTATTTTATATCTGCAACATGAACATGCACGGCGCGCCCGCTCTGACTAAGATATATTTGAAGAGTGTAGTGACATGGCCATGGTGGCACCACGTGGGGTGGGGTCCAGGTTGTTAATATCTCCAATGTTCGCAAGGCTGGGGAAATTCGATAGCCGCAAATTATAAACGTTATGGGGTGTATAGTGTCCTCCGAGACTCTAGAGCTTGTGCTGTAAATGCTTCTTAGCGTTTTTTTTTTACTTCTTAAGCTAGTTGATTACGGTGTTTCGCGGGAGTCCGGGACATGGGCAGGTGGTCGTCAGGCATGGATCTCGAGGTGGTCCATGCGCGCATGCCGGTACCCCCATTTAATGCAGGCTGGGCAGCTTGCATGCCGCATGCATGAGCAAACAATAATGTTGCATGTGTCGCTCATCCTTCAATCGAAATCGATCGGCCACCTTTGCAATTTTGGGAGCTTCTAACGAAGAGCTTGGGGTAAGTTGTAATCGCACAGGTCAATTACATAGTAAGTTCGTAGTATGCAGATCTTCTTCGACTGTCGGCGAGAAATTCCAATACGAAATGTATCAAAGAAGTCGCCGGGTGATCTAGCACGCTATGATCATATATGAGGCATTCGATTTGAACCTTCAAAAACCGATATACCCGCCACTCCTATAGCTTTTCGGGACGCGATAGTGATATATAATCAAAGTTCCTCGGCCAAGTGCATCCCATAGGTGCAATGTAACCTGCAGCATCTTCGAATCTTCACGAGACTTGTCCCATCTGAGATATGATGTATAACGATGGAGCCAAGGCTATCGATAGGCCAGTGTCAATAATAATTATTGTGAAATCATGGTAAAATACTTACGGTTATCCACAGGCCCTCTGTTCAGTTGATCTCTATAGTCAATTGTTAAGAAATATTGATTAAGTTATTCAATCCAGAATTAGCCAGCTGCGTCATCTTAAAACTCCGCCTTGACAGGAACGGTCGCCAAAATCACTACCATGAGGGGCTCTTTTGTCTTGTTTTAGCGAACGACGGAGCTTTCATGCTGTTTGAGGAATTCGCACCAGGAAAGTTTAGTCGAAGCGACACAGCCCAGCCCGCAAACTCACTGCAAGGGCGAAACGTTCCAGTGAAGCGCCACAAAGCCAACGATTTTATGGGGCAGAATTCTAGAGCTTGAACTAACTCGATTGTAGCCTCCAAATGTCAAATTTTTCTTTGAGTTCCTTTTTTTCCTCTTGGTATTTGGGTAATTAGTACAGCACTACTAGTCCACTGTAATCGTACCTAAACTGCGAAGCGAAGTTTTTAGCCCCCAATCGTATGATATCGCAAGACGAAAAGCAAGTCAGTGTTTTAGTTCCCTCAATGCTAAACCGCTAAGTAAAAATAACCTTAGTGTGTTACAGGAACTTTACATGATCGCATAAAAGTCTTAGACATTAGTATTTGTTGGTCCAAATAGATGGTATAAAACAACGAGCAGCGGCCTCGAATTATCCATTGTATCGACAGTGTGCAGGTCTCTTCACTCCACAACCATTCATTCGTTACCATTACTCTCAGTCGCAGGTCGATTGATTTCAATTCACTTCGATAATACTTCTATTTTAATAAAATTTTTTCCTTTCCCCTTCTTAATTTAACAAAAATGAAAGTATTCGCTGGGCTTTCCGTCGCCGCGCTCCTGGTCGCGAATTCACCCTTGACCCTTGCCGCACCGACCGGCCTCAATACTAGGAACGAACTCAGTAATGGTAATTTATCCCAGCTAGAACCATTATAATTAATATCCACTTTTCTAACATCAAGCTTTTATAGTTCACGGTCACACAGAACCAATCGGCCTCCAGGGTCCCACTCATCATCATCGTCGGGATTTGCTTAGCGGCCTCCTTGGGGGTCTCATTCCCGGCGCAGGTCTGCTAGGAGGTCTGCTTCCTGGCGCAGCACCAGCCCAACCAGCTGCTGGAGCAGCTCCAACGACCCCTGCTGCGGGCGGTGACGGCGGCCTATTGGGAGGTCTTTTTGGCTTGGTCACCAACGGACCTCTTGCGGGTATCACAGACTCGTTGAAAAATACTCTTGTGGACACCTTTCTGTGATCTGATCATCGATCAATCACGATCGCGAGCGCGAGGCCGTGATTTGATTTACTCCCATACCCAGCTAGATCAAACCAACCCGCGCCATACATATTATCTGTTTTTCCTCTTCATGCACTATTAGCGTCCGATTCTTTTGTTTGCAAAATTGTATGGAGCGCTCCAAAGCCAAATAATAATAGCTACGATGAAATTTAATTCCAATGCCCAAAATACACCATGTTCAACCTGTGCCATGAACCACTTGTCATGGGGAAATGTTTGCCGACCTGGTCCGTGCTATGCACGTTTGACGGTGGCGCAACGGGGAACCGGGTATGTCCTAAATGTATATGTACCTCGTACATGTACAGTCGCGATATATTATATATCTCGATATATACCAGGAATCCATATCGGCCTTATGTAATTTCGTTACCGCCCTTCGTATTCTCACTTCCCTATGGAACTATCCTACCTTGTCAACGGAACGGAAGATGATCCTTCGGCGAGATGCCTTGTTGCCCTTGTTCCAAGGTCCAGGCGAATCGGATTGCAGGGAGCAGGCATTCGCCCATATTTATGATCAGCACAAGGATTTGGAGCTTGGGCCCTTTGAGCACACGGTACAGTGATCAAAGACGGATCAAACGACCAGGTCAGCATGCAATGCATACGAGGAATTAATCAGAAAAAGCATCTTTTGCCAACTGCAATTGGGTGAATGTACGAAGATAAGCCACATGGGGGTTTCTTACGAACGGATACAACGGAAGCTACCTGGAATACGATTCCTAGCTATAGAAAGAATTTCTAAATTTCCAATATAATAGTTCTTAGTTACGAGGTGATCCGTTCCCGTATTTTTACCAATGTGTGATTCAACACACAGAAATACGACAGCAAATGTTAGAATGTTACATGGACGTACGTACTGACCTAATTCTAGTTTACGAGATAATGCCGACCTCCCTTCAAAGCAAATATACCTAGACCTGCAACGGCTCGGTTGGAAGAAAGTTTTCCCTGAAACAAATCTTGGGGGGTAATCGTCGGTGTCGCCCCCAATATCGATAGGGCATGCACAAGTATGCAGCTGTAGCGCTAGAGACGTACCCGCATGCAGATGCATATTAGAAGATCATATACCAATCATATTCCTTTATTGGGCTAGTGGTATGAAGATTGGCCTTGCGCAAAGAAACCTGTAGCGAATTTATATCGAGATCCAAAAAGAGCGACCAATAGAGGATCTGTCCTGGCGAGAGAACAATGCGCATTATCGTTAATTAAACGTAGCGCATATTACTTTCCCAGCGTTTTCTTTTATGCATGTCTTGCTACCTGCCGTTTCATTATCTAAAGAGAAACCTATTGTATCCTGATAGTAGCACATCAAAATTTGAGAAAACTTGCGGAATGGCGCACATATTCCGACCCGTTGAAACCTCGACTAGCGAGCCACCCGATGCCGATATCTTTGTACTGCTTTCTATCGAACTAGTACACCAAAATCAACTCGAAAACCTTTACTAAAGTGAATCATGATTTAAGAAAAGATATGAGATAGGTATCATGGGAGAATGACGCCTTGGATTACGTACCACCGGCCACCATGATGAAACAATGAGTACCCATAAGCTATAAAATAATCCGAGAGTCACCTACCCTTCCCATGCACCATCATTCTGACTTGCGGGAGCCGGTAAGGTGGGTCACACATGTACAAACACCAGACTCCGGGCCCCCACACCTCTTCCGTAGCAGCCAGGCAGGAAAGTGGGATGTAAATTTGTTAAGCTGCCCCAGTGGCTAGGCCAACAAAACCGGGTTTTTAATATATGAATCTGAAATGAAGGTCAGATACCACTTTGATAAGCTCTCACGCACGAGCCCCATACTTTGTAGGTTTTTTAGAGCTATCTAAGGTGTCTACGGATTTACTCAGAAATTCGGAGCTTGTGAAAATTCCGGAATCAATCTGACCCATTGATGTTGTTACCAAATGATCCTAGGCTCTTTGTGAGAAAGAAAAGGTACTTCACTGTCCCACGAGGCATAGTCAATGGGAAAGAGCCAAGTCCAGGCAACCAAGCAACATGCAACAGTTAACATTTTCAAGAGATGAAAGTCAATTGATAACATGGTCAACCCTAGACGTTGAAGACCGGCATCCCGCGAAAAATAGATTGCTTCTAGCTAGTCTACTGTCAGGTTGTCGTATTCGGCTCGATGCGACCCAGAGTCTTAAACTGCCTGCTTTTTGGTAATTGTAGTAATTAACTTCGGTCTTGAAACTTAACTCTCTGTTTCTCGGTCATCAACGCTACCTACCATATTTTCCCCGCGGGAATATTGCCTTTATAAATTATAGAACTACCTGTGATTCTGAGTCCTATGCCATTATATACGCAGTCGGATAGGATAGTCCCATGCAAATTTACGATTCCTTAAATCACGGCCGACCCCAGACCTGGGCATAGTAATACCACTACGCCAACCTTGTTTAAATTTACAGCTCTAGTCCTGGCAAGTATTATATGTTTGACCATGGTAGCATGGTGCTCAGTTGCCAGGGGCATTCAGCGATTTTAACATTTGACTTCGGCACCCGAAGCTTCAACCAAAATATTCCTAGGACCATGCTGGGTTTGTTAATTAATTAGCTATTGATATATATAGGTTTATGACCTGGGCTAAGCCAAAAATTGAGTTCCGCAAGGATGGGTACAACATGAAAAGACTCTGCAGATATGCTAAGTTATAGCGACAATCACGTCAGCAATGGTGCAAATCAACGTCGACAAAGGCCGGCATTACATAGCATTAGTCAGGACAAAGCTCAATCACGTCGAGGCTCTAGGGCTCGGGGTGTTTGGGTCCTTGATCAACCCATCAAACATTTAAGATCCCCTCGGGCACTTTTACCCAGCAACGGGCAGTCAGTTCTTCATGCGACTCGGGGTGAATTTCTCCATGGCTCCTCAAGCCATTTATCGCCGGGAGTCTATATCAACTCCTGCATAGAAAAGTATAGGTACCCAAATCAAATCCCCGGGTCTCCCAGCGAGACAAAACGCATATCATGCATCTGCACCCCATGAATCCGTCCGAATGGGATCGGGTCTGACACATACATCTGCATGCATGCAGCTCAGTTGACTGGTGCATTTAATGTCAGTTTTCAATATCGGGGGGCTATAGTATGGCTGATAGTGCGGCTTTCGCCCTAATGTCTATTGTTAGCAGTGCTCCATCGTCTAGGCCTGTTATATCATTTTCTTGAATACTTCCCTTCCAGATATAAAGTGCGTACATACCATCTAACTCGAGTAAAAATATTACCTCCAAAACCCTCAAAGAGAGACATGGCTATTCATGGTCCGGTACGCGTGGTATATACGTGCGTCAATTACTAATCTAGTTTTCCACATGGCACCAGACTAGTGCTAACTAACAATACAAACCTTTGCGCACCCTCTCGAGATCTTGGACCGGGTAACTAAAAAATAAACATAAGTTTGGAGTTTTAACATTGTGTTTATCGTCAATTCAGACCACAAAACTCTATAAACACTTTTTAAGCTTATATCTTACAAATAATTACTAGGGACACTAGCGTATATATATACGTATACGTATATACTACTAGCCTTTTGGGTATCCTTTCAGAAATGGGCGGGTGGATCCGAAGCAAGTATAACTTAATATGTCCACTTTTACTACTATCAGCTGCGTAGGTACCATGCTATTGCACCTAGTTGTGGCTATTAAAACATCATCGGGTTACCATCGACTAATCTTAAGATAGAGTAGAAGCCGTCCAAATAACGCCCATTGAGTTCGGAGAAGAGGTATTACGGAACAACAAAACCTATGTGCGACTGTTCCGAAAGGCCAACCAGGGTCTCGTTAAACTTGCCACCGTGACATATCCTCTTACTGGTCATGAACCTGACTGGAATGGTCAGGAGACAGTCAGAGACTATGTCGCTAGTGCAACTAACTCTATCGACACCACAATGAAAAACTTTGTCACCAAGCTGGCCCAGTTAAATACAGGCTCCGAGGAAAAGCCCCTTACAGGACCAGCTCTACAAGTCACATCAACATTCATGCAACTTAGAAACGCCCTTAACGGCTACTTGGAGGCTAGAATAGCTATCGATTCTTCAATCTGGTCCTTCGAAATCAAAAGACCTGCCGTGCCAAAGGAGACTTATATTTGGGTGCTAATTGAGAGATTATGGGAAACAGTTTCAGAATGTTGTCTCCCTACCACTGAAAATGGTGATGATAAATCTTATGAATGGGTTTTCAACGGGATGTATGACGAAGAAGCAGGGCTATGGACAATGAAGCCAGAAGATACAAGACTCAGAATACAAATACTAGGCGCAATGATGAGCGGCCTCGGCAGTTTGAAAACACCTGCAAAAGAGCTAATCGATGATATTAGAGCGATCTCAATCGAAAACAAGTTTCCAGCGTCTACATACGAATCGTTGCCAAAGATTGTGGATGATCTTGAAGTCATCATCCAAGCCTTTGTCACAAACCTTTGGACTATCAGACTCGGTATGTCGGGACTACATATTGAGTTTAGACACAGATTTGAGAAAGAGGATTGACTTAGAGCTAGCCTTACACACTTTACACATTTTCTTCTGTCACCGTCGTACACAAAATTATTTAATCCTCTTTACTCGAATGTTTCCTGTAGGTGGTAATAGATATATTGTCAATTGATTCAGTATCAATACGTCGTAATTTGCATAATGATTTCTACCCGAGCGAGGCTATAACCAGTCCATGCTACCTTGAAATGGAAATTAATTTCCGGTGTGCCAACGTTGCAACTATGCCCCGAAGTGCTACCACGTGCCATTTGATACTCGCAGACGATGTCTGAATGCTTCAGGATACAAGATTGGGGGTAGCCAACATGTGAACACCAACTTGCAAGATTTCCCCCGACCTGTATCTCGGATGTGGACCCATGGCACCGTTACCTCACATCACTGGGAATCGAGATCCCGTCCTAGCCAAGAGCCAATACACTGGGCGCTGGGACAAAATATATAGAGGAGATACTTGTGGACGAATTAACACGCTTATTAAGCAAGATATCGATCTTGAAGTTCCCGAGGGCCCTGTCAAAGTCGAAGCGGCGGTGCCCTCCGCAATCTTAGCCGCAGCCATAACCTTGCCGAACTAAATCTCCTAACACAATAATACACTAATCTTCATCTCTGACATGTTGCCACCGTCACCCGTGAAATATATGCTACGGTTGTATCTGCCTGAAAGTAAAGTTTTCCTGAGATTTACATACCTCCCAAGAGGGGCCGATATACCTGACCAAAGTAGTATGTCAAGTAGGAATTCGAACTATTTCTTGAAGGGTACCCATCAGCAGAAACAAGAGCTGTTTCTTGTCTCTCATTCAAACCAGGGTCGAGTGTGGGGTTTTCCAGGGTATTCTAGCTGCCAATATTAGCTACAGGAAATTTCTGACCGAACCAGGTAAGTCTCGGACGGAAGCACTGATATCATAGTTATCTTGCCCCGATTATAGTGTTCTCCAAGCTGTACCAAGGCATCTAATCAAATCTTTATCTTCCGTGTCTTACATCTTCCGAGCGAGTTATTACAACTAAGTCTCTAAGAGGAAGCAGGTTACATAAGTTAAAACGCCGACAGCAACAAGAAATATTCACAAGGTAGCTACGAAGTTTCTGCGAAGTCATCGATCGGTCGACTGTAAGTAAGCAAAATCTTTTTAGTTCAAACCGTGGAAGGTCTGATAAATCGGATATACAAATCCCAGCCCTAGCCCTTGAACCGCCCCTCCGGATCTTTGTCTTCATCTTATCTACGCCCAGTTGTACCCATAGAGTTGTTCAAGCAGCTGGGATTTGAGATCCCTCTTTCGGCTGTACTTCATGCAGACCGCGCGCGTTGGCTCATTGGCAAATTCCAACAGGAGGGGTTCGCTAAAGAACCAATTTCAGAGCTAGCCTTGACACCCTGGTCAAAGCCAGCCAAGCAGAGAGCTTCACCCGGTTTAAAATGGCTAGCGGGAGCAAGGTTCTTTGCATTGACAGGCCGGGATAGCCTAATCGGGATCAACGAGCTTCCACAGTTTTCGAACCGAACGGTGACTTTTTCAACTTAGCTCCTACTTTTGATACATTACGAGCCGTGGATTACGGCACCGCTACCACTAAGTACAGAGGAGGGTTAAGATAAGGACCGAGGTTGGTTATCACTTTCTAGAAGGGCGATAGCTACGGCAAGTTCAACCCTTGCCTCCGTAGGAGACTTCAAGAAAACTTCCACATCCTGAGCAAGATCATTACAGTCTATGACAAGATGCTATAGCGGGGTGGCTCCGATCATCAATCGGCATCGACCTACAAAGACGATTCAAAATATGGCAAGTATGAAAGGTATACGGTCGATTCTGTCTATAAAAGCTCCCGTTTTACCCGCCTTTTCGACAATATTCTCTCTTATCCCCACAAGCATCTTCAGCAGTTCATAGCCATTCGCTCACTTTTCTTTACAAATCTACACTTATACCTACCACGTCAAGAGTTTTATTCTCTCAAACCAAACCTTCAAAATGCAAATCACCGCCGTTCTCACCGCTGTCATCATGGCTGTCCCAGCCGTCATGGGTGCTGCTACCCCAAACCCACCAACCTACGGCAACCCACCCACTCGCCCACCGCCACCATTTGGATCTAGTATGTGCACTCTCCTGAAACTATAGATGAAAAGCCTTCACAGTGTATTAAAATAGCTAACGAATCTATTTCCGCAGAGCGCGTCCTCCAGGAGTGGTTCGGAACTGCCCCCTTGTGCAACGGCAAGTGCCCAGCTGGCTGGGACACCGTCTTGTACGCCGACCGTGCCGGAGCTTGCCAGTCCAGCACCTCCTACAAGATTGTCGAGTCCTGCCGCAACCTTTCCTCCCACAAGTGCGCCACCGGTCGCAAGGTTCTTTGCGAGTACAAACTCTCTGGCTTCCAGCACTAAATGTGCGGCTTTTCGATTGCTTCGAATAGCCAAGACCCCACCCCGCTAATACCACACTCTGGGCCGAAGGAAATATGCCTGCAGTAAATTTTTTTCTGAAACTCCGGGGTGGTTGAAGCGGCCTTCGACTGTTTATTTAATTCACTTCAGATCTTATATCCTTGTATATAACTATTTTTTCCTTTGTGGCTCGAGCTGGTTTGTACATATCAAAAAGTTATTGGCATAATAACATAAAAGACTTCGTGGTATTGAATTCTATGAAAAGATAATGTTCTTTGTCTCGTAAACCAGACCCGGGAACCCACCTTCGTAATGTTCTATGAAACCGCAGATTTGGTAGAAATGGCATATCGATTGTACTGCGAGCACTCTATAAATGTAAATTTGCAAAAAAATGTTGAACTCGAGCCCTTAAATCAGTTATGGGACTATGCTAACTGAAAAAATGCAACATGTATCGGTTGTGTTGTGCAAGTGACACCTTCGCTGTACATCCTCGCGTCTTACCATTCGATTTCTTCCAACATCATGCACCAGAGGATTCGGTCAACAGCTTCGAACGCTTCTCATCATTACCGAGCGTTGACACTTGGTATTCCAACCAGCAACATATGCAGCTTCAAAGCGGTCCTACGTCCTTCGATGTGTCTACGATTGCAGGTGCGTATAGAATCCCATCCGGCAGTGTGCACGTGCACTTGTGCTCCGTGTGTTGATCCTCCACTCGAGTACTCAACTAGGCCTAGGTACCTTCGAATTTATTATTCTGAGGCGTTATCGATTCATCTCGCTGATTTTAGATTAGGACAAAGCGCCACTAGATCCATAGCTATGTGAGCATAGTACTGAGCGATTGAGAATGCAAGCATTGTAAGTTACGGCACGACGTTGAAGAAGATAAAAATGGGGTTAAGGACACAAATTGATCTATTTATATGTACAGGTCGAAACAAAGTGTGATATACAAAAGGCTCCTTTGATCGCAAGATTTTGATCGCACAGGAAGCATTATGCTAATTATGAACAATGAAAGGGAAAGGGCTATTCACAAATGGATCCTTCGCCTAGGCAGTCGAGAGATATCACCAAAGAGATGAAATACCAAGATGCTAGAAGAGATCACCATACTCTCCATCAACTTGCTCCCCACGATTCTAGTTAAGAATTTACGGGAAAGATGGGTTGGCGTTGACAAGCAACTGCTCGAAGTAGGCCTGGAACCAGGTACCGGCTTCAGGGGCGGCTATTTATGGAAGGTACGTTAGTCGATATTCAACTGAGGAATCAAGGAGGATTGTAAAACTTACGCTTGAGGGAGGAAGAAGAACCGCAGTGGGAGTCGTATCGGACAGCGGAGGTATCGGAAGTACCGTCGCACTCACCACCTGGCTTGATCCAGACGAAGGCATCGAGGAGAGCATCGTTGGTGGCAGTGTCTGGGCGGATACCGAAACCGGTTCCGATGGCGTTACACCAATCACCCCATTGTCCTTGGCCAGTTGGCTGCTTGCCAGAACGACCCTGGTCAACGATGAAGTGAGCATCCCATCCGTTTTGGCGCAGGAGAGGACCGAAAGCGTTGATGTATCGCTTCTCGTCGCAGATGGAGGCACCCTGGGTGTATGGTGGGCAGGTAGAGATGGACCAGGCGTTGTAGTTAGCAACGTTGGTGGCAAGACCACGGAAAGAAGCTGGGGAACCGGCGTTCTTGTAGATGTTGGCGTAGTATGGGCCAGACTTGGAGAGATTGTCTGGCCATCCGAGCCAACCGGCGTGACCGGCATCGAGGTACATGGCAATGTTTGGCAAGTTCAACTTCTGAACAGCGTAGCTGATACACTCCTCATAGGCAGACTTGGCGTTGGCGCACTTAGCGGTACCCATGTTGGTGATCATGTTGGCGACACTGTCGGGTTCGATAACCAAGGCAAGTGGGATATCTGGGTACCTCTTGAAGATGGCAACCATGGGGTCGATGTACTGGGTCTTGTAGATGTTGACACCATTGTTGGCGATGGAAAGCTCACCGTTGGAGGCAAGGGCGGCGCAGTCACGGTCTGGAAGATCGTAAACGACGAAGATACCGAGAGTGTCCTCACCAGTAGCACGCTTAGCACGGATGTCATTGAGATGGCCCTCAAGCTGGGAAAGCTTGTCAATGGTATCGAACCAAACGAAAGTTGGGACGGTAGCGACGGCCTTAGCAGCGGCAGTCAAAGAGGCCTTGCCGGCAGCGACCAAAGATGGAACGGCAATGTTGTAGATCTCGGAAGAGTAGTAAGCATTGTAATGTTGCTTACGTCCAGCGAAGGGATTTCCGTTGATGGTAACTGGGTTACCGACACCGCCAGTAGCACGAGTGGTGGTTCGTGTGGTGGCTGGGGTGGTGGCTGGGGTGGTGGTGCGAGGAGTGGTAGCTGGGGTGGTAGCTGGAGTGGTGGTGCGGGGAGTGGTAGCTGGAGTGGTGGTGCGGGTGGTGGTAGCTGGAGTGGTAGCTGGAGTGGTAGTGCGGGGAGTGGTAGCTGGAGTGGTGGTTGGTTGACCAGCGGCAGACAAGCACTGAGCGTAGTATGGGTTCAAGGTGGAGCAAGCGGCGCCAGCGACACAGTTAGTTGCGCCAGTCCAGCCAATACCACCACACTGTCCCCAAAGGGCCTGTTGAGCGGATGAACCGCAGATGAGCGCAAGAGCGCTAAGAGCAAAGGAGTACTTCATTGCGAATACGGCCGAGCGTAGCTGTCGATGTTTTCCGAATCAAGGAATGTCAGATTGTTGTGAAGTCCAGGCTTAAGGAAAAAAAGTCAGGACGAAGTGGGAGGAAACTGATCCTTATATATCGACGAGATCGAGCAGAACACCATACAAGCCCCATATTCTTTATCAATGGAGATTGCGCTAATTGAGTGTAACAAGGCTATTGAATCTAGGGCTTAGTGCTAGTGCTCTCTCCACAAGGCCTCCTGCGGGAACACATTTGCTGAGATCCGTCGGTGAGTCGGATATTGGAGGTGGAGAAGCCAGAGCCTAGCCCGCCACGCCCATGTTAGAACCTGATCAGATGAAGGACTACACAATGCAATCACCTTGTTGAGTTCAGACTATAGAGTTCGGAACATTGCGAGGGTAGGGATATCTGACAATGTGCATATTTACTCGAAAAAGAAAAATCTGCTCCCATAATTATCACAGACAGCTACGCATGAAACGCAGATATTGGGTTGACGTTGGCGATTTTGATCAGGTGCCCTGCGCGCGGGCCGACTTTCCATACACCAAGAACATTGGTGTGGGTTTGCATCATTGTTGAATTGGAGTCTGTAACATACCCTGGATATTCTCAAGACAAGCGACCCTTGTCGCGGACAAGCGTCACCAAAAAGCCAAGTTCAACCCCAAGATATTCGATACCTGGCAAGCTTATACTTCAGCAGCCATCCAAAGGTATTGGGCAAATAGCGTTTGTCACACGCCTTTCATCTTCAGACGAAATACTTGGGAAGCCACGCCCAGAATCAGTCCAAGACCTTGTGACTTCAGAACCGACCAAGCTAGAAGCCTTCTTCGAAGCAATTCAGCCGGAAAAACTTCCCTCGAAGGACCCACCATCCCAGCCTTCCAGAAAACGATCATCAGGGTTTACATGTCGAATCCCCGATCTGACCGTTCCGAGTAACCGCCTACATGTTCAAAATGACTTAGTCGTTCCTGCAGTAGCAAGAATGCTTGTCGGGTACAAACACCAATCTATTTTGCTACGACCCCAACACAAATTTCAACCTTGATGGTTTAGGCGGGACGCCATTCCTAGACTCCGACATGACAGTGAACTGATCTGCTCTTGTTTTTGGCTAGTCCTGGTTTTCTCTCCAAAAGAGACAGGCTCTAAAATATTCTCGAATGGTTTATATCAAGGATCACTTCGGAAGACGCCTTGAGAACCCACCACCCGGGACAAGATCTGGGCAACAATTTTATCCCATGGCCTAAATGCAGCTGCGATTCCCCAGCTCGATATGTTTTTAGATCTTAATCGTGAACACTAAATAGACTCTGCAAGGCCTTTTGTATTTTAACAGTCGTATTTGCCGGAATAGCACTGAAAAAACTCCGAACGGTTATTAACCGTGCTTGCTAATCGACGGAAACGAATGCACGTACCCCACTTATGACGTGAAGTTCACACCATGGAAGAACAGTATCGAAAATTCGATTTTATCGATACCAATATCAATAAGCATCAAGCTATGGAGAAGCTTGAAGCTTCTATTGATAGGATGATAAATGCCAGACTGTCTGGAGGGGACACCCGCCTGCCGCGCTTCATGTTTATTGCTGTAGTACAAAAATATTTTGCCACTTGCAACTAAAAGTCATTTGTGCACGCCATCTTAGATTCTCTGATGATCTCTCAAACTGATCCTGATCAATTATTTTCTCCAGGCTCGAATGCCTATCACTGAGTTCCAAGATAATTGGGTTCTCTCGTCTTTCTCTCGTCCCTCCTTAGCTCCCCACGGCTTCTTCCACCCACGTCCGCCAAGGTACTACTGCAGTTCCGGATAATCTTATGTTCCGGGTAGATTAGCCCTCGCAAGATACAGGCCTCAGCCATCTAGGATCACGGACCACCTCAACTAAACTTCTACCTCAATCAGCACTCATGTGTCACATTGCGTGCTGAAAATGAAACTATGGCCCAATTAATGAAGGGCTTTGTTTGTGATTAAATCTATACTCTCTGCTGAATATTTAGCTCTTCTTTCCTGTGACGAGCTAACCATTATTGAAGCCAGGCTAAAGTCAATCGAGGCATTTACCCCATGATTTAGACTCTATATGCATGACCCGGCAATTTTGTCGTTTTAAAAGTCAAATCTAACCCGGCTATATCGGGGTTTGGCAGTGGGGAAGTCTACGGCTTTGAAATACAGGAATGGTCCAACTAGTACTAGGGCATAGAGCACTGATTGCCGTATTCCGACGAAATGATCACATGGTGGTCATAGCCTCTGCCAAAGACGGCCTTGTTCTGGCTTGGGCTTTTCTTAGATGCAAATCTAGAAACTATTTTTGACCAATTAAGGCAGCGGCTGAAGTCGGGGTTTTATAATTTTACCAGTCCAACCTTGGAATTCACAAATCGGCAGTTTTAAACCCCAATTCTACCTTGGATCACACAGTTGTAATCCCTCATTAAAATGAGGCATGTTCATGCACATACGCGCCTCCCTTCCCTGGTTATTTGTGGATTCGAATATGTAAGACGGGCGTCTTTGTCTTCGAAAGACCGGTTAACCAGGTTTTGGAAAAGTCGTTCCCAAGATTTAAAGCACCATTTAGTGCATTTTGGCCCGATTTCTCCGGCTCGTCCGGGCTGGGGGGTTTCCCAAGCTTCCTGGTCTAAACTTGGTCTTTCTACTTGTGGAAGCTTGGAGCTAGCTATCTTGTGACTTCAGCTTCGATGACGATCGGACGTGTCACCAAATTTCATTCTATGCCTCTTTTAAAAATTTCTTTCTGGTTCTCCAAGTCATTGTGACTCCCACTCTTTTTCTCCAGAAATCGTTCTCCTGTTTCATACAAACTTCTTTTACCTCAGACTAGACTACTTACCCATACACGTACGACTAAACAGTTTTTCTTAAGAAACTCACCAGTATATCCCGTTGTCCGAATTCGAAGGTATTGTCGATCGCAGGAAGCCCCCAACATCCGCCTGAAAGTCAATTGATCACCCAATAAGTCACCAGCGGCATCACTTTCCCAGATCTAGGTTGACTCGCATGATATACGCCCATACATCAAACTTCTTTCATTTTTATCATTATTGATTATTTAACCATTACAGAATCAGGACCAACACACTATTCGCAGGAAGCCCATATCCTCGACACATGCTTAGTCATGCCCCGAACAATGGAACGCGCGTTGATGCAAGAATAATCCTTCATGGCCACGTACCGAGCGGAAGGAATCGAAAGCGCAAATTGTTTGGTGCCAAGTGCAAGATTATTCCGATGCAATGCATGGTAAACTGGATTGAATAAAGCCCTCCAATCCGTTTGAATATGAAGATATCATAGACAGTTGCCCTATGGCTCATCTATATTCGCCTCATTCTTAGACGTCACAACTTTAACGGAGAAATTGCTATGTCCCCAAACGGATCTAAGTCGACAGTTAGTGCTCGATATGTCTATCGGTACACCTATCACCGCACGGTGCGAATGAACGTTCATTCCTAGCTGCCAAACAGGATTTGATCTCGCGGAATCTAGCGTTTGACGTTTATTTAACGTTGACCTTTTTGACCAAGATGCTATTAAAAGAAGGTCCGATGCAACTTTCTACTCGCCCAGCTTGAGCCTTTACTTTGGTGGTGGCATACGAAAGTCTCGGAGAGAGGCACCTAGTGCACTTCGGAAGCTTCGAAGGACCTGAACGTTAACACACTTTGGTAACGAGGGCGAGGCCGAGGCTGGCCCTTAATTGCCTTGGCCAAACCAAACTCCGGCAACATTATAGATCTATAGAGCGAAGTAGAGTATTAATTGTTTATTTAGTAGTGTCGTTCCGAGACTAGATGTCGGGTGCACGGTGGCCACGTCTCGGCCCACCCGTCTAAACTAGACTAAACTATGTAGGCATATTAGATATTAGGTATCTGAACTGAGCATCAACCGTGGTGCAACATAGCACGAGACTGAGGACTAAAATGTCATGTCGCACGATGGAGCTTTCTCGTGCCACCAAGACTGGCACCAGGCGCCTCAACACATTGGCAAATGCGTTGGAACGTTGTTGGAACATTGTTGTGCGCGCCACCAACTTTGTGGCGTCAATGCTCAACGTATGGCTTGTATTCACATAACCACGGGTATAGACTCAAGGCTCTGAACCGGTCCCGTAGAGGAGAGGTTAGTTATAGCTACAGACGAGGGATCGATATAGTAGTAGCCAGTTTAATCTGGCGATGTGTATACTGTATATGAATAATATACGAAATTAATAATTGACTAAACCGATATCGCGATAATTTACATTTAATACTTACAAAATGGAACCGCAATATTACCTCAATCTTGCTGATACCATATGGGTCCTGGAATCGGTCGAAAAGATTTACCCACTATATTTTCAGGCTATTATTGGATCAAATAGACTCAAAGTCTTCAATTTCACGTTAATTATATACTGTTCGAATATTGTGTATTGTATATGTTCGAATAAATCCCGCCCCAACGTTCAGTACTGTGTTTGATAAAAGTTTAGGTGTCGATAGATATACTATTTCGATATATCGATATCCTAATGGATCTACCTGTCGCTGCGTTGATGAGAATATATAGGATCTCATTACAATCAGATCGATCCCCGGCTGTAATTAACACATAACACGAATTCACGAAATTTAATACGCAATGTCGACATCTCCTCCATTGACTTATATCCTAACGTCCTTAGTCGCCTTTTTACTCCTTCCTCGAAGTTCAATATGTCCTAACCCAGACGAAATCATTTCATCAGCGCTAGCGTTGACTAACCCTAAGCTAGTCAGACCTATCCTCGAATTCCCAGCTAATGAGCCAAAAGTTCACTACCTTCCTATGACCGCGCAACAATATGAAAACTGGGTTTTCGAGAACTCTCAAACACTAAGCTACATAGCTCTCCAAATAGAATGGCTAGAACAACTCCGCAATAGCTGTCCGCTGGGTCCATCACCATCAATATCCGGTCATCCCGGCGCCCGTCCAGTCTCGCCTAGAAGTTTAGCCTTCTTGATCCGCACACTAAAGGCTACTATCACCTCATTTCAAGAGGATATAGTTATTATGTCGCGGCCCGTAGGCGATCTATACGATGTTGGAAAACTTATTCGCGAAACGTTGGGGTGGTCGAAGAACGAGGCACCAACGCAAGCCTGGAGAGTGGTGGATACTATCAAAGGGGGGATAAGTCAGATGCGAGCTTTTTGGGAACAGTACAGTTTTCTAGAGAAAGAATCTCGAGAGGATTGGGATGGTCTTCCGAAAGATGATTTGAGTGAGAGGGTTATATTCGTGGCGACAAGGATCGCACAACCAGTGCCAGCAGATATGGAAGAAGGTGATGGAAACGATGAAATTCGGCTTTTGAACGTTGATGCGGACTCAATCGCAAAGAAGATTGAGACGTTTCAGACGCAGTTGAAATGGATGAGACACGCTGTAAAGAAGGGAGAAGAGTGGGCTCAAGTGGCTGAGGATAGGCAACTTGATAATCCGGTTTACACGCAAATGCTGGATCGGAAGAAATATGATCCGGATCATAAACCCGGGATAAGAAATCTTGATTTTAATCTAATTAATATCTTCAAGAAGGCTGTGAGATGGTATGAATGCTGGATGCAGCCGATACAATATATGATTATGTTGATGGAAGAATTGACACCACTTTACAGCGTATACGAGGGGTCAAATGCTGTAGAAGGTTCACCATATCAATTAAATATCATCGATGATTCTAGCCCTGAAATAAAGGAGATTCTCTCAGGTAAGGATGTTAAAGTACAGGAAGATGAGGAACAATGGTCAAGTCGACCGATGCAACAAAGCTTTCTCGAGGATACTATTTTGAAAGAAGAAGGAGCTGCAGTAGGAGAGAGCTACTTAGACAACGAGGTTAAAGTAGAGAGTGGTCAAGATCAGTGGTCTACCCGACCGATCAACCAAGACTATCTTGAGGATATCATTTTCAAGGAGGAAGAAGGGGCAGAAGTGGGTCAACTGGTGAAGGAAGATGAATTGAAAAATCCAAATGTGATGAGTTTGGAGGATATTGAAGATCAATCTACAACAATTTATGTATCAGGAGGAGGATGATAACCTATCTAAATGAAAGCAAAGTTTATAGGGTTAGATATTCTATTTTAGAAAACCGTGCCAAAATCCGACTTTAGAATGGCTACTGTGGATCAATTAGTAAAGTTAAAAGCTAATTGCATGAGCAGGAAGGGCACATGTTAGACTTTCGACACAGGCGTGTTGTTTTGGTCTGAGAAAACAGTATATAACAAATATAATTAAGATATGATCTATTCTTAAATAGGATTCTACTCTAACCAGGAAGAGTCTTCTGTGAGACAAATAGCGGAATTATATCTGCCCAAAATATAGTTTACTCAGTTTGTCGCCGCTCGGTCGATGGTAGATAGTTTTCTACTACTTTTCGCTTCAATCCGATATAGCAAATAAAGTAGGTGAAGCATTCCTTCGAATGGGCTTCCACTTGGACTTCGTCATCCACGTCTATATACTGGTGGGAATCTTCTCCTTCCTCGTGGCCTTCAGAGGCAGTATATACGTGTTTTCCCGGCCTGAATATCTTTACGTTGTAAAACCCCAGTAACTGGGTCAATCGTTTTGCTATTTCGCAGCAAGTCAGAATCGCCTATGTGTCTGTCTAGAACATGTATATTTTATTCTAGAACATGAATTAAGATGTGGGGTACAGGTCAGTTCTTACCGTCCCACCGCAGACTAATTGCCTCTATCAAGGTGCGCGGGAAGCCATCGGGACGACGGTAACATAGACCCTCGGACTCATTAGATTCGGCTACTTGCAGGGCTTGTAGCTGGTCCTGTGGATCGCGAGCTTGTGAATTAAACTGCCGGGCATTGATATTTAGAATTCCGAGGCCAGTGAGATGTGTCCTAAATTTCGAATTCGAAGAGTTATAAGCATATTACTAGAACACTAGCTTAAGCTTTGAACATTACACCGGGTTGGACTACTAGTTACTAGCTATAGCTATAGTATAGAGGGGGTAATTTTGGTCGAGTACCTTGCCGCGATAGCAACTAATTTAGATTCTATTCGCCTAATCCTCGTTTCTAACTCGGGGTCCGTGGATGTCCCTTCCATGACTGATATTGGTCGGCCTGGTTGACGGAACTATGCTATTCAGATCGTATGTATAGTCATTATGGTATAGCTGTATACGCTCTTGCGGGGCAGTTACCCTAGGTATTTTGACCCCTGTCAATATCCCGTGATAACCAGGCCAAGCGTTTGTTTTCCTCTCCCATTCCAACGATATGCATACCCCTGTATTTGCATGTTCCGAATCCCGTGGGCGTCGACCAGCTATCCAGCTGCCGCAGCGTGAGACTGGAACGTGTACGAAGATCATGACCATAGCATGGCAATGGCATGGCATTCCATGAAACCGAATTCATGAACGAAATCACTTTCCAAACAGGAAACAATGACCGGAACGAAACGAAGCAAGCTAGCAAGCGGCTGAGGCACAGAATCTCAAATCGCACAAGTCAGAGCCGCGTGAAAGCGGGCTGTGTCTTTCGTGGTTGATCCTCCAACGGTGCATGTTTGCTATTTTTGGGTAGCCTGGGGAGGAAAGGTTCCGCAAAGGGCTAAGCCAGACTGAGCCCGTTTCGGCTTTATTTTGATGACGACTCGAACTCGAATACACAAATTTAAAGCTTTTTTCCCTATGAGAATATCGGATGGATGTTAGTAGAATAATACTCCTTCGTGGTACATCTTCTCGATCAAAGATACTTACTTGAGTTATAGTCATCGCACAAAGTAGATTAAATGGAATTCAGCCCTGCACAGCTCGCACGGCACCTGTGAGCTTAATCAGAACCAACACACTTTTCACCTAACTTTAGCTTGCATCTCAGCTCTCCCTTCTCAGCACTCTCTCTTCTCTTTCCCTCCCCACTCTGACCCTCTCTCTCTCTCTCTCTGTTCCCTTTCCATCTCTCTCTCCCTCTCCTGTAACCTTGATACTTCTTCTTCTCCGACAATACCACTCGGCGATTCACAATACTCGATATACTGCATTGGTTGTTCTCTTTTGCATCTGCATCTACATCTATTACGTCTGCTTACCTTACGCCTAGCCCCACCACACAAACAAAGAGGAAACGGAAAACTCGAGTTCCGGCTTAGCGACCCGGATCACCATACAAAGTATTCAAAATGGCGAGGATGACATTGTCAAAAATTGGGACGCTACAGCAGGCCGCCTTCTATACACATGGCTTTCAGGGGCTAGTCATATTCATATTATGGGTTATCCTATTGGCCTTGAAGGCTCAAAAAGGCGGCTCGCCGGCTGCTGCAAATTTGCTCTTCGCGATGGTATGCAAAAACGGACCTTCGGGTTTCCCACGGCTGTCGATATCGCTCAATTCAATTGCTAACTTTTGGCCTTCTTCTTCTTCTTCTTTTGGCTGATGGGTATTAGTGCTTTATCTCTGTGCCAATTATAATATACACGGCTATGACGCCGAGGTGGCCGCGGACGGTCAAATTCTCGCATCCAATCGCGCAAACTGCCCTCTGCTTCCTATCAACGGTACGGCTAAGCCAATTAATATTATACTCGCGTAAAACTCGAAGAAAGTTATTGAATACTAAGATTGAGCAAATCTTTAGATCTTGTGGTTTGCAGGATTCGTTTCGCTAGCAGTTCACAACAATGAAGGAATATCAAGGGGCGAAGACAAAACTTGTGCAACAACAGTATATGGAACTCCCAAAATCTGTGACCTCTCAAGAGGCGCGATTGGTCTTGGAGTAGTGGTTTTGTAGGTCCTCCTATATTCTCCAAGAGTCCCTTGTGGAACACTTGCTCGGAAATGAAGATGAGCTAACAATCGGGATAATAGTCTGGCTTGGGCGGTTACGACAGGAATGTACGCCTATACATGTTACTTCCTATGGAAAGAAAACATGCCGTTCACCTCCCACCTTAGACCCGGTGTCATCGCTACCCATGATGTCGAAGCTACTACCCAGGACGCCTTCAGTCACAAGGACGACCATAACATGCTCGATCCTCAGGAGGATGAACACCCACAGTCACCATACCAACCAACTTCTGTTACTCCGACTCCTGGCGGTGTTTATGCGCCGTTGTCAAACACTGCGGTGGGGCAGGGTCGATGGCAAGGGGAGGATGATGACGAGGACGCGGACTTTAGAAGAGATGCATACCGGAATCAACATAATGCGAGCGTAAGCGACAATGGCATTCATGGCGGAGGGCGGACGACACCGCTTACGGGACATCAAGACCCGTATTCAGTACAGCAACCGATAGAGTTTCCGGAAGGACCATATAACACGGGTTACAGATATTAAAGGCATATAGATTTACGGATTTCCTAAAACTTTTTTCTCTTCGCCCTGGGAGGATTCTTCTGTTACTCCTGTCACCTCATATTCTTGTTATTTGAAATTTTTTCAGTTATTCTTGGATCGCGGGTGTAGTTGTCGAAAAGTCATCGATTCTGTTTGCATAGAAAGGGGAAGACGGCGTGAAATCTCGATAGCTTATGTCATGTTAGCGGTTTGTCCTGTTTACTTTAGCGCGCCCTTATTACCCAACTCCCTCAAAGATATTTCATTACTTTTCTCTACCTCAAATTTCTTTCTATTCTTTTGGAAACGGTCGGAAACACGAAAAGATGAATCGCGGACCTCGAATGATAGAAATTTCAACTCTGCAGATCTGGCGGACTAACCGGATCAATGGCCATTTCGCAGCGCACGAACATTTGACGCGGATCGGTTGACTCGAGTTAACCCGCCATGCTGACATCCAGCCTCACCAGCAATGTGAACGCAATCCGAAATTGTCCTACAACTTGGAAAATCTCACCGGTGCACCCATTCACGGCAGTTTTGCGTAGACAGCATAGCATGTATGATAGAATCTCACCCGACAAAATCCGGATTTGTTCTTTTTTTGGCTGACTCTTTGGTTCCACAATAGTTAAGTACTGATTTTGGAGTTATCGATAGTCAGCCGCAGATACACTGTAAAGGGAGCATTAATGCTACCTTCTGGATAGCTACTGCCCGTTACACAACAGCAAGGGGTGGACTCGACGTCACAGATTTCAATATCACAGGTTCCTGTCGAGCAGGATACTACAATTCTAATATCGTCATCCGGAATACTATCCTCGAGCCTGCAGATATATCTTCCTATCGCCTGCATCGGAATAATAATACATACATATATTGCCTTGACCTGGGGCACACTTCGTATTAGACCCACCGCTACAATAGCCATGCTGTTCGCGTCGCCATTAGTGCCGAACAATGTCCAGCACTATCCCCGTCCTCCAACATACGACTTCCCAGATCTTCCTGCCGCGGACCGCGCATCGTTTTGGCTCCTTCCGATTTCAATAGCTCTTCAGCAAATTTCCTTAGCTATTATCGGACCCTTACCTAAAACATCACCTATCCGAACCCTTCTTCCCGCAATCGTTGTACCCGTAGTAATCGGGATCGGAATACAAGCGACATTATTTTCCCATCACCTGACCTCCCCCGTTGTAAACTTCGGATACGGCACTGCAGCGATTTCAATTACCCTCCAAGGAATCGAGATCCTTTTCGTAACCCCTTGGCGGTACGAAATCCCACTTAGCGAGATATTCAAGATAGCGGAGACGCCATGTCCTACTATAAACCCTACATGGAGACAAAGATTCGATTGGGCTGGTGCCTGTTTAAATAACCCAAGAATGTTGAATACACCATTCGAACCAACTTTATTGAAAAAAAGAAGAGAAAAGGTGGCGGGGATGTCAAAAGGTTGGTTTTTGGTTACGAGATTTGCAAGGGTGGTTATGATTTGGGTATTAATCGATTTCTTACTCGCCTGGTGTCGGTATGATCTTTGGTTTGGATCGGTGACGCATCATATGGCACTACCGGATACCCTGCTTTCTGGGGCTGCAAGGACCGTGTTTGGTGGTGCGGCGATATGGATGGCTGTGGATAGCGAGCATGCACTTTGTGCTGTCGTCTGCGTTGGCTTATTCGGACAAGACCACAGTAATTGGCCTGACTTATTCGGGATCTGGACGGAGGAGTGGTATACCATTGCTGAGTTTTGGGGGATAGCATGGCATGGGTTATTCCGACAGCGGTTTACATTTTTGACGAGCACGACGAGCTCCAGGATTCTGAGGGTTATGATTCCGTTCTTGTTATCCGGGGTGTTACATTTTGCTGGGGCGTATATGCAGAGTAGACATGGAGTTGAGGCTATGGTGTTTCTAGTGTTGCAGCCTATAGGGATCTTGGTGCAGCAGTGGGTTATTGGGAGGGAAGGAGTGAAGGGGAGAGGATGGGGGGTCAAGTTTGTGGTTTGGGTGACTACGATGGTCTGGCTGATTACTACTGGGTATGTGTTTGTGGGGGCTTACGCGAAGGGGGGCATGTTCGATATCGAACCCATTCCTGTTAGTTTCTTGAGCTTGTTAGGGGCGGTTGAGGGGAAAGTATGGAGATATGGTGGGGCCATGGCGCATTTTGGGTGGTATTAATAATATTAAAATTGGTTATAAGAATTGTACTCGTTCAGTCGAGCTAGAACCATACATCGATGCATCTACATCTAACTCTGATCGAACGACTACTCCTTCTCATAGGGAATCTATTCTTTGGGTAGTGTCTTGATATGATCCACCAAATCATCAAACTGTTGGTAGATATCTTTATACTTAATCCCCAGCTCCTTCTCCGCCTTGCTTGCATCCAACTTGAAATAAGTCGCAGTCCACCCATCCTTCCAACTGGGAATGGTATTCAACTTAAATCCTAATTCTGGGTACTTCTCCTGCGCATGCTTCAACAGATCATCCCACTTAAACTCCCCAGCAGACAACAAAAACCTTTCACCATCTTTAACATCATCGCTAAGAGCCTTCACGTGGGCTTCGGCTACATCTTCGACATGGACTGAATGATCAACATCTTGGAATCTGAGTAGACCATCGATACCGTTGTATTCGCGCCAGAGGATGGCAGAAGTGGTGTGATGATTGTCAATATCCTTGACGGATTTGAGAACGGGGATAGCACCGTAGACGAAGTCGGGGTGGATGCTGACGATTGAATAGTGCGGTTTTTTGGATGAGTGGAATTCCCAGGTTGCTAAATCGCCAGCGATTTTGGAAGCGTGGTAGGCACCGAAGGGGAAGCCGAAATCGACCTTGGAGAATTCATCGAGGGGCCCTACTGAAGGGTTGCCAGATTTTTCTACAGCATAAAACAATATTCTGTCAGAGGCCGGTGGGAACCTCAAGGGTTTATGTATATTGAGGTGGGGTTTTTACATACCACTGGCTGTTCGGCTTTCTCCGAGAAGGGAACGATCTAGCGGAACAAAGGAGATAGATGAACTAGTGATAACAACCTTTTTGATCTTTGGCTCCTTCGTGGCGGATTCGAGAAGGGATTGTGTGGGTATAACCGCTGGGTCGATATAATTTTCCTTCCATGGTTGCAGCAGCTCCTGCGCCAAAAATTCAATTAATATCAATATATCCTACACCACATAAGGGCAAGGCAAGAACGAGAATGCTTATTTGATGTTACTTACCGGCGTAGGAATAGGACTCGCGGTATGAACTACGAAGTCAACACCCTTGACAACTTCATCGAATGCACCGGCTTTTAGAAAATCCGGAACGACGACGAAAGTGACTTGTCCTTCGTGCCCGAACACCTTTTTGAGCCATTCTTCTTGTGCGGGGTCTCTGATTGTTAGGCGGACTTTATAGCCGGCTTTGAGGATTCCGAGCACGACTCCAGAGCCGACGAAGCCTGATGCTCCGGTGATCTAAGTTTTTGGGGTTAGTCGATGTAATAGGCGTGAAGACATGTGAACTTACAAGAATAGTTTGATCTGCTGGTGCCATTTTGTATATATATTGTAACTTATTTCTTTAATCACAAACAGAAAACTTTCAAAAGTATAAAACAATAAGACGATCTTTCTAACGGGAAACTTCAGGGTATGTATAAAGTAAAGACAAGGGCAGGATGAAAGGGAAGGCCTCAAGTGAACTTACGGGGGGAAAGTGCGGGTCTAAAAGGAAATTTCGACAGCTGGCCCTACATATCTTTCTTTAATCCCTTGAGGGAAGCTTGATTCAACGGTCTAGCTGTGGGTCCTTCTCTCTCCCTGTCTATCCCTCGGCACTGACGCCAGATAGTTAGCCCGCCTGGAGCAGAATTAATTTGCTTTGATTCGCGATCGGGACCGAAAACTTTAGTCCATTAGTCAAAAAACGGGCTGGCCCGGTACATAGTCCCCGCGCCATGTTTCACAGATATGACATGATCCATAACATCAGCTATACTTCTCCTCGCCGAGATATTATTGACGGAGACTAGTCACATTTGTTCTGCTTGTGGAGCTGGAAGTACTCGAGTAAGTCAGTACATATCGGAATCTCAGGCAAGTGGAGCTGTCCTCGAAACGGCTTAAGTTTTTTCTTCTTCCTTTTCGTTGAAACCCGCGCTTCTCTCGCAAAAACATTTCCAGCCTGGTTTTATGGCCGCCATCGGTCGCCAAACAGGCTAAGAATTAAGTCGGTACTGCAGTGAGAAGTATACTAGTAATTGATTGAGTAGCCACTTCCAGTGCTTTCTTCCCAGTTTTGGGTGAAGGTTTTTTTGGGGATTTTGTGACGAAATAGATTAGGCAAGTTGCATGTATGTAGTATGCATGCAAGGGTGCGTGCCATTCTCATGGGAGTCCAGCCAACGTTTGTGGGATTGCTGGTCAAGCTCTATAGCTAGCTTACCTATTGTATTTGCAGATGCATTGCAGCTTTTGGGATTAGACTGGCGGGTCCTGGGTTAGTCTTGATGGAGCCGTGGGACTGGATCCGATTCGCTTGTGGTCGCTTGGAAGAGGTCTGTGAGACGCCCCACTATCCTGATACCGATACTTCCCCATTGCAAAGAGAAAGAGAAAGAGAAAATAGTGGGGACTTACCCCTCTTCCATCGCGCTGGAGATCCATATTAAGTGGGATATGCTCCTGAGGATGTGATCAATGGGGTGAAATGTGACAGAAGATGCATGTATTACAGATAAACGCGCACGGCGTTCAGGTTACCATGATCATGATGATGAGAGGAAAGAGGTTGCGTTCTACATAGGAGGTATACCGGTAAGTATGCATATGATGGGTGTGTGGTATATCTGCATGTGCCTTGTGCCGGCTTTGGGTACAGGATGCATTAATCATTTGGGACTGGTTTCTGGGTTTTGAGGCCGGCTAATATGATTGGGTCTGGAATTCCAGAATCTCGAAAACACTGCACGTAAGTCAGGGCTTACATATGTCTGTACGAGATGAACCCAAGAATCGGTTTATACTACGTAATAGTTGAGACTTTTGGAATCCTCTTGAGATCTTGTGCATGAAGAATTATTGGGATGGTGGTGTGGTGTGTGTGGTAGTGGTGGGATGCCTTCGAGTTTACCAATTTGTGGGTGTATCAGGAAATCGGGCTGGCCAATTAGATATTTTCGTCTTGCAGTTTCGGAACAGAACGGTGGGATACTTTATATCATATTTTATATCATATCTCAATATTGTCAGATTCGATTATAATCAATACTTGGTTTTTCTCGTATTCCCCCCAAATTTAAAGATCCGAAACATTAATCTATTAATACAAGGAATCGCTCGATATAAACCTCGAAACTCAAGGCCTCGAAGAATCTAAGGCGGACCCCCAGTCTTAAGGCTTTAAGACCCGGATCCGCGGACCCAAAAGCATTAGTTCTACTATTTGTTAGGGTGCACATGCATCACTAAGGCGCACAGACGCAAGAAATCGATCAGACACGATCAAAATTAATTAACTGACTAAAACTCATCATCGTTATAATTATTATATATATCCTAATACAAAACAATACCAATAATTAATAATCTCAGATTATAAATCTAAAATCCGTCATGTTGTAAGCAATTCCAGCGGCGTGACTGCGACTTCCGATACCTCCCAATATTCCATATCATTGAACGCTCTAAAGACTATCTTGGCCTTCTTATTGGCGCCGACGGTATATTTATACGCCGCTTTGCTCCATTCATCTTCGGACGTCGGTTTCCCTTCTCTTGTCGCCAGGACCCGCATCATCCTATCCTCGTCGCCAATGTATGCCCAAAACCATGCATTATCAGAAGACTAAAGGAAATTTGCGGAGTTAAAAGTTAGCGTCCAATATTAACAAAGGGCCATCCAAGACATGCATAAAGCGGATGTTGCCTTGAGGGAAAAAAAAAAAAAAAAAAAAAAAATTCTTGAGCAATAAAAACTTACGTTCGCGAGCGCATTTCTATACAGAAAGCTGACAACATAATCAGTATCCTTCCCCTGTTTATCCCTCCTCCCCATCGTCTGCGATAATTCGCACGCTTTGGCCGAAGAATGTTCCCCATTCCACGCCGAAAGATATCCCTTATCGTCCCAAGCATTCACGTTCCAGCATCCGTCTGTATTTTCCCATCCCGTTAAATTCTGCTTAAACTCTCCGTTCTCGACTAAACTTCCAGCACTAATTCCAAATCCTGGGGTTAATCCGGGAAAACCTAGGTTGATTTCCAGTGGTGTGCCTGTGGCCGCTGGTTTCGGTACGCCGGAGAATGCGACGGCTGTAACGCCTGTTGGGAGGACTATTCCTGTCGCGCCGGCATTTGGAATAATTGTTACTGGCGAACCACTGTTTCCCGAATCCTGAGGTACAGTACCGGTAGTAGGCGTGGGAGCGGGTCCACTAGTCGTCTGATCACCGCCAGCACCAGTACCGGACCCCGAGGAATTCGAACCAGGAGAATTACCGTCTCCATTGGACGACTTTTTACTGCCCAATGCGCCGCCTACACCACCGCCCACCGCTCCAGCGACAACAATCACAGCGATTACAGCGATTATTATTATTCGCTTCTTGGTGAACCAGGATCCTGAACCACCTCCACTTCCACCAGAGGCCTTAGGACTACTTGAAGCGATCGCATCGTGCTGTTCTTCGGATACACCGCCCACAACTGGTTTTGTATCTTCAACGCCGCCGTAGACGTCTGAAAGATCGGGAAGGGTGTTACCCTTTTCTAGATCGTTCGGTTTGGACATAACAATTCTTTAGCCTTGGGCGCAGTGTTAATTGTCGCGCTCCTTCTTAGGGTGGAGGATGTGTTGTTTAGGGGTTGTAGTGTTTGTGTAACAGACAGCGATTGATCGATCGAACACCACGTTGTGAAAGGTGAAAGTTCGACGGAGAAAGAAAAGAATTAGGAAGAAGAGAAGAGAGAGGAGAGACGTGAAGAGGGGAAAGACTGTCGCAATCTCCTTTTTTCCTTCTTAGAATAAACGCTAAAGCATTTTGGCCTCCGAAATGCGCTCGTGGTTTCCCGAATCAAAATAAGCCATGCATGGCGTTTTCCTTTCCAACATTCAGTTTTCGTGGGACTAGCACCATTAACGAGAGACTCATCTGGAATTTCGAAGAATCTGCGGCTGAGATTGGTTCATTTTTGCCTGCGAAAATCCCACGGGATCAAAAGAACACTAGCGCCAAGGTATTCAAGCATCTGTGCCTTATTTGACACTTCCTAGCACCGTTTAGAGAATACGAGACACTGTTTGGATTAGAGTATTACGAGTTTTTACTGGGAAAGTGATCCTTTTGCGCTACGTTTGATTTGAAGTATTCTTAGTATCAATCGTGGTTCGGAATATGTATTGGCTAAGCTGTGCATACAGTACTAAAGCTATAAGGTAGAAGGGGCATGCATGATTGGATTGCTAACTCGTGTATTTGTTTAGCTATACGAGGTAAGGATATGAATGTACCAAAGGATGCATGACTATAGAACCCTTTTTTCCTTTTCCTTCTTTCCAAACTGTAATATAATTCCATGAGGACTAGGTATGGGAAACTCCCAAGACCATTCAATTCAAATCTCTTGAGGTCTGTTTTTATTATTATTTCATGCGCCTACTCTTCAACATCTTGGCCGGTAAAGATTGGAAGTTTTGTCAAGGTCTCCTCCCAAGTCTCATGACCCTCAACCAAAGCCTTTAGGTGCGCCAAAACCTCATCAACCGAACCACGGACCTGTTTGGTAGTATCTCTCTCTCTCAAAGTAATAGTATCATCCTTCACGCTCTGGAAATCAATGGTGATACCAAATGGTGTACCCAACTCGTCGTTTCGGCTGTATCGCTTACCGATGGTAGCACCGGAGCTATCGACACGACTGCTGATACCCAACTTTCGGATCTTAGAGGATATGCTGTTGACGAGAGGGTTGAAGGCTACGTTGTTCGATAGTGGGACCAGAAGAACCTTTGTTGGCGCGATTGTGGGGGGGAAGGAGAGAACAGCGCGGTCGGCGTCTTCCGGACGGGTCCAGAAGACGTGTTCCATGAGGGAATAGAGGATACGGCCGATACCGAAGGATGGTTCGATGACGTTGGGAGTATATTCACGAACTAGATGGGTTTGTTAGTTTCACTGTAAATTTCTGATGAAAAGGCCGGGTTTACATACCAGACTCGGTTCTCTTTCTCTTCTCGACGGTCACAAGATCGCTGCCAATTTCTAGCTTACCGAGACCTTCGATAAGGACGGAAATGCTCTGACCATTCTTCAATGTCTCAGACCAGGCCTCACGTTCTTTCTGGTTAGAGCATTCTGCCAAACGCTCTTCGACAGCCTTTGCGTCCTTCTTGAATTTAGGGCCGAGAACCTTCTTGTTAATGTCGACTTCATATTCCTCGATAACTCGGGGCTCCTTGAGAGTTTCTCGAACACCCAAAAATTGGCCGGTCTTCTTTTGATGGACCGATAAGTCGTAGGCGCTTCTGTCGGCGCAACCGACACACTCGATCCAACCATAGCTTGTCTGTAATTCAGCGTCCCAACAGTCGCTAGCGTAATGTGCCATTTCATTTTCCATGTGCTGTCTAAATCGGACCTTATTCTCGTCCACACCGATTTTCTTCAAGAATAGGTTGATCCTAGCTAGGAAGTAACCCAATGTCTCATTGTCGACCATACCCTCACGGACAGCCTCGCCGATTGTTTTTCTGACGGTTGTCGTCTTACCGGCTTGCTGAACCTCCTTAGGCAGGAAGTTCAAGGTAACGGTATCGGCGACCTCTGGGAATCGAGGGTGGGATTTGTTTTCGGGGTCGACGAAATGTTCGATTTCGGCCATCAGGAACTCACGGACACGGAGGAGACCTTGACGTGGGGAGATTTCGTTTCTGAAGGACTTTCCAATTGAGGCAGATGCGAATGGCATTTTCTCGTTGTTGAAGCCGAGGAGCTTTTGGAAATTTAGGAATTGACCTTGGGCAGTTTCAGGACGAAGGTACCCTGGTAAGTTGCTGCTGGGACCAATTGAGGTGCCGAACATGAGGTTGAAAGCGACTGGTGGCTCGAGGTCGCCGCCAGTGCCTGGGTTCTTGATATGGTGCTTGATGATAATTTCACCAAGATCATTTCCATCATAGTTATCAATCTATCGAGTTCGTTAACCGCAAGTCGATTGCATCTGGGAATCTAGTGATTGCCTATCCTACCTTTGCCAGGGTCTCCTCGTACTCCTGAACGACAGCATCTTCCAGCTTAACGACCTTGATATCCTTAACCTTCTTCTTCCTCTTCTTCTTATCCTCGGAGCCCTCAATATCCTTAGCAGTTTCCTCAACAGCAGCGCCAGACTCAAGATGTCTAGCTTGTTTATCACCCTTCAACCTTGCCTCCAAAACTTCCTCAACCAAATGATCCGCCCTGAAGATCTCGCCAGTCTTAGGATCCTTACACATCCAATCCGAAAACTTGTCAACATGACCAGAGGTCTTTAGAACATCATGAGGTGTTAACATAGTACAATCCACCTCCAACATGTCTTCTTCTAGAATAAAGTGTTTTCGCCATGTATCTACGATATTGGCTTGTAGCGCACACCCTGGTGGACCATAATCAAAGAGACCGGAGACACCACCGTAGATATCGAATGCTTGGGCGTAAAACATTCGTCGACGGAGTAAAGTGTCGAGGTTAGCTCGGTCGAGCGGTTGACCGGTGTAGGTAGTCATATCGTGGGGTTGTGGGGTTGCTACTGTTGGTCTCTTTTCGCGGGATTTTTTAGGTGAGTGTTTTGGTAATTGTTCAATAGGCTAGAAAATAAAGTTAGAAAGGATCAGTGATGAGGATAAAAGAGGAATCGATGATGTTTCAGGAGGGGAGAAACCAACCGGTGTACTATCGCGTGCAGTGAGCGAGGTGAAGAATGATTGTAATGAGATGGGGGGGCGATAATGAGTTGCGGGGCAGCAGAATAGTGGCGGTTGTGGTTGTAAAAGCCGTTGTGTTTTGAACGGTGCTGGTCGTAAAAAGCGATTGAACGAATGCCTTTGCACAATTGACAAAGCTGACCTCATAAAAATTATAGAGAAAAGAGAGTTTTTAAGAATAAAAAACTTCCCTTTGTATCTCTCAATAAAGTATCTCTATGATATGTGTCTTTTAGGGTCAATTTGGAGGGACAGAAGAGGTGGTTATGACTCTTTCCTGGTATCTAAAAATTTGGCGGGAAACGGACCGGGCAGGTTTTTTGGGAGTTAGTCCGCGATGAGATTAGATTAGATTAGATTATATAAGATTAGATTGGACGGAGATTAGATTATATCAAATATATACCACACATACAACACACGTACTTTCTTCCAGATTCCAATATTTACTCCGTACCCATTTTGGGCCAAGAAGATACAATGAACTAGAAAAGGAAAATGATAATTTTTATTAAGTCTAAACTAAGAGATTCATTAGGGGTATAGCATCCAATATTCCAAAGCTGCGGAAACCAATAAGCTTAGCAAAGCGGGTATCAATCCAAACGCCAAAGATCTATCCAACCTGGTGTACCAATGCCTGTCCCTCTAATGTCATATATCATACCAAAAACCACAAACAGAAATTTAGAACACGCTCGCTGGATAAATGAAAGAAGGACATTAAAATGGGATAGGAGAAAAGAAAGAAGGAGAAGGAGTAACGTGAAGGAAAGAAGCAGGTGGAAACGAAGGGGGAAAAAAAAAAATAGAAACAGACGGCAGAAGAGAAGAACAATAAAGATATTTGGGGAAATGCATGCGGAAGGAATTCTCAGCGTAAAAAATAAAAGAAAAAGAATATTGTGAAGGAAAACTTTTTGGCGAAGTTGAAGAAAAAGGAAGAAGTGGGTATCAGTGTACGAGGGATAAAAGAAGCCTAGACTTCACTCATCTCCCTCTTACGGCTCATGCTTCGGCTTCGGCTTCGGGTACTTGCTGGTGTGAGTTTCAGCAACCTACTCCTCATGAAGGATTCATCCCGAGCATGATATATTATCGCAACGCACATACAACAAGCGCTAAGGAATAGACACAGCCCACTCCAAAGTTGTACTGTTAGATACTTGTCGAACTTTACCACCAAGTGGCTAGAGATTATTGGTCCAGCTAGGGCGAAGAAAGATGAGATGGTATACATCATTCCGGTCCATTGTCCCAATTTGCCCTGCTGGGCGGGGTGTGGTCCCAAGATAGCGGCCATGGAGGCAGGAGGAAGTCCAATAACGGCGCCAGAAAATGCACCGAAGATTATGACGAATGCAAGTGCTGATCCAAGGTTACTAGCGAAGGTCCATAAGAAGAGACAAAGGAAAGAAGACACTAGGGTTACTCCGGCGTGAACGTTAAGTGCACCGAAGTGGTCGCAAAGGTAGGAAGAACTCAGCCGACCGATAGTACTAGACCCGTTCATGATGGCAAGAAGCCAATAGGTCCTGAGGGCGTGCATTCCAGATACCGGCGGCTCCAAACCTTTGTAGCCAACACCAACTTCTGCTGACCATTCCTCAAGGTTAAAGAAGACACAGTAGAAGCCGAAGAACATCCAGGATATAGCTGCGGTGAACCAGCAGAACGCGGGGTCCTTAAAGGCGTCCTTATCAATCCAGGTTTTGGTTGCGAGCCAACCTGATGGTCTCCTAAAGTGATGATCGGGGTTTGGAACGGCCAGGAAGATGGATACAATGCAAGTAATTGCTATTAAGGATGAAACTATCTGAACCGAGTGATTAAATCCGATCACGTCAATAAGATAGCGCAACATAGTAGGATACACCAATCCCGCTAGCGAAATTATTAGTCACTATATGCAAAAGACGATGCGGGTTACACTGCTTACAGACGCTTGCTCCAGATGCAACTACACCAATAGCGAACCCCTTCTTCCGCTTGAACCACGTAGCGGCAACTGATAATTCACCAAAAAGTTAGCTTCCTAAATCTAGTATCCGCAACTTAGGATATGCAGGTATAATGGTGCCGCCACGTACTCTGAGAACTATTGGAGAACATGTATTAGTAAGGTTCCAACACTCTCAACGCATGGAGATTTAGTCATTTGAGGATTTGAAAACTTACCTCGATACAAAGAAGCAGGCCATGCCCAAGCCCGAGACGAGACCTTGAGCTACCCAAGTATACATATACTCTCCATCTCCACGATGTCCACTTCCGTTACAAATACTGAGAGTGAACATGCCTAAAGCGAGGAGGATCGAGCCACCCACGAGCAACCAACGGCTGTAGTTGGCATCGAGGAGACGACCAGCAATAAAAGAAAGAAATAGAATAAAAAAACATTGGGTCGCCCCAATAACGTTGAAATGGACTATAGTATAATCCGCTAGGAGGGACTCCTTATAGTAAGATAGATAGGTGCCATAACCATTTACAATCCCCCAGCTGTTGAACATGAGGAAGAAGCATCCAACTAGACATGTCCACGGACGCCATCCTTTCGGCCATAAAGGCTCTTGTTCAAGATCTTGACTCTGCCTTCTAGAGTCTAGGGAGACAGCCCCGACTTCTGCGAAGCTCAGGGCACTGTTACTTGGCTGTAGCATAGCTATGAAATCGATTATGGGAATCTGTCTAGATTTCTATGAAAGAGTACTCGAGTGGGAGCTCTTTACAATCAAGACAATTGGCGATTGTTTGATGGGTTTGGCATATCGATTTGAGAATTAACACCCATAACAGATCTGAGAGGAACGGAGGGCATCAGGAGAATATAACCACCCTACCTCTGATCGGATTCTCTCCGCTGAGTCTTACACGCTGTACGCAGGCTATGCATGGCCTACGTAACTTTCACATTCTTATCTTTCTATTACCAAAGCATAAGAAACACTAGTCCGACCGGGTGTGAACATTTTTTTCTTTTCGTTTCCCAAATCCCTTCAATCACATCAACTTAGATTGCACATGCTTGCTTTTCCGTGACGGGTAGTCGAGTCAACCCGGCTAACCGCATGGCCAGAAACATATTTAGATTTCCCTCGCCATGCTCACATCCGTTCGCGATAGGACACAGCCTTCACGTCCCTGAACCCTTGCCTCAAAAACATCGAGAAGAAGAAGAAACAATATATTAATAAAATAAAATAAAAGAAGGAAACTCCTGAGAACAAATCCCAGAACGACTCATGCCTCATCGACCGCTAGGGATCTCGGAGCCAATATGTAAACCAGGTGGACCCCCCTTCCTGCAGCCATAAGGGAGATTTGCAACCTTGTTAATTACACGCCGAGCCAGGGAGAGTTTATTTTGTCCTCCTTCGTCCTCTTTGCTTTGTTTGCACAACGCGGATTAGGTGAGCCCAGGATTTTCCAAGACACTTGGATTTTTCCGAGATCGAAACATCTACGTCGGAAGATGCGAACGATATAATCGAAAGTTTACCAAGCGTGGCAGTGTTCGCGCCGAGAGAGCTTGTCTGTACACCCGAGAATGCTGTTCTGAACTATATCTTCGATTTTCTTCTTTCTCTTGGATGAGAAACTCTACATACATACATTGTATGTACATGTACATATCACCGCATATTGGATGATGTTGCATCATTTTCTATAGTTCCGAATCGCTTAGCCTGATGTTCGATTCACAGCTCGAATGAGAACAGCCTGACCCACATCCCAGGCCACACCAGTTCCACCACATGCCTAAAAATCTGTCTTCTCAAGGTCAACTCGCCAGCTGAGAAAAGAGTGAGGATGGAAAAATTTTGTCTTCGCAATTTCGGTTGCCCTCACGGATAAGACCAGTTTCATGAGACGGATCGGACTACCCATTCGTTTTCTGGGTTCTCCCATGCAATGCACATGTGAATAAAGAATGTTCAGATGGTGTTTCATAAAAAAACGTCGGGGAATAATTGGTTTCCTGGGCGTGAGAAAAAAGGAATGATGCAGCCACAAATATGCGCCCAAGAAAATACCAAGAGATAGGTAATGTCGGGCATGGATGCGTGCATTTGGTCCAACCTTAAACCTACAGCTGGATCCTGGAACCTTATCCGAGCGACGGCCCTCCCAACGAGGATCTACCTTTCAAAAACCGTAATTTTCCGGAAGCATCAAAAATTTTTTTCTTTCTCTTTGCTAATGAAAGGAGAAAGAGTAATTATAGATCAGCCATAATATAAGGCTTTTATATTATATCTGTCGATTGGATGAAAAAAATTTTACACGCTCGTATGGATGCATGGGAACGGACCCAGGATAAGACAGGAGAACCCGACCTTTCGTCCCCCCTTACGGATTTTGTCTCTTGCTGACGTACTACAAGTTTCTTGGGACTTTCTTGTCTGTGATAACAACATTCCACCATCTCACAACATGCTAGCCGGCAGAAGTCTTGAGTCTGACGAGTCTGACTAAAAGAATTGTGGTTTATGTGTCGCGTACTGGCTGTTTGTATAACCTGAGGTCGGAGAAAGCGAAAAAAAGTAGTTAACCAACGTTATTCTACATAATCTCATGCTACACGATATCGTGGATATCGACATGAAGACAACTCTTGGAGTTTTGGCAAAATTGCCCAATCGGGCGCCTCTCACAAGCCTCGTTGATGAAACTGTAGGCTGAGGAGATTACACGATTACTGATTGTGCTTCACCGATCTCCCCTTTTACTGCCATTCCAAAAAACTTTTGTTTTTTCTTAGGGCTAGCGGCTGCTTCTTCCCTTTTTTTGCGCCTGTGTTCTTTTTTGTGCGACGCAGGAGCACATATTTTCTGGGCTGGTCATTCTAGATCTAGATTCTGAGATATGGGCGTGGACAGTGGCCGGCCGTGGAATCCGATAGGCCACGGGTACGGGAGGGCACGTTGTTCTCTTCTTTTGAGTTGAGAATTCAAGGCGTGGGGGCACGGCCGCTCGCTATTGGCCTTACAATCCAACATTTTGGAGTTTGATTGATTTCCTTTGAAGGATACCATGGCGGACCGGAGGAAAGGAGGCTCACCTTGTTATTATGAAAGCAGTGTCTCTGCGAAAGGGAGATAAGGAAGTCGCCACGGTAAGAGCGTATGTCGGACAATAAGGATGAATCGGGGCGTCCACCGCATTCGTACTTATGCGCCTATGTACGCTGCGAAATTTACCACAACCTCAACACAAGAACTTAAAGGAACTGTTGCAACGTTGGTCTCAGTTCCAACCGTCAAGTTGTGCAAGAAAGAGTTTAAGACTTCGGTATTTGAAATATATATACATACATATATGACAGTCTAGAATAGGATCGGATCGTGATGTAAGTCAGAAGCCACAGTATGAATACAAAAGCTTTTTTTTTTTTTTTTTTTTTGCCCCATGTACGTGCCTTGGCGGTCGGGCTGTTCCGTCTCGCCATTTCGTTTAGAATTCGACGAAACTCGCGGACTGTTTCTAATATAGCGCTAGGCATCTCGGAGCCGTGGTACAGAGTTGCTAACTTCGTGGCCAAACATAAAAACATATTCTAAGCCAAGGAGGGATTACAGGCATTCGATTGAGATTGTGACACAAGCTGATGATGGGATCGACGAGGACATGGCGTAATCGCCTCTTCGAAGTCTTCGGAATATACTAAGCGTCAGCCTCGATAGAATTTAGCCAAAATCGCCTGCTGATGAATTCAACGAAAATGTTTAATATCTGTGTAATATCAAAAATGTCCGCGATATATCTAGAGCCGCTGGAAATTCGAACTCCGAATATCGCAGGTCGAAGCAGTAGTGTCAGTAAGCTTCATTCTTTTTTTTTTTTTTTTTTTTCAGAGGTCAAAGAGCCATAGTGCCTTCCATCGTCTCCAATTTCACGATTAGTATTCCCGTAGAGAATCTATTTAGGCAAATATCACTGACAGAATGCTGGAAATGTCACAGCGGAAGCCTGCTGAAGGATGCTCGAGCAAAAGGTCACGGATGCATGGTTTCCGGAGTCGGATAGTCCGAAGTTATTTTAGTTTGTGAAAGGGACATAAGCTTTTAGAGACCCAAGGATCAGTTATCTTGTGGATCTGGATTTATGCGGGGTCGATCCGGATGCGGGGCTTGCCAGACGAGGGGAAATGGGGCTAATAGGCTAAATCCCATATGGAGAAAGGCTTTCTTCCCAAGACTGTGAGGAACAGTACGCCTCTCCCTCGCGGTCATACAGCACTCAAACCATGGAATCAATCATGCGCCACCTTGGTTCCCTTTTTAAGAATCTTGGGTGATATTCCAGAGTCCCGATTTTAGAGATCTCGAGAGATACCACCCAAGCACTAGTTAAACCTAGAGTTGCGGCTAAACTGTGTTAATTCCTACTATTTTCATTCTTCAACTCGACCCTTAGTACTTTGTAGGATATGAAATCTTGTCAGGAGATGCTTGGGCATCGGTATATATCGTCAAATGGAAAAATTCAGTCATCTCATTGTTGTATCGGCGCAGAAATCGAGGCTGGTATCGGAGAATTTGACGGAACATCTGTGTCTCTAATTCCGTTGACGCGTTGTTGTGGGCCTACAAGATGGGATGAAACCACAGAGTCGGATCCCGGCCCGTCCACTGCAAACCACTATTGTTTCAGGTCCACAACATCAACGCGTTCGCCCCACAGCCCACTATCATCTATCACATATCACTACAGAATGCGGACCGGGTATGTACTTATGGACAAATGTAAATTCCGACAGCCGAGGACCCTTCGGCAGGTTTCTTTGCTCTTGCCGAATACAGAATTCGAACTACGACGGTACGATTGTCTCTATCTTTCGTGACAGCGGTCAACCTGGTATGCCCAGTTGTCTACGGTACCTATATCGCTACCAGAATTCCTCACCGGGATCCGAGGATGAAAACCACAGGAACATACCACGCGATCTTTGGGTAAATCCATGATATCCTGGTACACGATCCAGGTACAATCTTCTGAAAAGCTTGAGTGCATTGTTTCTCCGATCCCTACAGCTGCACGTGTAAACATATACTCTCCCGTCAGGAACGGAGAGGATGTCGGCCGCGGATTGTGGGGTTTCCATACGGCAAAATAAATAAAAAGGTCAGACCCTAGAGGATGGTATTGCATAGTAGACAAACTATCATGCAAAGCCACTGCTACAACGTTCCGAAGGTGCCTGAAATATGGCGTCAATGACTGCCACTGCACCCAAAATTGAGTAAAGCCGTCGGAGAACATGGCTCCGTCGACACATTCTACCACACAGCTACTATTTTCAACTTGGATCCACTAGAACGAAACATGCTCAAGGAGACGATTGACTACTACTAACTGGAAAACGGGTAGATGACCCTTCAATTTTTGGTTTATCCTAGCTTGTCTAGCCGTAGGAACCATAGGTGGAGACGCCATACCATGAAGGTCTTCATGAAATTCCGAGAAGACCGGAGAAACGTAGCCAGTAGGCTAAAAGGGTTTTAATGAGGGCAATGTAGGATCTTCGGTCAAGGGGACCTTGAGGATCGTCTATAAAATACTCTGAGGCCCCCCGTGTTTTGCAGAAGATGTTCCTAGTTCTCTAGACAATCACAACATCGACTGCACTGTTCTGTGAATAGTCCGGAACAATGGTCGCAATCTCGGCTCTGTTGGCGGCTGCTGCCGCGCCGCTTTTGGCATCTGCGGCTCCATCGCAATGTTACAACTGGAAGAACGTCAAGGTTGGAGGAGGTGGTGGGTTCATTCCCGGTATTGTTTTCAACCCAACGGAGAAAGGTCTCGCATACGCCAGAACCGATATTGGTGGTGCCTACAGACTCAATGCCGACGATACGTGGACACCCTTGAACGATAACGTTGGATCCCCTGACTGGTATGTTCATTCTACTCAAGATCGGGAAATATGGACTCGTAGTTGTATATTGTAGATGGAATGCATGCTGACGATTATTCCTCTAGGAACCGCTGGGGTGTTGATGCTATCGCCACCGATCCGGTTGATACCAATCGTGTCTACCTCGCTGTTGGTATGTACACAATCTCGTGGGATCCCAATAATGGTGCCATCATGAGATCCACGGATAAGGGTAACACCTGGTCCGAGACTGTTCTTCCATTCAAGGTTGGAGGTAACATGCCTGGGAGAGGTATTGGAGAGGTATGTCGATATAGTATTATAAATTTATTTAGGAAAAGCAAAAGTCCTGACTGGAGTTTTTAGCGTCTTACCATTGATCCTCATTCTAATAACATCCTTTACTTCGGCGCCCGTTCCGGAAACGGATTGTGGAAGTCCACCGACTATGGTGTCACATGGGCCAAGGTCTCTTCCTTCACCAATGTCGGAACCTTCAAGCCAAATGCTACCGACCCCAACGAGTACATGCAAGACCCCATTGGTCTCGCATGGATTACTTTCGATGAGAACAGCGGCGGTAGCAAGACTGTTGCTACTCCTCGTATCTTCGTCGGTGTCGCCGATCTCGGAAACTCCATCTTCGTTAGCAACAATGCTGGATCTACCTGTGAGTAGTAGCTACGGGGAAATAGTTTCGGTAATATGATTCTAACTTTTCTATAGGGGCTGCTCTTGCTGGTCAGCCTACCGGTTATATCCCCCACAAGGGTGTTTTTTCCGCTGCCGAGAATGTTCTTTACATCACTTACTCCAACGGTGGTGGTCCATACGACGGAACTTTGGGATCTGTCTGGAAGTACAACTTAACCAGCAGCGCTTGGACTAACATCACCCCACCTTCTCCAAGTGATAGCACTTACTACGGTTTCGGTGGTTTCGCCATTGACAAGCAGAAGCCAGGTACTATCATGGTTGCTGCTTTGAACTCGTGGTGGCCTGATGGTATCATCTGGAGAAGCACCAACAGCGGTGCTACCTGGACTAGCATCTGGGAGTGGGCTGGATACCCAACTAGGAACAAGTACTACAAGATCGATGCTTCTGCTGCTCCATGGGTCTACGACCCTACTGCCACCGACCCCAAGGATGTCGGCTGGATGATGGAAGCCCTTGTCATTGATCCATTTGATTCCAACCATTGGCTCTACGGTACTGGTGCCACCATTCTTGGTAGCCGAGACCTTCTCAAGTGGGATTCTAGCCCAAGAAACGTCACCCTCAAGATCATGGCCGACGGTATTGAAGAAACTGCCATTCAGGATCTTCTCTCCCCACCGCAAGGTCCTGGTATCCTCCTTTCTGGCATGTACGATGCTGGTGGTTTCCTCCACAGGAATCTCGATGTTCCCCAAACTCATACTGACCAGTTCCACATTTACTACACTGGTACCACTGACATCGACTATGCTGGTAACAAGCCATTGAACCTGGTCCGTGTCGGAACTCAGCTTCAGGAACTGTCTTCTTCCAATGATGGAGGTGTCAGCTGGAATAAGATATATGCTGCCAACAACGCCCAGCACGGTACTGTCGCTTTGTCCGCTGATGGTGATATCATTATCTGGAGCCCTAACAACGGTCAGCCAATCCGTTCGCAATACACCAATGCTTTCACCACCATCTCTGCTCTCCCAGCAAATGCTGCCATTGCTGCTGACAGGCGCAACAATAATCTCTTCTATGGTGCCTCCACCAACCAGTTCTATGTCTCCACCAACGGAGCCCTCGCTTGGTCTGCTACCGCCACTCTCACCGGTGCTACCAAAGCCTACAAGATTGTGCCAAACCCAACTGCCTCTGGGGACGTCTGGGTTTCCACCGACAACGGTCTTTTCAGATCTACCGACTCTGGATCTTCCTTTACCAAGATTGGTGGTGTCACTGTTGGCGGTCACTTCGATCTTGGAGCACCGAAGACTACTGGTGCTTACTGGTCCATCGCTGGTTTCTTCACCGTCGATGGAGTTGCCGGTATCTACCGCTCTGATGACGCCGGTGTCAACTGGGTCCGAATCAACGACAACTACGGATTCGGTGCCGCTGATGCCAACAAGATTGCTGTCGACTACAAGGTCTACGGTCGTATCTTCGTCGGTACTAACGGACGTGGTATCTTCTACGGAAACCCAAGCTGCTCAAGCCCTCCACCGACTAGCAGCACTACTTCCGCTCGCACTTCATCTTCTACTACTGCGGTTACGACTACTCGCACTACCACTCCTGTCACCACCTCCTCGACTACTGCTGTCCGAACTTCTACTACCACTAGCAGCACCACCGCTGTCCGAACTTCGACCACCACTCCTGTTGTGACTACCACCAGGACCACAACTGCGAGCACCACCGTAGCTACAACCACCCGCACGACCACCACCTCGGCCGGCGGTGCCCTTCAAAACCAATGGGGACAATGTGGTGGTATCGGCTGGACTGTAAGTACCCTCCGCTCTTTGCAACATTTTCTTGAGACATAATACTAACAAAATTGATTAGGGCCCAACCGCCTGTGTCTCGCCATATACTTGCCAAGTCGGCAACCCGTACTACTCTCAGTGCTTGTAAATATAGGACGCACTGCCTTTACTAGGTGTATATAATGGAGGTGGAGTAAAACTCATGGGTATAGGATTGTAAATACGTAGCAATTTTTGTGAATACTCTGTTTTTGTCCGAGAGAGATATTTTTTTTTCCGTTTATATAATTCTTGTACCATACTTTTAAATAAAACAAGAGGGTGGTAATTTTCTGAGCAAAAGATCGAATTCCCTGCGATTAATCATAGCAGCAGATGCAAGCATATTTTATAACTTTTCAAAAGGAATGTTTTATCAGATATATTGCAGCACCGTTAGAGGTGGATTATAGGTCCCACCCGAACCGAAGTTAAGGAATGATATCTTAAAGTTTTCTCAGAGCCAAAGCCAGCTTCAGAGCCAAGCACTGCTCTACTGATCCCATTTGGTCTTCAAATTCGTATAAATATCAATCATAGCAACTGGCAACCTCCCTTCATTTGTAAGTTTAAACTCTCCGAATGCCTCCAAGACAGACTCTCCATATGTCAACAACCAGCTCTTCCAGTAGGGTGTATTCTTTGCGTGGTCAGACTTTAACCACTCAACAGTTGAAAAGGGGTTTGATGCCAGTCCCTTTGAGATTTTATCTGGGAATCCATATCGATTGGATGTCGTTGGCGTTTCTGTGAGGTTAGTCCAGACAGTACCCCAATATGTAAATTTAGATCTGCGACCTAGGATGAATTCCTCGAATGTTATGAAGGGATGGGGCTTTCTACGTCTACGAGATCTTTGTAAAGTAGATTGAGACTCTAGCCATTCCTGTAGACCGTCAAACCATTCGTCGGGGATATCATTTGTCCAGGATATTTTGGGAGGGTTTGTGGATTTCAGCCAGGTTTCGCGGAGACGAGAGTATTCGGTTTTATCCTTTTTGAGACACTGTTTGAAAGTTTGTGGGGTGTTACCGTATTTATTGTAACGTTCATAGTTTACTTCTTCGACTTTGTAGGAATCGAGGATTGGGAGGGTGTCAAATAGGACGTTGCGCAGGCCGAGACCACCATTTGCGATGGGGATTAGAAGCCATGCTGGGAGGACGCCGCCTGAAGGAATTTCTTCGGGAAAACGGGAGGTGATAAGGGATGTGATATAAGAAAGAACATCACCGTTGTGGGATGGGAAGAGTGAGAGGTGGATTTTGTTAACCGCGGAGATTATTTGTTCCACATGTTGTTTTCCAAATGCACGGGATGGCTTTGCGAAGTTTCGAATGAAGAATTTTAGGTAGCGGTTATAGGCTGTGATTATGCCCAAGATGGACTTTTGGGAGGAGAGTTGGAGGTGGAGTTCCGCTGTGTGTTTTTCAATTTCGTCTTCTTTGATGGTCCAGAGGCCGGAAGGATTGAGTTTAATAAAGCCCCAGGATATTTCGCCGGTTGGGAGAGTGGAAGTCGGTGGGGGCCCGGGTGCGGTGGGTTCTGATGAGGAGGTTGAGGATATGCGCACGCAACCGCTTTTCGACAGATTCCACTCGGTGCCAGTGAGGGCGGAGTATTCTTTTATGGTTGACCAGGCGGTTTCGCAGAGCTCTTCTGAGGTGGACCACCACCAGAAGTCGTCGTGCATCTATATTGTAGGGCTGGTCAGTTGGTGGCTTCAAGGGTTGATAGAGGGTTTATGAGGAGGGACTTACTCTGAATAGCTCTAGTTTCCCACCGGTAGCTCTGTTAATGGCAAATTCCATCAAGAATAGTTGGATTTCGCCGAATACCAAACCCAAAGGGTGGCTGATAGGTACGCCTCTCTTGGATTCCCTAACCTCCCCGCCTGGTTCGAACCTTGCTGGAAGTGTCAAGAAGGATTTGAAGAATTTCAGCCAGGGCTTGGTAACACCGATCAACTCCATCAACTTTAGAACGATCTCATGACTTTGACTCTGTGCGAATCTATACGCATCAACTTGAACGACAGTAAAGGGTTTCCCAGGATCAACTGCTTCAGCGTACTGTCTATCGATGAGTAATCGTTGAAGAAGCATTTGTTTTAGTTCTTCATTTCTAGCACGACGGATCTTTTCGTTATCTTTTTTGGTTTGGTCAGCTTCTTCGCCGTCTTCGTTGTAGGTACGAAAGTCATAGAGAGATTCGGGAAGGAGTGTTAGAAAGAACTCTTTCATAAAGGCCTTTTCGTTGAATGAGATGGAGTTTGGGGCTTTCTTTGGGTTTTCTTGGGGGAGGAGGGCTGTGCGAACTTCTTGCTGTTTTGGTTATTATTGTTAGAATGTGATTTATGTTAGACCCAAAGGGAGGCTTGAGAGACCTACGCGAGCTTCATCAATTGGATCTGTTGGGCGGAGCCAGGCTGGGCTGTTGTGAACTATTTGAAGGACCCTTCGAAGCTATCTTTGCTGTCAATTTTGATACCTTGTGTCAAGGAGAAGAAGCCGGAAGGACGAACCTCGATACCCCATTTAACCCCAATCCACTGTAAGAAGATAGCGTCAAGCAGAGATTCATCTGCATAGCATCTGTACTTCCCATTTAAATGTCTTCTGAAATTCAACTGGACGCTTTCATCACTGTACTTCCAATTTTCTATCTCTCTGAGCCTGAGGGTCAAGACCATTGCGATTTCATCGAGGATTACGGTGCTCAAGAGGATTTCTTTGCAGGCTGCCTTTTTGGCATCGGTTAGAAGTTCTCCGCTTACGAGACCGTGGATTGCTTGTTTTACATCGGTGGTGGACATCATCTCATGTTTACGGAAGGAGCCGGAGAAACGACCGATGGTGTTACGCAGTTTTTTAAGGCTTATTGTTTCGGCGAGCCAGCCTTCAAGGTATTCATCATCAGTGGCGGATGAAGCGGAAGAGGTACGGTCGTCGTTGTCTTCGTCGTCCTCATCGTCACCCTCATCGTCACCCTCATCTTCGTCATCATCACCATCGTTCAGTAGGCCTGCAGATGCCTTCTTTATCTTTTTCTTTGAATCTTCTTCAGCCTTCTTGAAGAGATCCTCAAGGTATTTGGCATATTCCTCCGGCCTGGCGTTTGGATCGGGAGCGAAGATGATACTTTCCAATTCAGCCTTTTGAGCGTACTTCTCAGGACGACCCATGCCATCTGAGGGGAGGTTCATAGTAGATTCATCATCTGACTTTGGAGTTTTAACACCGTCCTTTTCGTCATCTGGAACGTCGGCTTTCCCCTCAAAGTTCATCCATTCGTTGAAGATGGAGCCGAAGAGGGAGGTGTATTGGGCTTTACGGAGGTCTATATACCTATATTAGATATCCATCTATTATGTGGAATTTAAGGGTAAAAAAGAAACCAGACTTACGACGTCGAATTGATTCTTCGCCATCTATTCGCTGATGTTTGAAGACTTCGTCTGAGATGGTGGGATCATATTCCGACATGGCTAGGAGATCTAAGTTTATATTACTTTATTAGTACTATAGCACTACTTTATAATATGATATACATCAAGCTAGGTATCGCCAAGCATACATACCACTAGCACTTGCATTATATTCGAAGATACCTCCATAGCGGCTTGATTCCTTCTTCTTGCTCTCTTGGACGAGAATTTTTAACTTCTCTTTCTCGGATTGAGCGGCTTCTACGCGAGCAAGGATTGGGAGGAAGTGTTCTTCTAGATCCTTCTTTTTGGTGTACAGTTCCTTGAGCTTGACAGCTAAAGTTCATGAGGATACTTTAGTATAAGTATACTTGTGAGTATATATAGGGCTAAAGGAGGATGGGAATACCTGTCACCAGGTTTCTGGTATCAGCAATAGCATTGACGTCGGTTGAAGGTTTTGCGTTGTCCATGTTGAATATTATCTAGCTAGAAGCGTAGTAGTTACAATAAAGTGGACAATTGCTGCTCGATGAAATCAATATCGATAAAGAAGATAGAAGAAAACAAAAAGAGGGGGGACCAACAGCTGTTTAAATAGCTGAGAGGGCTATCAATGCTTCCCTTCAGCTCCTCACAGGAAAGCTAGCTACAGCTTGTTTGTTGAAGCTCCCAGAACCAAGAAAGGAAGATTAAGAAAGGATTACATAATTGTGAAAGACGGCACGTCCCAACAGCCAAACCCCGCACTAATCTTAGCTGCTGACTCAGAGATTAATGGGGGGGCGAACGTGTCGAGGGTTGCACTTTTGGCATTATGCAGTTCGCGACTTCCCGTGACTTTGTGATTTTGTTTGCATATGCTAACGTTAAGACGCCCCGGATTTCGGCTAGTGAGAATTCCCGCAAGGAACACATCTGTTGTATTTTATGAATCCATGCGTTCACTCAGGTTTGGGACTTCGATACATAGCGATAAGAATATGTATAACTAGCTATAGAAAAGTGACGTGACATCAATCTATAGATCCGTACAGTACAAGTTTAGATAATAGTATCGAATCTAGGCGCTTGAGGCGGGGTCTAAGGATTACCAGGCGCATAGCAATACACCCCAATCTATGCCCACTAAATTTGTGGCACATTATATGTAATACAGTTGAGGATGTAGCATGTATATAAACTCATCGAATAGTTAGCAGCTATTGTATATTTATGCAATATATGCAAAGCTTTAAAGGCGGCCAGCCAGTCTGTTGCAGTTTGTGCGGAGCCACGCTAAGCTTAAACCGGCAATCTTTGTTTTTGCCTAATTAAAAAAAAAAAAATTTAAAAAAAAAATTAAAAAAAAAAAACTCCCTTTGGTCGCAGGAAGAACCCATCAAACCCATCAAAACTTCACCTTTTCCATTCCATCGAGTGAACTTCAACTTCAGACACTCTTCACACATACACGTGCATAAACTAGTACTTAAGCACTTGATAGTACTGCCCTACACAATGGCAAATAAGAACAACATCAACCGCCCGTCCGCCTCGAAACCCAAAGCCCGTCCCAAAACAAAACCATCCCACACCCTCCGTCGAATCTCCAAAACAAACTCCACAGCAAACCACCAATTATCCTCCAAAAAATCCAGAAAGTTATTAAGGAATAAAGCATACACTGCTACTAGAATTATTGAGGAGGTTGGAAAGGAAGGAGGTGATGTTCTGATGAGAGGTACTTATTTATACCCCTCCTACGACCTTTGTATTGGCAGAATAGCGGCAGCAGATGCTGATTTTAGCGTTGGCAGACGAAACATTATCCAGAAAGAAGGAAAAAATGTTGAAGAATTTGGCTGCGAACCAGGAAGTTAAGGAGCAGAAAGAGGCCGTGATGGATGTTGATGTGGATGAGGCTGTCGCTGAGGATTTGTGAGGGATGAAGGAATGGTACATGAGACTATTCTGGGGATAATGGTGATGGTTGGGTGATTGGCGGCCTGAGGTGTACACTTATCCAGGTGTATATAGGAATATACTTAAATCTATCACGATAGTGGTAAGTCCGCCCACAAGCACTCTCACGGTTGTTTTACCCGCGTTACGATCGAGTTGAAGGGACGGAAATAATGGTATTTGCCGGCTAGTAGATGTAATATCTGAATGAGCGGCGAGAAGATATGTTACAATACAAGACACCATCTTGCACCCCCCGGTGACTGAAACAAAGAAAGAACGGAACGCCAACAGAAAGGAAAGTCAGGCGCAGGAAAACAAATAAGCGTATACACCGCCCCGGTAATAACTGAATTTGAAGCTAGGAGGGATTCGAAACGTGGTAGAATGAAGCCCACTTCCATGCGCCGCAACGGAAACCATAGAAGATCTAGGCATATGAAGCCTTGATCGAACTTGACCAACCATACAATAGACATTACCAATCAATTAATCAATCCATCGATTAGAATCTCAAACTACTTCATTCCCCATGATGCATCGATGATATTTTTTTGGTCTTTCCACATCGATAATACTTTAATAATAAAAAAGAATACTCCAATTAATTTCTCAATGCCGGAGAAACCATAAGAAAGACGAGCTTGACAAAAACACGCCCGTTGTAATAATCCAGGTTTTTCTTGTATCGCTTTTTGCCCAATAATCAAGGAATGACTGAGTACCAAAATAAATAAAAAGAAAAGATATCACTTTCGCTCGCAATTAATTCTTTGTTCGAGAACGAGGGGTATCATAGCTCCGGCTTGACGACTGGCATCGGCGAAGGGTTAGGATCAACGACCGAGGATGCCGGATCAACAATCAAGCCGGTCTGCTGCTGCCCAGCAGCTATCGCCGCGATTCTACCGATCTTCCCTATAAGATGGTACATTAATAGTGTGGTTCTATTGTACACAAAAACACTAATCAGCATTTAGCTCGGCATATTTCCGTCTCAAATATGACAGATGAAATTAGAAAGAGAAAGTGAGTGAGATCCTTACCCTGGCACCACAAACATCTTGGGAACTTCAAGCCAATTCCGTAGCTTTACAGTTGTCTCGACTACATTACCCTTCGCAGTTGGCGTTGTGCCAACTTTCTCGCCGGGGTTAATCATCCCACCATTACTCAACACTTCGACTTCCTCGTCGTCGCCGGGTAGACGGCCAGTCTGCATATATGTCTCCATCATCTCGTCCTTCTCGGTCCAACGGTCGCGCATCCATTGCTCGAATTCCTTCGTATCGTTATAGGGTATCTCGGATATACGGAACCGACGAAAATGCAGGTTAACGGATTTCGGAGGGCGGCCTTGGAGGTATTGAGCCCGAAGAGTAAATATGTCTTGGCCGTATTTGTCACGGCTAGAAGTGGGTTAGTTACTGGTGGGGCCGGGAATAAATTTGTGGGGTTTGTATGCAGGGCGGGACGTACGGAATGCCTTCGTAGGCCATCGTGCAGTCGTATACCCACTCAACAGATTCATCCAGCTGTTGAAGGCAATATTGAAGGCCGGTTACGCGAGGAAGGAGAACATGGTCAGGGTTTCTCTGCATAAGAACAAGCAAAATAAGGCAGAATGTTAACATAGAGCGTATCATAGCAATAGTCTAGGAATATCCAGACACTCTAGTGGGGTTAACTTACGAGTCCCATCTTGTCAGCAAACTTCTTGCTTGAGACTCGAGCGTTCGGGCACATATTGGTTCCTTCGGGAAAGATTAGTAGCCACATCGGCGGTCTATCCTGAGGTTTCCGATCCTTTGCCGCGATTTTCTCGAGCCGGTGCTTGAAACGTTGCTGGTCCTTTGCCCAATTCCGAGCCAAGAAGATGAAGCCGTACATCTGCATACCCCACCCTACTATGGGGACCCATTTAAGAGATTCTTTGAGGATGATATATACGGCGCCATGCATACGGGCTGCATAGGCGATCCACCAGATATAAAGCCAATCCGAATACAACTGATGGTTGGCGATGAAGACCATGCGCTCAGGGAAGTCGCATTCGAGAAGACCGTCGTCGGTGATGCGTATCTGGCCCCGAACAGACTTGTCGCCGCTGATTCTGATAGTTGTCGGAGTCCACCATTGTGTACCAGTCGTGACGAAAGTGCCGAAAGATTGTTTTGTGAGGGAAATATATGTGTAGAACCAGTCCTTGTTGTAGAAGTACAAGGGAGCTCCGATGAACTGAGTCGCTACGATTCTGTGCCATTTATCCATCCATGATATCATCATCATGGCCATCACATGTCAGTCACTATTTTAAGAAACAACCCCCATCGCCACGACTAACGATCTCGATTAAATGTTTCAGATCATAAAGAGGGTACATACGCGATACTACCGGCGGAAAAGTAGAGAATGAACAGTATCAACCGGACTGCCTGTAGGAAGCCTCCGTATCGGACCTTGCCGGCGAGGTGCGTGTCGGACATAGCGATGGTGTTCTTGTATATAGACGCAGTTAGTTGTAGGATGTGAGAGAGAGAAATAGAGGGAGCGAATGAGAGAGAGAAAGACGGAGGAGGGCGATGTTGTTGTAGAGGAAAGATGGGATGAAGTCAGAACGTGGGGAAGACGACGGGCTTTGATGGGCTACGGAAGAAGGGCCATCACAGAAACTCGGGATCAGCTGCGTTGCGGTCTCGATCAGCTGAGCTAAATGGAATGTCGCGAAAAATAAGAGAATATTTATAAGAATGTTGAATGTTGTGGTGGTGACTGGCGGGCTGACTGGCCTGCTAGGGCCGATGACTGCTGAGTCGGGTCACAACGGAGTCGATCGCTGTCTCGGTCTCGTGAGCTTTTCCGCGCCGAACGAAAGAAGCTCATTGCTGGTTACTTGGCTGCTGGCTTGTACTTGGTCTCCTAGCGACCTCTTCGCAGCTAGCTCGGTGGCTTTGTAGCTACAAACCCAGTTAACAGTTTGCTGGTGGAATGTGGGTAGCATATTTGACATGTGCATGATCAGAGCTCTTATCGATAAGAACCTCCCTCACCTGGGTAACTAACTACAAACCACCACCAATTCAACCAGCCAACCAGACAACCACATGCAAATTGTAAAACACCATGCCTGGTATGTCCTCTGCCGCCAATCCTAACATTTTGTATACTATTTTAAGACTTCAATGTCCCCCATTGACGATGTGTATCATATATTCTAGAGCCGTACCAGAACTCCGATCAAAACTCTTTCGCTTTCACTTCGGCCACCAAGCGATGGCCTATTATCCTCGTACGTAACCTACTACGAATCCCATCCCACCCATGCCCATCCCACTATATCCGAGGCTCGGTCCCCTTTCAATTAACCATCATCGCAGACGCAAGCCATCGACGCGGTTTTCCGCGCCATCCCCGGTCCGAGCGATGAGGTAAAAACCAAGGAGGGTCGCAAAATCGTCGAGGATCTTGCAAAACTCAAATATGAGCTCCAGCATAATCGCGTTCTGCCGTACGTGTCCACTCCTCATACGCTGGAACGACGGAATCGCTAACATCCGAGATACAAATGACAGACCTCTTCGGGATGATGGATTACCGGATATTGCTCACTATAATGATGCTTTAGTCGCATTGGGCGAACCGAAATGGATGGATGCTTCCTGGCTCTTCTCTGAATGTTATCTTTATAGAAGGATAGCCACCTATTTCACGACAACCACAAAGTGGAATACCTTTGATGTCTTTTTGTCCTCAAAGCTCACTACTCTTCGTTCTTCCCTTCCTGCGATTCTGGAACTCGCACATCGGTATTCTTCTGTCACCTTGCCATCGACATTCACAGATGAGGCATCTTCGCTTCTCTTTCATGAAATATTCCTAATATGCCTCTGGGGTAATGCGACCGACTTGTCTCTTCTCACAACGCTCAGCTACGATGAAATCCAATCCTTGCAAGGATCACATGCCAGGAAAGAATCCGAGAAGAACATCCTAGCGAATGACCTCGATGAAATTTATACCCTCCTCACCTCTCTCAAAGCGTCCGGCCAGCAAGAAATAAGGGTTGATATTGTTTTGGATAACTCCGGCTTCGAATTATTTGTGGATTTGTATCTAGCAGGGTATCTACTTTCGCAAGGTCTGGCCACGAATATCGTCCTGCACCCTAAGAACCATCCATGGTTCGTCAGCGATGTCTTGCCATCGGATTTCGCGATCCTGTTAAATGCTCTTCAGGACCCAGTCGACTTTTTCATTACAAGGAACGAAAGCGAACATGAGATCAAGCATGATCTAAGAACGGAAGATACAGAGACCATTAAGGGTCTCTTTGCAAGCCTAGCGACTTTCCACGCCGAAGGGAAGCTTAGCATCAGAACGAATAAGTACTGGACATTACAGGACCCATTCTGGACCCTTCCCGAGCAGGGTGAGCTGTGGGAAGATCTGAAGAGCTCCGAGTTAGTGATTTACAAGGGCGATTTAAATTATAGAAAACTTACCGGTGACGTATGAAACCTCCCATCCAATCTTATATCGAGATGAGACGGGCTGACAATTGTGATCAGGTGGCATGGCCCCCAACCACTCCGTTCGACAAGGCGATCCAGACTCTTGGAAAGGAAAGCGGTTGCAGAACCCTGACATTGCGGACGTGCAAAGCTGATGTCGTTGTCGGCTTAGACGAGGGAGTCGATGAGAAGCTGAGACAAGAAGACAAAGATAATGCCAATGATCAAGCGAAGAGGTCATGGGGGTGGGGCGGCAAATATGCCGTCATACAGTTCTGCGACGGGAAGGCATAATGCAAGGTGGGGCAGGGTTCTCGAGTCAGGATAAACGGCATTATAGATATGACGCTTGCGCATGATAGATTTATAGACAGCTCCCGCAGTAGGAATAATTTAGACCTAGACCCCCTCCTTGAAACCTTTCGCTTTGTTCGGTGGCGTTTTTAAAGGATTGCACATGATGGATTATCACTCCGTATCATTAATACTTTAAACTTATTCTTGATTTTTAAGCGCTTGTGGATCGCTTTAGTACGAAAGAGTACCCCGCTATCGACTTTATCCCTCCCGTTTATCGATTAGGCTTTGGGATTTTATTTTTTGATCGGTCATAAAATTGTATAAATCAGATGGCTGGTTGTCCTGAAGCGTCAATGGCATGCTTGGCTGATAAAGCCCATTCTGAATACATACATGCGAGATATCTATCCGCTTGGAATCGATCTTCGGCTCGCATGCTTGGGGTCGAGGCTCTGAATGTTCTCGGACCGCGAACCATGTCCTTGGGTTTAAATTCTACCTGCGGCGAGGTATATAGGGCTAGGGTTCTTTGTGGTCGCGGCATCGATGCATACTGGTGATTTCGATGTTTATAATCCGTTAGAGTGCGATTGAGCGATTTGAGGTTTTCGCGATGCGATGAAATCACACAATTACGATTGCTTTACGTTATTGAATTGTATGATCCTAGAAAATGTTACCGGGTCTCAGACGTGATCGTAGACAATTAACCTAGTCACCGGTAAACTAATACCGGGATTCAGGAATTCATATAATTACATCGACCTGACAGAACAGTATAAAAATGCACAATCCTAAAAATTCATATTACCATACCTTAGACAGTATACAAACCACTTCCCGAGTACTAGGGCCCTTGGAGTAATATCAATCGAATCCAGGTATCCATGATACCAGTCGATATCAAATTCACCGTCTAACTACCCTAGTTGGCTTCCTGGATGTTAGACTGAATCGTGTCTATAAAACTTAGAGTAAAGTCCCCGAGCATACCGAGGGACGGAATCTCTCTAGTCATCTACCAGAACTGCCCAACGAAAGCGCCTTCGGATTCAGAAAGTATGTTGCAAAATTTAAGAGAAGTTGATGTGTTATAAACTCCGTGCCGTGTCGACGTCGATTGTCGACCTCCGCAGTGCAGGGTTCCAGCCGACGGCATCAACTTTTTTTTCACAGCCGCCCAGCCAAGAGATGCCGTTTTGTCGAGTCAAAAAAGGAAAAACGTAAATTTTCCTTCCCCGTATATTCTCTACGGAAAGACGGCATGAGAGATGTTGCGCACGCGGGGTTTTTGTGCGTGGCCCCCTGCCCCCAAACCGATAGAACTGAACCTAGACACAAAGTTTTCTTTTCGGAATTATATTCACGCGAGCGAGCTCAGAGGGCTGCCTATTCATATCCACAATTGCACAAACAGAGTAACGTATCACCACAACTAGCTTCAACAGGAGAAATAAGGCAAATAGACCACGAAAGGCGAATAAAATATACCAGCCTTACCGGAAATATATAATTTTTACTGTTCGTAATTCTTTACACCCGATTCGTAAAAACGTCCGGCTTGGAGGACTGGGTTTTCGTTCATACGTGCTGGAAAATTTTGATATGTGGTTACGCAGCGTCGCTTGGAGGAAGTTGGTGAGTTGCAGTGCAGAACATTGATTAATCTGCATCACTTGATAAAGCGCCAGATTGTTGGATTCTTGCTTGGGATGCTAGTACTGTGCTCTCTTCGGTTTGTGGCTGAGATACTACAGAAACGAAATTTGAATGTTCATAGGTTGTCCGTAATTTCGTGGTAAAGCGCATAAGTCCGTCGTGCACTCTGTGTATATCCAATGGATAAGGGACAGTAGACGCCCTTGTATACGTATGTGATTCCGATATTTAAATTTCTTCAATTTTTTTTTACGGCTGAAAACATCGATGCATATTGTGTTCGACGAAGGAGTCGGGTTTTGGGTGCTCTGTGTGACTCTGGGGTCTGGCGTGCATTATGTTGTGATACAGGGAAACTAGGATTTGAACGGATATAAAGACGCATGGGGAACCGTTGCAATCAGTGATCACGACTTTTTATAGTATAGACGGCTTACATAGTACATAGTACAGCAGGAAATTTTGTAGGGGTTTGCTGCATGATATCACATATGAAAGGGTTTTCAGTCCTTGGAACTCACTGGAAGGTATTTCCTTATAAGGCTTGTCAGAACGGTTACAAAAATGAGAGAATAGATATGTTCTATAAACGATATAGTTGGCTGGTACGGAAGACTTTTAAGGCCCTGGTAAGTAGTTTAGGAGTATTCATGGTTACGTGGATCGTATCCTAGGGTCCCGTAGAGGATGTTTTTTTATGCAGCTTCCTATCTTCCCGGGCAGGGGAGGGTCTTGTGCCCTGTGGTGAAACTAGAATGTTGGGCCTTGCCTTGTAGGAAAGGATCTCGTGATTTTTAGTTAGGGCCCGTCGTGGGGCTTGTTAGGTTACTTCGACTATGCTATACAGGTTGTCTAATGACGATACCGAGACATATCATGCTGGTCGATTGCGCTGGGTCTTTCCGCTGGTATATAGTAGGCAATATATGCAGATGAGCTGTATGTAAGATCTTGAGCCGGCCGGGGTTAGGTCCGGTTTGTCTTAGAATGCATAAACAGACCAAGATATGGGTTAACTAGTTGAGAATCGAAACAATCTGCAGGTTCGACGGGAAGTTGTGAGACGAAATTTTAGTAGATTGACTCTCGTTAAGAAGTGTTTCCGTTTATCAATCATATGAGGCTGTCATGAACTTTTACATAGTAAAATTTTATTTGCCTCGAGATGACCTTTTCGATATTTCCCGATCCTTGCTGAGTGTTTTGAGCATTGACATCGAATGATGATACCGAAATTGCGTTAACTTCCTCGTTTACATTGACCGACCGAGCTTCTTCTTCTTGAGATTAAATGATAAATATAGAAATCCCAAGATTTTTTTTTTAGTTTAGTTGTTTAATTTTGACGTCAAAGATTAACTAGGAAGGTTATTAATTGCCAATTGACAGGGCCTAGGGCTGCTTATGTTTTGGCTGCGGTCGGAATGTTTTTGGTGGCCCGGCTGCTGTTTTGGGGAAGTCTCTGGATAAACAGGTTTATCGAATTTCGGGGTTTCACGCGTTGCGGCCATATTAATGTTGGCGAGATGGGAGTTATAATATGCATCTGGCAATAGATGGTCCCTGCATGGGTTTGGCATGGTTTTGGCATTTCAGGCGCCGGTGGGCATATTGGAGCGTGAAATGCGAGCACTTCGGATTCAGTGACCCGAAAGCCTTTGAGAAGTTGGGCCTTTGGGACACGTCGATCTTGGGTAACTTTTGACGAAAGTTTTTCTGAATCACTCCTTTCGCGAATACGCTCGAATCTCTCCGTTCACCTTCTTCAATACGACACTGAGAGGCGAGAGTGAGAGAGAGAAACTTGGAAGCTGGTTTCTCTCTTCTTCCTCTCTCTACCTCACCGTGGTACGGCAGTATCCATAGGGTTCTTCCGATCGAATGGAATCATCGACTGCAGGCGGATGAGGATCCGCAGCCGAGGAACCCACTTTTTTGAAGTACTGGCGTGCCCATAGGTAGGCCAATGGATGGCTCGAAGCTTGAAAACCTGAGAGGGCTCTATTAGGTCAGATCGAACCCCTGTCGATTTTTTTCTCTCTCTCCTCTCTTGCAAACACGGCTCTAACATACACAAACATTGGTTCTTGCGGCGGCTGAAGGTTAATAAAATAACGAAAATACGCAAGCACCATTTCCTTTGTGGTAAGCCATTCATTCGCTCTCGCTTTGGTTGCATGGAGGCTGCAACGAGATAGACTTTTGAAGATGATATTACTGGTCGTGTCAGGATGGATCTTGTGAAATGAGGAAATACATTAGAGTAGCGCTTCGGTGCCACGACTAGTACTACCATTACATCAAGAGCAAACCTTAGCAATGCCGATCAATCAGGGACGCTGGGTTCCTGCAATCACATACTCCGTATACCGGTATAAATTCCCGGGGTCTACGGGGCTATGCCGATTAATATATCTTAGACCACCCCCCGAACATCGATTCGAGGCTTGAACTTGAGGTTTCCGAAATTTCGCTGATAGCTGTAGGAGGATTAGCTGCAGGCCGTGATCTGACCCGACCCGATCCAGTCACCGAAAATTTAGTAGAAGGGTCCTAGTTTTCGTTAATCTATCATCGGCGATGTAAGAAAAAGCCATTTTAAACGAAATATCAATTTAAACATGCAGTGCATTATCTGTATTCCGTGTGTATGGGTGCCTCCACGTTCTCCTTCTCCCCCAAGGGTTGATGCTTTTGGGTTTCCTAGCGCAGCAGGCTGGGGGTTTCCCTCCGCGAATGTCCTCAGGAAGGCGCTTATCACTGATCACGGACCACCCCACGGAAAACGTGATTCCACTTTTCCACAGCTGCCCTTTTCCTAAGTTGGCATTTCACTTAACGGGCGATTTCGTAAACTTAACACTCCCCACGAAAGAGCGGACGCGGGGGTCGTCTGATCAAGGCGTTTTTTTTCTCTTTCTGTGAGGTTGGAACCGTGCAGAGAGCCTTTTTGATGCTCATGCTCCTGAAGTCAGTGCATGTGTCGTTCCAGGGGAGGTAAGCGTTAGCGAAAGCTCGTGAAGTCAAGTTCTGTCATGGCGACTTTGTGGGGTTTCGGTGCTGGGCTAGGACATGGCTTACGATAACGAATATCCGGCAACTTTCACTCAATTGCTCAATTGATCAAGGGCGAGGATGATAGTATCTCAATTTCATGAACTCTCCAAAGACTATTTTGTTATCTAGCCCCTTATTGATGGTAACTGAAGATCTTAAGAGAAGTTGACACAGCATCATCATCGCAACTTGCCCTGTCCATGTCAAGCTTTTTGTGATGCCAAGATTGGTTCGAACAATGCAAGGAACCCGGCTCGTGATTTTCATTGCACACGAGCAGTAAATGCAAAAGGTGCTAGTCTTCTGGTGTCATCCTGACGCCTCTGGTTAGACCGAGCGAATTGCCGCTTAAGCTAATTGAACCTAAACGGGACTTTTGCCAAAGGCCTCTGGTGAGCCGTTTCTGTTGATACAACGAATGTGGATCCACGGAGACGAGGCAGCACGGGAAGGGGTCAAGGCCGAAACGAGGTCCCCAAAGAAGTTTCTGAGAACTGGGATCGAACCCGTTTGTGAAAGAGACATTTTTGAGAGGAGTCTTACATTAGCGTAGCCTTATGGATGACCCTTGTGAGGCAATGTGGAGAGAGAGGCCTTTTTTCTCTTGTGAAGTGATTCGTATATTGGTGGGTTTGTGTTTGAGATTCGGAAAAAGAGCGGCTTGATCGTGCTGTAGAGGCACGGTTCAAATCACGGGATCTGAAGGATGGGAGAGGAGAGCTCATAGAGCGGTTAATCATGCATCTTCGTTGGAATGTGATCGGAATCAGTTCACATGAATTTGAAATTAAGCATTCCTCGTCTATTCGCTTCCTGGATAAAATCTAGAACTCATGAGGGTTTGCAATTCTGAGGGTCCCTATATCACAATGGTTTTATACTGCGAAGCTTCCCCATGATTGGGTATAAAAGGCTTGTGACAAGACGGAACGAATAAAATAGCTCCAATCGGATCAGTTCTTATATCTTTCGGCTAGCAAAAAATGTAAAGTCCCGCTGGGAGATATATATGTTCTGGGGAAGAATTGGGTTCGTGCCTTAGGGCAGATCGAGTCAAAGCAGAAGCCCCGCGTTTCAGCATTGAAGTCAACCCGACAGGTTGTATGCACGTCGAGCGTACAGAGTACCCGTACATCCAGCTGGCCAGACTGTATTTTCCCGCAAACCGAGTGAGTCGACGCGACATGAGTTAGCGCTGGCTATTAGGATCAGATGAAATTGGGATCACGAGTTCACATCTAAAATTTCAGTATTTCAAAACAGATCTTGCATGTTGTAATGCAACATTGTGTTGATTGATGAGCGCCTGGTTTTGGGGAGTTTCGATATGACATGAGATCTCTTAATCTCCTCAGGCTCTCAAATCTCTTGTCTCAAGTATATATAGGCTAATAAAGTTCGCCATCTGCCTTGCGAATATTTGTTCGAGAGTATGTACTTGCAGCCGTCCTTTTGCCCAGGTTCGAATATCTCGGTTGGACGCGATTCAAAAAAAAAAAAAAAAAATCGGGTTAAACCCCCCAATACAACATTGGAAAGTTAGCACTTACTGATTTGTGCTACGATAGCGTTTGTTCAAATCGTCTATATAAGAATAAGAATAGCTCCGAAGTTGTTGCATAGTGTAACTTCGTCGGATTTGGATTGCCGTTTAATTTTCGTATGTGGCACGGTGAACGGTCGTCAATATCGTTTGCAGTGCTTCGGGTCCCACCGACCTTAATAATGCATGATTGACCCAACAAACATAATATAGCTTGTATACGATATGACTCCCCCGAGTTGGTCTCGATGCTAGCAGCGATTCCCTAGAACCTGTATCGTTGAATTCAAAAGTCACGCATTGACGTGGATAGAAAAGTGGATCAATAAAAAAAAAAATTTCAGATTTTTATGGAGCCCCAACAGTTAGGATATGCAAGTTGAGGCGGTTTTTTTGGGTGACAAGGTGGACGTCGTCACCGTGCTGCTCCCCAGAAAATGGGATTTGTGAAGCGAGTTTCAAATGCATTGTGCCTGAGCCTGCGGCGGATTAAAAAGGGGACAAGGTTCAGGGGCCCGGCATTCTCGAAGGAGTACCGAGCCGAGGGTAAAGGGAGGTTCGCCCCATGTCAACTGTGCTTCGTCTTCGGGTTCTGCCAGTAGGATGGCTGCCTTTCACCCCTCATGTTGACTTTTCAAGGTCGGAATTGTGCAGTAAGGTGACTAGTGTTTGAGTAACTCCAACGACCATCACCTGTAAGTTTTGCGTAATGTAGGAGATTTTTTCTCACCGTTTTTGAGGTGTCTGTGCTTGTTGCCCTATAAGTGGAAGACAAGCACTTTTCGTGAAAATCCCGGACTCTGAAAGTTCTGCTTGGTTTTTTGATTCTTAAAATACACGTTTTTTGTCTTTTTTTTCGTTCGTTGCAGGATTCTACGACATTTATACTTCCCCGGATTCAATTCATCGCTACTTACGCTACAAGTCTGGAGCTAGACTCGACCTTTTCTCTGAAACCGCTGACGTCCGACTATTCGAACTGTGTGACCGAATTCCAAACTAGCGCTCACCTATAGGCTCGGATTCTAAACCTGCAGGCGACAGAAGCTTCGAAACGCACAGATTAAGCGACACTACCTGCAAGCTAAACAGGACGACTGTGTTCCCCGTTATCAGTAGGCTCGTCAGTAAATCAGGTACTGGTTGTTAGTAACAAATCTCTATTTGATGCTAGCAGACAGACCGTCTGATAGACTGATACCAAACCCAACGCTATCTTTGGATCTAGATCGCCGACCAGTTGCATCAAGCACTTGCCTTTTAAATCCAATCGAAGATAACGGACGGCTCCAAAAAAAAAAAAACGTGGGAGCCATATGCAATTGGTGGCTATCCCACTTGCCGGAATCGAATCCTGAAATTCGGTATCGCAGGAGGGGGACAAGGTCAGAACGAGAAATCGGTAGCTGGATGAATTTTGAATCTTCTGGAGTCCAAGGATTTTCTTTTTTTTTTTTCGTTCGCTCGCTTTCCTCTTTCTTTGCAGTCTGGACAACGTTGATACAGTTCTTGAAGAGATAATAACTCAGTTAAGCGGGGGTCCTGGATAAATCGAAGCTTACCACAATCTTCCCAGTAAGTTGGGTATCTGGGGTGAGAAGTTGTAAACGTAAGAGACCCTTGAGGATAGAATGAGGAAGATAGATGCATGTATGGATTATGCACAGAACTGCCGTTCGCTGACTTGACGCTTAGTTGACAGGCTGTATTTATTATTTCCATTCAATCGCCACCGGATGGTGATTTTGGAAGCCCCGAATACAGGATACACACCCAAGATATATAGTCCTGCCTGTCCAGTTACGCAATTCCAACCTGTCTCAGTATAAAGACAGGAAGCTTCTTTCACGTTGACATTGTCGCCTGCCAACTACGGTAGAGTCTTTCCCAAATTCCACTCTGAACCAGGTCAGCTTCATCGCAACGCAATTCAAAAAAGTTTTCCGGCCGCAGAGAGGCTTTTGGTCTGGAAATAGATTTCCCACTCTTTGAGAACCGGACTGCTCAGAACTTTCGAGAAGGGACACCCCGGTCTGGCCATCTTGGACGCCACTAATTGTTGGAACACATTTTCCCGGTGCTGCCTCAAGCAACGCGTGTCTCCTTTGTAATATACTTCTGATTTCTGTACTATGTAAGTGAAGTTTTCAATCTTGACTTTTGATGACGAACCTTTTTTTTTTTTGTTTCCTCCCTGGCTATGAAAGTATTGCAATTCGAAGAGCTGGTATATTTGTTACGAGGGTTGTCTTTTCTGAAGGTGCCAGTTTCGTGGATCACACAAGTGATCACCACATTTTTCTTTTTGACCAATGCAAAGGAACACCCGGGTGGGATATGCCGCCTTTGCTTTTCCTTTGGAATGAGTTTTTCCTTTCCTCCCTGCCGCCGGGGACGGCAGGGCTCATGCAGTTTTGCTTTTTTATCCTTGTGGTTGTTCCCGAGGGACAGGTTTACTAACTTGGCTTAGAGCCCAGGATATTTACGGTGCAAAGCAACCAGGGTCTTTGAACAAGGACCAGGGCAAACAGCCTGGGCTAAGAAAAACGAACGTGTGCTCGTTGCACGACCAAATTCGAACAGGCACCTCCCTAACCAGAATTAAAGGGCTGTCGTTCAGGAAGAGCCTTTGGGCTACAACACTAGCGGAGTGGTGGAGAAAAAATACTCCCACACCGCGCTGGGTTAGAATATATAATAACAATGCTGTCCAAGATAAAAGAGGCTGGCCGCCAGGTAGCACGCAGCAATAGCGTCTCAAACGACTCTCGTCCAGGAAATTTAGAATCCCAATATTATACATCTCATATAGCGGACAAACGTCGGTATAGTGCGGCAGTCACGGACGCTCTTCGAAGCTTGCAACATTCACCAGTACCTTCGAAAGCGAAGATGGATAAACGACCACCGTTGAGGAAGAGAGGGTCGTCGTTGTTCAACAAGATGACTTCACAAGAGACATATGAGTCGCTTGTGCCAAGGTCGACATCATCAAGTCGTTTAAGTGAAAGGACTATCACAGACAATCGAGACTCGACGGGGTTATCGTCGTTATCAACCAGAATTAAAGCTCATCGAATGCGAAAAAACTCGCAGCTTAGTCTGAGCCTTGGGCCTCTCGAAGAACATGAGATCCGACAACCGGGCAGCCAACCTCGCGCCCCTCCTAAGTTACTTCGCACACATAGCGTGCCAGACTTATTAAGCAGAAGCCAAGGTGAGTTGCAGTTACATGAAAGTTCAATTGGGATTTTGGGCTAACCTGTCCGAAGCAATGAGCCCTGACTCTAGAAAATTCTGCAATGGCAAGCCGATCAGCAATCCCTTCAACTTCCGACACCTTTCCCACATGGAAACCAGACAGACCGCTCAATTCGAAGATACACCCGAGGATGTTCTTCCGATACAATGGAATTCTATGGTTAGGGAATCTAGGGCACCAAGGACTCCAGTTGTCCCATTGACACCGTTGACAGCAAGGGGTGTAAGACATATGCAGAGCTTAAGCGGATCTCTCCGAACAAGTGGGCTGCCAATGCCATCCCCTTCGATTGATAGTGTCTATTCCCCTGTCGAGTCTATTGCGGATCTTAGTATGGAGTCCAAGTCGGCTGAAAGCTTAAATAATTCATTCCCCTCATACCTAGCTCCGCCCCCGCGAAGTTCCTCGCGAACGGCATTTACCGGTCCTTTGCCTTCTATAGACGATGATATCCCTATCCTTGAAAGTGAAGGCCGGGATTCAGTCATCTTCCTTCAAGATGATCTTGCAGTTTTATCAAGGACAGTGGGTTCAATTCCCGAGGAGTCTAGTTTGCTAGATCAAGAGGTTGAGGACGACGTGCTCGGTGCCTTTCCATCACCACCCATCACATCTTCGAAAGTTCTTTCACTTAAAACAGTGGGACTTCAGCCAAACATTGTTATCAACAATCACTTACTCCCACCCCTATCTCCACTACGCCCATCAAGCTCAAGCTCGGGTACACTGGGGTTTGGAGCAGCAGGAGATGCGGATGCCCCAAAAGAACAAACAGCACCTAAGAGATCGTCGAAGAGGATGTCTAAGCGACTAAGTCGGCGTGTCTCGATTCTCGGTGATGCTCAGGCAGAAATCCAAAGCTGGGAAGCCGATATTGACTGGACGTATGATAATAATGGGTTTGATGAATGGGTCGACGATCTTGAAGGCATCGAGGAAGAGGAAGAGGCGGATAACAATTTGGGCAGCAAGTCGGCCCCAGTCTCTGCATCACCCTCTACCGTCAACCTTGCCAGCTTGGCGGCGAAGAGACATTCCGATGAAGGAAAGTCTTTCCTCGCTGCTCCGGAGGAGGAAGCTACCCCACGCTCTCCTGAGATTGGCATCGCAGATGGTGGATTCGGCATATTTGACCATGCCGACCGCCAATACAATGCTTTCGGCCACCAGCGCCAACTCTCAAAAACTCGCAACGGAGCTAGTCATAGCAGGACCCTTTCAACTTGCGCAAGCTTGCCCAATCTTAAGGCTGGTAGGAAACACTATCGCAATTCGTCGCTTCGTGGTTTCTCGAATCTTGATAACGGTATCGTTACGCTTGATGAGGAGGACGAAATCCAACACCCATCTTTCCAGCGGATGCATTCTGCCCCACCACGTGAGGTTGCAATCCCTCCCGCACGTTATAGCGGACGTTCACGTGCCGCCTCGAATGCAACATGTACAACACTTGTTTCAGACATTGAAGGATATCCTTCAGATCTTTCGGAAATGGCATCTACGCCTTCTCACTCTAGCCACAATTCTACAGAGGGTCCTTATTTCCTTTCGCAAACTCAAGATGGCCTATTCTTTGACCTTAAGACCCAGCTTGGGTCTGGTGTCCATATTGTCAACGATGAGGTACCATTCAACTTCTTCTAAATATTCCAAGTATCCGCACTCGCTTACAGTCTGTCTCTCGCTCAATTGTCTTGTTTCCTATATTTTCTTTTGTTACTACGGTTTGATTTGCATGCATAACTCGGCTTTTTGCTTCTTGGGATACCACTACATTGGGCTTATTGGGCGTTCCCCGGTGTTCATATTTTGGAGGCTTTCTGTATAGTTCTTAGATATTTTTTTTTTTTGATTTTTGATTTTTGATTTTTGATTTTTTTCCTTGACATATACATTGCGGTGGCATTTCTTTGGGTTTTCGGACTGCGTGGGGGCTTAATCAACATACAAAAGTTCTTTTCTTTCTCATTCGCTCCACCAGAAAAAAAAAAAAAGTGTACCATCATATCAACTTATCCTCTCTGGTTCAGTCTTGATGACCCTGACGATCAATTGCTTCCTTTTCTTTTGTTTCACAGGTACCTATCGGACTCCAAAATTTCCTTACTTCTCTGTCGTTCATTATCCGATTTCCTTACATAGTTTTGTACAAGATAATTTTCTTTGTTAGCCTGTACTTGCGCGCAATTGCGTCGTCGCTTGTGTACAATATTTAGTTGAATCGAAATGTGGGAGACTCAGCATTCCCCTTCAACCATATTCTTTTGGCCCAGTAAAAAACATGACAACTGCCTCGGTGGTGTAGTGACGGTAGGTGTCACTGGTCCGCTGTCCCGTCTGTGCATTTTCGTGCATTAGTCCGCTGCTGATGTTGGGAGAAGAAGGGTGGGCCCTTGCACGGGACTGTTCCAGAGGCGCTAAAAGCTCGACAACGGTTCGCCGTTCTCAACGACCTTTTTCGGAAGCCATTACACCCGCTTAAGCTTTGAAACACTCTGCCGAACACCAACCACTATCTCGGGCTTCAGTGAAAGTATTATGAAGCCCGTCCCACTGAAAAGTTGTATTTGATAGCGATATTCGCCTATCGCGATCGCTCGGTATCGCAGGCCTCAATTGAAGGTGTATCTATAGGTTCATGTCTTATAACAAGCAGCATATTAAGTTTACAACCATATAACGTTAGCCACGCTCGCCTACAACCGAGACTTCGCATCATGCCATCAATGCATATGCATTTCCTATATATGGCTTCAGACAAAGACTCCTTCTTCTTTTCCTTGATTTTTTTTTCTTCTCTCTTTCTCAAAAAAAAGGCCCTGCAAACCCTTTTATCCAGGTCTGTTTGATTTGCGAGGAGATTGGGCGGGGCTGAAATACACATGCATTCTGTAAATTGGCACCCCGCGTTCAAGACCAAATTACAACCCAGGATCGAGCATGACTGGTTACGAGATACCGACATGGTGCCCATGAAGGGTCCGACAAGCAGGCTCCGGCTGTGATATCGGACCTGGGTATTCTTTCGGAAGACCTGCTTGCGTAGCTGGAGTAGCGATAACAACTGGCCTACTGGCCCAATGGGTAAGCATCATCTTCACGCTCAATTAAGTCCGAACATTCACTAACAGTCTCACAGCAAGGCGTCTGACTACGATTCAAATCGATATCAGGAGATTGCAGGTTCGATCCCTGCGTAGGTCACTTAAATTTTTTTTCTTTCTTTTTTTTCTTCTTCTTTTTAGTTTGTAACTTTTGCACTCTAATGTCGCTCACCGCTTGCGGGGTTTGACCTGTTGATATTTCGGAGGCGATATACGAAGCAGAGGCGGGGAAATCGTCTAAGATCGAGGCCGGCCGGCCTTCTTTTGGATTCGATTCTTCTGTCAAGGCATGAGGGATTTATATATCCTAGTAGCTAATAGACTATCGACGTCTTCGAGTTCTCATTACGGATTAAAATCGAATCCTTGCTGCGACCAGTAAAACGATCAATTTTTGGTCTGCCGGGAACAAACTCCAACATGCAACACAAACGCGGACCTGGTCCTCAATCCGTTCGGAAGACCGTATACACCGATACTCCCTGGAGACGTCTCTGTGCCCCTCACACCCCATGTCTAAATATGTTCTCTGGAATATTCCAAGCAGAACAGGAAGGTGCAATTGCCCGTGATTGCCGAATCAGACCCACTTATTAGAAGTCAAACCTTCTGCCTAACCGAGGTTTCAGATTTTACGTGAGGCTCCGAGTGGATGTCGCAGTCGAACGACCTGGCAGTATCACAGGCACGTGTATGTCAGAAGCTTGAACCTGCTTGTATTCGACCAAATCATATGTACTCGATATCTATCCCAGGGTCAAGTCGAACAATTTTGACGCAGGTGGTGTTCATATGCAAGCCTTCCAACCTTCCATTATGGTATTTTTGTGCAGGTTTACGAGGCCATCAAGCTTCTAAGGTGGACCCCGACGGCATTATCGTTAATTAGCCCGGCTTCCTCCGATACTTTTACAATATTGTCAGCTTGATTTCATCTCGATCCAGGACAGCCGACGATCGATTCGCTATCTAACTCGACAACGGTGTATTATCGCGCAAGCGGCGTGTCGGACATGTACAGGGACGATATGATTTCAAAGTATACACCTGCCTGAATACTTATTGAAATGGACTATCACACATCAACATCGGTTCCCCCATGTCTTAAAAATTATTATTTGTAACTTTAAGCCTCGTATTCTTGTAATCTAAGCTAGGGTCGAGCCATCGTATATATCATATGCAACTAGATATGGCTGATTGCTATATCGCTGTGTTTTTTTTCTTTACCAAAAGCTTTACGCAGATGCCCTGTTGATGAAGAGCCTAATTGTATACATGTATTGGTCGTGCACGTGCGAAGTTTCGAAATTAATTGGTTCTAGGAAGGAATGTGAGCGGTAGCAAGCTTGCTCCAACACATGCATGTAAAATACGAGAATAATTTCCAGGTTTTGTAGGCGTGATAAGAGCAAAAAGTCTAGATTAAACATGCATAGAAGTTGAAATAGATGCTGGATAGATACTCGAATATTCGCGCAGGAGTTTCTACCATATGATGAAGGACAATATTGCTTCTGCTTCCCCAGATATCCCAATGTGGGTAAATTTAAATATACAAATAGCTGGCCCATGGGAAATCAAGCGTGGCTGACCTGAGGGTTTCCCACACGGCGCCGGGAGCCCTGAGGTTTCAGTTGCAAGGAGCCCGGCTATGTAAGACTGGAACATTTACAAGTTGCTAGCCCCGGGGATTCTGCGTGCATAAGTAAACCACACATTAAATACCTCACATCTGCATGCACCCATGCACAGTGAACCTAGCGAGCTGCAGGTACCATCGGTGTGTTTTAAGTTCTGCGCCCGAGAATCTTGTCAATTGAACCGACGAGATTTTCCACAACGAAGAAGGCCATGGCAAGCCACAATTGCCAACAAACGACATGGAGGCGGCTTTGGGTCATTCCTGGCTGTTTACCTTAATTGTGGGTTGGAATCATTTAGAAAATATCGAGAAGTGAGGAATAACCGACTCATCAAGTCATATTAGCCGACAAAGGCGTGACAAGGCACCAAATGTTGTTTGGCAACGGCCTTGTCGGCTAAAGCACGTGTATACGAGGTTGCAGTAAATTACACGCCTTGGATGTGATATTGAATGTCAATTAGCTGCATGATCTTCACACGCAGAACCATGTCGGGAAAACGGTATATTTGAAGTTTGCATTGCGTATATGAAACCTGCTAGACAGGCCCTTCCCACGTAGGCGTATGCTTGTCTGCGGGTCATGACTGCCCCGCAAATCACGAGGAGACACATGATGCAATAAATTTGGGCTTTGGAGGCTAAAGTCCGTATTTTGTAGAGCCCCAGACTTCGAATTTCTACGGAGACTAGCTCGTCTCCTTGAGATCCTTATTATCCGGTCTTACTCCCATGTCGATTCTTTAACCACACCATTAAAACCGACCGATCATGCCTTGACACCATTATATTCCCCCATCTTCTTGACAGCCCGCTGGTATGCCGGAAGCTCATGAACCGTCTTATGCCACCGATTGACCTTTGGGTATTTTGTGCCATCAAAATACTTTCTCACAACGCATGCATCAAGCGGGAATATCATACAGAAGTCGGCAAGTCCAAGTTTCGACCCACCAAACCAAGGTTTCTCGTCAGACAGGGTATCCTCTAAAAACTCGAATGGCTCCGCTAGTTTGCCTTTAAACACCGACATCAGTGGAACGAACAATAATTTGAGGAGTGGTCTCAATGGCCAAGGAGTTGCCTCGGGAATCACATCCATAGTAAGAGTTAAGCTTGTGAGGGTGGACACTGTCGTCCCAGCAAACTCTTGGAAGAAGATATCGCGAGCCTGGTCTTGGGGGGTCTTTGGGTCCCAAAGGCCTTTTGCATAATGATCTGCTAGAAACTGAAGAATGAGACGGCCTTCGACAAAGGATGTAGGTGGCTCATCGGGTGCATTTGCAGGTGAGACCGTGAGGATGGGGGACTTCCCCAACCGGAACCCTTCTTTCATGGCCTCCGGTGCTGCATGTGTAGTTTTGCTCCGCTGAAAAGCTTTTAAGTTGTAGCTTTCTAGTATATTTTGCTCCACAAGTTCTTCTAGGGCCCATAAAACCCGAATGGACCCTGACTCTGTCAAGCTCCAGACTGTCGGAGTTCCTGGGGGTGATTTATATCCCCAATAGTTGTGTTGCGGCACTGATGTCATAACGCAGTTCTGGGCTGAGGAGGCTGGAGTTGAGGTCGTGTACGTGGGGTTGAGCTTGCTTGGAGTACTCTGAAGTAAATCTCTTGTTTGATACTGTGGGGACTTAGTTCTGGTGGATGATATCTTGGTGAGATGTTGGTATGTACTATTGTACAGAATGGAGTCGGATTACGCTTGGTTGTGAGGGATCCGAGAGATCAAAGTTACATTCCATTTTGGGAGATTTCAACACAGCAACACTCAGCGGAACGCTATTTGGGTACCGGGTGAATGTTACACGAGGCGGACATTTGGTTATATAATATTAATTCCAAAGATAGGAAGTGTGGATGTTCACGGTAATTAGGTAGCTTAAGAGAATGACCAACTTTGTTGATCAACTTTGAAAAAGCCAAAAATTTATTCAATTGTTTTACAAATAGGGAAACAGGAAGGGGTTGTTTGAAAACTTTTGTTCAGATGGAATATATTGATATACATGGATAGAGAAGCTATGATTGTGACGAAGTTTGTTTTCGACGGGCTGCGGCGGTAGGAAATTTTCGTTTTGTGCTCTTCGTCGTTTTAGCTTTGGATTTCGACTTCGGAGCAGTGAGCTCTTTTGTAGTAGTTGCCCGTATTGCCGTTGTGGTGATTTTATTTGCGCTGCCTATTCCCCCGTATTTGTAGGCTGCGCTAACAAAAGTACCGAAATTACTTGCGATACTGGTATATGCTTGTGCTTCAGAGTATCCTGTAGCGAAAATGTACCTAGAATATCCTAACATAGTTTTGACAGCAGATTCCATCTCTGTGGCGGAGACTGTCAAGAGAATCATGCCTAGAGTACTAGGGCTTTGGTTAGCTGAACCGCGATTGAGGCTGATCCACTGGGTGAGATAAGCGTCTTTGTTCTCTAAGATGATCGTGACATCTTGATTGTAGCGCAAGCTATAGAAACTAGAGTCAACCTTAGTGCCAGGGTTCTGAACAATGAGCGGAGACTTATTGCCGCGAAAATAAAAACTGGATTTCTTTTTAATATAGGCATTGCTGCTTTGAACGGCACTTAAATTTGTGTTAGATTTTACAGACGGCATCTCGTCTAGAAAAAATCCATCTAGCTTTCCGGGGAAATAACTAATCCAAGTATCCACATCGTTCGTGATGTCCCGATTGCCCCATGATTGATGAATGTAACCGATAATCTTGACATTACTGTATTTTGCGAGGGATTCGATGAGAGCTGAGTAGCGTGCGACTTCTTCGGTGCTACCTGGGCCATTTGAAGGATTAATAATAATTGTAAACCCTAGAGCGTTATGAAATTTTGATATTTGCGCTAGAACCTTCCCCCAGGATGCTGTGTCCTCAGGACCAAAGTACGCAGGAATTATGATGTTTGCTTGATCAGATGTGGCTCGCTCCTGGAGCACGGGAGGCTGGTTCTGGACAAAGCCTACATGCTTTTCTGGTGGCAGTGAAACTTCCGTACTGAATTCGGGGGGAATTCGGGTAGGGCTGAATGAAATGTACCCAAGAAACAAGATAATTATACCCCAAAGGCAGGATAGGCCATAATTAAACCGTCGGAGTTGTGTACACCTTGCGCGTGTCTCGTAGTTGTGCTGGCCCATATATCGATTCATTTCTCTGGGAATGGCTCCGGGTTCGACGAAATCACTTTCTTTTCTCACACTTCTGGAAATTTGGTCGTAATAATCTTTCTGTGGGATCAAGTCTCTCTGTAATAGGGAAATGTAACGAAAAGGGTCGTTATTTATGTTTTGAAGGTCCGGCTGAGGGTTCTCTTGTTCGTCATGGATACTGCCTCGTGGTGAAGCAGGCATCTTTAGACTTTGGCTTTGGCTTGATGCTACCATTATTGCGATGTATTTAATAATTGCCAAGATAGGATTTCCTGGTAGTGTTGGCTAGTCTGTCCGGTGAATGGCTCTGGTAAGGGATTGAATAGATCTATAGATGCTATTTAAGTACAAATATTCCGGCCTGGTTTTTGATAATGAAGAATGGTTTGTATATCGACTGGTCGAAGTACTAGAGAGAAAAATCACTAGCTCCGATTTCAAAGATCAGTGAAAAACTCAGGGAAACACCAACCGCATTAGATCAGTTCTTACATTTCGTACGTATTATACGCGTAGCTAACTTCCGAATGCGGCTATTTGAGGGCTTGGGTTCCAAAGTCAAAATCGAGTATTCCTCGCTAGATGGAACGAGGCGAATCAAGGACCGGCTTGTTTAATTTAAGTTGAAATCAAGGTTTTGGCGAATCTAGAGTGGCGAACTTAGTTACGTCGCTGCCTCTGCGCTTGAAAGGTTACATAAATATCGGCCGCACTCTTGAGGGCGAGTAATTGATGACCTGAACACCTCGCGATACTGATACACCAGGAATTCAATCTGATGCTCAATGAAATGATAAACTGAAATCATGGAGTACAAATACACCTAACTAGTTCGTATATAGTGCCTCCTTAAGGGTTTTTAGGCCAAAGAAAAAGTTTGCTTGCTACAACTAATATAATAATACTAGGCTTGTATTTCGAAAACGTAAACGCATACATTAACGGGGGTAAATGAGTCTATTTCCAACGTTATAGCTGATATGCAGCACTATTGGAAACCCTCAGCCAGTTGTTATATATTGTTATATACGTAGGAAAAGTTGCGATCTTTCTTCTGATGTATACATGTACATGTAGACTACTAAGTGCCCATAATTTGAAGCCTTCGGAGGTAGTGTGTTGTTAATGTTGTATCTATCACCTGGTATACACATGCGTGAGAGCTCGGGCAGGCATAAGGTAGCTGAATCACTATCAACTACAAACTAGGTGAGATTTGGCTCAACTTTGTGTCCAAAGCGAAGAAAGAAGGGTTGATTAGTACTTTCCTATTGATAAATACCTCTTCATGTCAACCAGACTATTTTTCTCGTTTTGTCACTATATAGCGTCACCTGGTCTCATTTGTGCCAGGTGCCTCTCGTGAGTTTGACAATGTTTTTCGGGCCCAACACGCTGTTACCTGTGATATTTTGATGATTACCATTTTGGGCATACTGATTTGTGTTGCAAAATATCTGGGAAAGTTTAATCCGATGCATATGGCTATGACCAGATCTAGAAAGACATAACATGCAGTTTAGACCGTCAACCATATCAAACAGACTGATAGTGGTCTCAACCAAGGCACTCTTTAAATTTCGGTCAAAATACAGGTTTAAATTGCAGCGAAAATGGAAGGGTATCGTGACGTTGCGTACAGGAAGCGAAAAACAAGGAAGGGAAAGAAAAGAAACAAGAAAATTGAAAAGGAAAAGGAAAAGGAAATGGAAAAGGAAAAGAAGGGCTGATTGCGAACGCTAACCTTAATTATTTACAAAAGGAGGGATGGGAACCTGATCAATTTTCAAGCGGCCTTATCTGAATGAAGTGCTGCTAGCGTAGCGGGTATGATATTTCACTCATAATTTTCGGGGGCGCCCGGGCTTGGCTCGAAAGAAATGCATAATACTTATTCCTTTTCAAGTTTGGCGGTAAGGAAGGGCCTCACCCAGCATGGCTTGACGTTGCTTGGGCAGATATCTTTTCGCTGTAGTTCCTTCCCTAGAGGCCCTGTAGGACCATTGCCATACCTTGCCTGCCCGAATAAGATGTATTGCCCTTCGTGCTCCTTAGGGTATTGCTGATCGCCCCATTTGCCTTTGAAGTAAAGCCAGTTCACCGGGGATGCAGGATTATAAGATGTGAAGCTACTAGTCCCCACGTCAAATTTGTAGTAATAGGCCGAAAGAGTTGGATCCCAAAGAATTCCTTTGTTTGTATCGTCGACAAGGAAGAAGGCCCCTGGCAAGTTGAAATTGGGAATTGTATGATCGTGGAGCCCTCCCATTGCGTAGTTAGCGTGAGAGCCTTTGGCACTATACCCAACAGGCTGAGATTGAGAAGATGGAAGGTTAGTTTCTAATCTGAGAAAGGATTGGGGAGGGATAACTAACCCGCTTTCCGAGCTTCTCAACTGCTTCGTAGGTAAAGGCTTGACCATCGGCATGCTGTGAGTACCAAAGAGCTGACGGTATGCCGTTCTGAAATCTGACCATAATGTGCTCCCAATCCCCAACATGATCTCCAAATTTTATTCCCCAAACTGGAGGCCCCGAGTTGAAACTGAGTTTTTATTAGCTGCTTGAAATCCAGATGTAGAAGGAGCTTGATGACAAACTTATAGAAGTAGAAGTAGAAGACGTCTGTAGTAGTAGCGTCCTTTTCATTGACAATTATTGTGGCGGATATAGCGCCGTTCGTCAAGCCTGTGGCGTCTGGGGTTACTCCTTTTAGCCACGCCTGCTGGCTGTCGGCCGCGACATCATTGACAGATGTGAGGTAAACCGAATCGCCGCCGAAATCATTCAGCTGGTCTAAGTTGTCTAAAGTCACCGGTTGTGGGATTCCGGGAATCGGCTTGAAGTTAACTCGGGGCTGAGTGTTTCTTAGCATGGAGCGAATGTTAGAAGGTCTGTATTCGTCGTCTGAATGGAGGTATACAAGAGGTGCATAGTCTAAAGCGTATTGTGGAACACCAGATGGAGCTCTCTTTCTTACGGCCGCAGATTGTACTGGGATAAAAAAATTATATAAAAGTAAAGAGAGTAGAAACAATAAAGTTTGAGCTTCCATAGTTGCGGCTAATTAAGGGGTCTATCTTATAAAAAAACACAATCTGCGCTGGGACGCCTGAGTGTATCTGTTGCTGCTCTTGGGCTAAGGGTATTCGGAAGAGGTGGTATTAATTACTAGAAAGTAACATCAAGTCTTAAATCATGAGACTGAGGAGAATGTCTTCATTATATAGAATTGTCATTTGGAGGTCGACGGAGGGGTATCACTGTCGATACATGTATACAAGGTCATCGACCCTCCGATTGAAGCCTAGAGGCCAAGGAGACTGAACACCTGTCATAGACGGCATTGCAATATTTTAACTCTCCTTCCCGTGTGGATCATTCCCTTTTGTGTAAGTCGGATACCCCGGTGTTAGATTCATTGGCAGTGAAGTGTTTGAAAGCAGTTGGCGACAAGAGTGTTCCTTGCTGTTGGATTCTGGGGGAAGCAGTGTCTCCACATTGGCACAAGCGACGAAATTGGGTGGACTCGGTTCACGAGCCAATAAGGTGGCGCACATGTTTCCCAGCGCTCGCGAATGCTGATTTGAGTGGACCACCTTGTCGCCTCAGATGTCCCTGCCACATTGCACCCTGCTTTTGAAAATTTTGATCGTCCCGTGCCACCATCCTACAAGGTCTACAACTGGCTGGTTCGAAATGTGGGCGCTGTCCAAGTAGACCTTCTTTTTCAGGAAATAATCCCGCAGTCATCAGAAGCCTGCTCTGGCATCGTGATGGCTGCTGATGGATCGGTCAGAAATCTTTTGACTCAAAATTGAAAAGCTGCATGTAAGCTGCAGCATTTGAGCTTGAGCCGCTGGATTCCTATTTTTGGCGAATTCCCGAACTGTGAGCTCCTAGTTAAGTTTTGGTATCTTGTTTTTACCCAAGGTTTTCGTATTTCCAGGAGTGCCGTAATATACAGTTAGTCTGGCTTACCTAACAAACACGGCCCGTGCTTCGGTTTGTTACCCACTGGTTTGAGATTCTGATTCAGCTACGACCTTGTAACAATATCAAAGCGGGCGCGGCTGCCTTTAATTTTCGAATCGAAACTTAAATACCAGGATACCTCGCTTTGTTCCTTACTTTATAATCTTTCCCTCAAACCGAATTTCTACTAATACTTCAATTCCTATTGCCCTTGCCCTTGCCGTATCTGGTGACAACATACAAACTTTCTTGACTTAAAAATTTAGGACGTCGTGTGACAAGGAGCTATGGGTGACGATAAATCACCTTTCCATGTTACCGTTGGAGGGCCTGACTGCAGTGAGGATATATCGCTCCGAGAAAGGCTTGCCCTACATTTACCTTCAACGTTCCGCACGAAGAACGATCACGTCTCCACCCCGAGCTTCGAGGATCCAGAGTTTCTTCAACGAGAGTTACTTGTTCCGCGGTTAGATGATATCCAAGACCACCTCTGGATGGTCGGTCGACCTATGCCACCCCGCCCCTTACATTACCAACTAATGTTGTCGAGAGACATCGTAATCACGGAATCTATGGATTTGCATCTTGTTTGGGCCGATAAACGTATTTTCGTTAAACCGATCCCTGGTTATCTCCTCGACCCAGAATTTTGGTCAACGCATTTGGTGTGCCCTGAAAACATGGATATACAACAACGACAATATCGCGAGGAACTGGCAAAGGCCGCCCGTGGCTTTTTATTCACATATACAGCTCTGATTGCATATGAGAGTGACTTCCGCATTGCTTTGGAATCTGGACTGATCTCTCATAAAATCACTTGGGAGACATGGAAGAAAATTTCGCGCCAGTTTGTCCAGGACTTCCAGTATTCTTCGGTTAATCCTCGTTTCTGGTATGGCGAGTTGCGGCTTAGCCGGTTGAATTCGATTTATCGGTGGCGTAAGGGATTGCTATGGCGCGGGTACTCGAAAATATCATCGCATATGTCTTACGGTGGCCTACTTCGAGATAATTTCCATTTGTTGGCTGCGATACTCGGTTACATTGTCATTGTCTTGACTGCCATGCAAGTGGGTTTGGCCACGGAAAGGCTTGCCACCAATGTGCCGTTTCAAGATGTTAGCTACGGCACTGCTGTCCTTGCAATGATTGCCCCGCTGATTGTGGGAGCGGCCATCTTTGCGATTGTCCTCTTTATAGTGGTCTATAATTGGTTAGTGACAAAAACATACGAAAAAAGAAGGTTCAAAGAGATGGGTGTGCTGCCGGATTGGGGTGGTGATACTAGAGCGCGAGGTGGCAGGGTGGGTATGTGAAACAGAAAAGTATTGATAAATGCTCTACAGCGGGGTTTGATGATACCTAAAGCGCCGAAGGAGCTGTCTGTAAATATCACCGTATATATTTTTTTACCGTAGTATCTGCATCGCCGCATAATGCCGACGAGATGTTCACGTATAATTTATTTTGGCATATATCCTCTAGAAGAAATGTGAGTTATTTGGATAACCCGGTAGGTGGAATTTGGTGTAACTATGAATACGGTGCATATACGGTGAAATTTCATGCTATAATACATGGTATAATACGGTGAATTGGGCTACGGGATGAACCCACTAATGTACAAAATGCCAGCGACTCTTTTGAACAAAGTCTATGACCATGAATCGTTATACTTGTACCTAGAGCTCTGGTTTGATTGGTCAGAGCTTGAGCTTTGGAAGTAGCTAGAAAGACGGTGGCCGAAACTTGGTTTGGAGCTTTGGGGTTGTTGGGTCGGAGCCGGGGCAGAATCTGGTGGGCCGTAGTTAAGGCCTGGCTGGGTACTCTGGTAATTTTGGTAGTGCTGACTTGGTAAACGGTGGTTTTGGTGGTCTTGGCCGGTAGTTGGCGAATTGTAGCCTCCACTCGGGGTTTGGCTTTGATATACTTGAGGCAAGAGGTCATGATGATAGCCCTGCTGGTTGGCTGCGGGAGTCTGATATCTCTGAGATTCCCCGGAATTTTGATACCCTTGAACTGGTGACGGACTTTGATAGCCCTGACTTGGTGGGGGGGTTTGATAACTTTGCTGGCTTTGGTATCCTTGGTGGCTTGAGTAGGTAGGGTAAACTTCGACTCCTGGAGGGACTTCTTGCTTGGGCGACCCTGAACTAACTGGGCTACTTCCCAAAGGCTTTCTGGAAGGGCGCTGATAGCTCTGATAATTTTGATAGTTTTGATAAGAGGGGTTGTTGGTTTCTTGGATGGGCTGATAGGCTTGAAGTTGGTCAGCAATAGTAACTTGCGGCCCCGGTTGTTTGAACTCGTTCGCTGGTGAGTCTGTCTGGGATTGAGCGATTGGCTGAGTTGTCATTGTTTCTGTGTAGGTGACTATGTTCGTGGTATTTTCTCCTGCAACGCTCTGAGGGCCTGTGGCCGCCGTGTACTGGGGAGCCACACCAGGGGTTTCGGTTGTTGTAGATGCAAAATTATGACTTTGAGGGTTTGGTTCTAAATCTTGACTTTTCCTAAAATTATTATAATCCTGATAACCAGGAAAAGCGGGATTTTGCCTGAGGGGTGAAGGCACCACGTCTAAGCTATCCCCGACATTTGAAGCCTCGAATCCCTCCTCTATTGATGCAACTTGCTGAGAAGGAAAATGTGGCTGTGGGATAGAGCTCTGCCAGTTATATTGCGTTTGACTGGCTTGGGTGTGGAAGTTTGGATCTGGGGCGCCTTGTATGCCGCCGTTTGAAAATGGTTGGGCGGATCCCCCGTTTGTTACTACAGGGGTAGCTGTCGCTTCTGGCTCACTGATATCAATGCGCGCGATACCAGCTTCGATATCTTTGATATCTTCGCTAGTCTTAGTTTCTGCGTGAATATTGTTATTTGTGGCGGCGATATTCTGCTCCTCTTCCTCGTTTGACCCACTTGTTTCGTTCGGTGCCTTCTCTTCCTCCTGATCCTCCTCTTCCACTTCATGGATTAAATCCTTGAAATCAACACTGCCCAATATCCTCTTGGCCTCATAGTCTTGATTCTTAATGGCTGTATTGAGAGCGGTGAGCACACGAGTCACGGCTTCTATGAGTACATCGACGCACTCCGTGGCCCCGGCGTTCATCGCTGTTTGGAGTGCATTAACGTTTCTCTTGCTAACATGCGTAATATCCGCACCCTTCTCTAGCAAAAATGCAACAAGTTCTGCATCACCAACATTAGCAGCGACAATGAGGGCGGTGTCACCATCCTGATCCGCTAAATTTATATCTGCCCCGGCGTTGAGAAGTCTTTCTACCGAGTCCTTGTAAAGCGAACCGGCGGCATTTATAAGTGGAGACGACATATCGGGCCCACCGAAGCGATCGATTGTGGCTCCGGCATCAATAAGAAGTTTAAGGATGTCTGCCTCGCCTCTCCTACAAGCGGCGATGATTGGGCAGGTCTCTGGCCCGGCACCAACATTTGGATCTGCCCCATGTTTAAGAAGGAAGGCAACCACATCGTCTTGCCCCGCCTCGCATGCCCCCTGGAGGGCAGTGCCCAAACCGAACTTTCCCTCGTCAAGGCATGCATTGACGTTGGCTCCGCGTTCGACTAGCAACTCAACAACATCTAAGTGACCTTGTTCAGCGGCGGTCTGTAAAGCCCAGCCGTTGGGCGAGTTTACGTCGGCATTATGATCGAGGAGCATTCTGACGATATCTACTGTGCCATCGAATGCAGCAGCAGTGAGTGCGTTCCCATATCTAGTTTATATTTCTTAGCTATAGACACCTGAATTTTGGGGTCAAGGGAACGACTTACTCTACACCTGTGGCGTTGGCGTTGGCCCCAAATTCTTCTAGTAGAAGCTTGACAGTTGACTCCTTTTCTATGTCAACGGCTTCATAAAGAGACTCGTCAATTGTTTCCTGGGAAATAACGCCGTTTGTGTGTTTCCAGATTGCGGTGAGTAAACGGTCCTGCTGTTCACTACTTGTGGCGATTTGACTGAAAACATCGTCGCAATCGAGGCCTCTCGAACTTTCGAGTATCAGAAGCACAATTTCCCAATTCTCCTCGTCTGCTGCAGCTTCAAGCGCAGCTTGAAAGGTTACGACATCGTGATTGAACTGGAGTAGACGCTTTGTAACCTCAAGTCTTCCGGCACTGGCTGATGAGATAAGGGCCTTGTTGTATTCCTTGTGAGGTATTTTATCAGCGCACGCATCGAGTAAGTAAGTGAACATAGTTAGATCTGAAAGGAGAGCGGATAGTGCTAGGGGGGCGGGGTTGTCGTCGTCGTTATCATCTTGAGCCAGAATAGCACCGTGCTCAACGAGAAGCTGTACAGCTTCTAAGTTCCCTGAAACTATGGCTTCGTTGATGACGGGCCTTCCTTCTGCTAATGCATTCGGGTTGGCACCTCGATCAAGCAGCTTTATCATAACTCTGCAATGACCTTTATAGGCTGCCATAGCTAATGGTGTTTGATCGCCTGCGTCTTGGCCATCATCAATCTTTGCGTCGTTATTCAAAAGGACTTCGCAAATATTAGGTCGTCCGAGGAAGGCTGCCAGGTGGAGCTTTTATGCGATATTAGCCAGATAGCTCATTCTTCGGCGCCGCTGTTTTCCGTTTAACTTACTGGAGTATTAAAAAACTTATCCCGGACACTAATTTCTTCCTTGTGGTCATTTTTAATCAAGGCGGATACTAATTGGGAAAACCCTATGGACGCCGCAACGTGTAGCCCAGTAAGCCCTTCTAGAGTAACCCCATCAAACGCATTTGTCAAGGTGTTATATTCAACTAGCCACTTCTTTCGGACAGAGGATTCCTCTTTCCAGAAGTCTTCTTCCTGGCTGAGATTCTCTGCGATGTCGGTGGTGGCTTTGCTTGCATGGTGTAGCCAATGTTTGACAGCATAGTTAGACACTGTGAGCTCTCCTGTATCTTCACTATGGTCTTCCATGTGGTCGATCTCTTCTTCAGAGTCGGAAATTTCATCGTCATAGTAGTTGTATTCGACTTCAGCTACCTCAGTTGGTTGCGTAGGTTCCCCATTTTCCTGTGGTTCCGTCGCCGGCTGTTCTGTTGATGACAGGGTGTTTTCTAGCACCTCCTCAGCCCCGACGGTATCGGGATTGGTTGTAGGGCTAAGGTCTAATGCGTGCTCTCCTTCAGCTTCGGAATCATCGTTATCGCCAGTATCTTCGGGCTCTGGCTCTGCATAATATTGCGTGATGTGAGAGAAACTCCTGAGTGCAATGATGCCATGCTGCCAACGGATCTCTTCCTTCGAGAGCCCCAGCAACTTCTCTGCATTTTCCAATAAATGCATCTTCACAACCGAATTCATAAAACCAATACGATTGCTTGATTTGCGGAATGTTAGCAGAGGCCGACACTTCTCAACAAGGCTGCAGAGGTGGGCTCGCGATTCTGCATCATGGGAGAGGCCAGTGAGTATTGCAAGATCATCTTCCGTTGGTTCCTCATAAGTAATAATGAGGGTTCGTAACATCTCCTTGATTTCCTCTAGCTTGTCGTCTTTTGGGTCTAGAACCTGTAGCAAAGTAAAGTGGGTTAATATCTATAAACAACATAACCTTATTATAACTCGGGGTCAAAGGAGTAAATTTAAGCACTTACGGAGATCCAGGCGCGGTCTAGCAGGGATCGCAAGTCTTGAGGAATCCGTTCGAGTAGCGACCGCACCTTCAAATCTTTAGCGTCGGTGGGAAGCTCAGCTAATTGGATGATGGTTATATCGATCCATTGTGTATTCTGGGCTCGTTTCCCGATCAGACTGCCAGCAAAGTAAGTTAAAGCTTTGTTGTAACCCTTTTCCATGCCTAAAGCCGCAATCTTTTTTTGCGCATGCATCCTAAGTTCTTGCTGGACCTGGCCGCCATATTTTTCGTTGTCTAAATCAATGACACGAGTGAATTGAGAATCTAGGGCTTGCTTAATGCTATGCCTTGTTTGACTGGTAAAAAGCCATCTGACGCGAGCTCGTGGGCGCCCCGAGTCCTGCCACTCGGATCCAATCAATGTCATTAGCTTTTTAACTGAATCCGCTTGTTCATCCATTAGATGAAGGTTGTTGACTACGAAGTAAACTGTCCCGAGGAGCTCATCAGTGAGCATGTCTTGTAAGCTTTGCCAAAGATTTTCAACCGTCAAGCCAGCTTGTGTTTTCCCTCGAACGCCTGTGTCCTTTTGAGTGTTAACGAACTGTTTTGCATATGCGGCAAGCACCTCCTGCTGGTTCACCAACTGTCGCAGGAATGATTTGAGCAGCTCTTCCGGGCTAGAACCATCACTTGTTTGGTCACATAGAAAATATGCTAATAAATTGGCTGCTTGCCCTGAGTTTTGAGCCTCCTCTTTTCGAAGCGTGTCCTCGATGTGGTCGAGAGCGGCGAGCGAGGCGCCGAGTTTTCCTTTCCCTTCTGGGCCTAAGACCCATAGACAGTCAATAGAGCGCTGTTCGTCTTTTTGGAGCCATTGTTTGTATTCTTGCTCTTGCAGTATCCAGGAGGACGAGATGACCCCTTGTGTGGATCGCTTGCGTTTCTTTTCGACTTGTACGCCTTCCAACGCGTTTAGTACATTTTTGACAACCTCCCTATCAATCCCTCGCGTAGAATTGAACCTATTTTTTGCAATTAAGGGGGCGCTATTGATAATAGTCTTAAGGGGACCTCTGACAAGCTGATAGACAGTATCTTTGAAACTATCGAACTTAACTAGTTCTCGGTGGATTCGTGCAAGTCCCATGTTATCGACCCCAGTGAGAGTGGCGGATTCACGTGTCACAAAATCTTCGAATTTCTATTATCTTATTAGCTCGGTTCCATAGGAGCGAAGTTTTAGGAGAAAGTGAGCCCCGTACCTTGGGAATCGGTACCCTAAATGGTAGACCTATCTGTTTACTCCAATCCGTCGGCCTTTCCTCATAGAAGCACCATAGTTCGATTTTGGGACTCATTTTTGTGGATAGCCGCACGAATTCGTTTCTGATGTCGCGTAAGCTCTCATCATCAGGCTTCATGAGATCTAAAAGCTTAGATGCGGTGGCCTGGTCGAGATTCAGGAACTCGCTGACTTGGGCGAACATGGAAGCCGCCGCGGCTACACTAGCTCCCTGGAACGGGGTACCGAAGAAGATACATCCAGTTACAGCTTCAAACATTTTCCCAAAAAGGTCTCTGCGCGATTCCGCAATACTGATGGCCTAGACAGTTCCCTAAGTTAAGTTACGGTTTTAACCCTAAGGTATTGATTAGAACGCACCTTAGCGATAACGATTCCACCCATGCTATGGCCAATGAAGACAATAGGCCGTCGCGGGGCGTCCTTGTCTCGTCATTAGTCATCTTATTAATGAACATTGGTTCACAAATGCGTTAAGTAGTCTACCTTTCGTTTTTCTTTGAGACCATAGAGGAGTGTCATGGCCAGATTTGACATGAATTGTCTCACTTTCAGAGGGCCTGTCCAAGCGGATTGGTACATATAGAGCAGAATACGGGCGCGTGGGAATTCTTTCGCCAGGCCATCTCGATCGGTAAGCCAGTTGAATTCAAGCTTTGGGTCTGCAGACTTCCAGCTTTCTAGTGGAGGCGCGCCGAGTCCTGGAACTGCGACAATACTAATATTGAGTTAGTATAGTTATAAAAGCTGCGTCGCAAAAGAAACAAACGGGATGCATACTCGATGTCGGCATTTGCGGGGTTGTGCAATTCTTTGATTCCTTGTTGTACGATATCGTACGTCTTTTTAGGCGCCAGTGCCGAAGCCGACGCCATATTTGCAATTTACTCTTCCGTATCTTTGAATGTACGTATGGCTGTTTTCGTTAGTTACATATGTTGAGGTTTTGTTGATTGAAGACTTCCTCAGCTGGTTAAATTGAAGAACTGAATTCATCAATCGTTCCCTGGATCCTCATTTTGAGTTCGTGAGGTTCACGAGTTTAAGGAACTATTCGTAGTCTGGGGAAACTATTCGAGAATAATTTTTAGGTACACAGGGGTTAGCCTGAGGTCCGAACTCAACGGCAAAAAATGAGTCAAGCTATTCTGCAAACCACCCGATTGTGCATGCTGACTGCATCAGAGCGGGGCAGCGATCTTATCCTGGTAGTGCTTGAGCCCCGTCTGCAAGAAACCGACAGGGAAAACAACCCCTGTCAGGCGGCCTTTTGAACCTAACAATGTGAGATCCCTTACCGATTTGACGGATTCTGGGTATGGGAACTAGCCTGATCCGTGAAGGATCCAAGTTTCCTCCAAAGTTTCACTATTTGAAAGGCTTTGCTGCGGTAAAATATCTCATGAAGTAAGCACTTAGGCATGTTTAGGAAGCAGAGCTCCGAGGCTTCGCATACCTTGCCGATATGTTTTCCGAGGGTGTCGTTGTTTTGGAGACGGAGTTGTCTTACGTGGACTTATTTTACCGACGGCTCGACGGCTCCCCGCATGGGTGACTTCGAAGTTCCTTATAATTATCTCAGCTTGCCGAGTATGACGGTGTTTTTTATTGGTTGATTGTCATAGTAAATGATTCGAAAGTGACAAGGCTTGGGAGTTTCGGATCAGATCAAGCTTGTGAGGACGTCTAGGACCAGATTGGCCGTCTATCATATTGCAACGCAACGCACTACTGTCAGCAGCGGGACACGAGGTTTGAAACACTTCTACACCTGAATGATTTCCAATCTTTAGGGTCGGAATTACGTCTAAGTTTATAGAATTGGTTGATGGTTAGTTCAGAAGTTGTTTATTAGTTGCTGATCGTTAACCTTACGTAGTCAATCCTTGTCGGCAGAACTTAGATAGCCGATCGCTTTCTGCGAATAGTTATGGGCCCATGGGTAACAAAAATCTAGCCTAGTATTAAGGCCTAGAATTACACTAGGCCTGACGGTCGCAGTTTGCAAATTTGAGGCTCTGCGTTCCCAAGAGAATCAAATATATATAAAGTACAGGCCTGGCCGGTATTCCATGTATGTGCGTTGTTCCGTCTAGATCTAAGTTGACTGATCTGAATGACTGGCGTGGACCACTGCACGTGTGCGGCGCCTAGATATATTATACGTAAATTGAAGCAAATAGTTATGATCATTCTTAAAACCTTGCTTATGCAAACCGGAGCGTAGCCCAGGAGTATAAGGGGTATCATGATAAAGAGTTACGTCTGAATCTGAACAGTATCACGCAGCCAGGCACTTGTTCAGTTGATTTTCTACTCTATTAATGAAGGCTTCATTGCAAGTCTCAGAATCTAGTGTGTACGTGCTACTTTCCAAGTTCTGAAATAAGCTCGTCTTTATACCTATATATGTAAACGTACTCGAGGGATGTTAATTTTATAGAATATCCCTCTTGTAAAACTGTTGATACTAATCTTTTTGTACAATGCATAGTAGTAGTGGCATAGACTAACGGTCAATTCGTTGAACATGAACTATCTCTACAAACGACCCATGGCTTGATTCAAATTTCCGACTCTAGTTTTCGAATAATAGTCTCCCCAACAGAATTAACGTAACCTTCATAACTATAGAGTAACATTTTGTACACTCGACCCCGAGAGGATTTGAGTTCCGCACTAACTATTTTTTCGCACATATAGTACTTCTTTCCACAATAGTTATCGCGAGAGCGGTAAGGCTAGGTGAGCCCAAGATGCTGAATGTAGGCAAGTCTGCTCTAAAAAGCCGGAGGAACCAGCTTCGCAATTCCATTGTTTGGAGGGAATCCACACCGTATGATTGAATTGATTTTGTTTGATCCATTTCCTCCGGATCCATGCCGGCAATAGTCGAAGACAATCTAGTTGTCAGCGCTTTCAAAACGACCTCTATGGCTTCCTCTGTAGTTTGGGCGGCTGCAAGTAGTGATGCAACATCCCTATTTCCTCCGTTTAAGGCCCTTCCATTGGAACTATCCATCTCCTTGAGTCGTCGGAGGGCCTTAAACATCGGATTTCTCCCCCAGATAGTGCCTAGCGGATCCAGTTCTGGGTCCACATGGAGAAGTTTCATACCAATGGTCACTTGGGCATCTTCTAGCGTTGAGAAAGTCAATGCTGGGTTGCAATAGTAGTCGAGTAGCGCATGGTAGTCATTGGTATCGACTCCATGGTAAGTGTTCTGTGCTAAAAGGAGTTCTCGCTCATCACGGTGGTCAGCCTCAGCTAGGTATCCATCCGTTGTCATCAAACCAAGCATGATAGAAACTGCCTTAAGTCCTTTTGATACCCTATGATGAGCTAGACCATCCATGTAAGTGTTAGCTGCATTGTAATTAGCTTGGGTCCTAGCACCAAATACCGCCTGTACTGATGATAACAGGATGAAGAAATCCAAGTCATTTGGTAGAAGCTCGTGAAGATTCCAGCTTCCGGCGACCTTGCAAGCGGTCACATCAACCCAATCGTCGTGGGTCATATCTGAAAACAAGGCGCTCTGTTGCAAGGCGAATTCGTGAAATTGTTAGCTCAAGATTGAACGACTAGATGAATGCTTGATATAATAGTTACTAGATCGATGTATATAGGGTATTAGAGCCATATACCTGTAGGACCATGCTGGATTGAATGCAACCTCTGATGGGGGGGATATCAAGATCCTGCAATGTTTTGTAAAGCATGTTTCGGTTTGTGATATCACAAGCTGGCGCAACACAATTCACGCCTAACTCTTTGAGCTCTCGAATGAGGTCTTCTGCTTCTTTTGTCTTTGGTCCTGACCGTGATAGTAACACGAGGGTTTTCACACCTCTTTCGGCCATCCAACGAGCTGCCACGCGGCCAAGGCCTCCCAGGCCCCCAGAAATCACGTATGAAGCGTCGAGTGAGAATTTTGACAGCAGCTTTGGAGCTGAGACTACAGTAACTTCGCTACTTGGTGTGGTCTCGACAATTATTTTCCCCGTCGACTTACCGGTTCCAATCAACCGGAATGCATCTACTATTCTGAATATATCAAAGGTCTGGACTGTGGAAACTGGTCGAAGGCTCTTTTCGGCTGTTCCAAACCTCTCCAAAACCTCGTCAATGAGCTGGGCGACGTATTGAGGGCGCTTTTGGTGCATATGCCCGAGGTCAACGGCACTAAACGATATATTATTTTCGAACTGAGCCATGGGGAGTTTCCCTTGGGCTTGGATATCCTTCTTGCCAATTTCGATGAACCGACCAAATGGCGCTATGCATTCCCATGAGCTAAAAAGTACATCACCTGATAGGGAGTTCAGGACGACATCCACTCCGCCGACTAGGCGTTTAATCTCACCCGCGAACTTTGAGTCACGGCTGTTGAAAATATGAGTGGGAGGTATGTTATATCTTGAGGTAAGCAGGTCTCGCTTCTCTTGTGTACTAACAGTGGCGAAGACTGTCGCGCCTAGATGCTGAGCGATTTGGATAGCTGCCTGTCCAGTACCTCCCGCTCCAGAATGGATGAGTACAGTTTCGCCAGCGACTAATCGAGCCACGTGATACAATGCATGCCATGCAGTTGCGAAATTAACTGGAATAGATGCAGCTTCAACATCTGTTAGGGCTGAAGACTCTGGGACTCGGCACAGGCTTGATCCTTTACACCGATACAAAGTTCGATATCCGTCGGCTGCGAACCCACACACTCTATCACCTGGTTTCAAGCCATGTCCTTGTATGTCCTTCCCGATTTGAGAAACGATTCCAGATATTTCGCTTCCGATTGTGCTCTCATTCAACGCTCCCAAGGCGATCAAACAGTCTTTGAAATTGACACCGGCAGCATGGACCTCTACCTCTACGATGTCGTCTGGCAAGGTAATAGAAGCTCCAATTTCCGTATCTTCGACAAAATAAATGAACTCTAAGACACCCGGGGATCCGACATGGATTCTCAGAGGACCTAATTCTCCCCACTTGCGGGTTGTCGAGGCTGGCCCTGCCTTGACTGATTGTACTTTCTTTGTAAGTTCAGCGGCCTCGTCCAATTGGCAGTACTCGATGATACCGCTTCCTGTCTGGCGGAATGTTTGCGGGAGGAATAGATTATCAACATCACTGAGAAGTACATCGCACACTTGAGCGATGCCGCTAACGCGCTCCGATAAGTCATGTCCAGCCAGCAACAGGGTTGCGAACCCAGCCATACTGTTTTCTTGGCGCAAAACCCTAGCAAGTCCGTCGACGAGATGCTGTGAGGGATAGCTAGCAGAACTAAGCTTTGACGTCTTGATCCACAGTACATGGTTCCTGGCAGTACCCAAAGTCTTTTGAACGACAGATAGATTAAATTTGTCAAGGTTCTCTAGGATAGAGGAGCTGTCTACATCCCACAAAATGATTTTAAGGTCGGCCGCAGAAGTTGGTTCGAGCGCGGATACAACTATCTTGCATTCACAAGATTGCGTGGCTTGCATCTTGTCTCTTAACACGTTGGCTAAGTCTATTGCAGTTGATTTAGGGTTGTGCAGGTGAATTTCAGCAGTGCTCATCGTTGTATCTTCAGATTTAGTATTGATGGCTGTGTTGAGTTCTTCCAAAGAAGAAATAGGGTCCCATTTGAACTTCCAGCAATGATGGAGCTCATTTGGGGTTATATCATGGGGGCCATGCCCACCACCGGAAACCCTTATCATCTTATATCCTGAGACAGTAATTTTAGTGGATCCATCAGAGACGTCGATCGCTGACACGCTATGCTCACTTCCACGGTATCCAGAGAAGTGATGTAAAGCGGTCGCTAGCAGCGGCTTTCTACTGTCATTCAGTCCGCTACGGGACAGCCACAGGTGTTTGATCTTAGAAGGTATCATTGTAGGCATATTAGGTTGTTCTCTGACGATGTTGGCGAGCGGCAGTTGAAAGACGGCGTCGAGGGTCGCTGGGTGGATGATATGATCTGTGTCGATGGCCCGAGTACCATGCACCCGGTGCGAGTTGCCTGCAGACCCTATGTAGCTGGTAATGATTGCCTGTGCCCTCCCGGGAGCAGGGTGCCGAAGTTCGCTGATTCTTTGGAATACTGGGCCGTAGTTGTAACCTGCCCTCTTGATTGAGTCGAAGAATTTATGAATTGGTACAGATACTGAAGCTGAAGCCTTAGGGGGTTTGGATAAGCTAAGGTGACCAGCTTCCCCTAGCAAATATTTCCCGTCTGTTGATTCGATTGACGAGTTTAGAGTGCCCGGAGTAGCGCATTCATCGTCGGAGAATTGAAATTTACCCTCAGCATTAGGAGTGGAAGATCCATCGGTTCCTGGAGAAACAATACCTGAAGGATTTGTAGCTTCTCGGTCTCCACGGATCAGCCCTTTACAATTCTTTTTCCACTGACTTCCATCGAACGAGTAAACTTCAAACTCGAACCACCCGAGAGTGAGCGAGCCGTCTTCTTGAGGTTTGAGTTGTACCTGGACTTCTTGCTCAGAAGGTGCTGCTGGTATCTGAATTGCTGCTAGAAACTCGATGTGCTTGAGGCTGAAGGCCGATGGTATGACATCGAGAGTTTCTCGGGCTAGTTGATTCATGGCCTCAATAGCCATAGCTAGCATGCCTGCGCCGGGGTATAAGACGGCGTCGTTGATGTTATGATCCTCAACCCAGTCCATATTGGCCCTACTTAAGAAGTTCCGCCATGTAGCTGAAAAGGGATGCCAATCCGGTGAAGGGTTACCCAGAATTTCGTTTGGCCTTCTAGTACGGAGTCTCTCCATGTGACTCCTTCGACTCTCATTCCAATAAGTTCTGTTGTGTGAAAATGGGTAGCATGGCAAGTCTACCAGCTGCGGCACCTTTCGTGAATCGATTCCGTTGAGATAGTTGGTGTCTAAGTCGAATCCGTAGCTGTGAAGACTCCCAACAGCTCGGAGGATGGAATCCTGCCCGGAGAAACCTCGAATCAACGCACTATTGTACTTTATGTCGCGAGCGGATTGGAATGTCTTTTGCATGATTTCTCGGAGAGGCCCCTTGAGGGCAGCGTGAGGTCCAATTTCTAGGATATTTGTTATAGAAATGCCTCCGCGGTGACTAAGATCGAGTCTCTTTCTACTACTGGCGGCTAATGAGGCAAGCTGGTCTATCTTTTTAACATTGTCTGTAAACCGCACTGCTGAACACATATTTTGTATCCAATAGTCTAAATCTTGTAGGCGGCTGTCTGATACCATGTCACCATCAATGTAAGATATCATCGGAATAGGCTGATGTGTGGGACTCTTCAATCTTGGCTCAATGTTTCCTGCCCGGGAGAAGTACTCGTTTGCGACCGGAATCATGTGAGGGGAATGATATGCACAAGAAACCTTCAGTTTTCGAGCAAATGTGCCTTTTTGGTCAAGGATTGCCTTTAATGCGTTAAGATGACCATCGTCTCCAGCTATTGTAACATTGCTCGGGCTGTTAATGCAAGCAATGTGGAGGTCATCAAACTTAACTGATATTTCTTGCAAAGTGGCGATTGCATCGGCTTCAGACAGCCCTACTGACATCATGGAACGCTTGATAGGGTCCCGCGGGGCGGCATCACCGCCTAGTCCGCGATAATAAGCTATTTTTATTGCGCTGAGATGGGATATAGCGCCTTTACAGTATCTAGCAAAGAGAAAATAATTGTCAACGCGTTAACGGAGCTGTAGGCGGTCTTGACCAGCCTGTAAATGATGAAGGATCTTACGCTGCCGCGACTTCGCCAGAGGAATGACCAAGAACGATTGCAGGCCGCACTTTAATCCGATCCAAGAGGTCCACAACCGCAATTTGTAGAGAGCAGCTGACAGGCTGGCTTATTTCTGGTTCATCCATACGAGAATCTGAGCCTTCCTTCTTCATTTCGGTTTCGAGATCCCAGGAGCATCCGATGTCACGAAGATATTGAGCTGATTGTTTAATACTCTCTGAAAACGACAGATATTGCATCAACTCGACCCCCATCCTTGGCCACTGGGCGCCTTGACCAGTAAACACAAAAGCTAAGCTCAAGCTCTTTGGATCCGCGGAACGCTGAGGTGCTGAGAGTTCGTTGTCTAAAGATAATATTAAATCCTTGGAGTTCACTATTGAGTATGACTTCCATGACAGTGATGTTCGATGGTTATTGAGCGTATAGGACAACCGGCGGTACATATCACTGTTTTGAAGTGGACGTTCGGCGAAGAATCTACTGTATGATTCGCTTAAATGCTGTATTCCGTTTCGGTCTGCGGCAGATAGGACAATTAGGTAACACTGCGAAGTTAGATCTTCCTTCAATTCCTCCATGTCGGTATTATGGTTGGCGTCAAGGGCATTCTCGGCTAAGAATACTTTCGCATCATCGAGAATGACGTGGGCGTTGGTCCCCCCGAATCCAAAGGAGTTTACTGAAACTCTACGCAACCCGGCTGAAGGCCAAGGTGTAGCTTCGGTCGGGAACTAAAGCATGCCTTGAAATTAACATAGGAAATTACTCAGAGAATAGTGAAATGAGCCGATCGCATGTCACTGATCTTGCATGAAATTTCGAAATGGAGAGAGGAGTAACAACTAGTGATTTTCTTACCTTGAGTCGGTAGTAGGTATCGTCAATTTCAGGGTTGAGAGTAATAAGATCTGCAATAGGGGGTATCACTCCTTTCTCTAGAACCAGAACAGATTTAATGACACCTGCGATCCCGCTCGCTGCTACTAGATGGCCGATGTTTGCTTTACTCGCGCCGCTATCGGTTGTATGAGCAAGATTCGTAGCTTTCAGCTTGAGGAGAGATCTCTTTACATATACAATGGATCGTCTGAAGATCTTGCAGGCCTGAATACGGTCCCAATGGCTGCTGATTCTATAGGGTCTCCGAGCAATGTTCCTGTTCCATGCGCTTCGCAGAATCGTGTTGGTTCAATATCTAAACCAGCTTTTTCATAGGTATCTTTCATGAGCGATATCTGTGCCTTTCCGCTAAGTTGGGTAAGACCCAAGGTATACCCATCTGAATTGGTACCGGTCGAGCGAATGACTGCACGGATTGTATGGTTGAACTCTGGTTTTATTGCATCTGAAAGTCGCTTCATAATAATTATGCCAAGTCCCTCGGAACGAGCATATCCATTGCCCCTAGAATCGAAGCTGTGGCATCGGCTGTCAGGGGAAAGGAAACCCATATTGTCAAGATAAACAAATAAATCTGGCATGTAAGTTAAACTGACGCCGCCAACGATGGCCTACGAGGTAAAGATGTTAGTCGAAGTTTTGAAAATATGAGCTTCAGTAGTGCACCATCACTACCGAACTTCAAATTCTTAGATTAGTTCAAGATGTTTACCATATCTGTTTCTCCGGCCCTGAGTAGTTGACTTGCCAAGCCCAACGCTACGAGACTGCTTGAACAAGCGGTTTCAATCGCCATGCTTGGGCCTTTCAAGTTATAGTACCAGCTCAAACGGTTTGCTAGTATACTCCCATCGGACCCAGTGATAGAATACTTTTTGGCTGCTTCCACATCTCTGCCTATCGAAAGTCTATAGTCATGTGAGAGGTACCCGATATGAACGGATGTCCTGCTCCCAGTAACTTTTGAAAGGGGTAGGCCCGCTAATAGAACACACTTCTAGTTAGCTATTGTGCATAAAGAATGGTAGACCCAGTTAACTGTTCCGCTTTCAATTACCGTTTTCAAGAGCATGGTATGTGGTTTCAAGAAGTAGTCTCTGTTGTGGATCCATTGCAATAGCTTCTTCCGCAGATATCGAGAAGAAGGAGGTGTCGAAAGCACCGATATCCCCAGCCATAAAGTATCCCTTGTGCCGTGTACCCTACAAGAAAATTAAAAATCGTTTGATATTCCTTATAATAGACTTGGCTTTTGGAGATAGTAAGGATGGGCAGGTAGAATTGTTAGCATACTGATTGACTCTGTGATCCCCCCCCTGAAACGTTTAAGAAGGCCTGGAGGTTGACACGGTCGTCCGGTATCTCAGAAAGACCAGTATCACCATTCACCATCACGGCCCAGAAGGCATCTATACTTTCTATCCCCGAAGGAAATTTAAATGCAAAGCCTATTATAGCAAGAGGCTCTGCTGCCATTGTCTCAGTTTTGTATAGTTCTGAAGAATTTCAAGGCGTGAAGAATCCGTGGTTACTAGAAAATTGGGCGTCCTAGTCTTAGCAAGTTAGCTGAGAGGTCGTTAGTATTGCAAGCTATATCAAAGTTGTGGTTCTAGCTGGATATATAGACAGACCGCCAGTACTATAGTTCTGCAAGTCTTCATTGGAACCAACTTTGTGTTGGCCTAGGTTGGGTGCCACAGTTTGCCTGATAAGATCAAGCGTTATCAGTACAACCTGCAAAATATTTGTTGTTAGTGTTGGATTTTGAAGCATAGATACTTGGTCTAGCCCGAACAACCTTGAGATCATGATGACATCCTGATACGGGAGTCCCGCCCACTAGACTGTTCCGAAGTTCTCCGTAAAACCGGTGAAAACGAAATCACCGAACGTGCATCCGGCTAACAAAGTTTCGAGGTTGATGATACAAGCCTAGATGGCAATTCGTGTCGAGCCCACATGTTTGGCGCTTTCTATCCTAATGAGGAAGTCCGTGGCCATGCAGCCAAGTAAGAGGCGGGCCTGGAGGCCGCTCCGAAGAGGCGTGGGGAACCCCGAAGCCGTTTGCGCGGGCGGGATTGCGTATCGCAATTGCAATATCGCCGCTCGTTAGATGTATACATACATATGTTACTTCAATATTAGATGCAATCGTCGGCTATACATGACTTCAATAGGAACATGCCAAACTTTGCATGTGCGAATTGATGCGGGCCCAAGCTTAAGCTCAGAGGAGGCATTTTCGGCCAGTTTCTACAGTGGTACACGGTTACAATGGCACAGGTGTTGTAAACTTGCAACGTTAACGACTAGCTGAGTTTGACCTAAATAATTGCTCAGTTTCACAAAAAATGGCTTTAATATTTTCGAGTAGTCTTGAACCCAGGTGCTTGTGGAGGCTTTCGAGTAGCCCCGAATCCTGTTTTCGAGGGCGTATTTAGGCTGCCGAGGATGCATGCAAATGATGGCTCCGAAGTCAAACAGCAATGGCTTGTGCATCCCGGAGAGCGCGTTGGATTGCCTTCAAAGCCCCTCGTAGGGTTTCGGGAGATCTTGTCCCGGGCACAGTGTGGCCTTCATTATGAACATAGCCATGACGGAGGTGGGGGGTACAGAGCTGCTCCAGAACCCCACTCATTGATGGACCCAGCTCGTCATTCAGAGCCCAGACATGGGCTGTTGGTATACGTATTTGTGAAAGTTTGTAGTCTCGATCAAGCCGAATTGTCTGATTCTTATGCAAGGCTTCCCAACTCAGAGGCCCACCCCCGGCGAGAAACACTGCTAATTTGAACGGACTTTGCCAACCTTCTCTCTCTATTCCCCTACCTAGGAGGAGGGTGGAAGATAGAGCAGCACCATGTGAAAACCCCATTACGGCATCGAAAGGTCCTTCTTCTTCAATATATTCTTCCAACTGGAACAAGGCCTTCAGCATGCTTTCAGCGTCAAAAGGGTCGTAGTATGCGAAATATTCATCTTCGTCTGAAAAGAGATCTCCAAGCTCTAGTTTCTCTGATAATCAGCAGAGCCTCGTCGAGTTTTACGATCGATCAGGGAAACAAATTTGTACCTTTGGCTTTTGGCCATGGCACCGTGCCATCAACAAATTCATATTCGTGCTCTTCGCCAAGTTCTGCACGAATGGCCGCTGGGGATTTAAACAGTTTTGTTAGTGTCAATTGTTACGGTCTTTCTGTCCCCTCCTTACCCGTCTGCGTTTCAAGAACCTGGAATATTTTAAGTTGATAAGCCTCTAGTTCCATATTTAGATGTATGTATTCAAGACAATATTTACCTTGCTATTGGTCCCAAGCCCATGAAGGCATAGAAATCGCATTTTCGCCTGAGGTTTGGGGCTTTTGCTGGAAGGGTGTTGTGTTGTGTATATACACGCAGTTCGGCAAGGTTTGTGATTCCAGAGCTACAAAGGTGTTCTAAGATTACAATTAACAGCACGAAAGAGATACGGGATTTATTAGGTATTGCGGGACAAAAATCGTCTTATATTAATACCTAGTAATCATTGTCTCATTTGTTGGTATGGGATCTGGTGTACATTTTCTGTTTCGAAAGGTGCCTTTCCACCGGGTCAGCGTTGAGATGTCAGGTTAGCTTGGTTAGTTAGTCTGGGGAAAGGTGAGCCGAAAGTGTGTTTTGGGTTATTCAGGCCGAGATTTAGCTAAAAACAAAAAGCAAACAAATTACGGAGTACAGTATCTTCGGAGTCGGGATTTCTGAAGCTTAAACATTAATGCTTAGGTGGTTCGGAGTCGGATATTTTCTCAAGAATGCAAAAAATATATGCGTAGTAAAAATCAATGGGGTCAATAATATATTGGCGTCCCTGTGAAAGAGTGCTAGATGCGATCGCTCAGAACGTGGGTTTGCGGTGGGCGGGTGACTTTGGGAGCTAGGCGGTACCACGGTACCACACGGTGAGTATGAACGTATACGTCTGGATCGACTTTGAATTCTGGCAGCTCTGATCTAATATAATACTTCGACTACTTTCTACCACAGGTTCTCAAAAGTATATTCGAATGGGTTCTCGGTCGCCTATACAGCCCCCCAGTATTAAGAGCTTTAGATAGGCATTCATGTGCAAAGTATATGTATCTGAAAATCAGCCGCTATAGATCTATTCGTGCTTGTGTACAAATATGAGTTCAACTCTAAATTCCGACTACTTTAGGTAATTGGCCATATTTTTTCCCCTGCCGGTACTGGGACGGCCGCGCCATTTAAGATGATAGATGTATACGCGTAGAATCCTGTGTAATGGATAAGAGCACCTGCGCCTGCCTTCCCAAATAATGACTCAGCTTTGCTCCAAAGCTCAACTGATAATAGGCCTCTGTTCCACCAATGCTCGTGCGATTTGCCAGGATGCTTGTTCTTGCTGAGTCCCACCAGGAGGTTTACCATTCAGAATGTTTTCAATTTGGTGATCTTCAACCCCGACTTGCTTAGCAACGCGAGAGTGGCTGTATAACTCGTAATCTGCTTTGTAGTATTGTCCAACCGCCAGGATCGCGATCTCACGGCACCGCAAAGGAAATTCGACTATATTAGATAATGAACTGCCATTGGCGAAGTATCCAGACGCTATTGGTTTGGGAAGGTATAGAAATTGGGTAAATGGTCCAACAAGGGCTTCTGATTCCGGGTCTTGGATGGTAAATCTGATTTGAAGTAAAATATTTAGTAAGCTTTTCATTTTCTGCTTTGGTAGTAGAACAGGATTCAAAGATTTGGCTGAAAGGTGTCAAATTGCATTGTGTAGTTTACATTTGGTTGAAGTATTGTCCAATGGATTCAGCCAAAAAATCGTGTATCTCTTTCTGTGTCTCATTGAGAGCGTCGGCAGCAATAGGGGCGTATCGATTGGGCAATGCCATTTCGTTAACTTCCTTTGAAATGGTGATAGATCAATATCTATTTCTTTTATTCCCCACGGTCAGTTCTTGAAAATGGGCTATTATACTTGTATTAATAAGCATTCGTAGAGATCATGTATATATAGAGAAGCCAGGAAGAGAATAAGCTCCACAGTCAGCACGACGTGAGTGGTTGAGTAGTCCAATCATAGACCTAGTGCTAACCTCTCAAGATTTAACACTTACATGAGGACATACCTGATTATAGGCAACTAGTTGTCTCGTACCTAGACCTGGAAGCTAGCTAGTTATGTAAATAAGCTTGTATCGAAATTTTAGGCATAGCGCGACCTTCTAAGGGTCCGACAGCGCCGAAACGTCCGAAGGGGAGCCGCGATCCGGGTTATTTCCTCCGCTGCTTCGTATTACTGTCTGGAAATAGCTAAACTAGCTATTTCCTCCGACGGAGAGGCTATTACCTTCGACCCGAATAAGAAAGCGTACCCATTTAACGATAGAGAATGCCCCGTAATAATTTAACATAAAGTGCTGGGGTGCCCGTTTCTGTTGGGGTTAAACGCGCCTAGGAAAAGGGCGTGCGTACCGGCTTTTAGACTTTTAAATATTTGGCTTCGTAGAAGAGAGATGTAGTGAGCGTAGCTTTTGTAGAAGAGTAGCCCGTCGAGACTAAGCTACAGCCACTATTGATATGCGACTGGGACCTTACCCAAAGCTCACAAGACTGCGATGATGCTATTAGTACATTACTCAGCTACATATATGGTCTCTAAATTTATTGAGCCCGGCGTTGAATACTTTTGCACAGATTGCTGTTCTTTTTGGCCGCTTCATCAACGGCCTAGAATATGTGTGCAAATAAGTAGACTTCGTATGCACTTACATGTGCAAAGACTAACTAGTTAATGGCCGGTATTTGATGCCTTTGTGGGACTTTTTGGCCCACGAAAAAGTAAGTAGCCGGTCGGTATGCATAGGACGCTCGGACTCTTAGACAGGGACGTACATACTTACAGGTGCAGATTACCTGGAAACTAGTGTATCCGCTCTAGCCCCACAATACGGATCCGAAAAGAGGGTAGATAACCTGGCTTTGAACTTGTCATCGGGGCATACGAAGTTTCTGGTTCACACTGTCTCAATATTCATCATTTAAATGTTCGCTGGAGGCTAATTACGGAGCCATTTGTCGAAATTCCGAAGTTCTAGGATATGAAATACGACCTGACTAGATACCTAGATACAACTCTATTAGATACCTATATGGTATGAAGCTTATCTTAGCCTTTCCTTGCCTAGAATCACTATAGTTCTAGTTCTGACTATGTACTATCCATCAAAGCAGACATTTGATTCTTCTTATAGCGAGAAGCGTTTCAACTTCTGCTTCCTTGACTGCATCTGTAGTTATTTGAGCAATGTGTTCTGTCCTGGCGATTCCTTGTGTTATTTCCGCTGTTTTATCCAATTCTCCTGTCTGAAAACTGGTAAGAAATATTCCATCGCTTGGAGAACAATAATCGCCTGAAGTTTTGGAGATGCCTGCCAATCCAAACCTCCTCCGATGTGTACTGAGCTAGAAGCATGACATTTTGTTGTTGACGAGACGAGCTCGCCTTTATGAAAGATGCTCTGAACTTCGGACAAAATAGCCCGGTATATGTATGAAACCCTGAGTCTACAAGACAATACCAATAAAATCGAGGCCGAGTCGCGCAAACTCGGATCTTTTGGTTTTTCCATTTGCATTTTTTGTGCCTTACAGCTGGCCCGATCATTGCCGCTCCCAATCTGCAGATGATATTCCATAAGGGGGTCGACTGAATGCTCGCTGACCGAGTCTTCTTGAAGCTATTTTTGGGTTTCGAGAAGGTTTTGGGATAAAGCGAATGTCTCGCCTACGTTGAATCTGTCGGTTGCAGCTGCGAAGTTTTGAGCGCTACGATCTTGAGAGCCATGCTGGATGTAAAGCCTGACATGAAGCTCTGCCACCCTATCAATCCAGTTTCCTTTTGGTTGAGAACCTATTTTCATGGCCGGAGGTCACCGTGAATTCCCTGCCTGACAGGCCTACACTGGTTGGGTCATAATCGAAGAAATAAGGTGCCGTATAATTAGCGGTAGGAACGGTGTTCGTTGGACTAGTACCCAATTTTCGATATTCCAAGACTTCGCCATCGAATAAATCGGGGAAATTGGTGGTGGAAATCAATGTGCCTTCAGATTGTTTGGAAGTTTGATCTGATGTTGGTGCAAAACCAGTCTCCGGCGAGAGGTCGAGCCCATCCCAGGACAATGGGGCAAGTTCTGGTGATTCTAACAGGAAATTTGGGTTGATATAGTCATAGCTTGGGTTGCTATTTCTATCAGCAAAAAAATTGGTTTCGCCTGAGTTCCTGCTTGTCATATCCTAAAATATTTTTGTTAACATACGGTTTATTGGTTCACTCGGACTCAACGTTGTGCTCTCACACTCACCGACGCAGGGCTGAGGTGTAGTTTTCTCGTCTTATGGCATATAAGCCTAGCTGCTGTAGGTCGTTTGCTTTTCGGAGTGATGCAACATTTGACTTTTGCTTTTGAACATCGAGCGCATGGTCCACTCGCACTTTCTCGTTTGCAGGACAATTTATGTCCATGACAACGGTCGCAGGCGTGTCTGTTCTTTTGGATTGTCAGCATTGCTGTTCAAACGTCCCCGTAGGCTACCGAAGATCGAGAGTCTTGAAATGTTTTGACCTGGTGGCCGGTACCCGAAATTATAACGCACTAATGGTATCCATGAAGTGGCTGGAAGCTTTGATCGTCTGAACAACAAGTATAGATTAGTGATATTAGTAAGATACAAAAAAGGAATCCCAAAACGGAATCCCTTAATACGTGTTCGTGTCGAGGGTCTTGCTAACCGGGATATTGTATTCTCCGGATATCCTAATTAGGGTCGTACGCCCGATTTGATCTCGATGTGAGTTCTAGCTCACAAATATTATCTCGTACCAAAGCTGCCGAACCTCGCCTAGGGATAGAGTTAGTTCGAAAATAGCGGTTGGGTATATACTTTAATATTGAATTCCGTTTCCATAAAAAGGCGGAAGTAATAGCGATGTGGGGACTGCAGCTTGTGTTCAAGAGCGAAATGTGGATACCTTTGTTGGCTAGTAGACGAATTAAATCTTTTCTTTCAATTGACCCAAACGAAGCTAGCTGAATCGTGGGCGAACCTAACCGCAAGACCTAAGGATTACTATAGCTTATTAAGTATGTGTATGCAGGATCGTAGTAGGGTATAAAATTGCGAAAGTATTAGCTATAGTATCATGAACCCGTCAACACAGTCTACTTGGCTGTTTTTCGGGACGAACCGAGCTATAAGATATCAGCGCTGGGGCCCTAAATATCAGGGGGATAGGCTGATGGGTAATGGGGTATACCAGGTGCGAGCCCTATACGGACCTCCCAGAGCCCGGAAGGGTCGAATCACTGTCGTATTTTCTTTAAATTTCAGTAACAAATCATAAAGGCCTGTTGACAAAATCCCAAGCTTAAGGAATAATCGAGTAAAATGCTGTATGTTGAATGCTCATCAAAGAAACGTTAAACGGACAAAATAGCTCCAAACATTTACCTGACCAAAATAAGCTATTTATGGGTCAACATGGTGGTTGAAATCATTTTTGACAAACTATGTACTGAGGTTTTAGAGCAAAAAGTGTTTCAGGTTTTTTCGATGTTTTGACTATACGGTCCAATCAATTCAAAGCAGAATTGCAACTTATGGTACTGCAGAATTGCCTGAAGTTTAATTCTTTTACAAAGGATATAATGAGTTCCATTTTCGGCGGGTAGGGTGGGAAACAGAAATATTTGGAAGGCTAGGAGTATGGGTGGGCAGACAAACAACACAAGCTTTGTTGCATGTGCAGGGAAACACTTACAGTCGAAATACTTTAAAGCATACTAAATACTAGAAGGCCGCGCATGCGCAGAGCATTTAAAGCCGACTGACTATACTCGCTCAGCGCAGTAATATAATAATATAACTTATTATATACTACCAGTAATCATGAAACTGATCTATCCTGATCTAACCTCGAATTATATCACGTGAAAACAACGTATTTTTGTGCCATGCCCCTTCAAAGCGAAATCTTCTTCCTCGCTCGGATGTTCCTTAGGGATCCCTGCTGTAAATAGCCAGGCAAAATAACTGAGCCTCACAGTAATCACAATTAGAAGAATATGAACAGTAACATATTAGCATAGATTGTGTGATCGCAGGCTAGCAACTTAAAAATAAGTTTGGTGCACCGGTGGTAGATGTTGGACACATAAACATGCCTATTTCACCATGAAATCGGATTGATCCAGCGTTAGGCTTTGTGTCGGGATTAGTTGGAATATATATATATATACTCAAAGCATTTATCCATCAGTATTTTCTAAAGCCCTCGCCGCTGGGATAATTAGGCCATAGTGAACGAGGTACAGGGTGGTCCTATCGTGGGCTTAGTTATTCCTGGATCTGAGTATCAGTTGCGTATGACAATGCCGAGTGCTGGAGTTAGCTCCGGGGATATAAGGTTAACATGATGTTCCTAATATTTCGCGAAGTGCAATAGTCTCTAATTTCTTATTAATGTTTTTTTGTCATATAGATTTGGCATTATTTTGGCGGATTTTGGGCGAAAACTCATTTGTTGGGTTTTGTCATGTTGGCAGGTCTGCAGGGAGCCACACCGCTAGCGGATAATTGGTGCCGCCTTTGTAGGTATGATATTATAACCTAGGCTTGACTTGGTGAAACCCACTTTAATTGGGAGGAGTACTGTTTGTGTATATGAAAATGCATATTGTTGCTTATGTAATTACTCCCTCGTCCTAAGATGTAGGGGGCCCTGGTATCAGCCGGTGTCATCCTTGGGCAATCTCGCTCAGTAAGGCTGGCCCTCAGCCTTAAGCCTTGCCACCTCATGATTGCACGTACGTAGTCCCTATTATCCAGCAATAATGTTTCTGCGACTTGAGCAAACCAGGGACGCGTGGCTTGAATGATGCCAATTTGGAAATAAGTATATTGCAAAAAAGTCATTGCAGAGTGAACATCTGTGGTGGTAGGTTGCAACTTAGAGGCAGAAATTTCCAGCACTATATGTGAATACATAAGTGTTTATAGCATCTGGCAATTTATTTGTTCAATGTTCCGAAACACCAACCCAAAAAGTTCTTGATTTGCTTATTAGCGATACCAAACCAGACTTTTAAAATAACATTGCGGACTAGAAGGAACGTTGTGGTCCCAATTAAAGCAGCTGGACCAGTATAGTAACAGGAACAGCAAGGGCCCTTCGTTCCACCAGCCTACTCACAAATACAATATAGATTAGAGCAACAATACCAACTTTAGCCCCTATGATAACCCATTATACAAAAAGTATCTCTCCGATTGCAAAACTATGATACCATGCTGGCATTTTGCGTTCGTAGAACGACATACGATAAACCCGGCGGCACAAGCACGAAACATCTTCCGAAAGTAGTTAGCTTGCGTAAAACTCCTTCTCTAAATTATATACACATGTTAGCACCCAAATCGGGTACGCAACTTATGAAAAAACTACTATATACTCCAGAAATGGGTACAAGGACACAGACAGTTTATAATACTTTACAGTTGATAGGTACCGATACACTAACTTCTCTACTTATTTATGAATGAACTATTACCATTAGATATGTATGAAATCAGAAACAGAAGCTAATTTGAGTATCATTGTCAATAGTATCAACAAAACGATACTTGTCACTACTAACGTAGTAAAGGTAATTCAAAATCTGAGTTCTAGTCCTATCAATTCCTTGCGCACTATAACCAAAAAGACGACTACGGTACCTACGAATACCCAACATCACCCCTATTGCGTAGTCCCTGGGCAAGAAAGATTAAATTTTCGACTAATCATTGGCCTAAATTATGATTTCTAGATGTAGAACAGAAAAAGATCCCACACCATAAGCATCGGCAACACTATCTACAATCCGGATGCTTCAGCGCGTTCCCCTCCCGCTGCTTACAGATTATCGTATCATCGACAACGACAATTGCGATAATTGACTCTCCATAGGTAGGTAGGACCATGTCGAGCACGTGGATAATATTGGAGGGATCGAGTGGTTCCAGAGTTTAAGCTTTGGAGTATTCATTTACCCGGAAGCGATCATTTCGATATGTTCATGGCGGCAACTGTTCCTGGCGGCATATGAGGGTCGAAGCTATAGAGGCCTAAGACGTCAGCCGCGACCATGTGGGTAATTTGGCTAATGGATTGTAAAATTGGGAGCTTCAGTGAAACCAATTTTCGCTTTGAGAGTTCGCGATCCTTATGGTTTGAGAGGGCTTCTTTTCAGCAGTTTTGCGGTTATCACCCGAATCAGTCGCTCGGATGCCAGTAGCAGCTTTTACACCAGTCACAATCTTTTAGCACCTAGAAAATATCTCAGAAATATCAACTAATTTTATTCCAACAACAGCTCAAACAATCCTTTTAGACTTGGCCCCAATTAAAGGTCGTATAATGCTATACTCTTTGCAAATTTACAAATTAGGTAGGCTACATATCAGCATTAATAATAGTGAAGAGGGTCAGCTCATACATTGTCATAAAATCTCGCGGAGGCTAAGACATCAAAACACCTTATATCGAATAACCTTATTAATATATTGGCTTTATTCTACGCAATCAAGATTAGAAAATTAGGCTACGAAGTAACCATAGAAAAGATTCCATACTATATAGTTTAAGCTTACTAGCAGTAGGGATAAAGAGGTATTATATTTATAACTTAAAGATATAAAGCTTTCTTATATACCAGAGTCGTGAACAGCACTCCTTGGACTTGATTATGTAACTGCCGGCCAAATCTAGAAATAGGGTACGGGTACATATCTCTGAAAACTACATCCAGAACTTGATATTTTCCGCAACCCTATTTCAGATTAATGGATACGAGAAACCATAACGAACCATTCCTGAACCGCGCAAAAATAAGCTTGAGAGTAAACGAACTCCTGCTTGTCGCTTTAGCTCCGCAGATTCAATAATGTAATTTAGATAAATTTACAACCATATTTTCTATTATACGCACTATTTGGTTATGGGGAAATTAAAAACGAAAAGGCGCTAGCATCGATTGCCACATTTTTATTGATTGGGCTATTATCACGGATTTGGGTGCCGTTTGGGCTGGAATTGCGTTTTGGAGAAGCTTTCTTGCCAACACATTGTACAGTTGTACAGTGGGGATTGATCCGGTTGTGCACAGAGAGAAAAGGATAGTCGCAAAATTAGCGTCTCTTTTTCTTAATCAAAGTTCGAGATTCTAATTTAGAGTTTGGTGAAATGGCTTTTGAAGTCGTACTTTGTTCTTCGGTTGCTAGCGAAAAAGAAAATAAAGGCCAGATCTGGACAGCACGATGCACGCGCATGCGCATGAGCAGGGGTTTTGAGTCACCAGATGGGATAAAATGTTAACGCTGGGAGCCGTAGTCTCTGAACTATTGTTTCATCTGATGTCCGTTGAGTAAAGTTTATCTTTTCTTTCTTCCATTCGGAAGTTGCTAGCTTTATTAGGTGCACGGGTCCTTTCGTTCAGAACTAAGGTCGAAATTATAACGAAAATCAAATTAAAGAATTAATTTGAACATTCTGTAACATATTTTATCGAAGATAGGATTAATTGCGATTTCATTGAAAAATAAAATTAGTCGCAAAAAAAACGAAGAAACATTTTTGACAATATTTCGTTGAAAATAACCGTATAGATAGATCGAGAAGATGACGTGTAGCCTGGGAGATCTGTGCTGCTAGATCGCATTAATATTAAGACACCTTCGATGATCCGTCGGCTAGTTAGACCGAACACCATAAGCGAACAAATTCGAACTAAGACAAAATAGAAGCGTAAAGCCCGCTAGAGTACAAAAGAACCTTCATAGTGTTCACTCTAAACCACTTCAGTCTTGCGACTCCCAGACTAAGCTGGTCTGACATTCGTGGTACCAATGCGGAGTACACCACGCCTAACTAACCCAGCGCTCCCGACCCGACCTTCTACCCTATTTTAAAATTGCTACAACGGTATAAAAAATGGCCGTGTAGCTAAGAAACCCTTCCGTTACCCGGTAAGGTTTCGGGTGCATGCATATATGCAAGCTAGGTACCGATGTATTTGGTTCAAGCCCAGGAGGGCTATAATAACCGTTCTTATATCCATACGTAAGATTCGAATTCCGAAGTAAACACCTAGAAACCTTTGGGTTAACAAGTATATCAATAGTTTATATCGGTGTTGAATCGAAACGAATTTCAGAGGAAGGATCGAAATAGGTCTTTGGATCCAGAGCATAAACTTGGCGTCCACATCGGCGGGCCACCCCGCCATTTGTATGGTTATACCCCCGAAAATACACAACTGGAACCTAAAACAATGGGTAAATGACGATGTAGAATCATAACCTTTTCTGGAAACATTTTTTGAAATCGGCTACATGATACTGAACATAGACACTGGGAACGGGTTTCCTATTCGCGCTATATATCACATAGGAGCTCCTGCTATTGTTCTTTCCGACACTTCAATCATGGTTTGTGAGACCCTGCTATATAAGATATCGTGATATTCCTCCTTCTCCAGCCTTCTTCAACCAACCGTTAACCAGCAGCGGCATTCGGGCTTGGTCACTCATTTCTTCCGTTGGCGCAATATTCGTCAGGTCGTACCTGCCATTCATTCTTTTTTACCGGATATTTCATACAGTATCCATTCCATTCCTTCAAAATGCATTTCAAAATATCTGCAGCATCAGCTGTTGCGATCCTTGCGTCGATCCATGAGGCATCCGCTCATTGCAGAATCATCCGTGCTATCGGAAACGCCGGGGGTGACGGTCGTGGACTTCTATCTCGATGGAATTCCAATGGTCAAGGTAACGATATTACCGGCTGGGCGAGTGAGAACCAGTGCACCATCTTCAGTGACCCCCCAATCCAAAACTGGCCAGCCCACCGGTCCTATTTCGGGCAGCACTGTGGTGTCACTCTCGAAACCGTCGATTTGTACTGGAGAGATCTTCACGGCAAAATCCCAGGAGACTGGTGGGCTCGCAAAACTCCTCTAGGGCAAAATTCAGAACGTCGTGCCTACGTTCAAACATGGTGGGAGACTCAAAAACAGGCCAATGATGGCTCTATGGCCAAGGTATCTCTCAAACAAAACACCGAACACGGGCAAATTACCATCTGGATACTTCAAGTGAATGCCGATGGTGCAGGCCCTTTCAGAGTCAATATTGATCCCAACGGTGACGGAAACTATCCCTGGGGTTTCAGAGATAGGAGCGAGTTCACTGAAATGGGGTTTGACGGCCCAGAGTCTGTCCGATACGATACCGTCGGTCAACTCCATGTCATCAAATGGAACGTACCAAAGCAATTGAAGTGTTACGGGAAATCCGGAAACCTCAATAATGTTTGCATTATCCGTATTGAAAATATGGCGAAAAACGGCCCATTTGGAGGGTGTCTTCCTATTCAAATCGTCGACCAGGCACCCGATGCACCACCGCCAGCTCCTGCCCCAGAGCCGGACAAGCCCGCTCCCCCACCACCCAAACCGCACGTATATGTTATCGACCAGCCGGTCGTCGAGTTAAAATATGCAGACCCTCCAAGCGTCAACTATGGTAATAGTGCCTACTACAAGCGTAGCCTAGTTACTGGAGAGATGCTTGAGAAGCGTACTACCAACGAGTCAGGAGAGGATAATGAGAAAGCCGTCCCAGCCCTTGATGGAGCAGCTCTTGACCGCGCTCTTTCAGGTGTTAGAAAGGAAGAAAAGAAACATGCTAGCGAGATTGGTTCAACCCACCAGCACCTCATAAAACAGGAGAAGAAGTTGAAGATTGCAAAGAAGATAACTCAGAAGAAAACTAAGGAGAGAAGAATGAAGAGGAGGAGCGTTTTGAGTAAAAAGGCTCAACTAGCTGAGGCTAGAATGGATAGCGAGACTGCGATCTAGGTGCCCCCAAAAGCTCTAGATATCCAGGCAGCAGATCTAACTATTATTTTCAACCCCGTTTACTATCATATCGAGGTTTCGTCTAACAAAAATATTAACGAATTTTATTAAATTTACTATCATATCAAAATCTTTTTCCTATTAAAACGAAATTCTTGATTAAATTAAAAAAAGTAAACCTTAATTAAAATTCTTAAATATGTGTTAGCAGTCATGGTTCGGGAGTATTTAAAGAAATCGATAGCCAGAAAAATACAACAAAGACAACACATTGCAAGTGATAGGATTTCGTGATCAAAAAGTGATTAATTATTAATTGTAAGTGCTAATGTAATAGGTGTACAGCCGGGTTCTTCCATGTCTTACTATAAGTAGAAGGTATAATGTGTTAAAATCTAGAATAATTAATCATCAATTATATAGATATAAACCTACATCAGGAAAAAAATATATTACTATAATACTATTAGTATCACGACCCAGCCATATTGACTAACCCTACGGGGTATGAGTTGGCCGAATAGGACACCTATTCGATTCAATGCTATATAAACGAGTTGTGGTCTTGGTATAAAAAAGGATATTGATTTGGGTTATTGATTTAACTTGTTTAAATTTTTTAAAACAATAATTTTTAATATTAATATTACACCTGTCCTAGGATTCCTTGGTAAGGTTTCCTAAAACAGCTTAGCACTCTGCTATGTTTCTTAACTCTAGCCGTTATTCCAGGTGGGAAAACGGCGTATTTCCAGCCATTTAAAGGAAAAAATAAAAATAAAAGGCGATAAACACTCTAAAAGTTTTAAAAATATTTAGCATCATTTTAATAAAGATTAGTATAAAAATTATAATATTTGCCAATAAGCTTATTGGTTGAAAATAAAAAACTATATATTTAAATTAAAAAGAAAAAAATTAAATATTATAATAAAAATATTTCGAAAAATATATTGTCCCATAATATGAAAATTTGGTGATCTAATGTTTCCCTACGGGGTATGAGTTAATCGGATGGGACACTCATCCGTACCAAATGCATATAAGCGAGGTGTGGTCTTGGCATAAAAAAGGACACTAATCCGAACCACTGATCCGTATCGCTTAATTTACTTAAAGTAGTAATTCAAAACCCCGAAACCCTAAATTCAAGGATACATACAAAATCTATATAAACTCTTCTTCATCTTCTTTTTATAAATTCCAATCCATTCTTCAATTTATTCTTGATAAAATAACAACTTTAACTTTTCAACCAATTATTACAACCAACAAATTTCTATATATATCACAATAAAAGGTTTTATTTTGTATTAATCATCAACAAATTTATACTTCGATTAATATCGGTAAACATTATAATCAATATTACAAAGATTCTGTTCCATCAAAAACTCGAAAAATTCTCAAAGAATTCTTATAAAAAAATAATTCTTCTGATATTTTTATTCTTCCCGAATTATTTAATAAAAAAAAATCATTATCGTTTTAATTATATTTTAAAATAATTATTGAATATGTTTGTTATCATTGTTCTTATAAAGGTCATTATTCCAATGCTATGAAAAAATATCTCCATCAAAATTATAATTTTCAATAAAATACATACACACTATATATTCTTAAAAATGATTGTGATATTTATCAAGTTCAAACTACCTATACTCAAGATTCTTCTCCAATTTAATGGCGTATCAATCAATCTATCAACCAACCTGTCAACTAATCTGTTAACCAACCTACCAACTAACCTGCCAACTAACCTGCTAATTAACCTACCAACCAATTTGCCAACTAACTTGATCAAGAATTTAAACAAAGTTGGCTTGATTTAGCTAATGATTTATTAAATATAAGTTATATTGAATGTTAATAGTTAATAATTCAAGATTAATCTGTTGAAATTAGTTTTTGGAACAATAGAATTGATTACTTTGCACATGCTGATGGTTTAAATCAATTGGAAATAATTACAATTCTTAAATCTCCTACTATTGATAACGATTTTAATAATAACGAACTTATATTATCTCAATTTTGTAATTTAAGTCGTATATGTATGGAAAGAATCAAACAATCGATTGCTTATGGTGAATTGGTAAAATAAAAATTTCGAGCTTTTAATAATCATACTTTTCGTTTATTGGTTAGTGCTGAACCAGGCAAATTAAGTTTAAAACTGTTAAGATGTATTTAACCCAAAACCGCTAAAGATTACTTTGATATTTGGAATTAATTCTTATGTTATGTCTATTGAACTAGATATGGTTTTCTTTTTACTAATCGTATTGAACCTTTGTTTCAACTAAATTCTGATCAAATCGATATAATTAATCAGCTTGGTGCAGAATTAAATTTACCTTTATACGATGGTGATTTGGATGACCTTGAAAAATTCTTAAACAATTCAACCACAATAAAAGATTTTATGCACGATGATTTAAGAGTTCAAACTTATTTCGTTTTAATATCATTATTTATTCGACAAATATATGAATTCAATTTTCTCAAATTATCGTTACTTTCATTTAGCGCACTTAAAAATTTCAAACCTTGTAGTTTTATCATAATAACCAGGAAAGCTTTAGGTTTTTTTAGTAAACTTATTTATTATTATCAACTGACAATTATCAAATATGTTTGAACTGTTACTCCAAATGATGCAGATGTAGTAAAACAGTTTTAAACTATTCAAAAAACTTACATGTTAAACAACACCAGAACACTATTGGGTGAACTGCAAAATCAACAGGCCCTAGCCATGTATATTAGTTGTAACAAACCTTTAATGCCAACTACCTATTGGATTGATAACGACGTAATTATACATTACAATATAAGATTGGAAGTAAACAAATTAAAAAGATTTATTCAATCTTTAATGAAACAAACAATAAAAGTTTGAAACTGATTGGTTTTTAATATAACAATACCTAATTTTGATTTCGAAGATTATAAAACAATTCCAGAAAATATATCAAATCAAAATGCAACTTACAACAGTTTAACCAATGCGCATGGTTAAATTACGGATATTAAAAATTAATTTTTACAAAAATTTATGTTTAAGTTTTTTGATAAAGATTTAACTAATAATAAAAATTATTAAAATCTATTTACTTTAACTTGGATAACCGTTTATGAACGAACGGTTGAAGAGTTTTTGGGTTTGATACTTTTTTTAGTATACATCAACATTGGATCATCTACTCGCGGTTCGGAAATCTTAACCACTCGTTATTTGAATACCTAAAGTTTGCGAAATTTATTTATTTATGAAAGAACCATCCTGATCAGTATTTGCTATCATAAAGCTCAAAATATAATTTAACAACAAAAATAATTCTTTTCAAATCCTATAATAACTCCAGTTCTTAAAACTAATAAAGTTCAGATATATTCACCATAGCCTACCCCTATAACTAAGTTAAATAGTAGCCAATTTTTTGGTTTTCATAATATCAATATGTTATCTCGCTCTCTGGTGGTTATTTCGCGCGCAAAATTCAAAACAATTTAAATGAGATATAACCATCAAAGTTAGTTAAACTCTTTTTCTAACTTACTTCTAGATGAAGCAAAACGATAAGTAATATAACTCACAATTAAGCAATTTACTTCACAAAGAAATTGTTAAATATACTTTACCTAAATTTTCCATTCAAAGTTAACGTTAAATTAACGTTTCTATTACCAATTGTCTGTTTAAAACTCACAGCGCAGCTATAGACCCCAAAAATAACAAATTTAAAAATAATAACAACAATTCAATTAGTTTTAAAGAATTAAACATTTAAAATCAACTTACCTCCCATTTTACCAACGTAACTGATAAACACTACAAAATATAATTGGACATAAATTATACTAAAAACAAAAAATTTTTAATTAAACATATCAATACCTACAAAGCTTAGCAAAAATAATTAAAAATTAATTAACATCACCAACCATCTAACATCAAAATCCGAGCCTTAAAGATTAGTTCCAAACGCCCAAAAAGTAAATCATCTGCTTTAATTAACAACCAACCCAAAAGATCGTTTAAAACCATCACCATACAACTTAGGTAGTCTATAACTGTCGTAAATCACCTTCTATGTCGTCTTTTTAAAACGAAAACCCTTGAATATTGAAGCCCACAACAGAAATTAGTTTTAGAATATATTATAACCGGAACCACTCAGATTTTAACAATTTTACTAACCGGAGGCGGTAAATCATTACTTTTCTAATTACCCACTCGTTTAACCAACGTTAGAACTAC